ATTGTTACAGGCCGAATTGAAGATCAAGATGGTCGAAGTCGACAAGAAGAAGAATGAAACTGACATCCTCATTGAGAAGGTAGGAAAGGAATCAGCCGTTGCTGAGGTTGAATAAAAGATTGCCAATGAGGAAGAAGAGAAGACCAATGCAGCATCCAAGGCAGCAGAAGAATTGGCTGAGACTGCAAGAATTGAATTGGAAAAGGCATTGCCAGCATTGGAGAAGGCCAAAGCTGCCGTCGATTGTATCAAGAAACCACAAATCACAGAAATGAAGTCTTTGGGTTCACCTCCCACTGGTGTGTTGACTACTGCCAGAGCTGTCTTGATATTGTTAGGAGAGAAAATCACATTGCAGGATCCTGAGGACAAATTGTGGAAGAAATCTCAATAAGTCATGAACAACCCTTAGTAATTCTTGGATAGAATCATCAACTTCAATGGTAAATAAATTGATCCACAAATCTTGGCATCTGTCAATAAAATCATTGAAGATCCTGCTCAGAAATTTAATGAAGAATCAATGAAAGGACAAAACTTTGCTGCATCCAAATTATGTGCTTGGGCTGTCAACATTGTTACTTTCAATACCATTTTCAAGTTGGTGGATCCACTTGAAAAGTCAAGAGATGCTGCCATGGCTGATCTCGAGCAAAAGAAGAAGGAATTGGCTGTTGTTAAGGAGAAGGTCAGAGCATTGAATGAGAAAGTCAATAAATTAAAGCGAGATTTGGAAGAGGCTGAAAGAGTCAAACAATTGGTTGAGGCTGATGCAAATGCTTGTTAAGAGAAATTGTCAGCTGCTGAGAAACTAGTTAATGGTTTGGCAGGTGAAAACAAACGTTGGGGAGAAAATGTCAAAGAGTTGTCCAGCAACATCAAATCAGTTGTCGGAAATGCATTGTTGGCTGCTGCCTTTGTTTCATACATCGGAGCATTCTCAGCTAAATTGAGATTGGAATTGTGGTCCAAGATCTGGTTGAATGACTTACAGACCAAGTAGATTCCCTTGACCCAAGGTATAGATCCACTCAAGATCTTAACAACCGAAGCCAAAATCGCCAGTTGGAAGAATGAAGGTTTGCAATCAGATCAAATGTCCTTGGAGAATGCTTCCATCATCAGTGCTTGTTCAAGATGGCCACTCATCATCGATCCATAATTGTAAGGTTCGGTCTGGATTAGAGGATCATAAGGTGATAACTTGATTACCATCAATATCAGTCAAAACAAGTGGTTGCAACAATTGAATTCAGCCATTCCTCTAGGAAAAGCAGTGTTATTGGAAGGTATCCAATAAGAAATCGATGCCACTCTCGACCCCTTGTTGAGTAGAGCCATCGTTAAGAAAGGGAAGTCCATTTACTTGGAATTGGGAGGAGAGCAAATTGATTATGATCCCAAATTCAAACTGTTTTTGATGACTAAATTGTACAACCCACATTTCAGACCAGAAATAGCTGCACAATGTACCATCATTAACTTCATTGTCACTGAATCCGGATTGGAAGAACAATTACTTGCCGCTGTCGTGAACATCGAAAGAAATGAATTAGAAATGAAGAGACAAGAGTTGGTCAAGTAGCAAAATGAATTCTCAGTGCAATTAGACAAGTTGGAGGAGAACCTTTTGATTCAATTGTCAGAGGCTGATCCTGCCACCATTTTGGAAAACAAGAGTTTGATTGCTAACTTGGATAATACCAAATAAACATCCAATACCATCACTGAATAGAGTAAGATCGCCAAAGTGACTGAAGTTGAAATCAATCAACAAAGAGAAATTTATAGAATTGTGGCTGCGGAAGGTGCTATGCTTTACTTCTTGGTCATTCAATTGAGTGTTATGGAACACATGTATCAATACTCTTTGGAATCTTTCAACAAGTTCTTCTTCAAGGCCATAGAGAGAACCACCATCAGAGATGAAACAAGAACTGAGGAATTGAGAAAGAACATCAGATACACAATCTATCAATGGATCAGCAGAGGATTGTTTGAAAAGCACAAGTTAATCTTTTTGACTTTGATCACCTTCAGATTGATGTAAAAGAAAGTAATTGAAGTGGTCTACGAACCAGCTGAAATGGATTTCCTTATCAAATGTGTCCCGAGAGCAGGCGTTGAAAACAATTTGGATTGGCTGTCACAAACAGCTTGGGATTCCGTACAGGGATTGATCCAATTGGAGGAATTCAAATTGTTCGCTCAAAACATGGAGAAGGATGCTCCCATCAGATTCAAAGATTGGTACAATGAATTGCAACCAGAAGATGTGAAATTGCCATTCGATTGGAAGAGATTGGATCAAATGCCATTCAAAAAACTGTTAGTCTTGAGATGTCTCAGACCAGATCGTATCACATCTGCCTTGACCAATTTCATCAGATAAGCCTTGCCTCAAGGAGAATCCTTTGTTGAAATGGATTCTAAACTCAATTTCTCAGAAGTTCTTTCAGGCTCAGTCGATGATTCAGATGCAACCATTCCCATCTTCTTCATTCTATCTCCAGGAGCAGATCCTGTCAAGGAAGTCGAAAAGTTGGCCAGATTAAATAAGATTGAACCAGGAAAGTCATTCTGGAATATCTCCTTGGGATAAGGTTAGGATGAAATCGCCAGACGTAGAATTGAAGAAGGTAACAAGGAAGGACATTGGGTCATGTTGCAAAACATTCACTTGATGCCCAAATGGTTATTGGAATTGGAGAAGATCTTGGATTCATTCACAGGAGAACAAGGTGGTGGTAATCCAAGATTTAGATTGTTCTTATCAGCTGAACCCTCAAGTGGAATCCCTATTGGATTATTGGATAGATCAATCAAGTTGACCAATGAGCCTCCTGCTGGTTTGAGAGCCAACATGAAGAGAGCTTGGGCTTATTTCAGCAAAGATGAAATTGAAGACAAAGATCCTAAGATCAAATCAATTCTGTTTGGTTTGTGCTTCTTCCATTCCACCGTCATCGAGAGAAGACGTTTCGGACCTAAGGGATGGAATATGTCTTATCCATTCAACATGGGAGACTTGAGAGACTCCTATTTGGTCATGAACAGATACATGGAACAAGGAGCAGGTGGTAAAGTGCCATTTGATGATTTGAGATACATCTTCGGTGAAATCATGTATGGTGGTCACATTGTCGATGATTGGGACAGAAGATTATGCATGGGTTATTTAGATAATATCATGCATGAGGGAATATTCGATGAACTGGAACTCTTCCCATTCATTGAAGGCAAGAACTTGTCCTTCAAAGTTCCTCCACCCAATAATTATGAGAAGTACATCGAACACATTGAGTAAGTACTCACTTAAGAAACTCCTCTTGCTTATGGATTACATTCTAATGCTGAAATTGGTTTCAGAACCCAATAATGCTTGACTCTCTTCTCCACTCTTCTAGAATTGCAACCCAAAGACAGTGCCAACGAGGAGAGCAGCAGTGGTATGAGAACCAAGAATGAAATCGTGCAAGAACTCATCAAACAATTGGCTGAAGACATTAACTTGAAATCCATGATATTCAACATTGACGAAATCAAGAACAAGATTGACGCTGAAAACAAAGGACCCTATCAAAATGTGTTCTTGCAAGAACTTGAATACATGAACTTCTTACTCATTGAAATTGTTAGATCCATGGAAGAAATCGACCAAGGTTTCAGAGGTATCCTCACCATCTCTGAATAAATGGAACAAATCATTGATGCCATCGCCTTGAATAGAGTACCTGTTGTTTGGGTCTCCTTGGCCTATCCTTCAAAAAGAGGTTTGGCATCTTGGTTAACCAATCTTCTCAAGAGAATTGAATAACTCAATCTCTTCAGAGATGATCCTTATGCCATCCCCAAAGTCACCATGATTGGCAGATTCTTCAATCCCCAATCATTCTTAACTGCCATCAAATAAGTCATTGGTAGACAAAGAGCACAAGAATTGAACAGATTGTACATTGCCACTGAAGTCACCAAAAAGAGCATCGAAGAAATCGACCAAACTGCCAAAGATGGTGCCTACGTATTTGGATTCGTCTTAGAAGGAGGTATCTATTTCATTCTAATTCTCTCTAGCTCGTTGGGATGTAGTCACCGGACAACTCGAAGAATCCAAACCCAAAGAGATGTTTAGTGTCCTGCCTGTTGTCTACTGCAAAGCCCTCATGGTACCTGCTGAAGGCAAAGAAGATAAAGCTCTTTATCAATGTCCATGCTATAGAACTGAAGATAGAGGTAATACCTACATCTTTACTGGACAACTCAAAACCAGACTCAATCCAAGAAAATGGATTTTAGCTGGAGTAGCACTTCTACTTGACGTTGAAGGTGTCTCTGATGAAGCTGCTGCTGCTAAAAAGGAAAAGAAGGCTTGAAACTCATTAGATTTTATTATATATTAATTTAACCAATTTATTTTATTACAACCAATAATATTTTTAGGAAAATTATACTTTTAATAATTTCCAATTGTTCTTCTCATCTTAACAATCCCACACGAATAAAATTCATAAAATCGTTGGTTATTAATAAAATATACATGTTAAAAAGAATACACAAGTGATGAATGTATATCATAATGATATATCACTTTTTGATGATTGATTAATATATTTTTGGAAATTTTTGTAACATTTGAAATATTATAACATTATTTAAATTGCAATAAGCTTCTTCAATTATTGTAACCAAAACCTGTACAAATTAAAAATTTTATAGATGCTTATCCTAAACTAACGAAATAATATTTAATAAAGAGATATTCTTTAGAGTACTATCATATTAAGTTAATTTGGAATTACAAATTTAAACTGTTTGATCATTTAGTTACATGAATATACAATTAGATATACAAATAATGCTTCGTTCATTCTTTTACATTACTATGCAAAGGACTTTACCTACTTTTATTGCTGTTACTAGTAAGATATCTTCCCTTCTGATGAATACTGAGCTTATCTTTATTTATTAGTTTTCAACCCATTATTTTATTGAAAAATATAATGAGAAAATAATTATAGGTCCTGAAGGAACTTCAAGGAGGTAATATACAAACAATCTCTAGATTTAAGCCTTATTGAAACACCAAATTATGGAAAGCTTATATCATGCATCGACAAAATACTAAAGAGCAACACAACCGATGGAGAGCTATACTATTAGAAAGGTAATTCCTCTTATACGATTATTGAAGGGGTGATATACTTTTAAAATGACGATTATCAATAGGCGATTGAGTATTTCAGAAAAGCATTAGATTGCGATGCTAAAAACAACACTATAATTTAAAATTTGGGTACTTCACTTGATAAGCATTATAGGAATCTCATATAAAGCTGTTGGCAATTTTTAAGCAGCATTAGAATGGTTTAACAAGAGTTTGGAGATTCAGCCCAGAAATACCTAGGTAGCCATCCTTAAGGGTAAGAAGTATAGGGCTATTTAGGTGATACTCTCAGGCTAATGAAACGATTTACTGAGGCTGAAACTATTTTTGAGGAGCTCCATAAAAAGGACAGAGATAATGTGAATGTTATTTAAGGATTAATCGAGTTAAAGTTAGATTAAGATTTAAAAAGCGAGGCTATATAGTATATTCAATAAATAGAATCCTTAAAAGCGATTGAAGTGGATCCACTTTTATTAATTGGTAAAATATAATGAAATCATAGTGTAACGACTTGTATAGTCAAAGTTGGATTAATAGGCTTTGAAAATCTTGAGCAAGATACTCGCACATGATAACAAGAACACAGATGCTTTGTATAGTTAAGGAATCATCTTATACAACGGAGATCAATTTACAGAGGCTTTGAAATCTTTTGAAAAGTTTATTGAATTGGATCCTTAACATACTTCTGCAATGCTCTACTTGGCTTTGTCTTTTGGGTAGCTGAACAGATATCAAGATGCAATCTAAATATTTGGTAAATTGTTGTAGATAAATCCAAAAGATGCAGCAATTTGGAATAATAAGGGTATTGCATGTAGAGAATTGAAACAGTATCAACAAGCTTTGGTATGTTTTGATAAGGCTTTGGAGATTAATCCGACGAACCCACTTTATAAAATCAATAAAGCCTTAATAATGATAGAGATTAATAAACCTGAAGGCTTGAAACTACTTTAGAAAGCCAAGGATTCTTTTAATTCCGACATACAATTATTAAACAACTAAGTGTTTACATCTGTAAATATCTAGTACATGCAAGACTAATTCTAATTGTTGGAATAAAATGGGGAAGAATATGATTTATTAAATTAAGTTGAAAATCTTGAAAATATTGAAAACATTGAGACAAAAGATCTAGAGGGAAAGAAACTGATTATTAATACAAATGATTTGGACGCAAAAGAATATGAGAGAAGGAGTGAGAGAAAGAAAATTCAAAGATCAGAACAAAATTAAGTAGTAAGAATTCCTACTGAAGAAGTCTAAAGCGAGATTTTAAATTAATAAGAATAAAAGAAAGACCTCAATGTCAGTTTTATTCAGTAGAGTTGTTTGATCCAAGGAAGCAATAGTGATTTAATGTAAATTGAAAATACTCTAATTGGAGGATAATAGGGAAGTATAAAAAAAAGGAATACTAAGTTTAAAATTGAATAGCTAGAAAACATGTATCAATTATTGAGATAAAAGATAAATACTATTGAATAATAGATATAATTAGTTGGATTGGATAAAAGAGCTGCTATCTATAAGTAACTACAGGAATTTTAAAAAAGTGCAGAAGGATTGAATTAATTAGCTTATTATAAAGCATTTTTCTGGACTCTGTTTAATTATATTCAATCTTATGCAAATTAAAGTACTGGACTCTTTCAACATAACACTAATCAAACAATCGAGACTCCAGCAGAGAAAACTGTAGATAATTTAGAAGCAGGCTTAGCCATTGGAGTCAAGATATCAGCCTCAGTTCCATTAATAAATACTGTTTTGTCGACAGTTCATTCTGCCGTTCACACTCTTTTTCAAATCCATAAAGACAATAAACATTAAGACAGAATAGAGGCGATTAACGAGATAGTCTCAAAAAAAGTGATTGGATTAAGTGATTTAGAATTATAAATATCGAGTGCAGCGCTCGATCTCTCTATAAAAAAGTTAGATATAATAAAGGATTTAGAAACAGTAGAAAGGAAAAAATCGAAAACTTTAACTTAAGAAATGGAGAAAATTATAAGGAGAATGATGGAGTCCAAATCGTCTCTTTATTAAGGTGGGGCTAGTTAAATAGGATTGGAAGATGCTTTAAATTGTCTTGGCTACTATTATTAAAATGGATTAATTGATGAAGATCAGGAACTCTCTTAATAGATTGTATTGATAATTATAGAAAAGCGATACTTTATCAAAACTCCTATTGTAGAATCAAGAGAGTGCTTTTCTTGCAGTTGTTAAATACAATGAATAACTTATATAACTATATCAATGACTTTTTATTTGTAATTTTTATTAATTCTAATATATATTCGTTAAGTTTGCTTGAACAAATGGATTAATCAAGAAGTATGATAATTGAAATAATTTATATTTTAATTAATAAATATTTATTTTTATATGGGAGGATCGAAATCTAAGGCTATTAAAAAGCACGCTAAGGTGGCATTTTCAGATTCTGAACTCGAAATTCTAGAGGTCTATTTCGAACTATTGAAATGCCATGATTCTATGTACAAATTCGATGAAATATGATTTAATTAGAAACGGATATCTGACCCAGAAATCAATGGTCCCAGAGTTTACTGAAAACCCTGATTTCTCAATCAAACTCTTTAACTGGATGAGAGAACGCTGCAAGAATTAGTAGATAGATTACATCAATTTTGTGATCACATGTATGCAATCAATCTTAAAGTTTAGTGGAACTCCTCTTAAAAGAATAATAAGAATATTACTTAAGTGATTACAAATTTAGAGTGCTTGAGAAATTCGAATTATTTGCATTGATTAGTTTGGGTTGTTTGGAAAATGAGAAAGAAGCAATAAACAGGTACTCAAATTCATTGTATTCAGATTTCAAGTAAGTTACTCATAAGGAAGCACAGTGATTAAGGAACTATTGAATATGTATTATTTCAACAAGGAAGTTTCCAATAGCTAAAGAAATGACTTGGCTGCTAGAAGTGTGGCAAATTCTATTTTTGATTAAAAAGCATCATTGCCATTTAACTAATTTATTGGTTTAGCAAAATAACAATTAATTTATGCTAACAAAATGTGCAAATAGTATTTTACAAAGAAATTCATTGACCCTCATCTTAAATATGGTATTCCAGCATTGACATCTTCAAGTTTTATATTGAACGATCAAATTCTTGCACTATTATAAATGAGTTCACCAGACTTTAATAGAATTAAATAGCTGGATCTAAAGTTCTCATCCTCAGTAGGCTATGATGATTTAGAGCATATTACAGAGATTATAATAGAGTCCCAATAACCTTTGCTTTTTATTTTTAGAAATAGAGAAGATGAAACATAAAATGATACGTTTTAATAATCGATCTTTGGCGCTTATATTAGCATTGATTAGACAATAGAAACTCATTTTATTAGAAAGCAATAGAAAGATCCTATGGGTATTTATTATCTAGAAATTAGGAATACTCTATAATCCAAACGATTAGGTCTCTCTGTATTTTGGAGATGAGAAAAGCTTCCTCTTTTCTTTATTGCCTAAATATCAATTATTCATGAGTACTTTTGATATTAAATCAAAATAATGCTTTGGGTATATAAATAGCAGAGCTTTCAATTTGAAAGTGCCTCAACCATATGGTCTAGGTTTTGGAGGGGATGGCAAAGGAAATTTTAGAATCTGGATTGATGAAAACCTTAAAGGAAATGCAACAAATCGTATAAACAATTAATGCGATTAAACTTATGAAATGGGTTATTTGTTGGAGCCACACATAGAATTTTTAAATGTAAATATTCATGTTTAGCTAGTTAACCTCGATTGAGATATGGGGTGCAGTCTTTGAAGAAAAGGAAACTAGACCTTCTAACCAAAATAAATTCAGAAGTTGATTTACAAATTGATCTATAAAATTATAAAAGTTATAAATATATCTATGAAATTGTATAATAAATTTAAATTGATTATTGAATAATTAACATTCATATACTTTTAAAATTATAAAATATAAAGTGTCAAAATTGAAAAATTTGTCGCAACTTTTATCTTAAACTCAAGATATTTTGAAAGCATATAAGGGGGTATTTTCTATCCTAAAACTATGTTTTAATAATTCTATTTATGTATAATTAATTAATATAATTTACAATAATGCTAAATATTTAGTTAAGATAATTTAATTGGATTAATTTTATACTATTTCTAACTTAGTTTAGTTCTTTTCAAATAAATACTATTATGTTAAACAACTCAATCATTGTACACATCTATTGATAATAAAGGCTTAAATTACTCCAAATATAATCAATCAATTTTATCAACTCATTTACTAAATTAAATAATAATACTCCTTAATTATTTAAACACAAAATCTAACATACTTTTCATTTTTATAATCTTATCAATATCAATTAGGTAACATATTCTTAAAATTTTTAAAATATCTCAAAATAATTATCTCAAATGTGATTTTTAAAGTATTTACCAGAATATTTTATAATAAAAGTACTTGTTGTAATACTGAAAGAAAATCTGTTATAATACTATTTATTGAATTCTAAACTATTAATATTCAATTTTACTTTTAATTAATATTATCTCTAATAGTTTACACAATAATGAAAGTTAATTTTGAATTGAATCCTAATAATTGTGTGACTTTTTATGAGAGACAATAATAAAAAAATTTAACAGATTATTGTATTTCAGAGGATCAAGCAAACATCTTTGCTATTTATTATCCTAGGATTATTATAGGATGGAGAACGAAAGATCTTGTTAAATTTTACAATAAGATATCTGTATTGAATGAATTATCTATTATCAGCACAAAAAATAATTATATTTGCGTAGCTAGTTATAAGTCATCTACTGTGGTTGTCATGAATACATAACAAGAAAAAGAAGTGATTAGTTTAAGGCATAAAAACTCCAAAATAAAATACATCACCTTTAGTCAGGATTCTTAATATTTATTTACCATAAATTCAGAGAGAACTTTAGCAATTTGGGATTTCAAAAGTGAAGAGCTATTAACTTCAATAAACTTAGAATAAGATTTTAGATATTTTTTAATCAATCAACTTTCTCTGGAAACTATTATTAGATTGTTTACTAGAGGATAGAGAATTAGTAAAAGGCTGAATTAAGATTAGAAAAAGGATTAATAAAAACAAAGTTCATAGATTTGTATATGTGATCATTTATTTATGGAAATTGAAAAAAATGCATCGATTAATTTAATTTCTTAACATACATAGAAGATAATTAGGAAAAAGAGAGATCTGATGGGACTTTCTAGTGTAAATTTTATAAACAATAATAAATTATTCTATATTATATTTGAAAATGGTAATATACTTGTATTTCAAACATCCACCATGAGGATAATGGGTACGGTAACAAATATTTATAATTATTCTGATATAATAGTAAATGGGTTTAAAAATAAAATAGCAATTTTAGGAAATAGTTTATTTGGATTAAAACTGTGGATAATACAATGAGAAATACATTTTATTTCTGATTATTAGTTTTAATGAGTATATTAAATGCTGAATATATTTTAAATGAATTTTTCTTGAAAATATAGATCTGAGATCTAGAAATAGGGGATGGTTATTTTAACTGTGAGAAATTACGATTTGATAATCTAGAAAAAATCTCAAGTCAACAAATGCAATAATACACTTATTTTATTTTTAATATTATCATTTAATGAATAGAACTCAAAGTTGCCGAATGATGCAAAGTAATAAATTATTAGAACTATTGAAAAAAAAGAAGAAAGCTGAATCACAAAATCCAAGTCTGAGTCCGAGATAGTAATTGTCTCCTCCAAGATTGGTAAAACTTAAATCTCCAAAATAATTGGATGTTTAGAAATGTAAATAACTACCGTCTAATCATAATTTAGTTGTAACAGCGGCTGTGAAACTAAAAGGAGTGTCTCATATGAGAACCTTAAATAGTGATAGAGACAATTATGAACTCATAATTACACTGATAACATAAGAGAAATAGTAGATATTGATGTAATATAGGTATATCGTTCCTATTGGGCTTGACCAAACCACATCAGACCTATATTAGAAATTGATAACGAAGATGTGTGCACACGATCCTTAAAATTATTAAAATATAGCTTATTTTGAAAGCTACACCTAAAATTACAATGTGGATTACTATTTGTCCTTGGATGATAAACCGCTGTCGGTTTTCAGCAATGGGAGGACTCTGAAATTGGTTCCAATCTATTACAATGAAACCCAGAAAAATTCTTTTGATGATTATATTTTGATTAAATGTATTGGTGTGGGGTAAAGAGTTAAAATTTTTTAGAGGCTTTTCGAGAGTGTATTTGGCAAAGAAGAAAAGGAATGGACAGTTCTTTGCGATGAAAATAATAGACAAATAATTTATTACAAAGAACAACAAGGAGAGCATGATAAACAATGAGAGATTGATAATGAGTGGTCTGGATAGTCAATTTCTGACAAGATTACATAGTTCATTTGAAACTAAATACTATTTGGTATTTGTGATGGAGTATATCAATAAATTTGATGTTTTAGTTATTGTCATGGAGGTGAACTATTCTTTCATCTTAGGAAGATGGGAACATTGAATGAGGAGGTTGCAAAGCAATACTTTGGGTAATTGTGTCTGGCAATTCATTATCTCCACGAATAAAATGTTATCTATAGAGATTTGAAGCCAGAAAATATTTTATTAGACATTGATGGTTATATTAAATTGTCTGACTTTGGTCTTTCAAAACCCAATATGTCCAGAGACAAAGTAACCTATTCCTTTTGTGGATCTCCTGAATATATGTCTCCTGAGATGGTTACCAAAAAAGGGCATAATCATATGTTGGACTGTTATAGTTTGGGGGCAGTTTTGTACGAATTCATCTATGGGTATCCCCCATATTACGATTAGCAATTGCAAAACATTTTGAACTCAATTCAATATGATAAATTGGAGTTTCCTGAACATATAAGAATCAGCGATCAACTCAAGAACCTATTGATTAATTTATTGGCCAAGGACTAGAATGAAAGATTAGGAAGAAAGAATGGAGTGGAGGATATTTTGAATCATCATTGGCTTTACAATTTTAATTACACAGCCCTGTACAAAAAATAATTACACATTCATTATAAGCCTTAACCTCTTTAAACGAATTATAATGTGGCTGAATTCAGTAAAGGTGATAGAGAATTTCAGTAAAAACTGCAAGATAATTTGCATAGGGAGAGACAAACAAAGTTTGAAACAATTTTCCCCAATTTCGACTATATTTCAGATTAACCTAAAAGCAAAAGGGAATAGTTTGTAGAGAAGATTAAGTATGCTAGTTTAAGATCTTCTCTACAAACAAATATTATAAAAAATAAGATAAAAACTCTTTCTTTGAATGGTATAAATTTGATTAACTGTAAAATTTAGCACCGCAATTAAGTGCAATATGTCCCAGATTTTAGTCAGTAAAGAATTCATAGGTAGCATAATCTTCTTCCACTTAATCTTTCCGCAATTCTTCATCCAGTAAGAGATTCAACACTGAATATGACCTTCAGAAATTACTTAAATTTAAATAATGAAAATAAATTATCTGTTTATATATTATATGGTATCTAATCAATAGGATTACATATTTTCTGAAAACAATGATTCTGAATAATATAAATAATTATAAATGTAGTAAGTAGAAGAGAAGTGGTTGATATGTGCCGATCCTGATAGTTGCTAGATCTATACTTTAAACATAAACACCAATGAGGTGAGGGTGGAGCAGGATGTAGATTAAGATTATCGGCAGAAAGCACTATAAGCTATTCAGCAAATCGAATCTATGCTCAAATTAAAGACAGGTATGATTTCTAAATTCTAGTTTTTTCAGGTACTTGGTTGATGGCCTCCAAGTAGATCGATTAATACAGAAGAAGAAAGATACCGTCTTACTTGTTGCATAAGTAATCCTCATCCATTCCAACATATTTATGTTAATCAACCCTCAGTCAGGCATTTGTTAAAGTTAACTCCATAAAACTCTAAGTTAAATTGAATCAATACAGAGAATTATTCTAAAATATGCCAGCTGAAGTCTAATTGATGGAGAAACCTAATATTGTCGAAATCGAAGCAGGATTGGTCACTGGAGCTGATGAAGTCATTAAGAGTGTCCTGAGAGAAGTGTATTAGAGATTCAGTGTTAAGTTGAGACCAAAGGATGATAAAAACCAGTTTATATTACAGATCTCTGGTTTTAAAGAGTTTTTAACAGGCAATCATCCGATGTTATCCTATGATCGTGTGAGAGTCCAATTAAGAGGTATGAAACATTTAGAAGTGATTTTGACTGAAATTCCAAAGTAGTCCAATCAAACATTTTTGTTCCCTCCAATCATTCATAGAATTAAAGGAGGAGAACCATTTCCCTAGATTGACTGGAGTAAATTTCGAGATGTCCCTGCTTTGTTATGGTATTCCCCTCAACCATTGGCTAAATATGAATCAGAAATTGCTGTTACACGATTGTCTGTAGGACCTTCGCCATAAATTAAATTTGACAAGATCAAAGTATCCAATAGTCAAGATCTATTCACCAATCACGATGACAGAATTAAAAGGATATCGATTGATGAAAATCCAATCCGTCCTCCATCGTAAGAAAATTATGGGTAAAAGCAAAAAACTAGTGGATAAATCTACGATTTGATTTCAATGAGAAATGAATTGCAGAAATTAAACATGTTGAAAATTGAATAAAATGTTCTTTATTCAGGAGAGTGTGATTGGCCTTTTAGTGTTAAGATTTGTTCTATTGAAAACCTGTTGTAAACATTGGAATAAGATAACAAATTCGAAAAACAACATCAAAGAGCCACTTACAATGGATTGATACCTCCTCTTTATATAACAAAAAAGAATGCTGGAACCAAGGTTGAAGAGGAACAACATAAACAAAGTAAAAAAACAAATGACGAAACTGATATTAATACTAAAAGACAATAAGTCCATCTCAAATTACATAAGAGAACTGGACGGGTCTTGGACCCCAAAAATATTGATATCAAAAGATACATTCCTTTCGGAGGTTAAGATAATCTTGATGAATTGGCTACCTTATAAGAGAGATACGATTTAGACTTTTTACCTTATCTCATCTCAGTATAAGTAAGTTTATTTCATGGATGCAAATTGCTTACTCCTTGGTGTTAAGCCGAAACCAAGAAATAACCCTTCAGTTAATGTCCCAAATTTTATTAGACCATTACATTTTAAGGCATCAAAATATCTTAATTACCTTAGGAAGCTAGATTGTGCTTCAATATTATTGCTCATAGTGCTACTGGATAATAGTAAATTATTGGATGTACCACTATGTACATTTTCTATGAAGAAAGAAAGTTCAGATCATCCATCAATCAATTAAACATCTGGCCATTCTATAAAATTGACCCTAGATTACTCTGTATGGGTCAATATTGGGGATGGGTTAAATAACAGAATCAATAATTGATTGGCCCTCAGCATAATAATAGGAATCAATATTATATTTCTTCTCAACTTATCAATAAATCTTATGGCAGATTGTTAATTCAATTGGATTAGTTCAATCAGACCATGAAGTGGAGTCTTAGAGACGAAAAACAGATGGAAGAACTAGGTTTTTCCAAATCTGCTAGATCCTAAAGATACTATGAAATGAGAAACAAGTTTATTCCTAACTCCGATTATTCAAATTATCAACAATCTCAATCGTCAGCCTTAACACAGGATCAGTTTAATTCTGCATACTAAAATACAAATAAAAATTCTGCATATTAACAAATCAATTCCAATTCCCAATCAAACAGTTTTAGTAACTCCTAATTATTCTTAAAAAAACAAAGAACTGGAATGGCATCTTTTTATAATGTACATCAAAGATAACATACCAATCCTTATGAATAATATATGTAAGTCGGATACTCTTCATAAGATTAAGGCACGATTCTTCGTTTTGGAGAAATGCAGGATAGATAGACACATTTTGCATAGTCCATGATGCACATGAATCAGGGGAGCAGTTTTAATGTTCATGATTAATCTAGTACCTAATTAAGCACCTTTAAATTAAGTCATTAATTTTCATAATAAAGTATATAGCAGAATCAGAGTTACCAAGAGAATTACAATTAGGTATTTCCTTACAAAAATTGGTCAACAACTCCAAGGACTGAAGATCTTGCCATCCTTTAGGCCTTATTGAAATACAACCCATTAAATAGACCTTATTATACCGATTAGCATAAATACATTTTGATGATCTGTAGGAATCATTACAAGACTCTGCCTTACGCATTATAAATCTTTTTAATGGCCATTGAGTGGGATGATCCTGAACAAGTCAGAGAAGCCCATAACATGATTAAATTATGGACACCCTTGCCTCCTGAAGATGCTTTGCCTTTATTGGATGCACAATTTGCAGATGAAACCGTAAGACTTTATGCAGTAGAGAGAGTGAGTATTCTATCTGATGATGAATTACAATTGTACATGTTAGAATTGACCTAATGTTTGATGTTCGAAAAACACCTATTCAATCCTTTGGCTGAAATGCTCTTAGAGAGGAGTCTGCAAAATCCATGGGTTGTGGGACATGAGTTGTTCTGGTTGCTTAAAGCTTAATTGCATGTACGACCTTCTTATGAAAGATATTCCTTATTGTTGGAATAACTATTAATGCTTTGTGGAGAATTCAGGTAGCAATTAATGAATGAAGTTCTTGTGGATAATGAGTTGTTTAATATTGCCTAAAAGATCAAGGAAGAGAATGTTCCGAAGGATCTACGTTAGCATTTCTTGTAGACAGAATTATTGCAACTTTATCCCAAATTGCCCAAACCATTCTCTTTTGCTTTAGATTCAAGAATGGAAGCTTAATCAATCTAATATGATAAGTGTAAGGTCATGGATTCAAAGAAAATGCCTTTGTGGCTAGCAGTTATACCAAAATGTCTTGAAAATGATGATGAATTATAACTATAACAACCAATCAACATCAAATAGCAAGAGGAGAACCTTAATGGAAATATCTCAGTCATCATTCCACAAGATGAAAATCTACATAATAATGCTAAATAGTAATAGGATTAAAAGGAATAAAAAGAATAAGTTGAAGAGGAAGAGCAAAATAAATAGCATCTACTCAAAATCATTTTCAAGACTGGTGATGATATTAGATAGGACATGTTAACATTATAATTAATTAAGATTATGGATAAGATCTGGTTGGATGATGGTCTAGATTTTAGAATGAAACCGTATAAAACTATATCTACTTAAGACAACGTGGGAATGATTGAAGTTGTTACTAATTCTCTGACTATTGAAAAAATTCATGGCTAAGGAGGTCTCATGGGAGCATTTTAACAAAAAACAATCTGGAATCATTTGAAAAAAAAAAACAGTGAACCTTAATCTTTTGAAACTGCTACTGATAATTTTCTTAGATCTTGTGCAGGGTATTGTGTTGCAACCTATGTTCTTGGAATAGGAGATAGGCATTCAGGAAATATAATGATTACTGACACTGGTCATCTTTTTCATATTGATTTCGGTCATTTCTTAGGAAATTTCAAATAGAAGTTTGGAATTAAAAGAGAAAGAACTAAGTTTGTGTTAACTGAAGAGGTATTATTATTTATGCTAAATTTTAGATGGCATTTGTTATGGGAGGTAGAGATGGAGATCTCTTTAAAAAGTTTTAGTAGGATTGTACTAATGCTTATAATTTGGTCAGAAAACATGGCCATTTTCTTATTAATATATTCCTAATGAACTTATCTGCTGGCATGCCTGAATTACAATAGGCTTCCAATGTAAAATATATAGAAGATCAATTGGCTCTTAATATATCTGATTAAGAAGCAACAGCCAAATTTAAATAAGAGATTATCATATCTCTTAACGACACTTGGAGATAAATCGATAATTGGTTCCATTATATGAGAAGAAAATGATGGTTTGATAGAATAATATACTCATTATAATTTGGTAATGATGTGCTAGATATTTTAATCTTCTGATTAGAATGTCTAAATCTATTCTTGGAGTTCATTCAACTCTAATGTTTTGTATGACAATAGGATTTATCTAAAAATGGCTACTCTTTTGTAATTCTATTTAGTATAATTCTCCAGAGTATGTTAAGTTAACTTCACAATTGCTTGTTTTACTTTATCTTTGGAGATTACCTTTTTCTTTATCTATTCATTTTGAATCAGAGTGAATAATAGATGACTAAACTAATTGATATGAGTGTGTGATATACATTATATTTGCTTCTTTCGTAGTTTTCATTAATTTCACTCAACTAACATAATTTCAGTATGACTGGGACGAGTGCAAATTAATAATTGAATATGAGTTTTCTGATATTTTGCATTTAAATGTTGCTGTTCTTCCTCATCAACACTAGGCCCTTGACTATTATGTCTGCAACTGCCTTCTTATCGTATTATGAAATCTATTTAAGAATGAGATCAAGCAATTCAAAGAATCTCTTATTAATAGATTTGTCTTAGCATTTATGCATGTAGGTAATCAATGTTTCGCAGCATTATTTCATATTATCAATATGTTCTCCCAAATCTCCTTTTTGTATGATTTAGTGGATCAATTTGCAGACTCTATTGATATACTAAATTTTTTAAGGATTCTTGAAATCACTAATCATTTTAATGAATGGATAAATTCTCTCAATAAAAATGGATGGGTTCTTGGTGTTTGAAACAAAAATCTCAACCAATTCAAGAACTCTTGATTTGAATTCTACAACTTTCTTCTCTTTTTCTTTCTAAATGTAAATCTAATAATTTATACAATTGTGGCAATAGAATTAGTGTTTGCTTTGGATAAAGTCTTAATTAAATCATCATTGAGATCCTCTTATAATAATTCGATTTCTTATTCTTAGAAATCTGGTTGAGGAGGAATGACGGTGATTTTGGATTTTTTTTATTATTTAACCATAATTAATATATTATTTTGTATCAAACTTAGAAGGTTTTTAGATCGTCTGCTACTGTTAATTCGAATCCTGTATTGGCTCTAACCCATTCAAGAGTAGTATCACTTGAGATTTCTGTCAAGACCAATTAGCCATCTCTCTTAACAAATACAGCCTTGTCTATGATAATAAGTATATTAAATACCTGTAATGACTTGACTAACTTTGTTCATTCCTGTTGCTGGATATTATAATTGATTAACGAATTTCACTTCTCCTTTGGCAGTGTGTTCCATGACTACCAACACCTTAGATCCAGAAGCAACTAAATCCATAGCTCCTCCCATTCCTTTCACCATCTTTCCTGGAATGACCCAATTAGCAATATCTCCTTGTTTTGTGATTTACATGGCTCCCAATACTGTCATATCTAAATGTCCTCCTCTGATGATGCCAAAGGACTCACTGCTTTCAAAAGTAGTGGCACCAGGATTCAATGTGCATGACTCTTTTCCTGCATTTTAAAGATCACCTAATTCTTGGCCTAATTTAGGATATGGACCAACTCCAATTGCACCAATTTCTGTATGGAAATGGATTGTCATGCTTTTATCAAGAAATGCTGGTATGAGAGTTGGGATTCCGATACCCAAATTCACATACATGCCATCCTTGAACTCTTAGGCTGCTCTCTTTGCAATTCTATTTCTTATTGCATTCTATTTTCCTTATGGCTTGATATCTAAGAATAGTATTGTGAGTGTAATACCTTTATGCTTATCATAGACGCTTTAATCATAAACTAATCTCTCGACAGTCTTAAGATAGTTATTGCCTTAATAGAGATAGTCAACGTATATTCCATTGACGTGTGCTTGATCAAATCCAAAGCTTCCAACTGGTACAATGGAATCGACTTCTGCAATAACAACTTTAGCTGCTTTGACCATGTCTTGGTTGAAATTTCTGGCTGTTCCCACAAATCTAAGATTGCCATTGGTATCAGCAACATTGGCCTTGATCAAAGCATAGTCTCCCCAAATAGAATCTTCTCTAATGTACTTCTTGCCATTGAAATATTCAACCTAAAAGAGTCAAATAAGAAGATATTACAGGTTTTGGTTTAGATTCAATTTCAACTGAGTCTCCACCCTTGCTATATTTGATGGGAATTCCGCCTTTTTCAACAACTGTATCTGTTCCGGTGTGTGTGTAAAACGCAGGAATACCAGCACCAGCAGCTCTCAATTTTTCAGCCAAAGTGCCTTGAGGGACTAATTCTAACTCCAAAGTTCCATCAAAGTACTATCTAGAGTTGATTGTATTATTGTATTACTTGGCCAAATTGTGATTTTCTCCTGCATATGAAGCTATCACTCTCTTTAATTATCCATTATTTAGCAGTAACCCTAATCCTAGATCTGTAGTGCCACAATTATTGCTGACTACAGTGAGATTCTTTGTGCCTGCCTCCTTTAAGGCATTGATGCTGCACTCTGGAATACCGCATAACCCAAAACCACCAACAAGCACTGTTGATCCAGCTGGGATTTATTTGACAACTGACAAGTCCTTAATGATGCGGACATAGTATCTACCGATGTGAGTTAGAGAGGGTAATGGTTTCACGTACATGAAATTTGAATCTTATTTATATAAATTAATATCAAGATATTTATTTGAGGATATGAATATTGATTTTAATACGTAATATATTTCAGCCTCAATATCTTATTTATAATTTATATTATAATAATTATTATAAAATTTATAATAATTAATTTAACTGTTTATATTCATCAATTCATCTAATATTTCCTCATTTGTTTTCTTCCTCATCATCACTACCCTTTGAAGATTCAGCATCCACTTCCTCAATATCATCAAAGGCATCATTAATTTTGACTCCCAAATAATACTCCAACGAATAAGGAATGATTTCATCTATAATCATACGAGCAATATCATAATCGATATCCATACGTTCTGCATATTTATCCAATTTATTCTCTTACACCCATTTCTCAATTTGTTCTTTGTCTTCTAAATTTATTGGTTTAAAGAAGATGAAAAAGCTTTCTGCATCCACTTCCTGGGAGATCGTCTTCACTATACCGCTCTTCTTCTCCAATTGTTTTTTCTTTATCAACTTTCGAGTCACATTCTTACCATCATTCCACTCTATGATCGTACCTTCACTTTTCACTGGGTTTTCACCATCTTCAAAATTAATCAATAATTTACACCTTTCAATATAAACTTTTTCTTCAGCACTGAGTTTTTGAAGTAATCATTTGGAGCAAAATAAAAATTCAATGAAAAATTGTCACTCTTCTCTTGAGGTTCATATTCGATCTTTGTAAGTGATTTTAAAATAGGATCATCTCTGTCCTTAATTTCTTGCGCTATGATATCTGAATTCTTCAGTGCCTTAAACCAATAACCATTGATTGGCTCAGCTGTCAAAGCCTGATTCTTCTATGTGGCTTCCTCTCCTTCCAGATAAAAATCAACATCCTTCAATTCCTCTTCTGTAAGCAAACGCGTCCCTTCAATAATTTCATTTGACTATCTGTTATTTCATCATATCTACTGCTTTATATATTTTTGCTGCCTTCTCATCAAATTGAATTTAAAGTTTTTTCATTTCCTTCTCCAATTCTATATCCAACTTCTTTTTCTATTGCAAGTAATAATTCAAAGCCACTGCTTTCAACTTCTCCTTCAATGGCAAGGCTTTGATCTTCTTTTTGATTTCCTCAGGATTCTCAGCCACTTCGATGATGGCAGGATTTTATGCCATTATTTATTTTATAATATCAATTATACATCACATTTTCTAGAAATCTCTTCGCTCCACTAGATTGCTCCACTACAAATTATCAAAGACTTCTACTTAATTAATGCATTTTCATAAAAGCCAAATTGATATCCCCAGGTTTATACTTTTACATAAGATGCAGTTTTATTTGGTCACCACTATTCCATTATGGCTGAGATCCTTTTTTTGAATCTGTATTATTTTTTTTATCAGTGTATCCTAGATTTTCAAGCATGACCTATGGGTGCTTCTTCTGTTCATGTGAATATTGCTGTTAGTCCTATTTTTCCATCAAAATCTCTAAACTCAAATCCTCCTCTTCTTAAAATTAAAATTCTTCATTCTAATATCTAGAATTGCCATCTTTTTTCGACTCCTAAATCTGTTTTTAATTCATCTATTCATATTAAGCGCTGATTAAACTATTCTGTATTGCTTCCTCATAATCTTATTTCTATTTCAACGCAACTTTATTCACATTCTTTTTTTGTCTTCCTGCTGGGTCTCTATTAGATGATAAAGCGTCCGTGAAATTTTTGAATGTACCAGTATCATTATCAAGTTAAGAAGGTTTTAGGATGAAATTATCCAAAGTGCTTTATTTCGTTTTGGTGCTTTCTTCTCCATATAATTGGATATTATAGAAAGATATATCATCCTATTCTATCTTAATTTGAAGACAAGTGTAGTGCTACAAATTCAAATCATTGTTACTTAATTTGTGTTAATAGAGCTATTATAAATGACTTTTTTATTCTCGTTAGTAAAGTAGTGAAATTCTACAGGCTATTAATTTGTTTTGGATGATTAGTTCTAGAGATTGGTTAGAGTTGCTACAATATTTCTAGGTTTCTGATTTAATTCTAATCAAAAATGTAATTATGAAAGTTACTAATAACAACTTGACAGATTTTTGCAGAATTAAATTTGATGAGTAATGACTTCCTCTAGAAAGGAGTCTCATTATTTTCCCTCAGAAGAGGTCTCAATTAAGGATCCAAAACTTAACACGAAATGAGATTAGCTTAATTCATTAAAAAATTAAATTAATAAGTCTAAAGTCTCTTTGAACATCTAACTCTGAGAAAATCATATCATCAAGTGATACAGAGTCTTTTAACATTTTTGATACTTAATTGATCGTAAAACTGTTTTGAATAGAGAATGTCCTCAGCAAGCAGAGCAAGTTTTATATCTACATAGGAGTCCTTACTTAAAATAGTATATCTAGAAAATAATGAAATGTAAATTATAATATGATAATTTTTTGGTTATAAAATTATTTAAAACTTGTTATTATTAATTGGCGCTTTCAATATAATTTCGCGGATAATAATTAAATTATGTAAGAAACACGCGAACAATAGGTTTAAAATCGGTTTCTCCACTTTTTACAAGAATTCAGAACAATCAACCCCTCTACAGGATAAAGTTTCTATTACTACCACGAGGAAGCTCGAATAATGAGAGACAACGATCGTACCACATTAAATTTGGACTTTACTCATGTTACTCAGACTGAAGGATATTAAGATCTCTCAATCATTATGCAAACAGACTTTTATCAATTTGAGCCCAGTTTCAGAAGAGCCATCCAAGAATTTATGTTTATTTAGCATTAAGATGTTGAAGATTAATGTAAGTATTGATAACAATAAATTTAGAAAAGCTTTACTTTTTGGCAGTTTTTAACTTGGCAGCTACAGAAAAGATAAGAGACTTAAAGGCTAACAAAATTGGCAAATTATCTTCATTTATTGGAACAGTGACTCGTACTTACGAAGTACGACCTGAGTTGCTGTCTGCACAATTTACATGTTAGATGTGCGATAGAATTATTGATAATGTAGAATAACAATTTAAATTTACAGAACCAAAGAAGGTAATTAATAATTTGATTTTAGTGTCCAAATACAAAATGTGATAATAAATCAAGATGGACTATAAATCTGAATAAATCATAGTTTACTGATTTTCAGAAAGTTAGAGTGTAGGAAGACTCAAAAGATATTCCAGCTGGATCTATGCCAAGATCAATAGATGTGATATTACACAATGAAAAATGCGATGCTGCTAAACCAGGAGACAAATGCACATTTAATGGATATTTGACTGTTATTCCTGACGTGTTTAGTTTAGGTAAACCAGGTTTGAAGTGTTCGATGACTACTTAAAATCAAGGAAATAATTAGAGAGGCTAAACATAAGATGGAATTACAGGACTAAAATAATTGGGTGTGAAAGACCTATGTTATAAGTTTGTGTTTATAGCTTGTAGTGTTGAAACCAACAATAATAGATTCAATCTATAAAAACAGTAAATAGATGACAAAGAATATACAGAGAGTTTGAGTGATTAGGATGCCAAAAGAGGATAACAATTTGATGATTATGAAAAATAAGAAATTTTAGAGATGAAAAAATAACCAGATCTCTTTAAGAATCTAGCCAATTCAATAGCTCCAGCTGTTTAAGGATATGAGGATATCAAAAAAGGAATTCTCTTAATGTTGATGGGAGGTGTAAATAAGACTACCAAGGAAGGAGTTCATATCAGAGGAGACATTAATGTATGTATAGTTGGTGATCCCTCAACAGCTAAGTCTCAATTTCTGAAATTTACTTGTAATCTCTTGCCCAGGTCAGTTTATACTTCTGGAAAAGCCTCAAGTGCTGCAGGTTTGACTGCCTCAGTGCATAGAGACATTGAGAATGGAGAATTTTGTATTGAAGCAGGAGCTTTGATGTTGGCAGATAATGGAATTTGCTGTATTGATGAGTTTGATAAAATGGATTCTAAGGATTAAGTGGCAATTCATGAGGCAATGGAATAATAAACTATCTCAATAGCAAAAGCAGGTATTTAAGCAACTTTGAATGCCAGAACATCTATCTTGGCTGCAGCTAATCCAATATTTGGAAGATATGACAGATCTAAAACTTTAAAATTCAATGTCAATATGACATAGCCAATCATGTCTAGATTTGATTTGTTCTTCATTATCACTGATGCTTGCAGACCATTCGTGGATGAACAAATTGCTACACATATTGTTAGATTACATAGTCAATAAGAAGGTGCCATTGAACCAAGATTTAGTTAGGATTAACTAAGAAAATATATAAGATATGCAAGAACATTCAAGCCAATTCTGACTTATGAAAGTGCATAGTATTTGAAGGAAGCTTATATCAGATTGAGAGAGAATGATCAAACAAGTCAGAGAACAAGTTATCGTATTACAGTAAGATAGTTGGAGTCTTTGATTCGGTTATCAGAAGCTTTGGCAAGAGTACAATGTGACGATTTCATTAAAGTTTCTTATGTTTAAGAGGCAGAGAAATTGTTGGGGCAATCCATTCTTTAAGTGGATGAAACACCCAAGTTTATTGATGATTTAGAGGAACAATAACCCATTTAGACTAGAGCTATGGGTATTATAGAGGAGGAATTGCAATAGAAGGAAAGAGAGAGAAGAAGGTAAGGATAGAAAATCCAATTGGCTCAGGATGAGTATTTAGATATTGTGAGGGCGTTAACTTCATTCATGATTCAGAAGGAGAGAGAAATGTAAGAGGAGATTACTGAAGCTAAAGGTGTGAAATGGGAGGATTTAGCTGAATGGTACATTACTAATAAATTGGATCAAATTGAACACGAAGAAGAAGTCCATTAATATGAGAGATTGGTTGGCGCTGTTATCAGATAAATGATTAATAAGGAGAAGATCTTAGTAGTCGTTCAAGATCATGAGGATTGCAATCTTCGTGAATTGGCACTACATCCAAATGTACCTAGATGATTTTGATTATTAACTTTGTAAAATATTTAAAAATTATTTATATCTTGAAATGGCTGAAAGTACCACTCAAAATGTTAATTGGGCAGAAATCTCAGATGATGAAGAAATCATTCAACCATAAGCTTAAGAAACATAACTTTAAGAAAATTAAGCTTAAGAAGTCAAATAAGAATAACCATAAGAATAAAATAATGAACAAAAGAAATAGTCAAAAAAGCCATATCAAAAGCATCATAAGCCAGAATGGGTTAGACTTAAGGAGTTGTAAAAGAAATAGGCTGAACAAATTTAAAAAGAGTAATAAGCTGCATTAGAGGCTCGAAGAATCAAACCAAGTGTATTCAAAATTTATAGATCTATAGAAAAACAATTTCCAAGGACTTTTGAACGACAGTGACGAAGAAGAATAAAAACCTGAAGAATAAGTCTAATCTGAATAATAGACAAAAGAATAAGAATAACCTAAAGAAGAGTAGGTCGATTAATACCAATGTATGTGTATTTAATAATACATTAGTATTGAAACAAAAATAAACTCAAGAAGAAAAATAATAATAATAGAAGAAGAAAGATTAAAAGAAAAAAGAAAACGAGGACTTAGATGCTATTTTGAATGAATTAGGGTTTACTCAAAAAGAAACTGAATAAGCTGGAGATTAAGAAAAAAAAAAGAAGAAAAAGAATAAAAATAAGGATGCTGAAAAATAACCAGCCTAAACTTCTACAGAAAAATAACCTGAATAATAATAGTAGTAATAATAATAATAATAATAATAATAATAACAATAACCTGAAAAAGTTGATATCAAAAAAGTCTTAGCAGAAAAAGCAAAAAAATAATAAGCTGGTACACATCAAGTTGATAAAGTAATTTTATAAACTATTCTAGGACTTAGAAAGAGTGAAACAAGAAATTGAGAAGAGAAACTAAAAGTCTAAGAAAAATAAGAAATAAGACTTAGATCTTTGATTAAGTAAATTGATAAATAAATACATTAAATAATAGTATATATAATTTTATATTGATAATTAACGAATATCTATGAACTTAGAAAAGCATGCAAAAGCACTTCTTGAGTATCCATAAAGCTCTGATGATGATGATTATCCCAATTATAAAATGAAAGCTTTAAAATATAGAAAAGATTTTCATGAATCAAACGACTAAATTTAAAAACTTAAGCTTGAAAATTAAGATAATGTAATGATTATTTATGAAAAATAAGAAATAAATGATATCCGAGCTATTAGGGGATTTAGAAAATCACAGAAAAAAAATAATGAAATTAGAATAAGAATTATTGAATTAAAAATAATTAACGTAGGATTCATGTGAATAATTACGAAAAGTCAAATAGTAGAAATAAGAAGATAGGTTGTTAATGGAATAAAAATAATTTTAGGAAAAACTAACTGTTCAAACCAATAATGCAATTGAAAAATTAAGATAGCATTTTGATTAAACCCTATCATAATTTACCCCAAAACTTGATAATAGATGATGATATTCATAAATTATTATTATCTTATGATATCATGATAATGCAAAATGATGTTTTCTTAGATTGTTGGCTTACTACTAATTTAATGTATTAGGTTTTCCTATTAATGGTCTATGTATGTCATGTGTTTATGAAATTAAATCTCCTTTTGTCTAACCAAGGTTGAAATGATGAGATCTTAAATTGGCACTGGCATGTGGATCTAACTTATTTGGTTGTCCTGATTGTTGATTCAAAGCTTCCATTTATTTGGTTGTCATGAAGGTATTTTTACTAACATTATCATTCAAACCAAAATGAGATGATCGTAAATCTTTTAACAGTTTTTCTGATAACTAAGCTGGTTATCCTGATGGATTCTTAAAACTTAGAAATTGAATTAAATAATATTACTTGGATTGCATTTCTGATCTATATGAAATGTTATCTGTTCCAACTTTAAAATTAGATCCTCTGTCCATTTGTTAATCTCTTGCCTATGAATTTTACTATTATTCAGGAGGCTTCATGGTTGAATTATAGAAAGTTTATGTCTTATGATTCATAAATCTTGGATCCCCAATAGTGAAATGACTTCCTTGTAAAGCGGGAGTGTTGTTGATGTAGTTAACTTTATTCTCTGAATGTGGTCTGAAATGTGACATTTATTCAGATTGATATGGTTAATTATCCTTACCAAGTGTAAAATGAGTAGCTAAAAACAATTTTAAATAGTAGAACCTCTTAGATTTTATCTATTCTCTTCAGCAAATTGATTTTTAGTGATTTCCTGTTCATGAAAGAATTCTTGATTCATGGTTTTGAAATCAGCATTTGCATTGCCAAAGTTAAAATGAGTTGATTAGAATCCTGGTTTGAAGGAGGCCTAAGCTCCTCCCTCCTTCTTATTGTAGTCTTCTTGTTAGGCTGTGATCATGGGGACTTACTAATAAGATATTTTGTGGTTTAAGTTACCTCCTTGCCTAGAAATATATTGGAGACCCTTAATTGTCTTGCTCTCTCAGCTAGATCTTGTTTTGGTTCTAATTGTTGAGGTTGATATTATTAGTTATAATTAGTTTGCATCATTTTATGAGAACTTTCGGCGAAATTATGATGATGCGATCTCATTTTATTTTTTTGTACTCATATTTAGGATATATGCATTTTACTTTCTTATTCATTTTATAATCCTGGTTGGAGCGGTTTTTCATTATATGTTGCCCTTGTAATTGATACTTGCTAAGCCTATTGATGACCGAGGACAAAATGATTTGTTCTTAAGTCATTTTTTTTTTCTTCATTCAAGGTCGCAGGTTCACCTATTTGTTTGCCTTAAAAATCAGTCTTGAAAATTGTGTTATAGGAAGCTAGAATAGGAATTCAAAGTGTACGTTTTGACTCTCCCAAATGAAAATGAACTCCCCTTAGATTCAATTTGTCTCCAACTCCAGTGGCTTAATCATTTACTTGATCTCCTTTGAAATTCATTTTCATGGTTGAAGTGAACTGATTTTCTTAGAGTATAATGTATGAACTTGATACTTTGATCAGTTTGACCTAATTAGAAATGGCTGCTCCTCAACTGTTGCATAAAAAAAATATAATTATATTAATCATCATCTTAATTCTTCAAGTTCGATTTCATTAATCAGGGGAAGAGTTTAGTTTGCCATAACTTCATCACTCAAGTTGTCATACATATCCTTTTTGTATGTTTCATGCAAAAACCTAGAATAGACTTGTCAAAATTAATACACACCATGTCAATCCAAGAGCAATCAATGCCAATATACCGACAATCGTAATTGCATTAGCCTATTGATAGATCTCCTACATATATGACACATACAAAGGAGCAAATGTGCTTCCGAGTTATCCAAAAGTCATGCAGAACCCATATCCATATGATCTGACAGTAGTTACATAAGCCTCTCCTGTATATGTGTTAAGCATTGAATTATATATAGTAATGCTTGCTTTTATCAATATAGCACTGAGCAGATGGAGGACCTATTGCCAACACAAAGAACCTTAACATTCTAAGGGCACATCTATATAAGCCAGAGTGGCACTAAATATCATTGTAAGCAGACAAAATTACAACGAAATGATTCTAGGATATTTCAACTTAAAATATACTAATTTATTAGTAACTAAACTTACAGCTTGACATTCCAGTCATTAATTCAACTAAAGCCAACATTCTTAGTGTAGTAGTCATTGATATTCCAAATGTGGATACTGAAAATTGAAGACCATAATATGTGAAATATCTCAAAAACCACATTTGAACTAGAATTGAAGTTTGTACTAATAATTTCGATCTTTTCATCAATTCCCAATATCCTGCATTCTAATTAGATTGTTGAGTTAAATTAATTTAAGTTTCCACTCTCTTGACAGATGCTATTTTCACACATCGATTATTGAATTTATCTAATTCTTCCATGAAATTGAATTCAAATGGTCTTCTTTTATTAAAGATACTCATAAATCTAAATACTCTTCTGCATTCATCATATTACTATTTAGAAATAAGCCATCTTGGTGATTCGACAAAGTAAAAGTAATCCAATACTACTGTAACTAATAGAGGAACTCCGATGCTCCACATCATTAACAATCTCCATGATTGCAAAATATCAACTATAAATGGATATATAAGCATCGAAGAACTCCAAATAACAATTAATAAGGAGCTAGCGATTGATCGAAATCTTAATGCACTTATTTCAGTAATATAAACATAAACCACTGTCTCATATCCACTCAAACCAAAGCCTGCTATAAAGAATAAAGTATAAAGAGATAATAAACTATTACAAAGTGCAGCTACAAATATTGATACTGCGCCTAAACTCATCCCAAATAATAAAATTTTTCTTCTTCCAAAAATATTTGCCAATATTGGGAATGTAAATCCTCCAAACATTTAACCAACAAAAAATAATGCTGCTATAAAGGCTTTTCTACCATTACAAAATAATCCAAATTCCTTCGCAATACTATCAAATCCAATTAAACTATCTATTCTATTGTTGCAATTAGGAAATTCAATGCAAATTCCATCGGTGCAGTATTTAGAGGGATTTTACAATAAATAGGGCATACCCATAACAAAAAATGAGTAAAACAAAAACTAAATGCATAATAATAATGTGATCCTCTATTAATATTTGGAATTGTCTCCAACATACTCAAATGCTTGATCCAAAGTGACGAAAGCTCTCTTCATGTTATAAGCTTCAAAAGCAGGTTTTTTGTACTTCTTATCCTGCAGCAATTCCAACTATTGTTTAAATTAGTTCTTAATTGAGTTTATCATTGTATAACAATTTTTATTATTAGTAGTAATTTCATTAATTGAAAAGTTTCTAATAATGTTCTCACACTTTTATCTTCTATTCTCTCTCAAATCACTTACTATATAACGAATAAAATAAGACTCTTTTTTTCCATAATTTATTCCTGAATATGATTTCAATAATTTTAATACTTGCTATCCTTATTATAAGAGATTATATTTCATTAAATATTGCTGTTTTTGTTTAATTTTTTTATTTCGCCTATGGAACACTAATACTAATAAATCTCAAATTATAAGAAAGTTATTGGTATGTATGAGTAAAGAATAGAAATTTTCTTTAAAATATCAATCATATAATATTGGATGATTTATATTTTTAATCATTTGAATAGAATGAATTCATGATTTTGAAGGTGAAATAAAGTGGGACTCTTATTTTGGTGTAGGTTAATATCAACAAATTTACTTGGATTTCAATACAAATTGATATTAAAGATGTAGATTTAATTCGAAAACCAGTATATAAATAACTACTTCTATTGGTAATAAGAATAAGATCATAAAAGATATATGTTTATATTTAAAATAGAAATCATTATTATGAAGTAATTTATTTCCTAATATTCCTACGAGCATAGTTATTAGGAGATTGATGATATTTAGATTTATTATTGTCTTATCTTTCTGATTCATTAACGTTTCTGTATAAATAAGGAAGATTGCTCATTTATTTCTTTAAAACAGGTTTTGGCAAAGGGTGTTATTCAGATAATTATTTTTATAACTATTTTCTTGAGACGATTGCCTCAGCTCTTCTTTCTAGGTTTATTTCCTCTTCTTTATATTAACTACTTGGTCTTCTTCTTGTAACAACCTTAGGTTATCGATATTCAGATGGTAAAGTTGGTAATATTTCTTCATGAACAGAGGCAATTCTGTAGAATCTTTTCTCATATTCAATGCAAGAATTATTGACTGATTTTCTATTTAAGGGTATTAATTTTGAAGATTAAACACTATATCTAACTGATTCATTGTCATTTTCTTTGTTTTCATTGTAGTACTTCTTTGTTGGAAGAATATCATTGAGTGTATTAAGATTTTTGGGAAGTTAGATTGTTTTCATCATTCTTTTATTAATAGCTATAGAGGGTGTTTTGATGTACAATCTACTAAAATCAGAATTCATTAAATTACTATTTAAAATCTAATCACAACTTGGTCTAGCTGATGCATTAAGCCTCAACATTTAACCAATCAATGAAACTAATTAATTACTATACCCATTTATGGAAGGGTAGATTCCTTTCTGGATCTTCTTATACAGGCCTTCCATATCCAAAGCTTGAAATGGAGGATGCAGGTTACACATCTCATACAAAACACACCCTAAGGACCAGATATCTGATTTGTTGTCGTATGGTTCATCTCTCCAAATTTCAGGTGACGCATAGTCTCAATTTACTTAAACTAAAATTACATGGAGTGCCTGTCTAAGTGTACAATAGACCTCTTTGGGCAATTTTTGAAACGTTTAAATCTCCTAACTTATAGACCCCATTTTAGATAAAAATGTTGGCTGATTTAACATCTCTGTGAAATATCAATTTTTCATGTAATTCCTTTAAACCCTGAGTGATCTGGATCAGGGCTTACCAGATATCTTGTTCTTGAAACTTTTGGGTTTTGTTCTTTTTGTTTGTTATTTATTTTGCAACATCTCCTCCATCCGCGTATTCCATTATAATCCCCAAAGTTTAAGTTTCTTTCATATTCAGAAGAACAATACCATCTATATAAAAGGCCTCCTTGTATCCTATAATGAACTCCTGATTCAAAGAAGCCAATAGTCTAATTTCATTTAGAGCGTTCTATTTCTCTTTCTCATTAAGAGTCCCCATTTTTATTTTCTTCATAGCATAAACTTGATGGTCAACTCTCCTCATTACCTATTTACATAATGCTAAATACCTTCCAAACCTCGCTGAACGACCCTGAACCTAGCTTTTCCAACTCCTAAAATTGATGAAGCATCCGTTAAAATAATTTATAGAAATTAAGAAAAGTGGAATTTCTCTTAGGTTTCTCCAATTGTACAAAATAATCAAACCAAAAATGATAACCCCAAATCCTATGAATAGCTTTGGAACTACAGCCTTCTAAATGCAAAAATGAGAATATATATTATTCTCTTTAAATGATAACTGAATTTATTAATTACTAGAATCAACATTCATTTAACAAGAATACTTGTAGATTATCATACTATAAATAGAATATCATTGATTCGTCGTAAGTAGACTTGAATTCAATTCATAATAGATATTGATAGAAATTTATATGATTATTAATCAATAATTATATTTTGGTTGAGTATCAAAACATTTTCCACAAATTTATTTTATTATTTTTATCAAAATCCTCATTTTTTACAAATAAATGGTTGCACCTGAAAATAATTCTAATTAATCTAACTTTATTCATAAGATGTAAACAAAACATGAAAATCCAAATGGCAACTTTGACAAGACTAGCCAAGTTTAAACATCGATTAACCTGTATATTGTGCTTGGAGATTAATTATAAATTTCTATATTTATATACTTTTATATCTACGTTAAAATAAAAATGATTGTTTTCATTTTCCCTTTTTGTTTGCAGAAGATTCCTAGAATTGTATGGTTTTAATCAAAATTCTTAATTTCCCAATTTCTAGTACTCTTTTTTAATAAAAATTAGTTCTTCATTCTTTAGCTGACGTAACATTCATTAAAATAACTTATGGAAATTAAACCAAAATGGATTTTTTGTTTGCTCCTTAGCACAAATATTATAATTAATCTGGACTAAGGAATTATCCCTGCAGGTATCGTCTATTTTTTATTAAGCAATATAATAGATAGAAGAGTCTCTTGAATTAACTTCGGAATAATTAGGTTATTTAGGATCATAAGTTTATGCAGGTGTCACTTTGGTTTGCTTATTTGGAGGGAAGTTGTTCCTGCATTTCAATTCAAAAATGATAGTCATGTTTAGTTATATTGGAATGATATCCTCCTTGACCTTATTTCCATTAAATTACGGATCAAGTTGGCCATTTTACATTTTCAGATTCCTAACAGGATGTTCAAAAGTACTTAATTTGTATTAAAAAGGCACCTATGATGATTTATTTTCCTGTTTGGGTAGATAATTTTGGTGGAGAATCAAAAACAATTTGGATTACGATTCTACAAGGTGTAATTCCACTTGGCATATTTGTGGGATATTCCTTATCAAGTGTAATTTCAAGTTTGTGGTAATGGTAAGCAGCTTTCTACATCTAAGTAATCATGTTAACTGTTTGTGCAACATTTTTCATTATCTTTGTTAGGAATAAAGACTTTGATATAAAAAAATGTACTAAAAGCAAATTAGGAACTAAATCAATCAATGAAGAGCATTAATCAAGTTCGCTTCTTGCTTAAAATACAAAGAGATCTTATTGCTCAACGATGATAGAACTATATTCCATAAAATTATGGCTGTGTTGTACAATTGTAATCAGCATACTGTATTTTATTGTAACTGGTATTTAATTTTGGATGACTGATTACATGATCCACGAGATGCATTAAGACAAATAAACAGTGAATATCGTATTTGCCATAGTATCAATAACTGCTCCTGTGTTTGGGTGTATTACAGGAGGATTAATAGCCTAGTAACTGGGTGGATACTAAAGAACTAAATCCTTATACGTGTGTGTTTTATATTGTTCCCTTTGTTGTATAAGTGCAGCACCAGTACCATTTACAGAGACATTCTGGTTTGGAGCACTATGTCTATGGTTGTTGTTATTCTTTGGTGGAGCAATAGTGCCACCTTTGATGGGTATTATGCTTTCATCAGTTCCTAAACATCTGAAGGCTTTTGCAAATTCAAGTACAACGATGTTTTAGAATTTATTCGGTTTTTTACCTGCCCCATCAATTTATGGGTTTCTGATGGAAAGATATAATTCTCAAGTTGCAGTGTTTGCATTGATGTATTACTCCTTTGTGGGATTACTAGTTATGTTGTTGGCTGTTTATTTTAGGAGATAGTAGAATAACAAGAAGGTAGGATTTGAAGAGGTGTTTGCTTAATAAGATGACTCAAAATCATCTGTTTTACATGATGAAGAAAACTTTAATCTTACAGTTAGAGTACTCCAATATGGGGATGCTCCTTTAGTCACATCACTTACTCCTCATATAGATGATTAAATTCTAAATTATGACGATCAAGAATTAGTAAATTAAAAAGAAATTTGATGTTATTCAATCTCAAAGATTTATTGTAATTTCTTAATGAATTTAAAATAACAAAATCTATTTATACAGAAATGGGTCTTAAAAAATCAAATGGCTGGATTACGATGTAAGTAAGGTAAAGTATTGGGATCTCTGGGCATCTTCTCGTTTTTAATTACTGAAATAACAGGTCCAGGTAATCCAGTCTCAAGGAGAGTCTTCTTGGCTTCTCTTTCTAATATTTTCCTGATTGATGAATTGGAATGTATATTTGACAGATTCTAATACGTGCCATTCTATCTATACTTTGTATTGATTCAGAATTTCATCAGCAACATGCTTAGCAATTCTGTCTTCCAATGATGCCTTTTAATCTCCATTCGAAGTTGTCTTATCCCAATCCTACTTACCTTATTCCAACTGTTCTTACTTCTTTCTTAATTGATTAATTGAATCTAAATTACAAATTGAAATACTTTAAGTCTTCTCTGAATGCACAGATCGTGCTTCGTCATTTTTCCCTAAAGATTAACTAATTTTATCATAAATATCAGGTTCTCTTTGCTCCTACTTTTATTCAGGCAGGTTATCTGGTTTTTCTTATTGATTATCTTATTTTTTAATTTCAGTAATTCTCTATTAGAGAGCTTTAAGCATGACATTAACCTAAAAATTAGGCGAATTAAGTACTTCTAAATCATTGATGTATGAGTCATAATCTAAATTGTCAACGAAATTCAAAAGTTCATCTTCTTCATTCTTCATATGTTATTCCTCTTCCTATCATTTCATATCATAACTGTTAATTACTTCTTTAGTCATTGCCCAAACAGGTTTAGTCTTATATCTTTTCTTTTTATCACCTGCCTTACTCTCTACTTTGGAATCCTTGTCTTCTAATTTCTTTAGATTCTCTGCTGTTAATGCCACACTTAACAAATATCACAATAATTGTTATACGTTTTACTTTTTGGTACCTCTTCTGATAATTCCTTTTTAATAATCTCATTCATCTATTTGTAATCTTCCTTCATTTTTTTGGTCACTTCCCTGTCTTTCTTTGCTTATTCTCTCACTCTTAAGAATTTCTCATCTTCTCTCGCTTATAATTCTTCCTTGGCATGCTTTTTAATCTGATTCTAGAGTTTGAATTCTTCCAACCATTTCTTATGTCTCTCCAATGCAGGATTAGTTTGAGGTACAATCACTTTGGGTTCTTCATACTTTTTTGTCAATCCCCATTAGTCATAAGGCTAGACTCTCGAGCAGAATGGCCTGAATAGTCACTCATTATTATCATACTTTTCCTTCACTATCATTACATTCTCATTGGGTCTATTGCAAAGCATGACTCCTTTGAAATTATTGATGGGAACATCCATTTTGATAAATGTAATTAATATTATAAAAAAGCTATATTAGCAATATGAAACAAATCAATAACTCTAGTTAGACTGATAATTTGCCTAATTAATATTATTTACGCATTAAATTAAATAGTGATGCTCCTTTCATTTTTTGAGTGGCTTGGAGGTTTGATTGGTCTGCCAGAAGACCAAGCAAGAATGGTGTTTGGATTCATAATCACAATACCATTGGGTTTTCTATTTAAAACATTAAAGAGTATTTAAATTGAATTATGTATCATTAGGTGCTAAAGTAAGAAAATATTTTGGGTTGACTGTTGGTTTGTTATTGTCGTACATGCTATACTAGGAGAAGCTGATTAGCGTGATAATACAGAATATCATAGTGTATGAAATGACAAAGCGAATTACATTGAATAAAATTGGCATAAAGGCAAAATGGGTATTTTATGAAACCCTCATTTATGTTGCAGTGCATCACATTTACAGACAATATACAGATTATGGTGGATGGTAAATGTCTGAATAATGACTAGGAAACTAGATATAACAACTATATTAATGATGAACACAGTTAAATGGACATCATTTGCATACAATTACGAGGATGGGTTGAGAAAAGATGAAGAGTTGAATTCAGATCAACAAGAACGAAAACTATAACAAATGCCATCCTACACAGATTATTTTGGATATATGTTCTTCTTTTGTGGATGCTTAGCTGGAGTAACTTACAATATTGATTTTAGCCCTCTTTTGACTATTATGACTACGATATCTTTATTAAAAGGACTAATGTTTATGAGAAAATCCCAAGCACTTTCTGGGAGACATCCCGCTTGTTTAGAAATGCACTGATATACAGCTTCTTCATAGTTGTAGTTTATCCAAGATGGTCTTTGGAATCTTTGATGTCCACAGAATATGAAGAGGCCTCTTTGCTCTACAAGATATTGTGGTTAAATCTCACCATCACCTTGCATCGAACCAAATACGTGTCAGGATGGTTATTCTCTGAAAGTGGATTGGCTGCTGCTGGTTTTACGTATAATGGTAAGTAGGATGGAAAGGATAGATGGTTGAGAATAAGATCAATTGACCCTACAATAGACTTGACTACTAATCCAAAGGATAAGATTGAATTGTGGAATATCTCTGTTTAAGTTTGGCTTAAGAAGTATGTGTATTTGAGAGTGTATCCTGAATCAGTCTTAAAATCAAGTCCAGCTAAGTCCCAAAAGGCTTAATTGATAACATTTGCAGTCTCAGCATTTTGGCATGGATTTTATCCTGGCTATTACATTTCTTTCTTCCATTGGAATTTAATTGGAATGATCAACAAATATGTCCACAAGCTTGGATAGAATACAAACGTGTTAAAAATTTGGGATTCAAATTTATTATTTAGAGGCATAAGATTTTACCTAGTAAATTCACTATTCAATTGTTTTGGTATAGGATTTTAGTTGATGAATATCAAAGACAATTTAAGATTCTATGGATCAGTATAGTAATTATTAGCAATATTCTAGTTACATCTTTAATTTGACCACATATATTGTGTTTGCATTTTTCACAGTAACCAAATTTGGCCAAAAACCAAGAAAGAAGCAATGATGAAAATATAGCATTAAGATAATAATTAAAATATTGATAACTTCTAATTGATGTACGATATAAATCAGTTTTCCTTCTTGTGATCTAATTTATTTTCTCTGTTATCATAGACATTTTTATATTTACCAGCTGAAAAGATTCCAATGCCTACTTTAATCATAAAAATTGTCCAATAAATGTGCATTCCAAATAACACTATCATCAAACCCACTTGATTGTACAAGGCATGTTTTGTATTTTCCCTACGATCATAGAATTGAATTGATACCAGTAAAGTGAAAATCCTGGATGATATACTATGATGTCATATATCTTAATAGGGAATACATAGACTCTGGTGTACAACCAAGAGATTTGTATGGCTGAGAAACTCACATAGACCAGGATCTTATTCTTCCCAATGTCAGCATAGGTTCTACCGTAAGCCAGAAAGATGTCGCTTATGTCATGGAGCACCAAAACCACAACACCAATACTTTCGCAATTATAAATTGTTGAAAAGTAAAGCAGACTTACAGCTAGAAAATGGTGTAGTAAATATTCCCAATACTTCAATTCTATCTTCGTACCATGGAACATCAGTAATAATAGAGCATGGATATGACTTGCGGTTTAAATCATGTAATAGAATGGAACCCAAGGGTTCTAATATGAATGAGTATAATAGTAGTACATCAGGCATATTGGGGAAATCATACATAGTTTCTGTGAATTGGGTGCCTCCTAATTGTGTAGGAAACCACTTCTCATCTTTGAAAACTACATATGCAAATATAGTAGCTACTGAATAGTAAAAAGTATCATAAATCCATTTAACTATTTTTTACACTCTGAGTTGTCTGTCCAAACCAACATATTTTTTGTCTAATGATTTCGCAACATAATCAAACACCAAATGTCCATTGATTTCCTTAGTGAGCTTAATTATTTTAAAAATTAATTTTACATGAATTAGGATTAACCCTACAATCAACCATTTCAGATCAGTCCAATCAAATCTTCTTAGGTTTTTCTCTTTAAGGAATTGCTGAAATTGTATCACGTCCAAGCTATACAAGGAAATGACAACTATGACCTATAAATGTTTAACTTACATAGAACAATAAAGAAGGAATACTTGAAAATTGTTTCATAATGAGAAAATTTGACCAACTTGCCCAAAGAAATGCTCTATTGGCCTTCTTGTATGAGCGGTTATTTTCTGACTTTGAAAATGTTGGAAATCATGTTTAATAATTAGTAATAATATTCAAAAATGTTCTCGTAATTCCAATAAATACATCTATTTGTAATATAAAATTATTTCCTCCAATAATTTATATAATTGAAGAATGAAAATTGTCATATTTTTAGTTTTATATTTAAGCGTAAATGCATACATGCTTAGAAACAGGAAGGATTAAATAAAATAGCAAGTGATCCTTGTACTATTCTCTATTAGATATTTAGCAACTTAGAGAAACTGTAAAAAACCCATATTCCCCATTTTATCACTCATCATATAATCGACTGGCATATTACGTGGACACATTCGGTCCAAGAATGTGGGGTTCAGAAAACATGGCTGATTCAGTTGATGCTCTGGTTGAAGAGATGCAACAGTATGGATTTGATAGGGTATGGAAGGAGAATTTAGGAGAAATCACATCGTGGAAAAGAGGAGAGGAGAGCGTGACATTATATGATCCAAGAGAGTACCCATAGAAATTAAACATGATTGGTTTAGGATGGACACCAGCAGGAGTTGTGAAAGCAGAAGTTGAGGTGGTTCACACTTTTGAAGAACTAAAACATGTAGATGTGAAGGGGAAGATCGTTTGTTTTAATTTTGAGTGGAAAGGATACTCATCTAGTGTCTAATACAGAATGAATGGACCAAGGTTGGCAGAGTAGGCAGGTGCCATAGGAACTATTATAAGAAGCGTTGCAAGTATTTCGATCTCATCACCACATACAGTATGAATATTTAGTTTAACTTGCAGGGTATGACAGATTATCAGAATATCAAATATCCAGCTGTTGCAATCACAGTTGAAGATGCAGATATGATAGATAGAATGAGATAAAGAGGGTAAAAAGTTGTAATCGAAATTAAAACGGGTGGATCACAATATAAAACTACAAGTGATAATGTATTGGCAGAAATCAGAGGATCGAAATATCCAGATGAAATCTTATTAATGGGTGGTCATTGGGATTCATGGGATGTGGGATCTCAGACAGGTGCTAATGATGATGGAGCTGGAGTTATTGAATGTCTAGAAGCTTTGAAACTCTTTTAATATTTGGGAATTAGACCTAAGAGAACCATCAGATTCATCGCTTGGAGTGGAGAAGAAATGGGTATGCAAAATGATGGTGCTTAACATTATGCAAAAACTCATTCTTAAGAAAATCATATTGTTGCATTTGAATCAGATCTTGGATCTACTAAACCATATGGATTTGGTGTCACCGCTGGAGAAAAATTCACGTATTCTAAAATGTTAGATTAGACAACTTGTTACTTATTTGGCCTCAGAGTATTTGACCGAAATTGGAGTTGAGAAGATATATCCCAATGCTGGAGGTTCAGCTGATAGTGGAGCTTTGAGAGCTGTTACAGGAACTCCAGTTATGAACAATTAAATAGTAGATAACAATACTCATGATTTCTACTTCACCTATCATCATACAGCTGGAGATTCTATGTTGATGATGAATGCTGATGATATGGATGATAATGTCATTGCTTTTGCTAGTATTATGTATCTGATTGCCGATCATGATGATTCAATACCCAAAAATTGATCAAAATTATGTAATTATTAATTCTAATATATTATTATTTTTAATATTTTATGAAAGCCATATTATTTATAGCCTTAATCCTTTGTTTTGCCAATTGCAGTCTTGAAACTATCGGACTCAGACACAAATTGTCCCAAATCATTGAAGAACATTAATCAAGCTTGTATGATAAATAAATGTCAGGTGGATGGATCAAAGTAATACATTGTCTTATTCCCTAGTAACCTTTGGAGGAATTTGAACAATAAAACAATAATATTATCACTTCCTCTTTAAATGCTGTCGAAGATAAATATCAGTTATCTAAAGATGGATACACATATGAAAAGTTACTTCAAGTCACTACTCAAGTTGTCTCAGGAATCAACTATAAAGTTCTGGTCTAATATGCAAAGGAGGATGCCAAAAGAGTTTTCGAAGTCATACAATATGTTGTGTAATTCATTCCTTTAAATTAGTCCCTGGAACCCATCAGCCAATTCAATTACCAAAGTAGAAGAAATCAGTTCATCAAACTAATGAATAAGAATTATAATATACAATAATATTAATGTATTATCTTGATTTTAGCAATACAGCCTAAATCTTTGATACATCTGCTATTCGTTTTATAATTAAATATATTTAAATATTGAATATTTTTGAGCGCAGTACTATTAATCCTTTGATTCTATAAAATTAATTATTAGTTCTAGATTAATCTTACTTTACCAAAATCATTATTCAATTTACAAATATAATAGCTATTATCCAATTTTATATTGCTTTACAAACATATTTGAAAAATCGGAATTTCATTTTTTTTTGACACTTTATTTATTTCAAAGAAAAATAAAGGGATAAGAATTGCCCTTAATTATTAAGAGATTTATTTCATATAAGTTATTATAATTAATAAATATGGCTATATTCGTAGTGAATTTATAAGTTTGTCTTCAAAAATAATTTAAGTGCAAACAATAATTCTTTCTAATCCTAGTTAAGAATTAAATTTATAAGACCTCACCTTTACAGTATTACCATTCAAAAGACTCAAGTCTTGTAAGGATGTTTGTTTTTTGCAGTTATTTTGATAATATTTTCTTTAAATTAAAAATACTTTCATAGTTTTAATTCTTGCAAATATCTTATTCCCAAGTTTTTGACTGAGGAAATTTCCTTGTTTGTGGTTTTGAATTGATTATTGAGGTCTCAGTTAATATAATTTGTTCCATATTGTATGAAATTAATTACGGTCTAAAGTTAATATAGGATTGTGATGGAGCAATCCAGCGCTTATTGTCAATTTTAATTGAACTGTGATTATTATTTGATAAAATTATTTATAAAAATGGGAAATTCTTGCTGTGAAGCGTAGCAAAATGAAAAAGAAATACTATAAGGAATCAAGAGTAATTATATTCGATCGCAAACCAGCATCGCTTCTAAAGTTTTGTTCTCCAAACCTTTATAAGAAGTTAAGTATGAGAATCACATACTACTTAATATTGATGAAGAACCTGTTGAGGAATTAAAAGAAGATTTACATGAAAGGAAGTTATCTCCTCTTGCAAAAAATCTAAATAAAAAATTTCTACATATGTTGGAATGACAAAATATAATTCATTTTCGTTATAATCATTTCCATATTGTAATTGATTTATAATCCATTTGCATTATTAGAAATTCATAAGTTGAGCATATCTTTGTGTTTGAATATCAGTTTTGAAGCATTTTTCAATTTTAAATCATTCCCGATTTATAAAATCTGTATTCGTTTAAATATTCAGTTTTAACATAAGGAAGAGGAAGCTAAAATAAGTATCAAAGATTTCCTAAAAAGGAAACTGCCAATTACATAAATGCAAAAGAAATAATTTATGTTATTAAAAGAAAATTAATCACAGTAAATTTCTAAATCAATAAGAAATTGTTTGTTAATAATAATAATAAATATTAGAGAGAAATTCTTATCAAATGTGTTAACTTGTGAATATATATGCCAAGCAACCAATTAAGTTATTCAAATATTCTATGTTTAAATTTTCATTTGGACCATGTGCATTTGAATCTGGTGCTAGAACTCCCAAAATCAAAAATTCAGATTCAGGATATAATTAATACAGAGAATTTAAAAAGGGAATTGATGCTCCTTCGTGAAACATTCTCATCTCATTTCCAAAATTTTAAATTGAAGCCTCATTCAACACATTTTTAAGCTCACTACTAAATGGCTTCACAGCTAAACCTGTTTTTGCCTATATGATTTCAACTTAACTCCACTAAGTTGTTAATAGTTCTGATAGCTATTTAGAAGCCTCTTAAGCATCCTTATTCGGAGGCAATCTCATAGAAATTCTTATTGTCAATTCATCACTATCTTCATTCAAATCCTCTAAACCCCCTATATAAGAGACTGAGGGTTTCCACGCTCTATTGATGTATTATTAAACATGATCAGGTTCCATTTTGAGACAAGTCATAGGGAATTCTAGTGGAACAAGCTAGGCTGTTGTTTAACATTCCTCAAAACTGGTTTAGGGGATAATAGTTTAAAATTGTGAATCAACTTCCCCTGTGATTGAGTTTTCTAATTTATTTAGCAAACTTCTCAGACATTGAAATGCGTTCTCACTTTAGAATATTTTAATATCAAATGTAATTGCTCCTCTCATTGAATTAGTAATCCATAATCTATTATAATCTACAATTCCAGAATCTATAGCAATCATAAGATCTATTTTTGATATCTTTAACATTTAAATGTATTAAATTAATGAAAGGCTTCCACTTTCCTCCTCTCCTTCTACAATTAAATAGCAATCATGATAATTTTATTTGAATTATTTTAATGCTTTAATGGCTGCAATAATTGCATATGGTACACAACCATCATCTGCAGACCCTCTTCCATAGAGTCTATTATTCTCTATGATTGGAGTGGTGGGGCCGTATTTCCAACCAACAAAATGAGGTTACTTATCATAATGTCCATAACATAGAATTGTCTTATTTTGTTCTTAATTTCCAAATACTTTTACTGCAATACATCCAGGAGAATTTGGTATTTGTAAAATCGTTATTTCTTTTTGTATATCCATCATTTCGTTTTCAATCCATCTAACAATGTGATTGCAGGCTTCTTCAAGTAATTAATTTTATTGCCATTTATTATCGAATTAAGGACTCAAATTAGGTATTCGTATAAAATCTGATAATGAGGGAACAATAGATAATTCTGTAAATTATTTGATGAAATTTCTCATTAATTTTTTGGCTTTTTAAATTATATATTAGTAATTATTTGTTTTCTATATAGAATCATTCATTCCCAATAAATAAATTTAGATTAAGTCATGAAATTTTTAATAATCCTTGTGAGTTGCTAATTAGCATTTGGATTACAAATTCATTACTCAGAGCAAATATGTCCTTGTTCTGAGTATTCTTAAAATATTTGTGATTTATCGGCAACATGTTCTTGGAATGGCGAATCTTGTTAAGATTTAGATTGTCAAGATCGTAATTCAACTTTTTGCCTTGGTTCGGAAACTAATTTTAAATGCATTTGGGACTAGAAGTTCGAAGAATGTTAGGATTTTGATTATGAAGAATGTGATCAAATCAGTAATGAAAAAGATTGTGCAGACTCTTATTATTATACCAACATCAGCTGTTCATGGACACATAATATGAAGTGTGAAAAGTTTGATTGCTCAAATTCCTACACATGTCCATTTAATAATTGCTCCTACATAAATGGCGTATGTTCAAATCCAACAAAGGAATTAAATTGTTAAACACTACCTAAAGATTAATGTAATTTTAATGTAGATGGTAATGGTCAAATGTGCTATTTAAACGATTATGGCTAATGCGATTCACTTAATTTTATCGAATTTGTATGCCCTTTATTGGATGATTCTTAGGATCTATGCCTAAAATCAGATTGCGTATATGAAAATAATAAATGTAGAAAGAAAGTATGTGCGGATATAAAATTACAAGAAGAGTGCTATTTTTTGTAGAATGGAATATTACAATTTATTACAACATGTTTTTGGTAAGACAATTCTTGTTAAGAAGTTTAATAGGAAGATCTTCATGGCTTTTCAAGAGAGAATTGCCAAATCAGAACAGCTTTCACTTATAGTTGGTCTGACAATAATGAATGTCAAAAATGCGTATTATTATAAAAAGAAAATGAAAGTGTTGATGAGGTTTTGCCGATTGTTCTTGGCATAACAATCCCTTTATCTGTTTTATTGATCTTAACTTGCATTTTTATTTTGTGGTGTAAGAAAAAACAAAAATTTTGCTTTAAGCCAGACCAAAGAAACAATTACGAAGCTGAAATTCAAAAAGATGAGAAAAAGTCATCCGATAATAATTTCACCCAAAGGCTAAAACTTGAATAAATACCAGCCCTTTGAAATAGAGTTAATAACATTGATATATCAAATATTAAAAACAAAAATAAATTTTCTTCTCTCTATTAAAAAAATGATAGAAAATGAGTAAACTAATTGAATCACAAATGGATGAAAAAACATCAGGAAATTCAGAATATTAAGGCTATTATGGTAGACTTACATCTAATTGTTGTAGTAGAGGTTAAAAATTATGAAAAGAATTATTAATTAATATGTGTTTTACTAATTTATATTTTTAATTTAAAAGTAGTTTAGTAATTTATTAAATATATTATAAAGTTGCTTAGCAACATAATCAGATTGTTAATTTAAATTGGATTTTAATATTCAACCAATTTACTAATTTTATGAAGTTGTAGCATTAAAATAACATAGAAAACCATATATTCTTAGTGTATATGAAAATTTGAATTTATATTTGAAATAAGAAATAAATAGAGTATTTAAAGTCTAAATAATGTTTTCAGTCAGACCCACTATATAAATCCTCAATGATAATAGATGAATTTAAGCTCAAAGTTGTTTTATTATGTGAATTAAAAATAATATTGAAAAACGAAAATTAAATTATTAAACTTAATTAATTGGACTTTCTTTAGGATAATTTTGATTATAGCTGTCTCCTCTAAATTATTAGATTGGCAATAATTTAAGATTAGTACAAATTGGAACTCTGGGCACTCAATACAAGCTTCATATTAATTTGATATATAGAAATCATATTCAATTTAATTTTACTTTTTTCTTTTCTTCTGCAAGTTCAAATTTTAATATATCTTCATAATCTATTTCTTGTTTATTTCTTTGATCTCTTTAGGGAGATGACTATTAAGGCTTAGACATATTTCTCTCATCTCGCACAATCTTTTAGAGTTTCTACGTAGTGTTTGAAGATGGTCTCATTTATTATTTTTCAAGTCTTTGTTACTGTAATCTCATTTCATTCTTTAAAAGTGTTTCATGGAATTCTTTTTCAAATTAGGGCATTTCACTAGGTTAACAGGGTTTCGGTTCCTATTTGAAAAACTCATGATTCAAAGCCTACACAGCGTTCAACCTTTTGTTAGGATCTAAGATGAGGAGATGATCTATTAGATCCAAAGTCACTTAATCAATTTATTTACTCAAAGCTTGGCAAACATCCTTAATGTGTTTGACTAATAATCTTTCGTAATTCCTTCTGGGTTTAAATTCTTCCCATTATCTCAAGTTGACACAATTAGGCCAATTTTATTCAGTTGCACTCCCACACAATTCATAAATCCTTTCCATTTATCTGAACTCGATATCTCCTTTGAAAAGCACTTCTCCTGTAATCAACTCGGCAAAGATGCAACCTAGACTCCACATATCAATTTAGGTGTTGTAATTGGTTTATCCCAGGAGCAATTCAGGGGCTCTATACCATAATGTCACTACTTTATAAGTGTATTTGGGATTATTCACATTTGATAGTGTTCTGGCTAAACCGAAATCAGCCAGAGTCACTTATCCCTTATTATTCATGAGGATGTTGGCACATTTCAAATCCCGATGTATGATTTTGCTTTCATGAAGATATTTAACTCCCTCTAAAAGCTATTTAAAAATGCATTTAATTTGTGGTAGTGTAAAGATATTTCTTTATCTATGAAGACCAGCAAAATCATGGTCGTAATAGTCAAAAACTAAAAAGGTGGATCCTCTAAAATTATTTCTAAATGAGGCCTTGCTTATAATTATCTCTCTTAATCTTAAAATATTTTTGTGATTCATAATTTTCAATAATTTGATCTCTCTTATGGCAGTGATTGGAAATCCTTATAATATGCTCTATAATTGTACCTTCAGCCATTATTTTTTAATCCTTCGTATCAATTTTCTTTAGAGCCACAAAATCATTGGTCTTGAGGCATTTTGCCTTATAAACTTTGCCATAAGTACCAGATCCAACTTCCCCTATTACTTTATAGTACTTATTCACATTTTTGGTTCGACAAGAAACTTGCATTTTTGTATAAAAATTAATTATCATTTTATGTAGTAATCTTTTAATGTTAAACTTTATTAATAAATAATAAATGATTTCTTATTTCTCTATGATTGTGTGTATATGGGATATATTAATGATCAATTTTACAATCTTGATTCATTTATTGAGCAATTCATCAAAATTAATATGAATTGAATCTTGAAATCAGATTAATATAATACATAATTGCACCCTTAGATGATAAATACATTGAATATTTAAATTCAATTAGTTTTAAACAAATTTTTGTTAAAAAATAAATGTAATTTTTAAATAAAAAATTATGTTGACAGCGAGATTTGAACTCGCGCCCTTGCGGATTGGAGCCTAAATCCAACGCCTTAGACCAACTCGGCCACATCAACTTTGTTATTAATAATCCAAAACTTTAACTAATGAAGATTAGCAGCCCTTTAAAATAAAAATATTACTACTTGATATTTTGATGAAAAGATATCCTAATTACGATTTAAGAACCTTGCAGCACCATACTTTTTATTAAAAAATGTATCAACATGAATTAAATATATTGTCCCTATGAAATATATGGATGATTAAAATGTAGTATTCTTCACAATTTGAAAACCCTTAAAAGAGAGAGATTAAATTAGATTTAGAAATATCAATTAGTTAAATCAGTTTATGAATAAGATAATAAAATTTAAGAACTTTTTGATTACTCCATTAAAATTAATGGATGTTTCCCTCTAATGAAAATGTAATATTAAATTTAAAATCATACTATTATCATTAGTAGAAATATTGCGTGTAATTTCTAACATAGTCATCTGAATCTGATTCTTCAAAATCATCAACCACAAAGTGTACTTTTCTTCCCTTCCTTATTTTTTTCTAATGTAAATTTTAAAAGAGTTTCGTCATCAAGCCAGGCATTCTTGTGATATCTTATTCTAAATTGGGATTTAATTTATGGATCTTATCAAAGTCATCTATAAACATAGAGTTTGTTTTTTCCAATAAAAGTTGAGATATTATATTTGAGTGTTACTCCACAAATAACAATATTTATAAAATATTGCTACTATCCAATTTTGAAATAATATCTTCTTCACATTTTTATTTTAAGTCAGTAATCAAATACTCATCAGCTAGTAACATTAAATCACAAGTGTCTTCAATCTCTTCTGGGAACTATACTAATAACAACATTAAAGTACTTCTTTCCAATACCCGCAATAAATCCATTATAACATGATCTTAAACAGTTCCGGCTTGTTGTGTTTAACCTTAACTAAAATTTGGTTGCTTTCAAGCATATTTGAGGAGAACATCCCATTAAACTTTGGGGATCTACATGCCAAAATACATTTGTGTAATGGTATTGGCTTAGTATTAACAAATCAAATACACTTTCTTAATTAATTTGGAGCAGAATATCACTATGACTGCCTTGTGTAAACAACCCTTAGAATGAAGTTTTTAAGGGGTTTTATGCCATTTATGAGAACTCAGTTGTATGTATTACTTTGACTAGACATGAAGTCATGATGTTGGTTTCAGGCTTGTAATAAAGTATTGAATTATACTCTGATGTCTCTGCCTAGGGATTGGAATCTGAGCATCTTGTAATTGAGACCTGTGATTCCACAGAATTCAAAACTATATGATAAAAAGGTTCTGGGTTTGATGATTGGAAGTTTGATAGAATTGTTCTTTATCATGATGACTTGATTCTTGGAGAAGTTCAAGAGATCTTCACCAGCTTCAAATATGATGTCTAGTTGTTCGGAGCCCTTCTTTTTCAACATCAAATTATTTCTTTTATAATAATAATGATAAGCATAATATAAAAATAAAGGATTGATTAAGGATTGATTTGTGATTTATTGTCAGACATAATTATTATTCTTAAATAATAATGGGAGGTAAATATGGATAAAATACAATTATTGAGGAAAAAAAAAGAAAGTATTTAAAAACCCATGTTTAATACACACATCATTCCTGCCTATTTTTGGTTTTTGTATTATTAAAAAAATGAATGTTATCCAACAAATAAAGTTTTCAATATATCATGGGTATCTGTGATGATTCTAAGAATAAGAAAGAATTTACTTGAAAATGTTAAAAAGAATTTTGCTGAAACTCATCGTTATTGTAATCTTGTATGTCAATATGTAAAATTACTTGGTTTAAAGCCCTTTTATACATCTTGCTGTATTTTCGAGATGAATTCTGCCATTCTTTAGTTCTCCATAAGAAGTTTCTCCAACAATTCTTCCCTATTCTAAAAGGTTTGTTTTAAATCGATAATGATTGCAACTTTCTATTTCGTAGTCAGATTCCCATAAAACTCATCCAAGGGCAAACTCAAATTATAAGTACTTGATGTTTTATAATTCACTTTCTCAATAGCATAAGGTACTGTAATAAAAAACATAGAACAAAAGAAATCATACATATTTTTAAGGAAGTTGGACTGCCATGCAATTTGACTTTCAGTTCTCTCCCTTAGAATTTGAATCCATTTAAAGTCTCAACAGCTATGCTCGCTGTAAATTCATCATAATATTCAGCTGTGCATGAAAACTTTACTTCTCCTTCGCGTCTCAATATAATTTAGTATGTTTTACTTAGGAGTCCATTCCATTAGAGGACCTATGGTTTGAAGAAGTTGCTCAACCTCTTAATTTTTTGCTAAACTCTAAATGTTGCTGACATGAATTTGATTTAATTTGGGTGGCATAATTTATATTATATTATTATGCAAGAATAAGGTATGTGTTGTGATGGAACTAGGTTTTTTGTAGGTAATACACTAAAAGCACCATAAGTGATATTTCGCAAGACTGTCTCAATAGATGTTTGTATGATATATGTTCTAATAAGCAGAAAGTCCAGATTAGAAAGAACAATACTTCAAAGAATCTAAATTAACAGTGTCATTCTCTTCACCTCCCAACTCAGGATGTGAGAATTGTATCCCTGACGAGGAAGTAATATCATATTACATTCCAGAAGATAATCAGTCTTACACTAGCTACAAACAGGTTCGTTTCTCAGAACCAACAGATAAGTATAAAAGTAAGGTTAACAAGTAGAACTGCAAATGTTCCCCAATAAAAATACAGACGACAACGTTCCATCCCAATACCTGAAAAAGTATAAGAGGATTTAATTGGAGAGAGTTAATAACTTTCTCCTAATTTGAATGGTCATATCAACCTCTAAGATAGGTAATTACCAACAAACTAGAACACAAATACAAATCAAGAAACGGAAAACCAATTTAACTTCAATGCATTATCTCTTTAAAATAGTTTTTGTTGCAAAACTATTTCCTCTTATGAGTAATTAGATTAAGCGAACCAAATGGCAGATGAATTAGTAAACATAGTTAAAAATTATTTAAATGACATCCCATTTAATGAAAAACACTTTACTTTTGATGAACAAGAAGATGAATTTAGAAATAAATTTAATTTATAACAAAAAGTCTTAAAAGTAATGTGTTATGATAAATGTAGAAAGTATTAGAGCATTTAAATTTCAAAATGAATCTTACTTTATGTTCTCCTATCTCAAGGATATCAGCTACTTCTCCTCACTTTGAAGATCTTCATGTAAATGTAAAAGACTTATAATCTAAAATTGAAGAGATAACTGATTAGAATGATCTTCTGAAAGATAAACTTGAAATATAGGAATCCAAACTATTAGAGTAATATGATTAAATCAAAAAGTTGCGTATAAACATACTAGAATTAGAACTAGAAAATAGAAGCATAAAAGATGAATTTGAAAAACAACAAAAGACTGCTAAGAGTCTGAACGAATAAATAAATTAGCAAAGGTAACAATCAGAGGAATATGTTAAAACATTACAGTGTTAGTAATTGAAAATATAATAATTGGAATAATTATTAGAGAAATATCAAAAGAATAACAAATCAACAAATTAATCTTTGAATATTAACTTGAATTAGTCTTCTAAACCGGTTAGAAGACATACAAATTCTTTTCATGAAGTATGCTCCTCACCAAATGGTAATAAGTTAGTGATTGTTAACAGCAGTACTAATAGTTCGTAACAATCTCCCAGAAATTTATAATTATCAAATAATCATAAAGTATAGCTTTTAGATGACACAACTTATTTTGGATCCATATTAAATGATAAGAAACAAGGATATGGTAATCTGAGAAAGGGAGATAAGAAATTATACATGGGTATGAATTAAATTATTTACTCTAGGCTTTTGGAAAGATGACAATTTCAATGGGTTTGGCCATTTGAATAATGAAATTATCGAAAAAGGAGTGATAGATCTGAGTAATCTTGATAATATTGGGAATAAATGGATTAGCTATTAAGGAGAATTTTAGGATGGATTATTTCATGGATATGGAATTTGGACATTTAGTGATAATTCAAGATTTCATGGCTAGTTCCAGTTAGGAAAAGCAAATGGAAGAGGGTAAAATTATATAATCCAATTAGTACTTATTATACAAATCTTAATACTATCACAGGAATATGGAAATAAAATATTAAAATTTGATTCATAATTTATAATGTCATATCTTTATAAATGTATGATAATTTTTGTGACTTGTAGCAACATAACATTTCCAATCATCTTTCTTAAGGGCAAAACATTCTTCACAAAAATAAAATCCAAAACAGTTTTCACATTTGTAAACACATCCTGCTTTTTCTAATTCACATCCTTAACATTTATATGTTTTCTTAGAGAAATTCTAAGTTTCATAGATTGGTTCAAATCGATGATCTGCCTTATGTCTAGTCCCATTTAATTCAGATTAAGTTCTTGTAAAGAAACAATTTTAACCTACATAATATTTAAATGTTACATAAACTAAAGTTAGTACACTATTTGCAAACAAATTAAACACCTAAGATAGGTTTCTAAAAGCATCCATTACATTTTGCATCATGACAAGGAATGCCTTCAGCAAATGTTGGTAATTCAATGACTTTGAAATCATGATCCTTATGAGTTAAATCTCCAGATTAGAGTAGATTATCAAAACATGCTTCACAACAATCATAGTTGTCACAAGTGATACATTCAAATCTAGGACCCCAAATAGGATTCTAATCACATCTATTGCATTGATGATATTAATGTAGCACTTCTTCTTCAGCCTTATTAGCCAAAAAGAATATTTCATTCTCATTAAATTCTTTTTCACTTATCTTTTTATTATAGCATCCTTAACAAATATCAAAATTGGCTATCTTTTTTGATTTGTATCTACATATTCCTGGTTACAATGCAATTCCACATACATTACAACTTATTTGCACTAACCATTTTTAATAGGTTTCTCCCAATTAATTGCCTATTGAAAACCATCCATGTCTTAGGTTATTGTTTCTAGCAAAGATCTCAACTTTTTTAGCTCCAGGCATCATTAATTCAATGATTTCATACATTTCAATTGGTTTCTATGATTTATTTCTTACTGGACTGAATATTATATTGTTAGATATTTTAGAATGATATTCAACATGTTCCCCTGGAGGACATTTATATCTATTAATATTGAATAATGTAATACCCAACTAAACATATTTCGAAAGAGTGCATAAAATAGTATCCTGTAGAAAGATACACATTATTTCCTTATGGATTCAACTTAACCCAAATAATTTGATCAACAATCTCATATCCCCATTTACTAGCCATCTCATATGCTATATTTAGTTATGTATTGAGAATCCAAAGAAACAGAAATCCTTTCTTACTCAATTTTTCAATTTTGATGTCCATAATCTCTTAATTACTCATGGTATTGTAATCAAGTGAGAATTTGCTATTAGTAAACATAAATGATGAATCATTTTATTATCCTCCTTTAATTCTCCAAGGTGGATCCATCAAAACAACTTAAGAGAATATTATTATTGAATACCATCAAAGCCTCCAACCTTTTCCACCAAAAAGTCTAAATTAAAATATCTAATATCACAATTGATATAAGACTTAACTTCCCCAAGTTTAGATAGAATTTCCTAATTTTCAATTCCCAACAATTTCAAATTTCTTTTGGTTTCAAATTCCGTTCCATCTTCTGTTAAAATACGAATTTACTCTTCCTCTGGTTTCATCTCTTCTTCTTACTATTTGCCATCACTAATTTACCCAGTTGAGTATTCTGGATTTGATATTTATTTAAGTTCTGCTGCCGATATGGGAATATCTAATAGATAGGTCCATATAGTACCTTAGAAGATCTTAACATAAACATTTTTGAATAGTTCTTTGACAAGATTTTCTTATTCACTTCCTGAAGCTAAGATCTATTTTTATTCATAGGATTTCTTGAATATTTTATTTACTCGTTTCAAAATAAGTCTTCGTTTATACTATTCCTCATCTGATGAATCTTCAATATCTAAACGTTTATGCGTTCTTCTAAACTTTTTGGACTTCTTGGCTTTTACTTTTGGATCAAAATCTGACGAATTATCAGATTCAAAGACTAATTATTGGCATGATATTGGTTATTATTTGATCAAAGTTGGTTCTTGAACTTGCTGAACTTCTTCACGAGGAGGAGTCTACAGTTCAACATTCTTCTTTTTATAACTTTGCTTATTCTAAATGACTTTTTTCTATTAAGTTTGTGGGATAGCTTGGAGTGCTAAGACTATAAAAAGAACTGAAACCTGGACCGCCAGTTTGCTTACGTTCCCGCTTGTTGTACACCAGATTATCAAGATTGATCTATTTTAATCCAGTCTTCTGTTTTTAGACATTTTTTAAACCATCCTAGATAAGTCTAACATCACTGCTCTTTTCTTGGTCAGTCATTAATTTTTAATTTTATATTTCAATCCTCACTCACAACCATTACAAATATTTATAAATAAAATAATTGGAATCACAGACATTTTACTTGCCTTAGGTTATTTTTAATCTCATTCTCAAATTTATCTAAACATGCAAATCCCAACAGAAAATCATCCCATTTAGGCACTAAATTAAATCATAAATTTAAACTCACACACACATAACAGAATAACAACATCACAATTATTCAATCTCATATCTATTTCAGGATTGCCTGTAACTCATGCATACATTAATCAATTCCTCCTCTTTATTAGATTCAAAATCAGAGTATCTTAATTAATACTCTAATTTGAATTAATACAATATTTAACATGTCTAACAATCGCTCTCTCTATATGATCAATCATATATCATATCTAATTCGAATACACACATATGACTAAATATCAGCCTTCAAATAACTGAAAGAGGACATGCCATTTATATCACTGAAATAATTGACCATATTCAAAATGCAAAGTATTACATATATTTTAGAAACAAGTATTTTATAATTCATTACATTTGAAATTAAGATCAAATGGATTATTTTTGAATTTAAGTATTATATTTATATAAATATTTAATTAATCAACTATTTAAAAATAAAAATATTCTATATTATCCATTTATTATTTTATAAAGAAAATCCTAAAGTTTAAGAAATAATGAATATTAGTTTTTACATATTTTTAATAATTAATAAATAGATCTTTCCATCCTATATGATATGAGAAGCTCTTTGTATATAAAATATCACATAAATTCAATTTTCTTAAAGTTTTTATTGTTTTATTTCTTGATCATCCTAAAAGTTTGTTTAAGTAAATTTTTCTTATTCTAATAAAGGCTTAAAAAAGGGATGTTTCAATCCATCTTCAACTTTGATTCTCTATTTTGGATTCAAACAAAGCAATCTTGAGAGCAAATCTTCAGCATCGCTATCAAATCCATCAATGTGTATTATAGATTTCCATTAAACAGGTTTGGTTGCAACAACTGAAGGCAATTTTAGATCATATTCTATTGATATAATGATTAAATAATATACCAAATTGTTCACATATTTATTTCACTTATTCTGAACCAAACAAGCTAGCCAGTTCTAGTATAAAATTGACATAAAAAAAGTTTTTATTCACAACTGGTTTGTTGATCATTCGGACATTACTGAATAAATTGTACTTTTTAGTCAAAAATTGTAGGAATATCACTCCTACAGCCCACATATCCACTTCATATGATTGGTCCTTCAATGGTTATTTATCTATAAATACATGGTAATGCAATATGCTCTCTAAAGGCATAAAGCTCTCTGTTCCTATTTTATTATTTCCTATTTAATCTATAGTTTTTTAGATTTCGTTATACAAATTAATTTTTCTTCTGATTTCCTAAACTTCATCAGATTAAGGATGCTTGAAATTAATAAGGTAATGATACCTTCTTTGACAATTCTTTCTCCTTTTCAATCAATTTGGCTACGAAGGATCTATCAATTTCACTTAGGCCGTAATCGATAAGGATTCCTTTGCCTGTCTTTGGATTGTAGAGGAAGTTACCAGGTTTAACATCACGATGGTAAATTCCATTCTGTTTCAACACATTTAAAGCTTTAAGTAATTCATATAAGTATCGTCTAATTTCCATCATATCAAAAGTAGCAAAGAAGGTCTATTTTATAGTAGGATTGATACAATGAATGGTTTGTATGTAAAGTACTCTATAACGATATATATTTTTTGATCAATAAGAAACAGATTAACCAATTGGGGCATATTTTCTTTCCCATAAATTAATTTCAAAAATCCGATTTCGGCAAATATTAGCTCTGGAGACACAGTAGAAAAATTTACCTTAATGGCATATTTTTTGTTTTTGTCGATTTGGCCTTGATTCAATCCAACTCTAAATAGTTAGAATTATTTATTTACGCTTTATAAACAACTCCGTAACCTCCTCTACCCAACTCTCTGACGACTTTATAGTTGTTTTTAATGTAGACTTCTTCATCAATAGATTAATCCATATAATAACGATCATTTGAACAAGGGTTTACTTTGACTTTGGGATCCGATTTTTTCTTATTATTTTTTTTCATTAATTATAGATTATATAATTCATAATTACTTATCAAAGGCATTTATATTTTCTGAATTGAGATTGTCATATCGCACTCCTGAATGTTGCTTATTTATAAGTGAAGACAATCCAACATTAGTACTAGCCATCTATGATAATTTTGTAATCTCTTGATCCCTGTTTTTTATTGCATTTTGCAACTGATCAACAGTCTTCAATAAATACTTTATTTTTTCGCTTTCATTGATCTTAAACCCAGGAGAAATACCTTAAAAGCATTAGCTAGTATTTAATACCTGATGGCGATATCTAACTTACAAGTACAGATTAAGGCAACTAACTTATATTAGATGATTGTTATGATATCTTTTATTAAATCAAATCGTTGTTTTCTTTCAACAATTTATTTTCCCTTCTTAGTTATTCATTCTCTTTTAGAAGTTCTTCTTTGTCTTATTGTAGTTGCTAACATAAATCTAATTTATATTCAATCTATCTCCTAACTTCGTCATCAAATCTAATTATGTTACCATTCTCCATTTATTATTTCAGTTCATTCAATTCTCTATTTGCTGCCCTAAGAGAATCCTATAAGACGTAATTTTAAGCCTTTAATTCACTCACCTAATTTGATTTCTCAAACATGCTCAATTAAGCTTGATTCATCAAGTTTTACTTATGAGTGTTGACCAATATTTCAGCATTCTGCAATTGCATTGAAAGAGTGCCCACTTAATTCTTCAATTGATCTAACGCAGACTCATAAGTCATCCTTTCGAATTTGTATTATTCGTCATAGAGCTACTTGAATTATTCTATTTCTTATTTAATTTAATCCTATCATTATAATAAGATTCTTTATACAGCATATTTTAGTTATGCATCTTCAATTGTATATGTATGCATGTCTCTTAGCACATCAATTTGAGCTTCCAACTCCTTCTTTTCCTCTAATTTTTTATTTAGTAAATTTGTATAATTGACTCTGAGGATATTCAAGTCTACTTTTAATGTTTCATAAGCTATTCTATACTCATTTAATTCTTTTATTTATTATTATTATTCTTCAGCTAGCTTTTACAACTATTGATATTCATAAATGTATTTTAATTTTTCTTCCTTTACTACTTTCAAAGCTTAATCCAAATGGTAAGTTTATTGTAAGCTTTGCTGTAGTTCCTCTGTTTTTGCAATAAATTGTTATTTTCCAGTTTAAATTTCTTGATCCTTAATGTCGATTACTTAATTTATTTATTCCAATTCATTCAGTACCTTGTTCAAATTTTGAGTTAGTTCCTTAAATGAGATGTAAAAATATACTTGTTTTTGTAAGGCTAACTTTTGAACCTAGAAGGCATACTCTTCTGCTTCAATGCTTTTTTATTTTAATCTTTCGCAAACATTGTCAAACTCTTAATTAATCTATTAATGTATGTGATATGTAAAATACGATTTAATTTGAATGATCCATCTCGGTTAATTAGTTTTACAATTCATGATTCTGTTCTTTGAGAACTTCCATTTCTTAAGAAGCAGTTCCCAAAACATCTGTTAGCTTCTCAACTTCACTTGTAAGAATGTTGACTCTGCTATAACACATGCTATGTATATCTGTTGAAAATGAATCATCCATTCTAGAAACCTTGGTTTAAGGAGTTTGGCTTAATTTCATTAGAATATAAATATAAAATAATTGCATTTCTTTTAGTTAATTAACTTGTTTCTTAGTCCTAACCTAACGAATCTATTGGTGTTCGTAACTCTTTAAATTATAACTCTGTATATTTAAATTCTAATATATTATATATTAATAAAGTTTCGGTATGAGAATAATAAAATTGGATATCACATTACATAAATTTTATTGTGTTTAATTTTTATACATTTCTTAAGATAATATTATTTTTAATGTTTCAACGTAGATCAGAGGTTGGAGAGGAATAAGGAGAAACTGTCATAGCACTCTATTCTCAATAAACCAATATGAGTTACATTCCTCCTGTTTATTTAAAAAATGGTCCAAACTAAAATAGATCATGTACTAATGTATGTTGCTGCTTATTGTTTTTACTGTCCATTGGAGCTTTGGGATACTTTTATTTCCTGACATACAGTAGTCAACATATCGAGAGACTTTACACCCCTGTAGATTCTGAAGGAAGAGAATGTGGTTAAGGAAATTTGAATAAGTTTCCATTCATATATTTCGTAACTCCAGATGAGGTGAGGTTCTTCATATATGGCTTTAGAAATACCTTTATAGAACTGTTTGTGTGGAGAAGTGTCCAAAAAAAGAAGATTAGCAATTGTTATGTGCTCCAAATAATGTAGTAAAGGACTGCCACAATAATGCAAGTCCGTCAGATCCTGAGAAACGAGTCTTGATCTATGATTCTGATAAGTATTCTGGGAACATCTGTTTGCCAAGAGATGATAATTTCAAAAAAACAGTGTAACCAGCAATTTTAGTGGGGGAAATTCAGTAAGCTTTAATGAATACCTAAGCCAATTTGCCAATAATTGCACTTAGTGGAGGAGCTGCCTTTTTGTTGGCATTCTTTTTCACAATTATGATTGGTTTGTGTACCACACTCATAGTTTATTTATTCATATTAGTCTACATCTCTTTAACTGGTTTCCTTAGTGCATATTTTCTATTATATTTCATGAGATCCCCATTAGAGTATGTATTCTATTAATTTTAATTAGTTTATTTCCTTATTTCGACAAATCAACATATGCATGGAGTCCGTATATGTTGGCAGCATCAATAACATTTGCAGTTCTATGCGTATATGCAATATTTACATTATGTTGGAACCTAAAGAAGATGAAGTTCATGATATCTCTTGTTAAATTGGCAACAACATTCTTGTATTAAAACAAATCAATCATAATTGTGCCTATAGTGTTCTTTTTCTTAGTAATGTCTACTCTATTGATATGGATAGCAAGTGCTTTGGCAGTACTCTCTGAACAATAAATGGATTACTCATAAGATTCATAAATTTATCCGTTCGAAAAGATTCAACTCAAATTCGATACTATAATTAAATTGATGATTACAGTACTATCCTTAATTTGGTTAATGCAATATATCCTATCTTTGGCCAGATTCTTAAATGCTTCAACAGCCACACTTTGGTACTTTCATGCATCTTCCAACAAAGGATTTTTATGTGATAGTTTCAAATTAGCTGTGCAATACCATAATGGTAGTATAACAGCTGAAGCAATTTACAGTTTCTTTTTCAGTGGGATATCAAAAGCATTCAATCTAATCTATGTAAGATTATAATTTACATAATAGGATTCACTTAATAGATGCAGATTGAAGAGACACAATATTATTTTGAATTGTTTTGCCTCTATTTCTTTGTGTTTATGTTGTATTTGTGAGAATTTCATTATGTACATTAACAACTATGCTTTTGTGTACATTGTGATGACCTCAGCTGATTACTTTGAATCAAGCAAAGCAGTTCATTTTGTAATTAAAAGAAATCATCAAGATTTTGAAACTCTTTCAGGATTGGGAGAACAATTCACTCACTTTAGCAAAATGTTTATATTTCTAATAACAACTATTGGAACATTCATTTATGTCAAGGAGTAGACTGATTTTACACTTCAATTATACACTTTTGCAGTTATTGCATTTATTACATTGTCAATAGCCACTCTATTTATGGATATGTTTGGACAAAGCGCAGATGCCTTACTGCTTACCTACTTTACAGATTGTGAAGTGTAGAAGTATCATTTTGGACTTGAGGAGTGTGGTTCATGTCCACCAGAAATAAGAGATTAAGTCTAACACATAAGGGAAAAATAAAAGATTTACTTTGGTTGAAATACATATGATGTAGATCTAATTTAATTAATATTTTATAAAACATTCAAATACGATTTTTACAAATTCATTTTCATTTTATCAGATAAATTTAGATATCTATGGCTTTAAATCTTAATCTAATAATACTAACTTATATACAAATGCTATTTTTTCTGAAATAACAAAAGCTTAAATGCAAATAATACAATTAAATGGTTTCTCTTTTCCTATTATTTACCCTTCTAGGTTTGTATTAGAAACATACTATTATTTGGTAATTTAGATCTAAGCATATTTTAGGATAAATAATAAAAGGTAAGATTATTATAATATATCATTTAATAATTTATCATAACGATTGAGTTAGGATTAAGTGGTCTATTGCTTTGTAATTCAGATTCATTTATTTCATTCTCATTCTCATTCTCATTTTAATTTTCCTAATTGCTTAAGTTTTCTAATTGCAAGATTCTATTTGTACTAGTTTTAGCATGTTCTGGTAAAATGTTAAAATCTAGATATTTTTGAACGAGATCATCCAATATGTTACCCATATGATCGAATGATATTTCTGTGTATTTCTCTTATAAATTATATTGTCTAATAGTCTACAAGATTGTATATTATAGAGCATCAATTTATAATTTGAACAACTTGGCTTTACAAATGGGACATCTCCATTTTCTTGGATTTGACAATTCAAGCATCAATAAATAATTTTCTAGAGAGAAACATTAGATATGATTGCAATAGATCCCCCTGACAGGAGTGACCATCAAAGTGGAACATAAGCAACACAACAAAGAAATAGTTTATTTAATTTACTTGATACCAGTAGAAGATATGTAATTCATCTATAGTATAATAAAATCCTATGCTTGTTCTACACTCATCCAATTTTCACTCGATGTAGTAATCTTTTCTATTAGTTATTTTGCAGAATACTGTTTAGTTTTGTAGGCAGCAATATAATGCAATTATTCCCCTTGAATTCTATATTTTCTCTTCTACTCCATGCCAGGGATTATTTCTTTCAACATTAGAGTACATTCTTCGTTTTATGGAATTGTGAATATCAGTTTCTCATCTTTACGTTTATGTTGACAACTCTACTAAGCCAATGGAATAAATTCAGCCACTTTCTTATTGTTAATGTGCAATTCTCCTAGATCTGGCCAGGTGATTTCTTCAGCTGATAGGGGACAATCCATTCTAATGCATCTGATATCAATTTTATTAGTATCTGATTTAAATTTAATAGATTTAGTGCTGGTCAGCCCTGTTTTCTTAAATGAAAATGGATCTATAATAACTGAGATCACTTCACAAAATTAATCCATATGATATAAGGTACATCTTGGACATGTGAAATGCTTAACATATCTTTCATCATAACTTTTATCTAGACAATTCACATGAAAATGTTTTTCGCATAATTGACATTTGACTATTTACTTATAATGTAATTGATTTCCACAGAAACACTAATCACAATTAGGTGATTAAGCTTGTCTCCAATATTTCCTTTTGATTGTATTGCATACCTCTTCCATGTTCTATTTTTCTACTTCCATTCCTTTTTACTATTCCACTTCTATACAAGCATTTTATATTTGTGTACTCTCCTAACTTACTTACAATTCTTCCAATTCTCTCATCATTTTGAGCTCTTTTTCTAATAATACCATTTCTTATAATTTGGCTGCTTGCTATTCAAAATACATATGTATCATTTCATTAATGTTCTGAATGGGTTCATCTAATTATGGTTATTGTCTTGCTATGTGGGGATCCAATCTAAGAAGACTTTAANATAAAAGGTAAGATTATTATAATATATCATTTAATAATTTATCATAACGATTGAGTTAGGATTAAGTGGTCTATTGCTTTGTAATTCAGATTCATTTATTTCATTCTCATTCTCATTCTCATTTTAATTTTCCTAATTGCTTAAGTTTTCTAATTGCAAGATTCTATTTGTACTAGTTTTAGCATGTTCTGGTAAAATGTTAAAATCTAGATATTTTTGAACGAGATCATCCAATATGTTACCCATATGATCGAATGATATTTCTGTGTATTTCTCTTATAAATTATATTGTCTAATAGTCTACAAGATTGTATATTATAGAGCATCAATTTATAATTTGAACAACTTGGCTTTACAAATGGGACATCTCCATTTTCTTGGATTTGACAATTCAAGCATCAATAAATAATTTTCTAGAGAGAAACATTAGATATGATTGCAATAGATCCCCCTGACAGGAGTGACCATCAAAGTGGAACATAAGCAACACAACAAAGAAATAGTTTATTTAATTTACTTGATACCAGTAGAAGATATGTAATTCATCTATAGTATAATAAAATCCTATGCTTGTTCTACACTCATCCAATTTTCACTCGATGTAGTAATCTTTTCTATTAGTTATTTTGCAGAATACTGTTTAGTTTTGTAGGCAGCAATATAATGCAATTATTCCCCTTGAATTCTATATTTTCTCTTCTACTCCATGCCAGGGATTATTTCTTTCAACATTAGAGTACATTCTTCGTTTTATGGAATTGTGAATATCAGTTTCTCATCTTTACGTTTATGTTGACAACTCTACTAAGCCAATGGAATAAATTCAGCCACTTTCTTATTGTTAATGTGCAATTCTCCTAGATCTGGCCAGGTGATTTCTTCAGCTGATAGGGGACAATCCATTCTAATGCATCTGATATCAATTTTATTAGTATCTGATTTAAATTTAATAGATTTAGTGCTGGTCAGCCCTGTTTTCTTAAATGAAAATGGATCTATAATAACTGAGATCACTTCACAAAATTAATCCATATGATATAAGGTACATCTTGGACATGTGAAATGCTTAACATATCTTTCATCATAACTTTTATCTAGACAATTCACATGAAAATGTTTTTCGCATAATTGACATTTGACTATTTACTTATAATGTAATTGATTTCCACAGAAACACTAATCACAATTAGGTGATTAAGCTTGTCTCCAATATTTCCTTTTGATTGTATTGCATACCTCTTCCATGTTCTATTTTTCTACTTCCATTCCTTTTTACTATTCCACTTCTATACAAGCATTTTATATTTGTGTACTCTCCTAACTTACTTACAATTCTTCCAATTCTCTCATCATTTTGAGCTCTTTTTCTAATAATACCATTTCTTATAATTTGGCTGCTTGCTATTCAAAATACATATGTATCATTTCATTAATGTTCTGAATGGGTTCATCTAATTATGGTTATTGTCTTGCTATGTGGGGATCCAATCTAAGAAGACTTTAAAAATATAATTCTTAGACTGAATTTGGTTTTGCGTCCTTAAACAATTTCTCAAAATAAAGTATCTATCCTATATCCTTGGTCACTCTATTAATTATGGTTGGAAGTGTTAATTTGAGCTATTTTTGAAATGCTTCCAAGTCTTTTTGCAATTACTATGATTTCATTAATTTCATTAAAATAATTGGTCAAACAAATTAAATAAATTTTATTAACCTAAAAGTATGGAAATATTTGACACCAAATTTAAATATGTANTATAATTTGAACAACTTGGCTTTACAAATGGGACATCTCCATTTTCTTGGATTTGACAATTCAAGCATCAATAAATAATTTTCTAGAGAGAAACATTAGATATGATTGCAATAGATCCCCCTGACAGGAGTGACCATCAAAGTGGAACATAAGCAACACAACAAAGAAATAGTTTATTTAATTTACTTGATACCAGTAGAAGATATGTAATTCATCTATAGTATAATAAAATCCTATGCTTGTTCTACACTCATCCAATTTTCACTCGATGTAGTAATCTTTTCTATTAGTTATTTTGCAGAATACTGTTTAGTTTTGTAGGCAGCAATATAATGCAATTATTCCCCTTGAATTCTATATTTTCTCTTCTACTCCATGCCAGGGATTATTTCTTTCAACATTAGAGTACATTCTTCGTTTTATGGAATTGTGAATATCAGTTTCTCATCTTTACGTTTATGTTGACAACTCTACTAAGCCAATGGAATAAATTCAGCCACTTTCTTATTGTTAATGTGCAATTCTCCTAGATCTGGCCAGGTGATTTCTTCAGCTGATAGGGGACAATCCATTCTAATGCATCTGATATCAATTTTATTAGTATCTGATTTAAATTTAATAGATTTAGTGCTGGTCAGCCCTGTTTTCTTAAATGAAAATGGATCTATAATAACTGAGATCACTTCACAAAATTAATCCATATGATATAAGGTACATCTTGGACATGTGAAATGCTTAACATATCTTTCATCATAACTTTTATCTAGACAATTCACATGAAAATGTTTTTCGCATAATTGACATTTGACTATTTACTTATAATGTAATTGATTTCCACAGAAACACTAATCACAATTAGGTGATTAAGCTTGTCTCCAATATTTCCTTTTGATTGTATTGCATACCTCTTCCATGTTCTATTTTTCTACTTCCATTCCTTTTTACTATTCCACTTCTATACAAGCATTTTATATTTGTGTACTCTCCTAACTTACTTACAATTCTTCCAATTCTCTCATCATTTTGAGCTCTTTTTCTAATAATACCATTTCTTATAATTTGGCTGCTTGCTATTCAAAATACATATGTATCATTTCATTAATGTTCTGAATGGGTTCATCTAATTATGGTTATTGTCTTGCTATGTGGGGATCCAATCTAAGAAGACTTTAAAAATATAATTCTTAGACTGAATTTGGTTTTGCGTCCTTAAACAATTTCTCAAAATAAAGTATCTATCCTATATCCTTGGTCACTCTATTAATTATGGTTGGAAGTGTTAATTTGAGCTATTTTTGAAATGCTTCCAAGTCTTTTTGCAATTACTATGATTTCATTAATTTCATTAAAATAATTGGTCAAACAAATTAAATAAATTTTATTAACCTAAAAGTATGGAAATATTTGACACCAAATTTAAATATGTATAGATTCGTTAATTAATCACTGTGTACACATATTTTTGTATGATTAGATATCACCCAATAGAGTATAAAATTCATTGATTTTATTATGATATTTCATTATCCACTTCCAATTTATATAAATCTTCTTTGTATTGTTGACCTAGCATAATGAATTAAAATGGCATCCTCCATTGAGATGGCAATCATAAAAGTATAATTATATTATTAGCAAACAATTTTCTATTTGACTTCATAATCGAATTGTATCATTATAATGATGTGTTTCAATAATCTCTACTATACTTGATGCTCATTCTCTCTATAGTAATTAAACTAATGTAATTAAAGCTGTATGAAATGATGTCTGTGGCTTCACTCATTTTGATATTAATTTAATTAAAATTCTAACGATATATTATGTCTGAAGAGCTTGTGAGATTACAAACAATCGAGTTCAAGTAGGAAATAGAGAAGCGATTTGCTAAGAGTCGCCATAACCATAATTATGTATTTGAACGAGAAGGGAATGATTTTTCAGATGATGATTCATTAGATTCTTTGAAAAACATTGGATTATACAATTTATGCAAACCCATCCGCAATAAATCTATGGAAACTGAACGTACTATGCCCAAGACCAGCAAAACATTACTAATACGATTACTCAAACCCAAAAAGCAACCATCAGTCAATGAAAATCGTTCCAATAACAATTCATTATATAAATCAAGATCGCAAAGCAAAAATGGCACCACTCGACTTCGCACTGAGTATTATGTTTTATTTTTAATCAGAGGTTCAGTCCTTCGAGAATCAAAAAATGTTACCTTAATTTCTCCCAAGATCCCCAAAAGTCCTTTGTACATCCAAGTAGACAATTTGATCAAATCAGCGAAAAATTAACATCTTTACAAACTAAATAATTACTCTATGGCTGTGTGATTTATAATTTAATAATTAATGTCATCAAGAATTAAATAACTTAAGCTTCCTTCAAAGTTTTATCAGAAATTATTATACAATTCACAAGAATAATATAAATGAATGAATTCTTGGACTGAATACTTGTTAAGGTTTCAATACTTTTTGAATAATCAAGTGCATAAAAGTCTACCTATACAAATAGAAGGATAATCTTCTTTAGAGTAAGTGAAATTATGAAAAATTGCTATTCTTTTGTATGACTGATGAAAAGAAATAAATAAAATTTGAAACAGGAAGCAAGGGTAAATTTTTATAGAAAGTTATGAAATCAAAATGATAAGATAATTTACAAGAATATATCCATCCCAAGCCCAAAATACGAAGTCAGTTTAAGAAGCTAACCTTGTAGATAAAATCCTTAAAAGTTAAGAAACAAGGGATAAATTCATTAAAATAAACCATATCTTTCTAAAAATGTCTTTATTAATACTTGCATGTTTTTGTTTGATTTATGTCATAACTAAATGCAAAATCTTCATAGGGTAGTCGATAGTTTCAATAACTTAAAGCAGCAGTAGAACTTAATAAATTAGGTTGAACTGTATTTCAACCATTATTTAATTTATTATTTTGATTTGAATAGTAAGAATTTTTATTATTGTCAATTTATCAACCTCTTCACACATGATTTTATTTCTAATTCAGTATTTCAATTATTTAAAATCTCTATTATGCACCTTTAAAATTTATGAGATTAACTAAAAATTATTTAATTTACATACATTTATTATTTTTTTATAATTTTTTATAATAATGTAACTAGTTAACAAATTAATAATCATTTTAATTGTGTAGGTGTGTTCTAATCTATTTATCTAGCTGAAGGTCGAGGAGTTGACTATTAAATTTGAATAGCGTAAATAGATTAGGGAGCTTGTAATTTATTTTAATTATTTTATTGACATAATTACAATACTTTGTATTGAAGTTTCCCAACTGTAACTTATTCATCAGATATCGTCTTCTTTATATCACCTTCTATTTCGTCGCTAACCTTAATCATAATATTATCTTTCAGAGGAGTAGTTGTAATATGAGAATAACTTTCGATGTAAATAACCTCACCTACTTAAAACTAATTATTGAATAAAAAACTAATACTTCTTCGTTTTGTTTAATCTTTTCTATCAATACATATATGGATGTAAATTCCTAGCAATTAAATCCGATAATAGACTCAAGAAATTCATTATATTCAACAGGTTTGCTTCTATATAACAATTTTTGATCTGAAAAAAAAGAACATTGATAAGTGGGTGGATTTTTGCCAAGAAATGAAGATGTATGTTTAACGCCAAACAACTCCAATTTTTGTATGACAAATATTACAAATTTCTATTGTTTATTGATTTATTATAGAAAGTTGAGATTGCAATATCTGCTTTTATTAAATTTGTTGTTCGTCAATTTATTGAGAATGGAAAAGGTCTTTTAATTTTAATACTCAATCAATCGTGTAGTGTGATATTTTTACATCAAAATTGCTTCACTTATATGTTTTCGATAATCATTATCTTTCTTTTTGTTATCGTTGACTTTTGGTAAACAGTTAACTTAGTTATCTTAATAAGTAATTATTCTTTCATACTTTTTGTAATTACATTAATTCTGGGCTATTCCTTTTTAGATATTATAGGCTATAATGGTGTTTTAGTTGTTTATATGAATTTTAGTAAAAGATTCTGGTTTGTCTTCTTATTGTATAAAATGGCTTGTTAATTAGAAAGTGTGGAAATAGGTTTAATTGCAACCTGCTTTTCTTTAAGTTAGTAGTTTTGGTTCTATTTTATAGAATTCTAGAGTTAATAAACGTTTAAGATTACTTAGAAGTGAACCTTCTGAAAGTCATATAGAGGTTGTTTGATTTTCTCTGTGTGCCCATCCTTTACTGTATAATTATTCTGTTTCATAATTAATTTTAAAGTTTATTATTAATATTATATAGACATATACACACACTACTCATCACTTTGAACTCTATGATTACTTTAGAATCAACAAATTTACACAAGAAACATTTTAGAAGTTCAAGTCTTTTGCAGAAATTATTATTTGGATTTCATCACATGATAATTCTAAAATATATAGAGATATTGCTCAGTTACTGATGAATATTAACTCAGAAAATCTTTTATAATATACCATCATAAATTCTATTTAGAATATGATTTGATTAAATATCTTTTTTATCTTTGAATACCCCTTTCAATAATTAATGATATTTGAGCAAATCAGATGTAATTTCCATTTTTATTTGGTTTCTTACCATTGTCTATTAAGTAATGTCAGAGACATTGACAAAATAGAGAGTTAAAATTGATTCCTTTTTTAAAAGATAACTATTTCCAACTCATTAATTAATATTACAGACTTCAAATACTTTGATTAAACTATAAATTGATATGGAATTAAATTACAATTAAAAAAGACTCTTCGTTTCAAATCCTAATTTGCAGATGGCAACTTTAATAATGGGCTGATACACATTTTATAATTGATTAATTCTATAATCTCATTGTATACTTGATCAATTAAATAATTGATTAAAATTAGATTGAAATATATAGTTTTGCATTTAATTGCACTTCTCATTATATAAAACTTGACTAAAATAAAATGAATAAAAAAAGCTGCTTCAGTAGGATTTCATAAATCATATAATAATAAATATATATAATTTAATGTAATTGCCAACTCGTATCATTGATGGTCTTTACCTTGGAGATTAGGGTGCAGCCCATGTAAATGTGATCTAAAACATGAGGATCTAGAGTTCTTGGTGACTAACAAGATAACCAAGATAATTAATTGTGCTGCCAAACATATTCCTAATCATTGGGAATCCATCGGCATTGAATATTTGTCCTATTAGTGGTTAGAAAGTGAAACCCAATTTGCATTCGACCATTCCCGTTGTTTCGCCTTTATTAATGATGCCCTTGAAGCAGGAGAAGCTGTTTTAGTTCATTCTATTAGAGCATTCAATCGTTCAGTTTTTGTGGTGGTTGTATTTTTAATGCGCAAGTATTCGCTCCAAAACTTACTCCTAGATTTAAATGGACATTATAAAAGACTTTACAATATATACAAAATCTAAAAAACGATTTTGAAATTAAATCTAATGTTGTTCAATAACTACTCAATTATGAAAAGTGGCTTCAAGTCTCCAAGCTTAGTTAAAACTGGGATGAAGCCCAAAATGACGATGAAATACTAGCAAGAAACACCTATCTAAATAGCCAGCGAACTTACTCAAACGAGCCTAAGAGAAAAAAAGAAATTGGTATTAAAAAAGTTTAATGGAAATAAATCCTAGTGTCTCAATTCATACCACCTTATTAATAGATGTATATATTTTTGATCTATTAAGTAACAGTGAATTCAAAAAGTTCAACACACCCCAGCCTAAAATGCAATATTCACACATGCCTATCAAACTTTTTATTCAGCCTTCTGATAACAATTGGATGAATAAAAAATACACTTTGAACTAAATTGTGGATGAATAATTATAAAAAAAATTGAATATCTTTAGCATAAAATCTGATCGATAATCGATAAAACCACTTGCCAGACCAGGTACTGCACCTTCAAATAGATTACTAAAAGGCAAAGTTCTAACATCATATCATCGACTATTAATTAAATAATATTGATTAATGTTCATATATATATACATTTAATTATTTTTTATAAGTTATATGATCCAAATAATATTTTTAAAGAACTATTATACATTATATAGATAATGATTGATATTTTAATACTCATCACACTCATAAAGATGGGAAATCTTTGTCATCCAATTGAATTCCTTACTCCTAAAATAATAAATAAATTAGTATACTTATTATCTTTATTGAGGTTTTTTATCTTGTCTATTATCATCTCCCTTTCTGTGGTTATCTCCTCTTCTTTAATCTCTTGTGTTGTTATCTCTATTTTATCTATCATGTTGTGGTCTATCTTATCTATCACCTTTGTATCCTTTATTTTATCTAGGTCCTCTATCTTGTCTATCTCCTTATCTATCTCCTTGTCTATCACCTCTTTCCTTTCTTTCTCCCTTTTCTTCTTAAGCTTAAGTTTCACCTTATTATTATTATTATTATTATTATTATTCTTAAACTGGTTCTTATTTATCTTATTATCTTCTTTCTCCTCTTCTTTCATGTTTTCTTTCAGGCTCTTAAGTTTGATTTGTGAATCCCAAGTATTCAGCAGCTTAGGTATTAAGCTCGCTTCTATATGGTTATTGTTGTCTTGTTTTTTTCTATTTTTGTTCTTATTGTTTTTTTTCGTCTTCTTTTGTTTTCATGACAAAAAGCTTATCCTTTTTCAATGCCTCTTCGTCAATTTGCTTGGTCACTTGTGGTTTGGTCTCAGTCTTCTTGAGAACGTCTTCAACATTCTAAATTAATAGTAAATATGATTACAGCTCCTCTTTATTAGTAATAATCGGCAAGAGTCTTTTCAGGGGCAGGAGGTTAAACTGGTTGTGTTGTTTATTCGTTTTATTCTTCTGTTGGTGCATCCTAAGTCTTTCTCTCTTTTGCAATATATTTTTCTTCTTTGAGGTCATCTTTGTAATTTCCCCAATTGTTTCTTCCACCACCTTCTTTTCTTTATTCCTTGCCTCTTCCAGTGCCAGACTATCTATCCTTTGGGTGTGGCTCAGCAGGAACGCCTTTTTGTTTAGGAGCGGGATTATCATGTTTAGTATTTTCTTTTTGTACTTACTCAACTGGTATCACCTATTCCTTGTTGTTATTATTTTTCTTAGACTTTTTCTATTATTATTCTGGGGCTTCTTCTGTGTCAGAGAAGTTGAGAACGTTGAATAAATTATTGCTCATAAAGATTTGAAAAATTATTTAATGTTTTCACCTTAATTACCAAGAATTAAATTAATTCGCTATATAATATATTTTAATAATAAAATTTTTGAAATGTAAATTTTATATTAATAAATGAACAATCAGAAATCCTTCTTTCAGGAGTAACTAAAATATCAATACATCAAAAAGTTTGGAACTCCTTAAGTCCAGTATCCTGCTGATCAAATGATTATCAAACAGAATTACTCTAAAGAATTCAATCAAGAATAAGTGGCATAACATTTTAGATATATTGAGCAATCTAATTAACTTATTAAACTTAATTATAATTAAAGCCATTTGAAACTAAAATATTTTGATTCTCCTATTAAATAAATAAAATAATGGGTTGTTGTTAACAAATGCCTGTGAAAGAGAAACTATAGAATTTTGAAGCTGGACAGATCTCATTTAAAGAAGAAATTTCACCTAAAACACTGCAAATGCAACCATTCTCTTTAAATTTAATTAAAGGGGATACAGATAGTATAGATAACCTAGAAAACGTCGAAAGACTAGGGAGCACATGTGTTGATAATGCATTGAATGAGAAATAACCAAGCAGAATAGAGAAAGAGGAGAATGTTGAATTTAAGGATGATGTATTTATTAACCTGAGATAAACTTAAAATCCACTCTAATTAGTTCGAGATAGCAGTAGCAAAAATCTTAACAAAAAATTTATAGGAATGCTTTGAATTTTCAAATATCGATTGCAATACATTTTATGAATTAATTATAGATACATTAAAAAATTAAAAACATTTATAAATGAAAGTGTTACTAATTTATAAAAATAGCACTCTGATTCCAAATATTAGATTACAATCTTATAATCTTCAACTCAATTTTAACTGATGATGTTTTTAATGTTATGTTAACTCATCAATTTTATAGAGAATTTGGGTCTGTTGAAATCTTGGTCGAGAAGACTAAGGATGGAACTTCAGACACAATGGTCATTCATAAAGAGAAGTAATTGAATTTAATAAAATAATAAGATGAATTTATTGTATATAGCTACTTTATTATTAAATAAAATATTATACAGAATTGTATGAATAAATAGATGACTAAATAATTACTGAATAAGGATAGCTGATAACAAATTTATAATAATTTATTACGAACTTGATGGATTGCGGTCTTGAGGATTACATTTATGTATTTTCTATTTTTGAGATTTCAAATACAAAAAACCATTTATATGTTAAGTTTAATAATTTTACTATATTATCATAATATTCTTAGTATAAAATGAAATTTTAGTCATTAATTGTTTATTGAAATGGATTTAGGACTGATAAACCGCACATAAAATTTAGAAAATCTCAATCGATTAAATGCAATCACCAAAGAATTAAATATTGATTTTCGAATCCTAGATTAAATATCTGAGACTGTATTGACAAATCAACTAAGATATGCAACAAAGTAGAATCTTATTTCTGATTATCTTGAATTCTATGTTGCTATGATTATACTAATAATATAAAATATACTCAAATTAAATTAACAGAAACATATGAGTATTAACCAAACAAATATCAGTGATCATTAACGTCACGGAAGCAAAGATTCTTATTCAAAAATACATACTCCAATCAAGCGAAAATTATCGGAATATGTAATTTAGAAATAAAGCTCTTATGCATAAATACACAAACCTGAAAGACAAAAACAAAAATCAACCCCCGATATTTTATAGTTACTCAAGAAATATTAGAAATGTCATACCATTTAATCCTAGCATCAACCTCCACAATAAAAGGATGTTGTGAGCAATCAAGAAATAAAAAAACATAAAACAGTCCACAATAATGATGCGTCACCTATTCGAGTTAGTTAAGAGGCTTTGCCCTTAAAGAATATAGTGATTAACAGAAAGAGACAAAGTGTCAGTGATAGAGATACAACTCTTCTTAAGTTGTAGGAATTGAAAAAGAAAATTCAAGAAAAAGTTCCTAATCCTCTGGAAATCTTAGGACCAGAAACTAACCCTATTTCTAACAGAATCACATTCTAAGCATCTCTCTAAACTGAAGAATCCAAGCTTATTTAAAAAACTGTAGATACCCCTGGGACTGCCTAATTCATGCAATCTAATAGAGATGATAATATCCAAGAACCAAGGAATCCATTTGAAAGGAATAATTCTTTCTAAGATATAAAGATTATGGATAATTAAATTTCACTTTAAAAAAATCTTGACTTTTACTTTGAAAAAAGAAAACCCTCCTGTTGTGAGGATAGTTTTAAACCAGTCCAAAAAACATAATAAATGACAAAACCATACTTCGAATCAAATAAAGGGGAAGATTTACAAAATAATAACTTTACAAATAGACTCGAATGCAGAAAAATCATGATCATACTCGACCAAGACAAAGAAAAAATATTAGATTAAATAGCTCTGAATCCTATCGAAATTCACAACTCTCCTACTAGTAGTGTTTGGGATAAGGCATTGAAAATTGATAGATTAGATGAATAATTAGGAAAATAAAAAACAGAAGAATCATTAAACATCAAATGTCAATAGATTAGATCAAAAAGAGGAAGTCTAAAAAATGAGAATGCTCCTTATTGGAAATTGAGAGACTTAGAATTAAAGAAGAAAAATAAATGATTTTAATACTTAAATTCTGTTCATATATTATTAATTTCATTATTCTTCAAGCTTATTGGATTGAATGAATAATACATGATATATAAAACAACTTTTACATATGAACTAAATTTTAATAAAATGATATTAATTTATGATTAAAATAGATGTGGAATAAGTCGCCCTATTTCAATTTATATATTTTCTTTAATTCATCTTTTATTTAACTTAAATAGTTAAATGTAACTAACATTTATAAAAATTTATGCTTTGCCAAATATTCATTATTAAAGCCTTTTTATAATTAATAGAATTATGTAATTAATCCTATTTACTTCATATAATATACTTTTGACATATAAAAACTGAATAGAATCCTAATTAGCTATTTAAAAAACAACAGAAATATTTTTAATAAGTAAATTGTGGTTTTAATTATGACTAATTTGGGATTTATTTTAGGTTTTAAAGTAATTCATGAATAATATGAAGTGAATAATAAAATTTAAACAAAAGGAAAATGACTTAAAGTGATAAATACAATGTAAGATGATTAAATCATTGCAATTCAATAATTTAAGAATGAATTATCATGAATTCTATTCTCTACATAAGGCCAGAAAAACTATTTAACAATAATAATTTCTTTTAGATTTACTTGAATAAAAGCTTTCAAGATTGTAGGAGTTCTAAATTCTGTCAATGAAAATGCTTTTAGATATTGAAATTTAAAAGGCTAACAAAAAATTACATTTACGATAATATTGATGATATAATCAAAGAATGTAATTAACCTCAAGATATCAATTTTGCATGATTAGATCACAAATTTAATATTAAGTATATTCAATTTCTTTATGTTATAATTAATAAATGATAAATTGATCTAAAATATATATATGGCTATTTAATAAATGAATCAAATACCATTTAAAATATTTGCCTAATTTGCTAGAAATTTAAAGGCACCTTTAAATGGATCTCTATAAATAATTATCCTTATAAATTAGGATTATTTTAAGAGAATGCAGCGATTGAAACATTTAAATACAATTATTGAGAAATTAATTATCAATTATATCTTCCAGTATTCTTGTTTCAGTGTTGAATTTTTAAAAAAGTTATCTTCAAATGTACCAGAATTAGTTAGAAGTATAGTATCATTTAATAATTATTATAAAAAGGTGGAGTATTTAAGTGATTTTTAATGTTGAGTGATGCTTAAAATAAATTTTTAATTATGATAAGATTCACATCCAGATTCAGGTTCGGAGCAAGAGCTAATCCATACATTAAGGCTTAGAAAACACTCAAAGTTGACGGAAAAGAGTATAAGTTCTTCAGTTTACCAGCTTTGGGGGATTCTAAATTAAGTAAGTTCGAGTTGTATATTGTATAGATCATTTACCATATTCGATCAGAGTGTTGTTGGAATCAGCAGTGCGTAATTGTGATGAGTTTGCAGTGACATAGAAGGATGTTTAGAATATCTTGAATTGGGAGACAAATGCTCCAAAATAGATAGAGATTCCATTCAAGCCCGCACGTGTCATCTTACAAGATTTTACAGGAGTGCCAGCAGTAGTAGATTTGGCTGCAATGAGAGATGCAATGAAGAGACTAGGTGGAGACCCATAAAAGATTAATCCATTGTGCCCAGTTGACTTAGTCATTGATCATTCAGTTTAAGCAGATGTATCAAGAGTACCAAGAGCATATGAAGAGAATGAGAAAATTGAATTCAGTCGTAACTATGAGCGTTTTGAATTCTTGAAATGGGGATCAACAGCCTTCAAGAACTTCTTGATTGTTCCACCAGGATCAGGAATTGTTCATTAAGTGAACTTGGAATACTTGGCAAGAGTTGTAATGGAAGAATAAGGATACTTATTCCCAGACTCAGTCGTAGGAACAGATTCACACACAACAATGATTAATGGTTTGGGAGTGACAGGATGGGGTGTTGGTGGAATTGAAGCTGAAGCTGTTATGCTTGGATAAACAATATCAATGGTCTTACCAGAAGTTGTAGGTTTCAGATTACATGGAAAATTACCATCAAATGTCACAGCCACAGATCTAGTCCTTACTTGCACACAAATGTTAAGAAAGAGAGGTGTTGTTGGTAAATTCGTTGAATTCTTTGGACCAGGAGTTGAGACCTTGTCTCTTGCCGATAGGGCAACCATTGCCAACATGGCTCCAGAATATGGTGCTACTATGGGATACTTCCCAATTGATCACAAGACTATTGATTACTTGAACTTAACAGGTAGACCAGAAACAAAAGTTAGATAAATTGAAGCTTATCTCAGAGAATAAGGATTGTTCCGTGATTACAAGAGTGGAAATGATCCTCACTTCTCTGGTGAAGTTTTAGATTTGGATCTTGCTTCAGTCTAACCATCACTCTCAGGACCAAAGAGACCTCACGATAGAGTACCATTGGCTGAAATGAAGAAAGATTGGGCTTCTTGTCTCAACAATAAGGTTGGATTCAAAGGATTTGGAATTCCATAAGAAAAATAAGCAGATGTTGCTGAATTCACTTATCAAGGATAGAAATATTCTCTTCAACATGGAAGTGTTGTTATTGCTGCTATTACATCATGCACAAATACAAGTAATCCAGAAAGTATGATTGGTGCTGGTCTTTTGGCTAAGAATGCTATTGAAAAGGGATTGAAAGTTAAACCATACATCAAAACCACTCTCTCTCCAGGATCTAATGTTGTCACTAAGTATTTCGAGGAATCAGGTGTCAGCAAATATCTTGATTAATTGGGTTTCACAACTGCTGGTTATGGATGCATGACTTGCATTGGTAACACTGGAGAATTAGATAATGAAGTTGCTGAAGCTATTAAAAACAAGGATTTAGTTGCTGCAGCTGTTCTCTCAGGAAATCGTAACTTTGAAGCTAGAATCCACTAATAAGTTAGAGCCAATTATCTTGCATCTCCCCCATTGGTTGTTGCTTATGCATTAGCTGGTACTGTCAACATTGATTTTGATACAACTCCAATTGGAACTGATAAAAATGGAAAACCAGTATTTTTGAAAGATATCTGGCCAAGCAGAGAATAAAGCAGTAAGGCTGTTGAATAAGCACTCAAACCATAAATGTTCAGAGATATCTACTCAAGAATCGCATAAGGAACAGAAAGATGGAATTAATTGAAAGTCAATAAGACAGATCTTTACTAATGGAAACCAGAATCCACTTATATTCACAACCCACCATTCTTCTAAACTACAGAATTGAATCCAAAATAAGTTTAACCAATCAAGAATGCTTATTGTCTTTTGAATTTAGGTGATTTCATCACAACAGATCACATCTCACCAGCTGGTTCTATTGCTGAAAACTCACCTGCTGGTCGTTATCTAAAGAGCAAAGGAGTTGCCAAAAAGGATTTCAACACTTATGGTGCCAGAAGAGGAAATGATGAAATCATGGCCAGAGGTACATTTGCTAACACTCGTATCATCAACAAATTGGTTAGCAAGGTTGGACCTTAAACTGTCTATGTTCCAACTGGAGAAGTCATGGATGTCTTTGATGCAGCTGATAAACACATGAAAGAGGGAAATCAAACTATTGTTTTGGCTGGTCAAGAATATGGTTCAGGAAGTAGCAGAGATTGGGCAGCAAAGTAATAATTTATATCATATTTCTTAGAGGACCATATTTGTAAGGTGTTAAATGTGTCATTGCATAATCATTTGAGAGAATCCACAGATCCAACTTAGTTGGAATGGGTATCTTACCACTTGAATTTTTAAAGGGAGAAAGTGCTGATACTCTTGGATTAACTGGAAAAGAATAATTCACTATCAATGTCAATGAAAGCAATTTAACTCTTGGTTAAACATACACCGTTGAAACATGTAATCATTTATTTCTATTATCTTTAGCAACTGGCAAGAAATTCTAAGCCAAATCCAGATTAGACACTGAGGTTGAAATTGAATATTACAAACATGGAGGAATCTTGTAATATGTTTTAAGAAAACTTGTTAAAGCATGATATATATGCATTCAAATAATATAAAATACATCCTCAAAATGTTTTCAAATTCAATAGATTTGAAACTCCATTTCCAGTTGGAATCCAACTAATGTTTGGACTTTTAGCTAAGGTTTCGGCAATATGTTTGGCAGTCTCTAATTTCTTAATTTCAATCTAGGCTATTATATTGAATAATGAGTTAGTACCTGTGCCATAAGATTTCACTGCTTCATTGATCAATCTTGCAGCTTCTGATTCTCCTTCAGATAAAATGATCTTTGCATTCTTTTCTTCTTCATCTCTCAACACAATGAACTTTTATCTTTCAGCCAATTACTAGGCCACCTATTTAGCCTCAATTGCTTGAGCATATTCTTTCATGAATCCCAAATGAGTAATTGATACATCTTCCAAGACAATTTTGAATTCCTTTGCTCTTTCAATCAAACCTTCCTTAATTTCCTAGGATATCTTCTCTCTCATTTTGATCAATTGATCTGCATCATATTAGGCCACGACTGCCTTCAAGACTTCATTAGCAATAGATGGAAGAATCTTCTCTTCATAATTTAAACCAATAGTTCTAAGATGGATAATATTTGCAATTCTACTTATAAATTTCAGGTAAATATTATTCAATTGGTTTATGAAGCATCCTGATAGCAATATCCACAGTTTGTAAATCTTTGGTACCTGTATGAGATGCCACTGTTTTTGGTTATAGACGCACTTCAGCCACAATGGGTGACTAGAGAATCATTATGCAATTCAAATACTTAAATAACTGGAATGAAAAAGTGCATTCCTTCTCCATAGACAGATTCTTTCACTCCTTAAAATCGATCAAAAATTAATCCTCTTTATCCTCCATCTACGGTATAGAAGAAGGACTTGAATAAAATTCCACCTCCGACAAGTAGGGATCCTGTTGTTAAGATGAGATTTGCAGCTCTTTCCATTTTTAATTATTAATTATGGAGAAAAATTAATTTAAATATTTGACAAACCAATTCAATATTCAATAATGGTTCGGATCCTGTAAATCATTTTTAAGCATGTGTTTTCATTTAATATTTATGTCCTTCTTTATCAAATTCAGAGGAATAACATAAATATAATCATGTAAATCTCAATTTAATAATTTAATATATGGATTAAACTAAAGTCAAAAAATCTGGAGGATTCGAATCTATGGGATTAATCCCCGAACTTTATAGAGCTATCAAGACCCAGGGATTCAATGTTCCCACTCCAATCTAAAGAAAAGTTTAATGCCGATTTATCTAATCTAGGCAATACCATAAATATTGGCAGGACGTGACATTGTGGCTTGCTCAAAAACTGGATCTGGTAAAACAGCCGCCTTTTTGATTCCCCTAATTAATAAGTTGCAGAACCATAGTACAGTTGTTGGTATAAGGGGATTGATTCTTCTACCAACAAGAGAGTTGGCATTGCAAATAGCTTCAGTGTTAAAAGCCTTATTAAAATTCACAGATATTCAATACTCTATAATGGTTGGAGGTCATGGTTTTGAAGGTTAATTTGAGAGTTTGGCTGCAAATCCTGATATTTTAATTTGTACTCCTGGAAGAGTGTTGCAACATCTATTGGAAGATAGATTGAAGTTATCAAGAGTCCAAATGGTCATTTATGATGAGGCTGATTTCTTATTTGAAATGGGTTTGGCAGATCAACTTAAATAAATCTTAACCCATCTTCCTTCTTAAAAACAATCATTAATGTTTTCTGCCACCATTCCAGAGTAGCTCAATATGTTCGCATCTGTTGGACTAAAGGATTACATATTTTGTAAATTAGACAAAGAGTTTCAATTGCCAGATTCAATGCAATTACATTTTCTATTTGCAGCAAACGATAACAAATTGAGTGCTCTCATATATTTGATTAGATAACTCGAGGATACTTGTTTGGTGTTTGCCTCAACTCGATTTCTGGTTGATATGCTCTCTTATGCCTTAAACAAATTCCATATCTCGTCTGTTCATGTTTATGGTAAAATGGATTAGTTGGACAGGAAAGAATAGTTAGATAACTTCAAAAGGAATCAAGTGAAAGTTTTGATTGTTACTGATTTGGCAAGTAGAGGTATAGATCTACCATTTGTCGCCAATGTTATACATTATGACTACCCATCGAATCCTAAAATATTTATACACAGATCTGGTCGTACAGCAAGAGCAGGTAAGGCAGGTTATGTATACGCATTGATATCATCAGAGGAGATTCTTTACATTAAAGAAACAATGATATATGTTGGTAGAAAATTAGTGAATGACGGTGATTTTAACGACCCTTCATTGGCATTTTACGGTAGTATGCCAATTGAGTTGTTAATGTAAAACCAAGAGAAATTGAATGACTTGAATGATGACATTGAGTTTTAGAATTATAAAGAAATAGCAACCAGAGCTAATGAAAAGTTTCGTAAAACCAGAGGATCAGCCAAGAAGGTAAAGACAAATATAGATACCAGTTTGGTGCATCCATTGTTTAAGGATAAGATCTAAGTTGAGGAAGACACAAAGGATATGCTTAATTAAATTAAGAATTTCAAATCTACTTAGAGTGTCATAGAAATCAAGAAGTTTGAATCAAATTAGAAATCGGATCCTTTTATGAAGGCTGTGTCTCATTTGAAGGATGTACAAAAGCGTAAACCTCTTCCAAAGATAGAACTCAAGGAATAGCCGAAATCATTAAATATCGAAAATTTTATGGATCAAAAGTTCTTTATTCCAACTTAAAGGGATCCAACCAAAAAGTCAGAATTTGAAGACTTACATAAGATTACACTGGAGGATATCAATCCATTTGTAATTTCAGATGGGACTGATGCACTCCGTAAGAGAAAATAGATGGTTTGGGATAAGGATAAAAAGAAGTATGTAAACCCAAAGGCAACTCAGTAACAAGACAAGGAGGATCGTGGGATGAAGGTTGAAAAAGGAAAGCAGAATTTTAAGAAGTGGTAGAAATAAACAAGCATCTAATTGTAGAATGTGGGAGAGGAAGAAGTAAAGATTTGGTTGAAATTTAGGATCAATAAATAGTTTCTCGAGCGAAAGAACTTTTTAAGAGGAGACAAATGAGAGGCAAAGGATATTACTTTAATTAAGAGGAGGGATAATAGAGAGGAGGGAAGTAGGAGATAAAGAGACCAGAGCAACTGTTGAAAGTAATGTGTTATTTATAATTTAGTCTAAAAAAATAAAGAAGAACTTGAAATTGAAGAATATGGAGAAGGGCAAACGTAGACAGATCGAGAAGAAACAAAGAAAGAATAAATTGTGATTAATAAATATATATTTTTTATTATTATGGACGGAAAGAAGGTTTTGGTAGCAGATGACGAACCCTTTGCTCAGAATCTGATTAAAATGCTTTATGGAGCTCTCAAAGTAGAATGTGTAGTGGTATCTAATGGAAAGGAAGCACTGGAAACGTACTAAAAATCACCTAATTTCGCTCATGTTTTAATGGATATTCATATGCCAGTTATGGATGGATATGATGTAAGGGAGTGAACATTTTATTAGTCGACCAAACAAATAAGAGCTCATGAGAAAGCAAAAGGATTGCCTAAATGCAAGATATTAGGATTGAGTGGGGGTAAGAATAGATATTAATTAATTATTTATCAGATGGAGATCCAAAGACAAAGACAGCATGTTTAAATGCAGGCATGGATGACCTCTTAGTAAAGCCAATAAAGAAGGAATAATTGTCATAGTATTTGTGATTTACACAACTTATATTTTATTGATTTCTGCAACATTTAATATTTAAATTGAAAATAAACAATATTATAATTGCTAATATTGGAATGGATTATCATAATAATCACCAAAATGGACACCATCCCAAGTAAGCCTACGCAATGTTTTCATGATTAGTTGCTTATAGTATAAGTTGATTGACTTGACTTTCTGTCGACAACACTTCATGCTCTTTGAAATCTCTTCCTTGTAATTTTTTCTTGATTCTCTCAATAACCTCTAACCCCTTCTAATTTTATAAATCATCTGGTATTTCCCTCTCTTCATCAGCGAATTCAAAATAAATTTCCTTCTCTCTTCCACTCTCCTTTCTCTTCAGAGTTTATTACTGTTTTCCGTCATCAATTATGCTGCCCCTCCTTTTAGCTTCCGGAATGACTTGAATCAAACTCTTCCCCTAGTTAATTTCCTTATCATTGAGTTAATTGATCATTTATTGTGGAATTTACTTGTGTAAATCTACATTCCTAGCCTCCTTTTTAGGTTTATGATCTTATGCATTCAAAAGTCTCCAAGTAAGTAAAGGATCATATACAAATGAATCTAACACAGCCAATAGAGATCTAAATCATAGAATTAGTAATACTCTTTGTTTTCCCTTAGTACTCTCATTACAACATTACAAGTATGTCTATATACACCTTCTATTCCACAAGCCTCCATTGCTTTTACCAACATTCTAGTAAGTCTGAATGGGACTCTCTCTGGATATTTCTCTCTCTTCATTGCCACTTCTATTAATGTATAAGCATGTATCAATTACCAAAACAATCTCCAAAATCTATATGTACAATTTTACCAGTTAATTTTTGCAACATAAAGTTGGATGGATGTCTGTCTCCTAATCCCAAAATATATCCTACCATTGACATAGTTGCCAAAGATCTTGTGTAATTGATTCTCCTTTCAAGCCAAACCTCAGAATTGGGTGATTTTATCCACAAAACCTTTTACAAATCCTCCCCTCTTGTATTTTCAAGTATGTGTCTGTAAATCTCAACTTTGTTAGGCAAGGGTAGATTTTGATACTAGGCACAAAATTATTCCATTAAAGTGCTTTCTGCATTGGGTCTGATTGCATATTTGTCCCTATATTCTCTTACTAATTGTTGCAAAGTATCACAATTCTATACCCATCCTAATAATCCAGTATTATGAGATAAAGGAATAACAGAGTATCTTGTAATCGTAAGATCTTTCCTCTCTGTTTCAGTATCATTTGTAAGTAAACGATTTACTAGTGAAAATAATTACATCACTCTTTCATCTTACCTTAAATCCTCATGTCCTTTTAATAAGAAATGGTACTCCTTTGAATCATTTCCAAACATCTTAACTTATCTTGGATGCTACTTACTTGATAAGACATCTAATCTAGGAGCAAATCCATTGATTGTAATTAGTTATTTGTTTGGTTTATACAATCCAGGAATACTAATCTCACAATTTTAAGTAGCCAGCAATTTTGGAGATACATTCTCAAGATGAACCTTCTTCATTTTTTCTAAACTCTTCTAAACTTTATGATAGATTCTCGTATAGATATCAAAAGCAACACATAAACATACTTAATCTTCAGTTCTTAAATACCTCTATAACCAAGCTTCAGCCTCAAATATCTCTTATCCATATGTTTGATGAAATGAGATCTCACTTAAACTCTCAAGTTTAACTCTCATATTATCATGTAATCCTCTTAAAATTCTCTCGACATGTGTTTTATTCTTATCTTATGAAAAAGATGTCCAAGCCTCTTGGATTCCTTCTCTCCATGCTTCTTTCAATAATATGGCAGTACGATTGAGTTCTTCACTAATTATTAGGGCTTCATTAACAAGAATTGGAGAATGCTTTTTCATATCATCCAATATCTTAAGTACTTACAACCTTTTAATTTGATTTTTTGATTTGCAAGCAACAGTCAAGGGATATATAAGAGCTTAAGGGTGAATGCGACTGATGTGAATTAATAAATCTTGTAATAGTTATTGAATTATTGGATTTTGAATTTGGATTCTGGCTAGTATTTATGGAATGACATCAATCCAAGCTATAACATCTATTTATTTGTAGTTCTGTCTGAATTCATCAGATATAGCAGCTTCCATTCCATACTTAAATATCAAGGATAACAGACGCAAAGTATCTTATAGAATGTATCTACCCTTCTTTATATCTCTACTTCCTAAGGATATGGATTTCAAGAATCCTTTGACTGCTGCGAATACATGTGCATTCATAGATTATCTATTTTCTTATTATTCAATAACTTCGAAATTGCATAATCCATAATAATGCCATGCCTTAGCATAAGTGGAATTATATTGCAAGGATTCATCGAATTATTTAGTAATCTACTCTAAATCACTTGTTGATTCTGCTCTTTCATAAGCCCATTTTCCTAGAGTAAAGAAAGTCTTAGCTTTTAATTTAGAATCAATAGAACTGATTTATTCCTAATTGGTGAAGTACTCTCTAACCTAATCTAAAATTTAGATTTCATGTTTGGCATGAACATATTCAAATTGCATATTGAAGATGTGAAGAGTGACAGGCAGAGGAGCCTATCCCTAATTCTAGAATTATTCTTTCAGTATTTCAATGGTAGATTTACACAGAACCATTTTTTATCTCTTCAAACATAACTTAGCAAATTTAATCCAAATGTCAAGATCATGTACTTTTGGTAAATATAATTGTCTGGTGGAAAGCAACCGATACCAGACATCAATATCCTTTGGTGCCCCACTTAACCTATCATGCCATATATCCTTTAGCTTCTTCTTACGAATTTCTAATTCATCCAATAATTTAATATATGAATATTCACCTACATTCTCTTAAGCTGCCTTCTAAACCTTATTTTCAAATTGTTTGATTTCTATAATTTCTTCCATTTCAACTAACTATTGCAATTTCAATACTCCATCCTAAGCTCTATCATATGATTCCTATAATAATCCCGTCACCAAACCATCCAATCTCTCTCTACTCTTCCTTACTTATATCTTTGCTTCATCTAATTGTTCTTTTGATATGCAAACAGCGGCCTTCCAAAATGGTTTGTCCAACTCTTCAGCATTCACTTGCTCATTATAAGTAGCCAATTTGTCCCATTACCCTAAATGCATAGCAGCATTTGCAGCTAAGTGAGCAATTTCCTTTTTTTTCGCATCTTCATTGCTTTTAAAAATCTCCTCAGCTTAACTAATCAAAGTTTACCATTACATCAAAGCATTCAAACATCTCATCTTAGGAACTACCAATTTAATTGCTAAATCCATTCTTTGATCATTTTCATACTTCAATTGTTATTGTCTGTACTCCTATAAGGCTTCATCCCATTTCTTTAATCGCTCATAATCTGTATTTTACACCTAAATCTTTAGGGATTATTTAGCATAAGTCAATAAACCATTGGCAGATTCCTGCAATCCCAAATTTGTATAAAGAGATATCAAAGATTGTATGGCTTTTAAGTTAGCAGTCTCAAATTCATGTTCTCTATAATAAAGAGCCTTCGCATATGCCATACATTTTTCAGCCAATTCACCTAATGAACTAATATCAATCTGTAATCCTTCTTTGTCATGTTACATGAATTCTGCTAAATTTAGAATAGTTTATGAAATTTAGAGGGGAATGTTTTCTGCCTTAATAACTCTAACCAAATATTACACCATCAATTCTTTGTGCTTATCATTCAAGAAATACCAAGCTGAATCGAATGCAATATTGAACAATTCATACGCTAATGTTTAATACATTTCAGCAATAGAAGAGCAAGGACTCAATACAAGAAATGGAGATAACTTCAATAATTCCACACTTGTATTACGCATCCACTCTTACCATTCTTCCTTTAGCTTTCTTTATTCTGTATCAAATTTAGCCACTAATTCTTCAGGTTCGATCTTCTTGTACATAGGTGCGTTTGGTTCAATTGAATAATAGGAAGTAATCTAAGATGGAAATAATTGCTCAATGGCCTTGCAATCCTCATCCAATAGATTATTCAAATCTTCTAAATTACCATACATCAAAAAGATTTCAACTAATTTTTAATATTATTAATGATGTATCTTATATTTCTGTACTTGCAAATGGATCATCGGTAAATACACAAGCATAAGATTCTTATGTTATAAGATTAGGTTGACAATGCAATTTAACACTGTCTGATGCATTTCTAATTGCTATGGTGTTTTTGCACTTAATTCTACTAGATTTAACAACGAGTTCACAATCAATGATAAATATTGAACTGTAGTTGGGCATTTCCTTGACAAAGATACAAACAAATTAATTATGTCCTTTCTAACTTCCAATAAAACACTGGATACTTCCTTACTCAACAACTTACACATAAATGGAATGAACATATGCAACTAAGAGTCTAGTAAATTCTCTAACAATATGTATATCTTTATTCCTTTACGAACCAGATCTTTCTCCTCTTCAAATTGACTGATTTCCTAATTTATTAGTCTGACTAATGGTTCCACTTTATGTCTTAAGTGCTACTTACTACTTTTAATCAATGTCTCCATAATCTCTAAGCCTATCAACACTAACTTTGATGACTCTTATCCCTAACAAAATAGCATTACACAAGCAATCACTTAATCTATATATTGAGGATTGAATTATATTCCACATAAATGGATCACTTTTTACAAAGATGTCAATACTTTCTCTCTCATTTCTTCATTCCTTTACAACAAACGAGCAAAGACTGGTATTAGATAGTTCAAATAACTAGCTGTCTTTGCTTTAAGTGTACCTATGATCCACATAATTGTTTCAAGTGCTAATTCATGGTTATTCGATAAAGATGGGTCCAACAGAATTTGTAATAGTGTTTTTAGGGTCACCTTTGAATAGTAGTCAATATCATTAAGTTAAATTACAGGGACTTATTAAAACAATTCTTCAATATCTTATGAATTTATAGCTTAATGATAATGAGATTGAGCATCCAATGTTGCTGATTTTGTTATTAATGCACCACTATTTTGATAAAGTAATGTATCTTAATCAGTTTGCATTTTCAATTTTCCAAGATGTAAAAACATTTTAGTGCTGAAATTACCGATAAGTATCAAATCCTCACTATATCCTCTAACTTCATTCATTAATTCACTTGATGAAACAGAATTGAGAGCGTTTTGATAGTTTTTTAGAAATTTGAATTTTTGTTTGGTTGGCACTCCCTAAACACTTTTGTAAATAAATGAATCTACAGCTCCTAGATTGCCTAGTAATTTCAAACATTCTTGTCTCATTTCTGGGATAGTTTCAGTTCTGATTAACTAGAATATGACATCCATTAGATTGGGAAAACGATAATAAGGGAGTACAACAAATCCTGTATTTTTTATAATTAAATTTAGAGATTTAACAGCAGCTTCTCTTTTAAGAGTCGAACTCTTATCTTGCATTGCTGTTATGATGATATCAAACACTTCCTTTAAATTTACTAAGATTTCTTAATTAGCTGTTTCTGTTAACTAAGCAAATGCCTGTAGCAAATATGAAGTTACAATTGCACTGGTGTTGGGATTCTTTAGATGTTATTGAATGACCTTGGCTATATTGCTAGTGTAGGGTTGGACAATAGTACGACCATGTTTGATTAGTGATGTCAATAAGTATAATTTATTAATGGTTTGCTTTTCAGGTTGATTGTTATCAAAAGTCAGAGTTTATAGATATTCAAATAGAGTCTTCTTTAGAAAAGGGGTAATTTCTGAGGGATTCAAAATGGATAGACGACATAGAATAGTCAAAGCAATTTCTTGAACTTCTGGAATTGGATCATTCATGCATAAAAACAATTTCCTCAAATTGTTAGGTGAATTTAAATATGGATCAAAATTCTCATTTAGAGATGCAAGCATAGTTTGTCTAATATCCTATTCAGTGTCTGAAATGGCAACATTCATAAATTTATCTAGGATTTCGTACATAACATTTTTAGAGATCATCTACTGTCCTGTCGATCTACCCTTCTTTATGTACAATAGACATCCTGCTTTTGCAGTAGCCTTCCTTATAATTGGATTAGAATTAGCAAGATTGGGTAGAACAGCATCCTTCACAAAGATTGCAAGACTGTCCTATAAATCAAATGAAAAAGTGCTGAGTGTTTGAATAGCATTAGCTATGGCTTCAGGAGATCTGAATTCTGTAGTAGTGATGGCCTTTTGTAAGTATCCTTAAAAGTCATTCAAGACACTGCTCTCAAAGTTTTGTTACTTAGGATTTACGAAATTGATGATCTTTCTCAGAAGAATAGCTGCAATTGTTTATAAGAGCTTTTATTGGATGTAATTAGATTGTCCGGATTGTTATCTGCATAATTAATTCAGAAATTAGACTGACTGAGGATGTAAACCATTTAAGAGTATTTACTTAAATGAATATGAAATATTGATACGTCTACGAGGACATCAACTGATGTGAATTCTGAGAACTTCCTTGTATAATTCTAAAATATCACTTATAAACAGTGAATCATTTCAACACAAAAGTTCTTTTGTAGTAATTCTTACCTAATATGCAAGATAACCTTCTTAATGAGATCTTGCAGCATATTCTCATTTAAAAATGAGATGAGCATAGCCAAAGTCATGTAGGGCAGACTTTTATCTTTCACATGTCTTGATTGTGTTGTCTATGATAATAGAAATGATATGCTCTATTCCATAAATTCCTAGACTGAATTATGTTTAGCATGTTTGGCCAAGATTGGCAATGTCTCTATCACTGCCTTATTGATAATAGCTGATCTATGGTCTTTTTTAGATAGCACATATTCTCCTTAATCATAGATTTGATTTTGTGAAAAGACCTTTTCATAATAATGATAGAGATTACATCTTATTTGGCATATGTGAGTAGAATTTTTATCATCATAATATTGCCATGAATGTATTCTTCCTCCTTCGATTTTTTTCTAGATTCAATTTCATCTGTATAAATTTTCACTAGATAATCTTAGTAGGATTCTATAAAACTTTAAGAATTTGATACATTCTCTTTATGCAATTTATTTTACAATTTCACTAAATAAATCGAGGGCTGCTTCTCGTAATGCTTATTATTTTGATCTGATGGCCCCGTGAATGAGTGTAAAGTTGCGATCTGTTTGCATGGTTTGAAATAACTTATTGAATGTGATTGAAGCAGCCTCATTTAAAATTTCCTTTAAACTAAGCACCCCAGCTAATTTATATTTTTCGCTTCTCAATTATTTTTGTGCCTCCACAAAATGTGAATCTACTACTTGGGCTATTTTTGTTCCACCTAATCTGAGTAATTTTCCAAAGACTTCTGCACTCTTCCTTAAGAATTTTTCATCATTGTAGATAAATTAGCCTGACACATTTGGAATAAACTTATTTACGAAGGTTAACACTTGAGCCTCTTAGACAGTGGTTGTCAATTAATCCAATGCCAATATCCCTCCTATTAATTTATAATTCATCATCATTACCAAACTTCTCGTGAATCTCAGGACTATTAATGAGTTTTTGAATCTTGTTGAACAAATCATCACTCTATTGAATGTATTTGTAGTAGACACTCTACAATTCCATGGCTGCTTTCTCCTTTTATTCATTTGGCACTTTTGCAGCAAGGTCCTTAAAAATTCTCTGCAATTCCGGTTTCTACATTATTATTTTTATTAGATACATATATACACACATGCAAAATTAAGAGTCCCAATAGAATTCCTTAGTATGCTTTCCAATATATTCTCAAGGCTGACACTCAATAATAAGTTTGTGAAACCTATCAAGCTATCACCGAATTCTTTGATCAACTACCCAATTGCATTACAAGTAATATTTAATCCTACAACCCAAGCACTCAAGAAGCAACACCTCCTAGACAAAGCTAGTGTGAACACGAGATTTGTATTATTGTGTCTGACTACCTTGACAACAGCAGGATTAACAGCAAGAAGTAAAATATTGAATAATGCAGTCACTCCATCATTTATCAAAGTAACAAGGAATACCATATTCAGTTACTTAGGTGCAGGTCTCTTCATTGTACCCGAAGTGTTTAACCCGTACTTAATATACAGAAAATGATTATTATAGTACATAAAATATAATTAATGAACATCAATTTTGGATTATCCAGTATTATTCCCATCCTTCTCATCAGCAGCTGTTACAGCCTAGGCATGATGTGGTTTATTTTCAGCATCATAACCACCCTCATTTACTTTATCATCAGATTCATTTGTAAATTATTGACATTTCCAGGATCGTACTCATTATTTTTCAAATACTATTCATTGTATGACTATAATAAAGACATCCTGTATAATACAATAAAAAAACTCAAAGTCTTCAGATAATTAGATAATAGAAACTCATAAGCACAAATATAAGAAGCCAAAGATTACTTTACACTCTAACACTAAATATTCGAACAAATGAAAGGATAATTAAATTAATAGTAATAAACCTACTCAAATTTATTATCTAACTTGATGGAGCTATTACTATCTTAATAGAATTAGCAATTAATTTAGAATTAATCAAATAATATCCAAAGATTTTTCGATTGCTACTTGGATAAACTTCTTAAAATCAACCCAATTATCAGACCCTTCAAATCAGATGTATTATTTGGAACTTTAGAGTAATTTAGACATGAAATACTACTCACAAATCCAAATGCTTCCAGACACATTATTAAATATAAAAATATTTCAATTGATTGCATTCACTTAGCAAATAATAGATTAAACCGTCCTACAGTTTTGTTTTGCAATCCAAATGCCGCATATTATGAAACCCTGTATAAGAACGTAAAACCATTTATAATATTAGTGTACTTGGATAAAAGTGTATTAAGACCTGAAAATTAACATAATTCTCTGGAATTATTGCGAATATGGTTGCAGTACTGGAACTGCAACTCCAACTAATTTGATTGAATCAGGTATTTTTGTTGTTCAATACTTCCTGACAAAATTTAATATAAAAACTTTAGGTGTTCATGGATCCTCTTTGGGAGGAATGGTTGCATAAGAAATAGCTTACAAGCTTAAACTATCCTTTTTGATTGCAGATAGAACCTTCTCTTCTTTAGGTTAGGTTGCGACAGCTTTAGTGTAAATTAAATTATTATTAAGCCTTAGGCTTGATCTTTCAATCGCAAGATTTCTATTTAATTGTATACTAAACTGGGATATTCCAAATTATTTATCCTTTTGTGAATTCAGAGGGCCCAAATTGATAATTCAAGATCAAAATGATGAAATTATAGCGTATAAAGCATAATTGTAAACAGGTGTGGTTAGATAGTTCTTTACAAATTAAACATACTCACCATTACACTCCTACTTCAATCTTGAATCTAAATGTAATTACCCATAATTATTTAAATAGAATATATGGATTTTTTTTTTAGCCAAATACTGCCTAAAACTGAAACAATGAGGTTTAGTTAATCTCTAAAAATATTAATACATAGTTAAAACAATTAAGAATTGTATTAGGACTTAAAAGCACTGCTTACATAAATAGAGTATTGTCAGAATCAATTCTTGGCTGTTATGGATACAAATCCTACACCAGAAAAAATTGCTTTATTTTTTGGTAGTTGCTTTATGTTCAATTAAAAGATAGCTAAACCTATAGGAAAAATAAGAAATGATACTAGAAGACCTTTAGAGCAACATAATTCATAATTTAAAGAACGCCATGAACATGTTGAGATAATTGTAAATTGCATCAATAAAATTGCTAAAAATTTTAGTTAAACTTAGTAAATTTAAAGATTGAGATAAAGAAGAAATTAGAAATATATTGATTACTTAATAGCAGTTAATTGCGGACATAATGGAAACTTAGATATGAAAGAAGAGGAAGAGTTTAAGAAATATTTTTTGTCTAAATTAATTATGGGAGCTTAAATTTGATATTATATTTACATAATATTTCAACATATAATTATTAGCAGATTCTTCTCTTAGTCTATATCTAATAGAGCAATGAATATTGGAATGGTTTTGAACTCTTAGAGTGAAAGGGGATGGTAATAGCTTCTCTTTTAGAAGCGTTGAATTAATATTTAAAATAAGTAGAATTATTATTGAATAATCCAATTTTTATAGGATGAAATGGTTGAGATTCATAAAATACTAATAGTTTATGTAATTGTTTAAATTATTTATTCGATTTATATCAAATAAACTAAATTGAAATCATTATTGTATTATTATTTTATATAACAAATGTCAATTTAATATACTTAAGATGAATTGCTTACCTTTCAATATTTCTTTACTATGTGCGATTAGACTGTAAATATTTGTTATCATAAATCTTAAAGGGCTAAGGAATACTAGGTTAAGATATGGTGATCAATTTCTTTAAGGCAAGTGGTTTGAATTAATAGATTTTAGGAGTAATTACTTTACTAATATTTTAGGCTATTTGGTAAATTACATCATCCAATGGACAGACATTCACTAAAGATGAATTTTTTGCTGCGCTTAAATTGATTGCATTAGCCTAAAATGGTTATCCGCCAGATGAGAAATTGCTATCCAAAAACGTCTCCTGCCCCTTGCCTTTACTCTAAGGCTTCTAACCACCTATATACGATATCCAAAATGAATAGTTGCAAAAATATGAAAATTATTTTCTAACCATAGATTAGGAGGGCACTTAAATAATCCAGGGTATGCAAGCAAGAGCCTTGTTTTCTAAATCTGGCTTGAGTTTAGATCAACTAAAAGAATTATGGAATCTTTGTGACATTGGAGAAAAGGGTCATCTAAACAAAGGAGAATTCATTGTGGCTTTACACCTTGTTTAATTGTGTTCTAAATTTAAATATCCTTTGCCCATCACCTTACCAGATTCTTTATTATAGATTGCTAGAAGATTCTCCAGTAACCCTAATGGAGGTAGATTAGGTTCAAATTCAAATTTGGTTCCTCAATAAAGATTTGGTTCCAATTCAAATCTACTCAGTTAGCCTAGACCTAGATTAGGATCAAATGCCAATATTGGAATTTAACCAATTTAAAGTGTTCAATAGGTACAATCAACTATTTAGCCCTTAAATATTCCAACAAATGTAAATATGATTCCTGGATACGATCAAAACGGGATTAATTCCGTTAGGCAATAAGTCAACGATTCTACATAACAAGTTTATCTGATGTAGAATTAATTAAATTCACTTTATTAAAGTATTTTACTTGAAAAGCAAGAAGATGTAAAATAGATGTAAGTTTTGAATGATAAGTAATATAATGTTTTATTTCTAGTTTGAAACTGATCTTGTAAAATCTGTAAGAACAATATAGAGCCATTAATGAAGAACTTAGTAGAATAAGAATGCAGAAATAAGGGTTAACTTAGTAGAATCATTAATTGCAGTAATAAATAGGAATGTAGATGCAATAGAATAAAGATTAATTTGCTTAATTGTAATAAGAGCAATAATTGCAATAAGAATAATAATCATATTTATCATCACCACCTTAATTTTAGGCCATGCCATAAAATTAATAAATGTAAACATTAAGTTAACCACTTCCATAATAAAATTTTGGATTTTCAAATACCCTTGTATTTACTTTTATTTTATTGTTAGAATTATGGCAATAGTAGCCCCTTACCTTAAACTAATTAGATCAAGATCCAACCCTAATAACCAATTGTTCAATTTAGTGTAGATGAGGTTTAGAAGCAACCTGGTATATTAAAAAATCAAGCAGGTATTTGTTTGTATTTAGATTTAGAGACATAAAAAAAACAAGTAACGTTTGCATAATAAGAAGAGTAATTTCCTTGGTGATTAGCAAAAAATTAACAATATATAAATTTAATCATTTTAATCTTCTTGGTTTGTCAGAAACTTCTGAAATGTTAAGTTCATTCTGCATTTTTTATAGTTTATCTTCCATTCTTCCAATAACATTTTAGAATTTATATAAAAATGATTCCTAAAATTCAAGACCTGATTTTTAATAATCATCGCCATCATCTAAATGAAAGCTATTTTTTGGAAGATGATATTCCCTTTGATTTTTGGTCTCCTTTATTTATTATTATTGTAGTTAATGATTTATTTTATTATTAGTAAAAAATGTTTTGGGTTATCTATGAGAAACAGGTTGAGTATAAATTATATTTGTATTTATAGGTTTAGTGTACATAGGTTAGGAATATGAAGGTTATGTATGTAAAGGTTAGGTTTGGACAGACAATGATGGTTAAATATATTTTTCATATTATAATGGGGAAGAATACAATTATTATTACTATTATTATTAATATTATTGTTACTATTATTATTACTGTTATTAATATTACTATTATTATTAGTATTATTATTATTATTATTGATATTACTATTATAGTTATTGTTACTATAATAGTTATTATTGTTGAAATTACTATTATTGTTATTATTATTATTATTATTATTATTGTTATTATTATTATTATTATTGTTATTACTATTATTATTGCTATTATTATTGTTAAATTTAATATGGTATTAATTACGATTGAATATATGATGTATTTTAAGGATAAGACTAAGTTGGTATTTCTTTTTTCTCTCTTTCAATTATTCTCTCATATTGAGATAGTAGTTCTTTTTAATCCTTAATGACACCTTATAATTTCAGAACCTCTTCTTTGTGTTATTCATATAACTAATCATACTTCTACTTCTCTTCTGTAACTTTATTTGTTAAAACTAAGTTTTTGTTTTTCAATTCAATCATTTAATCCTCAACTGCCATTTTTTGTTAATAGAATGAATTTTAAGTGTCTAACTTCTCAATTTCATTTAACTTTTCATACGATTGTATTAATTCGCTTTAATTATCTATGATGCCTTATAACTTTTTAATTTCTTCAAAATGCATAGATTGCTACTATTCTAATTTTTTATTAAACTCTTCTCTCAATTATTTTATGCTGATTTCCTTTTACAAATTTTATTATCTACTCTAATCTAATTGGGCTTGAAGTTTTTCATTTTGATCTTTAAGATTTGTTATTTATTCAATTTATTATTCAATCAGATATGAAAATTCTTAACAATCTCTAGTTAACTACTCATTTTCTTATTGTAAATCTAGTGTAAATTTCATTTGTACTTTGGTTGTCATAGGACAATTAGTAAATAGTTTCTTAAACTCTCTAGACTTCCTAAGCCCATTCTTCTTTGAGGTATTATTTTTCTTAAACTTCTTCAGAGGCTTCCTTGAGTTATTATTTTAGCAAATTATTTTATTGCAACAGAAGAGCCAGGCTTCCTTTGATTTCTTAATATTTGATCTAATAATCAGACATTTGAGTTGAAAGCCAATAAAATTTGAAAATAAAATAGTTATATATAATAATATCATTTTGTGTGCTTTCCATTAGCCCTGATTGGTTTAGGCTTTTAGCTTGGACTTTTGACTTTTTAAACTTTTGTTTGAGTCTTAACTTTAGTAGAGATGCTCTGGATTTGCTACTTTTATTGGATAGAAGCTCTTGAATTATAAGTATTTTCTAAATTATAAATTTGTTTGGATTTTCTGAATTGTGCTGATTATTGGGTATCAGTCATAAACTACTATTTCTCAATCTTCTGTGGAGATTCATTATGAAAATTAAGATTCTTATTAACATGAGATTCACTTAAGACTTTCTTAACATCTTCATAACAAGGATTGAATATTTAACTGGTTGGAACCTCCTCATTTTTAATGTGTGAAACTTAAAGTGGGATTTCAACCTATCTTAACAAATTGGTGATCAACTTAAAAGTAGGTCTTTGATTGGCTTTAACATTAACACAATCTTATATTAATTGCTTAATGTGACCTAGAATATTTCAATAATTTTACTTGGTATTTGTAATTAATCAATCGAATGGGCATAGGATGTTAAATTATCATTGAGCGTCAAATTCTTATAATCATAGATATCTGCATCTTTTGGATGGACTCCAGTTAATAAATATATCATCATTATTCCAAAATTAAAAATAACAGCTAATTCACTATTGAATGAGGGAGGGCAATTGACTTTCAGAGATTGCATCACTTCAGGTGCAATCATCCAGTCATCTTTAGAAACTTCATTAAAGTAAAGTTATTCATAATCAGAAGTTTCGGTAAATAATTATGTGTTAACAACTTTAGCTCGATCTCCAAATTGAAGGATTTTAGCAGGGCAAAATTGACAATTATTTACACCTTTTTAATCCATTACTGAGAGGGCTTGAATTATATCTAGCATAAATAATCTAACATCTTTAAGTTATTGAATTGGTTGATCTGAATAATCGGCTGTTAAATATATTTTGACATAATTCGAACAAAACTCTTCTTGTTTTTAGGTTTCTAAACGATTGACACAAACTAATGAGGAACAGCTTGGTTGGTTTTATGATAAGACATCTTTGACAATTATTTTTTTGAGGGAGTCCATTTGATCTTTATATTAGGACTCCTCCACAATGACAGTCTTTAAGCACTGCAATTAATCAGAGGGTCCTTTGTAAACCTTGATATGTCCAAATAAAGGATGTGATTTGATTTCTCTAATAAATGACCATTCAGTTGAATGAGCAATACTTGGTTTAATTTATTCGTTACCCATTAATTTTAATTAAATTTAATATACATATCAGAAAACCCATAAGTTTTTTGATAACTATTTTTATTTAAAGTATATTTAATACATTGCTATGTAGGAAATGTAAATTCTCTATCCACTCAAAAGATTGTTTATTTGGTTATCGTATATTTATTAATAATTCTATTGAAAATCTTCTTTTTGTTTTTGTCTATGCAATTTTACTCATCTATAATTTGTTATAGTAATCAATGGATTGAGAATTTTAAATATTTTTAGATCATTACTACTCATTATTTCTCGTCTGTTAATTGAAAAAGTATAAAAAGGGACCCATTTCATTTTAAGTATTATTAAATACAGTGAATATTGATAGGCAATCTTTATTTATGAGTAGAGGATATTATTTTGTTGATAGAATGAGTTTATTAAATAAACTAGAATTTATTATGTTAAAGACAAGATATGAGGTCAAAAAACACAGATTCTAAGAGCATTCAATATAGATCTTAATAACTAATTAATAATAAATTTAAGAAGATTATACTTTATTTCAAATAACTTTAATCGATACTAAATTTATCTAAATATAATATTCTATATTATTACTAATTCGATATAACCTATTATTTAGTAATAATTAGGACATTAATGATACTATCATTTAATTTCACTAAATTGATTTCTTTTAGTATGAGTGTTAGTTCCTCCTATTTCATTCTAATCATTATTTATTGGCATTAAAAAATTAAAAATATAAAATCTATAATTAATTTAAACTTGATTTTTAGATTTTAGAAATATCCGTTAATCTATTAGTCTTAATTGTATCAGATTAAATCAATATTTATTCTTTCTTTACTTTTTTAATAATTTAAATGAATTAAATTAATAATATACTATTTCTTTAATAATAAATAAGCAATGATCAATCAAACCACGAACTTATTCAGCTAATTAGCTAATCAATATTTGAAAGGCGAAATCGAACAAGATGTGATTACAGATCCAGAGATCCAAAAGGTTGTACATGGTCTCCAAAAGAAAAGCGAGACAACCAAAAGCAAAACATTATCAGAACTCAAAAGTCTATTACCAAATAAATCATATGAATTCTTCGATTAATTTACACCTACATTTGTAAATATATATAGAAGATATGTTGATAATGAGTATGAAAGAAGAGTTTTAGAATTGGCCAATTAAGTTTTATCCATAATTTGTGAATATGGAAAAAAGTCATTATCCAAGAAGTTCAAGACATTGTTCCCATAATGGTTTATTATGATCAATGATTACAATTCAGAAGTACAAATCTACTCCAAACATTAATTAGATCTCAACAGCTGCTTTGAATGCCTTTTAAATTGCTTTCCCAACTAAAGAAAAATAAACATAAGCTATCAAAATGTGCAGTGATCAATACATAGTCGACTTAAAGTTGTACCTATCCCTTTCAATTGCTACAATCAAATAAGAATCCAATTTAGAAGATGAAAAGGTTGATCATATCTATGAGAGATTGAAAGTATCAGCAATTAATTCTATTAAAACAGCTATATAATGGAATCCTGACAATAACTTCNCATTTCATTTTAAGTATTATTAAATACAGTGAATATTGATAGGCAATCTTTATTTATGAGTAGAGGATATTATTTTGTTGATAGAATGAGTTTATTAAATAAACTAGAATTTATTATGTTAAAGACAAGATATGAGGTCAAAAAACACAGATTCTAAGAGCATTCAATATAGATCTTAATAACTAATTAATAATAAATTTAAGAAGATTATACTTTATTTCAAATAACTTTAATCGATACTAAATTTATCTAAATATAATATTCTATATTATTACTAATTCGATATAACCTATTATTTAGTAATAATTAGGACATTAATGATACTATCATTTAATTTCACTAAATTGATTTCTTTTAGTATGAGTGTTAGTTCCTCCTATTTCATTCTAATCATTATTTATTGGCATTAAAAAATTAAAAATATAAAATCTATAATTAATTTAAACTTGATTTTTAGATTTTAGAAATATCCGTTAATCTATTAGTCTTAATTGTATCAGATTAAATCAATATTTATTCTTTCTTTACTTTTTTAATAATTTAAATGAATTAAATTAATAATATACTATTTCTTTAATAATAAATAAGCAATGATCAATCAAACCACGAACTTATTCAGCTAATTAGCTAATCAATATTTGAAAGGCGAAATCGAACAAGATGTGATTACAGATCCAGAGATCCAAAAGGTTGTACATGGTCTCCAAAAGAAAAGCGAGACAACCAAAAGCAAAACATTATCAGAACTCAAAAGTCTATTACCAAATAAATCATATGAATTCTTCGATTAATTTACACCTACATTTGTAAATATATATAGAAGATATGTTGATAATGAGTATGAAAGAAGAGTTTTAGAATTGGCCAATTAAGTTTTATCCATAATTTGTGAATATGGAAAAAAGTCATTATCCAAGAAGTTCAAGACATTGTTCCCATAATGGTTTATTATGATCAATGATTACAATTCAGAAGTACAAATCTACTCCAAACATTAATTAGATCTCAACAGCTGCTTTGAATGCCTTTTAAATTGCTTTCCCAACTAAAGAAAAATAAACATAAGCTATCAAAATGTGCAGTGATCAATACATAGTCGACTTAAAGTTGTACCTATCCCTTTCAATTGCTACAATCAAATAAGAATCCAATTTAGAAGATGAAAAGGTTGATCATATCTATGAGAGATTGAAAGTATCAGCAATTAATTCTATTAAAACAGCTATATAATGGAATCCTGACAATAACTTCATAGAATAAATTATGAAATTGCTTGATTTTACTAATAAAACTACCATAATTGTAGAATTACTCAATACTTAAAAAACAAGAATTGTCGCAACTATCATTGAAACAATTCATTTTCTATTGTCTAATGAGGTTTCAGCTCCTTTTGTCCTTCATAAAAGTGATCAATTGCTCAAAAAAACAGTTTAACTTTTTGAATAGAAAGATCGATTAATTGTAAGTTCATTATGGAAAGGATTTGTTACTAAATTATTCTAAAAAGTTTAATAGGATTAAATCTTAAAACTCTCAGGTCTAGAAAATAAATCTTTGGAATTAATATCCAAGGCTGGTTTTGGTGTTGGAAAATTATTGTATGATTAATTGGTTGTATTTGTATCACTAAACCCAATATATGGTGTGGTTGATATTAAAAAGGAAGAAGTTTACAGATAAAAATTGGCATCAATGACAAAGTTATTAAATGCTATCTTGTCAGGTATTACTCATGAAGAAAGTAGATTTTTTTCAGAAAATTTAATCAATAGTTATTTTGAAACACTCTACTTTTTAGTTTGTAAAAGAATGATTCCTCCTCTGATGCAATATAATTAATGTTTTGGATAAGTTAAAAATATCGTTGTCCAATCAATCAAATCAGTCTTATAAAGTACGCTATCTCAACAAGGTGTTTAAGCTTATAATCATAATCCATATAAATAAGTGCCTTTTAGTTTACTGTAGTTTTTGAATATATTAAAAGTCAAATAGGAATAATAAGAATTCTTAAATGAAATTATTAAGGCTATTATGGCTGAGTTCAAGACTCTTTAATTAGATGATTATCAAGTATTTGTAAACATAATTTAATAACTACTCAAAGTTAAGGAAGAGAGTCCTGCATATAAAACTGTTTAACAATATTTGATCTTAGTATTTGATGAAATCTATAATAATAATGATTTCGAAAAAGGATCTTTGCTCTTTGAAATAATTCCTATTTCTAAGAATTTTAAAAAAGATAATTTTGGTTAAAAGATCCAAGAATTAATTAATAATTTATTCAATTCAATTGAACTTGTTACTTCAGAATAATTATTGAAAAAATGCGCCTAAATTAAAATTTATATATATAATTTATAGAGAATTAATGAGCAGTTAATAATTGAATCCGTATTAGAGAAGATTATCAATCAAGAATATAAATAAGTAATCCCAAAAGAAGAATAGTAAAATTTCAAGTTAAAATGGATTTGTTTACACAATTTGGTTGATGCAAGCCTTGATCCATAATTTTATTAAAAGTATTTAACCATGAAAGATTCATAGTAAGAGTACAATCTCATTGAGAAGTACGTTAAAAATTCATAATTGTAATAAAAAGAAACTTTTGTAACAAAATTTTTAAGTCAATCACTAAGTATCACAAATTTAAGTTAGAAAATATTTATTCCTTGCATTATTAAAAACGCTAATTAATAAATTTTAAACATACTTATTTAAAAGTATTCATAAATAGGCTAGTAAGTTATTAAGACTATGGATAAAAATTACCTATAGATATTTGAGGAATTATCATACATTATGAATAAATTACAACCATAGTAATTAATATTTGACGTTCTACTCCAATTATATTTGAAGAACTAAAGCCAAAAAGGTGCTTTCCTTTATAAATTAATAAACAAAAAATATTAGGATATGTTTGTTCAGTTTTTCTAAACTATTTTGCCATCCATAAAAACTGAAACTTTGCAATAACATCTTTATTTCTTTTAAGATCTCTTTGTATAATAACTAAGCAGCCAAGATTTATTATAATTTTTAAATTTTAACTTTTAAAGTTCTATATCTTGGAAAATCTTGTCTCTGATTGAAATTCCACAAGATCACTTTAAAAAAATGTATTAAAATAACTAATTGGATTTATTAGCTTTGTTTTTAGCATCTAATTATTCATCTATAATGCTTTATGATCATAAATTGAAGAGATTTATATAAAATATCCTTGGTAATCAAATAATTCCCATCTTTTTAGATTCTTATGAACAATAAGAATCAAAAAGCTTGGACCTTATAAAGGTTCTGTTTAACAATACTGACATAATTTATGGAGTGGCACTAAAAAACCTAATAAAGCAGATAACAATAGAGGAGAGGGAAAATAATTACAGATCAAAATAAACAGATTTATTAGCTTAATTAATTGTAGAATAACTGAAATTAGCTTTGGAAACTAATAATATCAATAAATTGATAACTATAAGATAAATAATAAATTTAGTGGATTTAAAGAAATAATTCGAAAATGTTTTAAAGACTTATCATCAGAATAAGCAAATTTCATACCTGGATTTGTATACTCTTATGTTAAGATAGTAGGCAAATCTATTAGAATTAGAAGATGAAGGAGAGTTAGATTAAACAATTTAATAGTTATTTGATATGAATTTGGAATCAAATTATGATAAAATGGTTGCTTTTGATTTTATAAATTTAATTTGCGAAAGAAAAACAATCACACCTTTTGCTGCCTACATTAAATAGATTAACAATTTGTTTAGGTCATTGTTTTCATCGAATGTTCAATTGAAACGATTCTACTCATTCAGTATTGTATCAGCACTTTAATTTGTGAGAAAAATATTGAACTTTATTGAAGCATTTCCAATAGAATTTATAGATTATCTTAATTTTGAATTAACAGATTCTTTATTGTAAATAATTCAATTTTGTGAAAATCCAAATCCAGAGTTTATGGATGAACAAAATGATACTCTCTTTATAGAATATGCAGAAACTCTATTGCGTTGTATTCAGATGGAATAATGGTAGAAGATCGATGATACAATATATTATCAATTATTATAATGTCCATTCATTAGTATCTAAAAGGCTGCATTTATTGCATTAAAGAACATATAAGATCATAGTGGTTTGAATGCACTTTTGGATGGATTTGACATGAAAAAAGAAGAAATGAGAAGATTGAGACAAGAAGATGAGGAGGATGTGGAAGATATCATAACATTCCCTCTTGATGGTAAAATATTAACCAATTTACTTGCTTGGCTAGTTGTTTTATAGAATAAGAACTGTGCTCAATTCAAAGATAAGTATCCTACTTATTTAAGCAATCTTTTATATATATTACAATTCTTAAACGACAATGGAGTCATGGCAAGATTTAATTATAAGGAAATTTATTAATAGGATTTAAACCTAATGGTAATCTAAGATGATCAATCTGAATTATTAAAGATGATTGTCATTTCATTTTATTAGTTTATTGTTGCTTAATAGAGTTATTTTAAGTAATGGTACAATTAAGAATGCAATACTACTCAGAAAAAATAATTAGAAGATTTACTATAGATTATTAGTAAAGCAATCTACACAAGGGAAATAGAATTGATTGAATTAAATTAAGAAGAATGGCGTAGTGAAGGTTTTGATATTTTCATTTCTAAGAATCAATAAGAAATAACTGCCACCTACTAAAAGGAAGAATAGAAAATAGAAATCCTTATTTAAGTTCCAGTTGGTTTTCCTTTGAAACCTTTAAAAGTAGAAACTAAGAAAGGAGTGAAGATTAGTGAAGATAAATTAAAAAAGTGGAGTCTTATGATAAGAATGATTTTATAAAATGAAAATGATACTATATTAACTGCATTGAAACTATGGAAGAAAAATATTGATTAATAGTTCTAAGGTATAAATTTAATTAATTATTCATTTTAGATCTAGAAGAATGTGCTATATGCTATTATATAATCCATTAGAATGGAGAGTTTCCTAAGATGGCTTGTAGAACATGCAAACACAAATTTCATTCAACTTGTATTTAGAAATGGTTTCATAGTAGCAACAAAAGCGATTGCCCCTTATGCAAGAGCTAATTTTTATGATAAAGAAATCATTCATTTTTTTCATTTTTCCAAAATTTAGTATAATATATCAATTACTTGTATCTATTTTTTCAAATATGTCTAAGTATCCTTCAAAAGAATTTTCATTAAAAATATTTATAAATTTAATTTTTCTTTATTCTTAATATAAATATCATTATGTTATTTAATTTATTATTCAGATTTGAATTAAAAGGACAGAAAAGAATGATAAATTTTTAGTATATGATTTATCTGCCATTTTTAAACTTGTCAAAGGAGAAAGCAAATCGCTTCGCAATTGCCTTTTGTAGAGATTATCTGAATTATTAAATAATTAATAATAAACAAGAAGAATCTTTAATTATTATATCTTATAAGAAATTAATAAAAATCACTATTTTACATATTTTGAATAAGCAATATCAAAAATTGCTTAAGCATTCTAATCACCAGTATTTTTAACTAATCTAGAAAATTCTGTACTTTTATCTACAAAGGTTGAATTAATTGAATTAGCTAATAGATTAAAAGGAGTGTCAAATTCAATCACTTATCCTTCATTTACAACCATTACTTTATCATAATCAGCAATTGTGTTTAATCGATGTGCAATGGTAATTAAAGTGCAATCTGAAAATTTCTTTTTTAAGGTTTCTTAAATAAAATCATCAGTTTTCATATCAACATTTGCGGTTGCCTCATCCAAAACGATTATTTTCTTTTATAAAAGAACAATTCTGGCCAAGCAAATTAATTATTTTTAGCCAACAGAAAAAACTGAATTAACATCACTCATATCAGTTTAGAGACCATTTTAAAATGCTTTTACGTAGTTTATTAGGTCTGTTTATTCTAAAGCCTTCCATAATTATTCATCAGTAAAATTATCAAAAGGATCCAAATTTCTTCTAATAGTTCCTGTAAATAAGAAAGGTGATTAAGGAATGATTCCAATGCTGCTTCGTAATTTATGCAATCCTAATTTTCTAACATCTAAGCCTGAAATTAATAAATGTGATTCTTTATCCTTTTCAATTTCTGACATTCTAAAGATTGCTTACAAAATTGAAGACTTTCCTGCTCCTGTTCTTCCAACACAACCTATCTTTTCACCACTTTAAATTTCAAATGATAATCCTTTCAACACTAATTCGCAATTTTCTCTATATCTCATATAAACATTTTCAAATTTAACTCGCCCATCTTTTGGAAAATCTGGATATTTTGAATCTTCTTCCACTACATGAGGAGCCTCTGGTTCTATATCGATGATCTAAAACATTCTGTTATAAGAGTTCATTTAGGTTTCAAAAGTAATTAATTGCCTTAATCCCCATTATAAAGAAGCATTATAGGTAATTAAGAGTAATAACCCTTGAGACAAAATTGCAACATTATCATAATTCAATTTAACAAAAATAAATATACCAACTGTTTAAGCTATAAATCCTACTATATCCAGATTAAATCCAAGAGATCTTGAAGAATAATAATATGTTAAAGAATAAAGATTACATTTGTTTGAAATCTCTAAAAACTATTGTCTAAACCATGCCTACTATCCATAAACTCTAACTTATATGACACCTCCTAAAATTTTCTTAAGGAAATCAAATAAAGGACTTCTTTACATCAGTTCAACTTCTTTAAGTTAACTGATAATCTTCTTTGCATAGCTAAACTAATAAAGATCGATAAGGATAATAAAAACAATCATAATCAAAAAGTATGGTTATAAAATAGCTAAAGTAATTAAAGCAAACAAAAATCCACCCATAATTTCCAAAACATCTAAACTAACAGAGTTTGTTTAATTATCACACAAAGATAAATCATTTGAAAATCTATTTATAATTCTTCCAGAAGGATTCACATCGAAATATGAAACTGGTGCCAAGGTTAAAAATTTCAGCATTTACTGATGCATTTGTTAAGTAGACGTTTAAACAGAATATGTGTTTAATGCATATTTCACTAAATTAGTAAGAAGAAGCCCTAAAGTTAGTATTCCTAGAAGATAAAATGCATTGTCTATATCATTATCTTTTTAATACTCTTCGAAAAGAGAAATAATTCTCTAATAGAAATTAATAAGCACTTCTGAACCAACTTCTAAACTTAAAATACAGAAAATTACTATCAAATTCCAAAATTTATAGTATCTAGCATATGTTTTAAAAGTAATTAATGATTATTAATCAGCTTCTTTACTTATAAGATGATTAGATTCAGAATTAATTATTTTTGTTCTCTTTTAGAATTGTGGTCTAATAAAGTCTTATTTTACTGACTCTTTTGTTTTGTTTAATTATTAAACTAATTCTTCGTTAATCATGTATAAATTTGATTTAATATCTTCATAAGTTCCTTAGGCGATTAATTCTCCATCATTTAATATCCCAATTTTATCACATTCGACTGCATATTATACTTAGTGAGTGACCAAAATAACTATTGGTTTTTTCTTATTAGGGTTTCTTTATATCTGATATTCAAAAATGAATTCCTTGATAGCCATGTGGAATATATTTTTAGCTACATTTGCATCTACAGCAGATAAAGGATCATCGAATAAATACAAGTCTGCCTATTAGTATAAAGCTCTAGCCAAAGATAAACGAGCTTTTTAGCCGCCAGAGAGAGTCGTGCCTCTTTCTCCAATTTCAGTAAGATCTTAAAATTTCATCAAAGATAAATCAGATTCCAACAAACTTTTTGATACAAAGCCTTATCAAATGGTCTACCAAACAGGATGTTTCTTTTAATTGTGTCTGGAAAGATAAATGGTTCTTATTCAACATAAGCTATACTTAACGCACCCTTATTTGCCTCTTAACCATCAATTTTGAACGATCCTTTATACGCAGGAATTTCATAAAGGAAAGCACTAAGGAGAGTTGATTTTCCACAGCCAACCTTTCCAATAAAAGCCCAAATCTCTCCTGCTTCGATATCCAAGGTCAAATTTTTAAGAACTGGTTTTGTATTATTTGTGACTTTACTTGACCAGAATGAAGAGAAATTTTAAAGTTGAATTCTCGGACCGATGTAATCCTAGATTTATTTATTATTATCTGATTTCAATTGAATTCTATCCAAATTTGTCATTTCTGAATTTTCAATATTTAAAATAGTTACTATTCTTTGAAATGACACTTTTATTTGAATTATTGATTAAATTCCATAAGAAACCATATAAACGCAGCTTATTTTAAAGAACGTAAGCAATTGAATTGTTGAAATCATTTCAGCCACACTCATAGTTTTTCTGAAACCTCCATAATACAAAATAACAAAGAAAATAAAACTTGACCAAACTTAAGAAATTAAACTAAATAATCTATCAACAGCTGATCTAAAACTAATTTTTAATAAACAAATATATTCCTATTGTCTCATTATCGATATCATTTTATTGAAGGCTTGTTCCCATGCATACATTTTAATAAGTCTGATTCCTTCAATAAGTTCATTTGTGAGTTTTAATCTTCGATCTTAATATTGCTTAGAAGTTTTAAGTGTCTCAGAATTAAAGGTTTATAACAGTATTTAAATGGGATAGGCAACAAATATAATAGCAAGTGCAATTATTCCAATAGGTCCATTAAATCTATCCCAGAGAATGTAGCATCCAAAAATCATTGATATGAAGCATACGCTGCTCTAGAATACCATAATAAACACATATTCAAGATAATTGATATCACCAGAGATCAAATTTAAAATTTTGCCTATATTTGCCTCTTTCATGGAATATGCACTCAATTCAGTTAATTTATGGTAGACTAAATTTATAAGTGTCAACCTAGCTTTTGATGAGAAAATCATTGACAAATTATAACTATGGTGCCTTGCAAAAACTCCAACGAGATTCAGAAACACCAATAATACAGCGAATCCATACGCATTATCTCTTTCATCATTTGCAGCACTGGTAATTACCCTACTCATGACCATTGAAATTCCATTTCTTACAACAGCTTCTAACACATTTGCAAAAAAACATCCCAAACTTATCAACCTTAATTCACCAAAAAAAATAATTTTAACTAAGTCACCACGTGTTATTTTATATTTTTAATTGATTTTTTTTTATGAATCTTGAACCGTTTCACTTAAGTCTTCCTAAGGTGATAATTTAGGCAAGTGCTTTTCTGTAATCTTATTTCCTTTGTCTAATACGCGTTTCTTTAACAATAATGAGTATACTGTCAGATGTATAAATAAAAACTTTGTTATCATCCAACTCTTCTCTCCAAGATAGTAAGGATAAAATCTAACATCATCCTCTTTATGAATAGTCAACATAGAAGGTTGACTTGACTCTTCCTACTATAATGGCTAACATTCTGGCTATGACTAAGTCTATTATTAAATTAATGTAGTAGGCGTCCAATTATTCGTTCGAATATCTTATTACAATGAAGTACTCTGTATTTCTTGTTGTTTTTTAACTGGATATGCATCACTCATGAGAATTAACAAAAATAATCTAAATTAATATCAAAAGAAAAACAATTGTCTATAATTAATACAATTATTCTTTATACAATTTTTTTCTAAGAAACCATCGTTAAATGATCTTGAGACTGATATTCTCATGAAAACAATTAAATTGTAAACTAATTAGACTCGAAGAATTTTTATAATTTTTTTTTTTAAAAACAACTTATCTTCTCATTTCTTTTCTTTCTGTGTAGTTATGGTTGCTTTTTTCAAATGGAAAGCTACTAACACAAAGGCTTAACAACTTTTATCAATTTATAAAAATTATTTTAATTATAAAAAACGTGTGTTAAATTCAATTAGACGGATTAGCATTTTTTTATTTCATAATTAAAAATTCTAGAACAAAAACTCAAACAATCTTAATATTATGGGAGAGAAATGTGATTTTAGAATATATAAATCATTTCATAAGAAAATAAATTAACTTTGGAATAAGTGGAAAATTCCCTTTAAAGGCATGATTTGAGTTTTTTATCAGAAGGCTCAATACTTTCTAAAATATATTTGTTAATGAAATTATTTCTTTTTTTTAAAAATTTGTTGAATTACAAATAATTCCATCTCTAGCTCTCATACTTCTTAGATATACTACTCCTGAGTTACCAGCATAGTTTAAAAGTAAGAACTAGTTTTACATTGATTCTTATATGAAATAATTTAATAATTTATATAAAATTAAATTATATAATTATATATTAGGATTGATAGAAATATTTTGATTTAATCTAAACCCATCCTAATTATCAATCTGAAGCATGAGAATCTTCAATATCTATTTCATTTGACTATTTATCATAATGAAACAGAGTATTACTATTCTAATTTGGGAGTAACAGAAAGTTAAAGTAAATCTGCTCTTGGAACCTACATTTATAATAAAGGAAAATTTTATTTTTTAATACCATCAATTATCGTATTATAAAGATTAATTTATTAAATCTCCTAGACCATATGATCTTTTTGTTGTAGTATCAATTTGCAATTTAAAATATCGAGCTTAATTTTTCTACTATTAAGTTATGTAGAATTTTTCTTCCTATTAAATATATCATTTTATCATATAAATATTTAGGAACTTATAAAAATATTATTAAATGATAATTCCATTTTAATTTATAAAATAAAAATGTAATTTAATAGACTCAATTTTAATTTGACATTCAATAAATGTCCCTTATTATAATTTATAATTCATAGTGGATGATTTCAAATTTAAAGTTTGCTGCAATCAATCAATCTAAAACAGTTTGGCAAAGCCCTCGTAATACTTTGACAATAAACTCATCTATTTTTTTACACTTTTTATTATAATTTTAAAAGATTTAGAATTATTTTTGAATGATTTTCATTTTCATATTTATTTTTAAATCTTTATATCAACTTTCCTTATATGTTAATAACCAAATATATTTTGATACTTCTTGATTTATAATTATTATTATTTTTATTCCATTTTATTTCATTATAAAATAATTATCTCACAGTTTATCTATTTGATTTAAAATTCGACTACTAATTGAAATATTTTAATTTAGAAAAAAAGCCTTTTGATCAGAATTTATATTGATTCTCAATCCATTAATAGTATCACCCAAGTTATAATTTTTGTCATGCTCAGGCCAAGTAATTACAATATTGTTGCCTTATTCTATAGTTTTCCTTTGAAAGAGTATCATCTTATGGCAGAGCTATTTGATTTTGGAAGTAGAACCTCTGATTTCTAAGATGGTGTCGTAATTGTAATTTAGTCTTATATTATTTTTATTATAAAAGAAAATTTCAAATGGCAAAGGATAAATAGGGGGAGATCGATGTAGATAACATAATTGAGAGATTACTCAGTGTCAGAGGGAGCAAGCCAGGAAAAAATGTAAATTTGACAGAACCTGAAGTTAGAGGTCTTTGTATAAAAGCAAGGGACATTTTCATCAGCTAGCCAATACTATTGGAATTAGAGGCCCCTCTTAAGATTTGTGGTGATGTGTTGATTTTAATGATTTTGTAGGCGATGTACACGGTCAATATTTTGATCTTTTGAGATTATTTGAGTATGGTGGTTATCCTCCTGAGAGCAATTATCTTTTTTTGGGGGATTATGTAGATAGAGGTAAACAATCCTTGGAGACCATTTGTTTACTGTTGGCATACAAAATTAAATACCCAGAGAACTTTTTCCTTTTGAGAGGTAATCATGAATGTGCATCGATCAATAGAATCTATGGTTTTTACGATGAATGTAAGTAACATCAATATATTAAAGGTAAACGTCGATATACAATTAAATTATGGAAAACATTTACAGATTGTTTTAATTGTCTACCTGTGGCAGCTCTGATAGATGAGAAAATTCTATGCATGCATGGAGGGTTGTCTCCAGAATTGTCTAATTTGGAGCAAATAAGAAGAATAATGAGGCCTACTGATGTTCCAGATACGGGACTCCTATGTGATTTGCTTTGGTCAGATCCAGATAAGGATGTGTAAGGATGGGCAGACAACGAGAGAGGAGTTTCGTATGTGTTTAGTTAAGAGATTGTACAGGTGTTCCTTAAGAAGCACGAATTAGATCTGATTTGTAGAGCCCATTAGGTAAGAACAAATTGTATTATAGGTAGTTGAAGATGGCTATGAATTCTTTAGTAAAAGATAATTGGTGACTCTGTTTTCAGCTCCAAATTATTGTGGTGAGTTTGATAATGCAGGTATTTGTATGCAGTCTCATTTGCAGGTTCTATGATGACTGTTGATGAATCCCTTATGTGTTCGTTCCAAATACTAAAGCCTGCCGAACAAGGTGCTCAAGGTGCATCACAACAAAACAAACCTCCTAGTGCCAAGTTTGTAAACTGATTTAAATCAGAGAATTTATATATAATTTAAAACAACTTAAATAGACTAATTAATCATTTATTATGTTTTCAGACTTGATCGATCAGTTCAGATAAACTTATCAGAATAAATACCTAACACTTCTTGAGTTTTCAAACATATTAGATCAATATGCCAGGTTGGATGTAAGATGTGATTTGGATGATAATGTTAAAGAATAGCTGTATAAGTTTATCAAGGAGAAATAATAAAATGTGACTTATTGTGCACGTAACATTCACTCCATATTACTTAGTTGAAACTGTCATTCTTGAATTCTTATTACAATAAGAAGTCATTCCACCCTAATCTTAAATTAATGTGGATACCCTGGGCAAATGTGCTCGTCGATTGCCTTTGGATATGTTACAGAACATCAATAATGATTTTCTTCTGCAATTCAAAAATTTCTATAAGTTGATCTCCAATAAATATGGCAGTCATGTTGATTATCGTGAGTTAGAAAGGTTGGGTAAGGAATTGTAGAGAACCATTAAAATAAATTCTGTTGAAATAATGAGATACATCCAACCATTTGTAGATGGTCAATAGAAAGTTAAAATTGAAGAGATTCTTGAACTTTCCAATGACCTGGAGAGATTGATTAATGATCAAAATAGAATACAATCCAAAGGGGTTGAAGGCAGAAAGTCAAACGCTATTGAATAACTGGCAGAAGAGTATCATTATTCAAGTGAGGAAGACAATTAAAAATAAATTAATGTGATTTCTACTGCATCAAGTGATAGGAGGAATTTCACAAATATCATTTATCAATAGACCGATTTAATTAAATAGAAGTTTATAAATAAAGCAGGTCTTTCCTGTCTTACTGAAATAAACAAAGCTACTTAATGCATCGAAGGATTGATTACCAATTTAATTAATGATATCGATATCAAAAATAAAAAGATAGAGGAACTGGTTATTGAAAAGGAATTGACCTCAGGATAATTGTAATAATTTGAAATAGAAATTCAAAATAAGGATTAATAGATTCAAATGTGTTTACAAGATAATGATATGTTTTAAACTCAAATTAATGTAAATTTTAGGTTATTTTATAGTAATATCAAGATCAGAATAAAGATTTAAAAATACAACTTAACTTTTACAATGAAGAATTGAAAAGTATAACTAGATTGGAGACTGAATTGAAGGAAATGTAATTAGACACCAAAAATCTAAGAGAACAGTTAAATAAGTTGAATAAGGAAAATACTAGATTACAATTGAATAACAAATCATTAATGGAAATTATAGAAGAATTAGAGACCAAATCTCAACAGAATAAGGATATAGATACTATTAAGCAATCCTTATAACAACATAAAGAATAAATTAATTAATTAGAAATCAAATTAGATGAGTATTTTATCATCAATATAAATAGTTTATAGAAACAGAACCAATAATTAGAGGAGGTCAATTTGAGTTATGAGAAAATAAAAGAAGGACTTGAATAATAGATCATAGAATTGAAAAGAGAAGTATCTCATTATAAAAAGATGTTTGAAAATACAAATATTGAAAATTAACAGCTGAGAAGTAGTCTTATTCCTAGAACAAGTATGTTCAACTCATAATAGATGAATGGGGGAGGACTTGGGAGATTGAGCAAATTGTCTATTGGAGGTGGTATGACATCTTCTAAGATTTATATTATCGGCCGAAATTCATCACAACGAATGTCTTCAATCAGACCAAATCAATATGGGAGCACCTTTAATCCCTTAGAAGAAATTCAAAGCGGGCCTCTGAAGATTGAGGAAGTTTAAGATTTGGACAATTAAAGTCCAGATTAATAAAAAGCTCATAGGAACAAACCAGCTATGATAAATAGTAGGATGGATGCTAGAATCAATTCAAAATACGAGAATAGTATTGTGGAAGTGATAAATGAGGAGAATGAAGAGAAGGAACAGGTTATTATTGAGAAGCCTAAAGAGAATCAACTTTTACAATAATTTGATAAGTTTTGGGGGGGATTGGGAACCAAAAATTTAGAGGAATTGGCTCCAGATACGCAGTAGATAAAGATAGATGAAAACATCTTATATTATAGAGATTTTTTGGGTATTAGAGACGATCCCAAGATTATGGAATACTTGAAATTGGAGAAGAATATATACAAATCAATAATATAGAGGTGTTTTTCTGATGGAGTTTATAGAATCGATGCTAAAGGGAAAAAGGCTAGAAGAATCCTATTTTTGACAGAACATACATTCTATATTTTTGAGGGAGAAAAGAAACCATCTAAATTGTCAAGATCATTTCCATTAAAAAACATACACACTTTGGTTTTTTCAGAGGTGAGGATTTCAAAATATATCTAAGGCTTCACCTGTCATTTGTTGTATCAAAGTAGCAGGTTCAGATGATTATTTAATTGAAACATTTAAAAGAAGCGAATTAAATTCATTTTTAACTGAAATATTTGCATCCTAAAAGATTACATTATTTAAAGTGGAATTCTTGGCTTAGTTTAAAATAAAAATGAAAGGACTCAAGGATGAAATACCCATCTCTTAAGTCATTAAAAAGTAGACAAGTCAAGATCAAGGGAAGACTCCAACATTCAGAGTGAGTTCCAAATAAGGATTATATTCATAGAATATGGGATGGTTGTAGATATTCAAAAAGAAGATGTTCCAAGGTGATTGGTAGGAAGTCTTTGTAATATTAACAAATGTCGGCTTGGTCTTATTTAAGAAACCAGGTGATGCAGAACCTATACTATTCGTATCCTTTGTAGAGGCTGTTGTAATTAAGAATCCCCTTTTTGATACTAGTAAATAACATACAATTAAAGTAACAATCCTAATTCCACTTAGATCCGCTATGAAAATTGCGATTCCGAATTCGTGTTCAATGCAACTTCAACTCTTCTTTTAGATCAATGGCATGATGCCATTTAGAATGCAATCATGGAATAAGTGCGAACATAGAATTAGTATTTGGTACATCAGCAATAACAAGTGGTGGAACATCGAAATTAAACTAAAATGGAACAATGAAAAAATACTATTAAATTGGGTTGATATAGTAAATAATATAATTAATTCATATTTCAATAAGCGTTTAATTCATTTTAGTATTCTACATTATCTAATTATATCTCATTGATTATGAATTAATAATCAATGAGATATCATTTTGTTATACGAAAACTGAATATATATTTTGATATTAAGATAACTAGAAATTATATAATATTCCTTTTTGTAATTAAATGGATCAATACTAGAATGCATTTTAGATGTTAGGGCAAAATATGTTTTCGAAAGCTCCACCTAGCGGTTACGGTGTTGGATATAACCCAATGGTTTAAGCCAATTAAAATAAACAGAAGTTTGATTAACTAATATAGTTAATGTAATTTTAAGAGTAGACAGTATTAAAAAATGCTTAAAAAGGTTAGTGATTATAATACGAGAATGAAAGGGAAGGAAGATAATATTTATGCCTTAGAATAACAATCTATGCAATTGCAAAGAGATTTGGTTTAAAAGGATAAATAGAGGAATGAACATAATCAAATACATTACAAAAATTATTAGCCAACTTTTAATGTTTAAAACACGGAGTCATTATAGACTGATCATTAATCAGTGTAGAATTATATTCCAAATACTTAAATATTACCTGGAGAAAGTCCAGAAGTATAACCATAATAAGTGCAAAGGAGAACTTCAGTTCAATTAAATTAGACAAGACCACAATCATTTGCAATTCAAGGAAACTAGAAATTGCTAAATATGTAGAAGCAAATGGAGGAGTAGAATCAATATATCTAATAATTGTCAGCTTTGGTGGCAAAGAAGAAACCAGCTATTGACTCAGAAAAGGATGATAGTTTGACATAATTATTGAATGAGAGGGATGACTTGTAAAAATAACATATTTTGAATGAAATCAAGTAATTGAAATAGAGAGTGGATGAATTTGATATCTCAAGATAATAATAAATGATACCATAATAATTTTAGCAGCATGGATTTATGCCTTAATAGTAATTAATGCAGTAATAAGGGATGATGCAATTTCAAAATCCTTATGGGATGTATCCATAGATGTACCCTCAAAATATGCAATAGCAATAATAATAAGGTGATGAACTTGATGATAATGAAATGAACAATGAGATTTTGATGAAGTTGATTGATCAATAGAATAGATAGAAAAAGAGAGGATCGAGAAATAGATAGAAGAGTCATGATTATAACCATAGAAATTCGAGTAGGGATAGGAGACATACACAAAAGAGGAAATAATAAGATGATGACCAAGATCAAGATGGAGATAGTAATTGAAATTAAACAATTTTATTTTATTATTATGCAATTATTGATTATGCGTAATCATATTGTTGTATCCTTAATTTTGGTACCTGGGAGATGATACAAATCTCTGACTGCTTTACCTGCAAATCTAAGAATATTCATTATATGATAACCCTTTACAATAGTTGGCTGGGTTCAATTTGTTGAATAAACAGCTTTGAAATTTTTATAGATTTTCCTATGCTTCAGTTGGGCCATCTGATGCTGATTATCCATATTATCCCTAATGATAGATGAGATATTTATACTTGTGAAATGCAATAATAATAGCTATCTACAAGTGGTTTGCATGGCAGGAAACCATTGGGAGTGGCTTTTTCATCTTCAAGGTGCTTTCTGAAGATTTTTTCTCTGCAAACATCTATACCTGTTAGAAAATATTGGCCTAGTGTATTATAATTAGAAGAGGACAATACAATTTCTTAATCTAACAGCCACAATTCTAACTTCTTCTTCTGAGGGTACTTTGAGAGTGTATTCGTCGTCGAATTCGCTGTTTTCTAAAGGAGTAGCTTGTCCTGTGAAAAAGAATCTATTCATTAATTTATTTAAAATGGATGAATAAATTATAAATGTGATATTCGACCCCAACTTCACTTCTTTTGATCAGGATCTAGCTAATATGAACCTAGATAAGATGATGCAAGTTACATTTTCAGAAGAGATTTTGCAGAAGAATTTTTCTGTGATTATTTCTATTCTCAAACAGTTACATAAGGGCATGATACTCATAAACGGATAGGTGAAGGACAATAGTGATTGGGTGCAGGTAAACATGCTATTAAATGATAGAAATTAAGAGAAGAATCATAGTCGACTGATACTAAAGATAAAGTTGATGTGATTGATTCTCAAGTAAAGGAAATTCATTAGAATTTTGCTACTAAAGCAGAGGTGCAAGCATTAAAATAACGATATGGTATCACATAATTGTCAATTATTTCATAGATAATATTTTGAGAGATTAAGATATCTAAATTAAGGAGATTGCTAAGGCTCAGGAATAAGAGTAACAATAAATAAATAAAAACGCTGAAGATATCATTTAGAAATAAGAATAGATCGATAAAATTAATGAAGAATTGGATAAACTTCGTAAACTAATCAACGATTAAAATCAAATAATATCTGATTTATAAACATAGAAGCCTGACTCTAATGTTTACCAAATCTAATCTAAGCCCTTGTCTGATGACTCTCTAAAGGATGTTCAGAATCGTTTAGCATAACTTGGTAACAATTATTTGTATAATATTAGAATCCTAATATAAGGAATTACTAAAATAATTGAATAATCAATCGAAAACCTTAATATAACCAATCTAAGTGAAAGACTAAGACTACGTTGTGTAACCAAATTCTGATGTGGATTTAACTGACATAAACAAAAAGTTGGATAATCATGAGGAGGAAATTTAAAAACTATTTGAGTTGCTTGATGAATTGAGAAAGAAAAACAGGGAAGCAGTCTCAGGAGGAGGATCTAATGTTGATTCTGAAGATTTATTGATTATCAAAAACGACATCAAAAAGCTCTTCACTTTATTAGAACAATTGCAAACCTAACTCAACTTGGCCTCCTTTGGTAATTCAGGTGAGGAAGGTAATAATGTTGGAGAAAATCAAATGGTTATTATTTTGGCAGAAATCAATAAGATTAGAGCTCAATTAGAAAATTATGCTACTCAATCAGATCTAACAAATCTTGGCCAAAAAGTTGCATTATAATAAAAATAAACATATGATCATATTGATGAAGAAATTGAAAAGGTTAGAAGAGAATTCAAAATAAATCTTGGTAAAAAAGGAGATTTGACTGAATAAGAAAAAATCAAGAATGAACTTACTTAATTAAAAGATATTCTAAATAAATCTAAGCGTGGATCCTAACCACAATTAGATAACAGTCCAAGCAAAGGACCACAATTAAGTCCAGACTTCTTAAATACTTTTAAAGAACTACAAGATTAAGTAGCTCAAAATGAATAGTAATTTTTATATTTATCATATCATTAGAGAATTAATTAATCACAAGTCCCAATTCTCATAAAATGCATAGTAAGTTCAATAAAAAATTGCTGAGATAGAAAATAAGATGAAATAAACTAAAACTGATTCAATCATTTCAGGATTGTAGGAATTAAGAGAAATCCAAGATTAAATGAAAAAGGATTAAGATGCAAATAAGGCCAAAATAGCTTAGTTTGGAAAGAAGATTGATGGAGTGGTTACAAGAGAAGATCTCTTAGCTCTATTTGAACCTAAATTAAAATAGGTCCGAGATGAATTATCCAAATCAATTGAAGAATTAAGAATTAAATTAGAAAAGAAGGCTGAACTCGAAGATTTAGAAAAACTTTAAAATGATCTTGTCTCCAGATTAGAAGAAGTTGTTTAAGCTCTCATCAAATAATTAGCTAATAAATCTGAAACTAAGAAGGCTTTGATTTATCTAGAACAGAGAGTAAGATTTTGTATTACTAATTGAATAGATTAATTAAATATTCATGATGTTAGAAGGAGAAGGAGGATCTAAGGATTAAGAAGGCTTGTTTGCTAAAAAGCAACTCTGGTCTTGTGCCTCATGTGATAAAGATTTAGATAAATTTAAGGGACAATTGGGAGATTATAGAGGATGGGCTCATTTCCCTCCTAAAGAAACTTCTCCAGAAAGAATGGGAAGAGTATACATTCAACATTATATTTAGTTTGGTGTTGGTTACAAATAAATGCAAGAAAAATCAAAAAACAATAGAGACAAAATTGATAAGGAGAGATATCAGAATGATAAGGACAGACCCAATAGTCAAGCCAATCAGTAATTCTATTAAACAGGCTCATAAATGAGTCAAAGCCAAAACAATCTACCAAAGATTAATAAATGAAATTATATATATTTAATGAATAATTAGCAATAAATTATAGCTGTCTTAACCAAAATCAAAGAATCCCAACAAAAAATCAAAGTTAAGACATCCAAATATCTAAAACAACTAGATATATTCAAGATGCAACTAAATACTTAAGAAATCAGATTATATTTAATTGGCAATGAGCAATTACCATATGGATTATTGTATTGTATAGGAAATAAATCCAAAGTTGATGGTAGTCTTAGGAAATCTTCATATTACAGTGCTGAGTTATTTCTGAATATTTTAGAAAAGCATCCACAAAGAATTGAATTCATTAAGGTATTTGCAGATCTTGAAGATGATGAATATAAATTGCTTTCATTATCTACCCATATTTTGGCTGATAAAAAATTACAAGATAAGGGACTTATTGCATTTAAAATAATAAAGTATTTAAAAGATGAAAGACCTCATTTTAATCTTGAATACATTCTTGAAATCAGGAAACTAAAAGATTAATTTGATAATTGGTATAAAAGTGTGAGAGTTCAATAAATTTAAGAGCAAATACAACAAACATCATGGAAGGAATCTGATTAACCTCCTCCTGAGAATCTGAACTTGTAGAGGGAATAAAATAAAAGATAAAAGAAGTTAGAGCATATTAATTTGTAATGGGATGGAAACCCAGAATATTTGATAAAGACTTTCTATAACCCTTTCATTCCTCAATAGAGAACTACTAAATCGAATAAGAATAGAAGTGCAGCATTGAAAAAGAAGTAAATAGCTGAAAGTTTGAATGCAGCTATTGATATAGAATCAGTGGAATAAATTAAGCAGTAGATTAAGAATTTAGATAAAGTTATTGTTAAAATTCATCTCGACTCTCCATAATTTGATGCTTAAACATTCTTAAAATTAGTATAGCCTTAAATTACAAAATAATCCATGACTTTGCTCTAATAATAAAACATAGAAATGAATAAGAATATTGTTTACTATTTTATTGATGATTTCTTTTGCATCAATTAAGGCATTTTGTAAATTCATAATGAATTCATATCCAAAGAATTCAAAAATTAAATAAAAAGAAAAAATTCTTTAGCTTCTAATGAACAGTCTAGTCAACCCATGCAAATTGATGAAATCTTAATTTTAGGATCTTTGTCTAAGAGAACATTTTAATTATTGTCTAAATTGAATGCTATTTCATAATCGATGAATAAATTAAGTATGAGTTAAAAGACTTTGAAATAAGTTATTGATTTCATTAGAAAAAGTGAACAGTATGTATAATTACCAAATTAGTTGAAAGAGGCTTATCTAAAGAGAAACAATGCTCAAGTGATGAAACTCATTTCCCTATAAAAGGAAAATATGAATTAATATAAAAATATATTACTATTCAAATAGTTGAATGAACAGATTGATCAAGTATTGAAGTAAATATACAATGACATGCTACAATAGATTAAACAAGATAATTTGTAGTACAGTTAGATTTTGGAGATAGCTGAATACATAAATGAATTAAATCTAACTTAGAATAGCGCTTAGGACATTGTTAGTAATCTTTAGCAATCAATAAAGTCAAATTTCAATGCTTATTTTAATAAGACTCTCCAATAGAGAGACAATGAGGCTTACTAAGTTGAGCAGATTAGAGGCGATTTTATAATTGAATTTCTTCAATAGTGTTCTTTACCATAAAAAGAATTGCAACTATAGAATTGCAAGGCTTTAGAGAATTTCGTAAGTGGCAAATTTAGTAAATAGGTGAAACAGTTGTAAAATTTATGTAGAGATCTTAATTTAAATCCAAATTTGTAAAAGTTGAAAGATGAAATTGAGAATAAAATGTTATAGTTTTTGGAATCAGCGTAAAAATCATGGTTTAATTAACAATACAGCGCCATATTATGTTAAAGAATAAATCAGGATATTGAATCAATTAAGAATATGACTTAGATAATATCAAATCTCTTTGGAGATGGTTTGAAGATTGATAATTGTATTAATGACATAGAAGTTAAATCATTATCCTTGCAATTTTCAAATTATACATTAAAATAGATAAAAGTTAATTTTGTTGTACCTCAAAGAGACTTTTTTGGAGTGAATTTTTCTGAATTCATGCTGCAAATATTTAATGAGATATTCAAGTAAGGATTTATATTATTGTAAATAGAATATCCAAGAACAAAAACGTAGATGGAATTCTCTTCTTGTAATTATTACAGGATAGTCTTAATTATTTACAATAGTGTTGCAAAGAAGCTTAGGACTATTTGATACTTTTGCATAATATCAAGTTGATTGCCACTCAGATCAAAGACTTGGCTTAGAGTGTGCATTCGAATTCTAAGAAAAAAATAAGTTTTAAAGAATTTGCTGAACCTATTCAACAATAAATTAATGGAATTCTGTCTTAATATTATTAACCATGTCTTCAGAATTATGTGAAGTTATTAAATCTTGATTAGCCTTAAGGTATGGATATGATACCAAGACCATATGTTATCTAATGGTTAACAGTACTTAATGAATAGGCTGTGATTTTGGCCTAAATTAATTTGGATTAATCAGTTACTGATTCAATTATGTCATTCATTGTTAGTTAATGTTTTAAGAATATTGAAGCAGTATCCACACATTCGAAAAGAGCAAAGTTCTTAGATTAATTAAATTATGAGATAAATTTAATTAAAATAATGACTTTGACATTTTAGGGATCTGTATCGCAGGAAGGATTTTAGAGATTGTAAAGAAAAATGGAAGAACTCAGTCAAAATACATTGTCAGAAACCAGTGAGTGGACAAGAACTTAAAAATTTAAAATGTCATTTAATTTTAAAGCATTGTATGGTTATTATTAACAATAATGATCAATTTTTTATGGTTTTTTTAATGATAATTCAAATTAAGGCGATGTAGAGTTTTATGTACACCAGATTCTCATAAATTTGAAATTGATGTGTAATCAGACTATTCTTAATCTAATTTCACTATGTAGATGCTATCTTTACAAGTATTGACAAAGCCATTTACTAAGTACATGAAAAGGATATAAATCGAATAGGCAATGTATTAACTGAATTTTATTTATATTTATAAATTCAATTTATATGAATTAATCAGATTGGTTTTCTATAGAAGATGATCAACTTTTCTAGAATTCCGAAACAGCTTAACAAAATAAGGTTTAGACTGAAATGGAAAAAATTGTGTCTAAGTATGAAAAAATAGTCTTGCAATAAAATCTAATTAAATATATTGTGACTGTATCCAAAAGTGAGGATCCTTAAAAATAAATAAATGAAAAATCTAGAATCAAAATAAGATGCGAAGAAAAAGATGAAAAGGCAAATATACTCAATCCAACACAAAATCTAAATATTTTGAAGATATGCTTATCCTCAAGCATTCCTCTAATTAAAGGATTCCGTATGGCACTTCTGTCTATGAAAGAAGGAGAGAAGGCTTGGTTTAAGATATCAGGAGACTTATTAGAAAAACCAGATAATATTGAGAATTTCGTGAAAGATCAAGTAAAATACTACTTGATTACAGTCGAAGAAGTAACATAACCATAATAATAATTGGATGTTACTAATGTTGAAAAGTATTTTTATTGATCATATATAGTCGTGTGATTTAGTTAGAAAAATTCAAATAAGAAGGAAATAAATTATATCAGAATGGTGACTATGTAGGAGCTGCATCTCGATATTTAAGAGGAATAAACTTTATTGAAAAGTGGCCTAAATATTTGAATAAAGAGAAAAACTCTGAAGTTATTAAAGAAGACTTTTACCTTGTTTTGATTAGTAATAGAGCCTAAGCATTGATTAAATTGAAAGATTATGAAGAATGCTAAAAGATTCTTGAACCTATTATCCATCGCTTAGAATAGAAGGTAATGAAATAATTATTCTCAAATAGGAATTTAAAGTAAAGTGTTATTACAGACTCGTATTTTGTTTAATTCAATTGGAACAATACTAAAAAGCTTTAGATTATATCAATATAATTAAAAGAGACGAAAGATTTTTTCAGTTCGAATCGTTATTTAAAGAACTTGAAGAGACTTGTAATTAGAGCCAATAAGAATGAAAGTGAGTAGATATATTTAATGTGTTAAAAATTATAGACTCTATTTATTCAATACATAATCATATAATTGTTTTTGAATTGCAATATTATTTACAATCATTTTATTATTGATCGCAAAGGGATATCTTAGAATAATTCATCCTTATCCATTAAAAAGTCAAAGACTGCAGATTGCGTTCCAAAGTATAATCTAAGAGCTAACTCTCCAGTAAATGAGGGAATATGCCACAATCCAAATAAGACTCCAAAATAAACTGTGGTTATGGGGATTGCTGCCAATTTAATGATTGTGGGATTTTTGGATTTTGTTAGATGAATGCATTACTTTAAAATGGATTATCTTAGATGATAAGTATTATGGATTGCCATTCCAAACGCCATATAGGACCCATAATGGTTTCTAAATGTGTAAACTTTGAAGCTAAATTTGATATTAAATTCTTACTCATCCTTGTTCAAGAATCTAAACATAAAGGATTGATAGGCACAATATAATTTACATTATAAATTGATAATGCTTGTTTGTCTATCTATAGTATCAAGTTCCTTTTATATTTATTCTAAATTCATTATAAAAAATAATATAAAAATATCGCATTTCTTTTAGGTAACCATAATTTATAATACATCCCAAGAAGAGTTTTCTAGAATTATTCATTTCTTATAGCCATAATTTATGTAATTAATATTTAATAGATGGTTTAACAAAGAGCACTTCTAGGAGAAGGGATTCTAGAAGGAAATTGATAAGATTGAGAGTTCTTTTTGGTTTAATTAAAATAATAATACGAATTTCAAATGCTTTGTTAACAGAATAATTAATTAATTAATATATTCAAATTCAAAAATGAGCAACGAGAATATGTACACCAGCGATTTATTTTAATCAACTGTTATGAGCAAGTCCTATTATCAAGTGTTACAAGACTCAAATTTAATTGAATCGTAAGTGTTACAGCCAGTTTGTTAAATGGCAACATCTTAATATATGACATAATCTATGTAAAAACCAAAGAAGATGGAATTATTTCATTAACTGGATGAAGAGCATGATTCAGAAGATGAAGGAATTGAGGACTATAAGATTGGTGGATATCATCCTGTTCATGTTGGAGAGGTCCTATAAAATAGATATGTGGTTATTCAAAAATTAGGTTGGGGTCACTTCTCCACAGTATGGTTATGTAAGGATTTTAAATTTGATACATTTGTGGCCATCAAAATTTAGAAGTCAGCAGAAAACTACTTGGAAGCAGCTTATGATGAAGTTGAGATATTATAAAAGGTGGCTTAACACGTTGGAGAATAAAAATGGTTGAAGAAATTGATTGAATATAAACCAAATTAGAGATTGAATCGTGATGATACTCATGTTGTTTAACTGCTCAATTCATTTGTATATAGAGGTCCATATGGTTGTCATTTTTGTATGGTTTTTGAAATTCTGGGAGTGAATCTATTGGAGATTATCAAGAGATATGAATTTAAGGGAGTTCCAATGAGATTATGTAGAAAAATAGCAAAGGAGGTATTGATTGGATTAGAGTTTCTACATGATCATTGTGGAGTGATTCATACCGATTTAAAACCAGAGAATGTTTTATTATAGTTAACTTAAGAGGAAATAAGAGATATCATTGAAAATGGTTAATTGACTAAAAATTAGATTTTTAAAGAAAGATTGGATTTTTATCATTAATTATTTGATATTAAAAAAGAAGAACCTATTAAATTAGAAGATTCAATAAAGACAGCTATTCATGAGGAATCGAAAGGAAATGATTAGGTTTAAGAAAATGAATAATAGAAATTGACAAAGAATCAATTAAGAAATCAACAACGAAGATAAAAGAAGAAGTAATAAAAATAATAGAAACTATAAGAAATAGATAAGTAAATAGCAGAGGAAGAATAATTTATACATAAGAAAGAAGAGGAGATGAAAATGGAAGAAAAAAGAGACCCTCAAACTAATTTATTTTAGATTGATAATAAATCATTATTTAAATAAATCTAGAAGAATGAGTTCTCAGTTAAAGTGGCTGATTTAGGTAATGCTTGTTGGACACATCATCAATTTTCAACTCTTATATAGACCAGACAATATAGATCACCAGAAGTGTTAATAGGTGCAAGATATAACACTACTGCTGACATGTGGAGTTTTGCATGTATGCTTTTTGAGTTGCTCACAGGTGACTTTTTATTTGAACCAAGAAAAGGAGCTAATTTTTCAAAAAATGATGATCATTTGGCTTAGATCTAAGAATTAATGGGTAAATTTCCTTTGAAATTTTCTTAAAGAGGATTAAAGTCTAAGAGATACTTTAATAAGGATGGGAGCTTACAAAGAATACCTGTATTAAACTGTTGGTCATTAACAGATGTATTGATTGAGAAATACAAATATAATCCTAAGGATGCAAAGGAGTTGGGTACTATTTAATATTGATTTGTAGCTTCCTTTTTGCAACCGATGCTTAATCCTTATCCAGAAAGAAGAGCAACTGCAGCACAGTCATTACAACATTCTTGGTTGAGAAGTGAGTCTGATGGAGTAAAGATGAACGAAGAGGAATTGAGAGAATACAAAATCTAGAGAGGTTAGGTCGAATTCAAGAAAGTATTCTAATTATCATAACTCATAGACTCCTGAGAGTGAAGATGAAGATGCCGATAGAAGTGAAACACCTGAATTGATTTTACCGTTGCCCTCTAGACATAGATATAAGATAGAACCAAGGTGTGTGAATCGAAATGAAATAGATAGATCTTTTACAGATTTAGGATATATTGGATTTGGAGATGGTATCGAAATTGATATGTTGGATTCAACAGGCAATTGGCAATTCATTAACTGATATATCATTCTTAAGTTGATTTTGGTACTTTGTACGAGGCACTCTTTTTAAATAATCCTATTTTTGGAGATTAACTATTCAACTTTTAAATTGCAGCGTCTAATTGAGCTGATTCTTCATTCACATAATCATCATCCTTGCTCATTTGCTTTTGTTAATAAGAATTCTTTAATGCAAATTTGTGCAAATCTTGCTAATCCTTTTTTTTATTTTATGGAGAAGCCATAGAATTACCACTTGCATCCTATTACACAGTTTTCATTGTTTAGCAAAACTAACTAAATTTCGATTGCTGTTATTGTTGTTGTTAAGGTTTCTCTAAACGACTAGTAGATCCTTATCCTGAACAAACAGATAAAGATCCAATTGTATCAGTTCTTCCGTTCAAACCTGGGGTTCGAACTTACAATTCCATTGAACCCACTTGACTATCAAAGCTTCCCTTCTTTTATAATCTATGCTCATGTTCAATCTCATATTCTATTAAATTTTCATGAATTTCCACTAAATCATTTTTGTTAAAGATTTCTTCAAAATACGGATGTTGCAGACATGCTTCTGCACTAGGTCTATCTTTCGGATTCTATTATAACATCTTTCTTATTAACTCTTACAATTTTGGAGATGACTACTTTAGAATAAATCAAATACCTATTGAATTTGTTTAATGTTGTAATTAATTTCACAATTTTTATTTGCTCTTAAAATTGCCTTATAGTCAGTTCCTTAAAATGGTTGCTTGCCAGTCAACAAGATATAAAATATCACTCCAGCACTGAATATATCACATTTCTCATCATAAAATGGATCATCTTCTTTATACATCAGTATTTCTGGAGCAACAAACCCAGGAGTACCGCATCTTTTAAAAAGGATCTCCTCTCCTAAAAATGCTGCAAGTCCAAAATCTGCTATAACCACATCCACATTTGATTCCTTAGATTTAAGCAATAAATTTTCAGGCTTCAAATCTCTGTGTATGCATTTCTTACTATGAATATGTACCAAAGCTTTTATAAAATTGTACATCAATTTCTATAGAGTATCTAATGAAAATGGATTAGTTTTTGCTCTAGCAAGCAGTTCTCCTCCTTATAACAAATCAATTACAAAGTATATTGAATTCTATGTCTCATAGGCTTCATGCAAATGCACAAGATTTTCTTAATTCAACCTTCTCATCACACGTATCTCATTCTCTAAACTTTCTTTCCCTTTAAATTGCTCTAACATAAATTCCTTGTTAAATGCCTTTATAGCATACTAGGCCCCAGTCTATTTCTTAGTTGCTAAGTAAACTTTTGCAAAGCTGCCTTTTCCTATCATTTTTGTTACTCCAAATTCATCATGAAAGGTTGTTTATAGGCATTTAAATGCTAATAATTATTTCAACAACATTGCATCTGTGGTAATAATATCAATATATTATCCATTTCTTAACAATCTGATCATCACTCCATGTTCATTTCTTTATATAGTCATCACTACTACTGTCAATAATAGCATGCCATGAGGATTCTTATTTTTAAAGAAATACAAATGTTCTTGACCCAATTAAATTATAATTGGTTTTAACTTTTAAGTTTTTCTGCTAATTTTATGACACACAGATTCGAAAATAATTGAATCATTCTATGGATTTTCATAATTTAATTACTTCATATGTACTAAGTTAAAACTTAGACCAAACATGTTTGATTTTATGAATAACTTCGAGATTATCAAAGAATGATGTAAATTCATTCAGCATCATTTTATTTAAAAATTAATTATATTATTGAATTATAAATCATTCAATATCACTCTAAATTATATCACCATTAATAATTATTGAGTCTCAATTATTAACCATAAAATTTTCTTTGATTAATTATTAATACTGCACAATTTTGTCTTAAGACGCATCAAGTTAAACTAATATTTAAATAACAGATTACACATTCAATTCAGTATTTCTTAGTATTTAATTCCGTAATAAATGGTAACTTTAAAATTATATTTCTAATTAACAATATTTTGATATTTGAGTCTTTGAGTCAAAATTTGATTTAAGTCTCACTTATTCATTCACCTCATCAAAACTTAATGAGAATGTTAGATTACTTAACAAAAAGGTCGAGAATCACCTAGAATAGTATAAATAAAAATATATTATATAAAATAAAAACCAATTTCAATTATTAGAGAATAAACACTTAATCATAAATTATTTTCATAAAATATATATTTATCTTACTAATAAAAAAGTATACTATTATTTAAAATAAGAATAATAAATCAATTTTCGATGCATCTTCTAAAACTTCTAAAGAATTGGAAAATTATATTACTATTCATATCCAGTTTTACAAGTTAAATAAAAAAAAGAAATATTACTTACATATATAATTTTATATTTTTATTTAGCTTTTTATTAATAATCTCATTTAATAAAAGAAATGAGTCTAAAACTAATTAATTTTTGATATGAATTAGATAAACAAGAAGAATTATAATCATAAATCATATTCACCAAAACAAGTTCCCTTAATAATTTCATCAGTGTGATACTCCCAATTTTAATAAAATGGATGCTTATAAATATTTTGGGATGCTATTAACATATCTAAAAAAGAAAAATCTAAACTTGTGATCCTATTTTACTATTACTATTGCTATTCATCATTTGAGTCATTCTAACTCTCAATTTATGTATTGTTTTGTTTTTCCTCCTCTTACTCGCTATCATCTTGTTCTGAAATCGTTCCTGTCTTCTTTTATTTTTTTTTCAACCCTTCCTTACTTTCCAATACAGTATTTCTTTTCTTACTCATAGATCCCAAATTGCTCACAGTTCTTTTAAGGCCAGGCTTTTCAAACTAAGTACTATTCTCTTCTTCTATGTTTTGTGGAGTCTCAGGAGTATCTTCATATTAGATAGGTCTGGTTTTATTGCTTTAAGGAGTTGATCTTTATATAATCTTCGTTTGAGATGATATTGATTGAGGAACTTAAGTGTAATCTTCTAAAGCATTTAGATCTAATATTGACTCCTATACGGCAATAGTCTTTTAAGACTTTAAGGGGCTTTTTTTACTTTTTTATTTCTTTTTTTTTTGCATATTTGCTTTATTAGATTAATCATTTTCCAAATCACTGATTGATTAATCATCATTATATTATTTAGATGTAAGAGGAGTGAATACGCTTTGCTCTCTTTGTTCATGAATTGATAATTGGTTTGGTTATTAAGGTGAAGATTGCAGATTGTCAACAATTATAGATTGTTATGGTGTTTCTTCCACAATTTCTTATGCTTCAACAATAGGAGATTAATATTCTGGTTGAATTATGTTGGGTTGTTGTGGTTGATACTTTTTGATTTTAATGGGCTGTTTTGGCTTAAGGAGAGTCTCTATGATCTCCATATGATTTAGTAGTTGTAAGACTTATTTATCTAATTTGTTATTTTAGACATAGTAGTCATTGAAATCTTAGTATAAACAATCATATTCATCTTTGAGTTTTACAAGTGTGACTTGGAAAGTGTCTTAATGCAGGGGTTCTTGGTAGCACTATCTAGAGGAAAAAAGCAATCTAACCTTGCCCATTAATTGAGTTACTTTTTCTTAAATTTGCTAATCCTTACGATCATTATTCAATCTGTCAAGTCGAATAGTAGCACCAGGATCTTTAAATGAAAATAAACGAGGGTCTCTTGAATTTACTCCTTCATCTTTGGCAGGTTACATCAATTACTTAAGTTTACTTCGATATCGTCTAAATGTATTGACAACGGAAGTGCTTTAATTGTTTTGTTAGATCTAAGTAATGAATTCCCCTCCATTTCGATAATCAGCTGTCTTGAGCTTTTCTTGACTATTATATATGGCTATAGTCATTCCTCGAACTCTCTTTTTAATTGGAGAAGGATCATAATTTCTGAGGGGACTGCTCTAGTATTTAATCATGGAAGAATTTGAAAGATTATTATCTCCATAACTGAGACATTAATACGAGTCTTTGGGTTATAATTTTAATGCTGGCAGTCTAAATGATGTTGCTTAAATTCTCATAGTATTATAATTAATTATACTATATATAGAAAGTAAAAAACTTTACTAAAGTGATTTAATCTACAAGATAACGATTCTTTCAGGGATTTCCTTAATAATAATCTTTTACTGATAAGTTGTCATTCTTAATTCAAATTTTACATATCAATTTACCAGTAGTATTGATTTAATCTCATTTTTCAATTATTAAGAAGGATGGTTGCTTGATTTTTATTAAGTGCTTTAGAATAATTTTAGAAATATTATAATAAACAAAGCATTTTGCCTGGTTTGTATATATTTAAAATTAAATATATTTGTATTTAATAAACTTAACAATTATAATAAATTGACTAAATATATAAAGATATAAATTAAAATCCTCTACACTAATTATTCAATATTATCTTCTAATCATAATTAATTAATAGTTATAATGATAGCATTTAAATTAAGATTTAATGATCTTATTTTAATAAGTTAAATTAATATATTTCAATGTTTAATAAATCAGTCTAATCAAATAGAACCTTGTTATCTGGATAACTTCATAGAATAATATTGAACAAATAATCATAGAGGGAGGAAATTGATTATGTTAGACGCAAGAATTCATTAAAATACCCTTTAAAAGAGCAAATCAACCTTCAAAAAAGTCATAATCACTTTAACGCAAGGAATTCCTTGGACTGTCTAGAACCTGTTTTTAAAGTGGAGACTAGCAAAAAAATCAAAAGCCCTGTAGTTGTGATACCAAACAGAAAGCTTTTTGTTTCTAGCAAAAATGGTAGAAAGAGTCATTAATCAGCCAGTCAAGAACCTGGCCCATTAATGCCAGATGTTAAGAAATCCCTTGAATATGGATATCGAATTGTAGTGAATAAGTCTTCTAGAGTACCTACAATATAGTTAGATGAAGAAGTAACAAAAGAAGAATCAAAAATAAACTCATCTAAAGATCCTGTTTCCTTTACTGACTGGGTAGAGAGAATTTATGGTAAAGGATGGTTTTATTGAGACCTTGTAAATAATTGATAATATTTCTTATTCATTGTAGAATATATATAAATAATAAATTAATTTTAATTTTGGATGATGACGCATAACATTGAAATATTCAAATTTAAGAATATGACTTAAATTCCTTAAGTAAATGATTAGATTAAGTTACCAGTAATCAAATGTTTGAAAGGGTCCTTAGCCAATTTTAATAATTGTTAATGAATTTATGTTCTTGCATGTCATTTTTTGAAATATCTCAAATGAGCTATGTAAGAGTTTTTAAATCATTAGATAAGTATCAAAATTGATCTTTAAATATGATTCTCATAATACTATTATATATGAAATCATTTATTATGATAAACTCTTTTTTTTGGTTAATCATTTTTTAATTTTCAATATAGTTTTTTTATTGCTTTAAATTTAAATTAAACTTTAGTCAGTATTGACCCAACTTTCTACTTGCCAATTAGATTTTGGATTTAATACTAATAAATATGATTATTTTTTAGCTTTTACTATGCAACTGCTTAATCTGTAAAGATAATGCCTTTAAATTAAAAATTTAATCTAGAGAAGAAACTGATTATAAAAGATTAATCCAAAATTTTGGTCAACATTCATTTGATATATTTTCATTCTATTATATTTTAATCTTTTTAGATTATTCTTAAATGTCAATTTCCAATAAGGTAATAAGCCAGGTTTTTTTTCAAACAACTGTCCATAATACACTTTTATAACTCCTTGTAATAGTCTTATTTTTTTTTAATTATTGTGTATCTGTAATTGCATAAATTTAATCAAAACTAATGAAAACTCTTTAATTAACTAATCAACCTTCCCATCTATAAAAAACATTATAACTAAATTACATGCCCTTTATTTATGAAGAATTGAAATGTTATAAAGTATTTTAGTTTAGTATGTGCAATGTAGTTATAATATTTCTAAAGCTTATTAGATTAAGAATTTTAGCTCATGTAAAAATATTAAGTAGGATGATTTATTATTTTGTTGAATCTCTGATTATTAGCTTACTTATTTAGTAAAAGATTGTCTTTCATTACTTCTAAACTTAGCTTCTTATACTAGATATTGTTTTCATATGAAACTTTAGGTGTAATTATTAATATATAAATAAATTAACATATAATTATTATCATATACAATCAGTTGAGTTTTTAAAAAGAGATTGTTTCTATAATAAATACTTAAGATCATATTAAAAGACTCTGATCATTTTTTTGATATAGTATACATTTTCAGATGGTTTAAAACACAAAGTGTCTCCTGTAGTTTAATCTTTAATTTCCTCTTGTAATAAAAAGTTGGATGCAACTCTATTTGTGCTCTTTTGATTAAATAAATATTGACAAGATTGAGTTTAGTCTTTCTTTTTAAACTTTTTAGCAGTCGACTCTTACTATTCTTGTGCTTCTTTCTGATAAATAGGTCCTAAAGGAACAGATTATTTATTTTAAAATTGATGAAGTATTAACATAGCATGCCTAAAATCAATGACTGTATTGGTTGGCCTATGAATTTTGCCAAAACTATGTCCTTTCTTATATTCTATAGGTATTTTCTTGACCAATATTTTGAGATCCTTCCTCTTGTTCTCAGTTTCCCACTTATTAAGATTACCATTCTGTAACAATACATCTAAATCATATTCATCTTCAGAATAAGAGTTCTGATCAATAAATCCTTCTTTAGTTTTGGCATCTAATAAATATGCTGCCTCCCCTACATTTCTCATGCCTTTTCCTGGTTCTTCGTATTCCCCTTATGCAAACTTCTCGTGATAATAGATGGCTTTATTCATATCCTATTTGTAATAATAGCACAATGAAATTTTATCATAAGTAAAGATCTCATAGTTAGTGTCATTAACTATCCATGACAATTTCAGCATTTTCTTGAGGTAAATTAAACTTTTGTCATACTACTAAAGCTTAATACAAATCTTTGATATGTGCTTATATGCTATTAGTTTATATTTATGACAGTGATTCCCTTGCATATTACAAATTCTCAATACCTTTTTCCAATTTGAATATGCCAATTTCTCCTTGCCATATATCTCCAATATCATATTATGAATGTAATAACCAACTAAAAACATGTTCAAGCATCCTATTTTCCATAACAATCTAATCATCCTCTCTCCGATAGGTGAAATCTAATTGACTTCCTCGACGACCATCTTCTCATTCATAATCTATAATAACTTTTGTATCTTTTCGATAAACTCTACAAACTTTGGATTCTCAAAAACTATCTATTATAATTTAGCTGCATCTCTTCCGCCGAAAAATGTCTACTTATATTTGTCTGGATTAAATTTCTAATAATTAGCTTCTCCAGGTTGATATAATTTCTATAATTATTGCATCTGCAATCTTCTATGTTAATCCTTATATTCTTGCATTCCGCTGTCTGATTGATACATAACTTGCATATGCATATTTTATGAATTCAATTCTTCAACTACATCATTCTTTGTTAAAATATCCCTTCCTTTTATATGTTTTATATTCAATGGATCTCTCAAGAACAGATAATCATCAAATCCTTGCCAGCGAAGTAAAGATCTCCAATATTGTTTAACCAAAAATTTTTCTTATTATTCAGTTAGTTATGGACTTGCCTCCTATTAAAGGGAATGTTTTGAATTTGTGAATAAGCTACCTTTCCCATTTCCAAATAGATTTCCCATACTTTAACTTGCTGATTCAGGTTTTGAAATTCTTTGGTACATTCTAGATCCAACGGGTCTCCCTGATTCCCTAGTGGCCACAGTTCTTTTAGTTACCAGCTTGTTCGGATTATTTTAATCATGTTTTTGCTGCAGAAAGTCTTCGTAGTCTTTATTAAGGAGGTTACGTAAAGCTTTCATAATTTATAAAACAATTATTTTATATACTAAAGGAATAGTTATTATTATTAGTTAACAATTTGACTTATTCCTCTACTTTATCTAGAATAATCCTAAAATAATAATGAAATGGTTATTAAAAATTCATATAGATATTTAAAATTTATTAATAAAGTTAAAGTTTCAGCAATTCGAAACATTTAAGCTTTAAATAAAACTATAAGATGATAAACTTTTAATAGTTTACTTTTTAATTAATTGATACTAGAGTATATGATATGAAACATTATTATTGAATATGAATAAATTTCAATAAGGTCTTGGTCTAATCATTTACTCATATTATTTCTATATGTAGGGATTCTGATTATTAAATGGAATAGGATTTGTAACTGGATTGTGATTCTAATGAATTGCATTTTATCCTGCTCCTCTTAAAGCCTATCCTCGACTGACTTGAGAAACATTACTCAAATTTTAGTTAATTGCATTCATCTCATCCTACTTTAATTAAGCTAGAGATTGTTATTTTAATAAATAATCTTATTTTGGTGGTAATTAACTACATAAAATGAACAGACAAATTACCCAACTTATGGAGACCATCCAATAATCTTTGCATTTAATTATGCCTCCTAATTTTTATATGCCTATAAATCCAACATATTCATAGATTTCTCTTATCTTCCCATTCTAAGTTGTTTCAGTCTTTGTTCCTCTCTTTTAATAATTAAATATAATTGTTACTTTTCAATTCTTTACTGATCCAAATATTCTTTGTATTATCTTTGCTATTCCACTTAATCAACCTTCCTTTAAACTAAGAATTGATTGTAATTTTATAGCTAATAAAATAGCATAAGACATTACATCTTCCAATCTTTATTTATTCAACTCCTATTTAACACTCTTCTCCTGAAACTTTCCTTACTCTCTTTCATCCAAAATCTTTTTATTCACATTAAGTGTCGATCTACACTCCTCTTGTCTCTTGATTACTCGATCTAATTCATCTTGAAGTAGTTTTCTTTGATAGGCATCCATATTTTTCGCAATCAATGACTCCAATTGAGCTTACCTCTCTAACAAAGGCTGAAGAACATTGTCAATATGCATTTTCTACAATTAAGCTTAATTTTGGGAACAGAGTCTGTAAAACTATTAATTTAGATTGATTTTGATACGTTTTTATAGTTTTCCTCTTTGATTAATTCTTTTTCAGCATTTCTTCTATTTAATTCCTGAATTTCAATTTAATCACTTCTATATCTCTCTCTTTCTTCCATATGCCTTAACTGGGATAGTTTCAAGTCTGCATCTTGTTCTTTAGCCCATTGCTCCTTCTGCATTCTCCTCTATAGGAAATCCTATTCCATTCTCCTTCTATTCTCTTCCAAAGCCTACTATTCCCACTCTAACTTTTATTGTCTCAAATCCATTTCCCTAATTAAGGAATCTTATTTTTATTTGTCATAGATGGAAGAGATGCCTTTTTGCAATATAGCCCTATCTTCTAAGAATTTTCTCTGTTCCTCTTAAAATTTCAATTGTCTCCTTTTCATTTCTTGCGCATCTTCATATTTCTACTCCAATTCCTTCTGTTTAATCTACAATTACTCAAGCATTTTGCGATCCAATTCAGTCCTTAAAGAATGAAATAACAATCTCATACAATAATTCCTTCTTCCTTAGATTCAAAATTTCTCTTTCATTTCGCTAAATGTCTAATCCAATCTCTTACAAATGATGTTCAATTCCGTACCATTCAGATTTTAAACCCTTTTTATAACAGATATTAAGTTACTTGAACATCTTTAGGATAATGACGCCTAGTTTATGTCTGATTTTATGTAACATTCATAGGATCAGTTTCCATTTTTAATAATAATAATAAATAAAAGGCGTAAATTCTTCATTAAACTTATTCATAAAACCGAAGAAATTATGATATAGGGAAAATTGAGATACTTCATTCTTATATTAATTATTTTACAAAAAATCTTAATCCTGCCCTTTTAACGTCTCTTCTTTTAGTATTTAATAGTCTGATCAAATCAGATTTAATTTCTGTATCGATATTTCTGCCAGAACTTCATTGTTAATAATCATGTTCTGCTGATTAACAGTTAGTTTATCATTGATCGAATTAACTTGTCTATCAAACCCATCTATTTTAAAGGTATTATGAGTATAATTTAAGTTCTTGATAGATTTCACTGGCTCCTTATTATCAGAAAATTAAGTCTAAACAATTAATCTAATATATATCTCATACCTTCCTTTAGTTACTAATCTCTGATTATAATTTGAATTCTCTTTTAAAACTCGGTTAATATGTATTATTGTCATTCTCTTGACTCTATATTTTTATGCTCATGTTTTAAAACTAACTAATAATGGAGTTCACTATAACTAAGTATGCTATCTCTTTTAAATATATTGCTAAATGGAATATTCTTATTATAATTAATAAATTTATAACTAAATTAGGGTTATATTTTTTCAATTTCAAGGAATCTTATCAATAATAATATAACTATTATTTAAAAGAAAATTTATCAAAAATAATAAATAATATTAATTATTTTGAGGATAACTTCAGTAATTGAATTCGAATTTGCAAATTATGATTGATTTTTTTTATTTTAATAATACTCTGCTCTGTATTCCTAATTTTTATATTCTTATGACGATTATCTCCTTCTCAAGTATGTATGAAGGTGTAAGAATATCGCATTCGTTAATAAAACATGCCGAGGAGAAATTGTAATGAAATTCATATTTTTATAATTTAAATAGATCTCTATCAATTTGATTTAATTCAAAACTTGAAATTGTTTATTAGGCTAGATTAAAATAACAATTGCTAGAGAAATATAGTGTTTAGAAAAATTGCATTATTCCTCTTTTATTTTATAATTTAACACTATTTCTGCCATAAATTTTATAATATTGCAATATAAATTTATAGCACTTTGAAGAAAGTTACATCAAATTGTAGGTTCTTTGATAAATTAACATTTTAATTATTATTATAACAAAGTAGATTTTGCTATCCTATATTGAAAATTCTAATGTCTAATTCTTTAATATCATCAATTAATTTTCAAATAGAATAATTTAAACACAATGTAATTTGCATTTCACCTTCAAATTCTCAATTGCATATATTTATTTAATAAGGTTAATTAAAGTAGAAATTAATATGGATAAAACAATATTTTAGTTTTTCATTTTAAACCAATAACATAGAATAATATACTATTTAATGAATAGATTTCAATTTATAAAACTTACATAATGTTTGATTGTTAGATTAAATAAATGATTCTAAAATAATATAAAATAATCATTAGAAATAGTACGACTTTGCTCTAATTTTAGTAATATTTCTAGGATCCTAAAATGGATAAGTAATAATACCAATTAACGAGAGTAGGTCGAACTTAACTATTAAGATGTTTAAAGTTCTTAAATCAACAATTATTCCTTCTACTCTAGTTTTTGAATAGATTATTCTGTCTATATTCTTTTTTGACATTCAACCTCTAATAATTATGAATACTCCTTATTTCTGAGGTCTTCATTAGATTTCTATCTGATTCTCATTTTAATTTGTGATTATGCTCTTTCTTATTTTAGTTTGTTGTGTCTGACAATATTTTTAATTAATTCCGATTCCTTTTATTGCTGTATTTGTCTTTCTAATTCAAGCTTCTTAATTTTCAAGTTTTAAGTTTCTTGTTGCTTAATCCATCTTTATTGCTCTTAGGTTTTCTTACGACCTTCCTCACTTTATTACTTTTTTGTTTTTGCCATTAGTTGCGTCCTCTGTAATTACTATAATTTTTGCATATTCTAAATTAGTCTCTATCATAATAATGTGTATATAACACTCTAATTAAATGAATCATGCTCGGATTGTATGAATTGCTTCATTTCAACAGACTTTTATTGTAATTTAATCCTTCGAATGACTTTGAGTTGATTTTATTAAATGAGGTTTATTCGATTCATTAGAAGACTGAGTTACTATTCAGATTGCTTACGACTACATTAATTTACATGTTCATACCCTTCACGTGCTTATAACAGAACATCACGTTTATTCATTTATTTTATTATTAATTGTTTAACATCTTTCTAATAAGCCGATTCAATAAAATTATTGGTATCATGAGCGTGAAACTAAGAGAAAATAGTTCACAAAGAAAGTTAATAAAGAACAAATAGGTATTTAAAACCTGAAATAATTCTTAATACAAGCTAATTTCATATTTAAATACTCATATTATTCTATATATTAGAGTAAAAAAGTATATAAGCTCCTAGGATTATAGTTGCAAAGATGGCTAACATCCTAAGCCTATTTTTTGTATCCTCTTTCTTCTACAGGATATGTTTATTAGCTTTTAATTCTTTTTTTATTCTATCTTCTTCTTTATCTTTTATTATTTAACTCTCTATTTCCTTAACTCTTTAATCTTGTCTTTCTTTCTAAACTATTAATTAAATAGTTACTCTGTGTTATGCTATCTATCTTTTTCTAATTTACTACTTTTATTATTCAAGTTCTGCTTTCCTTTTCCTATTTTCAATTATTTATTAATAACTTAATCCAGCTCTATTTAATTTGCTCACATCCAAATTGATAGTATCCTTATTTTAAAGCAATAACTTCAAAAATAATTACTTATCATTAATCGCTGCAATATGTAATGGCGCATTTCCTTCTTTATTTTATTGATTCCATATATCAATTTAGAATGGCTTATTTATGTATCTTTTAATTATTGCATTAAGTAATTCAGCATTACCACTAAATGCTAATATATGTAAAACATTCTCTTGATCTTCATCTTAATTTAACAATCCAATATCATTTTAAATTAAAAATTATGCATTTTCATCTTTTTCTGCATTAATTGCTAAATGCAATAGATTCTCCTTAATTGGTACCTTATATTCTAAATATATTTTGCTTATTACTAATTAGCAATTAGATCATTTGTTCAGATCCAATCACCACTGCATGTTCTAAATAAGTTCTACTTTCTATTTCCACTTCAACATTTACTTGATGGGTTTATAATAGAGCTTACGCTGCTTCCAAGAAATTTAATTAAATTGATGTAAATAAAGGAGTGCTCTTATCAATTTTATTCTGAAAATTAACATCAGCCTTCTTCATTAGTAACGCTTTGATTAATGTTAAATTATGGTTTGTTATTGCAATCTATAATAATGATTTGCCACTCTTTCTATCAGTTTCGTCAAGGTTCTCACTCATGGTCATCAGATCAAAACAATTTTCTGTATTATCTTTCAAGAATTCCCGAATCATTATTAATTAATATTATATGTAAACCAATTATTATTACTTTAGTTAATTATAGATCTTATTTATTAATATTAAGCTTTATAACTACCTTGAATCTTTCTTATTAGATTGAAAATTTGGAAATTTATTGACAACTTATTTTTGATTTATCTAATGAATTTCTAAATAATAACATCTAAATAATTCTAAGCTTTATTAGTATAATCAAATGATAGAGGTTTCATTTATTAATCTTAGATTTACTTTAAACTGTATTTTTAAATAATAAGTTTTATGAAGATTTTCAGACCTTAGTAATGGATTAACCCAAGTTCTCATTTTTAAATCTTTTATAATCAATTCCTTTTCTTAGTTTTTATTTTTTTGTTCTTAAGCAAATTCAATTTAAATATCCCTTTTATAAAATGATAAAATGTGACTTAATATTCATTAATGGATAAAATTCATTTTAAATAGTTTATTATGTAATAAAGTAAACTTTTAAAAAGTAATAATTGTTGGGAATATAAATAATGTAATCATAATTTCAAAATCTTGACTTTACTTTTGATCTATCAAGTAAATTAAATAATTCATCAATTAATAAATTGAATGTTTTATTTAAAATTATTGTTTACAAACATATTGAAAATTATGCATTTAATCTATATGTAATAAATAATTAAATTTGATAAAGGAGTTAAAAATGGTTATTTGATTGGCTTAATCTAAAATGATATTAAAATAACTTAAATATATTATGTGAATTCAATAATAATTAAATAATTAAATTATTTCTTAATTATTTAATACTTAAAATTAATTATCTAAAATTCAATTATTATATATAATATCAAAAAATCATTCTTAAACTGCTTGCGTATTTTATTGAATCAATTAAGACGTCATCCATATGTTCTGCTGATATGCTATTTATCAGTAAAATTTTGACTTAAATTTAATCAATTTTAAAAATAAAAAAGATCCTCTACAGATATGCAATTCCAATCCTTAATAGAAGATGGCATGAAAGAATCATCATGCCTATAACTTTAGTAATAAGGTACTTTCAAATCTTTAAGACTTCTAGTTAATAAAGCCAAGGCTCAAAAAGCATTATCGGATATGAAAACACTTGAAAATATTTGGATTTCCTGGATAACATAGTAATAGACTGGATAAAGCTAGAATGAATAAACGATTAAGAAAAATGATTCTATTGATGTGGAATTCACAGAAGACACTAATGTATTTGTTTTCATATTATATCATAGACTGTTGACAAGAATACTCTACTTAAAAAGTTTTTTGATAAGCTGAAATCGAGAATAATTGATGATAAAATATATAGTACTTTAACATAAACTTAAACAACCTAATTTTTTGAAGAAGTCACCACTCAAATTTAAAACAAAATAAAACTCTATGAAGACATATAGAAACTAAAATTATTATCCAATTACCCAAGTACGTTCCAATTTTATTAATTACTTAGTTAACTCTAAAAGGACCTACTCTAAATAAGCTAATATGATACTCAAAAAATGGTTAATTGAAAACTACAATAATCCATATCCTAAGTAGTAATAAGTTGAATAATTAGTTCAATAAACAAATCTCACTAACAAATAAGTAAGTCAGAATCAATATTATATATAGGTCTTAAATTGGTTCATTAATGCCAGGAATAGTCTTAAAAGTAAATCTTCCTAGGAAAAGAAGTTCAAAAAGGTCGTTGAAACTAAATTTAAGGAGCTTGCTGTCTTAAAAAAAAAGAAACACGAAAAAATTATTTGATTATTAAGAAAAAATCACTGAATATAATTTTGTTAATAAATCATATATCATTAATAATTGTATACCTAATACAATTCATAGTCACATCGATTATCTAAGGAGAAAAATTCTTAACCTTCATAGTTTCTATAAACAATTATAGAGTCAGATCAAATTTTGAATCATTATTTCAAAATATGATAAAATTGTGGAAACAAAAGAAACTGAAATTTAAGCCATAAGCATATCAACTATGATCGAATTAATATTTAATATTACTCCATCTTTTATATTATGGAGATATTTAAATTGCTATTTTAGAATTAAAATAAACTAAAAATTCTTTTAACCAAAATTGAATTAATCATGGTTTTTTTATGCGTTAATACAAAATATGATCAATTTTAACATACATCTAAATAAAATTTTATAAAAAATCATTTCCATTTAATCTTAACTCATTTGAAGATATACTTAAGTAGGGGGAAAAATAGTAATAAAACTCTTGTCAAAATACTGGAGCATACAAACTTATAAAATACTAATATATTAATATCATATAAGATAGAAAATATACAATATTATACTGATTATTTTACATATTCGATTTTTATGAAATCATTAGTGTTATTATAAACTGTTTATATACTATGATTTCATTTAATAAGTGAAAGTGTTTGAATAACTGATGGGATATGCATAATAGTGGATTACCTATTTATTAATTCTTTTAATATTCTATTTTCATTTTCATTACAACGATGTGATTGCAAGAATTCGTCTAGATCACCCTTATTTTAATTTGCTATTTTGAGTACATTTTCTTATGATCTTTTATTGTTCTGGTTGCTGCACTAGCATTTCATTTATAATAATTGATTCTCACTTGTTAACATCAATTTCTTACCTTTTGTTCTAATTCTTATATGCGCATCAACAATGAAGTATTTTCATTAAGTAGTCTATCAAACTATGCACTGCTTCTTGTTTGTTATTCTGTGCTTTTTCTAATTTAGGAAGACAAATTTTGGGAAGTGCTGATAACTTTTTTTTGAATATGTGGAGAGCTAATTGGTTTTACAGGAAAGCTTTACGATTCAATTGGAGAAGTCTTAATCGGTCTATCAATACTAAATTGTCTGGCTGATTGTATTGCTTATTAAGATTGTTGGATCAATGTGTTCAATACATTATCTCCTTTTTTGTAGTTTTCAGTAGAGGAATCTCTAATATATTTGCTGATGTTTCTAAAATTAAATTGAATATCTTACAACTAAATCTAAGTTACGTGTTGTGACTTTGCTTTGCCAGGAGTTAAATTGCTGTTGGATTTATTGTAATAACTGTGGTTCATTTATGTTAATAACAGAAAAATAATTTATTAAATATTAATACAATTAAAATTATCATTTATTTATACACAAATGAAGACTTCCTATAAACAATTATTAAAAATCCTGGTATTTTGATAAAAATACTAAAAACTAGTTATTAAATGATTATAGATAAAAATGATATTCATGTGAAGTAGATCAAATTATTTATGGATATTTTATTATTTAAAGTTAATAGTTCAATAATGACGCAAGGATGTGGGGAATAATAGACAAGCCCATTCATTGATTGTAAAATAAAATATTATTACTAAATCAAAATTAATTAATTAATTAATAATATTATATAAATAGTTAAGTATAAATTGTGGTCAGGATACTTCATTAAGACAAATATTTAAAAATGAAAATTTTCTTTGCTCTCATTGCAATTGTTTCTGCATTCAATTATGATCCAAGTATAGCCAACGAATTAACTGCCTTGTCCTTTGCTGCCTATTGTCATCCAGAGGACATTTTAAGTTGGAATGTCGGCACTATAAGCCAATAATATCCTCATTTGAGCAAAATTTAGATATTCGAGAACATTGAACTAGTAATATATTATAAGTATACTTAGGAAACAAGAGGATATATAGCCTACAATTCGCATAATTAAGCCATTATCGTAGTTTTCAGAGGGGCATCAAACATAAAGAATTTCATAGCTGACATAGATGCAAAGAAGATTGAATTCAATACCATTTGCAAGTGCTAAGTTCATGAAGGATTCTTTGCAGCTTACACATCCTTAAAAATTCATTTAGATGTGTTACTAGGTGAGTATAGAATTAAATATCCATATGCAAAATACTATGTAACAGGGCACTCTTTGGGAGGAGCTATGGCAACCTTGTTTGCAAGTGAACTAGCCATGATCGGAGTTAAAGTAACTCTTGTAACTGTTGGATCTCTTAGAGTTGGTGATTCTGATTTTTATGATTGGTTTTCAACATTGAAGGTTACTCATTCAAGATTGACAAATAAGAAGGATATCGCTCCTCATTTACCACCAGTCAGATATGAATTTGAACATGTTAATACTGAAATTTGGTATAAAGATGGAGTAAATTATGTGATTTGCCAAGATATAAAAGGAGAAGATCAAAAATGTTCTGCCTCTGTTTATAATCCTAATCTGAACGACCATTTGACATATTTAGGATGGTCTAGCAATTCTTGCAAAACTGAATTGACAGAATGACAATATCAATTTTTGTGTGACATCTTTTATCAATTATTTAGTTTATATAAGATATTTAATACATAGGTATTCTCTGAAATATTAAATATCTTGTTTTTATATGAATGGTTATTTAAGATCCTCTTTCTATTTACATAAAAATAAATGCTCAATTAAAGTTATTGGCATTTATGTAGGGTTCTATAGAGCACTTTAAAAAAAAATGTCCATTTTATTATTATCAAATTCAAGTAATATATTGATTTAAGAGAATTTTTTATGAGTAGTTTGTAGGAGGTTAGTTGATAATGAGAAAATATGAAAATACCTAAACGGTCTATAAAATGGAAGAATGATTAAAATAAGTGATTCTCCCTGGTTTCGATAACTAAGAAAGGTGATTTATAAGATTTTGGTTATGTTTCCAAAGTTAGAGAATCTGAAATAAGGGAATTCCTTATTATTATTTGGAGAATTTCGATAGAGAATGAGGTTTGATAAATTGTTCTATATTTCAGTTGAATAAATTTCTGATTTGAAATATGTCACTAAATAGTAGTTGCGTATTAAGTACATTAAACTGCATATCTTGTGATGCTTTTTATAATTAATATATATATATATAAATAATACGGGTATTAAATGGAGAGATTTGAAATAGTGAGTATATTTAAATAAATAAAATCTAAATGAGATCATCAGTTTTGATTTTAGTTGTCTTAGCTGCAACAGTCAATAGTGCTTTCGTTTACAATGAAGCCTTAGCAACTGAAGAGGCTGCACTTTCTTTTGCTGCTTATTGTCCTGACACAGCCATCAACACATGGAAAGTGGGATATGTTACAACCAACTACCCAAACATTGAAAAACCTTTAGTGTTTGAAAACACCGTCGCTGTAAGATCTAACGTTATCTATTATTTTAGGGTACAAAAGGATATATCGCTTACAACCCAACATACAATGCCATCACAGTCGTCTTCAGAGGTTCTAGCAACATTCAAAACTGGTTGGACAACATCCAATTTGATAAGGTAAATTACAACACAGCATGCAAATGCCAAGTTCACAGTGGATTCTTGGATGCCTTCAATTCTATCAAGCCCTAAGTCGATTCCTTGTTCACCAAATACAGAGGATTGTATCCAAAGGCCATCATCCACGTAACTGGTCACTCATTGGGAGCTGCTATGGCCACATTGTACACAACTGAATTGGCTATTGCTGGATACACAGTTCAATTGAGCACCTTTGGTTTACCAAGAGTCGGAGATACAGCTTATTATAACTATTTCTCATCATTCACCAAGGCCACTCATTTCAGAGTTGTCCATGATAAGGATATTGTTCCTCATGTATGATTATTTAAAATAACATTTAGGTTCCACCTGAGAACTTTGGATTCAACCATGTTGACAGAGAAATCTGGTATCACAAGAGTTCATACACTATTTGCCAATTGGATGAAGATCCCAATTGCTCAGATTCAGTCCTTGTTCCATCAATCGAAGATCACATGAGTTACATGGGATGGAGTTCAACAGTGGACTGCTGATATTTAAAATACAATTAACAAATATTCAATCAAAATAAGTTTATTCAATTGAAAAAACAGAAGAAAATATATATAATAAATATAATATGTTTTCGAATCCTTTTTTCAAAAATAGTGGAGCTTCGAGTCCAAAGAATAATATGCAATCAACACAATAAAGACCATCGGTACAGGATATCATGAATAAATACAAATATAATCCGTCAGAAAGAGTATCTCATGTTGATGAATAAATATTAGGGAGTCTTAACGAATCCTCAAATGTAGTGAATTAATAACAAATTATAGTTTTTAAATGAACAATCAAGACATGACAAGATGTTTCTAAATCCAATCTCACCATAGTTTGATTTAGATCCACCACCAAAAAAAGATGCAGTTGCTCGGTTGACCTTCGGAGAAGAGAACAAGAAATTTGAATCTCAGAAATTACAAAATTAGAGATTGCTGAATGAGAATGATCTCTTTGATGATATGTCTCACTTAAAGGATAAAGTGCTAAGTATCAAATCATCATTATAACAAAGACATGTTGGAGAGATATTCAGTTGCTCTTAAAGCTCCAGAGTAACAGAACAAGAGGAACACCATCAAACATCAATTAGAATTGGATGCCAATTAAGTTGCCTAAGAATATTCATAAATTGTTGATAAATTTAACAACCCAGATTTATCAGCCATTTCAATTGCAGATAGTACAATACCAGTATACAAAGTATAAGATGAATATCATTCAATTAGGAACAACAATTGACTTAGATGTTTAATCTTGTGGAAGAATTCCTTACTAAATTCAAGAATATATCCTAAGTGCAATAAGAGAAGTCTTAATTGTTGCGATCACGTATTAATGCAGGTGAATCTCAACTTCATCCTCAGTCAAATAAAGCTGCAGAATCAGAGAAACAATTCACATTTCAATCTAATTAATCTAGCAAACATTCAAGTCAAGCTGTTAAAAATAAGGCTCAAGCTTAATTTGCTCCATCCTTAACAGTTGGGTAATCCAATTTGACTTCGAATCCTTATTAATAGACTTTCAGCAAAACCAATGGAAGTCAGCAACAGAGTCCCACTAAAACTACTACATATTAATCTGTCACTGCTACTATCCCTACTTATGAATAGAAATCAATTCCTGCTCAACAACCAATGACTCAATTAGACATGACAGTTTATACTTAATTTCCGAAAATGGATGATTCATTTTATGATCAGAAATAAATATCAATGCAAAGAATTAATTCTAAATTATAAACTTTGAAATAAAAATTACAATAGGAACTATAAAAGGAGAATATGCCTTATACATAAAAGATATTAGGGGAAATGATATCCAGTCTATAAGAAATAATCAATACTCAAGATTACTAATTGGTCAAAACCATCATTTTTAGAATAGAATAAGGTATTCAATAGTTATCAAACAATAAGGAAGGTTCAATTAATCTATATAAATATATCAATAAAGCTTTGATAAATTCAAAAATGAAAACAGATTTATTCACTCAAAGAGCCTCCATGCCTGCACATGCTCCACCAGAACAACGCAATAGTTCGACTACTATGACTTCGCTTAATAATTACTAAACTCCAGCAAAAATAGAAAATAGTAACACCAAATTCACTCAAAAAATAGATATTGATCGCAATTTCGAAAAAAAAGAAAGAGATCAACGCCATTTAGAGGAACATAACATTTATTTTGATTAAAGATTAAGCAATGTCAATAAACCAGATGTTCTAAAACCTAAATAATAATCATATGTAAATTAAGTCACATCTCCTACCTCTGGATATGAATCTAGAGGGTCGGTCAATTATGAAAGGAAATTGGAGGATCATAAACCTTACTCTCAAGATGCTCGTCTGAGTTATTAATTGTAATTTGAATCCAGACCTAGTATTAACTTAGAATAGAGATATTCAAGCAATGAACCAAAAAATATTTATTTTGCAACTGAATATCAAAGGAGAACAGAACAAAGTTCCTTTTAGGAATCCTAAAAATTAAATTATGAAAGGAGATCTGAAATCTAAAGACCATCAGAAAATGCTTTAAGACAATCTGATATGCAAAGACCATCAGAATAAACAATGAAGAGATTATTTTTTGATGCTGCCCTGACCTAGAAGAATAAATTGACTTCAAATCATCCAGGCAGGAATATTATGGTTTCAGATCTCTATGAAGACTATGTAAAAATAGGTGGAGATATGTAAAAGTTTATATAATAAAAATTTGATTGTTGTTGAAAGTATTTATGTAATGTAATTACAAATCATTAATCTATCTGTTTAATTATAATTACCAATTGAAAGTTTTCAGTTAGCAATAGATTATTTGAAATAGATTGAGCTGAGGTTAATATCCAATAATGAACCCTTCTGTAATTCCTTAAGGTACTTATATAAATAAACAATAGAATGACAATATCGCTTTCTGTTTTCTCTTCACCTTTCCTGATTTATATTTTCAAAAGAGTCATTTTTTAGGGGATAAATTGAATTCACTTTCTTATGAGAATATTAATTAAGTTCTTGTTAAAATAGAGAAGAAATGTTTCAATTCGTCTGGGTAGGTGATGAATACAAAAATGGATTGGTACTCTATATAATGGATATGAGGTTAAGTTATTATTAAAATAGTAGTAGGGTAGATGTATAAAATATAGTATAAATATATATGGATATATATATATAGTGAGAATTAAAGTTGTGATTATTCTTTAATTTAATTATCCAAATGTCAGACGTAGAGGATTGGGAATAATATGCTGACGAAGAATAGGAGGAAAAGTAAGAATAGAAGGAAGATGACAAGTCTAAATAACCTTAAACTTAATAGTAGAAATCAGAAGTACAATCAAAGGAATCAGACATGAACAATGTCTTCGATTTATTTGGAGGAGATAAACCAGTTAAGAAAAATATTGGATAAGTGGATCTGAAGAAAATTGGTGAGAATTTTGCTGCTGCTTTGTAAAACGTGGGTCCTAACTATACAACCGAATTCTTGAAGACCTTGTTAACTAAGTTGGAAGGAAAATTATTGTTGAATCATTATGAGGAGTTGTTCAAAGCAGTGGAGGAAATTTACATTAAAAAAAGGAAGCAATTTGAAGCAGAAGAAGCCATAAAGAAGAAGAGTCAAATGCAAGGACCACCAAAGGGAGTTTCATTTGGAAAGACTAAAAACATTGTGGAAGATGAAGAAGAGGACTTTGATAATGTTGATGATGATGATGATTTCATGTGATAAATATATATATCTTAATTATGGATAAAAAGAATAAAGTGAAATCTATTGTGAAGTTCGATGATGAAAAGTAGCCAGAACCAGTAATCGAAGAAGTACAACAGATTAAGAAGGAAAAGAAGAAGAAGAAGGAACAATAAAAGAAGAAATTAGCAGTTGAATAGAGACATGTCACTATTGCCATCCCAGATTCAATTATCTCTAATGCTTAATCATCTGAATTGAGAAGTTATTTTATGTCTCAATTGGCAAGGATGTTTGCTATCTTTCAAGTAGATGAAGTGATCATCCTAAGAGATTATTCATAGTATCTCCATCTTTACATTCTAGCATACCAAAAAGCAAATAATTCGATGTGGCATCCTATGTTGTTAGAAACCTACAATATTTGGAAACACCACAATATCTGAGAAAGTACTTGTTTCCAATTCACTCCGACTTAAAAAATGTTGGTCTCATGAATCCAATCGAATCAAAACATCATTTACTTACAGAATAGGTATGTCCCTTTAGAGAAGGTGTTGTTGTCGAAAGACCTAGTAAGGGTGACACATCTTGGGTTGAAATTGGGCTCAAAAGATAAGTCTTGATCAATTATCCATTACAACCAGGAACCAGAGTCACATTGAAATTGGATGACCCTACTTCCACTCATCTGACTGGCACTCCTGTCTCAAGTCAAGATGCTAAAAGGGAGGGCTATTATTGGGGATATACAGTCACAATAGAGTCTAAATTTCATAGGTTATTGGAGAGAGGTAAGAAATCAGGTTATTATTATCTATAGATGATTTCGATATGAAGATCTTGATTGAAACAGAGAAAAGTGATGAAACTTAATAGACGACTACCTTTAATCCCAGCCAATTATCTTAACAGCCTTTAAAATTACTATTACTCTTTTCTGGATTGCAAAAGATTACTGATTTTACAGAGAATGATGAGAAGTCAAAGGTATTCTAATATCTATATCCTTTAGTTATCGAACGAGGATATATATGGAAAATTCGATCATGTATATAGATATGGGAATAACGACTTTGGTGTGAAATAACTCAGATTAGAGGAGTAAATGTTTATGTTTTTGTAATCAATTTAATGATTAATCGAATATAAAAAATATTTGTCGCCAGGGACGAACTCAATCAAAGCATTGGTGATATTGAATTCGCTCGTTCTCTTGAATAAACTACTATCGATTTCAGTACAGTCGATAATAATGGTCGTAATCTTCTTCATCGAGCTGCTCTTCAATAAAACCCTAAACTCATTCGGGAGATTTTGACTGAATATTCAAAATTGCAATAGCCAATGCATGCTTACATTAATTTAAATGATAAATTTGGTATCAATGCAGTCTAGATGTGCTGTTTTGCTAATTATAATGAAAGAGCAGCTTGTTTGGAATTATTTCTTGAAGATGGAGATTTAAATAGTTTTAATCCAAGAACTCTGTGGTCACCGGTTCATTGGGTTGCCTTCTATGGAGATGTTGAAAGCATGTAACTTCTCATATCCAAAGAGGCCATTCTCTTCAAAACTGACTATGAAGGTTACTATCCATTAGATCTGGCGGGACGGAATAACAAGAAGATCGTTGCCAATCTGATAATTGAATTTCTCATTTAGTTCCTTATTGACTATGAAAGATCAAGAGTGTCCCAGAGAGTTAAGAATTTAGTCTATGATAGATTTTGTGAATATGAACGATACATTTCAAATCCAGCTTTAAGATTGTCACTTTTTTATTGGTCCTGTCATTTCAGGTTTGCGAATCTAGAGCGCTTCACAGCACTCAACAGATTCTATCCATTGGCAATCTATATGGATTCGACAGCCTTACACAACTCAATCAAGAATTCGAATATGGAGGCATTCCTATATCTACTTCACTCAAGTTAAATTAAACCATTTTCTTAGGGAATGCTACTCTCTCGTAATGCCACTCCTTAAAACAATAGGATCTTTTCACTCAAAAAGGAGGAAATGAAAATTTACAAAAAAAGATATTAATTATATCTTGTTCGTTTGGATGAATGGGAATATGATTATTTAAACAATTAGATTTCTTTGTTGGATCAAGTGGATTTATTTGGAAATACCCCTTTGCATATAGCTGCATTGTCGAATAATACAGAAATGATCAATTATTTAATACAGTTTGGATGCAGAATAGATATTCAAAACAGTGAATATTGGACTCCAGTAGATTTTAGTTATTCTGAGGAAATACGTACAATCTTCAGAGAAAATGAAAAGCTCAAACAGAAATCAGTTAAAAACATCCAGAATTTCTTTTTTTCTTGTAAACTGCCAACATAAAAATATGATCCAGTTCATAAACGCAATTTGTATTTATTTTAGGCCATCAAAGATATAGAAGTAGATAACTTATATTCAATGAGTCAGGATCTAATCATTCCCGACTTTGTTATTAAATGCAGTGCCTAGCATATTACTAAACTAAACTTTTAGATCTAAGTTCTTATCAATGCTAAATTCGAAGTTTATCTATCGAAATCACAAATCGATGACTTCTATTATTTGATGTTGAGAAGTCCTTTGGCTTAATTGCAGATGCAAGCAATGATTTAAAAGGTTCAAGTCAAGTTATTGGATAGTTACGATTATGAGCCATATGATTCGAATGGTCATTTTGAACCCTTTCGTTCTCTGTAAAGACAATCCATAATTGAGGAACATTTGAATAGGATTTTGAACATTCAGGAATTGATTCAACAGAAAGTTATCATAGACACTTACCGCATGCATTCATTTGGTGGAACAACTAAGATAAGAAGACAATGGTTGGAATAATATAAATGGTATCATACTTAACCCTTCAAATAATTATAAGATTATTTCAAAGAAGGATAAACTCAGAATTTTAAATCCTGTTCAATTTTGAGATTATATTTTGGAGAGTAGATTGCATACTTTTTTGCCTTCAAATCTTATCTTACTTGTTTTATGATATTTGCAGCATTCCCAGGACTCATTCTTTAATTATACATTTTGGCAGCCAATGATTATAATTCATTGTTCCTTCCACTCTACGTAATATACATGTCCATTTGGTCAACAATCACAGTTGAATTTTGGAAGAGGAAACAATGCGAAATGAATGCAAGATGGGGTTTATTGGATTAAATGAATCAACAAGAATTGACAACCAGATTGGAGTTCTAAGGAGATGAGTACATGAATCATATTACTCATCAAATTGAGAAATATGAATAGAAAGGACATTCCACAATTATGTTTATGATTTCAATTCCTGTGTTGATTTTGTTCAGTTCTTTTATAGTTGGATTATTTGTTACAATTGATTACATTCAATAGACTTACACAAATTCAAGTTATTATAAGCTGTTAGTGGGTGTGCTTCAAGGCATATGTGTTTCAGTTTTGAATATTATATACACAGCATTGGTTCATTACTTCGTGGAGAAGGAGAACCACAAATTTGAAGAGCATTATGAGAGTTCCTTGATTTACAAAAATGTGTTATTCAAATTTATCAACAGCTACATAGCAGTCTTTTACACAGCCTTCATTAAATTAGACAGTACTTATGAAGAGATATTCTATATTCTTGTACCTGTGTTGGTGATCAAATAATTGAGTTACTTGATAGCCATAATGATGATTCCTTAGATCATCTATAAATATAAAGAAAGTTCGTATTTTAAGTTGTTCAAAGAGAAATTGAATTTAAGACAATATCAGGATCCAATTGATATATTGTGGAAATAGACAACAAATGTGCCACTTAAATCTCAGAGTAGAGTGGTGATCAATCTGACAACCTAGTAGATACAATAAAACATCGACATGGATAGTGTTGAATTGAATGGTCTGAAATTGCCAGCCTATAAGTATTTGATGACCAACTATTTTATGGAAACTATGATAGATTTCGGTTTTATTACTCTCTTTACTGCTGCATTTCCAATGGGTCCTACTATTGCCATGATTATGAACATCATTGAAATAAGAATGAAAATTTACAGTTTTAATAGTGTATTCAAGAGACCTCAGGCTCAGAGGGTTGCTGGGATAGGCGATTGGATGTACATATGGGAGTTCTTAAGTTTCATAGGAGTGTTTACGAATTATGCCTTAGTGTTCCTGAAGTAGGGAGATCAGATTAATAATTATCTATTTCCGGATGGGAGTGTCACACGTACAAATATGTTATGGTTGTTCTTGTTGTTTATATTTTTGAATGTGATTTTGAAATATGTAATTCAATGGATAATTCCGGATAAGCCTAGTTGGGTGAGTGAATGGGAAGAAGACCTAAAAAATAAGAAGAGACAGAATTCCGAATTAAAACAAAAGGAAGATGAATGTCAACAGTTGAACAATAGAATAAGTAGACTCGAGAAGTAGAACAACAAGTTGATATAGAGATTGAATAACAACGAATAAAATATGAATAGTATCACACTTCCAAATGAGTCATTACTGTAATAGACACTTTAGAATGACAGTGGGTCTTATTTGAGTCTGTACTATAGGATGGAGAGAGACATAGCATTAGAGAAATTGAATCAGATATCGAAGTTGTTGAAGCAAAAGAAGTAACTTCTGATTGTCTGTGCAGAGTGTTAAGTAAATGAAGCAGTCATACTCTGTCAATAATGTAAGATTCATTATTGTAAATTATGTTATGTTGATTTATGCTAGTAACACAAAATGGAGTCAATTTCAAAGGGATATTATAAAATGTTTTATTATTCATTGCCATAGGTGAATCAATAAGGGTTGAAACACCTTTTTGACATTTTGTGTACATATTATGAGAATAGATCATATGGAACAAGATTATTCTTATCGAGTGAGGACTTCTGCATTGATGACAAATATATGATCAACAAATTGCATGGTGTTTTGTTTAAGAAGAACAAGATATAGTGGGAGGAATTCAACAAGTACATTCAACAATTGCAGAAGGGAACATTTGAATAGAGAGTATTGTTAATGTACGATTTCATGGATGAGGACAAGTAGGGAATGATAAGCAGGGATGAATTTTAGAATTACGCAGTTTATCATATGGTGTAGGATACTAATTTTAGAGAAGTTCAAATAATGTCATCTGAAATGGAAGACAAGAGAGAGTTGATTAGACAAACAATCTCATCTGCTCAACATTCCCAACAGATTAGAGAATATTTGAATGCTTTACTATAAATATGATTATTATTGATTTTTTGTATATTGTAGGAATAACTGGAGCATCCTTGGCTGAGTATCTCTTCGCTTTACAGAGTAGCTACTAGGTCTATATAATGTTATCATCCTTGCCTGTTTTGAGTGTGTGGTTTGCATTGAGATACAAGAGACGACACTTCAAGAACGATCGGATTGAAATGCTGATACTGTTGCTCGTTGGCAACACATTAAGAACCATTTGTTCTACACATATCAGTGAGATGTATTTTACATTATTCCCAATAAAGGTTGCTTTATATCATTCCAATGTAGAATCATCATCATCCTAAAAAGATGTTTCTTTGTCTTCCATTCATCGCCATAGTGGTTAGTGTTAAACTAGAATTTAGCTATGAACACACATTAGTCGGTTATACATTCCTTCTTCTTGTTTGGTTGTCCACTCATCATCAGGTAGATAAAGTTCAAAAGGTTTCAAAAAATCATAGTTATTCCAAAACCTGGATTAATCCATCTGATAGTGTGATTATCAATTAGAATGATAAGTTTGATCTTGTCGTCAATCGCTAAGGGAAAATGATATCATAAACAACAGCACAACGTAAACTTTTGGGCACTGATGATCCTATCCTTATTTAATAAATACTCCAGGAGATCATCATCCATAAGCTTGACAAACAATTCAAGAAGTGCAAAATTGCTACTCTCTTCTAATTGATAGAAACCACAGATCTTATCAAATGCTAAGTATTGGACTGCTCAACGCCCTTTGGAGATAATTTTATGATTGAATTGACCGTCATTCATGACAATGTAGGTTTGAACTTCCTAGACTTGTTTGAATTAAGAGATTATTGGGAGAGGAAGGTTACTAAGTAATTGATGAATTAACTCTTTCGCAGTTTTAGTCATGAATTCAGCACTTCATTGAATTGTATAAGAATTCTAGCAGAAAATGCCATTGAAGATATTGATGATGATTACATTGTCAATACTTGTGTCTAACCCATTTTGAATTCATGTTACATTCTCAATTCCATAGTTCAAGATGTTAGAGATTTCAGTTTGATCTTATCAAAGAATTTTGTACTCACCATCTAGACACAAAACATATACTTACTCATTCATGAAGTAGCTGAATTGTATAGATAACAACTCAATATGAAAGGTGTTGAACTCAATGTTAAGATGAATGAATTCCAAATTCATACAGATGGCCAACGATTTAAACAAGTGCTTAATAATCTCCTGTCCAATGCCTAAAAATTTACATTCTCTGGAAGTGTCACCATCGATGTTTAAGAATAAGTCATTCATGATTAGGAGTTTATTAAAGTTAGTGTCTAAGATACAGGCTCAGGGATGGATTAGAATACTTAGAATCGATTATAAGAGTTCCTAAAATAACCACATAAACGCAAGTCCAATCTTAATTATGGTCTAGGTCTGATGATTAGCAATACTATTTGTAAAGGTCTATCTCCCAATTATGAATCTGGTGTACATTTTCAATCCAATAATAAGACCGGCTCTACTTTTTGGTTCTTCTTAGAGGATCTCAAAACTCTGGATATACCTGATGTTGTTAGCAGGAGAACCATCAAATACAATAAAATACACAGTTCAGGTAAAAGCATCTTAGAATAAAGTTTTCTCATTAGTCCTATTGATAATAAGAGATAATCATCTTTTACATTCTCATTATAAGGAAAATAAAAGCTAATTGACAAATAATCAGAAAGTATTTATTATTTAAAAAATCATAGATTTTTCGGAATCAGATGATATCATTTGTGCTCCTTATGTTTTTAGGGAAGGACCAAAAAAACCAAAAAAGCATAAATATCCTCAAATTGATCAAGTTGTCAGCGAATATGCTGAAGAAAGAGCCAAAATCCTTATAGTTGACGATGAATTTGTTAATATCTATGCACTAACTACTATGTTATCAAGATTAAGCATTAAGTGTGATTCAGCACATAATGGTAAAGAAGGCTTAGAAAAATTCAAACAATAATAATATCAAGTCATTCTTATGGATATCGAAATGCCTATCATGAATGGTATCTAAGCCACTCAGCAAATAATAGAGTTTTGTCATTAAGCAGACCTAGACCCTCCAATTATTATAGCCTAAACAGCTTATACTGATATGTAGACTAAGCAAACTTGTAAAGAAGTGGGAATGGATTATTTCCTATAAAAACCTATTAGTACAAATGAAATTAAATAAATTCTATAAACTATTTAGTTAACTTTATGATACACACTATTAAGAGTTTAATCTAATCAAAACTTGGTACATTTTCTTAATTCTAAAACTTCTGAATTATTTATAGACTTGATATGATTCATTATTAGACAGATAATTTTATTATGATTATATCAATTGAAGTTGACTGTAAAATATAAGAGTACTTAATATGTTAAATCATTCAAGAGGCATTTATTACAAAATCAATAACAATTTAACATATTAAACTTGAGAAATTGATAATTTTCATAATAATTCAAGTGTTAATTCATTTATTAAATCTTCGAAAATGTGATCTGTTATTTCAACTATGGTTTCCGTAGTATCCGTATACGACCACATGTACTCATACTCTTGTAACTACAAAAATATATTATTAACAATTACTTCATTATTTATACATAACTATAATCTTTCGTTTCGTAATTGAGACAAATAATCAGAATTGACCAAGTTCTACAAGACCTACTCGTAATTTAAAAATTATTCAGCGTTGTCTTCATCATCATTAATTAATCCACATAAAACTGACGCATAAAATATTAGTTTCTCCTTTGCTTTCTCTAACAAAAGATGAATATTCTCATTGTTATATAGGACGACAACAAGATTCCTATTGTATTCCCAGGGGTATGGCTAGCCATTGCAGTAATAAAATGGACGATATTAATTCAGAATTTCATTGAAGGTGTCAAATATCGCTCTATTATGAATCTTTTCATACAAGGAACTATTTTGCTTATTCTATGATAATATCATACTTATAATTCGGTGAAGATGTATTCTTATATAGGGTAGCGATATTTGTCATCCTCAATTACTTCATATCCATGAATTTGTCGTAGTTTACTGAAAGGCTATAAACCATAAGGATAGTTCATTCTCTTAATGAACGAATTCAAGTTGGTTTCTAATTTAAATCTTAATTTTCATACCAATAATATATTAACATAGGAGTTCCACGAATAGACTGATGGTTCCAACATTGGTTTGAATTTCAACTTCATTTTGCTATGGTTAAAAGTCAACATCAATAATAATGTCCTTCCTCTTGAAGTTGATATTCTTCTGATACTTTGGGGTGCTTAATTAAAGATCTGATTAATCTAAATAGCTAGACTCGAAAGAAATTTGCTCTAAATTATATTGATGATAGTACATAACTATTAGATGACGATGGATTTGTTTAATTATAATTCTTAGATGCATTGCAAGTCCTTTTAGGTTTTTGACTATATTTTGTTGGTGACATTCTGTATATTCTTGAGTTGTTCTTGATACTGATACAATTTCTGAGTTTATTGGTTTTGCCATTATTGAAGTACTTAATTATTATTATTAAAAGATCTAGGGGAGATCTTTTGTTATTAGAGTAGATTGTTAAAAGCATCCATTTGCATATTGACTCTAAGTTTGATGCCTTCTTCCCTTTGATGGCATATCTCATTAATGATATTTAAAGGGAGACTCTCTTGAAATGCGGATTACTAATGTTACTTTTGCATATCAAATTTTTCATGTATACTTGTTTGTAGGGCTTCATCTTTCTTTTCTTATTTGATATTTCTCAGAAACTATTATAATTCAATCATTTGTTTCTCATTCATCAACTGCAATTCTTCAATAATTGAATTCAATAACATTTTCTGAGGATCCTCACTCACCGAGAAGGTGTTCAATCTGATAGAACTGATCTTACTTATTTAAGGTTGATAATACTGCACCTACGTTTTCTGTTTCTTAGATTTCTTCATTTGTGGACTAACTGTTGTTTTCTGCTTCTATTTTTATTTCTTCTTGCTTTAACTTCTAATCTGCCTTTATTGGGGACTTTAGACTTTTTTTAACTTTTAAGGTGATTTCGATTTGGAAGTAGTTCTACTTTTAGGGAATTTGCTCTTGATGTAACTTTGCAATATATCTTTGATATGTTTTTGGGGTGATACAGTAGTTTTCGATTGAGTTATAATGGAGCTTGTTTTAGCCTTCATTGATTGAGGACTTCTGTTATATTTTCAATTACCTTTTAGTAGTTTTCATCTTTTTCTTGAAGGTGGGCTTAATGTACATAGTCCTCCCATCTACACTGCTATTATGATTCTACTTGGGTTTCATAATATCGAATTTTTCATTCGGAGTAGTTTCAGTGAATAGACAAGATGATCTCAAAGACTTGATTTCACTAGCTCTTATACTCTGTTTCAGCTATTTCAGTTTGGCCTAAATCTATTGTATTGGTAATATTTTCTAACGTCTCTATTTATTCATTATATATTATATTTTAATAATAATCAACATAAGAACACTCATACTATAGACACCTTGAAATTAATCATTACAACTACACTCCCAACTTGAATCAAGACGAGTTCAAATTTCAGGATGAATTAATTTCACTCTAATATTTAAATATATACCTTTTGTTTAAAGTTAATTGAGAATACATTAATTGAAGATAAATTCATAAATTTATATTAATCATCTATGAGTATATATATATACAGATCATTATTAATCAAGAATTATGAATTTCTGAATGACGAATGAGCTGCATAATGTAAGGGAAAGTTTTCCCACAAATTGGACAAACTTCTTGCTCATTTGCTTGTTAAGGTTAGTATGCACTTTTCTAATTCTAATTAATATTATTCCTTTGGATTTCTTGATTTTAAATGCTTTTTGGTTCTGGAATGTTCTTTCTTTTCTGAAAAAGACAATCATGATCTTCGCTCTGCCTATGTTTTAGACAAACCTCCTTGCCGCAAGTCTTGCATTAGACGCTATTCAGAGATGTTAATTTTGTATTGCAGGTTGGGCATTACTTCTTCTAAGTTGGTTATTAGGTGCACTCTTTCTGGAAATGTAATTCCCAAACAATATTTTCATTTTATTCTGATGTATAACTGACCCCCTTATTACATATTGGACATATTATAGCTTATTTCTTAACTGATTATTTTTTGCACTCATGAGCCTCAGGAGTGCGATGCTCAGAGCAAAATGCACTATCACACAATTAACATGTAAATGGAAGAAAATCCTACTATTTGCAAATACTGTAATTGCATCTTTTTCCTATGCTATAATCTAACATTTTAGATTAGTATTATTTTTAATATTAATTTATTGTATTTATAAACAATACTTTTCTTCAGATTTTAATATTGAAGGGTAATTTATTAAGTATTTTGTATTCTAACAGAATAGCTCCTAATGTTATTCCATATACCTATTTTCACAGATAATTCCTTATTCTTTGTTAAATAAAACTATAAATAGATATATATAATTCTTAGTCTTTTGCAATATAAATTGAGACTTAAATAGTGTATAGAGTGTGGTGATGTAATAGGAAACGGTAATAATTAGCATTTATTATTAATATTTAAATAATTAAAATGATTTAGTAGTAACAACTTCAAGAGGATGGAGCGAAGCCAGAAATAAAAGAGGATGGAGGTATCGTAGCTTAGTATCCTAAAGAGAGTCGAAATGATCCTGCTCATAAGACTTCAACTAAGAGGCGTACCTCTTCTAATGATTCATCTCCCTCATCATCTTTCGAGAATAAGATCGGAAAGCGTTATTAATCCAATAGTGAATTCAAAGTCCATTTTTATGTGCGTCATGTTCACATGAATGGCATGAGTGATAATGAATTCTTGAGTTTCATAAAGAGGAAAGGTATGTATGGTAATATTTAGTTAATTTGGCTGGATCATGTGAAATTGTGTAAATGTTCAATTAGTAAGGGTCATATTGTGATGTAGCTATAGGAATGTCAAATGACGATAATGCCAAATTAGTATATATTGGAAAAAAGCATTTCAATTTTGGACGAAATGGTAATTGGTTTTTGGATGTTAATCTTATAGGAAGACAGAAGGAGACTGTAGAGTTAAGTGATGCTTTCAAGAATTATTTGGAAAACAAGAAGATGTTGGATAAAGAACATTTGGAACGCTCTTTAAGAAGAAATGTTTAAATTTCAATTATATCCTAGCAATAATCTAAGGGCAGAAGTGACAGTAGTGAATCTTCAGGGAGGTACAAAAGTAGGAGTTCAAGCAACAAGAAGAAAAGCAAGAGACAGGATAAAAAATAAGCTTGGCAAGGATAGAAGAAAAGATCTCCCTCTTCTTCGAGTGAACCAAGGAGAGCCAAGAAGAGAAAGATTAACAGACACTCTTCCCAAAGTTCGTCTAGAGATTCCAATAGGGAGATTGTCTAACCTCTTAAACCTTAATAAGTTTTTACAGATAAGAATACTGTGTACATCTTCTCGATTCCATAAGAAGTGAATGAAAATGAAGTGATTTAAGAAATTGTGTAGCATCATAAATAGAGTGCTCCTATTAGTCACATTTGGAGTTATTATTTATTTTAAATATTAAGACACTTTAGATAAGATGCAATTTTTGGAATTATAGTTTTAAGATGAAAATACTGCTCAATTTCTATGCAACTTGAGACCCTGCTTACATGTTAAGGGCATACCACTTTTGGTGGTCGCTAAAAAATAACGTCCTGTTTAGGAGTTGTTAAGAAATTATGAGGTTCAAGTTGAACTCGATAGAGATGTGCTTGCTTTTAATGTGTATTAGGAGTTTAAAAAATATGGAGATCTTATTGGGATTTATGTTTTTTAGTTAAATAGGAAGTATTGAAGAAATTTTTAATTATCAAGTTATTTACTCTTGTATTCATCGTCCTCTTAATTGCAGGAGGCTTTACGTCCTCCAGTCCATTTATAATTGACTATTAATGATTAAATAGTGAATGCTAACGCCAAGATTATTGATAAACCTATTGATATCCAAAGACCCCTTATCAAAGAAACTTTAGCTTATTAGCTGAACAATTAAACTGATGAAGATGATGACAGTAAAGCAATCATTATATTTTTATAAGACAAGAAAAGAAAAACTAAAAGAAAAGTTGAAAAACCTTAGAAAAAATGAGAAGCCATTTTAATTTAATATTCAAAAAATATATTATTTACATACAACAAACTCCTTTTACTACAACAATTCATTTCAAAGGAATATTAAACCTTATAAGAATATGCAAATCTCCTCTCCTCCCCCTTATTGAATTTATTTTAATATTAATTTTAATTTATAAGGGAATTGTTGTATGCAAACTTATTACCCTGATGGTTAATTTGAGTCAATACGAGATATTCATTGGGACCTCATTACATAACAAACTCTGGAGAATCATCTCCAATCATAACACCATCTCCCACTATTAATCCAAAGTTAAAAGCGCAATCCATCATAAATACCCTAAAGATCTTTCACCATAACAGCATTATTAGAAAATCAAAGAATTTTTAATAATTCAAATAATCCGAAGAATTTATTCTCATTAATGGAAAGTAACTCTTGTTCTGCTCTTGTACTTCATTTAAAAAAGAGTACTAATCTCTGAAAACACTCTCTAGACAATGATATCTATTTTAAGTGCTTATAAATCTGAGAATTAAATAATGTGAAATTAAGACTCTTTCTTTTCTTTCGCCTTATACTTTTGAACTCATTACAATATCATTATGCAAATAATTAGTATTTTACTTATAGACAGAATTAACTCTATTCTTTCAATAAATTATTGAGTAAATATAAATTTCTTAATAATGCTCTCTAAATATTCACGAATAACTTCCAAAATCTATAGTTGAGCCACAAAAAGGGCTTAATACAAACTAAGAAATCATAAAAATAGAACCTTATTTTATAGTGAATTTACCGAAAATAATAAATTTGTAGGCATTCAGATATTTTTCAGAAAAAATTTGATTATATATAAAGGTATCAATTGATGAAAATGATGAAATATAATTTAATAAAGAAATAATGAATAATAAGTTATTATAATGGGTACAATCGTCATTGATATTTGGATACTAATTTAGACAAATCACTCACAGGAATATTGCTTCCTGAGAGTACGACAAGACTATTTTTATATTATGTTTTTTTGCATCCTGCATATGCTATTGCTGAATTAAATTCTGCAATTTCTTCTGCTTTAGCTAATTCACACTATGCTTTTTCAACATCCTATGTGGAAACGAAAATAATTTCATCAATAAATCCCTCTATAATATGAGAACAAATTGTTGACTCACTCCTAGTAGAGCCATACAACATAACTCCAATAATTTTCATTTATGTTAAAGCTATGTATTTTAGGTAGAATGCAATGGCTGCGATCAAAGCGCCACTCTTGAGTGTTACAAATAAATAGTCGATTTTAGTTTTTGTCAAGATTTACCATTAATCAATTTCAAATCCAATCGTAGCATAGCCTCCGAAAACATCAACATCGTTTAATAGATCTATATAGTCATAGCCGTGATCTTGAGCATATTTGAATGCTTCAATCTCGATGTCTGGTTTATTTAATTAAGAATTAATAACTTAAACATTTGGTAAATCATTAAAAGAATGTATTTCATTTAAATGTTTGCAAAATATAATTAGCTATCCAAGTAATTAATAAGGTTTTATTTTAGAGGATAATTATTAATAATTTATGTCAGCTGATAAACCTGGATCAGTTGGTGTGTCATCTTAAAGAAATTCACTAATATTCTGATCTCCAGATATTTCTTATTTCTTTTCTTATTTCAATAATTTTAAACACTCTATGCAAGCCATAGCTGCATTCCCAGAGGAACAGATGACAAGATTCATTTAGTCCATCCCCTTATGCCGTTTTTTTTGATGCAACCTGTACAACATATGATATATTGCTCTCATTTTGACTGATCCAGTTGGAAGGAGATTTTCTAACTTGCAAAATATCCCTCCTATTTCTTTAACAGGAGTTAACTAAAGTGAGGATTAATCAAGAACTATACTTTAATCGGTGATTCTTCAGAGTAAATACATTGTTATCCTAGTTTAATTGCTTAAACTAATTCTGGCAATAAATACTTGATTTCACAAGATATCATAGAACATTCCTCATTTTTCCTACTTTAAGCACAGCCCATCTAATTTATTAATAAATATATTTTTAATTAATCAAATGTTTTCAAACTTAGGAAATTATGCAAACAATTTAGTATAAGCAGTTGGAGCAGCATTGATAGCTCCTCCTACTAAGTCTGTCTTTCTAACAAAAGGTATGTTGACCCCAGAAGAATTTATTAATGTAAGGGATATTTAAATTCATATCAGGCTGGAGATCGATTAATAAGTAATGGAGGCAATTGGAAATGGTGTAAGGCTATTAGTGATCAATATAAAAACAAATACTTACCAAATGACAAATAATTTTTAATCCAAGAAAACATTATATCTTATAAAAGAATTAAAGATTTAAATCGAGGAGGCAATTTCACCGAATAGTAGGAAGGCGATGACGTTACAATTATTAGATCAGAGGAGTAGCCAATTCAAGAAATTACATAAAGTTAAGACAGATATTACACTTTGTACATTACATATGATCTCTATTATTTCACTCCTCGATTGTACTTGAGTGGCAAAGTTGATGATAGACAATTGACATATTAAGAAGTCAAAGAAGTATCATTTAATCTTTATATTTTCAGGATGTGTCAGGAGAGTATGCAGATAAAACTGTAACTGAGGAGAATTTCCTTGAATTGAATATCAAGCTACCTACTATTCATCCTTGTAAACATGCAGACACTCTTAAATTCTTTGTAGATTAAATGAGAGACAATGGATGTCCAGAAGAGAAAATACATCCTGATAATTCATTAACCATATTTTTGAAGTTCATGAATTCGGTCATTCCAACAATTTAATTTGATTTTGTTAACACCATTGAGCTTTGATTCATTTATAAATTAAAACACAAAATTTATAATATATTGCATTTTCTATTAACTAAGTTTGTTATTAAAAAATTAATTTAAATAGTAAATAGTCAAGAACATTTTTTTGTATTTTCGAGTAATTGAAGAATTTCATATTTCATATGCATGTAAATTTGTTACCTGTAGGTTCCTTTATGATGGAATAGTTATATAAACCAATATGTACTTATGGGTACTTATGGCTACATAGATATTTGTGTCATAATATTTAGATATAAATTAACTGATTTGAATATTGTTTGATAAAATATTCTTTTTATTTAATTTGTTAAATGCAATCATATAAAGACACTGATAATAATAGTGAAAACTTGAATGAAGAAGATAAGTAATGTAATAAAGATTATAAATTAAGCAGCTCAATAAATAAGTAGGTTCCTTAGTTCCCATAAAAAAAGGCCCCATCATATTCTAATGAAGTTCCTCAAATACTCAAATTATAAAATTAATTTAGAATTGCTTAAGGAAATACAAGAAGAGAATTGGAATGTTAACTAATAAAAAGATTGGTCGATCTCAAAAAGAATAGTGATTCTGATTGGTATAGATTGAATGGAGCATGGGCATAAAAATACACAACATACTTATACGACAATTCAAGTACTTTGCCAGGGCCAATCGACAATACTGACTTGCTCTAGAAGAAAAATTTAGTTATGAATGTGGATTTCTATGTGGTGAATGAGACAGTTTGGAAGTTCCTTCTTGAAGAATATAGTGGAGGTCCTGAAATCTTAGATGAAAAGATTCCTCCGTCTCCCTCATCCAATGCTAGTTCTACAACTGACAGGGCAAAATCGGTTGATATCAGCATAGTTTCATACGTATCACAATTGGATATAAATCCTGAGATTCCAATTAAAGGATTAAAGAATGAATTATATTTTTGCTACATGCATTCCTCTTTATAATGCATGATGTGTATTTAAGAACTTAACAATTTCATACTAAACAACATCAATAGATAACACATATAATCTATGCCATTGTGTACAAGTTATTAAGAACTTCTCAGATAACTTAAAGATACTTAATAGGATTATATAAAAATAAATTCTTTGCGGAATAGCATCACTAAAAAATTTAATCCAAAACATCAACATGATGCATAAGAATTTTTGTTGTTCTTATTATCTAGTTTTGAAGATGAAATAAATAATTTCAATAAAAAGAATGTATAACAATAGACTATATTACCTAATGTCATTGATCAATATCTTAAAGGAAAGATGACTAGTGAAATCCATTGCAAGAATTGCTCAAAGAAGTCTTAAATAATGGAAGAATTTTTGAGTTTGTCTTTGGCATTGTTGAAAATAAATTCTATCAATTAATCTTTTGATGAGTTTCTTAAAGATGAATTGATTTAGGATTATAAATGTGATAGTTGTCATAAAAAAAAGACGGCAATCAAAAAAACTAGAATAACCAAATTACCTTAATATCTTATTCTTCATTTGAAAAGATTCAAGTTTTTTCCAAAATAAAACAAAATAATTCAACATATTAAATTTTCATTAGAATCAAGTTTTTGTGGAATCAAATACAGTTTAGCTGGAATCATTGTACATTCTGGATCTCTAGAATAAGGACATTATTATTCTTTTTGTAAGAGATAAAATAAATGGTGGCTATTCAATGATCAAAAGATCAAATTAGTAAACAACAATGATGTACTCCAACAATAAGGATATATTTTGTTTTATTAATAACTTCTATGATTATATATTTAAGTATTTACTATAATCCGTTTTTATTTATTTATAATAATGAAATTAATTGCAGTGACTTTAGTGTTATTGTTAGCAGGAAATGCCTTTGCTGGTGATCTCATCCACAAGTGAGTTCTATTTATATTCACTATAGATATCCAATTATTGGCAAGAGTAAACCATCTTTGGTTAGCATCTTAACAGAATTAGAAAGCAAATTGACTTCAGGTGGTTCTGTTGATACAGCAGTCAACTTTTTGGATAGCTTAAGAGCATCTATTGATTCAGAATAAATCAGACACGATTAATTATACACAGATCAAAGAAATCAATGTAGTGCTGAATTAGAATTAAGAACTAAAGATGTTAAAGATGCTGAATAAGTATTGAACAGAGCAACTGAATAATATGAAAATTGTTCAACCTCAAAAAAGAAGGCTGATGCTGAATTAGATAACAATTTGGATAGTCAAAAAGTACTCAATAAAAATATCAAATTAGGCAACTGATACTGATATTAAGATCTTAGATTCAATTAGATAAGCAGGTGCTTAAAATTATAATGCCAAGAAATAAGATCACATTGATGCTTTGAGATCAATCTAAGAAAGTTTGAAAATTTTAGATAGTTTCTAATCAGGAGGTGCCTCATTGGCTTAAATGTCAGAGATCTCTTTGAGAATGATTTAAGATGCAGTCAAATTGAAGACAACCAACATCATGAGTCAAATTTCAAGTATATTCGCTTAAATGCTCACATAAAATGGAGGGTATATTTTATTATATATGAATAGCTACATTGAAGTTTTTGAAAGACTTAAATAACTATTATAAAACTTAGAATAGAATTTGTACACAAACTTGTAAAAGATTTCAGAAGAAGAGGATCAATCCATCTAAGAATATGATGACAGAAGAGTTCATTTGGTTGAATATTACAACAACTTGAAGAGGACTGAAAATAAATTAAGAGATCACATTACTACAATGGACATCTGCTAAGATTAATAATCAGCCATCATTGATAGTGCAAGAGGAAAGAAAGTATACTTCATATCTAATGTTTAAAGGTTAGAAATGGTGAAATCTTTGACAGTGCTACTAGAATGTGTAACGATTTCGCTTCAGAATACGAAAAGGCCACCTCAGTCAGAAAATAAGAATTAGATTTAGTTGACAGAGTTAGATCTAAAATTATTGAAAGAGGATCATGATATCAAGTTATTAAAATAATTCATACCTCTATCTTCAATTATTATTTTTCATTTATAATTTTCTTTAATTTATAATAATAATTTAATCAAATTCACTTCATAATTCTTTGTGTTTTATTTATTTTTTTAATGACTTCAATTCTACTAATTAATCATCAAGTCTTTTAGCTTCATTCTAATGGGTCTAATCCATTTTGTAAATCTATTTATATTCAACTCATTACTAAAGTATTTTATAATGAAATCAAAAATTGAGACAAATTCTAAATCTTCTATTATTCTTATGGATCTGAGCTTTACATTAATATAATTAATCAAATTTAAATCTATTGACATTATTTTATAAAGACGATTCATATTCTATCTATGAATGATAATTTAATTATGAATTATTACAAAAAGTAATAAAGAATTATTTATCTCTATATATTATCTCTATATGGAGATTTAATAATAATAACCATAATAATTATTCCAAGATAATCATTTTTAAGTACTTGGCGGTTGGTCAAGTTTTTAATAATTATTCATAGCTAAGATCTTCTAAAAAGGTTTGGTAATGTAGAATTACATTCATTTGGAGAAGCGACTAACATAAGCGTTGAAATTGCAGAAAGTTTACAAAGAGAAGGTATATCCTTAAATTCAATTTAAGCATTGCGACAATAATTAAAATTGATTAGTTTAATGTAAATGTGAATGGAGGAAATAAATTGAAATTTATAGTATATTTAACATTGACATCAATGGGAAAGTGCAAAATAGATTAAGAATTACATTGATTGTTAATATCAATTATATGAATATTTAATGAGTAATATTATAATCTATTTGGTTATATTAATTTGATATTGGTGTATATTTGAGTTTCTCATTATTAATTAGAATTATTTCGAATTAATTTATATAAAGGTATCTGTTTTATACTACAATTAATCAATATTTCTTCCCAAAAGAATGACTAAAATCTTCATGCTCGCTAATGTCTATAGATTATTCAAGATTATCCTAATTTTTTGGTTTAAGTAACTACAAAATCATATTATTCTTTTAAACAAATGTCTCATGTAATGTGTGAATTTATGTCATCCAAAAATTCTACTATTAAATTGCTTGTGATTGAGAGGCTAGTTCTAGTATACATAATTAATGTTGAAGTAAGATTTCATTAAAATGTGGAATAGGCATAGTTTTAATAATATTGTCCTCATTTAAATAGATATCTCTCTCCATTTAGATAATTTCTTGCCAAGGTTCTTCATATTTTTTGATTTAGAGCCAATCTTTGAATTAAAGTAATTGTTAGATTGTATTATCAATGATATTGGATATATTCATTTTTTATTTTGACTAATTATCAAAATTCTATTTTAATCTTTGTAACTAATTTTTTAGTTATTCAATTTTTTTTTGTTTTATTTAGGATTGCTCTTAATCAGATGAGTTCACATCACAAATTAAGGCCTCTTAACTAGAGTATTTACCACATCTAATGGGTTTTTTAGTTAGCAATGCTAATATGTATTCTATAATTTACAAATCAATATATTGTTGCAATGAGGTTCTTAGAAGATATTTGAACTGCTGGATCGTTCAGACCTATGCGATTAGACATTTAAAAGTAAATTCTCTTTCTGGAAATTCTTCTTCATGAAAAATGAAATTGATAATTATAAGATAAATTAAATGATGTTCAATTAAATAATCTTTAGCTCTTTTATCTATTTTAAAATTCTTATTGTAATTAAATTCTATTGGGAGATCTTCTCTAGGTTTGTAAAGTTTATTTAGTTTGTGGAAAAAGATTGTCAAATTCTAATTTATTAATTTGAGATTTGTTCTACAATCTGAAATTAAAGATTAAAAATACTTTTCTAATTATTCAGCATTTCCAATAGAACCAGGTACTGTACTAGCCTCCTTGACTTTCAATTTACTGAATTAATAATTCAGAACTTTTGGTAACTAGACTGAATAAGTTGTTTTTTGGGATGGGCCAAAATCCATGACTGAAGTTGTTTATTTAGATAAATAGAGTCTCTTTTGTTTGATAATTTTTGAAGGTGGGAAATATGGTTATTTAAATTGATCTTCATTCAAATATACAATATTCTGTATAGGTTCTGATTTCTTTTCAGTTCTCTTTTTATGCAAAACCACTTTGTCTACTTTAAATTTGGGCAATATTCTATTGATGTTGATTTCTTCAGTAGATATTTGAGATTATTGACAAAAATACAGAATCTATTCAACATTGGGTCTTAGTTCCGCATCATAACACATCATCAATCTCAATAAATTATTCAAATTAAGACTATAATTAGGATTATATGTTAGTTGGATACCCTTAAGTATTTTTTTATGTAAAACATCAACATTATTAGCTATTATAGGTGGATCCTTGAACATCATCTAATATAACATATAACCAGCCATCCATATATCTGACTTATGATCATAGATTTGAGACTTAATAAATTCAGGCGCTAATAAATAAATATCTTGGTAGTTTTGTTTATGTAAATAATAGAGGATGTTCATTTCTCCTAAAATGGTCTTACCTTTGCTTTGAAACATGTTCGACAATTATAATTTACCATGGACTCTTTTTGGATGAAATTACTGCAATGCAAGTGATAACTACATAGGATAAGTTGGATACCTCTTAAATTATATTCCAAATCTCAATTTCCTTCAAAGGGTATTCGTATTATTTATCCAAGTATTCACTGACAATGCTAATCTTCAAATTTTTATCAATACCCCAAGTATGTCATATCATGATCGAAAGATGCCTCATAAAATTTAACAATGTGAGGATTCTTGTGATTAGACAATTTGTTAAGGATTTTGATGATCGATTAAACTTTTTCCTTCGGAATTCCTTCAAGATTGAATATACGGAGCATATAATTATATCCACTTCGTTTCACTATTACTGATTTCTTGTAAGTGTTTTATCTTACAATGTTGACAACCTAAAATTGTGGAAATAACTGCTCTACGCTTTTCATTAAATATTAATTTATAGAACTCATTATATAGTACTATAATAATAAAACACTATTACAAGTATAAATCATATCCATATTAATATAAGTTTGTTCATTATTGTTCATTCCTCTATTCTTATAGAAGATTAATCCTAATGAAATCCTTTTACTGGATTTTAAATTAAAAGAAAAATAATATTGCAAATCAGATCTTCTTTATTTGGTATTTAATAATATGGATATACGACCAGCTATAAGAAATCTAATTTACGTTGTCTCTAACTTCATTACAGAGTCTAAATTGAAAGCATAACTTGATTAACTCTATTTGCTAACGATTAAACCTGATTCTAATTTAGGAGAGATTGAAAAATATATGATTAATCTAGGAAAGAACACTATGACTCATCATAGAATTAATTCCTAGCCAGTTGTATTGCCTTCGCCTAAACAAAATAAAGTCTAATTAATGTCAGGAGTTAATTCACCTGCATTTTCAAGTGGAATGCCTCTCAAGACAGCTGGATTCGGAAGTAGAATTCAATATGCCACTCCTTTGAAATCCAATAGAGATAAGGATGATAAACAAAACAATATATCAGATAGGCAAATCTCTTTTAAATTTGATACACCCAAACCATCACCAAAAAATGTCAACCCTAATGACAAACAAATAGTGGATATTAATCAAAAAATAAAATTGTATACTGAAATGCCATAATCCTTCAACACAGTTCCTATAATACATTCGGAATATGAAACCTAACTCTAAAATAAAATCACTCCAAACAGTTTACCTCTTCCAAATGATATTAACACTTAACGACATGAAGAAGAATAAAAAGAGATAAAATATGATTTAAATAAGATATCAGGCAGAATGCTCTAAAATATTCATCAAAATATGAAAGAGATGAAATCAAACACTTTTAAATTAATAAAAGTATTTGAGAATACATGTGAGATTAAGACTCAATCTTCTGTGGTACATTCTAGTCACGTAGATGCTTCTCTTACTTCTCCGTTTAGAAAATCAAAAAATGTATATTAAATTTCATCGCTTATAGCCTCTTTTTAATGGAATTCGCGGCAAAATAACAGATTAAGATTTAAATAGTATCCAGTAGAACTTTTTAATGAAAAAGCTAATTGTCAAAGCCAAGCCCAATGAAGAAATTCAATATGAAACTCCAAAATTAGATATATTCTTTGTAACAAGTGTTAAAGGATGAGATATGATTTAAAGTTGTATTAAAATAAAAGATTAAAATTAATATTAGAATAACAAAATTCATTTATTCATGTTTATTTGTAATCTTTAATTACTAATAATTAATTTAATAAAGTGTAATCAATTAATTTGTTGGACATAAGAATGCGATTCGTCTACAAAACTTTCTTAAATTTGAATACTTTACTATAATTCATTTATAATCATTCAAATAATAAACACTATTTATAATGAACATTTCATAAATTTATATATTAAAGTGAAAAAAAATAGTCTATCCATTAACTTTAATAACATTAGAAAACTTTTTATTTTAGAATAGTTATTTTTACTAGTATTGTATTAGATGCTTAAAGAAAACACAATTCCTAGAAATGATAACTTATTATTATTATTATTATTATTATTATTATTAGAGGTATTTGTTCTATGTTTCTATAAGGTTCTCTTTTTACACTTTATTGATATCCTTTTTGATTATTAATAATGATATTAATTAAATATAATCATTTGTTTTATTTAAATAACATTTTGATTTAATAATAAATTCTTAATAAATATGGCTTAGAACTAATAGAGTACCAGAAAAGTTTCATTTTTTGAAAAATATTTCTGTTGTGGTAACACTCAAGAAGTCCAAGAACCTAATACTACAAATCAAACTTGTATCATAATTTATCAAACATTTAGATAACACTATTAATGAATATTTGAAAATTAACCAAAAGAATCCAAGTCTTTATATTTTATAAGAGTTTGATGGCGTATACTATGATAAGAGCAAAAAAATAAAAACTATCCATCCCCTTAAAGATATATCTATCAACAATGTAATAACAGAGAGAACCCAGCATTCATGTCCAATTTGCTTTTGCTATTTTAATTGTAGGTTTTAGTTTTTATGATAGTTATATTGGCATCAAATTGCTGTATGAATTATATTTGTCATATTTGTGCATTAGAATTCAAGAGCCCAAAATGCCATTTTTGTCAAAACGAAAAATGCAAATATATTGATGCTGATTCAAAGGAGTTCAAGATTTATACAGATTCATAAGGCATATAAATGTTTGCTTTGCAACAAATGAAGAGAGACACAACAAGTGGTTGATTTTTATTGTTATTTGAATCTACTAATTAATTAATGATAATTTAAACTTCTGAAGACAATGACATGACATCAAATATTTTATGAAAATAAAAACTTTAATTTTGTGATTGACTAATTTTGTATTTAAAAAGAATATCATCTTCCAGACCAGGAGGCAACTTATTTCTTGAACATGATGATTACTTCATCCAAGATGGCATTCTCTTCTTATCTCTTGGCTTTAGCTTCAGCATAATCAGCTCTCTTTGATTCCAAATCAGCTTAAGCTTAATCTAAGGCATCTTAAGATTCTTATAAGATGATCTTTGATTTGGCTTATTGGGCTAAAGCGGCTTAGATTTGCTAGAATTGATTAGTGGATTATATAATACAGTGGCAGTTCTATCAGCAAAGACTTATTTTCTTTCATATTCAACTTCCAATGAGGTGATTTCAGCTTCAGACAATGAGACCCATCCAGCCAATTCCCATGAGGCATTGATTTCATTTTATTTCAAATTTTCTAATGAGGCAGCTAATTCAGATTCTAATCCTTCAAGGACACCCAAGACTCTTTCAGCTAATGTTTATCCATGTCCAGATGATTCTGAAGCCTAAGAATTGTATAAATGATATAATTACTTATCCTTCTTAGGCAAGAGCCAAGAATGATTTGATTTAGTGTTCTTAGAATAAGTTGCTGTATTACTTCAATTTTTCAGCAACTGATTAGGCTTAGACCTATGTGAATTCAAAAGAATCTCCATTGATGATGTATCCAGCGACATCTTATTTGAGGAGTCTGATGACTTCTAAGGCTTCTTAATTGTGCTTGATGGATTTAACAAATAATTAGTTGGAGAAACATTAGTTGTCTTGGAGTGTTTCAATTTTAGCAGCAATTGAATCTCTTCTGGCTTCATTCCATGCCAAATAATTTTTGGTTTATTGAAGTACGTTTTCATACTCAGCTCTGTTTTCGACAGCCTATTGGAACAATTTTTGGTTAAGAGCCTTAATTTTAGTGAATTATTCAATGGTTTAGGCACCAACCCATTCGTCTGTTTCGTTCTTTTGGTCAGCAGCAAATTGGGCATCGATGTTAGATTGTTTTAAATCATTCAGCAATCCAAAGACTGTGTCAATGGCATCACTGGCCTTTGTTCCTGTTTAAAGGAGAGCCAAGATTTAATCTTTTGTGCTGGTGGCATTTGAGACCACAGCCAATGCAAGAATGATAGCAATAATTCCTTTCATTTATTTATTAACTAAAAAACGATACATCTCAAAAACGATTTAATTTTCATTTAATATTTATATTTGATATGATCAAAATTTGTATATGATTGTTTCTAGTATTCAAATAACAATTAATATTAATGATGATATTACTCTATTTGAGGAGCAAGCCATAGGATATTTAGACAATATAATAAAAATAGTAGTAAATGAATTTAATATTTTTATATAGGAGTCATAAAATATTATTATAATTAAAATCTTAAAAATTAATGCTAACTAGAATTACAAGTACTGCTAGATTGGGTATTAAGAATGTCTATTAATTGAATCACATAAAAAGTTTCCATACAGCAACCATAGCTNCTTTGATTCCAAATCAGCTTAAGCTTAATCTAAGGCATCTTAAGATTCTTATAAGATGATCTTTGATTTGGCTTATTGGGCTAAAGCGGCTTAGATTTGCTAGAATTGATTAGTGGATTATATAATACAGTGGCAGTTCTATCAGCAAAGACTTATTTTCTTTCATATTCAACTTCCAATGAGGTGATTTCAGCTTCAGACAATGAGACCCATCCAGCCAATTCCCATGAGGCATTGATTTCATTTTATTTCAAATTTTCTAATGAGGCAGCTAATTCAGATTCTAATCCTTCAAGGACACCCAAGACTCTTTCAGCTAATGTTTATCCATGTCCAGATGATTCTGAAGCCTAAGAATTGTATAAATGATATAATTACTTATCCTTCTTAGGCAAGAGCCAAGAATGATTTGATTTAGTGTTCTTAGAATAAGTTGCTGTATTACTTCAATTTTTCAGCAACTGATTAGGCTTAGACCTATGTGAATTCAAAAGAATCTCCATTGATGATGTATCCAGCGACATCTTATTTGAGGAGTCTGATGACTTCTAAGGCTTCTTAATTGTGCTTGATGGATTTAACAAATAATTAGTTGGAGAAACATTAGTTGTCTTGGAGTGTTTCAATTTTAGCAGCAATTGAATCTCTTCTGGCTTCATTCCATGCCAAATAATTTTTGGTTTATTGAAGTACGTTTTCATACTCAGCTCTGTTTTCGACAGCCTATTGGAACAATTTTTGGTTAAGAGCCTTAATTTTAGTGAATTATTCAATGGTTTAGGCACCAACCCATTCGTCTGTTTCGTTCTTTTGGTCAGCAGCAAATTGGGCATCGATGTTAGATTGTTTTAAATCATTCAGCAATCCAAAGACTGTGTCAATGGCATCACTGGCCTTTGTTCCTGTTTAAAGGAGAGCCAAGATTTAATCTTTTGTGCTGGTGGCATTTGAGACCACAGCCAATGCAAGAATGATAGCAATAATTCCTTTCATTTATTTATTAACTAAAAAACGATACATCTCAAAAACGATTTAATTTTCATTTAATATTTATATTTGATATGATCAAAATTTGTATATGATTGTTTCTAGTATTCAAATAACAATTAATATTAATGATGATATTACTCTATTTGAGGAGCAAGCCATAGGATATTTAGACAATATAATAAAAATAGTAGTAAATGAATTTAATATTTTTATATAGGAGTCATAAAATATTATTATAATTAAAATCTTAAAAATTAATGCTAACTAGAATTACAAGTACTGCTAGATTGGGTATTAAGAATGTCTATTAATTGAATCACATAAAAAGTTTCCATACAGCAACCATAGCTCATAAAGCATAAGTTATGAATGATGAATCATAATATGTTGTAAAAACAGATCGAATTTACAAACCAACCTATACAATTGAGTTTGATAGAATTGGAGAAGTGTTGCTGTACCTGATTTAAATATAATTAGCTACTCATGCGATCCTCATAAGCATCTTACAATATTCTTGAAATATCCTTATGTTCTTTATGAGACAGCCATTCCCTTATCAATTTATCTTTGGTTCAAAAATCCATTGGATATTGCATGGTATTGGAATAATCTATTTATATATGCTCCTTCCTTTTTGTGGATTCCTAGAATGTGGTAATAGACAGCCTTTATTAAATTAGGTATTGGAGATCATTATAATATAAAATACATAGACTTTCATTGTTGAGAGGTGGAAAAGTACTCAAAATTGAGACAAATACTCTTGCTAATGATAAAAATGTGTATTGGGTTGAAACCTATTAATTCCATCCATTGACAGCGGATTTCAGGCAATTTGATGATAGAGACAATGCTGACTACTTAACAGAGGAAGGTTAATTGAAATATGAATTAGCATGTCAACTTGATCATATTCAAGAATTGGGTACAACAGTATAAGATGAAGTAATTTATTTCATGAAAGTATTTGAATAAATAATGGAAAATAGGAAGGAATAGTACATCATCCAGAATTGTTTGAAGCAGCAACAAAAGGATATGTAATAGACACTTCTAATTTTGTAATAAACACAGCTCATAACATCAGAGCATTCGAAGGCCATCACAATTAGTGAAATTGGATATCATAATAGAAATCAAAAGAATATTTATTTAAATCAACATGTACAATTAATCACATAGATCAACTAAATTACCAATTTCCTGTACTGTCTAATTATTCTAAATCAATTCCATCTCCATATCCAATATATCCTAAATCTGTAAAGGATCTGTCAATAACCCTATGATCCACATACTTTCCATCCTACTTTTTAAACTTATCCTATTGAGGAGTCTAAGAATTGGAGCCATCATATGATCTTGTAGAAGCCTAAAAATAAATTTAAGATTGCATACCCTTCTATAATTTTACAATAATGTTGGTTAGATACCATCAACAGCCTATCCCATTTGTTCTACTTCTTCATTGAATTTCTTTTATTTGGTATACTTTTTATATTCTTCCTCATTCATTTTGTGTCCTACTCCAGAATCTGTTTTTGATTATAACCATCCAGAACTTGGAATAAGATCTCTAAAATTCTAAAATTAGAATATCTAATCGATATATTTCTTAAGTAGACATTTTCTTATTTATGGATCTAAGTTATTATGACATAATTCTCTCTTTAAAGCTTCTTGAGCTGTAGTTCTATATTCTGGTAATTGATGTAACATGGGCATCATAAATGAAGCAAATGACAAAGCTTCTTCTTATTTAAATCTGTATTTCTCAGTCAAAACATTATATAAGTTCCAAAAATGTAATTGAGGTATTCTTTTCATTTGTCCATTTTATTAGAAATATCTCTATTTATATACATTGTTTAATATACCTTCGCTTTGACACCTCTTGTACTATATTCAAATGGGAATTTGCCTAATAATTCTTGAATCTAGGCTAAATGATCCTCATTCTTTGAAAAGTTTGGTCCTTGTCTGGGTTCAAATAGGTAATCGCCTGTTAGCATTTCAAAAATCATGCAAGCGAAACTCCAAATGTCAGCAGTGGGATTGTATTTGACTCCTAATAACACCTCAGGGGATCTATATTATCTAGTCTAAATTAAGGTTGAAAAATGATGATGAATCCAACATGCATTGCCTAGATCAGCTATTTTCAAACGAAAATTATCTGGCAATTTCTTTTATTAAGTAAAAGATATTCTATAAAGTATTGCAATAAATTACTTCTTTTGTTGTAAAAACAATTCTTTAATAGATTTAGGCATTTCAATTTAATCAACTTGAATTTCATGTGATTCCTTTCTTGATTCTTCATGTTATTACTTCTATTTCTTTTTCCTTAATAATTTCCTCTTTTGAGTCTTAGATAAATGAGTAGTGCTTTCACTTAATTCGTCATCCTCCTTTTTTGTGAATGGCTCTGGAACAGTATGTTTCTCAATTCCTAGCATTTATCTATAAATGTGAATTCTGTCTGAGAATAGCTAATTAGAAGTCAATTATCCATTCTCAACTATATCTTTAATCTCTTCATCTGATAAACATAGTAACACATTTTCAGGTTTCAAATCCGTATGAATTACTCCACATATTCGATGAAGATAATCCAATCCTATTAAAATTTACTTTGCCATTCTTCGAGCAATATCCATTGGACACTAAGGTTAAATCTATATATTACTCCTTTGTATTCATATCTTTTAATTATTTCTAGTAAATTCACCCCCAAAATTTCAAATACCATACAAAAATGATGACCATAGGGTCCTTTATACACAAATGAATTTAATAATTAAACAGTATGAGTGTCATCTCTATTGAAGGATGTCCTTCCTTACTATCAATTTATATACTATCATTTTACATCTGCATAATATTCTTTTAAAGACTAAATCCAAACGGGATTTTGTACATTTTAAGCTACTTTTTGAAGAATTTCAACCTAGTTGTTAAATTAATTTATTTACCTCATCATATGCTGCTTCTAAATAATGAGAAGCACTCTTTTGAATTTTCAATGCTACATAGGTATCATATTTGAAATCCTTCGCCAGCCAGACTGTAGAGAAGTGTCCCCAACCTAATTTTTATATAATCACATATCGATTGAGTAAGATCTCACCAATATGAACTGGATGATAACCTAAAACCTAATTGATATAAGAAACCTCCAATTTTATAATCTTCCATACCTTCATCTTCACTGTCATGTTCTCTATCGAGATGATCCATCAATTCTCCTATTTGTTCATTTCTGAAATATAAAATATTCACAGTCATACATAGCCTTCCCAAATTCAGTAGATTCTTCCTGATACTCCTCCTAACTCATTCTTTGATAATAAGTTAAATAAAAATAATCAAAATAGATATACAAATATAAAATAATATAAATGAATACTTCAAAAAGTATATATGATCAACCTCTCAATAATTCAATTTCAAAACAAAGATATACCTTTTCAAAAGCTCCTCGTGAAACCTATTCAACTAAATAAATGTATTCTCTTCATTCTAACCTAGTAATGGATCTATGTACAACCTTCCGGATAGTTTAAGCAAGAGAATGGCTGGAATTGGTTATGNAAAAATGATGATGAATCCAACATGCATTGCCTAGATCAGCTATTTTCAAACGAAAATTATCTGGCAATTTCTTTTATTAAGTAAAAGATATTCTATAAAGTATTGCAATAAATTACTTCTTTTGTTGTAAAAACAATTCTTTAATAGATTTAGGCATTTCAATTTAATCAACTTGAATTTCATGTGATTCCTTTCTTGATTCTTCATGTTATTACTTCTATTTCTTTTTCCTTAATAATTTCCTCTTTTGAGTCTTAGATAAATGAGTAGTGCTTTCACTTAATTCGTCATCCTCCTTTTTTGTGAATGGCTCTGGAACAGTATGTTTCTCAATTCCTAGCATTTATCTATAAATGTGAATTCTGTCTGAGAATAGCTAATTAGAAGTCAATTATCCATTCTCAACTATATCTTTAATCTCTTCATCTGATAAACATAGTAACACATTTTCAGGTTTCAAATCCGTATGAATTACTCCACATATTCGATGAAGATAATCCAATCCTATTAAAATTTACTTTGCCATTCTTCGAGCAATATCCATTGGACACTAAGGTTAAATCTATATATTACTCCTTTGTATTCATATCTTTTAATTATTTCTAGTAAATTCACCCCCAAAATTTCAAATACCATACAAAAATGATGACCATAGGGTCCTTTATACACAAATGAATTTAATAATTAAACAGTATGAGTGTCATCTCTATTGAAGGATGTCCTTCCTTACTATCAATTTATATACTATCATTTTACATCTGCATAATATTCTTTTAAAGACTAAATCCAAACGGGATTTTGTACATTTTAAGCTACTTTTTGAAGAATTTCAACCTAGTTGTTAAATTAATTTATTTACCTCATCATATGCTGCTTCTAAATAATGAGAAGCACTCTTTTGAATTTTCAATGCTACATAGGTATCATATTTGAAATCCTTCGCCAGCCAGACTGTAGAGAAGTGTCCCCAACCTAATTTTTATATAATCACATATCGATTGAGTAAGATCTCACCAATATGAACTGGATGATAACCTAAAACCTAATTGATATAAGAAACCTCCAATTTTATAATCTTCCATACCTTCATCTTCACTGTCATGTTCTCTATCGAGATGATCCATCAATTCTCCTATTTGTTCATTTCTGAAATATAAAATATTCACAGTCATACATAGCCTTCCCAAATTCAGTAGATTCTTCCTGATACTCCTCCTAACTCATTCTTTGATAATAAGTTAAATAAAAATAATCAAAATAGATATACAAATATAAAATAATATAAATGAATACTTCAAAAAGTATATATGATCAACCTCTCAATAATTCAATTTCAAAACAAAGATATACCTTTTCAAAAGCTCCTCGTGAAACCTATTCAACTAAATAAATGTATTCTCTTCATTCTAACCTAGTAATGGATCTATGTACAACCTTCCGGATAGTTTAAGCAAGAGAATGGCTGGAATTGGTTATGGCTCAAAGTAAATTTTGTTACAAATACCTTCTAGACATGATTTTACAAAATATGTTAAATAAGTTCCAGCTCCAAACAAATATGATATCAAGAGTTTCGCTGATTTGAACATAGAAGATAAGAAAGGAATTCAATTTGCTTTGGGCAGAGAAGATACTTGGTTATAAGGGATTTGGGCAACTCTTACTTAAACCACTCCCCCTCCAGATCGTTATTAAATACCAAGCACAGTTACAAGAAGACAAAAGTTTACTTTTGGATAAAGAACGCAATCATTACAGAAATTTAATACTCCAGGTATATGATTAAAGGAAATATCCAAAAAGGACCTGGCAATTATGAGTATGTGTAAGCCATAACATAAAAAGGAGTTTATCCACTCTCTAAGTTTCAAAACTCAGGAGCCTGCATCATTGGAAAAGATCAAGAGAGATTTAAGACTTTCGGAGGTAATTCTGAATATCCAAATTAGTAAATGATTATCCTGAACCTGGAAGATACTCACTTGAGAATACAGGTATTAATTAATCAGGCATTTACCCAAAGAATGGGATGAGATCTGCAGTGCAATAGACTTTTAGTAAATCTACAAGAAAAGGACCTTATGAAATAAATAAAGTCACACCTGGTCCAGGACGATATAAAATGTTTTCAGAATTTGATTAATGAATATAAGTATTCAAAATGTGTCTAATCTTTTATTCTATGGTCGAAAACTATCCACAGTTCTAGCTGTGTTTGGAAATTCCTATTATTAGCTATGTTCAGTTTTAATGGAACCAATCAATTATTTCAATTCAAAATTCATCTTTTTCAATTCTATTCTTGTGCACTCCTTCAAAAGATACATAAATTTGATTAGATAATTGAAATCCAAAAAATTATCATAATCAACTTTGTACTGATCCTATAATTGGCAATACCTCCATAAAAAATGATCTTCTACCCACCATACATCTACTGGTGTCAATTCTCCCATCTCAAGAGACTTATAACACAATAAGACTTCGATGGAGGTCTTACATATCTTATTATAAAAGTGTTACAATCAATATCATCTTCCCCAGGTTGGTATTAAAGTCATTCAATTTCTTAAAAGATTAGTTGTATACATAATTAAAATGATCAAGTAAATCGTCTTATTCTCTATTTCTAATCTTGCGAGAATTTAAAAAGTATACAATTTCTTCAATGAGATTCTTACTCAAGCCTCTTGAAATTATTTTTTATCTCTCTAATTTCGTTATTACTAAACTGTCAATGTCTGGATGTTGTTGCATTGGAATACTGTAAAAATATCCCACTAATTTCATTAATGTTCTTTCATTTCCCTTTAAATTCTCAATATTCTATCCTTAACTACAAGTACCCATTTATTTTTATTATTTATAATAACTTATGGGCTCTTGCTCTGGAAAGCGTTCTAGCAACAATTCTGCTACTAAGAACTCTAATAATAAACCTGAAACAGATAATTCTTCACCCTAAAAACTTTAACCGAACGATGGTATATCAACTATATTACGTTTAAGCCTAATCTTTTCTTGGAAATTTGATCATCACAAGTGAAAAGCTAGGACGTATCACGAAAGATTACACACTTTTGAATCCTCCATTGGGAAGTGGTATTCAAATTATTCAATCACCTTTAGGAGCATATGGAGAAGTCAGAAAAGCTATCCACAAGAGTACAAACCTCATGAAAGCTGTCAAAATTATCCACAAATCATAAACTAGTAAAGAGGAATAAGAGAGATTGATGAATGAAGTTAAAATGCTTTAAAAATTAGTAATCATTTTTAATTATTCAAGGATCATCCAAACATCATTAAAATTTTCGAATTTTATCAAGATGATAGATTCTTTTACATCGTAACAGAACTATGTACAGGAGGAGAACTCTTTGATAAAATTAGACATGAGGGCAGTTTCTCAGAAAAGAAAGCTGCTGAAATCATGAAACAAATATTATCCGCTATCAATTATTGTCATGATGAGAAGATTGTTCATAGGTAATTCATTATAAATATCTTCATCTAGAGATTTGAAACCAGAAAATCTACTATATGAATCTGAAAAAGAAAATTCCATGCTCAAAATTATTGACTTTGGCACTTCCAAAGAATTTGTTCCCAATTAAAAGTTAAATTAGAAATTAGGAACGCCCTATTACATTGCGCCTGAAGTTCTAAAAAAGAAATATGATGAAAAATGTGATATTTGGTCTTGTGGAGTAATCCTATATATTTTGTTATGTGGGTAAACACATTATATAAATTGAGATATCCACCGTTTGATGGAAAAACAGAGGACAAAATTATGGAGAAAGTGTCTAAAGGTGTTTATTCATTTGATACCCAAGAGTGGGAAGAAGTTACAAAAGAGGCCAAAGAGTTCATTAGGAAAATGCTTCAACTTGATCCTAGTATTTAAATTATTAACTATTGTTCAGGTAAGAGATATAGTGCCCAATAAGCTTTAAATGACCCTTGGATTAAGAAATTTACTAATCCAACTGAATTTGATAAACCCTTAATGACCAAGGTCTTAACAAATATGAGAAAATTTACAGAATAACAAAAATTACAAGAAGCTGTTTTTAAATTTATTGTTAATCAATTGGCCACAAAAGAAGAGAAGGCTGAACTATTAAAGATCTTCTAATGTTTGGATACAAATCAAGATGGAAAATTGAGTAAAGAAGAATTACTTGTAGGATATTCAAAGATTATGAAACCAGTTGAAGCTGCTGAAGAAGTTAATCGTATATTTTAATAAGTTGATAAAAATAATTCTGGTTCCATTGATTATACAGGTATATTGATATCAAATTAAATTCTAGAGTTTGTTATTGCAACAATTGATAGATAATAATTGCTATCTAAATAAAGATTGTAAGTCACTTTTCGTATGTTTGATAAAGTATTTCATACATTTATTTAGGATAAAAGTGGAAGTATAACTATAGATGAATTAAAAGAGATATTTAGTGGAATTCCGGAAGAAATGTGGAGATAGGTAGTATAGGAGTTTGATTCTAATTCTGATGGTTAAATTTCATTAGATGAATTCTTTGTGATGATGAAGAAAATCGAATGATTATTTTAGACATACTCATATCGTTATATTTTTTGATTATTTAACAAAATAATAATTCGTCATTTTCTTAATTTTGCATCATCCTAATTTATGCTATTTTAAGAACATTTTAATTTTAAATTTTTCTTGGAAATTGTCAGACTTTGGCTAAATTTCAATAAGTAATACCAATTTGATTTCACATATCTATTCAATCAGACTAACCTTTATAGATTATTGAATTGAAAAAAGTAAAAATGAAAGTGATCAGACAATTTAAAATTATTGGCATTTTTATGAAAAATATACTAACTCCAAAGCAGTAACTCTTTTTCATAATAAATATGCCAAAGAAGAGAGTTACATATTAAGAAATAATGTTGAAAGATGATTTCATTTCATTCCTCAAAAATAGAATCAGACTATGTTAGGGAAGTATTTAATAAATCTCTTATGAACTTACATTAACTAAAATTGAATAGGTTCATTTTAAACTATGGAAGTCCTAAATTTCTGAAGAAAAGAAACATCCAGTCAAGTAATTTAAATGATGTTACAAATATTAATATCGGTTCATAAACTAATATACTTATAAGGAAATAGAGTCATTGTTCCTTTTATATAGGGTTTTTGATAAAATATGTTGAGTTTATTGTTGGTTATTTTATTCATAAAATTTGGCTGTTGAATTTATAAAACAATGTTATAAATATTTGGAACTTAGCCTGACTTTAACCATTTATTAAAGTTTTAGATAGATGAGTCATAGAGTATTAGAGATTAGTGTGAAAAATGAATAATTAGAGTGTCCATGAATGCTACAATTTAAAAATCAATGTAAAGTAATTTAGATAAATTTCCTTCTTGATATGCCTTAAGACAAAAATTATTGAATGCTATAAGTAGGAAGAGGATGTAAAATTGATTATTAATGTAATGATTAAAAATTAGACCTAATTTTCAACTTTTAATATTAGAAAATGCATTATATTTTAAGAGAATGAATGATTATTTGAATAGAATTTGAAATGATAGATACAAAGACTGTTTCAGAAGTCGAATTATTGATTGAAGTGTATTGAATGACTTTTTAATAAAATAAGATTATGAATAGCAAATTATGTATAAATAACGAAATGAATCTTATTCAAATTTAATAAGTATTGGTTTTAAATTTTATATATATATAATAAAAATAAAGATTCTAACCTCATGACTAAATCTGAAAATTAGGAAGCTTAAGTGAAATCAAGTAGAAAGTACCAGAAAATTAATAAGGAAGAACGAAGACTAGTGTTAAAGCTTCTTTTACAGGACAAGCTCTCTTTACAAGAGGTATCAAATTAATACCAAATTTATGATTATGTCTAACCATTATATATGATATCTTGATCATTTATACTTTTAGGTAGCGAATAGGCTGTAGCTAAAATACTGTACTGTACGAACAATATAAAAGGCGTATGAGAAAGAGGGTAGGATAGGTAAGAAAGAGACTAGAAAGAAGAAGCTCAAAGTGGAGAATATCTTGAAGATTTCAATTATTAATCCTCTCACTTTCTAACTCTCTGAGCCTATTGTATCATCTGAAGTTAGTCAGGTAATTTAAAATAAATTTATGTAGATATATATTGATAAACAACCCTCTAAGGAAGACTAAGCTAATTTGCTTTAAGAATAGCGTTCTCTTCTTCAATAGCATTGTTAAAAACTATTTTCTACATTATCATAATAATATTAGAAGGCTGCAGAAACCTAGAATCCATTTTATTACACAACTATTTAAAATTTATTTTTGGCATCACAACTAATATTCAAGCAACTCCTTGAAGTTAAATAGTAAATCCACGTAAAACAAGAATATGAACCTGTGTCTCCAACTCCGACACAATACCCTCTTCAAATTCAACAACATATTTACTAACCAACATACACCATGATGTTGCCACGAGTTAATTCTTGATTATTAATGTTAATTGCTATTGAATATCAAAAAAGAAAAAAAAAATTATTATATTTATTTAATTAGTTGTAACAACAATTTAAATTTATAATTATTTTCCTTTTTTTTCTTTGAATTAGTTCTCTAACCTAACATTCACGCTTCTGCATCAGCATTTCTAAAACTAATGCTTATTTACCACAAATTAAAACAATACACAATATGATTTCTCATTGATGATTTATTAAAATTAATCACTTTAATTAAATCATTCATTTCTTTCATGAATTCGATTCAAATATTCTTATCCCATAATCTCGATTTCTTATTCATCATTTTATCAATTTTCTATTGATAACCTTCTAGGAACATCATACACCTCAAATTGAAATGTCTATCATTCCTCAATAAACATCTTTCATTCTCTTAATTGTTCTATAGAAATTCTGGAAATTAAAACCTTCTCATGATTTCAATCATACACTATTTTCTCCATATTTTCTACTAATCTACTAGTATCTCTAAAAATCCAATATTTCTATTATCTCGATATACATTCTCGAGATTCTATCCAATTTCTATTGCTTTCAAATTTAGTTATATTTTTAGAACTCCTATCTCTATTAATCATCACTAATACTATTAAAACATTAAACTTGAAAGTATGTATTAAAGAGTTTTAGTGTATAAAATCATAAAACATTATGAATTTCTATATTTTATTTCAAATGCACTGATGAACTCAACTGAAAATAAGTCAAGCACATTAGTACAATATTTTTATCATTCATCTCCCATTAATAAAATAATAAATTTCACAAATTTACTGAACATTTATCATTACAAAATATAAAATAAGGAATGAGTAGTTCTCAAATTATTCAATAAAATCCTCACAAATTGTATATTATTTTTAAATATACAGAAGTACTAACAATTTTAGTAATAATATATCATAATTAAGTATTATAATAAGAGATCAAGAAATTTAAACATTTCACAAACCTCTATCTTTAATATTATTTATTGGTATATTCAATTATGAATCTCTGTTGATTCAAAAAACTACGCTTATCAAGTAATTATAGCCCTTTCTTATTAAGATAAAAATCGTATTGATCATCAATTTACATCTTAAAAAAGGATTTAAGTAAAACCAAAGAAGACATTTAAATCTAAAGCCTTATCGAAGAATATAATAATATATCACGTCCCACCTTATTTGAGGTTTTCAAAAATAACATAATTGAATAGAAAAATTGAGTTTATTTAAGACTATGAATTTTCAACATATATAAATAAACTATTGTTAAAATCATATTATTTTGGAGAACTTGATCATCTATTGATTCTCAATTTATTCAATAATATTTGATAATAATTAGAATTCATATTTTGAGAATTTGGTAAATTATAAATGTTTCTAATTGATTGAAAATATTTATATAATAAAATAATTAATTTATGAAAAAATTATTATTATTGTATAAATAAATTATATCATCAGTAATTTCATCAATTTTAATAACATTAAGGAGTACTATTAGTATTATTTGGATAATATTTGTTTATATTCAATTAATGTCGATATTTACTCTTATTTATTTTACATAAAAATAGAAGGAGTTTTTAATTTCAACTTTTTTAATTTAATATTAAATGGATATCATCTTTATGATCCTTTTTTCAATTATACTTTGCATTTGTTAAGTTTTATTTCAATAAACTTTTATTTAATTTAGCATTCTTTATTTTATTGATTAATCAGTGTTATGGAAGATAACACCATTACATAAAAATATATTAATTGTTTATTTAATAAATAAACAAAGCCTAAAGATGATCATTTTGATGATGATTATGCACAATATTGCTTTTTCTGATTGTAGGTTTCAGCATCCAAAAAAGCATATTGGAATAGTTCGGAAACCAATTTCAATTTTATAATTGATAGAAGAACCCTTATTAGGATAAGAGATGATTAGCCAATTTCAGAAGGAGAGATTAGAGTTTGACTCCAATTTGGTGTTGTAGCAAGAATTAATTGAGGAGGATGTCTCTGAATTTCCAAAATAAAATTATACGATTCCAAAGTTTGAATAGTTGAGCGAGGAGAAGTAGAGTGCATATAAGTAAGAGTTCCAGAAAGTGAAATAATTATTGATTAAGCTACACTATAAATAAGTGTTATTATGCTTATTTGTAGTATCGGTTTTTTCATCTTTTATTTGGTGCATTATAAAATTATGTATTTTATTCAGACCTTACAAATAATCAGACAATGAAGAAGTATTTGCTTAATGTTTATTTAAAGTTAGGAATAAAAATTATTAGTAGCTGATTATTCTATATTAAATTCTAAGACCATAAGTGAAGATGAAGAATTGAATCAAAGTACTTAAAATAAGTATAAAATAACTGACATGACACCATAAATAAGAAATCCATATGACGAAAGTTTTGTTAAAGCTTCGATCAAAGCAACCACTAGAGGATCAGCATGCGATTAAAGTTTATTGGAAATAGATGAGTTGTTATAAGAAATGCTGAAATGAAGATAAATACATATACAATTCTTATTATCTATATATTTATATATATTGATACTTTTATTATTTAATATTGTATAAAATAAAGTTTATCTCATGTAATAAACAGATATTCCAATATTCCAGTATCAAAAGGTCTATTAACCTTTGTAAATTAATAAGGCCAAGAATTTGATTACATTATGGAAGACAGGATAATTGTTAATTTTGAGTGTTGCAAGTTTACATTTACAATTTGCTTTAAGCCATATTTCGTTTCTATTTTGTTTTAATATCACATTATGATTTATACTTTTGTGTAGTAATGCTAAAATGAAAAAAATAAAATCATTTATTATTCTTTGAAGTTGGTTTTTTTGTAAACAATGAATCCTTGATAAATTACAATTTAGATTGTTATAATGGGGATTTCTCAATCTAATCGAATTTATTTTGAGTATTAGTTTATGACCTTTCTCTAAAGTAAGTTCCACTGGGAACTACTTTATTATTTTATAGAATTGCTAATAGAAATAGACAATCTATGATGCTAACATGACTAAATGGTTCTGGTCTTGCTCCACGAAGATGCTATAGTTGGACTCCATGACCTTATTTGATTTATTTAACATGATTATTTAATCTCAATTGGGATTGTACTAAATTATTCTATCTTTATTAATTCTAGCATTATGATTTCCGAATCTTATTCCATAATACAAGAAGTTTTAATGGGACTTAAAGGAGGTTCATTTTAAAATTAATAAGTTAATTAAGAGTCATCATAATCAGACTAATCGAAGGGATTGCTATAATATTGAAGAAGCGACTTGACAATTTTTAATAAATTGTTTGCTCTTTCAGATAATTTTTAAGTGTTCACATCTAATAAAAAAAGCTTAAGTTTTTAAAATTTTGCACTCTGTAATGTAATATTTTGAAAATTTTATAACATTTGGATGAATTTTGATGTGTGTCCAATTTTTCTTTAAATGGTTGACCAATCTTTAATATTTTTGGAATCCAATTTTCAGAATCTTAGAAAATAGTTATCAATGCTTTGAATAGAACTATTACATTGTTTTCCTGTTTATTTTATTATATTAAAGTCTAAACTATGCAAGTATTCATACATTAAGAAGTTTAAAATTAATATAGCTTAAAGAACTTCTTTCTCCTTAATCATTTCATCTTCAGAAATTTTCTTTGTAATAGGTGATTCAAATTTCTCTTATTCATTCATTTTCTAATAAATAATTATTATAATATAATTATATAAATGAATAAATCCTTGGGTCCAAAAATGAAATATCTGTTAAAGATGGAAGTGTTAGAGAAAATGATTGAATTTCATTAGTAAAATGTATAGAAACCACTGGTTTGAAGCACCCTTAATGTAAACTTAGAATTAAGTTATTAAATAATAGAAAATTAATTATCAATAAGAATTATTAAAGCAATGATTGTATAAGTTATGAGAACATTGCATATATTAAAATTAAGAAACAATGGTGCTTTAATTCAATAGACTGAATTATATTATGTGTGTTTAGATAAGATTAGAAAGTTGCTGAAGTCTAAATAAAGTTAGCTATTAATTAGAAAAACAATAAAGGAGTTTAATAATACAAGATTCCATTATTTAAGGCATGCAAAAGCTGAGTTTATCTTTATCATCAATATAATGTCATCTTAAGATCATATAAATGTGGTGACAAAAGGATTGGGAAATTATCGATCTTTGATATTTTTGAATATACCACACAATAGTTTAAATGATTTATTAGAAAAATATATTGCCTAAATGATGCAATCAGATAAGTGAGTCTAATTGAATAATTAGATTTAAATCAACTGTATAAATAAATTATTATTTCGAATAGATCTAGAGCGCAATCAATGTGTAAAGATTTTATTTAATTGATCAACGTGACATTAAAGAGGAATAAAGTTTTGAATTCATTAAAATTGGGTTACAATTCAATTTCTGAATAAACTTTTATTGAATGTTATTGGATATAACTTTAGCTAACTGAGGAAGCATTCACCAAAGACTCTTCTTCAAATCTACTTCACTTCAATTTTACACAGAAAACAAGAAAATTATAGGTTTTGGAACATTTGATTAATTTTTTGATAATATTAATAATTAATAAAAGATGGTATTAGAATATATTCTAGATATTCCTCCTTTGACTAGAATGATGGTTATTAGCAGTGTTTTATTGAGCTATGCAACATATGTACAATATCTAAAACCCTCCAATCTCTACTTAAACTATAAACTTGCGTTTCTTGAATAGTTCTAGGTATTTTTTTTTTTTTATTCTAGCCATGGAGAATATTGACAAGTATATTATATTTTGGAGAATTAGATCTGATAATGGTCTTAAGATTATTTTTTTTGTAATATATTTGCCTATTTTTTAGTTAAACAATCTCATCATCATTAGAACAACATACTTTTTCAGGTATTGCTAATTACTTATACTACTTACTATTGAACCTCGTCACAATCACTTTAATTGGGTTGATGTTAAATGAGCCTTCTCTAACAGAATACTTTGTAGAAGCACTCATATATGTTTGGGGGAGACACAATCAAGAAAGAGAATTATTATGTACAAATTAACTTTAATATTAAGTTATGTTCATAATACCAGTCAGAGCATAATACATGGTTTGGTTTTTTATTATGATCAATATCGTAACAGGGAGGTCAGTTTAATCTAATTTGATAGGTGCAATTATCGGTCACACCTATTACTACTTTGCTTATATAGTTCCTAAATTACCTTCTTTTAAAGGAATACATCTTCTCAGTACACCAAAATTTTTGTAATAATTAATCTCAATATGTTTTAGAGTTGACTTGTTTGGAAATTTAGATAGACAAAACATTGTACACTGAGAATAAGGTTAAGCATTTGTATTTTGATATAATTAATAGCTGTTATTTTCTATATTCATTATCCTTTAGGTTAATTGTTCGACTATGATTGTTAATCTATGCCTTTTAATTCATTTTGCAATTCTTCAAATCTGTAATCTTCGACAATTTTTAGTTATTCATCATCATCTTCTAAGTCATGCCATTAATTATATTAAACTGATGAACATAAGGACTAATAACTAAATATATTTCCTGATAATAATTACGTTTCTATATATATTTCTTTTTTTTTCTTTGTAATTTTCTTTATTAATCTGTCAACTTCATCTAGCATCCACTTTTCAACCTTAAAAGGTGATTTTAATAATGTTTCTCGAAACAACCAATTGCCATCATCTATAGAATAAGTTTCGGCTAAAGATTTGTTGTTAATTTCAAAATCCAGATGTATACAATTAGGAAATTCATTTCTGATTGCACTTTCAATTTTTTGAATCTAAATTGTTAATAATACTAATACTTGTATATGTAAACTGGCAAGAACATATTCCTATATTTCTCTTAATAATTCTTATAAGTATTCCTCTCTATCTCTATAAGATTCACTATAGATAACTTTGTCAAATCTCTCTAGATATTTAGATTCAGTATCTTAATTTATTTGCTAAATTTATCAATATTTTGGTCTACTTTAATGTTGAAAGTTATTTCAGCTGAAAATCTAAATTTCCTACTCCCTAACATCACAGCCTTTTCATTCTGAATCTTTTCAACATATTGATTCTACTTAATAATTTCTAGTATTTTCTTGACTTCAAGATCACTAATAGATTACTCACCCATCAAAGAACTTAAGTTCTTAGCACTCAAGTGATATGCTAACTATCTATAATATGTAAACCAATTTAAAAATACAATTAGATTAAGCCGATTACCAAAGATCCTACAATTTCAAATGCATGGGTAGGGTAAATTAAAGTAAATGCAGATGACAATAAAGGAATTAAAGTGGATCCTAGAGTTATAGCATTCTCATAAAGAATAGCTTATAATACTGGATCCTTCTTTTGAAATACCGACAGGAATTATTTAAACAATCCTTTTTTTTTTTCATCAATTGAATCAACGGCTTACGCATCTCTTATATTTTTGAAAACTACACTTGTTTCTATACCAATCGATAGCAAATATAGCTATCCAATAATGAAATAAGCATACTGCTAATCCCCAAGCATTACTATGTATTTCACCTACATAATGGCCATAATTATAAATATTAAGGAATGATTCATATGAAATAGAGGCTCCAAAATATAAAAACAAGGCTGATGGTATTAAAGCTACTAGGTGCTTTACTTTTTCTATTCCATATGGGAATTATTTATTAGGACCTACTAGATAAGTGATAAAATAACCATAATTAATATAATTGGTTGCAAATAAAATAACATGATTGCTTGCGTCAATCATAGATCTTGTTAATTCAGCCCAAAAAGTCTATTAGCTATTAATAAATTTAAGTATACTTAGTAATATAATAGGCGGCAAATTTGATAGGTAATTAGATTGAATCATTAAAAACCTCCCTTCTTAAGACATCTAAATTCGTTTTACGATCCATTTCCTCTTATTATTTTAATCTTTCTAAATAAGTGGGCAATTTATTTGCAAATCTTGATCCTTTGATCGACTTAATTGACCTCAATATTTTATGCATAATTAATGTTTAATAAAATAATTTATATTAGTAAGTAAAGAATAGATTACTTGAAAATCCTTAAATAAAATAATTTTCAATTAAATTTTGCAATATCATTGTAATATACAGATATGATATTTACAAAAGCGTAAAATTTAACTTATTCTTTTGTTCAAATTGATGTTGTTTTATGTAGTGCTCAAAAATTAGGATCTATTGTTCTTCCATTCATTTTCCATTGAATGCAAATCTCAAAAATCTACCCTACTTATAAAGTTTAAGTAACGTAATCTCCAATTACTTCATCTTTATATCGATATGCATTTTGCGAGTATCCAAAAATTAATTGATAAAATATTTATTAAATGGAAGATAATTAAACACAAATTCCAATTGATTATGTTACATTTTCAAAAACCATACCTCACCATTACCCTTATGAATGCATGGGACTTATACTTATCCTCATTTACATCTTTATGTATATAACTGGAAATACAACCAATAAAAAACTTGCATTAAAATTTGTATCAACAACATACGACTGCTTTAAAACTAATTTCGCATTTCTTGGTGTCACAAATAAAGAAAATGGGCCGCTACTGTAATCCATCTCAAGTAATTCATTTGGGTAAACATTTCCAACTATAATTCGTAGATTTATAGCTTAAGGAAGAAATAATTTAAATTGTTTTGCTGTCACTATTGATCTAAAGAAACGATAAGATTTATTGTCAATGTTATTCTTTTCATTTATATGGCCAGAAAAAGACACAATTACTATTGATATACCTATAGCAGCCACTCCATAACCAATATGTTTTGCCTTAATCAAAAAAAGAGATGCTAAATCATATAAAGAAGCCAATATAGATCTTAAATATCTTTGTGAAAAGTTATTCATTGATAAAATTGAAGACAAGTAATTTAGTAATATATTTATAGTTTAACACTTGTCACACTTGGTGAAGGAAAAGAACCTTTAACAACCATTTTTGATTCAAAAATATGTCAAGCCTTGAAGAAGTATGATAAATAAATTCAAAATATTCACTTTACTGATTAAAAAAAACTTTTACCAAAGTATTTAATTTTCTTAATCTAAATTTTAGTCCGTATCATCTTGGAGCCACTTTAATTAATATTGAATCAATCGAAGATTATACTGAGTTCATTTAGTTGATCCTCTAAATTATTGATAAGATTGCTAGTTTCAAATTATCATAATCTGCTTGATAATAGTATGAAGAAGAAAGAGCTAAATTTGAAGAGATCAAATCTAAAGATGAAAAATAAAAGAAAATTGAAGTAGTGAATTGTTTTAATTAATAGGAGGCATAAAAAAAGAAGACGGAAAAATTACAAAAGGAAAAATAAAAATTTATGACTCTACCTAGAGAATAATAAATCAAATTGTAAGAAAAAGAGAAGAGAGATGAAATCAAAAAAAAATATGCAAAACGAACAATGTATATGTGAGATATTAATTATTAAAATGTTAGTTGCACCCAAAATTAACTCAAAAAGAATAACGTTATTATCAAATAACATCAAATCTATTAATTAGTTACAAATATTTTTAATATCCCGTAACTATAAAACCAACATGTTTATAATAATAAAGCCAAGCAAATATTCTAAACATTGCTTTAGAATTTTATCTACAAAAAGGATAATGATAAATATATAGAAGTAAACCAAATAAGAATTTTTCATATTCTACTAATTAATAAATTGTCTTGTATTTCAAAAAGGTTAAGCATGAGTAGTTTAATACATAAACCAAAGAGAATTCAAATAAATTATCAACGAAATTGTTTAGGATGTCGAAAACTAAAATTAATATTAGCCTCAAAATAATAAAATGACTATTTCATAAATTCATGTTTAGGTAACAAAACTAACCCACAAGGTTGGTATCTAATATTAAATCAAACATTTAAGTAGTTGATAATAGGAAAACAAATATTTATATGCTTGGTGCCAATAAGATTATTCACTCTGTTTTAAAAAAAATAAATTTGCTAATCAGACCAATAATACAAAATCTCACTTTGATATCTGGATTATGGGATAAGAATTTCAATCGATAAAAGTAGAAACAATTATAGAGGTAGACTTATTGAAAATATTAGAAGATGTTATGATATGTCTCTCTACTTAAATATCATGAATATGTTAATCATATCCATTTTTTATAATTTTAGCCTTTAAATTTTTTCAAAATCTTAAATTAATATACATTATGTGATATTGAAGAACTTGTTTTGTCTCTTTCTTGAATTTATATCAGATACTCTTGTGAAATTATATAGTTTGTTTTATTGTCTTCTTATGACTTCTTCTTATGATGCAGATACCAAATAGAAACTAAAATCCTCACCAATAGAGAAGATTTACATAGCCTAAAGACTATTTTAATTACAAAAGCTTTGATTCATTAATATAATTAAATAGTTGATATATCGCAAATATATATAAGATAAATAGAATAATTGCTTTGTTCTGTTTTAGATATTAAGAATTTGTCTTAATGAATAAAAGTATTAAAAAATCTTTATAAATAAGAATTATAATTCTCTTGGGTTTGTAAAATTAAAAATACAAGTTTGTTCTTAATAATACTGAAGTTAGTTTTGCAAAATGATTTAGAATTAATTTTAAACAAGCCAATTAAGAGATAAAAAGAAAGTTTCTAAATAAAACTGGTCAGAAACCAGGCAAATTATCTCATAAAAAATATTAACATTCTCTTATTCACAAGAGTACCACTATGCCCCATTCTGTTTAGATGAAAAAGTAATTACTTAAAATTTTCGAGCACAACATTCATTAAGATTTTGGATTTGTGATTATTCAATTATAATAGAATAAAAAAAGTATAATTATTATCTAAATCCTTGTTTGTTATAATAAAATAGATTGCTAGACTAGATCAGAAATAAAAAGGCGGTTGAATGGTAAATACTTATGGATTTTATAAGATATGGTTATATTATCAATTTCTAAAAGTGCTTTCTTCTGTAATGACTTAAAATTATTAGAGAGTATTTTAAAAACTATTTAAAAAACATTTTGGCTTAATATCACTTTAACTATCGTTAAGATGATAACACAATTCTTCATTAGTAGAATTTGCAAATTCCTAAGCAAATTAATCGTTATTATTTACACAGTTTCTTGTAAATTCTGCAATACTTTCATATTCACTCTGATGCATCAATCTTTACAGGGTCTATATTTCAAATTATTAATTCAAGATCGTTTGTTATTGGTGTTCAATTTATTTGTTTTGTATTTAAATGATTTACTTAAGTTTTGAAATATCTTTAGTATTTGATAGGTTTGTATTTTCAACCGCAGAATTTACATATTTTCCAGTTAAATTCTGCGTGTTGTTTTAGCATTAAAACAAATTTGTATCATATTTTTACAATTCATCATTGAGATTTTCAAATACTAATGAGAACAAATCAATTTCATTTTGAGAGAACATTTTATTAGAATTTTAAATAGTGAGATTATTAATTGAAAAAAAGAATTTATTAAAAAAGGTAGTTAATGTTTTAATTTGTTTTTAAAGAGTTGATTCTGTTTACTGGAATGACTATTTTTATATTGAAATTTGTTCTTTCAACAAATTAATTTACTATTAATAGTTAGGCTGATTCAATTCACAATTATTTTCCATTCCATTTTTTTGCTTANCAGATACTCTTGTGAAATTATATAGTTTGTTTTATTGTCTTCTTATGACTTCTTCTTATGATGCAGATACCAAATAGAAACTAAAATCCTCACCAATAGAGAAGATTTACATAGCCTAAAGACTATTTTAATTACAAAAGCTTTGATTCATTAATATAATTAAATAGTTGATATATCGCAAATATATATAAGATAAATAGAATAATTGCTTTGTTCTGTTTTAGATATTAAGAATTTGTCTTAATGAATAAAAGTATTAAAAAATCTTTATAAATAAGAATTATAATTCTCTTGGGTTTGTAAAATTAAAAATACAAGTTTGTTCTTAATAATACTGAAGTTAGTTTTGCAAAATGATTTAGAATTAATTTTAAACAAGCCAATTAAGAGATAAAAAGAAAGTTTCTAAATAAAACTGGTCAGAAACCAGGCAAATTATCTCATAAAAAATATTAACATTCTCTTATTCACAAGAGTACCACTATGCCCCATTCTGTTTAGATGAAAAAGTAATTACTTAAAATTTTCGAGCACAACATTCATTAAGATTTTGGATTTGTGATTATTCAATTATAATAGAATAAAAAAAGTATAATTATTATCTAAATCCTTGTTTGTTATAATAAAATAGATTGCTAGACTAGATCAGAAATAAAAAGGCGGTTGAATGGTAAATACTTATGGATTTTATAAGATATGGTTATATTATCAATTTCTAAAAGTGCTTTCTTCTGTAATGACTTAAAATTATTAGAGAGTATTTTAAAAACTATTTAAAAAACATTTTGGCTTAATATCACTTTAACTATCGTTAAGATGATAACACAATTCTTCATTAGTAGAATTTGCAAATTCCTAAGCAAATTAATCGTTATTATTTACACAGTTTCTTGTAAATTCTGCAATACTTTCATATTCACTCTGATGCATCAATCTTTACAGGGTCTATATTTCAAATTATTAATTCAAGATCGTTTGTTATTGGTGTTCAATTTATTTGTTTTGTATTTAAATGATTTACTTAAGTTTTGAAATATCTTTAGTATTTGATAGGTTTGTATTTTCAACCGCAGAATTTACATATTTTCCAGTTAAATTCTGCGTGTTGTTTTAGCATTAAAACAAATTTGTATCATATTTTTACAATTCATCATTGAGATTTTCAAATACTAATGAGAACAAATCAATTTCATTTTGAGAGAACATTTTATTAGAATTTTAAATAGTGAGATTATTAATTGAAAAAAAGAATTTATTAAAAAAGGTAGTTAATGTTTTAATTTGTTTTTAAAGAGTTGATTCTGTTTACTGGAATGACTATTTTTATATTGAAATTTGTTCTTTCAACAAATTAATTTACTATTAATAGTTAGGCTGATTCAATTCACAATTATTTTCCATTCCATTTTTTTGCTTACTTAATTTGAGAAAATTAATTAATTTAAAGTTTTCATTCTTTTATTATGAAATTTCTTATTTTTAAATAGATACAGTGTATTGCAGATCATTTATTTGTGATGTTAAATTTTCGGATTGCTCTTTCTACTTTTAAAGCTGATTACAAATTTATTCTATTGTTTCATTAAGTAATTAAATATCACTCTACATTTATTTATTCGATTGTTTTAAAACTGAATTATGTATTTCTAATTCAGAATTCTTTTTATTCAATTCAATAATGAGTTGCTGTTTTATGTATATTTCATTCTTGCTTTAACTTTCTTCTGTCTTAGAAGGATTACAAAATGAGGAATGAAAGGGGTTTGTATTTTCTTATAGTTAATTGATAGAGTTGTTTAATCTGATTTAATCATTTCTGGAATTTGTTGTTTTGAGTATTTTACTTTAGGATTTACTTGGTAGTAAGTGATTGCTTTAGGTCTTTTTCATTTTTGGAGAGTCTTTTTGAAGAAATGACTAAGTCAATTATTAGGTTTTGAATTTTAAAGAGGGATTCATTAACGATTAATTAATATTATTAATAAAATGCAGGACATTGAATAAGAAAGATAAAGAAAATAAGATATATTGATGTCATAAGTAGTGGAGGCCGGTTATGACACTATTGCATTCTAGGTGTATTGTGAATAAATCAAATAAAATGGCAGTCAGGATATAGATTTGTGGACATTTGAAGAATTACAAAAAACAATTCAAGATTTCATCAAGAAAGAAGAGTAATGAATTTACTCAACNAAATAGAATAATTGCTTTGTTCTGTTTTAGATATTAAGAATTTGTCTTAATGAATAAAAGTATTAAAAAATCTTTATAAATAAGAATTATAATTCTCTTGGGTTTGTAAAATTAAAAATACAAGTTTGTTCTTAATAATACTGAAGTTAGTTTTGCAAAATGATTTAGAATTAATTTTAAACAAGCCAATTAAGAGATAAAAAGAAAGTTTCTAAATAAAACTGGTCAGAAACCAGGCAAATTATCTCATAAAAAATATTAACATTCTCTTATTCACAAGAGTACCACTATGCCCCATTCTGTTTAGATGAAAAAGTAATTACTTAAAATTTTCGAGCACAACATTCATTAAGATTTTGGATTTGTGATTATTCAATTATAATAGAATAAAAAAAGTATAATTATTATCTAAATCCTTGTTTGTTATAATAAAATAGATTGCTAGACTAGATCAGAAATAAAAAGGCGGTTGAATGGTAAATACTTATGGATTTTATAAGATATGGTTATATTATCAATTTCTAAAAGTGCTTTCTTCTGTAATGACTTAAAATTATTAGAGAGTATTTTAAAAACTATTTAAAAAACATTTTGGCTTAATATCACTTTAACTATCGTTAAGATGATAACACAATTCTTCATTAGTAGAATTTGCAAATTCCTAAGCAAATTAATCGTTATTATTTACACAGTTTCTTGTAAATTCTGCAATACTTTCATATTCACTCTGATGCATCAATCTTTACAGGGTCTATATTTCAAATTATTAATTCAAGATCGTTTGTTATTGGTGTTCAATTTATTTGTTTTGTATTTAAATGATTTACTTAAGTTTTGAAATATCTTTAGTATTTGATAGGTTTGTATTTTCAACCGCAGAATTTACATATTTTCCAGTTAAATTCTGCGTGTTGTTTTAGCATTAAAACAAATTTGTATCATATTTTTACAATTCATCATTGAGATTTTCAAATACTAATGAGAACAAATCAATTTCATTTTGAGAGAACATTTTATTAGAATTTTAAATAGTGAGATTATTAATTGAAAAAAAGAATTTATTAAAAAAGGTAGTTAATGTTTTAATTTGTTTTTAAAGAGTTGATTCTGTTTACTGGAATGACTATTTTTATATTGAAATTTGTTCTTTCAACAAATTAATTTACTATTAATAGTTAGGCTGATTCAATTCACAATTATTTTCCATTCCATTTTTTTGCTTACTTAATTTGAGAAAATTAATTAATTTAAAGTTTTCATTCTTTTATTATGAAATTTCTTATTTTTAAATAGATACAGTGTATTGCAGATCATTTATTTGTGATGTTAAATTTTCGGATTGCTCTTTCTACTTTTAAAGCTGATTACAAATTTATTCTATTGTTTCATTAAGTAATTAAATATCACTCTACATTTATTTATTCGATTGTTTTAAAACTGAATTATGTATTTCTAATTCAGAATTCTTTTTATTCAATTCAATAATGAGTTGCTGTTTTATGTATATTTCATTCTTGCTTTAACTTTCTTCTGTCTTAGAAGGATTACAAAATGAGGAATGAAAGGGGTTTGTATTTTCTTATAGTTAATTGATAGAGTTGTTTAATCTGATTTAATCATTTCTGGAATTTGTTGTTTTGAGTATTTTACTTTAGGATTTACTTGGTAGTAAGTGATTGCTTTAGGTCTTTTTCATTTTTGGAGAGTCTTTTTGAAGAAATGACTAAGTCAATTATTAGGTTTTGAATTTTAAAGAGGGATTCATTAACGATTAATTAATATTATTAATAAAATGCAGGACATTGAATAAGAAAGATAAAGAAAATAAGATATATTGATGTCATAAGTAGTGGAGGCCGGTTATGACACTATTGCATTCTAGGTGTATTGTGAATAAATCAAATAAAATGGCAGTCAGGATATAGATTTGTGGACATTTGAAGAATTACAAAAAACAATTCAAGATTTCATCAAGAAAGAAGAGTAATGAATTTACTCAACTAAATAGTTAAAAAGAGATGCAATAACAAAATCTGCTGATTGTATAAAATGACTCAAGGTAACTTAATCTTTAGACAAACAATACGCAATTTTAAATATAGAAAATTCAGGATGATAGTAACTTTATAACAGAAGTCTAATGTTAGTTGCCGGGAAGAACAAGATTAACAGATTATATTATGGAAAATACTCATAAAGTATTTTATTGTATTATGAGAAGCAAGTGGAAATAATAATGAGTGAATATCTAAGTAAATCTGATGGTATTATATCATCTTACATTTCTTTTAAAATTGAGACCAAACCAATCGGATGGGTTGTAAATAGAAGATTTACAGATTTTCAAAAATTGAGAGAAATTTTAGTTATGACGTACCCATGTCATTTGATTCCTCCCATTCCTGGAAAGAAATTGTATTTAAATTAGATATTGTATATAGGAAGTCATAGACTGGAGCAGCCTATTTAGAGAAACGTATGAGAATTATGGAATTATTTTTACAGAATTGTTTGTACCATCCATTATTTAAGACACATCCTTTGTTCTCTGACTTTTTAGAAATTAATGATGATGCTAAATTGAAAGAGAAATTTAACCAATATGAAAAATAGAAAGGACCATCGAAGCCATAAGAATATACAATGATTAATGGTTCGTGTGTTTTAGAAATTTCAAATGAATTATCGAATTATTCAAATTCTTTGTCAGATTACTTAAAAAATTCATAGGATATTTATAAAAAGACTGGCAATAATTTTAATAAATTATGTACAGATTTGGAAAATCTAAGTAATACATTAACTGCAATTACGGACAACTTTAATACTTTGGATAAACTCACTGATAGTTTTATTAAACAAACTAAATCTAAAGGAGCTATTGAGCAAATTTAATAAGTTTATTAGGAACTATCAAAGTTTGTTACTGGATGGTAATATGGAGTCAATTTTTAGATGAAGAATGTGAAAGTAATTAATAATTTTATGAATAGGAAAACTTTTATGAATTCTTTAGATATCATAAAAAGAAGCAATCATCCGCATATGAATATTTATAAAGTAAGAATTAGTTGCAACAGAAATATCAGAATTTGAAAAATAAATTAAATGAAAAAAAAGAATAACTGTATAATAAAGGAGATCCTACAAAGTGGGAATTACCTCCTGATATTCCAAAGACTACCAAAGAACTGTAGTTTAATAAAGGAGAAGCCTTTAAATATATGTTGCCCAATGAGACAAAATAAGTCAGTGAAGTAAGAGAAATGTACGCATTTATGAATCATTAACTGCAAGATGAAATTAACCAAATGATAGATTTTAGAATCAAAGTATACGCTAAGAAATTTGTTAGGATGGGATAAATGAGAGCATTGGAAACAGCTAAATTCCATCATATTTTGGCAAACTTCCTATAGGTGTTGGCTGAAATGTAGGGATCTACAACAGGGCAGATGTATAACAGACGGGCAAGCGTATTTATTGATCAAAGGTATGATTAATTTTTTGGAATAAAGCCAAAGTGAAAAATATTTTATATGCAGTATAAATAATCAATTATTATGCCTAAAATCAAGTTAAAATAAAAAATATTGTAGTTGCTTATATTTTCCAAAATGCGAAAATAAAATTATAAATTATCTTAAAATTTGCAGGACATCTACATAATGTAAACAAAAAGTCTACTATAATATCAGAAATATAAAGATGAAAACTCTGATTTTGTTATTTTTCATTAGCTAAAATTCATTCAATATGAATAAATCTTTCTGTATAAAATTCATAAATTTGATCAAATTGAATTATTATAAGTTACATAATGAATCATTAAAGTATTAATTTGTAAAATTTTTCAAGAATGGGCTAGAATTTCTATACCTATAGCTCAATTCAACTTGAAAATAAAAATATAATCGATACTCTTAACTAAAGTATATTTGTTTAAAATTTTATAATCTAATAGAATTAAATTTGGAATATATCCAAAATGACCTGAAGTAAAAATACTATTTTATTGAATTGCTATCTTCAAAATACCCCTATGCAGTAAATATATGATTCGACTTTATTTTAGGAGAAAAGAAGAAGAATAATTATTAGCTCTGTTAGCTGGCTTAGCAGCTATCGAAATGATAGAAGAATAGCGACAAAAAGAAGAATAATAAAAATTAGTGTTTCTGCTATCCCTTTTAGCACTATAATAAAGCGAAAAATAGAAAAAAGTGCTTTAGTTAGTTTCTTGTTGTTAGGATTCCTGTTCATGTAAAAGAAAAAACAAGAGTATTAAAAGTTGGTAACACCATTGCGGGGGAAATGTATATTAAACAAACTAAGGAACAATAATGTGCGAGAAATGTGGATTAGAAAAACCCTCTCATTATTGGTATTTATATTGCTAAAATGAAACGGCGGACGACTACAATTATCCTGTCAATTCCTTTGATAATTGTATATTTAATTGTGGGGAATCGTTAAAATAAGTTAAGGATAATAAAGTTGCTCTTGATTTTTTAAAGGAATACTACAATGCCCTTAAAAGTTAAATGGGAAATGGTAGAAGATGAATTGCTTTGGCGTTATACATATATAATTATAATCGAATTTTTATTCTATTTTTGCATTAAAATATTCTATTTAGTTATAAATCAAAAAGGAAAGATTTTTATTGTCATTATTTTCAAATTTATCATAAGAATAACAATGTCTATCTTGTTTAGAGACCTTGAATGGTTTAATTGTAAAATGAATGGAGATTGTTCAATCATTCCTTTAAGATAAAATAAGAAGTAGAAATATAATAGAGGGGAAAATGCTTATTCAGTTAATTTCAATAGTGGGAAATTGTTATTTTTTTAATCATTCATATTTAAAATATAAAGAATTGAAAAATATGAAATGTTTAGTGTTCTTTATTGAACATTTACATGTATTTTGGAGTAAATATATTAACAAATAGAATTTATTAATCTGGAAAATCACTAATATATTTTGATGAATATCTAGAGATAAAACAAATTTTTTAAATTATATATCTATTCTATAAGATAATTTAATGAAAAGGTTGTAATGAAATACAAGATGAATAGTAGTATATAGTGCGATATAATGTTGAAGTTTTTTATAATTGTCTTAATTGATCTAAAAGGATACTATTACTTCTTGAATGAATATCAACAATACAAGATAAATTATGTTGAAAAATCAATTTATTATTGTTTCTGTTTCTTTAGTAATTTTTGAAGTAATTTTGTCCTTTTTTCATTTTAATCCCTAAGTCTATTTTAAGGATTTTTAAAGGAATGCATAATTTTGTCATAAAGGAACATTTATGCCATTTAATATTATTAATGTATAAATTCACCAAAAGAATTTCTTAATAAGACCTAATCCACCTCCTATTATTGCGCCTATTCCAATAGCCGGTATTGCAATGGCTGCCGCTCCTGACATTGCTACTCCTTAAGCTAAAGCAAATGCACTTCCAGCGGCCACACTTCCGATACTGGCTTATGTAGCTGCAGCAAGGCTTCCTGCAACTGGTCCAATGGAAGAAAAGCCATAAAGTGCCAACCCTCCCTGAGCTATCATCGCACCAGCTCCACCTACAATTCCCCCTGCGGCGATTCCATCCTTAATATTTTCAAACAAATTTGATTATTATTCCTAAAAGCTGTATTTTTTATAATCTTATTATTACTCCTATTATTTTTCTTAATTGTTTTATTCTTCTACCTCTTATTGCAATTATTTTATTTATAATTCTTATCCATTTTGATCCTCTTGTTGCTCGAAGTCCTTCTATAACTCTATTTATTAATATAACTCCGATTGATCCTATTGTTCTTATTCTCCTTATTTTTCTAAGTATTGCATCTCTTATTATTTTTAATTAAGTTCATTGAAAATTGACGCAAACTAATATATGTCATATGTGTGTACAAAATTTCATGTAATTAAATTCAAAAAAAAATTGCTATTTGGAGCGATAATGGTTCGAACCCTAAAGTTGGTGGGTTTTTGTATCATGAATAATAGATCTCAACTATCACGACAATTTCACCTAAAAAATTGGAGCATCAAAAGAAATTAAAATTAGACCATATAAAAATGATTTTAGAATGTAGTTTTTTCTTGTGATTTCAATAAGGTACTTTTTATTAGATATATTTTTTAAGGGAAACATTTATTCTTGATCAATAATTTCTATAAATTAGTAGAAATTAGTGCAATGTAAAATATGAACATACAGATTTATACATAATTTAGATTTTTCCAAAACTCAATATATTTAAAAATAGTCAAATGATTTTGTTATTCAAAAACATATATTTTAATTGAATCAACCAAAATATTAATATATATGTTGAAAATAACAGGAATCCATAGTAGCATATTCGTAAAATCTGAACTCATAAACATCTCTGTAAATTCTATACATTAAAACTATATGTTGAAAACTTAAAATTTAGTGATAAAGCCGAAAAAATCAAAATTGAGTATACAAACAACAGTTTTCGAATACTTATATTAAAACAAGTAAGTTAGGAAAACCAGTACACTGGAGCTACAAAGGTAGAACATAATATTTTGACCTAATCAAAGTTTCTCATATTTCCGAAACACCAAGCTTTCTACTTTGGCTTTCATTTCTCATATGCTNCTATTCTATAAGATAATTTAATGAAAAGGTTGTAATGAAATACAAGATGAATAGTAGTATATAGTGCGATATAATGTTGAAGTTTTTTATAATTGTCTTAATTGATCTAAAAGGATACTATTACTTCTTGAATGAATATCAACAATACAAGATAAATTATGTTGAAAAATCAATTTATTATTGTTTCTGTTTCTTTAGTAATTTTTGAAGTAATTTTGTCCTTTTTTCATTTTAATCCCTAAGTCTATTTTAAGGATTTTTAAAGGAATGCATAATTTTGTCATAAAGGAACATTTATGCCATTTAATATTATTAATGTATAAATTCACCAAAAGAATTTCTTAATAAGACCTAATCCACCTCCTATTATTGCGCCTATTCCAATAGCCGGTATTGCAATGGCTGCCGCTCCTGACATTGCTACTCCTTAAGCTAAAGCAAATGCACTTCCAGCGGCCACACTTCCGATACTGGCTTATGTAGCTGCAGCAAGGCTTCCTGCAACTGGTCCAATGGAAGAAAAGCCATAAAGTGCCAACCCTCCCTGAGCTATCATCGCACCAGCTCCACCTACAATTCCCCCTGCGGCGATTCCATCCTTAATATTTTCAAACAAATTTGATTATTATTCCTAAAAGCTGTATTTTTTATAATCTTATTATTACTCCTATTATTTTTCTTAATTGTTTTATTCTTCTACCTCTTATTGCAATTATTTTATTTATAATTCTTATCCATTTTGATCCTCTTGTTGCTCGAAGTCCTTCTATAACTCTATTTATTAATATAACTCCGATTGATCCTATTGTTCTTATTCTCCTTATTTTTCTAAGTATTGCATCTCTTATTATTTTTAATTAAGTTCATTGAAAATTGACGCAAACTAATATATGTCATATGTGTGTACAAAATTTCATGTAATTAAATTCAAAAAAAAATTGCTATTTGGAGCGATAATGGTTCGAACCCTAAAGTTGGTGGGTTTTTGTATCATGAATAATAGATCTCAACTATCACGACAATTTCACCTAAAAAATTGGAGCATCAAAAGAAATTAAAATTAGACCATATAAAAATGATTTTAGAATGTAGTTTTTTCTTGTGATTTCAATAAGGTACTTTTTATTAGATATATTTTTTAAGGGAAACATTTATTCTTGATCAATAATTTCTATAAATTAGTAGAAATTAGTGCAATGTAAAATATGAACATACAGATTTATACATAATTTAGATTTTTCCAAAACTCAATATATTTAAAAATAGTCAAATGATTTTGTTATTCAAAAACATATATTTTAATTGAATCAACCAAAATATTAATATATATGTTGAAAATAACAGGAATCCATAGTAGCATATTCGTAAAATCTGAACTCATAAACATCTCTGTAAATTCTATACATTAAAACTATATGTTGAAAACTTAAAATTTAGTGATAAAGCCGAAAAAATCAAAATTGAGTATACAAACAACAGTTTTCGAATACTTATATTAAAACAAGTAAGTTAGGAAAACCAGTACACTGGAGCTACAAAGGTAGAACATAATATTTTGACCTAATCAAAGTTTCTCATATTTCCGAAACACCAAGCTTTCTACTTTGGCTTTCATTTCTCATATGCTAAACTCCTCCATAATCCATACTTGAACTCTTCATTTACATATCAGATCAATATTTTATAAAATTTATCATTATTCTTTTTATGTGATTCACTTATAATTCAAATATGATTAGTCTAGCAATTATATCATGATTTTAAATAAAAAATTTTATTTTGTTGGGTTCTCGAAGATTTAATTGTATAGCTTGTGAGGCATAGTATGCCTTACAATCAAATGGCACATGCAAAAAATAATAGGATACTGTAATTCAAGTTGTTCTACTTGCTTTGAAACTAATTTAAATTATTGTATATAATAAATAATTTCTCTACCCTACCTCTTGCATTGGTTGGGAAAATGTCATAAGAAATTGAGTTTGTTGGAGGAGTACAATCATTTTCATCATGTAGCAATCTATTCCCATAGCAAGATAGGCAACCGCTAATATTGCATTCTAAACAAGTCCCATCACATTTTTAATAATTGTTATTGAACTAATCATCAAAATATCCATATAAACAGATACAATAAGGTTCTTGAATTCGATTACCTCTANGCTATCATCGCACCAGCTCCACCTACAATTCCCCCTGCGGCGATTCCATCCTTAATATTTTCAAACAAATTTGATTATTATTCCTAAAAGCTGTATTTTTTATAATCTTATTATTACTCCTATTATTTTTCTTAATTGTTTTATTCTTCTACCTCTTATTGCAATTATTTTATTTATAATTCTTATCCATTTTGATCCTCTTGTTGCTCGAAGTCCTTCTATAACTCTATTTATTAATATAACTCCGATTGATCCTATTGTTCTTATTCTCCTTATTTTTCTAAGTATTGCATCTCTTATTATTTTTAATTAAGTTCATTGAAAATTGACGCAAACTAATATATGTCATATGTGTGTACAAAATTTCATGTAATTAAATTCAAAAAAAAATTGCTATTTGGAGCGATAATGGTTCGAACCCTAAAGTTGGTGGGTTTTTGTATCATGAATAATAGATCTCAACTATCACGACAATTTCACCTAAAAAATTGGAGCATCAAAAGAAATTAAAATTAGACCATATAAAAATGATTTTAGAATGTAGTTTTTTCTTGTGATTTCAATAAGGTACTTTTTATTAGATATATTTTTTAAGGGAAACATTTATTCTTGATCAATAATTTCTATAAATTAGTAGAAATTAGTGCAATGTAAAATATGAACATACAGATTTATACATAATTTAGATTTTTCCAAAACTCAATATATTTAAAAATAGTCAAATGATTTTGTTATTCAAAAACATATATTTTAATTGAATCAACCAAAATATTAATATATATGTTGAAAATAACAGGAATCCATAGTAGCATATTCGTAAAATCTGAACTCATAAACATCTCTGTAAATTCTATACATTAAAACTATATGTTGAAAACTTAAAATTTAGTGATAAAGCCGAAAAAATCAAAATTGAGTATACAAACAACAGTTTTCGAATACTTATATTAAAACAAGTAAGTTAGGAAAACCAGTACACTGGAGCTACAAAGGTAGAACATAATATTTTGACCTAATCAAAGTTTCTCATATTTCCGAAACACCAAGCTTTCTACTTTGGCTTTCATTTCTCATATGCTAAACTCCTCCATAATCCATACTTGAACTCTTCATTTACATATCAGATCAATATTTTATAAAATTTATCATTATTCTTTTTATGTGATTCACTTATAATTCAAATATGATTAGTCTAGCAATTATATCATGATTTTAAATAAAAAATTTTATTTTGTTGGGTTCTCGAAGATTTAATTGTATAGCTTGTGAGGCATAGTATGCCTTACAATCAAATGGCACATGCAAAAAATAATAGGATACTGTAATTCAAGTTGTTCTACTTGCTTTGAAACTAATTTAAATTATTGTATATAATAAATAATTTCTCTACCCTACCTCTTGCATTGGTTGGGAAAATGTCATAAGAAATTGAGTTTGTTGGAGGAGTACAATCATTTTCATCATGTAGCAATCTATTCCCATAGCAAGATAGGCAACCGCTAATATTGCATTCTAAACAAGTCCCATCACATTTTTAATAATTGTTATTGAACTAATCATCAAAATATCCATATAAACAGATACAATAAGGTTCTTGAATTCGATTACCTCTACAAGCTTTACAATTTAAAGCATCCAGATGACAAGTGGCACACTAAAATGCACATTCTATATAGGTATTTATGATAATTTAATACATTGGCAAATAATTAAATCAATATCAAAATATTCATCTATACATTTGCACTCCTTTATCAATTCTTCATGTTTTGCAAATTAAACAGTTTGAGGATTAAATTTCACATTTACTAAGAAATATTTGAATGTCACTATATTGAATTAAGCAGCACAAACTTGTAATTATTTAAATATACTTTAACAAGTGAGTTACTCATCTTCATAATACCCTTCTATACAATTGCAGGTTGGTGGACTAGTTCTCTTTTTATGATCGCAGATTTGGCAATTATTTGCTTCAAGCACACAGGTTTTACATCTGAAATTGCATTTTTAGCATTAAATTATGTGCATCATCAAAATAACCTTCTCTACAATCACATTACCCAGATAAAGGCTTGTGATTTGAATTTAATTCAAAACTAAAACTTAAACATTTATCGCTCTAATTAACACAAGTTTAACATTTAATATGACATTCAATTATAATAATTGGAATTTACTTTAACAAAATTATTCCTAATCTTGGTAAGATCCACTAATACAAGGACGTTTGTGGATTATAGATTGATCAGTTCTCTTAGCATCAATACACAAAAATTAATGGTAATTTTGATATAAGTATAATATATTAAATAAATTAATTAAAAAAAAAGTAATTAAGACTCCTAAAATTATAGAAAGATTTCACAAAGAGATGTTTTGCAACTTGTATTATAAATATCATACATAAATCGATATTAAGAAGGTAACTATACAGAGATTTGCCTGACCTTTGCAGATTAAACATTTATTAGAGCATTCTATTTTATTGTTTAATTTCTTTTACTAGAACAGATATCTGTATTTTATTCAAAATACCCAGGCTAACATAAACATTTATTTTCTCAATAAAAACGATTATGTTCAATTTCATAGCAGGATAAACAATTCGAGGCAGAAGATTAACATGTTTGGCAAAGATTAATGTATTTTTAACACATTTCAATTCCAGCTTCATATTAGCATGGATGCACAAGCAATTATTTGCTCTAAACTATCTTTTAAATTCATTTGCACTAGTTATACAATATTTATTTGTATTTTCACAAATTGCATTATGTTAAATATATTATTACTTGAACAATTTTATTAATTTTTTCATACTTAATTGCTTCTTGCCTATTGACAACCCGATATTTTGATGATGAATCTAAATAGTGTTTATTTAAAATTGGACTATATTAGTCTATTATGTAATTGTATGAATACATTAGCAAGAATTATTTAATGAATCAAAATAATACGATTGCTACATAGACATCTTTTGTTAACTAAAAATAAATTAAGACTAGTATTGCAAGTTAAGCAATTATCATATAATAAAGACCAAGTCAAACAGGAATTTGCACATTGTTCACAATTCAAATTGATTGGATTTTCCTGATATCCTTGTATGCATTCACAAGTATTTGCAGTTTTAAATTGTCTAAAATTGGCTATTGAACATGTTAAACAGTAATCACTTTAATTAACACAGGTTAAATATATCTTACTGCATAATATACATGATTTATCTTTATATGATTCATACATTTCATAAATACAAACACAATCTTTATCTTTTAAGTATCGATATTTAATGCAAGAAGTACATTCATAATTGAATAATGCACTTGTTTAACACTTCTGATTACATTATTAACATGTTCCATCAACTTCAATAAATCCTACTTATCAATCACAAGTTCTTGTTTTTAAGTTAATTTCTCTAAATTAGTTAGAATCACATGATGTACAATTATTTGATGTGTTTAAACATGTCATACAATTTGAATTATTCTAAACAAACCTATAACCCAACTTCATAGTATCCTTATTGACATTTACAATTTGTTTCTATTTTTCTTGTTTATGGACATGATAAACATATGTAAGATTATTGTATGCAATTTAAAAACTAAATATCACATTTTTAACATGATATTGATTACCCATCATCAAAATATCCAAATCACGTTTAATGTCTAATTATAAAAGACTTGATTTGATGTATTAACATCTATAAATGAAATATAGGAAGTGGCATCTTAAGATTACAACTTAAACATGAATAATTACATTTTTCACAAAGTTTCAACTCCATTATCATAATATCCAATATTACAATTACAAGAATAATTGATAAATATCTTAAGCTGTTACAATTAACTATAGAAACCTTTTAGTGTATAAACAGGAACTCATATTAAGTTCTCTAAGGGAAGAGGAATCGCAGGAGAGACATTAGTTTAATCCTTACCATAACAAGATTTGCATTTCAAATGACAATCTCTAATTTATATTAAATCTAGTATAATAACCAGATGACAAACCCATGATGATAAATCCAAAGAAGGGGGAGGGGGGGGGATTCATTGTTTTTCTTTCTATTTAATTTTTAAAAAAGTATTAAAAATAATAGAATTTAAATTGTATTTTATGATTGAATACAGAATTTCGATATTTCTTCACTTTCAAAAAAAATTAACTTAGATATTGTTTATATGTATCACACGATAAACAGTTTGAAGAAAGAGGACCATAACCTGTTTTACAAGTTTGATCACATTCTTGGCATTCTAATGTAAATCCATCATCAACAGTATTTTATGCACTACATATGCATTCAATGAAACTACCTGATTAAATAGATGTCCTACTTGAAGGACATTTTAAACATGCATCCTTTTCATACAGTTTGCACATGTTCCACATGAATTATGACACCCTAGTAAAATCCCCATAATTATCTTCGCAATTACAATTAAAATTGTCAGAAACCTCTCAATGTTAATAAGGTATGCAGGTTAAACAATATTGATTATCACAGCTTGAAACATGCTTCGCATTTTGAATGGAATTCTAAAATCAACTTGATATACCACATTATTATTCTCTAATTGCTAATTCACCATAACCAGTTTTAGCAATGTTTAAATTAACCATTTTAGAGAATAATAAATGCTATTAATTATTTGAGTTAATTACTACATCAACAATAGGATTTGATCCTGCTTGCATTATTAACCTTTAAAATAATTAAGAATTATTGATCTTATTAGGTGAAAACCTTAACATTAATATTGGTGATGAAATCATATTATAAAATTTAGGAAATTCTCGTTATTTCATTTTTTAAATTATTCTTAAATTAAAAATTCTCAAATCAATCAAATCTCTATCTCTCATCTCTATTGCGAAACTGCCATATAATAATTTATCTTAAAGTAATTGCAATCGCCTCTTCATCATTTCCTCCACAAATAGAGTATAATTTACCTCTTCATAAACTCAATCCTAATGGTGATAATTCAATTTATTTAAAATAAATTTAATATTATGGAAATCGAAAGCTAAATAANAAGTTAATTTCTCTAAATTAGTTAGAATCACATGATGTACAATTATTTGATGTGTTTAAACATGTCATACAATTTGAATTATTCTAAACAAACCTATAACCCAACTTCATAGTATCCTTATTGACATTTACAATTTGTTTCTATTTTTCTTGTTTATGGACATGATAAACATATGTAAGATTATTGTATGCAATTTAAAAACTAAATATCACATTTTTAACATGATATTGATTACCCATCATCAAAATATCCAAATCACGTTTAATGTCTAATTATAAAAGACTTGATTTGATGTATTAACATCTATAAATGAAATATAGGAAGTGGCATCTTAAGATTACAACTTAAACATGAATAATTACATTTTTCACAAAGTTTCAACTCCATTATCATAATATCCAATATTACAATTACAAGAATAATTGATAAATATCTTAAGCTGTTACAATTAACTATAGAAACCTTTTAGTGTATAAACAGGAACTCATATTAAGTTCTCTAAGGGAAGAGGAATCGCAGGAGAGACATTAGTTTAATCCTTACCATAACAAGATTTGCATTTCAAATGACAATCTCTAATTTATATTAAATCTAGTATAATAACCAGATGACAAACCCATGATGATAAATCCAAAGAAGGGGGAGGGGGGGGGATTCATTGTTTTTCTTTCTATTTAATTTTTAAAAAAGTATTAAAAATAATAGAATTTAAATTGTATTTTATGATTGAATACAGAATTTCGATATTTCTTCACTTTCAAAAAAAATTAACTTAGATATTGTTTATATGTATCACACGATAAACAGTTTGAAGAAAGAGGACCATAACCTGTTTTACAAGTTTGATCACATTCTTGGCATTCTAATGTAAATCCATCATCAACAGTATTTTATGCACTACATATGCATTCAATGAAACTACCTGATTAAATAGATGTCCTACTTGAAGGACATTTTAAACATGCATCCTTTTCATACAGTTTGCACATGTTCCACATGAATTATGACACCCTAGTAAAATCCCCATAATTATCTTCGCAATTACAATTAAAATTGTCAGAAACCTCTCAATGTTAATAAGGTATGCAGGTTAAACAATATTGATTATCACAGCTTGAAACATGCTTCGCATTTTGAATGGAATTCTAAAATCAACTTGATATACCACATTATTATTCTCTAATTGCTAATTCACCATAACCAGTTTTAGCAATGTTTAAATTAACCATTTTAGAGAATAATAAATGCTATTAATTATTTGAGTTAATTACTACATCAACAATAGGATTTGATCCTGCTTGCATTATTAACCTTTAAAATAATTAAGAATTATTGATCTTATTAGGTGAAAACCTTAACATTAATATTGGTGATGAAATCATATTATAAAATTTAGGAAATTCTCGTTATTTCATTTTTTAAATTATTCTTAAATTAAAAATTCTCAAATCAATCAAATCTCTATCTCTCATCTCTATTGCGAAACTGCCATATAATAATTTATCTTAAAGTAATTGCAATCGCCTCTTCATCATTTCCTCCACAAATAGAGTATAATTTACCTCTTCATAAACTCAATCCTAATGGTGATAATTCAATTTATTTAAAATAAATTTAATATTATGGAAATCGAAAGCTAAATAATATTATTTGGAGTTATTGAATTGCAGTCAAATGAATACAACTCTTAGCTTGCTTAATTCCTAAACTTAATTAACTTTCTATAAGAAACAAATTTTTTCATACCAAAGTATACATTACCTATTAATACAACAGTGAAATTTAAGAGAGAATATTTAAATTTTATCCTTACTTATTCTTACTCTGAATTTACTATAAAAACTCATTCAGGAAAACTACCACAAATTAATATAAAGGCCAGACCTTCGTATTTTATTTATGAAACTGCAAAAATTGGTGTTTCTGTCGGTAGTTTGGAAGAATTAAATTCAACAGTAACACCTAAATACTAGGTGGAGATTTATGATATTGATTTAAATCCTAGATAATCATCTTCATAAAAATTAAATACTTCGTATGAATCTGATTCCTGTTAAATGATCTATACCATTTTTTAAAAATACCCTCTAAGCCCAAATTCAAATTATACAATTTAAGTCACGGCAACTAAATTTGAATCCTTATGAAAGTTAATAATAAAATTTCACTATCGATATATTACATTTCAATTCATTAGAAAGTATTCCATATCTCCCTTTTCAACTTAAGAATGGATGGTAACTGCATCAAAATTTCAATAAACTCCTAAATTTACTTTAGTAATTATTTATCTAGATGATGAATTCCCTATTTAGGAACTAGAATTCAATAAGGGTTATTTGATGAGAAAAATAAATAATTATGAATAATTAAATTTTACATTTCTGATTCCTTTTGAAAACAAATTTTAGTTATTAGAACTATCAATTGCGAATATTTATAATTATGAGATTATAGAAATATTGCATCCAAAATATCACTCACATTAATTCAAGATATTTAATTACATTAAAGCATTAAAATTTGGTAATAATATCAATCTTAAATTTACAGCATAATATACATATAATATATTAAATAATTCAATATTTCTGAACCTATTGTGCAATATTATGCCAAGTCTGTAAAATATTAAATTATAAATGAATTACCCTCCTAAATGTTGAAAAAATATATTATGAAGTCAGCAGTAATAAATTGTATTCAATATGAATCCATTTACTTTTAAACAAATCCTTTAAGATTTATTTATGATTTGAAATCTATCTAAACACAATTGAATGACTAAACTATATAAATATACCAGAGAACTACTATCTAATAAAATTGAAAAATGCCTAACATAATAGATATTTATAATATGAAAATATTTCATCTATATATGGCACAAAATTTGGATCCTATCAATTTTTCTAGAATTCCACCGAATTGTTATCAGAATATGAAATTATGTGCGCAGTGAGAGCAATCTCTGGTATGGTTTCAGATTGTAATTTGAATGAATTACCAAGTTAAGATACTATTGAATTAATTTGTGAATGTGATTAATTTGGTGATATTTTCTTGGGGATTAAATGGTAGCCAAGATCATTAATGTATATCTTATTTTAATTTTGCTTTCGCATCTAAGGATGTTAATTTTAAGAATTGGGACTGGCTTATTATCAGTAATATTTATAGCTATTTATATCTTTTATTTAAAAACAAGATTATAAAAATGAGTAAGATAGATCTAACACTTAGTTAGTTTTGTACTATTATTTGTTATTTCTATAATTTAAGGGTATCAAGTTTAATAGTTTATTGAAAGTATTTCAAATTCTCTTATCAGTACTTTAATATTAAAATTTATGGAATCTGCTGAGCTCGAGCAAGATATTTTTCTCTTACTTTCATTCTAATTAAAACAATTATAAAAATTGGATGCAGATAATTTTAGAAAGATTACATTCTGGATTCCTTAAATTATTACATTATTCTCATTTATTATCTATTTTACTTCAATATATTTAAAGATTCGTTCAACACCCAAATTTGTAATTCTCAAAAGTGACAACTCAAGATATTTTAAAAAAAATTACAAATAAAATTTAATCATATATTTTGAAAAAATTTTAAGTTAGCCAAAAAAGTGAAATAAAGCTAGGTAATTTTTAGAAATTTAATTAATAGCTTTTTCGTTTTAGTAAATGTCTATATTTAAGCATTTTTGTAAAAATAACTCTTATCATGATTAGCAAGTATTATTCATTTTGTTAATAATANTTCAATAAGGGTTATTTGATGAGAAAAATAAATAATTATGAATAATTAAATTTTACATTTCTGATTCCTTTTGAAAACAAATTTTAGTTATTAGAACTATCAATTGCGAATATTTATAATTATGAGATTATAGAAATATTGCATCCAAAATATCACTCACATTAATTCAAGATATTTAATTACATTAAAGCATTAAAATTTGGTAATAATATCAATCTTAAATTTACAGCATAATATACATATAATATATTAAATAATTCAATATTTCTGAACCTATTGTGCAATATTATGCCAAGTCTGTAAAATATTAAATTATAAATGAATTACCCTCCTAAATGTTGAAAAAATATATTATGAAGTCAGCAGTAATAAATTGTATTCAATATGAATCCATTTACTTTTAAACAAATCCTTTAAGATTTATTTATGATTTGAAATCTATCTAAACACAATTGAATGACTAAACTATATAAATATACCAGAGAACTACTATCTAATAAAATTGAAAAATGCCTAACATAATAGATATTTATAATATGAAAATATTTCATCTATATATGGCACAAAATTTGGATCCTATCAATTTTTCTAGAATTCCACCGAATTGTTATCAGAATATGAAATTATGTGCGCAGTGAGAGCAATCTCTGGTATGGTTTCAGATTGTAATTTGAATGAATTACCAAGTTAAGATACTATTGAATTAATTTGTGAATGTGATTAATTTGGTGATATTTTCTTGGGGATTAAATGGTAGCCAAGATCATTAATGTATATCTTATTTTAATTTTGCTTTCGCATCTAAGGATGTTAATTTTAAGAATTGGGACTGGCTTATTATCAGTAATATTTATAGCTATTTATATCTTTTATTTAAAAACAAGATTATAAAAATGAGTAAGATAGATCTAACACTTAGTTAGTTTTGTACTATTATTTGTTATTTCTATAATTTAAGGGTATCAAGTTTAATAGTTTATTGAAAGTATTTCAAATTCTCTTATCAGTACTTTAATATTAAAATTTATGGAATCTGCTGAGCTCGAGCAAGATATTTTTCTCTTACTTTCATTCTAATTAAAACAATTATAAAAATTGGATGCAGATAATTTTAGAAAGATTACATTCTGGATTCCTTAAATTATTACATTATTCTCATTTATTATCTATTTTACTTCAATATATTTAAAGATTCGTTCAACACCCAAATTTGTAATTCTCAAAAGTGACAACTCAAGATATTTTAAAAAAAATTACAAATAAAATTTAATCATATATTTTGAAAAAATTTTAAGTTAGCCAAAAAAGTGAAATAAAGCTAGGTAATTTTTAGAAATTTAATTAATAGCTTTTTCGTTTTAGTAAATGTCTATATTTAAGCATTTTTGTAAAAATAACTCTTATCATGATTAGCAAGTATTATTCATTTTGTTAATAATACACTTGGGTGGATATTTTATTAGAAAATCAATAATTCCAATTTGATTTTTATAATATAAATATAAAATAATACTAATTATTATTCTGATATTTTCAAAATATAGTCTTCTCTCTTATAAGGTCTCAAATTATTTAGACCTTCTATCTTAAACTAAGGTAATGTATCCAAAAATTTTATTCAAATTTCCTGATAATTATTTTGATTAGATAAATAAGGTTGTCAGCTATTATGAATTTCTCTATTGAAAATTTACGAATTTATATACTCTTTGGATAATTTCTTCGAATGATGCCGATTCTGTTATAATTAATAATGATTGTCAAATAAATTTTAAAGCCGTTTTAATTTCAAAAAAACATCTCAGTTAATTAAGCCAGAATCACAGACAACAATACCTCAGCTGACTTCATTAAATATAATTTATAGAATTTGAGAATATACACATACTATAAACAATTCTTGGAACAACTATTTTGTTTCCTCCAATATCTGTTATCATTAGAAATTTTTATAATAGACTATTTGCTCAAATCGAAAATAAATCATACTACACCATTGAAATTTTCCATAAATACATCCTTTTTTTAATTTTTTTTTCACACTTGGCTGCAAATAATGGAAGATTGTTAAAGTATAATTTTGTAAACAAATTGTGTAATTATTAAAATGAAGTCATGTTAGTTATATCTTGCTTTATGCTCTTTCTAACCTTTTATGTCTTGATTCGATTTATAATGTGAAACATTTTATTTTTATTTACAAAATTATGTTTGTCCAATATTGTGTTCTACTCATATTACTTGTAAAACCTATTCAAATGCAAAAAGTTTTGGAATTTTCTTCATTCACAGACGATACTTTCACAGATTTTGATGGTATTTTAATAAAAGAAATGAGGTTGGAATTTAGTTGTTGTTTAGTAATAAGGATAAGGCATTGATAAGCCTCCTTCATCCACTTAAAGTTATTTTGGGTTTAATTCAATATTTTGGGATCGATCTAATAATATTTTTAAACCATTTGGAACTAGTATGCCAAATCAAGGAATGATTAAATATCATAATAATCTTAAGCCTCATAAAGCTTTGATTATTAGTTTTCAAATTTTCATGTACTTTATTAATTAAAGTAGATACAATGATTAGTCATACCCAACTGGAGATTGCCAAGTGTATTTTAATGTTGATGGGTTAAATTAATATCATATCTATACTATATTTAATACAAAAAAAAGGGTAGCAATATAGAATACAGAAGTGACGGTGACTCATAGTGCTTCGTCTGTATTTATATAATTTGCTGGTAGAATAAATGATTCTAACGTAAGAAATTTAACTTAAAATTAGAAAGTAACCTATGGAATTAGGGATTTTTATTTATACTCAATACCATGTCCAAATAATTGTTAGCATTGTTCAAGAAAGGATAAATCAGAGTCTGAATGCATAGAGTGGTCACTTTCTTTTGAATCTTTGTTAGAAATTGATAGAAATTTATTTAATAATGATGGTTGGTCAGTTATCTAGCAATCTCCAAGCATGTAAATTCACAAGTCAACTGATTGTTAGAGTGAAAGTAATATTAATTGATTATCTAGATGTAAATTCGATGCAGATTCTTGGGTATCTGACAATGGGGGACAAAATCAAAAGAACAATTATCTTAGAGCCTCATTACAGAATTAAAATATTATATTTACACCTTGTACTTGAATAAGCTGTTGCCCCTTCAACATATTGGCAAGGATATCTAAATGGTAAGAGCGAGTTTCATTTTGGATACTAAACCTATCTAACTACACCTGAAATTTGTTCCAAATTGATCGATAAGACTAGAGGGGATTTGATTTCATAGGTTGAATTTGAAGCTTTTCATTAAAAAACTCTATTTGAGTTTTAAACATCAGCAAATTAATAAATTTCAGGGTGGAGCACTAAATGGGGTATTCGAAACTTTTAAGTTTTTATTAAAAAATGCCATTCTTCTTGTGAAAATTCCTGCTTTGGTCCTAAAGAGACTTAATGTCAAAAAGGTTATTATTCTAAATTTATTTTATTTGCCAATAATCTGAAATTGACTACTTTCAGTGAAGATGAGGATTGGTAGGTTGTGACTCCATTTCAATATACTTAACCAAATGAATGTAATAATTAGGCTCTACTTGGTGGCTATAATAATTTAAAAGGAAAACATTTACTTTAAAGTGTATATGATTTAAAGTCTCATGTTAAAATAGGTTTATCATTTAAAATATACTACATTGATTAATTCAATGACGACATTTTGCATGTAGTTGTAGATGGCATTATTGTATACCAAAATCAAATACCATCTACAGTTGATCCAAAAAAGGATATGCCATATTGTGGGGTGTATGCTTAAATTGATTAAGTGATGAAGATCAGTATTACAACCGTTCTTCATACAAGGTCTCAAGTAATTATCTAGATTTACACAAACTAACCAGATACTTCAACAGGTAAATTTGAATAAATAATTTAAGGCTATTGGGGAATAAGAGAATTCATATTGACTGTTAATGGATTTCCTTACTTGAAAAATTTAAATGCAGTAAAATTTTCTAATACAGAAATAACTCCTTGGAAAATTATCTTACAAAATTCTCCAATATGGTAGTGTGGTTCTTAATAAATTATTGGAGGATCGACATCAACTGCATTAGATAAAGATTCATTTTTGCAAAAATAATTTCTAAATCTACCTCCGCATATCCAATTAAGAATAAGTTTTTCAATTGTGACAATTTAAACTTCTCTCAGGAAGACCTTATTTATTTTAACACAAACGATTAATGATGAATAAAAATAGGAATATCTTGATATTTAGGATAAAAAATTCTGTGGAGGCACTGAATATACTCATAATTTTAAATTTGATTATATTTTGGATAATTAAGATGAGAGCATCTTTATAGTATTTAAAATAGAATAATTGAATGCTGGAGAATATTGGGGAATAAGAGATTTCTCATTATCTTATAATAATGTAAAAACACCTTGATTAATTTATAGTTTTTTTTGTTAATTTATATTAATTTCTCTATATAATTTAAAAAATACAGCTTCACCTAAAAAGTATCCTATAGGATTCCAATTTGTAGTATTTTTTTGGAGTGACAACTGCAGCACCATAATAACTGATCTTGGAATTCCTCCAGTATATGTAAGACTATAAAAAAAAGGATTGTGATTAAGGTAAGGTCTTAAACTCTGTTACATTTATCTGAAGAATTTCTGTAAATTTTATATCTTTTACCATTTCAAATAAGGAAATATTAGCATTCGCCAGATTAAGAATTAAAAGATTCACAAGTAAGATCAGCAAAAGAATTGGCAAGAGTACTAGTTGCAGAAGTTCATTTAAATCTTCTTTATGCTAATAGACATGCAATCTTATCCTTAATTACAGCAGCAAAATTGTTAATCAATAGTTATTTTTCTGTGGCAGTAGTTCCTGAAGTGGCTTCAATTCATATGCAATTTCATCAATACATTAAGAGTAACTTCCAACTTTGGGTTCTAGATTTATCGCATGTGCTTTTGTGTGATAATTGATGCCGTCATCAATACAAGAGTTAACCATATCCAAAGTTACTATTAGTACCAACAGTATTGTCTTTGCAAATGTTAACTCCCAATAGTGCTCGGTTTGTATTAACGATTTGAATTTAATTACTGATAAATTTAGCACAGATTTTATTTGAAATTTAAGGATGAGTCTGTTGTTATGCAAATTCCAGATGTACCATTCACACATTCTCTAACAAGATTAGATTCAAATACATTTCCCATCAGCTTCTTCAACAAGTGGTTGCAGAACATTTTTAAATTAAAGTGCTTTTACTGTAATATTTCTTTTTAAAGGTCGTATAACTTGGATTCGAGGGAACTGGATGAGTTAAGCCAAAAATATCTTGCCATTTTTAGTTTCTAAAAATGGATTTATAAGCACAGAGAAATTTTAATTGCATCTCTATAAGCAGTTTAATTTTTTAGCAGCTCAAAAAGTACAGCTTTTTATGTAACATGCACTTATTAAGAATTGCAGATGGGTCTGGATAATTGTTTTTAATATTGTTAATATTATTAACCTAATTTGATTGAATCAGTAGGAACAATCGATTCAATTTTATTGATCTCTTTTGTGTAACTTGATGCTTACGCATAGGATCCTCTCTAACTCAGCAATTCTGATTAATTGAACATATGGAATTCTTTATGATTATGGCATAAGACACTTCATCAGTTAGGTATTTGATTCACATGTCTTTGTCTCCACTATCAATCATTGATCAATACAAGATATAATATGTAATTTAACAATATTTTGAGCTTGTAGAACTCATTACATATGCATAGGTTCCCATTGCCCATTAGCAATTCCAGTAGCACCTTCTAACCAAATAAACTATTGGTCGTTTCTCAAAAGTAGCTAGAATTGATGACAACTCTATCAACACCAATCTTGTGTACCTGATAGTTATTTACCATATCTTGGTCATCATTTCAGCCTTTGTATTTTGATATGCAAGATTTACTTTAACTTATGATTAAGAACTTTTTACATTTACCAAAGAAATTATTAGGAGACCCCTATTCTTAAAATAAAGTATTAAGGTCATTTGATTATATTAATTTCATAAGATTTTTCACATATTTCAATAATGGAATACTAAATTACTTTTTTTATCCTATTTCAATTAAACTAAGTAATATTCTCATGAATCTTAACATGATTTCAAATCAAGATATTTAATAAAATGGATAATAATCCCAAGGGTCTCCTATGACTCAATATCTTTTCTTGAGACAATATCCTAAACAAGAAGTTTAATTTATTATATTAGTAACTCCCATTCATCAAAGTTATACATTTAACTTCTTATGTTGCAAATCATAAGAGAACAAACTAGTTTGAATACTAGACATATTATTCACACAAAAAGAACTAATGGGAGTATAAGAAGAGATTCAACTATTTAAACTTTGAAGCTTTAGTGACATTATACAAAATTGCAGTGCCAAATTCGCTTTGATAAACTTAGAGACTTAATATGTAGATGATTCAAACAGAGAGCGCATAATTTTTTAAGTAAATAAGTTGCAATATTTGAATGATTTTATCTTTTCAAAAATTATATAATTGTCCCTATTTTTCAAAAAAAGAGCGATTCTCAGTATTTGATAGGAAGAATTCATTTGTAATTGAACTTTAAGTGGTAGGGAAATCCTCCAAAAACTATGTAAATAATTAAAATGTATCCTTGACAAAATTTAAAACAATTCATCAACCTAAAGAAAATATACATATTTATAATCTAGGAATATATAGAGGAATGTGATGAAGGATTAGAAAGAATGTTTTAATTAAAAATACTGAAGTTAAGATTTGAATAGGCCATAATATTAATAAATAAGGACATAAATAATTAATTTATGATATTTTAAATAAATTACAATTGAAAATTAATATTAAAAAGTTTAAAATAATTATTAATAATTATATTCAATATAAGAAACCAGAATTTAAGTATTTTTTGTTTTTCCCTTCATAAAGAATAATTTTATTAAATCTTTATCCAATGATGTTTTGATTCTTATTATCTTAAGATTAAAATAATATTTTCAGGGATCTAAAAATATCAAATAATTTACTAGTCTATGACAGTAGAGGGAGGAAGGTTATGACTCTTATTTGAAGATTTCATGGACTTGTTGAGAGAAAAATATTTGTTCATTTTATCTTCCTTTCTTATGCAGCTCTGCTATTTTACCTTCTATTTGTTGAATACTTTCCCTAATGGTTCTTAGTAGATAGAAGAAGGAATTCAACTTACTATTATTAAACATTAAAGATTACTAAACCAAAATTAGATTTTACTCAATATTTAAATATATTTATCGAAATATAGGGGATTTTATCATTTAAGTTTATGTCACAGTATTTTTAAATTAAATATTAAACAAACTCCTCGTTAAATATAGCAGTAATAGCTGATTGATTATTTAATTCATGAAGTGCTTTTATTAGAATATCAATTTAGGTATCCTTAATGCTGAATAAATTGGAATATAGATTCTTATATAAAAATATCAAATTCAGATTTTCATTCTCATCCGTAAATGATTTCCATAAATTTCTTTATCTTTCTTTCGCTTTATCATTTATTAGGATGTTATTTAAATAGAATGTTCTAAATTATAATCTTAAAGAAATTTTTGAAAAAAATCTTAAAAAATTTAATTTACTTTAACAAATACTAATAAAATCTAATTAGCTAGTAAGAATTGATTGTTTATCCAGATTTAAGATTAAGGAATATGACTAGTAAGACACACCAGTTAAAAAAAACATAATAATTATCAGCAAGACGTATAATATAAACTTTGATTATAGTATTGTAAAAAGAGCCAACATTAGTATAATCAATAAAATTACTGACTATTAAATGTGATAGAAAATTGGTTTAGCCAGCAAAATATAGAGTTTTTCACTTTTACAATTTCATTACAAAGTCAACAGTATATGAAATTAATTTAAATAAAAAAAAGAAAATATGCCTTTTTCTAAACTTTAAATTAAAAATAAAGAATAAATTAAAGTATTATATAAATTAATTTATAATGGCAATCGAAAGTGAAGTACTGTATGCTTTATATGAATTGTATAAAAGGAGTTTAATTTCATATGAATAGAAAGGCATGATCAAAGGTAATTTAAAAAATTAGAAGGTTGAGATATGTTAATAAGCAAAGATTTTATGTTGTTATCATACATTAGGGAATGTGATAGTTAGTTTAGTTTATAGGATAAGATTTTGGAATTGTTAAGAGGTTAAGTCATTAGTTTAAATTTTTAGAATAGGAATCACCTCTTTATATGACAACGATAAGCCCAGTGAAAAGAATTTCGCTTTCTTAAATTAGTAGATAGAGATTCACAAGCCAAATTTAAAATTATAATAAAAATGATACATCCAAACGATAAAGATCAAATTCTCTTGTAACGATTTGAAATAAACAATATTTCTTTAGTTTTGATAATAATTATATATATATAATTATAATAAAACTTTATTATTAACTCAGGAAAGGCTATATGGGAATTTGTGGAACTTCATCACTAAAATCACATCCTAGTGACCATGTAATTGAAAAAAATAAGGAGAAGAAAGGACTCTAAACCTCATAATCTAAAACTGTTAAATTATTTGACTATAATCAAAATAAGACAGTTAGTGTACCAGTTCTGATTCCAGCCACTCAAAACAATTTATACTTTAAAAGATAGGCATAAAGTCCTAGTAATAATCATGAGACTGTCTAATAACTCACATAATCCTGAACACTTAAATTAAATAGTCATGATATATTAATATACATAATACTATTATTTACTTCAAGAAATTAGAATCTGGATATATAACTTTTAATATGAATATTGTTCACTTAGTTAATTTATTACTTCTTATAATATCGTAGAATTTGGTTAGTTCTTCTTCTTATACTTTTCTGAACTCTCTTGCAATCTAAAGTTAAAATAAATAGTGATACAAGTCCTTAAGTATTCATGCAGTTCATTACTAATTCTTCTGATTCTTCAATTGATGTCATTAGCCAATGATAATCATCGGACGTGGGTTTAATTTTATCTTATTCTAGATCATATTTGATTTCTCTCCAAATTTCTCCTATTTTAAAATGAGGATATAGTTGTATTACTTCTACCATCTATTTCTCATTTGGTAGCAATTCATTCTTATCAAATCCTGTTCTATACAATATAGCAAATACAATTGCTCTTAAATCATATTCCGCTGATTTTTCAGTTATTCTTCTTACTAAATATGCTTCACTGCCCACATCTGATTCCAAATCCTCCTGTTGAATCCGAAGAGATTTCATATGTTTTGTTTTATGATCTCCCTATTGATTGGGTGTTCTAAGACTTGGGTCATTTTGTGGATTTAATGGTCTGAGTTTGTTAGTGACAATACCATCAGAATACTTAACTCCAAATCTCTAATCCTCAGCGACATAAATCTTGACCAGTAACTATGTACTATTGATCATTGTTTTTGGGGAATTCCAATCACAAAAGTATGGAATTGCCTTAGGATTTTCCATTAAATAACTTAAACATGATAGAGTAAGTTTCTTATGCATATCATCACAGGTTTCCAAGAATTCCAGTAATACGTAGAGTCCTTCAGAATCCAAAAAGATTGCTTCAGATTTTCTATTGCCTAGGATAGTGTTCCACAAACAATCGAGAACACTGACTGCATAGAGAGCATATCTTGCACTTGTACCTAAATTAGGATTTTTTAATGCATTAACCATTAATTCAACAGCACCCTTTTATCTAAATAATTTCTTGTTTTTATTGCACTCTTTACACAAATTGGAAATAATGGAGAAACACAATTCCTTAATTTTTAATGGATTATCATTGTCATTTTCATTTTACAAGAATTCAATAAGATTATCCATCACACCTTCGTCACAAATTTTGATTTTGTAATTCTATTCAAATTCTGAAGCATTATTGAAGGCCTTTAAACATCTTTCCTTGTGATCCAATTCTTGAGTGTTAGTGAGAAACTTGGTTAGACAAAATAGACCATTCTTTTCATAAAAACTAGTTGAATAATATTTTCATTTATTACTCATCTTTTAAATATACAATTGCATTTCCTAATATTCCTAAACAATGTAATTATATTTCTTTTTTCTATGGAGGAGACCATCTATTAACAGCATAACTATTCGCAAGAGGATCTATGTATAATAATAGAGTGATAATGAAAGGAGATTCCTTAACGGCTTCCAAAACAGCTTAGTTGCCTGATTAGACGGCTGTCAAAATTCCACTCCAAATCAATTTCTTAAATTCTAAATCTTCGCTAGTGGTACCAAAGAATGCTTTTAATTAATTAGTTCTGATTGGTTCATTATAGAATGTGACCTCATCTATTGTGGCATAGAATAGTAAGACCTCTAAGAAATTGGTCTATGATTAAATTGTATGAGCTTGAGGCTTATCAACAAAATATTATAAAGCCTTAAATTATTAGATTTCTAATTTACCTTCTCATCTCTCATTAGATAATTTAATAGGATTAAGATTTCATTTCTTAAACATTTGTCTTCTAACTTATATCCCTACTTCATAATATTTTCGAATAGTTTCTTCAATCCTGAAATGATGTCCTCCACAGCAAATAATTTAATTGATGCAACTCCAACAGCCTAGCAATTAAAAAATCCTTCTTACTTCAATTGTGTTCCAAATAATCTCAAAGCATGATTTGACAATATAAGATCTAAAATCTTCGCATTCAAATATCACATACACAATATCCTTGAGGATACCAAAATTTGAAAATTTAGCTGCTAAATCTCTATATAGAATGCAACTTGAAATCAATTCAAGTAAAGGTAACAAATATTCGTACTGTTTTGAGTAATGTTGCATGGTAAAGATGATATTCTCAATCAAATTGGATTGGTTCAATGCTCTTAAGTTCTAATAGTATTGAGTTATATAGTTACTCTTGTTCCATTCTTCAAGAGATGTTGTAAGGGTGACAATTCAGTTTGTTTCTTTTATTGTTCAAACGAGGCTTCTTCCTTCATTATTTCACTAATTCCTTCTTCTGCAAAACATTTTAAAAATTTAATAACGGGCATTCGCAATTCAGGTTATTGACTACCTGATTCCTATTGTGGACTAAAGAGTATAGGTTTTAAAGTATCTAGGAATTCACTTAATTTTGGGACAAATTTCAATTAATCAGATGTTCTTAATTTGATGAATGGGACAGAGGCAGTTTCGCAAATTTTTTATATGGCTGGTTACATTAATGCATTGTTTTCAGCAATAGATAATCTCAATATCTCAATCAATTCTTGAATCTCTTCCAATAAGAACCCTCCTGATCTTTGTCTACAGAATCTTACAATAGCTTCACTCTTTCGATCAGTTAATTGTTCAGTGTAAGGGGAATGAAACATCTCCAGAACTTAATGAATGGAGAGGTTCTCTTTTTAAGGTGGTGACACTTCCTTTAATGATCTACTGAAACCAAGTTTAGTATTGTGTGTACTCATTGGAAAATATTATATTTATAATTATTTTAATTATACACATTCAATTCATAATTTTATAGAATTGATCTCTTTTTCAATTAAAACTTGATCTCTATGTCTGTATAAATAATAATTCTAAATTATGTTTAATGTATAATGAGAAAATGCAAGTGAATTGAATTAAATTTAAAAATTAAACTTAAATTAAAGAAATTAAAAAAAATGCGGAAAATTTAGCAGGATGAAAATGATGATATGTTTGTGATCTCAAAGAACCAAAAAAAGAAATCCACCAAGAAAGAGACTAAAAAATCAGGTAAACTTAAGAGATTAGATGATGAGTATCAACCTGAACAAGAGAAGGAATCATCAGAATCTGAATTACAACCAAGCTCTGATGATGACAAATTTAATAAGAAAAAACCTCGTTAATCTAAATCCATTACTGTTAAAAAGGGTAATACAAAAAGCAAAAAAAAGGGGAAATAAAATGAGTAAGTTGAAGAAGAAGACAACAACAATCACGAACCGGTTGAATAACCATTAATAGCCAAAGATGCTGAAGAATTCTTTAAGACAGCAGAACTTTTGTTGCCGTCCTTTGTACAACCTGAATTCATTAGAGATGCAGAAGGGAGAAGACCAATTGATCCTAATTATGATCCATCCACATTAGACATTCCAATTGCCTAATATTAAAAATTGTCACCTATGTTCAGACAATATTGGAACGCCAAAAAGGCACATTACGATTCTTTAGTATTTTTCAGATGCGGCAGATGGATCAATGTAATGTATAATGATGCAATCATCATTGCAAGAATGTTCAATCGTTACTTAGGCTTTTGGGGAAGGGATCGACCTTGTTTGACTGTGTATGATAGTCAATTACCCATATATCAAAGAACATTATTAGAAAAGGGACATAAAATTATGTTGGTTGAATAATTAGAAAAGGCAGATGTGGCAAACAAAGAAGAAGGAGAAGTAGTCAAAAGAGAAATTACTTAATTAATTAGCAGAGGCACCTTGCAAGATTTAAGTGACATGGATTCATACGAATCTAGAAATCTCTTAGTTTTAGTTTGTTCTAGTGCTCCTGTCAATCTCAAAGGGCATAAATACATTTATGGTATCTCCATTGTAGATTGCACAACTAATAATTTTTATCTTGATCAATTCTTTGATGATGAACAATCGAATCAATTGAGATCTATTATTTATAAAACAAAGCCTCTAGAAGTGATCCTATCTAAGGCAACTCCAGAAATTGAAAAGATGATGAAGTAAAACAAACTATGATTAATTAATAGGACTATCTGCAATCCAATCATTATATCTTCCAAGAAAGAATTTAAAGACTGCGAATATATTTTCGAATAACTTAAAGTTGAATATTTAGAGAAGAAGAAGACTCAAGACAAAAAGATTAAACAGTCAACAAATAGTAGTTTTGAGGGCATCATTCTACCTTCTGACAAAATTGAACCAGAACATCATATTGAAACCAACATCAATCAAGGTCTTTACAAAGGTCAACCAGATGATATCATACTGGAAGAGAGTCACTAAGATGGAGACTATGTTTTGAGTGATGAGTACCCTTCCTTATTAGTAGAATTGGAGAAACAGTATTATTTTGAAAAGAAACTTGCTTAAGATGAAGATGAATCTACTTACTATTCTTATTATTTTACACTTCAATCCTTTTATATCAAATTGTGCTACATGAGATAATTGCTAATCCACACATCTGTTTATAGAAGAGGAAAGTTCTAGTTCCTCGATTCAAACTTCAATCAAAAATTAAATTTATATCTCGATTCTCAAGCCCTTGAAAGTTTGGAGATTTTTGATGTTAATCTTCAAACTAAGGTTTCATCTAAGGGAAGTCTTTTCGAATACTTAAATAAATGTGTCACTCCTTTTGGAAAAAGATTATTGACTAAATGGGTTTAGAGTCCTCTTTTAAATCAAAAGCATATCAGGGAAAGGCAGGATTGCATCAGAGATCTTATGGATTTTATTGAGCCCTGCGATGAATTTCAAAGAAGAATAAGATCAATTCCAGATCTGGAGAGAAACATAATTAGATGTTTTAATACCATCCATTCACATAAACTCAAGGCTGTTCCTATTTCTGGAGGAGAAAGTTTTGGAAAGGTTAAATTAAAAGAAATTACTCAAGTGATTAAACATATCAAAGCCGCTTCAGAAACATTCAAAGTCTTTGAAAATTATTTACATAACTTCAAATCAAATAAGCTTAAGAAAATCTTAAGTTATAAAGAAAATATAACCATACTGAATACTGCACTAAAGGAGTTGGAAAAATGCATTCAGATCCAAGATGGAGAACCCTAACCAGTCAAGGGAGTCTCTCCAGAATATGATCAAGCATTTGATAAGATGACTGATATAATAGATTCCTTGGAATAAGAATTGAAGAAATGGCAAACTAAGCTTAGGTGTCCTCAAATTTCATATCATCATGGGAAAATTCGATACTAAATTGAAATTCCAGATTAATGTCTGGAATCCAATCAAAAACCTAAGGAATTAGTAATTACATCGAAGAAGAAAGGATTTCAAAGATTCCAAACAGATTTTATTGAATAATAGATTTTCCATTTAAAAGTTGTTGAAGATGAATTATCTCAAAAATTGATACCTTTTATCAATGACTACTTCACCAAGTTCTATTCTTATAGAAAAGAGTTCTTGCAACTTATTTCTTTACTCTCAGAAGCAGATTGCTTGTAAATATTATTATAAAATTAGGATTTCATTGGCTTTAGTGTCCAGACAATATAAATTTAATACATTTCCCCAAATCCTTGATGTTTCAGGAGATGAAGACGAAGATCAGGAATTTGTCCTTTAAGAAGCATTTCATCCATGTTTATTGTAAAATAGAGATATTGATTGGGTGCCTAACACAATAAAATTTGTAAATTCTGTTGATACTCTCTTATTAACAGGTCCTAATATGAGTGGAAAGTCTACTCTCCTCAGATTGATTGGGATCTAAATCATATTGGCTTAAATAGGATGTGCTGTACCTGCCAAGTCATTCAAATTAGTTCCTTTTGATCGTATATTTTGTCGATTGGGAGCATCTGATAGAATGTTAGAAGGAAAATCAACTTTCTTTATTGAACTTGAAGAGACAAAGACAATATTAGAACATTGCACTTATAGAAGCTTAGTGATAATGGATGAGTTAGGCAGAGGAACCTCAACATATGATGGAGTAGCTTTGGCCTCTGCAGTTCTGAGATATTTATCTTAAAAGATTAAACCTAAGACAGTATTCGCTACCCATTATCACATTCTACTGGATGAGTTTGCATTATGCAAGAACATTCAATAATGTGTGATGAAGCATTATCAGGAAATGGATAAAGTGGTCTTTGAATATAAACTAATAAATGGAGTAGCTGAGAAGAGTTTTGCCACTAATGTCGCTAAGATCGCAGGCATTCCAAATGAAGTCATTAAAAACGCTAAAAAGATGGAAGAGAAAATAACAAAAGAAGAATCAAAAATAAATAGAAATAGAGAAATCTTAAAAAAATTCAATTAAATTATTTAATAGGTGTTATGAGTCACCGAATGAAATCTTGAATTATTAATAAAAGTAACACTAATTTCTTATAAACGTAATATCTTTAATATACAATGTTTTTCATTTTTTATTCTTTTTAACAACTTAGGGATTGCCATCACTGTCAATGATAATTTCTGTATCCAAATCATCCTTCTTTGAATCCTTCTACTTAACAGCCTCCTCTCTATATGCTCCTACTTCTTCAATAATTGGTGTGTTGCTAATTTAATTTACAAAAATAAATACATTTCAGATGTTAATAACACATTCAAAATTTTATGTTATCTTTCAACAACTTCCTTTGGATCTCTCAGCAATCCAGAAGACAAGAGACAACCGTCTAAGATTTATTTGCTTGCTAAAGAGGCAATAACTCTGTTAGATTTTCTAACTCTATTTAAATTGACAATGATTGGATTTTATACATTGATTTCTAGAGTCAAGTTTTTTAAGTCATCCTAAAATATAGATATTAAATAATACAGTAGATTGTCCCATAGCATGCATGACTTATCTCATTCCAGAAGATATTGCTGAAACAATAATAGCAGGAGAAGTCTTTAATCTTTTAGAAATTTGAACTTATGAAATTATGGGATTTAATTCATTCTTTAACCATAAACAGAATGGTGTGATTTCATCATTAGGTATTGTTGTTTCAACATTAGTTTCCTCCTTTTTTTCATTTTCTTCAGTTGATTTTTAAGCAACCTTATCAACCTCAGCTTAATCACTTTCAATATTAACAAACTTTTTTGATGAATATTCATTTATTTATTTAAATACAACTTCGTCCATATGATTCATTGTCAAAATAACAGGAATTTCTGAATTAGAAAAAGGCTCCATATATGGTGATGTTAGAGCTTATTGTCTTGTTGGAGCAAGATAATAATAGATATTGTTGATGCCTTAAGGTAATTTAGAAATGTAATCATCCAAGGAAATGAAGTCTTCAGATTTGTTCGTTTAGAATCTCAATAATTTAGTCATAGAATTTCTATGTTCGTCATCCATAGCAACTCCTTCTTTAATGAAGTTCTAAAAGTCCTAATACCAAGCAAGGTAATTTGCAGGATCTCTGAGAGCTTCTGATTCAATTTCTTTGATAATTCTTTTGGCAACGACAGATTTGAGTTTAGCAATCAAGGCTGTATCTTGATAACCCTCTCTGGAAATATTTAAGGGGAGATCTTCGCAGTCCACAACTCCTTTGACAAATCTAAGGAAATGAGGTAGGAGTTCTCTACAGTTCTTCTTTATCAATATCTTCTTACAATAAAGACTGATATCGAATTCTTCCATTTACATACCGTATCTAGAGATGACAATTAAACAATTACTTCTCCATATGTGTTTATGGAATGTACAACAAGGCTTTGATTGATAGAGGAGCATCCGTAGAATAATGAAGTTTATATTTGTAAGCAAGTTTAGAATTCGAAATGTATTCATAGAATTTATTATAGTCTTCTGGAGTGATTTCATTCTTGTTTCTCACCCAAATGGCAGATACAATATTTTGTCTCTCTCCATTCACAACGATTGGATAATTGATGAAATTAGAATATCTCTAGATAGTCTTAAGCACTTCAGTCTTCTTACTGAAAATTGCCTAATCTGGTTTGAGATGGATGGTTATTTTAGTTCCTCTTCCTTGGAAATAATCCTTAGCTTCTGAAATTTCAAATGTTCCTGTTCCATCTGATACCCATACATAAGTCTTTTCTGATCTTTCACTTTTGCTCACTACTTCTACAGTGTCTCCTACAATAAATGAGGAATAAAATCCAACACCAAATTAACCAATGATCTTATCATTCATTTATGTTCCAACTTGCTCTAAGAATTACTTTGACCCACTTCTTGCAATTGTACCAAGATTGTCAATCATTTCTTATTTTGTCATACCTATACCAGAGTCCTTTTAAATAGTACATACTCATTTACTTCAATTGTGATTGTTCTCTTTTATTCATCTAATTCAATCTTTATCTCTAGATCTGATGGAACTTATTCACCCTTTTAAGTTGCCAAGAATCTTTGTTTTTCTAATGCATCTGAGGCATTGGAGAGCAATTCTCTTAAGAAAACATCCTTGTCAGTGTAAATGGATTTAGCAACGATGTCAAGTAATTTCTTGGTTTCTGCTTTGAATTCATGCTTTTCTTATTTTGCGGAGCAGAATCTGAAGACTAATCGATTGTTGATGCTAAATAACTTGGATTGTCTTAGTAGATAGTTAGAAGAGAGACGGATAAGTCCTTTTTTCATAAATTAAAATTATTTGTGGTAAAGTCATTTAACTATAAGAATATTAAATATTCATTCTTAAATTTTCTATTTAATTTCTTTTTCTTCTCGAAAACCATTCCACCAAATCTTTTTCGATAAATGAATAATTTTTTCTTGTCCTTCGATTAAACTATCTATTATGCCTAAAATCTTCCAGTAAAATACATCTCATCTTACTACCAAGCATTATTTTCATATTTGTGATACTCTAAATCATAAGAAGACAATTAAACCAGAACAATAGATCCCATATACAAGCAGAATTGTGGTTCATTATGAAAAAATTTGGAAATTATCTTTCTCTCCAACTAAAAGTGTAACTATTCATCCATCTTGTAAATGTATAAGAAATGACTCATTATTATCAACTTATTTTTGAAGAATTGCATATAAGCTACCTATTCAGTCTTTATATTTTAATACTTAACCCACATACAATTGAGTTTTTTAGAAGAACTACACTATTTTACACTTTTGCTGCAATTACATTATTATTCTCATTGAAGTAAGCTAAATAAGACTCCAAAGGTAAGGATTATCTTCGAATGATCTTGGTTTACGGTTAATTGAACTCCCAAAGTATTATCTTGTTAGATTGCCTAACTATAAGGGAATCTCCAGATAAATTTATTTACATGAAACTGCTATGTGAAATGAGTTTTAAGCTCTGTTAGAATGTCCAGATGGCTTTGTGACCTCTTTGCCAAATTGATACATTGAATTCGTATCGATCATCGACTTGCAAAAGGAAGAACTTACATCCATTCCCACCCAATTGTAACCTGTAATCATTCAGTGATAATATTTCTGGTTGAGGAGTCACTTTCAACAAAGAAGTTTTCAACCATTATTTCTACTAAATCAATTAATAGGTTAGTATTTCACCATTGCATAATAATAAGACAGTCTTCCCTGAATAGTCTGCAGCTAATAAGACCTATGATAATGGATATGTACCACATTTCCAAAATATTCACAAATATGTTGCTTATTGATAAAATTATCTTAAAAAAAGGACTAATTCATTTATAATATTAAATAATAGAATATGGGAAACATAATTGAAAACGAAGAATTTAAATCTAATCTCTAACAATTACTCTAAAACAAGAAATTTAAAAGAACCCTCAAAATTCTATATAAGGAAAAGTAAGGCCAATTATTAAGTGTGCAATCCTGTGAAATTATAGACCATTTTGATACAATTAGATAACGTTTGGATGATAAACACAGGACACTTTATGATTCTTTTGAACACAATTGCTATATAATTTTAGATTTAGAAGAAAGAAAAAGATGGTTCGATTAATGCAAAATATGTAGTACTAAGATGAAGTAGGAGTAAAATAAATTACATTGTCCTAATTGCAAATAAAATACTGAATCTAAACTTGCTTTCTGTCTCAGAGTCAGAATTGTTGATGTGAATTCTTAAGATACCTACGACGCAATAATATTTGAAGAAGCTTCACATTATTTAAGCCTAAATGGTAAAAAAATTTCTGTGAAAACATTCTCAGATTTGAGTCTTAATTCCCAAAATAATATTCTTAATGAAGCAAATGAAAAGAAATCAAACATCATACATTTGCTTTAGTTATAATTAATTTAAAAAACAGAAAATTTCAAAATTAAAAAAATTATGCCTTAGAAAACAGAATGATAGAGTCTAGACATGATAATAAATTATTTTACAACAATATTAAATGTTATAAAANAGAAGGTATTGTATTTTGATTTCCCAGGCTAATTGTGCTTACATATTCTCTTTAATAATTTAAGATTTTTGAATCACTTTTAAGGCAACCAAAAATCCTGTTTATGTATGTTTTGCAACAAACACTTCGCTGTATTGTCCATCTCCTAGTTTTTTTATGATAGTAAAATTCTTATATTTTTATTTTGGGTTCTCTGATTATTTGATTGGAGAACTTGCTTAACTAAGAGGAGTTGAAACTTATTTCTTATTGTTTAATAAACTCTATACTTTTGTATATTGTTCTCGAACATCGGACATTAAGGGAATGAGAGGGATTACAGGAGGGATATCTGATTAAAAGGATAATTATTCCACTTTTTTCGGAAATAAGTATTCCTATTTAGATTTCAATGTAGGTTAAATGACCAAGGATTTCTGTGGAAGGATTAACGGGGAATTGCCTATGCTTTTTAAATCTGTATCAGTTTTAATTGAGTTGGTTTAGTATGTTTGATACTTGGGTTATTGGTCTTATTGAACAGATGCATAATTGGTCCTTGATTTTGACAGCACCGAATCTACATATGACATAATATTGGGGTTATGCACTGAGGAATTGGGTAATCGAGTATATGTTCTATAAGGCTGATAAGGATAATTCATTTAATTTAATTACACATCTAATATGATAAGAAAATATTTATAAGTCATAATTGCTTTATTCTTAATATATCACGTTTGTTATAGAATATTGGCTAATTTTAAATGTTCACTCCTTATTTATAAAATATTTATACTATTATAGAATAAAGATGATCTTAAATGGGAACTTACTAGCTAAAGAAACCATCTCTAGAATTTTCAAGTTTATAAATTACCACACCTTGAGTAATCAATCATAAAATTAAGGAACATTCCTCTTTAATGAGACCTGGCTTAGCCATAATATAGGTGGGGAACAATCCTTCTTCCTTAACATACGTTCGTAAGAAGATAGCTCTCTGCGAGGAACATCAAATACATCATGAACTCTATCATTTTCCAGAGACCATATCCCAAAAAGAAATAGTTCATAGAATAAAAATTTTAAATTAGAAAGGATCAATAGATGGAATCCTTGTCCAAGTACATTATCTAATTATAAAAAGCTTCCCTTACCTTCTCATTTATCTAGGTTGGAAATTTCCAATGAAATAAAACTCAGTAAGGATGTAGATTGTTTACACATGGCCAATTTTCAAAATCTTCTCCAAAATGGTGAGGATAATGACATAATACCATGTACACCTGCCGCAGTGCTTCATATATTGGATACCTAGGATATAGATGTGAGAAACCAGAATGTCACTGTGATTGGTCGGAGTCAGTTAGTTGGATTCCCATTATCTGTACTACTTCTTAAAAGAAATGCCAGAGTTACTATCTGCCACTCTGAAACACTTGTTCAAGAACATGTTGAAAACGTATCTAAATTATTAAGCCATTCATTAGGCTGATATAGTGATCTCATGTGCAGGTCATAAAGAATTAGTCAAAGGAGAATGGATCAAAATTGGGGCCAAGGTTATTGATGTCGGAATTACAAGGATTCCTGGAACCAATAAGATTATTGGTGATATTGAATTCTAAAAAGTTTTCATATCTCTCAATTCTAGGCTCTTCCAAGGGTCAGTTTCATTACTCCCGTTCCAGGAGGAGTTGGCCCTTTGACTGTTTCCATGTTGTTTAGAAATCTCTACCGAGTTTGGTGTAGATCCAATGGTCTGAAGGCCAATGTAGATGAAGAGGAAGATGAGTTCGATTATGCCTAAAACTACTAATTCTGAATTACCTTATAATTTAATCACTTTTAAATAAATATTCCAAATTAATATAAATTATCTTTCAATTATTTGCATTGAATTAAACAATAATTTAATATTTTAAATATCTGAAATTTTAATCTAATCTATGAAATAGCAATATGAAAGATAATTAATTTTGGTTATTTAGAAAGTTAATTACTTAAAATTTTCTTTAATTTTTTTCATTTTCTATTCTTTTCTAATTACAAAGAGGAAGGACCAATAAATTGTTGATCAAAGGATTGCAATCTCCTTAATTTGAATTCAAATAATTGTCAATTATTTAGAAAATATAATAAAAAAATAGAAATAATTTTAAAGGCATCTACTAGTATCGAAAAGATAGCTGAAATATATTGATTCAATGCTTGATAAATTATTAATAATGATTTATTGTATTAACTCATGCTTTAGCAATTCTTCCATTTAAGAAATCTAAGAATGGTGGAGTTTGGACCACTTACAATGCTTTAGCTAAGACTGCTAATTCTGATTAGACAGATGACTATTGATATATAAGTATATAAATTTACCACAATATCATCATGAATTTTAAGATTGGCAGAATAATTATTATTTTCAGTTCTTAATCTATCTTAATAAGCTTTAAGATCAGCTTCTCTGGTTGAGATCAAAGTTTGAACATCTGAAATTCTAACTGTTTTATCTTCTCTTTCTTAATAGAAATCAGCATATTATTAATCAAATACTGCTTTTTCAGCTGTCAATTATTATGTTCTTAATTCATCTTATTATTTTTAACTGTCTTCATCTTTATAAGCTTTAGTCAAAGCATCAAAGATATTCAATCTTAAACTATTCAAGAAATCACACATTTCCTTTAATACTTATCTATCTTTGAAATTGAATCCTTCTGTTAAATTAGTTAATGCTTGAATGAATGATGAATATTGATGTCCAAAGTTCTCAGTATTAGCTTTGACTTATCTTAAAGCTTTGTTGACTTTATGTTTCTATTCATCAGATACTTCAATAAAAGCAGCTCTAACTTCACCACTTTTGAATAGATCAGTCAATAAATCTAATGCTTCATCAATATTTCTTAAAGCATCAGTAAATTCTGTTGTGGTCAATACAAATGAATCATGTTATGTATTTCTAGCTGCTTCAGCTTCTTTGAATGATTAAGCATTATCTGTTTATTTAGCTTTGAGTCCCAATAAGATCTACAATATGAATATTAATATTATATACATCATCTAATTCATGCAATCTTGGAATCAATTCAGAATTCAATACCTTCTTTTCTCTATTGATATCAAATTCAGCTTGATTGGCTTATGAACTCAGTGAAATAACTTTAGCATTATGTTCACTTTCAACAACTTCCCATTGTGTATTTTCCAAATTCAATCTCTCTTCAATTTGACGACCAAAGGCTTTGACTCCTTCTACTAATGAATCTACTGCTCCAGTAACTCTCATTGTAACTTCAGCTAAATCAATAACCATATGTCCAATCTTTGATTATGTTAATTCATCTATTGAAGATTAAAGACCTGGATTAACATATGAATCCATTACACCTTAATTACTATTTTAGTTAACCAATCTATAACTTACTTCATAACTGTTGTTCCTGAAACTAAGCAAATCAGGGCTAAGAAAACAATCTTCTAATGAACCATAGATGAATTCGTTTTTTATATAATATAATGTTTCAGAGTTTTATAATATTGAATGTGAATAATCTTTTTTTTTAGGAATCTTATTTCCAATTGCATCAAAGAAATAGTTGATTACCAAGCTACTATTGGTTTATACATATATTTTATAGGAGAATGATTATTTAATGTATTTTTAATTATGAAGGAGTAAAGTTTAGTGTTTGTAGTGAGTTTGGAAGGTAAGTGTCGATTAGGATTAAAGTTACAAGTGGGATAAAGATTGTATAGAAAAAAAGATTTTTTGGTATCAGATAATCAAAAATATTTCAAATAAAGAAATGGAAGAATTGTAATGAATTATTGTTTATTGATATAATTGATTCTAAGAGTAATATATATAATATAATGAAACATTTGATATTGGTTTTGCTTCTTTTAAGTGGGGTGTTGATTGGGAAAGAGATCAATGTTGGGAGTGACTACGAATGTGAATGCTTACAACTGATGGTGCAGGATGACTGCATAAAATAAGGTTGTCAGTGGAAGGATGGAGTATGCCAAGTGAAGTTAAAATAGGAGATAATATATGAAGGAGATAGTGAAACATTTTGTTCTCAATTTAATTAGCAGAATTGTAGTAGTTAATCAGGATGTGCATTTTTGGTTGACAAATGTGTTGAGTTTAGTGCATGTAATGTATATCTACAGATTACAAATGAATTATGCTAAGCAATATCTCGAAAGTGTATAACAGACGGAGAGAAATGTGTGGAAATAGGACAGTGTTCTGATTACAAGACAGCTTTATCATGTGGATAAGATACAGAAGGGAACTATTGTTATTGGGAGAATGAGATTTGTTAAAAGAGTTTGGAATGCGGATAATTGCCAAAATCATTGAAAAGTGATGCTGAATGCAGAGAAGTGAATAGTGATTGTACAGTGTCATCTTAAGGTGGATGTTAATTGAGTGGATGGGCTTGTTCAAATCAGGAAGGTGAATAACAGTGCGTTTGGGATAGATTCATGCAGGTGAAATGTAATTGGAATGGTGTGTCTTGTGCCAACAGATCATGTTAATCTGCTCCCATCAGTATAAAGAATAATGAGGACTGCAATTCTTATTTATAAGGATGTATCTTAACAAGCGGTGGAGGGTGTGTTGAACTTGGAAATTGTGTGGATATCACAACTAGTGAAGCTTGTAATGTTGATAAGAATGGCAAATAGTGTTATTGGAAGGATTCATAATGTGTTGAGAAAGTTTGTAACAATGCATCTGAATTATTAAGAACATTCGAGGAATGCTAACAATTCTTAAGTGGTTGTGTACCTAATTTGAATGGTGGTTGTCATACTTATAGTAGATGTGAAGATTTTATTGATGAAACTAGTTGTTAGAGTGGATTGTTGAATTGTTCTTGGAATGTTAAATCTTGTGTTTAATATAGTTGTGGCAATGCAGACATAAGTTATAACACTCATTAGAAATGTTCAGAATACAAGTCGGATTGCACAGTTAATGCATCTAAAAATGGTTGTGTGGATAGAACCTGCGATAATGCTCCAAAAGAATTAAATACTAATTATGATTGTGAATAATATAAATCTGGTTGTATCACTAAATTAAATGGGGGATGTGTTCAAAATCAGGAGTGCATCAATATTAAATTAAAGGAAGCTTGCTTATTAGATTAATAAGGAAGAGAATGCTTCTGGTATCAAGATCAATGCAGATTAAAAACATGTAGCAATGCACCTATTGTGTATAACACACATGAGTAATGTCAAACTTATTCTAAATTGTGTACTGTAAAGAGGACTTTAATTGGGTGCATTGATATGACATGTGATGTTATATTCTAGAAGGAGAACTGCATGTCAGATTCATTAGGCAATAATTGTTTTTGGACTGGGTTGTGTTTCGATAAGACATGTGAAAATGCTCCAGTGAATAACAATTTTGTTACTGATGCTTAATGTAAGGCATACCTAAGTAAATGTACAGTCAGAAATACTGGTATGGGATGTATGAATAGGCCATATTAATGTAGTGAGATGAAGATACCAGAATAATGTGTCACCAACTCTTATAATGTTGCTTGTGAATGGTATGGAGATTCATGCAGGAAAAAGGAATGTTATACGGCTCCCAGTTAACTGATAACATACGAGGACTGTAACTCATATCTAAATGGATGTACTACAACTGGAAGTGGTTGTCAACCATTAAACACTTGTGATCAATATCTAAACTCAAATAGTTGTAGATTTGATATCAACAAAAATATTTGTCAATGGAACAATGGAGCATGTGCTAATAAGAGTTGTTAAACTGCTGACAATACACATACTAATAATGATTAATGTAATACATATCTCACAGGTTGTATTGTTAATAATGCTGGAACTGGTTGCATTCCAAAACCAACAAATTGTTCATAAATGACCACTGTCACTTAATGTACTGCTACTTCTACAAATGCAGCTGGTGGTCCTTGTGCTTGGATTGGAACATGTGTTGATAGAACTTGTAGTAATGCTCCTGCAAGTACAGATTATAACACATTTACAAAATGCAATAATTTTTTGAATACTTGTACTGTTGTTGCTACAGGGACAGGAGGATGTATGACTATGTAAACGAGTTGCAGTGCTTACACATCTCAAAGATAATGTGAATAGATATTGAATGGAAATAAGTGCTCGTGGTATTTAACATCATGTTTAGACAGATAGTGTATCTATTCACCAGATACAGCCAGTTATGATGATAGAAATGAATGTCATGGTTATGATAATAGATGCAATGTAGTCCGTAGAATCGGGGGTAATGGTTGTACCATCAGAAAAGCAACTTGCAATGAACTATCATAATATCAATGTGTGAAGGATAGTGCTGATACTATCTGCACTTGGAACACAACTGCTGATCCTCCTTACTGTTTAAATAGAACTTGCAGTTTGACTATTGGAATTACTAACTTTACTCCTGTAAATTGTGCTAATTGGTTGTCTACTTGTGTTGTGAATAATGTAGCTGTGCCTACTGGTTGTATGGCATTACAACCGTTCTGTTCCTACTACTCATTTTCAGCTAATTGCACATATACATCTTCAAATGTCTAATGCTATTGGAATGGATCTAATTGTGTAAACAGGACATGCACAACCACTCAAGGAATCACAGAATTCAACCATTCATCTTGTTATGCCTGGATGACTTCATGTACAGTTAATAAGCCAACAACTTGTGCAGATAAAACTACTAATTGTTCTGATGCTTTGAATTACGATCAGTGTTACAAGAATATATCTGATCAATTATGTGCCTGGGTGGGTACTTCATGTGTAGACAGAACATGTAATAATCATGGATATGCTGTCACTGTATTTAATGACACGAATTGTTCAGGATGGATGCCAGGATGTTCTGGCAATCCTGATCAAACTGCCTGTGAGATTACAAGAACATGTACCAATCATGGTTCAAATGTGACTACATTTACTCATAGTAATTGTTCTGGTTGGTCTCCACTTTGTACCGTGAATTCTGCTAATAATGCGTGCATTGATAGAACTTGCAAGAATTATGAATCCAATGTTACTGATTTCACTGATGCCAATTGTAGTGATTGGTTATTCAAATGTCGTTCAAATGATGATCATACTGCTTGTGTTACGAGTAGAACCTGTACTAATTATGGCTCAGCAATAACAGTATTCAATCACAATAATTGTAATGCATGGTGGGATGAATGTACTGTATCAGGTTCTAATTGTACTTAAAAGACTTGTTACAATCATTCAATAACAGACTTTAATTATACAAATTGCAACAATTGGTACTACCTTTGTACTGTGTCTGCCGATTCATTAAGTTGTTAACCTAAGACATGTGCTAATGCCAAATTAGTATCATACACTTCAAATACTTGTTATTAGTGGTTAAACACTTGCACAGTTAATTCAGATAATACAGGATGTATTTCCAAAAGAACGTGTGCGTTGACTGATTTAACTACATTTAATTATACAAATTGTGTTGGTTGGTTTAACTAATGTACTTACACAACAGCTGGATAGTGTAATGACAAGACATGCACGAATCATAGTTCCTATGTGAGTATTGTATCTCATGTAAATTGTGAAGCTTGGTTATAGAGATGCACATACGTATCAGGCTCATATTGTTCCGATAAGACTTGTTATAATTATAATGACTTTGTCACCACATTAGACCATGCCAGTTGCAATAATTGGTTGGGCATGTGTACATCAAATGGCAAAACTTGTGAACCCAAGACCTGTACCAATCATGGAAGCAATGTGACAGTATTCAACTACGCCAATTGCAGTTCATGGTTGAGTTATTGTTAAGTAAATGTAAGTGGTACAGCATGTGAGAATACCAGAGGATGTTCACCTTAATTGGCTACATTCAGTCATATCACATGTGAGAGTTACAATTATCAATGCACTAATAATGGTTCATCAGCATGCAAACTGAAATCTTGTACTGACCTTTAACTTTCTACCTTCACTCATGAATTTTGTTAAGCATATTTATCAGATTGCACAGTCAAATCCCAATTCAATGGATGTGAACAAAAAAGTTGTTACAATCACAGCATTTAGGTTAGTTAATTGAGTCATACAAATTGTTAGAATTGGTTATCTAATTGCACTTATACAGGATCCACTAGAACTTGCACTCCTAAATCCTGTACAAATCATGGGTCTAATGTAACAGTATTCAACAATGTAAACTGTCAAGCTTGGTGGAGTGCTTGCATTGCTAACACTTCTGGAACTGCTTGTATCAATATCCGTACTTGTTCTAATTCTTCATTGACTACTTACACTCATCAATATTGTGAGAATTGGTTGTCCTCATGCACTTAATTAAATTCAACAAATTGTTAAGATAAAACATGTACCTTGGCTGCATCCTATTTGATAGCCTTTGATCCTATTACTTGTGAACTTTGGATGAATACATGCACAAGTAATGTCGCTCAAAGTGGGTGCTTAAATAAAACTTGTTATAATCATGGAGATTAAGTCACAACATTCACCAATGCCAATTGCAGTGCTTGGTTGTCATATTGTGTTGCGAATTCTACTAATTCAGGTTGCATAGACAATAAAACATGTACAAATGCAGTAGTTAGTTCAAATAATCACACTAATTGTAATGCCTGGCTCTCCACTTGTACTGTTAACTCTACCTATGATGGTTGTATTGATAAGACTTGCTATAATTATGGACAAATAGTAACAAGTTTCACGCATACTAATTGTAATAATTGGCTGTCTTCCTGCACCAATCTATCGAATACAGGGTGTCAAGATAAATCATGTAGTAATATCACTCCTGCCACTTATACTTCAGTCAGTTGTAATACATGGTTATCTTATTGTACAGGCAATGACACTTAAACTGCTTGTATAAGTACGAAAACATGTACTAATTATGGAACCAATATTAAGGTATTGAATCACACTAATTGCAATAATTGGCTCTCTTCTTGTACTATTAATAGTGCAGGCACTTCATGTGAAGATAAAACCTGTTCAAATGCATCTCCTACTTTATTGTCATTTGGACCATATAATGATTCAACTTGTAATGCTTGGCTATCCACTTGCACTGTCAATTCAGCCTTAAATGGTTGTATTACTCGAACTTGTACTAATATGCCCTCTTACCTTACCAAGAACACTGCAAATTGTTAGTCTTGGAGTACTTTATGCACCTACAATTCGTCAACTTTATTGTGTGAAAGCAGAACCTGTACTAATCATGGATCTTTCACCTTAAACGCATCAAACTGTTCGGGTTGGCTTAGTACTTGCTCATTCTATTCGAATAGTTCAGATTGCGAAACTATTCGAACTTGCTCAAATTTTATAGGTTCTGTATCGCATAATAATTGTGAAAATTGGTTGTTTAATTGTACTAGGAAGACTGATAATACAGGTTGTACATAGAAATTATGTGAAATGTACACTTCTATTATAGGGACTCCATATTCCCAATCCAATTGTGATAACTTTCTCTCAACTTGTAAATACGATAGCAGTAATAACATCTGTGTTGAAAAGACTTGTACAAATTTCTCGGGAACAGTCAATCAAGCCAATTGCGAGGCTTGGTCAACTAGATGTACCATCAATAATTCTTACAATGGATGTACATATAAGACTAGTTCAAATGCCATCACCTCTCTAATATATACAGAGAGTAATTGTAAGAAATGGTCTGAAGGCTGGTCTTTGAAATCTACGAATGATCAATGTACAACTAATTGTTATAACAATGGGCAACACTTTTCAGTTTATAATCATGCAAACTGTGAAGCCTGGGATCCTCAATGCACTGTAAATTCTAACAGTACAAATTGCACTTTAAAAACTTGTGCCAATTTCACAGGAACAATCAATTTCTCCAATTGTTAATCTTGGTTATATTCCTGCACTGCTATGTATGATAATTCCAAATGTATTGATAAGACTTGCAATAATCACTATCAAAATATCAATGTTTGTGTTAGTGATGCCAGATGCGATAGCTTCAAATCTAATTGTTATTGTCAATCATGTTACAGTTGTAAAATCAAAACTTGTTAAGATTTCTCAGACACTACTCAAGCCAACTGTTCAAATAGATATTCACATTGTTTGCTTGGACAATTAAATTGTATCACCCATAGAACATGCTCAAATTATGGATCAAATGTTACTACTTTCAACCACATCAATTGCGAAAATTGGTTATCTAGTTGCACAGTCAATGATGCAGGCACTGGTTGCACAGAAAAGACTTGCTATAATACGAGTATTGCCACTGAACTTAAAAATGAATACTTCTCTCCAAGTTAAGTAACAGATGTGTAGTGTGTATCTTGGAACTATTTGTGTACCAATAATGGTACTACTGGATGCAAGAATAGAACATGCGCAGATTCAAGTGCCTGGTCTAGCTGTTCATCTTATTTGAATTCATGCAAGCAAGTCCTCTATTTCTCTTATTGTGATTATAAGACTTGTGGGAGTGCCACTTCTTATGGTAGTGTAACATAATGTCAGAATTGGTTACCTCAATGCACCAGGAGTTAAAGTCAGAGAGGCTGTCATTCATAAAGAACATGCAGTGATTATGGAGACAATATCAAGATATTCAACCATGTTAATTGTGAACAATGGAATCCTTTGTGTACAGTCAATGGAACAAACAATGGATGCACATACAAAACATGTTTCAATCATGGTATGTCAACAACGACTACTGCAAAATGTGGACAATGGCTAACCATTTGTAAATCAAATTCAACTGGAAATGGATGTGAACTCAAAACTTGTACCAATTATGGTAGTGCAATTACATATTCATTTAGTGGCTATTGTCCATATTGGATAGGCAATCAATGTACCTATAATACAGTCACAAATGCTGCTTGTGTGCCTTAAAGAACATGTTTATAAAGTTATAATGGATACAATATTAGATATGATTAATACTATTGTCTAGATTGGCTCACTACATGTACACCCAATACCTCCTAAACTGGTTGTATAGACAAGACTTGTACAAATCATGGATCCTAAGTTACAACATTTACTCACACAAACTGTTACAATTGGTATGACATTTGCACTAACGATGGTTCAACAGCTTGCAAATATAAAACTTGTCAAAATCATGGTGCAAATGTGAGTACTCTAAATCATACAAATTGTTAATCTTGGTTGCTATCATGTACATTTTAAATAGGAGAAAGCACTTGCAATTATAAGACATGCACAAACTATTAATCTATGGGATTATCATCAACCAGCTGTTATAATTGGAATAATCAATGCACTTACATAACCTATGATTGTGAATATAAGACATGCGACAATTACTCAGGATCTGTCAATGAATCTTAATGTAGAGGTTGGTTACCCTATTGCACTCCAAATTACTCAGCTACGAAATGTATAAGTACAAGATCTTGTAGCAATTATGGCAATCAGGTTACATCATTTAATCTCCAAACTTGTTAAAATTGGTTGCCCTATTGCACTGTGAATACTACAAATGATGGGTGCATGGATAAGACATGTGACAACTATGGATCATAATTGAGTACTTTTACTTATATCACTTGTTCTGGATGGCTACCTACTTGTACTAATAATTCAACTACAAAATGTGAAATGAAACATTGTACAAATTATCCTTCTGGCTTTACTGTCAACAGTTCAAACTGCAGTAGTTGGTTTAGTTATTGTAAATTAGCACCAACAGGTACTAATTGCGAATATAAGACTTGTAGTAATCATGGGTTAAGTACTTTCAATCATACAAACTGTTCGAACTGGTTATATTATTGTACTGTATCTGATGATGGTACATCTTGTGTAACAAGTAGAACATGCACTAATCATGGAAGTTAAGTGACTGTATTCAATCACGGTAATTGTTAATTCTGGTTGTCTACATGTACAGTCAATTCAGGATTAACAGCATGTTAATCAAAAACATGTACTAATCATGGATCGTTTGTTACAACATTTAATCATAATAATTGTTAAAATTGGAACTTTGATTGTACTGTGAATACAGGTAATACTGCATGTACTGCTAAGACTTGTGCTAATGCAACTGGATTCTCATTTAATCATACAAATTGTCAGAATTGGTTATCAATATGCACTGTAAATTCAGGGTATACTGCATGCATCAATAAAACTTGTTCAAACACAACTGGTATCAGCACTTGGACTCACAATAATTGTGAAAAATGGTTACCTCAATGTTAATTAAATAAACCAACAACTTGCAAAACATTATAATCAAATTGTAGTAATGCAGGAGTGTCATATAATCAATGTGTAATAGACAGTGGTAATTATGAATGCGCTTGGTATAATGGCACTTGTTTGAGAAGGACTTGTAGTAATTACACAGGAACAACATTCACACATTCTGATTGTGAGAATTGGTTAGAAACCTGCACTGTTTAGGCAGGAGCATCACCAACAAATTGTGTAAATAAACCCACAAATTGTCCAGATTTAGGAGTGACTTAGGATCAATGTGTAACTAATATTAGTTTAGTGAATTGTGTATGGTTATCAGGATAATGCCAGAATCGAACATGTGTTAATTACACAGGTGTAACATTCACACATTCTGATTGCGAGACTTGGCTATCAACATGTACAGTAGATGGATTAAATGTACACGCTGGTTGTGTCACTAAGCCATAGAAATGTTCCATGATTTTGAATTAAGATTAATGTATCAAGAGTTTAGATAATACTGTTTGTTTTTGGACTGGTACTTAATGTAAAGATAGAGTTTGTGAAGATGCAACTTAGAATACGTCATTTGATGATGATACTGAATGCAAGACATTCTTATCAGCATGTACAGTAGCTAGAATAGGGGAATGCATCACAAAGGCTACTAATTGTTCTGATTATCTATAAGAGTCCCATTGTTTCAAGAATGTTTCTCAGGGAATATGTTTTTGGAATGTCGACATCGGCAAATGTGCTGATATTAAATGTTCCAATGCTCCTACTAGTTATACAACCCATACTTAATGCAATGGATTTTTAAGTACTTGCACTGCCAAGTTAGGAGGAGGATGTATGACATTGAATGGATGTCTAAACTATTCAGCAGAATTGTCTTGTGTTATTGGTTCGAATGGTGATACATGTGCATGGAGTGGTGGAAGATGTTATGTTAAGTCTTGTTACACTGCAGCATATGATAGTACAAGGGATACTCATGTAGAATGTCAAGATTATCTGAGTGATTGCACTGTCATACATTCAGGTATTGGTGGTTGTGTTCCATTGTAAGATTGTACAACCTACATCAGTGAACGACAATGTGTCATCAACAATTTGCATCTGCCATGTGGTTGGGATGGATCTAAATGTATGAACAAATCATGTCAGACTGCTCCTAAGTCCTATACTTAACATGATGAATGTCAATCTTATCTTAATGAATGTACGACAGTTGCTATTGGAAATGGTTGTCAATTCTAAAGTACTTATTGTGAGTAATATCAAACTGAGAAGCAGTGTGTTATCACTATTACCAATCAATCTTGCTATTGGAATCCAAAAACTAGTTCATGCGAAGTTAGATCTTGTTAAAATGCTCCTGATACTGCTGTAACTGCGCAATTATGTGAGCAACATTATCCATTCTGTTATACTGACTATGTCTATTGTAGACTCTAAAGGTGTAGTGATTTGATGTACAAAACCAATGATGAATGCAAGAAATATAATTCCAATTGCACATCTGATGGACAATCTTGTATTGATCGTAAACTATGTTCTGATGCCCGTGTTCAAGAGGCATGTAATACAGATGCCAATGGTATTGAATGTTAATGGGTTACCTAAAGTACCTATTGCACCAATAAGTCTTGTAGCACCTCGCCAGATTACAATACTACTGAAAGGGATTGCTAGCAATATTATCCTAAAGGCAATTGCACTACAAGATTGGGAGGAGGCTGCATTCCGAAATCATCTTGTGAAAATGCTTAATTGTAAGCAGCATGTACAACATCTGCTGATAATAAATTGTGCATTTGGGATTCTTTTAAATGCAGAGAATAAATTTGTGATGACATTCCTGGAACATCTGAGTAAGAATGTGCTCTCTAGAATTGTGCCTTTTAGAACTCATCTATATATGGTATTAAGTGTACAACCAAGAAGAAATGTTCAGAATTCTTTATAGAAGATCTTTGCACCAAAGGTATTGATGGCATTTGCAAATGGTTTAATAGCACTTGTTATCTCTACACAGGTTGTAATACTATATCAAGTCAATATGATTAAGTTTGCAAATCCTTATCAAAAAATTGTACAACTGATGGCAACAAATGCGTGGGATTGAGTAAATGTGCTGATTACTCAATAGCAGAAGCTTGTGTTGTTGGTTTAGATGGGGATTGCATTTGGAGGTAAAATTAGGGAATTTGCAAGAGGTTCTTCTCCTGCTACGATTTACCCTACTTGACCCACGATGAATGTTATAACACATCCTCGAAATGTACCACAGACACATAAAATGGATGTATTCCATTATTATTGTGCTCATCCTATAAATTGATGGGACAATGCAAAATAAGTTCAAATGGAAAAATGGTTACTTAAAACTCGAATCAGTAATTCATAATTCAAACTGGAGATTGCGTTTGGGATACAAATACCAATGAATGTAGGGATCAACAATGTGAGGAATTGGTTGGAGAAACACATGAAGACTGCAGTGCTTAGTTGTATGGTTGCACTTCTGATTCTATGAAATGTGTCACCATTAAAGCATGCGAGGATTATGAAAATGAACAGACTTGTCTATATGCTCAAAGTAGCAATGGAAAATGTGTTTATTAAGACTAAGCCTGTAAAACCATTTCATGCAATGATATACCTTATGGTTACACTCATGAAACCTGTCTGAAACAGATGCCAAACTGCATTTCAGATGGCCATGCTTGTGTAGCTATTGAGGTTTGCGCTAATTATGAGAATAAATTTTCATGCAATTATGGCGGTCTCGATGGAACTTGTGCTTGGGATGGTACTTAATGTGTAAAGGTTCTGGAGTGCTCTGATTGTGATTAAGACAAATTGATATGCTAATAGTTTTCAGAGAAATGCAAATGGGTTGAAGATCCTTAAGTTACATCTGAGACTTAATGCGTTCCTTTAGAATGCCAAGATCTCCTGGAGAGTGACTGTCATAACATTTAAAATATGTATGCAACCACTCTAAAGCTATGCACCTCGAAGGATGGAAAATGCATTGAAACTGATCCAGAAATTTACAATATTTAATCTTGTAGAATAAACACCTCGAATACTTTCTACTGGAATACTACAACGTCGAAGTGCACTCAATGTAGTAATAGCATCACTGTAGAAGATGATATCAAAACAAATCATGGAACAATGGTAATGATCATATTGGTTATTTTATTGTTCTGAATATATATATGGTGTATAATTTAAATTAAAGAATTTTCTAATATATTATGAATCCCCCTCCTGGATTAGGCGATGATGATGAGCAGGCAATTGGTCCTCCACCTGGCATCGATGCACCCAAAAAAAAGAAATTTCACATCAACAAAAAATTAAGTTAACAACAAACCTCATTGGAATCCTTGAATCTTGAACTCAAAGTTACTGTGAAAGACCAACACTTCGATCAAGTATTGTTCAATTACCAATTCTAGATTCCTATTGCAGATGAATATTTGGAACCCTCCATGAACAATTTAATTGCATTTGATGGACATTTATGCGATACCTCGGGATCTGATTCTTTAGCCCTCTGGGATCAGGAAATGAAATTAAAGAAAGAGTACAAGGGATTGATTGAAAATATGCCATACTCATTAGTTGCTGTGCATGATAAAATCTTTTTGATTTTCGGAGACACACTACTCCTGTTACAACCTGATATTAATAAGAAGACATTTTTAATTGAATAACCACTTACCGCCTTTTGTGTATCAGATCATACTAATCCAAGGTAGTGTCATATACATACCTAGAATTGTAGGTGTCAATGAAGGCGAAATCACTCTCTGGAGAACCTCTAATCTAGGCAAACCCAATCTTTAAGAACCCATTTTTAATAATTTTGCACCTAAATCCAAGGAACTCATTGAATTACAAAAAATCTTAACTGAAAAATTTGAAGAATGTGATGATCTCTTGATGTTGTAGAATGGACTGGTTTTTGCAAAACAAAAAAAAGTAGGTGAAGTGTTCTTAGTTGATTTTGAAAATGACCAATTAGAAGAATTGTAAACCACATATGGATGTGCTGTAACATGTTGGACTCCAATATCTTATGATTCAGTTGCTTTTGCCTCTAATGGTCAGATAGTGCTCACCAAATTTGTAAAAAACAAATAGGCTGTTGTCTAAATTGTATTGAGTTCTTCTAAAGATGACATTCATCACGGATTGTGTTACTCCAACAATCATCTATTCTCAATCAATAAAAATGCTGTCGTAACTTCTTGGAACATTCAAACAGGAATCAAAATCAAAACTGCCGAAGTCAAATTCTGTCCTGGAGTCTACTCATTATAATTGATGAATCCAGAAATCATTATAGCTGAACACAAAGACAAAAAAGATTTCATTCTATTGAACGCAAACCTTGAAAAGCAATTCTTCTACAAAGCAAGAGTCAAATAGGTATTGCACTGTTGTTCCAGTCCAAATGGATAGTTCATTGCATTAGTCTAAAAATGTGGATTGCTTTATGATGAAGAAGTCATATTTCACATTGAAATTGAAATCTATCCCTTTGACAACAAATTGGAATTTGAGAGAAGAAAAGAAATCGATAACTTAGAAATCAAGACCGTCATGTTTTTGAACAATTCAACTATCCAATACATCTTGAAAATCTCTAAGAGTGTCAATCCCATTCTAGTCAAATGGAATTACCTAACCAATGAGTATAATGAGGAGGAAATGTTGGTTGAGAAATACAAGACATGCTAATTGTACTCCAATAGATCAGTGTTCAGTTATGACTTTAAACCAGCTCCATCATAGCAGTTCAATCTCTTTGGACCTAAAAGAATAGATGATACTAATCTAATCACTGGAATCAGTGTGTATGATGAGAATATTAAAAGACTTTTGAAAGTGCAATTTTAATAATAGTTTAATGCTGATGTTTTTGGAATGCCTTGTCAAAATTTACTTTATGTTCTCAATAACAAAAATCAAATTGAAGTGTGGGACATCAACACTCAACAATAGATTTAGAAAGGTATTAGATTTGATTACATTTCATAGCTGATTGTCGTCCAAGCATTGTGAAGTAGATGAAATTTAGTGAGTAGTATCTGTTCCTAAATGGTCAGTCTGAATGGATCATTCGGGACTTGAAGTTGAGTCAGATTTGCAAGACCAAGGGGGATCTCATCAATAAATGTCTATTTTTGTATTAGAAATGTATCATAAACCAAAAATAGAATTTATTTGAATGGGATTTGTGTAGCAATCAATGCAAATAGATACCTATTTTCAAGGTTTATGACTTTTGTCTTGTGTAGAATAAGATCTTGGTTATTGGAGAATCAACTATTAAGTTATTGACTTTATGATTTAAGCAATATAGATAGAAACTAATTTAAATATTTATTAAAAGAATGTGTGATGATTCTCGTTACATTCTGGATGAGCTATTCGGCAAAGAGAGAAATGTCGTAGCAAGCAAGAGGAAGAATGATGCTCACTATTGGAATGAGGATGTGTGCAAAAACATCTTGGTTTCTAAGTGCTTTAACGACCTGTGGAAGCATACCAAATATGATCATGAGGGAGAATGCAGCAAGAGACACGACCAATTCTTCATCAATGAGTTCAATTGTGATAGGAGTATCAAAAAGTAGCAGAGAGAGAAGAAATACATTGAAGAGGCAATAGGTTTAGTATGAACCTGATAAATATGTTAGCTTACATCCAAGACAAATTGAAGGAAGTCGACAAGATCTTAACTAAGCATGAAGAATAAGTTGAATAATCTAGTAAACTATAAGTAGCTGATCGACCCAAAGAGATCCAGGATCGACTTGACAATATGGAAAGATAGATCAATCTCTTGACGGATTAGAGTGAGAAGATGGGAGAATAAGGTAAGATTGAGGAATCTGAGAGATTGATAATGGAAGCAGATAATCTTAAGAAAGCCAGAGAAGATGTATTGCTTGCATATGAGGGTACGAATAACCCATTCAAAACTTACAAAATATGTGAAGTTTGCGGAGCCAGACAATCTCTCTATGAAACTGAGAACAAAGTCAAGTATTTTTAAGTTTTTATTGAACTTTAGGACTCATTTAGATGGAAGAATTCATCAAGGATTTTCGACTATCAGAGTTGAATTATAAAAACTATAATAAAGAAGATTGTAATTAGAGAAGATCTTGGAGGAGGAAGCCAGGAAACAAGAATTCAAGGAGGACATTGCCAAAGATGTGTAAATGGATAAGGAAAAATTGATCAAGGATAAGAAAGAAAAGGAGAAGGAAAGATCAAGAAGTAGAGACAATTCTAAAGAAAAAAGCAAGAAAAAAAGTAGTAAAAAGAAAAAAGACAAGGAGAAAGACAAGGACAGAAGTAAATCAAGAAAGCATAACAAGTAAAAATATCTATTAATGAAATTTAGGAAACACCATAAACATTGAAATATTTAAACATATTTCCAAATTGTGTAAATATTAACCATATTATTCTTTTTTCCCATTTATTTTTTTGTTTTCCATCTAAAGCTTATTATTACATATATATATATATATATTTTAAAATAATATCAACCAAGGGTTTCTACAATGTTTGTACTTAAGTTGTCATCTTCAGATTTACACTTTATTTTTAATACGCATCCAATATTCTATTAAAATCCAATCTAACAAATCACGAATGCATTCTTAACATCCAAATACTTGCCTGATAGTAATAAAGTATGAAACTTATTTTAAGGCTATATTTAGTCGGAATTATCACAAACTTAAAATCCTAAATTGGATAAATCATAAATTCATACCAAAATGCTTCACTAATTCCTTTATTGCTATATCAGTATTCTTATAATCCAACTAATAGGTAGCAGACATTTCTTGTGATTTAAGAGATTCCCATTCAGTCTGGAATTTTCTATTCTATAGAAATATTAATCTTACTTAAACCATTAAATAGGCAAGAAGAAGTCACTGTAAGTGATAGTAAAGTCTTCAGTCTAGTATTCATCTTAATAAGTAGTTCCGTTTTCATTCACTGTAAATGTCAATATGCTTTGAATATTAGAAGAGACCAATCTTAAACTTGGATTGAATTGCAATCCAACTAAGATATTGGATGCACATTGTGGTTGAATTGATTTTGCTGGCACAATTCTTTCAAATTGAAGATTGACATTCTTTATTGTCAATTCCAAAGAGACATCACTCAATGTAACATTGTCTAATGTATTCTTTACCTTGTACTCCAATATTATGTGATTATCAAAAAAGTGTTTAACCACTGTTACTAAATATTCACATTTAGAATCAGTCAAATTTTAAGCTCTTGATGATTTTCTTAATACTCCATAATCACAAAAGATTGTGCTTTCCTTGAATAATTTCTTGTATGTTTCAAATCCAGATTCAGATTCATGAGTTTAAATCAATTCCTCTTCTACTAAGTCTTGTAACACCTCAGTCTTCTTAATCTTTCCCTTGTTTTATTCAGCATAAGCCATAATCTTTTCTAACGATAATACATCCTCATTAGATTGCTAGATTTCCTAAATATTTTATTGTAAATAGGCTTCAATTGCATCTAATTCTTCGATTTACAAAGGAGCATTTTCTTCTTTTGGTGCTGCTGATTCACTAATATAGAATCTGGAGCGATTTCTAACTTCTTCATCGGGATCTAAGGCAGCTGCTGATAATAATTCAAGAAGGTTATTCTTTTCATTAGGATAGTGAAGAAGGAATTTACCAAGTACACCAACTGCTGCAGCTCTAATTTCAGCATCTTCAAGATGAAGTCTATTGTTAACGATTCTAATAGCTCTAGTTGGACATTATTTCTTGGCAGCTTCTCTATTGAGGATACTCAATACACTTAATTGTAATGAAGAGTGTTAGCAATCCTCAATGTAATCTGCTAAAGCCATGATGGCATGTTCTCTTGCTTCAGGGATCTCGTGAATAATAAATTCACAGATTTCGATTGAGTATTTTTTAAATTCTTATGAAGCCTCACATTTGAAGGTTAATTGAAGGAAATTAATAATAGGTTTCCATTTGGAAGGGGAGTTCTTTACTAATGCTTTGACACTTCTGATGACATCAATTTTGAATTCATCACTCATGTCGTTTAAGTATTCAAATATTTAGCCTAAGAGTTTCTCGATGTTGGATTCTTAGCAGACCTTTAATAATATGGAAACGGCTAAGGAAGACAAGGATTTATTGGAATCCTAGATGAGTGGTTCAATTTGTGTAGTTGAAATGAGGGATCTTCTGATGGGATTTTATATTAATCTATTTAAAATTTTGAGGGCCACAAACTTATTGATCACATTACTTGATTGCAAGAAGACAGTCACAACCTAAACAAGAGGTTAAAGGTCCTTATTGGATAGTGATTTCAAATCGCATAATGCTTTACAAGCTTCAAAAATGACAATTTCTTGAGACTTGTGTATTTGTCTTAGGAGATATTCTGTGAATAACTAAATATAGTATCAGAGTTTTCTTACTTTTTCATATTGTTAATCTAGATCATCAGTGTTTAGGATTTCTCTTATGAATCTAATAACTTGCATGTTGGCTATGGGAACTAGAGTTTCTTTTGTTAATCCAGTGAGGATTTTGGTGAAGGTAACTTTGTCATTGCTTTTGATTTCATGAAGTAACAATAGTGCATGGAAACTGTTTTATGGATATTTGGAGTTGAGTCTGTCAGCAACTTCATTGGTCCACTTCCTAATGAAATCAGGACTTATTCTGAAAATCTACAAACCAGCTATTAAAGCAGCACTTGAGATTGGTTAACTCTTTTCAAGGATTGCCTATATGAAATTGCTCAATTCAATACATTTTTTAAATATCTATCCAATTACACTAGATTGGATTGGTCAAGGACATAAGGAAGTGTTCTTAAGGCATTAATTCTAAAGAGATCATTCTTAGAAGTAATGTCTTTGGCCAAACAACTAATGACTACATACATAGAATTCTCATCTTTGAATTCCTACAATCAATAAACCTTATTTCTTACCTTAATCATCAAATAGATCATTCTTCTGAGATCCACATTGTTAGATGAAAACAATTTAGTGATTCCAAAGAATAGACTCAAAGATTCTTGATCGTTGAATTTCTCTCCCTATTATAAAAGTATGAGCATCACAATTTACTTGATTGATCAGATATATCAATTTGGATAGTATTTATCTGCATTTTTTATCCTACAACTGAGGATCGTTGAAACACCTGGATTCTAGTAATACACTTGACTTTTGCAAATTATGATATGGTTCAGATTCTATTTTAATAAGGTTGATACTTACCCAATGTCTTTTTATCTTCCCCACTCGAATTCTATAGAGTCGTAATCTATTTAGTAAGAATCTCCCTCAAATACTATAAAGTGGACATGTGTATTTTAATTAATTATGTATTTAAAATATTATATCTCGCATTCAATATTTTTTCATTCTTCCAATTCACAAGGTTGAATCAGAATCTCAAAATCCTCATCATTTAACTAATTCTCATCATTAGATTCCTCACCTGTGATCTATTGTTGTTGTTATGGTTTCTAAATCAATAATATATGTCTCTACCTTAAGATTTTAGGATGAATCACTTTGACTATCAATTATGGCCAATTTTGAAGAGGAGTAGTTCAAATTCGAATGAGGTATCTAATGGATGAATTTATTAAAATTACAATTTAATTTCCATTCCCATTTTCATCATTCATCAATTTTTGTATCTCAAATTATTTCAATTTTATCCCTATCTTGTGACTCTACCTTAATTATTCCTTAGATTTCAAAATATTTGTAATCATAAATTGTATTCTTGAAATCTCATACACTAAATTTAACATTGATAACTTCTTCTCAGCCCTCTCCTGCAATTCCCTCTGATATTATTTGAATTAATCTACATCTTATTACTTACCCTCAAAGATAACCTCCTTTATCGAACCATAAAATGTCTACTTAATCTACAAATCCTTATACTAAGGGTAGTAAATTGAAATGATATCATCCAATGATTGCTTCTCCATTAGGCTCTGATTACATAGAATTACAAAATATGAAAGCAAGAGGATAGTGGATCCAATTGAACCTGCATCAGCTAAAATTTCACTTATCTTTGGATACTGAATACTCTGCAAGTATCTCAATTTGCTAATCCTTAATTAAAATACCATGTAAGCATCAAAATTAAAAGTAGTTCTAAAATACTCTTAACCCATTTGTTAATTAGTTAAATAATAATCGGTAGCATAAACATAGCTTTCAATTTATTCCAATAAGAAACCTGTATCTACCTATGATTCTTAAATATTCAAATTTATAGTTTAAAAGTATGTGGAATTGTTTACAATAGCCAAAACTTATTCCTTGCCTACCTCATCCAAAGTTCTTCTGTCGGTATTGAATTAATTTACTTAAGTCGTTGCAATCATAGCATTTCTGGATTGAGCAAAGAACTAATCTTTGATGCTTTCATTAGCGCAAGCGAATGGAGAAGGTAAGTTAACTTACTTACACCCTACAAAGGCGATTATTTGTTCTGTCTCATCTTATGTAGGATCACCGTATTATAAATCTATATTTCGTATAGAAATCTTGTCCTCTGAAAATTAGATTTATTCAAAGTTGAAATATTAACTGGGTGGTATTTCATTATTTTTAAATGGAAGCACCAAGGGCAAAAGTACCAGAGCTGAAGGATTAAATGGATTTATAAAATTATCTTATCCGGGCCTGATCTTGAATGACATTATTTCATTCTCAAGAAATATACTCTGTTGGTCTGCTTTGGCTTGAATAGTGGTTATTTTTGGAAGAATATTCCCCTATCCATATTGAATGAAGCTATATAACAAATAGCCAAAACTCAATCCATAAAGAATTATTGACATTATTCCACCTACAGCTGTCCTATATTCATCTGTAGAGTATTTGATCTTAGGTTAATAGACAACACCAAATTGATCGATTTTTCTAATATGATTCACAATTTGTTTAAACATTAAAATTCTCAAAAATGAAGCAATTAATCCAATAATCCAAAAATAATAAAAAGAAATTAGCTGTTCTAATAACTTTACAATAATATTATTATAAAATAACTTGTTAAAGTATTTATTTTAAAAATACTAATTAAAACTAATTTTTACGGTTAAAAGTGATTTCAATCTAGAAATATGTAAAAATGGTATCAATTCAAATTATTTAAGTATCATTCTCATAACTGTTATGGATGTCAATCTAAATTTTATATCATATTTAATAACAATTTTGAGAGCTGCTTGGAGAAATTAATCAAATTGAAATACCTAGATTTTATAATTTTATAAATTCATTATAAAATGTCCTTGCAAAACTCTCTAATCTATATTTTTTTAATAGTTTTCTATCTCCATTTCAATTTTAATACAGAATCTATTCTTAGTTTTCAAATATATAATTAATAGAATAGTAATTTAGATATTAGTTTATCTAATACATTTAACGATAAAAATTTTAATTAAATATTTCATATATTATTTATGAATTTGCATCAATTTACTTTTCTTGTAATCTCAATTTTCTTATCATTAAGGAATCTCCTTCGTAAAATATTAGCGAGGATGACTACTATATAAGATGCAGTCTCTAAAATGTCACAAAAAAGCTTATGTTGACAACGACTGCTTCGATGATCTATGATAAGGTTAAGTTGGCTTTAAATCAAATTTTACCTTATCATCAAATATACGTACATCTTTTAAACATTTAGATCTAATAAGTAGAATATAAATTTGAAGAGAACATCCAAAATAACGAATGCATTTAAGGAGATGAAAATTACAATAATTATATATAGGTGCCTTTTTTGGAAACATTATTCAAAGACAAAATAGATAAGAAAAGCGAATCGACAATCAAATAATCAGAGGATAACAATGCCTTTATAAGTCAAGATTCTTAAAATGATTTAGAGAACAATATTTCCTACAGTGATGAAATTGATACCAGAGAACTAGATAAATTAATTTAAACTCTTTCTCGATTAATAAGTTGCCAATCTGTTAAAGAATTTGACAGTATAGCTATTTATCAAAAAGAAGCAGATCAGAAATAAAATAATTAAATATTGATAACTTTTAAATTAACATAAGAATGCTTTAGCAATCTTAAAGTTTATTCCTTTAACTTATAACCTGATTCGCAGCCAGTTACAATCAATTTTTAATAAGCAGAAATTCTGAATGGACAATCAGAACATTAAGAATTCATTCCTGTGGCATAAGATGAGTTTAGCAAGTGCATCAAAGTTACAGATCTAAACTTCTTTTACATTACTGCAGAAGATCTAATTCATATGAAATTAGATATCCCTAATACAAAACCAATTTTATTATTTCTTTCTCCTTATTTTTAGTACAAAGATTTAGATATATTATAGTTGGAGACTTATTTAATTTATGATAAGAAGCAAACATAGTAAGAAGAAAGCATAATCATTATTATCAATATAGTAGGGAGACTCAAATTGAAAATTGAAATCTAATTGACTAATTGCGAATATTGTCATTCTATCAATAATGCATATGAGACTCATTTGTATTTCAAACTAAATCATCCTCCAATTTGTAGCGCTGCCTTATTTGATAAAACTAAAATTGATTTTTTAGATACTTAGACTGAATGGACAAGAATTGAAAATATATATTTGAATTCTTATTTTCAAAAACATCAAAATTTGTTAGAAAAGTATGTAATCTTAAATAACACTATTATCGAAATTTAATTAAATAATATTAAATCATGTAATGAAGTTAGGTTACTTAATTAATTATAATCAAGATTAAAATAAAAGAAGATACTTTATGATAATAAAATTTAGCTCAATATTTCTAAGTAAACTGAAAGAAATTCCAAATTTGATATTTTATAATAACAACTAGATAAAAGTAAATTGAGCTTTGAATAAAAATACAATTTCATTTGTATTCTCTCATAAAATCGTATTATAGAATTTCATCATTTGAAAACATTGTTAATTTTAATGTGCAAGCAATAACAAAATTTGGAATGTATTCTTGATTCTGCTTTCCAATTATTTATGAGATTGAGTTAAAATTTGTCATGTTCAATCAGAATTTCTGATCAAAATAATAGGAATCTCTTTATTTTTCAAAAAGAACTTAAAGCACTTAACTGTTAAATTCAATAAAATTCATGCCTCTAGAGACCTATGTTAGTGAAACAAGCTAAATTGACCCCATCAGGTTACATCCCTATGATAGGGTAACCAGAAAAACCCAAATTATTAACTACATTATTTCAACATTAAAATGTCGTCAAATTAAGCATCAGAGATGATAATGGAAAATTGATTAAGAAAAATAGATCGAATTTTGGAGAATTCTTTAAAATTTAATTAACTGAGGGTTTTACTATTTGTTCTGAAAAATGGAAATTGTTAGGGTGGAACAATAAAGAATTAAGATAAAACAATTTATGGATGAATAAAGTCTCACATAAGGAATTGGATAATTTCTTGGCCAATTTCAAATAGGATTCTTTTATTTTATAATAGTAGACAGAAGTCAATTCTAAGTTTTGGAACTTCTTTATTGACGGTCAAACAATAGAATTTAAATAACTTATCATTGTAGTTATAAAAAATTAGATAAAAGAGAATAATTTTAGTCATTTTGGCTAGATATCTGGAAATTTGATAGGGAAAGTAAGGGAAATATTAAAGAATTAGGAAATTTCAGCAGTTAAGGTTGTATTTAATGGGATTTAGTATGTTTTGCAATTGAATAGCAATTTAAAAGATAACACAATCTAATTGAATTCGCAATAAAAGTAATTTTCAAGTTTCAATGATGTAATCACAGTAACAGATTATAATAAGTTTAGAGGAGCATATTTGAATAAAGGATTGATAAGAGTTTTTTATTAGATGGGTATTAAGGAAGAGGTCTTTATTTAATTATTGAATTGTAAAATTTGATACCATCTAATTCTTTTAGGGCATTTAGGATAAATTTCAAAGACAATTATCGCACGGAAGGTTTCTTTGGACTTAAAAAGTGAACTTTGCGGACTAAACCCAATAATAGACGAAATCAATTTGATGAGGAGAAATGATCTGAATGAAAAAAATTGCTTGTTTATTTAAAAAGTGTATGAGAAGTTGAAATTATTAGAAATACAATAATTAAAATCAAAATATAATATTTTAGTCGAAAAGGCAGAGAGGCTATTCGGAGTGGTTGATTAATAAGGAATTTTAAATGAGGGAGGTAATTAATTATATTAAATTGACGATTAGAAGTGATATGTGTAAGAAGGTCAAATGATCAGGTATAATATTTGGAAGGGAAGTTGATAGTTGTAGAGGATTGCATTTAGAGTGGACAAAAGATATTAATGGCTACTGGATTATCAAGGATTGAGGTTATAGGAAGACTTAAAGATGAGAACGCATATGATGAATACATAAATTGTATCATATTTTCAAATAAATAATAAAACAGTACTCCATTTTGCACCAATACTTATTTTGTATCTTGGGATAAGAGATTAATTCCTAAAAGATAGAGAATTAATAAGACAAAAGTATTACAGGAATTTGAATTTTGGAAATTTGATTAGGAAGAATTAACTGATTATTTGTGTGACTTTTTGAATAACTAGTTTTTATAGGATGTAGACTGTAATCATATAGGATTGCAGTAACATCATAATTTAGATTGCCAGGATATTTTTAAGATGCTTGACTCATTTATGGTGGATAAACCGTAATCATATTAGGCTAATAAAGTTAATATTGATGAAAGATTTATCTATCGATTTTATTGGATTAAGGAAGAGAATAATTATGAACAATATGTGAAACAATGTTTGGGGGAAATGCATATTATAAAAGCACTGAAATGTTTAAATCACATTGCAGATACTTTTAATGCTTGGATAAAATTGTATGACATTAAGGATGAGTATGAAATGTATTCTGGATATTATGAGAGTAAAATGAATGAAGAAAAGTTGGAGAGTTTTTAGGAATTTATGATGCTTAATTTAGGATAGTTAAAATTGGAGTTGTATAACATTCTGTCTTAGATAGAACAAGAAAGGTTGATTTAAATATGGATAATACATTTATTAGTGATCTATCTTCCTAATGAAAAGAGCTCAGAGAGTCATTTGTTGGAGAGAATTGTCAAATGTGTAAGAAATCAAATTTAAAAATTTGATGATTGTAAATTACTTTGTAGTCGATTAACAAACAGAAGTTAGTAATGGTTTAAAGGTTGCAGTTGGTATTTCTTTAGAAGAGAGATTATAAATTTTGAATAAAGCTCAAAAAATGAATGATTTCTTATGAATTAAATATAATTATGTTACACTATGAGAACGCACTTTTCACTGTTCAAGTCACAAGAAAACATTTCTTCAAAGATAAAAACTATTCTTTGTATTTGTTCTCTGACGAACTTGTTATGACTGATGTATGAAGTAGTTCAAGATTGATTAGGATATCGCCAAATAACCTAAGTATAATCTCAAGATGAATCTAACTACTACAATTAAATGGATTCTAGAGGAAAAACGCATTGTGGGCTTCGAATTTTCATATAATAATGGTTTCAAGATAGTTTATGGGCCAAAACTCAACTTGTTAAAAGAAATGATAGCTGGAAAAATATTTTACCAACCAATTCTTTCTTTCTATCAATTTCAAATGGAAATGGGAAGTGGCATGACAGGATCTGTCTACAGATGTGTTGCCGCAGACAATGCTAATTTATATTATGCCATCAAAAAGATCGATAAATTGAAAATTGCTCAACATGAAGGTGGAATAGTAAGAATATTTATCATTATTATATTATTAGCCTTAATTAGTTCATGAACTCTCTCTTTTATCTTCCCTATCCCATCCCAACATAGTCAAACTCAAAGAAACCTACGCTGACAATTAATATTATTACATCATTATGGAATACATCAACGGCAGAACCCTGTATTCAGAACTCTCAAGTAGGTAGTATGGATTATCCATAGCAGAAACCATCAAAATCATGAAGGTAATACATTTTATAATTAATTTGTAGGAACTTTTGGATGCAGTTTCATATATACACGAAAAGGGAGTAATGCATAGAGACATCAATCCACTCAATATCATGAAGGCAGAAACAGTCAAGTTGATTGACTTCGGCCTAGCAAGGAAAATCAAAAACCAATTGAACTTTCCCACTTCAGGCACTCCTGGCTACATGGCTCCAGAGATAATTAATTACAATAAAGACAAACAATATGATGAGAAGGCTGATATCTATAGTCTTGGATGTCTGCTCTACAAATTGTAATAAAAACATTCAATATAAACTAAGATTAACTGGAGAAAATCTGTTTAATACCAAATCAGCCAAATAAACCGTGTATCAAGTCAACAAAGACGGGTATTACGAATTGAAGAAGCAACCTTAGCATCCTGAGGTCAATTCTATGAAGATGGACTAACTCTTTATCTTATTGCCTTACATGCTTGAAATTGACCCATCAAATCGATTATCTGCTAAGATTTGTCTCACTATCATTGAAGAGATTGATAACAATAATCAAAACATCGACAGACTTATCAAGAAGATTCTAGTTAGAAAGTCACTCAACACCACAACTATCGAAGAATAAAGGAGCTGTGAACGAATATCCAAAGGAAGGATTGCAAAATAATCTATTGATGGAATCTCTAAAAAAAGTCTGGATGAACTCTCAATCTTTACAAAAAAAGTTATGGTTTAAAATCAATAAAAAGTCATTCTCCCTCATAAAAAGCAAGCTTGACTCTAAATCATAATATATATTTCAATAAATACACTTTTAAAATCTATTTAATTCTCCTTTGATCTAATTTCTCTTCCTAGACCATTATGAAATCATTCATTCATATGATATCTCACCACAGAACATTGAAAATTATCAATAAATCATATAAATTAGTTTCGTAATAATGATTAATGCTGGCTCTCATTTACTTCAAAACAACCTTTTTGGTAATGGTGACACATATAACTAGACAAATGATCAGATATCAACTTTTTGAATGCTTTTTCATACTTATTTCCTATTAATTGTTTGTCTCCATAATACTTAATTAGGTATCATTTCTCCTACTAGTTTTCAAATTCTTATTGATTCCAGGAAATGATATAAACATTTAATATTTAATAGTATAATTTTTTCATTATTTCCACTATAAAATAATTACTTAGCACTACCCTTCCAAATTTTGATAACATTCTTTAAGATACATAATAATATGTATTATAATATTTGTGAATCAAATTAAAATATTGACTTGATCTTCGCAATAAATATAAATAAACTATTGATAAAGGTTATCTAAATCTGAGACGGTAAAATACTTTTCAACTTTATATGAGAATATAAACTTTAGGATTTGAAGAAAATATTTTACTTCTAAATTATATTTGGTAATATCTACATATATAAATTAAGCTAGATTTCCATAAGCACTTGGGGCATTAAATTTTAATTCAATATACTCTTGAGGTTGCTATAAAAACAATCACAGATCATACTTAAATTTCTTATTATTTTCAAAATAGTAGTTTTGTTATTTATATTGAATTAGTTGAGTTAATCATTTTCAAAAGATGACCATAAGGAAGATTTTTTTTATTAGATAAATTTGATATTGGATTCGAAGGTAAAACCATTCGTGAAGCAAATGAGTTTATACTATTTATATTAATCCATAAGGCTAAATGATGAAAGTGGTTGTATTCATAATTATCATATGTTAGAACTTTTTATTTATAATCAACACGATGATTATGCTTAATTGAACAATGAGTGATGATGGAAAAACTATTTATTAAATGATATATTTAAATTATTATCAAATTTTAATCATAGTTTGTTAATTATTTTATATATTTGATTAAATAAAACTAATAAATAATAATTTACTACTATCTAAATCTATCTAAATTATTTATGAAAGTGAAATTACAAATTTTAAATTTTAAATCATAAATTATTTCATCGTTTCTTGATATTCTTAATCCTAATCAGATAATTAAATGTTAACATAACAGTTTTCGATCAAGAACTTGATAATAATGAGGTTATATAATAATTTTGATGATATACTAATTAAATGAAAATATCATTTTTCTATATTGAAATATGGTTTGAAACTAACAGTGAATGTATTTCATTATAAATTTATAAATGATTTGTCTGATTATATAGTAAGTTGATTTAAAAATTTGAAGATAATGAAGATCTATTCTTCTTTTCCCTAGAAATACGCTGGTAAGAGCTGAATTATTATTTGTAATTGACTTTGAAATCATAAATATTACTAACGTATAGTATTAATACTTTGAGAATCTATCAATTGAATAGCATAAGCATAATTAAAATATAATGTCAAATGCTAAAAGAAATAGCATAAATGAATGATATGAAAATTAAATAATTACACTCAAATCTCACTAAAGACTTAGGAATTTATAAAATTATTTTTTATGTGAATAGTATAAAGTGGTGTTTTTGAATATGATTTTAAATTAAGAATTTATTAATATAAATGTAATGACATTGAAAGATTACAAGTTAATATTTACCCAAACAAGCGGATACTACTTACTGATAGCTTTTATGAGAGAATTTTATAGTTTTTATAGGATTGAATTCTAAATTATATTTATAAAAGGCCATTCCTGCTTGAGTATTATCAGATTAGTAATCTTTTTCAAATGAACTTCCGTAAGGCTAATAAAAACAATCTCATATCTTAATTCGGTTAATTGAGATTTAAAAGTGCTATCCATAATTAAATTCAAATTAATTAATTAAAACGATTTAGATCCAATTTGCTAGTAGCTATTTGAAATAAAGAAGAAGTTTTTTTTAATGACAATTATTATTATCATTAATTACAAAAACGAATTAAATGAAAAGATTATATAGCGCAGTGATGTTACTAGTNTCCACTCTAACAACTAGTTTCATCAATAAAATCTTCACATCTACTATAAGTATGACAACCACCATTCAAATTAGGTACACAACCACTTAAGAATTGTTAGCATTCCTCGAATGTTCTTAATAATTCAGATGCATTGTTACAAACTTTCTCAACACATTATGAATCCTTCCAATAACACTATTTGCCATTCTTATCAACATTACAAGCTTCACTAGTTGTGATATCCACACAATTTCCAAGTTCAACACACCCTCCACCGCTTGTTAAGATACATCCTTATAAATAAGAATTGCAGTCCTCATTATTCTTTATACTGATGGGAGCAGATTAACATGATCTGTTGGCACAAGACACACCATTCCAATTACATTTCACCTGCATGAATCTATCCCAAACGCACTGTTATTCACCTTCCTGATTTGAACAAGCCCATCCACTCAATTAACATCCACCTTAAGATGACACTGTACAATCACTATTCACTTCTCTGCATTCAGCATCACTTTTCAATGATTTTGGCAATTATCCGCATTCCAAACTCTTTTAACAAATCTCATTCTCCCAATAACAATAGTTCCCTTCTGTATCTTATCCACATGATAAAGCTGTCTTGTAATCAGAACACTGTCCTATTTCCACACATTTCTCTCCGTCTGTTATACACTTTCGAGATATTGCTTAGCATAATTCATTTGTAATCTGTAGATATACATTACATGCACTAAACTCAACACATTTGTCAACCAAAAATGCACATCCTGATTAACTACTACAATTCTGCTAATTAAATTGAGAACAAAATGTTTCACTATCTCCTTCATATATTATCTCCTATTTTAACTTCACTTGGCATACTCCATCCTTCCACTGACAACCTTATTTTATGCAGTCATCCTGCACCATCAGTTGTAAGCATTCACATTCGTAGTCACTCCCAACATTGATCTCTTTCCCAATCAACACCCCACTTAAAAGAAGCAAAACCAATATCAAATGTTTCATTATATTATATATATTACTCTTAGAATCAATTATATCAATAAACAATAATTCATTACAATTCTTCCATTTCTTTATTTGAAATATTTTTGATTATCTGATACCAAAAAATCTTTTTTTCTATACAATCTTTATCCCACTTGTAACTTTAATCCTAATCGACACTTACCTTCCAAACTCACTACAAACACTAAACTTTACTCCTTCATAATTAAAAATACATTAAATAATCATTCTCCTATAAAATATATGTATAAACCAATAGTAGCTTGGTAATCAACTATTTCTTTGATGCAATTGGAAATAAGATTCCTAAAAAAAAAGATTATTCACATTCAATATTATAAAACTCTGAAACATTATATTATATAAAAAACGAATTCATCTATGGTTCATTAGAAGATTGTTTTCTTAGCCCTGATTTGCTTAGTTTCAGGAACAACAGTTATGAAGTAAGTTATAGATTGGTTAACTAAAATAGTAATTAAGGTGTAATGGATTCATATGTTAATCCAGGTCTTTAATCTTCAATAGATGAATTAACATAATCAAAGATTGGACATATGGTTATTGATTTAGCTGAAGTTACAATGAGAGTTACTGGAGCAGTAGATTCATTAGTAGAAGGAGTCAAAGCCTTTGGTCGTCAAATTGAAGAGAGATTGAATTTGGAAAATACACAATGGGAAGTTGTTGAAAGTGAACATAATGCTAAAGTTATTTCACTGAGTTCATAAGCCAATCAAGCTGAATTTGATATCAATAGAGAAAAGAAGGTATTGAATTCTGAATTGATTCCAAGATTGCATGAATTAGATGATGTATATAATATTAATATTCATATTGTAGATCTTATTGGGACTCAAAGCTAAATAAACAGATAATGCTTAATCATTCAAAGAAGCTGAAGCAGCTAGAAATACATAACATGATTCATTTGTATTGACCACAACAGAATTTACTGATGCTTTAAGAAATATTGATGAAGCATTAGATTTATTGACTGATCTATTCAAAAGTGGTGAAGTTAGAGCTGCTTTTATTGAAGTATCTGATGAATAGAAACATAAAGTCAACAAAGCTTTAAGATAAGTCAAAGCTAATACTGAGAACTTTGGACATCAATATTCATCATTCATTCAAGCATTAACTAATTTAACAGAAGGATTCAATTTCAAAGATAGATAAGTATTAAAGGAAATGTGTGATTTCTTGAATAGTTTAAGATTGAATATCTTTGATGCTTTGACTAAAGCTTATAAAGATGAAGACAGTTAAAAATAATAAGATGAATTAAGAACATAATAATTGACAGCTGAAAAAGCAGTATTTGATTAATAATATGCTGATTTCTATTAAGAAAGAGAAGATAAAACAGTTAGAATTTCAGATGTTCAAACTTTGATCTCAACCAGAGAAGCTGATCTTAAAGCTTATTAAGATAGATTAAGAACTGAAAATAATAATTATTCTGCCAATCTTAAAATTCATGATGATATTGTGGTAAATTTATATACTTATATATCAATAGTCATCTGTCTAATCAGAATTAGCAGTCTTAGCTAAAGCATTGTAAGTGGTCCAAACTCCACCATTCTTAGATTTCTTAAATGGAAGAATTGCTAAAGCATGANAAATCTTTTTTTCTATACAATCTTTATCCCACTTGTAACTTTAATCCTAATCGACACTTACCTTCCAAACTCACTACAAACACTAAACTTTACTCCTTCATAATTAAAAATACATTAAATAATCATTCTCCTATAAAATATATGTATAAACCAATAGTAGCTTGGTAATCAACTATTTCTTTGATGCAATTGGAAATAAGATTCCTAAAAAAAAAGATTATTCACATTCAATATTATAAAACTCTGAAACATTATATTATATAAAAAACGAATTCATCTATGGTTCATTAGAAGATTGTTTTCTTAGCCCTGATTTGCTTAGTTTCAGGAACAACAGTTATGAAGTAAGTTATAGATTGGTTAACTAAAATAGTAATTAAGGTGTAATGGATTCATATGTTAATCCAGGTCTTTAATCTTCAATAGATGAATTAACATAATCAAAGATTGGACATATGGTTATTGATTTAGCTGAAGTTACAATGAGAGTTACTGGAGCAGTAGATTCATTAGTAGAAGGAGTCAAAGCCTTTGGTCGTCAAATTGAAGAGAGATTGAATTTGGAAAATACACAATGGGAAGTTGTTGAAAGTGAACATAATGCTAAAGTTATTTCACTGAGTTCATAAGCCAATCAAGCTGAATTTGATATCAATAGAGAAAAGAAGGTATTGAATTCTGAATTGATTCCAAGATTGCATGAATTAGATGATGTATATAATATTAATATTCATATTGTAGATCTTATTGGGACTCAAAGCTAAATAAACAGATAATGCTTAATCATTCAAAGAAGCTGAAGCAGCTAGAAATACATAACATGATTCATTTGTATTGACCACAACAGAATTTACTGATGCTTTAAGAAATATTGATGAAGCATTAGATTTATTGACTGATCTATTCAAAAGTGGTGAAGTTAGAGCTGCTTTTATTGAAGTATCTGATGAATAGAAACATAAAGTCAACAAAGCTTTAAGATAAGTCAAAGCTAATACTGAGAACTTTGGACATCAATATTCATCATTCATTCAAGCATTAACTAATTTAACAGAAGGATTCAATTTCAAAGATAGATAAGTATTAAAGGAAATGTGTGATTTCTTGAATAGTTTAAGATTGAATATCTTTGATGCTTTGACTAAAGCTTATAAAGATGAAGACAGTTAAAAATAATAAGATGAATTAAGAACATAATAATTGACAGCTGAAAAAGCAGTATTTGATTAATAATATGCTGATTTCTATTAAGAAAGAGAAGATAAAACAGTTAGAATTTCAGATGTTCAAACTTTGATCTCAACCAGAGAAGCTGATCTTAAAGCTTATTAAGATAGATTAAGAACTGAAAATAATAATTATTCTGCCAATCTTAAAATTCATGATGATATTGTGGTAAATTTATATACTTATATATCAATAGTCATCTGTCTAATCAGAATTAGCAGTCTTAGCTAAAGCATTGTAAGTGGTCCAAACTCCACCATTCTTAGATTTCTTAAATGGAAGAATTGCTAAAGCATGAGTTAATACAATAAATCATTATTAATAATTTATCAAGCATTGAATCAATATATTTCAGCTATCTTTTCGATACTAGTAGATGCCTTTAAAATTATTTCTATTTTTTTATTATATTTTCTAAATAATTGACAATTATTTGAATTCAAATTAAGGAGATTGCAATCCTTTGATCAACAATTTATTGGTCCTTCCTCTTTGTAATTAGAAAAGAATAGAAAATGAAAAAAATTAAAGAAAATTTTAAGTAATTAACTTTCTAAATAACCAAAATTAATTATCTTTCATATTGCTATTTCATAGATTAGATTAAAATTTCAGATATTTAAAATATTAAATTATTGTTTAATTCAATGCAAATAATTGAAAGATAATTTATATTAATTTGGAATATTTATTTAAAAGTGATTAAATTATAAGGTAATTCAGAATTAGTAGTTTTAGGCATAATCGAACTCATCTTCCTCTTCATCTACATTGGCCTTCAGACCATTGGATCTACACCAAACTCGGTAGAGATTTCTAAACAACATGGAAACAGTCAAAGGGCCAACTCCTCCTGGAACGGGAGTAATGAAACTGACCCTTGGAAGAGCCTAGAATTGAGAGATATGAAAACTTTTTAGAATTCAATATCACCAATAATCTTATTGGTTCCAGGAATCCTTGTAATTCCGACATCAATAACCTTGGCCCCAATTTTGATCCATTCTCCTTTGACTAATTCTTTATGACCTGCACATGAGATCACTATATCAGCCTAATGAATGGCTTAATAATTTAGATACGTTTTCAACATGTTCTTGAACAAGTGTTTCAGAGTGGCAGATAGTAACTCTGGCATTTCTTTTAAGAAGTAGTACAGATAATGGGAATCCAACTAACTGACTCCGACCAATCACAGTGACATTCTGGTTTCTCACATCTATATCCTAGGTATCCAATATATGAAGCACTGCGGCAGGTGTACATGGTATTATGTCATTATCCTCACCATTTTGGAGAAGATTTTGAAAATTGGCCATGTGTAAACAATCTACATCCTTACTGAGTTTTATTTCATTGGAAATTTCCAACCTAGATAAATGAGAAGGTAAGGGAAGCTTTTTATAATTAGATAATGTACTTGGACAAGGATTCCATCTATTGATCCTTTCTAATTTAAAATTTTTATTCTATGAACTATTTCTTTTTGGGATATGGTCTCTGGAAAATGATAGAGTTCATGATGTATTTGATGTTCCTCGCAGAGAGCTATCTTCTTACGAACGTATGTTAAGGAAGAAGGATTGTTCCCCACCTATATTATGGCTAAGCCAGGTCTCATTAAAGAGGAATGTTCCTTAATTTTATGATTGATTACTCAAGGTGTGGTAATTTATAAACTTGAAAATTCTAGAGATGGTTTCTTTAGCTAGTAAGTTCCCATTTAAGATCATCTTTATTCTATAATAGTATAAATATTTTATAAATAAGGAGTGAACATTTAAAATTAGCCAATATTCTATAACAAACGTGATATATTAAGAATAAAGCAATTATGACTTATAAATATTTTCTTATCATATTAGATGTGTAATTAAATTAAATGAATTATCCTTATCAGCCTTATAGAACATATACTCGATTACCCAATTCCTCAGTGCATAACCCCAATATTATGTCATATGTAGATTCGGTGCTGTCAAAATCAAGGACCAATTATGCATCTGTTCAATAAGACCAATAACCCAAGTATCAAACATACTAAACCAACTCAATTAAAACTGATACAGATTTAAAAAGCATAGGCAATTCCCCGTTAATCCTTCCACAGAAATCCTTGGTCATTTAACCTACATTGAAATCTAAATAGGAATACTTATTTCCGAAAAAAGTGGAATAATTATCCTTTTAATCAGATATCCCTCCTGTAATCCCTCTCATTCCCTTAATGTCCGATGTTCGAGAACAATATACAAAAGTATAGAGTTTATTAAACAATAAGAAATAAGTTTCAACTCCTCTTAGTTAAGCAAGTTCTCCAATCAAATAATCAGAGAACCCAAAATAAAAATATAAGAATTTTACTATCATAAAAAAACTAGGAGATGGACAATACAGCGAAGTGTTTGTTGCAAAACATACATAAACAGGATTTTTGGTTGCCTTAAAAGTGATTCAAAAATCTTAAATTATTAAAGAGAATATGTAAGCACAATTAGCCTGGGAAATCAAAATACAATACCTTCTCGAACATCCCAACATAACTAAGTTGTACACCTTCTTCTAGACTCGTAAATCATCTTAAAATATTGTAGCTACTGAAATCGTGTTGGTGTTAGAATATTGTTCTCATGGACAGTTGAATTCTCTTTAGCAAATGTAACCCATGAAAAAGTTTTAAGAGAGAGTAGCAGCATAATATGTACAGCAAATAACGTTTGCATTGATGTACATACACAATCAAGATGTAATCCATCGAGACATCAAACCTGATAATATCCTTCTAAGTTTTGGATAGGTCAAATTAGCAGATTTCTCATTTTGTGTGTATTCTCCCGACGAGGATAGATAAACTCAATGTGGAACCATCATATATGCTTCTCCTCAAATTTTAGAAGGTGAAACCTACGATAAGAAGAGTGATATTTGGGGACTGGGAGTTTTGACTTATGAACTATGCTTCGGTAAACCACCTTGGAAGGAGAATTAATAAGAGTTAATGAAAACAGTAATTTTTATATTTGTATCTTAGGCTTGCTTCATGATTCCATTTACGGCATCAAGAGAATTAAAAGATTTTATTGAGAATCTTATGAAACGACTTTCTCGTGATCGATTTACTGCACAACAAGCGTACAATCATGCATGGCTCCAAAGAATTGCATAAATTGTACCCTATTATATAATAAACAATGAAACTTTATTTTTATGAATTATATATTATTTATTTATTTTCAATTTTCCTTCTACTAGAAATCCTCGCTTTATTTAAGGGATGTTTAACTGTGATAACTTTAAGGTTAGGCTGGATAAATTTTGTTAGTTGTTTTCGGATATCCAGGAAAATCATTATAAAATATAATTTCGGAAGATGACGAAAATTTGTCTTCACCTTTACTTGAACTTATAGGAATTGGCTAACTATACAATCCGGGATGTTGACGAATGATGTTAAACAAATAAGCTTTGATTTTTTAGAATCTTCTCTTAATTTATCTTTATTATTGAGCTCTATTCGTTAAAAGTCTGTTAAAAAAGACATTCTTCTTTATTAAGCCAGGGAATTTCATATTGATTTTATCCCTTATTTTATCCAATTTGTCTTGATGATCCTCTAATTGAGCCCATAAGATTTCCCAAATAAGTATAAAAATAAAGATTCCATTTATCGCAATTAATAATATATAAAATGGCCATATTATCTCTTGGTTGTCTGATTTGTTAGCTTAATAGATAGTCATTCCCATAACAATGGAAGCACCACAAACCAAAGTCAAGGCTTCATCCAGGAGATTCAATTATCGTAATTTATATGGTCTAAATTTCTTCGTAAAGATCTAATAAATAAACACTATCATAAATATCAAGGCTCCTTTGATGATAATTTAATCTTCATAAAATGTTAAAAAAATGATCATAAATCCTTTCTAAAATATCTTGATTATCTCCCAAAAATAAGCATTATGTTGATATTCGTTATATAAATAACCCCAATTTTTTCTAGTATTTTCATCCTCTAATTTAAATCTTTATCTATACAATCCCAAAAGCATATATATTGGAATGAACAATCCTAAGATCAAAGAGAATGGCAGAACAAATCCTGTAATCCACTTAATGTGTTGTGAAGTGAAATATTTATAGGCTACATTACCCTGAACCCAATAGATTCCAGATATATTACGAAAAGATAATAAGGAAATGAAACCACCTAGTAGTGTGGGCTATAAGTAAGTGAATAAGTAAATTGCTGTTGTAGTTATAGCACTTTTATTAGATTAAGTGATATGAAATAGCACAGCTAAGATATATATCAAGAGAAATGTGAAAATATAAAGGATAGGCATTATCAAAGCCCAGATCATTCTAAAATATATGATATTGATATCTGTAATATTAGCCAAAAAGCAATCCAAAGAATAGCTCATAGCTTCAACAGGATTACCAACTGATCTTATTGTAGATTGTAAAGCACTTGGTAGTTTGAGTTGAAACAAGGCTACAGCTCCTATTATCTAGAGGTAATTTGTTAGCACTTTAATTAAAACTCCTCCATGTCCTGCTTTTGAATCAAGCTGAAATTATTTCATTGTGTACAATTTTCTCTGTGCTACCATTTTTTCTACTCCTTGGATTGTTCCTTTAACTGATAAGAATATAGAAATCATGGTCCATACGCTAATTAATACAATCTTTATTGTGTTGTCTCCAATATCAGTACAACTTCCACATTTATACTATGAACTAATTGAGTAGGATCCTTAACCTCTTATATTATAAATATCGCATTATTCACAAAGTGCTCCAACATGAGCCAGATCACATAAACCATCTCCAGGGTCCCAACCTCCAACACAATTTTAAGGCATATTCAGACAATATTCAATCCTTTCATTACTTTCAGATGGTCTCCAATATTCTGGCCTCAGCATAATTCTTGCTGGAGTTACCTTATCCATTTTAATTTAATCTTTGATCTGACATCTTTCACCAGCAATTACAGTATATTAATCTGAAGTGGAATCGCATAGCTTACATTTTCCATCATCTGTCTTATACTCTCCTCTTTAGCATTAAAATGTTTATAAATTTATCCGTAACCTGTAATTTGTAAAAAAATTCTAGAATTTATATGGTGGATCTTTAGAAAACTGAGGTATTTTTACTGAATCACACATAATTTCTAATTAAAGGAATCCCAAAGCATTTAGCTCAGGTTAAAATGTTACAACCAATTAATCTAAATTATAATCTTGGCTGGTTGAATTAAACTAAATTTCTGGAAAATTTGTATAATTCGTATAAAATTCTCCATATACTTGATTTAAAACTTATCTTCCTTATATTGTACATTTGCTGCCATCCAATACTTTTACTGGCCCATTTTCCTTATTAATTGCAAGGATTCTGAATGTAAAATTATAAGGAATAAACTCTTATTGTGTCTCATCAAATATTTAATATTCAATTATTTTTTAACCACTAGGAATCATAATATATTCATAATTAGCCTTTCCAATTTAATATGAATCGATTTTCACAATATCTGTGATATTATTTTTATCCGAAATAACATTAGTGGTTTCTAAAATTTTCTCTCCAATTTATAATACTAGTCGAACTGGTTGATCGGCTTGATTTTCCCCAAAAATGAATGCTTTATTGTTGAAAAATGCATTGTTTTAAATGGATGGTGAGTTAATAGAATAATTCCCTAAAAAGACTGCTCCACCAATGCTTGCTTGATTGTCTGCAAATAAAGAATTGAATATTAATAACTCTGTATTCATTTTGTAATCATAGTATATACTTCCTCCAGTGTTATTAGCATAATTGTTTGTAAATTAACAATTATTGATATTTGTACTTACTCCTGATATTAACATGGCTCCTCCAAACAGAGCTTAGTTGTTATCAAATTTACTATCTTGTATTTTTATTTCTAAAAGCATTAATTCACTTAATTAGGATGCATCTGCTAATTGTCTATGGTTTGAATTTGAAGAAAATAAGTTCAATTGACTTTTATCTGAATTACTTAAAAATAGGCAGCCCAATTCTCCACACATATTATCAGATACACTTATTGATTTGAATTAAATCAAAGTAGTATTTTGAACTTCATCTATGTTTGTAATTTTGAAGACTCCTTCACTGCAATTTTAACATGTAATTGAATTTAGCTTCAATAAATAAAAATATAATTTATGATTCTTGGACACTTAATCGATTCCTATAATAAACTTAGGTATTTGGTTTGAAGCCTAAATATTATAGATATTATTATTTGAGTAAAATTCTAAGTATATTGAGTTGTAAAATTCTGAAATCTAAACTGGAGCAACCAAATTTTTAAAGCATTTATAGATAAACTCATTTAAAGTGCTTGAGGGACTAATTGGTTTTGAAGTAAAACCCTGGAATTACATAATAGATTCCAATTTGACATTTGTAAATTTTAAGGAAGATTGATATTCTAAAATATAGGATATTATTTACTTTTATTTAAGTTAATTAGAATTAAATTATCATTTATTAATTTGATATATTATATACCAACATTCATCATTGAAATGTATTGAGAATTCTATATATTTATGATCCCAAATTAGTGGATATTATAAAAGTAGACATCTTCCATGTATATACTACCACCTTCTATTGAGATTAATGAATTTCTGCCTTAATCTTATATTTCATTTTTAGTTAAATCAAGTAACTATCCATAAAATTAATAATATCCTGAATAAGAATTAGTTACAGACAAATTAGAAATTTTAATATTTAGAATCAGAGTCTTGCTAGTAAATTAGATTGGCAATTTGAGAAAAGCATAATAGAGAGAATAGATCTCAGTTACAAAATTAGATTCTAAAATGATTTAATTTGAATCTCTGGAAGGTTCAATAAAAAGTACTCCTCCTTCTCTTCTGCTTTAACTGCCAGATATTACACAATTAGACAACAAAAATTATAATGTTGATTAAGATGCATCTACATATAATGTACCACCTTAAGATTTATCCTAAACTAACAAGTTGGACTAGCTTTGAATGAATGAAGAATTCATGATATTTACCACTCCATTGGAGACAGTAAACAAATAGAAGGCACCACCCTGAAATGCCATAGAATTCTTTGAACTAACATTTAATAGTTAGATTTCTTCAGCAGATAAAAATGCATTTCCTCCTTTTGATTTTATTGGGAATTCATTCTTTAAGTTTTCAAAGTAAATTTGTTCATCCTCTGCATAACCCCAAATCAATCTGTCTCTCAGATTTTAGTATTTCAATATATTCTAATCATAAAATTGGGTATTTAATATCAATAAGGATTTGCTCATAATCACTAAATTGGAACCAAAACTTTCAGTGACAATATTCTCAGAAAAAAGAGAGTTCCCGAGAATAACATTAGAATATGGATTCACTACAAGTATTGTCGAAGTTTATCTAGATAATAGATCATTTTCATAGCAATGTAACATATTATTCTACGCTGTGATTTTATCCATCTTAATACTTTGCTCCTATTCAGAAATGATACTTAAGATTCCCATTTATTCAGACTAGCTAGTGGTAATTAAACTGTTATTGAGATAGATATGATCTGTTATACTTATAGATTCTTAAATTCTAAAATTAGTCCTTTCCAAAGACTTTATTATAAAGAAGGGGGAGTTGATCGAAATTAAATTTTACAGCACAGCTTATTCGAAATAGGTTTGCTTAATATTATAAAATTGAAAAATGGTTCCATATCCATAGTCTAAATTTGAACCAACACAAGATGATTATGAATGGATAGGTTTGAATAGAAAGGCCTTATTAGAAGTCACATAAAAACTAATTACTTTGACCATATCAGCATTATTGATTGAGAATTCAGGTAATGTATAGGAGCGTATGATCTTTGTATTTTTTAATAATAACTGACTCACATCTAGATAAATCGAAGCATTCGATGAAATTATGGGTGATCTAATTTTACCAGAAAATTAAAATTAATTTGAAGCTAGAATTAGTTGATCAATTTCTACACCCAAATTAATAAAGTTATCACTACTCATCAATTCCATAAAGACATTATTTCCTACATAAAAGTTTCCTGCAAATTACAGTGATTCCATTACGACAGTATTATCTTTTATGTTATCTGCATATAATGAGTCCAAAATATTGGTTAATACGCGATTATCAGAACTGTGAAAATAGTTATTTAGGATGTTGAAATTCTGAATTGTAAACAAAGGCAACTTGAATAATATTGCTTCTTGATAATAATTTCCATTTTGGATGGTCGTTCTGTTGAATAAAATACTTAAAGCACCATGTAAAACAAAGAAACTTGATTTTGTTAATTTATCTCCATCTGAAAGGAAATCTTAAATGACAATTTCAGATTCTCTTATTTGATTCTTTAAATCTGTATATATCATCTAGGAATTGGTAACTTCATTATTTAAAGACTTAAAACCATTAATAATTAGCTTTTAATTCCCATAATTTGTGTCTAAAAATTAAGTGAGGAAATGAGAATTAGTTATTTTGGAGTCTTGAATAACTAGATTGTTGAGAGTAATAATCAATTTATTATCTAATTTTGGTTTTGTAAAGTAATAATTTATAAAGCCATCAGTATTCATAAGTTCTGCATTTTTCAAAGTCACTTATGTAAGAATAATTGATTTAGGATTTTCAACTATAAATTACAATTTTAAGTTATTGCAATTTGATACAACAAGCTGATTCAAAGTGAGTGCAACATCTTAATTATTTTAAAAGTATAACCCAACAACTCCTGAAAGAGAATCTAAGAGTATATTTTTGAAAGTAATTGATGTAAATTATTAAAATGTTACATTGTTCCCAAAGTAGATAGGTAAGTTAGAAGTTGATTCTAAAATCAATTCTAATGATTGAAGCATAAATACATTTTTCCTTAAATTAGAATATACAAAAGTGTTCTTTTAAATCCTACAATCTCCTGTGTTTGGTTTCATCTTAAGTATGTATCTCATAAGCTTTACACTCTTCTCATTAAATAGTTCAATCAGAAAATCATTCTCTTAATTAGAAAAATGAGATGATGTGCTTTATGAAAAGATTTCATTCAAAAGTATGTTTTGATCTAGAAATAATAATTTATCTTTTTCATTTGTAATTAATCCGTATTCCAAATCAAAGCTTTCTTAACTACAATACAAATTTAATATCTTTTCAGCATATTTATAACATGGTTATTTTTCTTCATTTAAGCAGTTCACTTCTAATCCTAAACTAGAATCATGATAAATAAAACCCTTTTCAGGTGGACTAGTCTATTTCTTTAAGCAGGCCTTGGCATACCTATACAAGGTAGAATCAATTGGATCAAAGTAAGGATTGATTTAACTGACTTCTGAATTTTTTAATTATTTGCAAACATCGCAATAATTAGGACATTTCACACATTGACCATCAATGTAAGTTTTAGAGTCTTTGCATCTCAAACATTTATTCTCACCATTTTGGAAAATACATTCATCACAATTACAATATTTATAGCATTTTCCATCATGTAAAGCATCTTTTCCTTTGCATTTAGTACACACTTGCTCATACATCTCATTATCAGTAGAAACACAATAGTAGTTATAGTGATGAAACCCAAAGAATATATTACTTCGATATTGATAGTATGGGATGATCTGCCACTTCCAAGAATCTTGATAAACTTGATGTGAATGTAGGCACTCTTAGCACTCTTCTGAACATACGTAACAAAGTCCTGTGAATGCACTTGAATAATATCCATTTTGACATTTTATACAAAACTCTTTAGACCAAATATAGTTTTTGATACAGTCTATACAATGTGGATCTGAACATGTAAGAGAAGGATCCTCATTAATAAAATTAGTTGAAACCACAACACTGCTAAAATTGTAGTAGATTTGTTAGACCGGATTAGAATTGTTTGCAATCCAAAGTTTGGTTGTTTTTCCATAAATTACAGTATAATTTGTGGTTGAACTAGCCCAATTTGAAAATGACAATTAATATGAGTGATTCTGAGAGTCTAATACTAGTTATTTGAGCTCATCTCTCAATCCTGGTAATTTACTTGTATCACTGGCATGAACACATTCATTTGAGGAATATAAAGTTAATTTATTTACATATTGATCTTCGCACAACAAACAAACTGGGAATGTAGATAAAGTAGTTATATTGGCCACAATATCAACTGTTGATCCATATGGAATATTCCGATTCTGAATTGAAAAATTAAGGTTGTCTCCTTATATATGTTCTTCTGCTTGAATTTCACAATGCTCTAAATTTTTCAATCGACACATTTATCTATCTGCAGATATAAAATATTTTTTATCATCAATACATCGAACACATTATAAATATGGCAATATCTCGTTTTCTATACACACAGAACAAAATTAACCACATTACTAACATTAAAGAGTAGTAGAATTATAATTGTAACCTGATATGCAACTCAAACAATATAGACCTGTTTTATTCTTTTTGCAATTTGGACAATAATAAGGACATTCATAGCATTATCCTTCAAATAATGTGTAATTAGTTTTGCATTTCTAACAATTTGCAGAAGTATCACAATTAATGCAGTCCTTATTAACATTGATGCATTCACCATTAATAACAGAATAGCAAGTCTTGCATGCAAATCTAGATAGAATGTTCAATTAATAATTTTCAATGAAATTGAAATTACTGGTTGTCTTTCCTAAACATCCAGAACAAAGTTCCACTTTTGGTACTTCCTATAAATTCAGTTGATTAATCAAGTAGTATTAATAATCTATTTCATTACGTAAAGTTTCTAAATAAACATAATCCGTATTATCTTATAAAGGTTGAAAGTAATCACTTTTGCAAGTCGGATTTAAATACCAACGTTTTGGATCAGCTATACATTCAACACAATTCAAACTAGAAGCAGTGTACTACCCCGGACAGGCTAAACAATAAGCCTTCCCAAAGAGTAAAACTAAGAATTCACCCAATTTACAATTTGAATCATCAACATCCAATGCTTCTTGAATTTCAATTGTAACTAATTATGATACAGCTATAATCGATAAATAACTAATTTACGTTGGCATCCTTTTTCTTTATTATCAATATACCCAGATTAGCATTTACAAGCTCCTTGATTTAATGTTCTTTTCTATAAATCAGACTCGTCACACTCAAGACATTAGGTTTCTTCAGGTCCAAAACAGCTTTTACAACTATAATGACAGACTAACAAATAAATACAATAATTTACTTTTAGTTTTAGGAGTATCTAAATTGTAACAATAATAAAATGTTAAATTACGAATTTCTCCTCTAAAATTCTTATTGAACTTATCACCGCCTATTGTGAAATATAATGAGGATTTCTCAAAATGAATTTGTTTCATTTGTAGAATTTAAGTCTTTTTGCTTGAACCAAAATAAATTGATAACTTAATATTGTTATTATCATTAACACCTTCTTAATACACAAACCAGTGCCAAAATGTAATGGCTGATTGATATTATGATCCTTACAATACCCAAGAGTCAATATCAAGAGTCTTATACTAAGAAAGTGGTTTAGTTGGATCATTATGATAAGTTGTTACTGAAAATCCGTTTTATTCATTATTTTAATTGCTTTACAAATACTCCCAATAAATAGCCTTATCGCCTTGATAGAGATCATCAAAATAAGTCTTTCTTAAACTGGCTCTCATTAAAACTGACTTCACAGTAGACATCTAATTAATTAACTTATACTATGTACCTCTTCCAATTCATTTAGTTTTACCCATCCATAAATCATGAATTTTTTATCTATATAAGTTAATTGAAGTTTATCGAAGTCTCCCAGATATTATTTTTACATTATCAAACCATTTAATATTTCTTTATTACACAACAAAATCACACAATTGGCATCATAAATATTTAATAAAAAGGTTGGGATATCATTATAGAAATATGATGTCCCCATTCTTAAGTCCATATCAGATATTTCCCCTGAAAAAGGACTTAAAGAAATTATTGATTCCTGCAAATCTGTATTCTAATAACGGATTATTTGATAACCACCTAATTTGTATATTTTCAGTCCTTCATTTACAATTTAGAATGGCCCTCCTTGATTCATTTGCACATTTTCTTTTTTCCCATTGACATATAAAAATATGCTGTATATTTATTATGTTTGAGAATAGCAAAAGTAGAAAAAAACCCAATTATCTTATATTAAATCCTGATTAACTTAAAATTCTCTTATTTCAGCATAATTATTTCGATAGATGAATAAATTATGATACATAACCAATTCCTCTCTATCCAAAACTATAAAGTAAACTAAATTATTTCGTTCCTCGAAACTTTCTGATAGTACATGCATCAATTTAGTTTTCTATGCCAAGTCTTCAATCGGCTCATATTTTGGCAAATATCTTGTCCAAACTCCCCAAGAATAGTCCTTAGTTATTTCATCTGAAAGATCTTAGAATAATATTCTTTGTTCATTTTCAGGTGAAGTTACTACATTAAAAATACCACAAGATGAATTTCCTTTGTAAAAACTTAGAATACAAACAATATTTACTTTAACGACAGTATGCTGAAGATGTAGAGAAAAAACATTTGATATTTAAAAATTATGATTTTTTATAATATATCTATAATTAATAAAACCCTCGGGGCCAATTATTACATTAAATAATAATTTGTGTTAACCAATCATATATAACAAATACTTCATTAAGATTTTGTATTTCTTGGGAACTTAAGTACTAATTTTCCTTAAATATAGAAGGATATTGATTTAATATTAAGTACTATTGTTTACATAAGTTTTAATTAGCATCCTCTAATTTTTATATATAAGTTTATTTATCATTTTAGTATATTTTTGCAAACACACTATTATCAGCATCTTAAGTATATTCGATGATATAAATAATTTGCTCATTAATAATCATAAAATATATAAAGCATCGGTCCTTCATTAATGATCTTCAAAAATTAAGTTGCTTATTCAAATTACTAGAGAATTATTTAATTTCTTTAAAAATTATATTTTTAGAAGATCAACATTTGAAATTAAAAATTAATGACTTATACTAATAAGTTCCACATTACCATTTGATATTAGTTAAAACCGACTAACTTATTTTTATAATTAAATAAACTGTTAACTAATTAAATATATAAAAACGATAGTTTTTCCATTTACATATTCACTTCACTAAAAATGTTATCAAAACCAGACTTAATATTTAATAAAGCTATTATTTAAAATAGATAACAAATTCTTAATATTAATATTATATTGCGATAAAAATGATTAATTTTATTTTAATGAACAATATACTGTTAAATTGTGATGATAAATATTATTTGAAATTTTACATCATTTAGAAGCATTGAAATAAATAACAAACTTTAGATACTAAATTCTGGATAATTTGGTAATTAAATTTAATATATATTTATTCGCAATTTTTTAAAAACATTCAGAGGGATTATATTCAAGAAGCATATTAAAATGGAATTTAATAATCTTACATTATATTAAAATTAATAATATGAAATAAATATATATTAAGATCATTTTTTGTCATTCTTAGAGAAAGGTAGCATTAAAGTATTGAGTTAATTTTTTTCTAAATTTAATTGATTGTGAAAATTTTAGAAACCCCAGCAATTATGCATTTCTTTAAAATTCAAAGTAAATAACAACACAATCAATTATAATTTAGGAAGTGAGACATGTGAGATTAAAAAAATTAACTGATCATAACAAATAACTTAATATATGCATAGATTTTATTAGATCAATTCATAATTTCTCCATTTTCGCTTGCCTTTAATAAATTACGTCTCAAATTATAACATTTATTTTATAGTTTTAAGATTTGTTCTCTTCTTCCATAAAAATCATTTTTTCTCTGTTCCAATGTGGTTGATTGCCTTGTAAATAGATTTTGCAATTTCTCTAGTTCGTTAAAAAGCTACATACATAGGATACCTAGTTATTCACAGGAATGCTCAAATTCCTTTTAATAATTATCGAATAATTTGGATGAATTAGGATTGGTCTATGAGATAAAGTATCCAAGACAAGAAGTCCTACAAAATAGAATGTAAAGAATACCATTTCAACACTTATCTAGATTGGACTAATTCTTTGAGAGCTTCTTCCAAAAATTCAAATTCAAGAGATGTGACTTCATATATTTCTTAGATTTCTTGATTGTGCTTTTCTCTCAGTTGTTTTAATCTGGTTTAAGTTTATTCAACAGCTGAATTGGAATTCAAGAATCTCTCATAATAAAAGTTATATCTGGCTAAGATTTCCTTTTCTTTTTCTAAATCATTTGCAGGAGGAACGTATTTGCTGCATTTAAAATGATCTTTGTGATCAGGTTCCCAAGGGTTGCTACAAACATAGCAAAAAGCATTTCCACAACCTCCTGGAGGTTTACACATAAGGTAATTACATCCATCAGATCGTTAAACTGGTTTTTTACAAAAGGGACAGATTTTTGTATTAAGTACAATCCATTTGATATTTGCTTCATTCTTTGTGATTTCCGAAACCCAAGTTTTAGCCATATCACAAGGGACTGGCTGATGTAATTCATTTTTGCACCTAAAACAAAATTGAGTACCACAAGGACATGTTACAGTAGTTAAGGAAGAATCTTTTGGTTTTATAATTTTTTTGCAATCGACTCCTTGGCAATAGGCAAGTGTCCTATTTGTTTCAATAAATTTTCTACAAACTATTTTTTGATACTCATCTGGCTTTGAAAGATTCTTAATCATTGACATAGGTAATTTATATTTACAACCATACTATAAACAAGGGATAACTAAAAATTATTCTTTGATAAATCTTTAAGCGATTGTTTGTTAAATGCAGCCTTTGCAAAATTAATGTCGACACCCTAGTTGAATTAATTTAGTTTCTTCCATACAAAGGGGACACATAGAGATTTTGTCTGGATAACAAATTGCTGAGTGGTTGTTAAATACTCCTTAGTTTTTTAATTATTCCAAAATTGTCTCGTGGTATTCAGCGTAAATGCGGTCCTTGTTCCATTTATAAAACATTAAGATCTAAATTAAATTAAAAATTTTGATACTTCGTATGTATTGTCGGCATCCAAATTCAGTAACTCTCCAATGTTGCCAATCAATTGATCTATAAATTTCGTCACATCTTTTAATTCCAGAATTTCTTAACTTTAAAATAGCATAATTAAATACTTAGTGGATGGAGTTCGAACCAAATTTGGTATATAATCTATTTAGCCTGAATCTGTAAGGTATTCATAGCCACCATCATAGTCATCTTATTAATATAACTCCTCCTACATCATATATTTTTATTTAAAATAATATTAATAAAGAAGTCTTAAAATAAGAATTTGATAAAATTTTCCTGCGAATTCAACAGAATTCTGTATGAAAGTTATGTGTCTGGATGTGATAATAGAATTAGATAATAGAATTTTATTTTTTAAATATGCAATGTGGGGATATCAAATTCATTAAAAATATAAATAAAAAGTAATTAAAGAGACTTATTTATAAAACAGAAAGTGTGTAACCCAAAGGATTTGTAGGTATGAAAGAATTAAGGGTTGAGAATGATGAATCGGATATTTAGATGGAGATAATTGATAGTTGTATTTTTGTTGAAGATATTTAATCAGAGATATATATAATCAAAAACGGAATATGATAAAAATAATAATAATATTAAAAACAAATGAGAATAGTTATCTTAATATTACTCATTTCTTTGGCAACATGCGCTAAGATAAAGAGTTAAAGTCCTTAAAAGTTGCAAGCTGAATTATAAAAGACAAATTATGGAAGAGCCTTACTTCACTTAGTTGAGTTACATTCAATGGCCGGAGGATCAGTCTCAGAGTTATTGGATGCAATAGAAGAACTTGTCAATGATCTAGAGGATGGACTTGAGTTGCTTGACTTCAATTTCCAACGCAGAACTAATGAACACAATGCTTTACTTGTTCAACTCAATCAATAGATATAATAAGCAGTAATCGATGTTAGCAGATCAGATGATGTTATTGAGAATCTTTTGAACCCAAGAAAGGAACAATTGGAATTAAGGATTGCTACTTTGGAAGAATATTAGGAACAGAACAGACAAAAGGTGGATGAAGAGAATTTGACAAGAGAATAAGAACATGAGGCTTATGAAGCATAAGTAGCAGAATTAAATGACGCTACTGCTGCTGTAGATGATGCCTTGTCACTTTTATCAACTCTCAACAATCCATCATTGGCTTAGGTGAAGAAATTCCAAAATTCACTCAAAAAGATAGAATCCAACATCAAACCCAGAAGCAAAATGGCCCCATTCTTAAAAGCCTTGATCACATTGGCTTCCAATCAAAACTTCTCAGATCAAGGAGTCTTGACTCAAATTGTTGATAGTTTGAATGAATTTAGAAATGCTATTGTCGATTCCATCAATGATTTATCACTATAAGAAGTTTAGGATTAGGAAGAATTTGAAGCCAGAGTCGATCAATTGAATGCCGAATATGCTGAATTCCAAAGATAAATCAATGCTCTGAATGTTGATTTGACTGCAACTTTAGGTATTTAGTGGTTTTGAACTTAATAGATAAAATTGATTAGGTAACTGCTTTCAGAGACTAAAGAGCAGCCGATCAAGCTTCATACGAATAACAACTTTAATTGGAAAACGATCTCTATGCCGATGAAGTTCAGATCTACACTGACACTAAGAATGAATTCTAACGTGAACAAGCCATTAGTGAGCAGGCCTTATAATTAGTCTAATCAGTAGATTTTAGCAATATCCAAGTTTGATATATTAAATATTATCATATCAATCAGTATTCATTTGCCTTTATTTTTTGATATATCTTTATTAGAAATGCCATCCCAAAGATTGACAAGTAAAAGTAAAATAAGATTTGACTAACTAAATCGTTAATAAACAGCAATCCAACTATAGATGCCATAATCAATGCCAAATTTAAGGAAAATATATACATTTCAGTAGTATTGGTCAAAAAATTCATGAACGCCAAATAAAAAGTGTTGCTTCCAAAATACTTTACGAAAACATTCATCGAGTATAAATTGATTAGTAGATTCCCTATTGAGATTATAGTAAAGAAATTGATGAGTACGGATGAAAATAATTAAGTCAGTAATATGATGTGCAATGATAAAGCAGCCTTCAAAATAATAAGGGACGTAGTTTGATGGATAAATAATAAGGAATGAATTACAAATATAGTAATAAATAAAAACAGTCCTTTGAAATAACGTTTTTAAAAGTTAGTAGCTAATGGCAGTAGTCTAGGTTACTTCCTATGTGAATTCTGAGTGATAACAGTCCTCAATGGAGACTTCATTGTCAATTATCCAGTTTTTTATGGTGTTAATTATTCTTCTGGTGCTATTTAAACAGAAGAATCTCGAATTCTTTTCTATGATCATTAATTCTAAGATTTACTTGAACAATTAAATATTAACTAAGTCCGAGAGTCCCATAGACTATTAATACTGATATTAAAGTTTCATAAGAAAATATTCCCCTATCTCCATTATCTATAATGTAAGACTATTAAACGATTATTGTGAGAATATTGATGATCCAAAAGATAAAGGCAACGATAATTGAGAGTTTTGGGTATTAAGGGATGAAACCTAACATAATGTCTGTTTCCAAGTTAATCAACCAAAATGCCATTATAATTTATTATAAAAAGTATTTGCTCAAAAAGCCGCAATTTTTAAAATAGTTGTCAATAGTAATAAAATGATAACATATTCATAGTTTATTCAATACGATTTCATTTATCTTTTGATAAAACTCATTGTAGGGAGTCAGAAAATCAATTTCATTAGGTTATTTAAATTGCAACTGAGATTTTAGATTATCAAATTCCTCCATAAATTTTAGATCTTGTTAGTTCATTTTAAATTTTCTTAATGAAACCTTGCAGGGAACAACACAAGATTTAGAGTTGAGTCGATAGATCAAGCGATAATTTTCACAATCTAAATTGGCTCTTTTTTTAATGGTGTGAGTAATTTAGATGATATGAGAAGAATGCAATGAGGAATCATCAACTGATTGTTTTATATTTAAGGAATCCTCAATTTTAGTGTGTTCATTGATTTCTTCTTCAATTCTCAAATGAGGGATTGGAGTAGAGAGTGTTTGGGTATTGGTGAGTAGTTATTTGATATACTTGGCTGCAAAGGTTTTGTTGAAGTTTTTTTGTTTCTTTCTAAAAGTATAAATGTTTCTGATGGAATGGTTCATAATAGATAAAAATAATTTGGATAAATTTGAATATATATATTTTACTGTGTAATATAATTGTCACTCAGATGATACCGATTTTGTTGGCCAAATTAAGTGCATCGTTTTCTCCACCCAATCTAATGTATGCCTTCTTCTTTCCACCGAATGTATTTAAGATCTAATGATAAGCAGAGATGGAATACATTGACTTTTCTGACTTTGACCTCATAAATTTTAGAGAATGCTCTTTTTATTTATGGCTTGGTTGATTTTTAATTAACATAGAAGACCATGGTGTTTTCATCTTCCATTTTCTTCATATCTTTTTCTGTAATGAGTGGATGTTTAAGGACATTTTAGAAATCTAAACCTTTGGTGATTGGTTTTAATTATCTTGTTAATCTGGTGAATTTAGGTTTTCTAGTTAATGCTAATGGTTTGGCAGTGTGGAATCTATTTTAGAAATGTTTTCTGGCTCTGACAACTTTTTTGGCAACTCTGGCATTTTTTGCTGCCTTTTAAGCTTTTTAGGTTGTAGTGGTCTATCCCTTTGGCATTATATTTAAAATAAATTTTTAAATCTTTTTGGTATTTAATAAACAGAGGTTAAATAATATTCAGCAAGAACACACACTACTTTGATTAGATGAATGCTTTCTGAAATACTCCTTCCTTATAATCCCAGATTGTCTTGGATGGATGGGTTAAAAAGAAGTCCTAGACTATAACTATGCATTATTCGTATTATCTCAAGGAGATGCCAATTAGTGATTGGGTGTGTGTTATTGATTTGAATACCTTCTTGAGACTATCTTCTGCTGATTTTATTGTTTCTAATTTGAAATGATCAGAGATAGATGTATCCTTACACAATCTGGCTGATTTATTGATGAAAGGATCTTCAATAACAGTTTACTTGATTTCAACCATGGAACCTCTACGCTGATTCTAGTCTCCTGATTCTATTGTCGTATGAGAAACTAAGATTTCAATTAATTTCAACATAGTACTTTAAAAATTGGTGTTTTCTATGGTTGAGACCTCTTAGAATATGATTTTCTTACTTTTTGAGTACGCCTTCCCGAATTCAGTACTCACATCTCTGGTTTACATATCTATCTTATTACCCAAAATCATTTTAATTTGCTGATCTTTCGCATTTGCTTCTAATAGAAGTGATAGCATACTCAACGAAATCTGCAATCCAACTATTAACTTAATCGAAAATCTTCATGTTGTAACATCATTGATTATAACAACTGCATCACAACCTCAATAATAATTTTTAGTGAGTGATCTGAATCTCTCCTGTCCTGCAGTATCCCACAGTTGCACCTTCACTTATTGGTTGTTTATTTTAAATATCATAGATTCCTAATACTATGAACACTTTTATTTTACACATATCCCTCCCACCATACTCATCGATTTCATTGTGAATTCATTACTTAAAATTGATTTATGAGTGAGGTCTTGCCAACTGAACTAGAACCCAAGGATAAAATCTTAAAGCAAGGCTGACTTCGTTAATAATACTTATTATCTGCATTTCAGATTTGATTTAGAAGGATTGCTTCATCCAAATTATAATAAAATCCAGGAAATAATTTTCATATAAGCTCAAAATAAACCACACTCTTTTTCAATTATATTATACATAATGTCAGAAATAACTTCGAATTAGCCTCAACTTGAGTCTCAATTCCTCTATGAATTAGTGAATCAAATCCCATAACCCATTATCCAAAATCAATCATCCCAACATGTTAGCATTGATCCACCTCCTATACAAACACATGATCAATTACCATAAACTAATAACACCACAGAACCACTAGTACCATAACCCATATAAGAAGATAACACAGATCCCCAAGATCAAAATCAAGCACAACTTTAGCATCCATAACCAATTCCAAATCAAGAACCATAATAATAAGAAGAATAGCTCATCCCTCCTAGATAAGAAGTCAATTCCCTTGTAATATTGGCTGCATTAGAAAGCAATGATGAAGATAAAAAGAGTTAAGAAGAAGCAGATTGCAAATTACTTTATAAAAAATAGAGACAAACTTCTATTATTATAGATGATGATATATAGGATGATAAGACCACTCCTAAAAAGACAGCAAAGAATGAAAAAAACAATGTTCTTTCCCCCCAATAAGAAGATCCCTTGGCCAACTCATAGAATGAGTCTGAAAAGTAAGAGGTAGTCTTGCCTCCACCCTCCTAAAGATCATCCGAAGAATTATAACCTGAAATCTAGAAGCCTTTTGAAAACAAGACCTCAGAAGACAAATCTTCTCTGCTAGACCAAATGTTAAAGCCTGAACCTGCCTTGAAGAAATTATAGAAAGAGTTCTTCTCCTTCACTCAACCTGTCCATCCCACTACAGTTCCATCAACTTCCTAAAAGAAGACTAAGAATCCTATTGTCATTGATTCCGATGATGAACTACCACCACCTTCCAATATAAGCATCCTAAAGCAAAAGATCGAAGACACTACTCCCTCCTCGTTCTTCAGAAAAAAGCCTGTTGAAAACCAGACTCCCATCGAAGTAGGAGATAATGACAATTTCTAGTCTCAATAGGTTGACAAATAATAGAAAATCGCTCAATTATTGCAGTAGCCTACTATACCTACTCCAGTATCAAATAAGCCATTGAATCAACAATAGAGAAAACATCAAGCCTTATTGGAAGAAATAGTCTAGGAGGATGATGGGATAGTGTAAGATATAGAGAATTAAGATTGGACTTTATTTAGTCAATTAAACAACATGGTACCGCCTAAATTTTCTGGGTAATTCAGAATGTTGGAGTACAAAGACAATCCTCAAGAGATGATTAGACTCCTTTTTGGGGAAACCAGATTCAAAGATCTAATGAAAACCTGTCAAACAAGTGAACCAGAATTCTGGTTATACCTAGGAACTAAGTTAATCATGGGGTATATGAGACTGCCAGATATTAATGAGTATTTCTACGGAGAAGATTGGATTGCAGGGGGTGGTATTAAATCTATAATAACTCAACAGCAATTTGATGATATAGATTAGAAAGTGGAAATCATCTAACCAAAACTATAGACAGAATCTTAACTAGCAGTTAAATTGGAGTTCAATGCTCAATCGTTCTTCAGATAAGAGTTTCTACCTTAATTCACATAGGAGTTAAATGATCGATTCAAGAAACTGATATTGCCAGGACAGGAACTCTTCTTAATATCAAATTTCTACACTATCATCTATTCAACCAAGATTCAGTGGTATCAATTGATAGACAAGGAATCTGGAATAATTCTGTAGTAGTTCTTTTGGGCAACTCCAATTAATAAGGCATTGGATCTGAACAGTCATCGAGATTTACAAAAACGATTGAGGATGATGTTTGAACCCTATCATCTTGGCAGACACATTGTTTACAGTCAGGGATTACTGAATGCGGAATCAGTTTTGCAATTATATTAATAGAAGATATTTGTTTGCACTGATCTCGTGTAGCATTCATTACTGCCTCATCCACCAACTGGAGATCAATAAGTATTTTATTCATCAAAGAATAAAGAGCCCATTTATTTATGCTATAAGAATCAGCAATGGATCACTTGTGTTTCATTACAATCCCTATAATTGAGAAGCCAATACTTATAAGAATTATCACAACTGCAATTCACTGAAGAGAAAATAGCCATCCAACCATCAGAACCTGAAAACACTTCAATCAATTCAAATTCTAAAATCATCTTCATCTTTGTCATTGAGTCCATCTTACACAATATTCGAATCCTAAAAAAATAAGAAATTAAGACATTCAGAACCGAATTAGCTCTGTAACTGATTAACAAAGTCATTGATTATAAGAATCCGAAACCTTTGCTCAGAAAAGATGGCTCACTCTAAGTGGATAGATCTTGTCAAACTGATCAAACTGTTGGAATAGTTAATGATCAATTATATCATTGTCCCATACACAATGGAAATGCCAGATGCTAAGTGTGTTTGAGTAAGAGCATCCTCTCCAAAACCACTGCTTCTTGTCTAGGGTGTAATAAAGTTCTTGGAACCAATATTTTCCTTTGCATCTATCCTTGTTTTCGATTGTTCCATCTCAATCCCAAACTATACCTCAAAGAAGGCATGTACTATCAAATTGTCTGTGGATATGATCAATACGATTAAGATTAAGAGGATGAAGAAGTAGATCAACAGTTTCTTGATGCCAATCTCAGATTCAAACCAGATACTTCAGAACTAGATTCCATTTATGCCAAATCATATCAGGATTTCAAGAATATGATACCAATCAATTATGAAGACAATTATCATAAGAAAACTACAATTGTTGTTATTTAAAGAGAAAAAGGTGGCAATCGCAGAGGAGGTGGTAGACCAAAAGCATCCAGATAGTAATAGTAGTCAGCACAGAATCAAGCAGCATAAGGTATTCATGTTTCATTTAATTTTATTAGCCGAATAAGGAAATTAAGGGGATACTCAGGATGCACCAAAGAAAGTCAGAAAATAGAATAAGAAAGCATTCAACGCTCCGTAATAATAAGGACAACCTGAAAAAGAGACCGAATAGGCTAGTAGTGCGATGTTTGATTTTTTCAGCCAAGTCAGAAAATAAGCCTACAAGAAACAAACATTACCATGATACACAAATCGAATAATGCATTTTTCATTGTTTTTATTTAGAGTGCTCATAATTGTTGCATTTTATTTGACTTATGGAAGTTGCATTATAAGTTTAATTTATATATAATTTTATCATTTGATGATATATTATTAAATAATAATAGTGAATCATTATTTGTCTAAAATTAAAGTAAATATTTTGAGATCATTTATTAATGGGATAGATTAGGATAACTTGAATCCCAATTATTGGAGATACTTAATTTGCGATCCTTAACTAGAATTAATCTTGATCTTCACTCTTTATGCCGACAACACGCTCAAGATATATTTTATAAATTCTTGTATCAACTCTAAGTAATTGCCCACCTTCCTATACCATTTGGCAATGTATAATTTATTGATGATTACGACTTACCCTTCCAATTTCTATAGCTAACAGAATCCCATGTGGCATTTGTAATACTTGTTCTACAATTAATAGACACTCAACAGAGTTCTATTTTGCTTCTTGCTTTCGAGATCCTTCTCATTGAAAACCTGCAATTCGACTTATCCTATCTATCTTGCATGACTACTATCATTAGTTACTCGTATCTAAGAAGGAGTGTTCGAAATTCCTTTGATATTTTTCAAGCCTGCCCAGCTATAAGATTGATTTGTTAATTTCCACCAATCAATTGTATTTTGTCTGGGTTTATTAGTTATCTTAGCTTCCTCAGCTTGCTTAACAGAATTCAAAAGAGAATGAAAAGAATCAAATAGATAATATACGTCTGTTTCCTGATTTAAAATGTCAAGATAATTTGCAATCTATTCTTTATCATTGGTTATATCCATGATATGAAATTATTTCAAGTATTGCAACTATTACAATGATCTGGGGACTGAATTGTTTCTACTATCATACATTTATTTATTTTTATATATATATTTATATAATAATTCTCACTCAAAATTTGGCATCTTTAAGTAACAAATCCGGTGTGAACTCAGTGGCAGCTGCCATGTTTCCTTTGATTTTCATCTTTCCCTACATTTAGGTCTACGTAGGATTCAATTTGCCTTGTACCATGACGATCATATCATCATCATCAATTTTGAATTTATCCTCAGCAGTTCCTACTCTGCCTTTAGGAATAGACTAATGACATGATATGATCAAAGAGCTTACTTAAGATCAAATGTCCAAACTTCTGGAGTCTTCATTTTTGGTTTTTGATACTTCAAAGAAATAGACTTAATTAATTGTCTGAACCAAGTCTGATCCTTGAGTATGGATCCATCTTTTCAAATAAGGCTGCTGATTTCAATGGCATCAAAAGATATTTAATTAATTAATGAGTGATTCGAAAGGTTTTCTGCATTGGCTTTTCTTTAAGAAATGGCATCCAGTACCTTCAGTCGGAAGTACTATTGCCTTGTTTTCAATAATTGGTGTGATTTTCGTGGCTTTGGGAATAGTGATAACAGTGATCAATAATAACATTTAGGAAGTAACGATCTATAAATATGATCAAAAATGTTCACCTGTTGAATATAATAAGAGATGCAGTTTTACGCAGAAATTGGATAACATGAAAGCTCCAATTTACTTTTATTACGAGCTTGAGAATTTTTATCAAAATCATAGACGATATGTGAAGTCCAAATCATCAACCTAATTGTCAGGAGAAGAGATTTCACTTTCAGATGCGGAGAAGTATTGCGACCCCATCATTTACAACAAAGACCTGGAGGAATGGCAATAGAATGTGTATATAACAGAAACAAATACTCTTGTTCCAAAGGAACGCCAACCAGACGACATTGCAAGTCCTTGTGGATTGGTGGCTAAGAGCTTCTTCAATGATACTTATGCTTTGAGTTTATAGGGCAAGGATGTTGAGTTGAATTAAACGGGAATCAGTTGGCCCAATGACAAAGGTAAAAAGTATAAGCGAGCACCTGATTCTGAGACCACTCAATGGATTGACCCAGAGAATGAGCATTTCATAGTCTGGATGAGGACTGCAGGACTGCCCACATTCAGGAAACTGTGGGGACGCATAGAATAGGATATAGAGGAGGGAGAATACACGTTCGAATTCTCAAATAATTACAATCCGCAAATGTTTGCTGGAGCTAAGAATATTGTGCTTTCTACATCTGGACCTTTTGGAGGGAAGAATCTGTTTCTTTCGATTGCCTTCATTGTTGTGGGGGTAATTTAATTGTTGATAGCTTTGGCATTCTTAATTAAAAAAATAAGAGCTGGACCTTCATTTGGATAGAAAAATGAATGATTTTCATTTGACTGGATGATCAAAATCAAATAAATATTATAATTAATTTTAATGCAAACTTGTTCAAAACACAAAGATTAATAAATTGATTTGATTTGTCTAGAATCGGCCTGCAAATCTCACGTCGCTTGTGTTTAGTGTCTGATTGAGGATCATTCCGATCACCCAGAACAATGTCTTTTTATAGATGACATTTTAAATGTAATTAATATAATACACAGTGTAGAATAACATCAAATTGGAAAACTCTAAAGTGATTGATTTTGTGACCAAACTCAGAAGTGAATAAGATTTTGTGAGTGTTGTAGATAGAGAATTCGTTTCCATTTAAAACGAAATATTGTTGAAATTCGACGGCTTTTAGTATTCATGATATCCAATTATTTAGAGAAGACTTGCAGATCTATTATAATCAATTGACTCCTAAGGAGATTCAACAAAAAGAGATAGAATTTTTTGATCTGCTCAAAAACATCACCAATTGCCAAGAAATTGTGAGATTGTATCAATCCTATTAAAGTGGAAATATCAACAAAACCAAATTGAATCAAGATTTAAATGCATTGATTAATAAACCCGAGATTGAATAGAACAAGTAGCAGATATTTACAATCTATAAATGTCTATTGTAATAAAGCTTGAAATTGTAGAAGAAGGACTTAAATGTATTTTGATGTTGTTATCATAGTAAATACAAAATGATATACTCGAAACACTTCAAGAGATACCTAAATTATTATCCTTAGAGAAATCCATCTAATTCTACAGTTTGTAGGGTAATAAAAGTACTATCGAAAACGGGAATATCATTACAATAACATCATAAGACCAATAGGTAGTAATTGTATCATAAAATACATTCTCCTATCCCAATAAATATTAATTTACTATCTAAGTTGAGCAATATGATACTAGCTAAAATTAATAATTGCAGGTTGGATTTGCTCATCATTCTAAATTAATGAATTACAACTATTTCTATAGATAGAATAGTAGTGCCTATTTCGGATTGAGTAACACAGGCAGAATCAATTTCTCTGTTTAGAAACCAGAAGGCAAGATCATAGGAGAGTCTGTGAGATAGTAAGCATTCATATCATACTAGAGCGTTAAAAGAGAAAAGACCTGCTCATATCACAGTATCTTTAGATATCCAAAATAAATAATGCTTATTGCAATATGAAGACATTAAGATTGAATACAGTAAAAAGAAGTGTTCAAAGTTGGGATTCGGCGGAGAGACAGGTGCTGAATAGTTCTTCTAGAAAAATAAGAAATTTGTATTGTTTTTTATAGGAAATTTGGCAGATATGAAATGCAAGGTGGTTTGAATATATAATAATAAATATGGCATGAATTTATTTATATGTTCATTTAAAGTTCTCAGAATACCATTTTTTAGTGAATTCATCACAATCCAACAATTGAAATCTCCATCCATTTATCTACACTTCATTCCCTACAATGAGATCTCCGGGAGTAAAGAATTCATTGTTATTATTCACATTCTTATACTTTCTTTTTTCCAAGAACTTTCCATCAGGAATACCTAAAATGATTATGCGTGAAGATACCTGAATTTCTAACGGTGGGTTCATATACCAACAGACTATCATCATTTAAAAAGAATGTGATTACAAAAACTCTGTCCTTGTCTTCAGGCTTGGTAGTATTGAACATGGCTAGGAATCTGAGATTGACTTGGTTATCAACCCATTTGAAGAAATCCTTCTTGGGAGGTTTAGGTTGTAATCTGTAGATATATCCAAGCGAGTCCTATTCATCTCCAATTCCATTATGAGGAGGGATTATAATATCTAGATGATAAATAGAAAATACTGGATCTTTCTTATTGAACATATTCTTCTTGACCTCCTAAGGGGAAATCGACGTTGAATTTTTCAAAATAGTATTATCTAGTGAATTGATCACACCCGTTGATGAGGAATTTGCGATTGTAAATAATGAGTGGTTATCCAAATTAGATATCTTGTGGTCTAATGAAATCCTCAGCATATGTTTATCCAGGTTGATTGAGTGAGAATTTCCTGGGCAGTTTTTACCTTCTCAACATCATAGGGAATGGGACTCTTCCTGAATTGGCTGAATTGATTTCTTTGATTTCAATGGTGTCATCAGCCAAATAATAGTGAAGAATGTATTCGATGTCTGAAAACACATAGAATTTAAGGACCTAATGATTATCAATTTAGAATCAAACCTTTCTGTCGTTTTCTAAGAATTACTTTTAAGAAGTAACCTTGCCACCTCCTAATTTATGTTCTAAGTAATCTTTCATCACTGTGTCTTTTTAAGGTACGAATTTAGTCATAGTTTTGGTTTCAAAAGAGTCTGATTGAGGTACAAAGGAAGGTTCCTAAGGTATTCCTTGTAACTAAGAAATAAGGATTGGGATTACTTCGTAGAACTCTCTGGTGTATTGATCGCAATCAAAAAGACGAATGGTTTTTCCAAAGATGATGATATCCTGATTGATTCTGAAATCTTCAGGTAGTATGAAGGTCTTTGAATCATCTGCTCTTAACACCTAATTTAGATGGGGAGAGCATACCTTTTATCGTTTAAGGAATGCTCCTTGGGGTACACCACTATTTTCTTATTTTGGTTCAGTTATGCTCAGTGAATGATCTTCAAGATAATAAAAGACGGTAATCTTGCGAATACGATAATTCTCAAGTGCAGATTCAACAACTGCTTCTTTGAAGTACCCACTGAATCTAAGGACATGCCTATCCATTTTGACCCAACTGGGTTAGTATAATTCTTCAGAATCATTGTTGGCATTCTATGATGTAACTGTTATTTTACTTTGGGAAGATGCATTGCATGAGTTGTACTCATATAATCAGGATTGAACATTCCTGATTATGGTGGTATTTGAATTGGTTATTTACGAGGTACAGCATATTCTTTATTGGGTAGATGATGGACTTCTCTATTTTATTCCTGTTTGGTTGATGAGACCTTCCTGAAGTTTGGTTTCTAGTATTATTATTAAGTGAGTGTTACATCGATCTCCTAAGTGGGAACAAAGCCTGGTAATTTAGGGAAAGCTGATGCCATTTAATTAATATATTATTATTCATTCTGATAATTCATCAGCTGGATTCTCTCTATCAGATGGATCGTTATTGTCCATCGAGTCCTCTTTAGTCTAAGTATAATTGGTCTTATTTTGCTCAATCAGATTAGTCACCTGAATGTCGGAGTCTTCTGGTTCAGGCTCCTCCTGAACCGTCTAATTTTACTTTGGAATGCAGATCTGAATTGTTGGTTTTTCAGCCTCTTCAAATATTGCAGATAACTAAGACATACGATGATCGAATTACCTATTGAATCGACTTCTAGATCTTCATGGTTGGGAAGTACAATCCATACATGATGTTCTTATGGTCTCTGGCTTTCCAAAGCAAGAATTCGAATTGATCTCTATTATTCTTGAAGTATTCTCCAACATAGCTGATTTAAGTTGCCAAATTCGCCAGTATTGCTATCATACAAAAACTGTAATTCTTGTCCATGTCATATTGTGATCTAACGGCATTCAGTATTGAAGAACCCTTAAAACAGGATAAGGAGTTCGATATCTTGAATGGCTCACACAATAGAGCTTGCAAACGGATTTCCACATATCCATCATTCATTTTGAGCAACTGCTCGATAGTCTAGGAAAGTGGATCCAAATATTGCCAATCTGCATAATAGTCTAACATGTGAGACACTATCAAGGTCATTATATGATAACTGGTGCCTTCATCCTTCCAACAAATGTGTTTGATCATATCAATCAAATTGGACTAGAATTGAATCATGGCCAAGATGTACTTCTTGAAATCATCACTCTCCAACAATCTCTATAACCAGTACTGATCAATATCCATTTCCTTCTATCCTTTGAATAGGTAGGTTGGTGCATCCTCGTTCAATTCAACCATCTTCTAGGTCCTACAACTCATTATCACTTTAGCAATTATATCGCAGATCACCATCAATGGCTAGTCAGTGTTGTTCGTTTATAATTACATCAACTTAAATGATGTACCCATCTGCACTGCTGAAACTTAATCCTGTAATAATGAATAAATCTATTTGAAGTATTCTTGTTGATAGAAGTGTTTCACCAAATGTTGGTTGTGCACCAAAATATACTTGATGACTTAGAAGTACTCTGTTCCCCTTCTGAGAGTATTCTTCACCATTCCTAAAAGTTATTGTATGTAGAATTGAAGGAATCGCCCTATGCATGAGTTTTCGAATAAGTAGTATTGTTCATGCTCAACAATTATGGCGATTGATTGGATAATCAATTATGCAAAGGCGTTCCTAACATCTGGATAAGAAGATTCAATCAATAGATCGATGATCAATTATTTGTGATTTCGTAATAAATCTAACAACCAGAAATTGGCAGCTGGTTCTTATTTGTACAAGTCACTCAACAACTAGATATTATACTAAAACATCTATTGGTCTTTGTTCCTTAATAAAATCTCATAAGTAAAGAAAGTAAATAGTTTAATTATTCTAAATGAAGGGAGGCTGTCCAATTCACTTAAATTGCTTTCTTTAGATAATAATTGAGTCACTTTGTAAGGAGTCTTGATCTACAAGGTCTATACAAAATTTTGGATGAACTTCAAATAATCCTGAGTACAAAATAACTGATTCTTCAAATACTCAGTATTCTCACTAATTACTTGTTGAGTCAAGAGTTCCTCATTCGGACCTTTCATGTATAATTGTTCAGGAATGTTATGCTTGACCTTCTCATAGAATAAGATGTAAGCATTCTTACTATTATTCATCCCCCATTCTGAAAGGTTGTTGTTGGCTCCTCCAAAGCATTCAGTTTTGAGATTCTCAATCTTGAATGGACAAATCACCTTATCGTTGAACTCATACCACTTATCGACATCTCGAATAAATGAGTAATAATGTCCTCCTTCTGCACTACCAACGTGAACCAATACTCCTTTGAGGATGTACATATAATCACTCTAATCTTCAATCTCCTTGTTCTCTACAATGTGATCGCGAGTCCACTTAAACATATTGATCTCCTGAGGGAATTCAAAATAATCATTGATCTTAATCCTCAACATAGTATTGTAATCAAATTCAAATCGCTTTAGATGGAAGATGAAAGTGTTGGGTAGTTTCTTGAAGTATTATCTCTTTTAGACATCTATCTTTCTCTACACCTCCTCACATAAATACTTATTCTCGCCATCAAGAACATCCCCCTTGACAAATAGATCCAATGCCTCCTCAAGACATTTCTTATGTTTGATATCAACTGAGACAGTGAGGAATGGTTCTTCATTTTCCCTCCTAAAATCATACTCTGGCTCGAGTGATTTAATTTCATTTACCATAGTACCACCCAAGATTTAGGGTATCAGATTGGATTAATTAGTGAATTTCTAATCTTGTTCTAATTTATCAGTAATTAAATTAAAGAATTCATTGCAATCCTATTGAATAAGGACATTGATGACTTCCCCGTCGTATCCCTTCAAAGTCTTGATTAATTGATGTGGATTGGTATACTGCTTCACAGATTCTTATAGTTGAATGAACACTAGTTGCAATTGGTGTAAAGTATGATCTGTTAATTTTCGTTGCAGAATAGGGGATTCAATAGCACTGATATTGTCAAAGATGAGAGGAGCCTTCATCTCAGTGATCATGATCTACCCATTTAGGATTCCCTTACGGAAGGGGATATTCATATAGAATTATTGTAACAGAGAATTAATATAGCAAGTAGCTCCCAGATTGCGTAATCCTACGAAACCATGAGAACCTTTGACTCCCAAGTCCATGTCTACCTCATTGACATCAAACTTCAATTTGTGATTGTTTTGAATATGAAGCAATATCACTTGGAGGTGATTGTCATCTTTACACAATTCCAATAGTAATTAGAATACTCTCTTTCTTGTTAGTTTTCGTTTATAAACAGGGTATTTGTAATAGTCATTGTTCATATCAAACAAGCATTTGTATAAGTATTTTGTAAATTCAGTGTCTACCTTGATGTTTTTGTCAACCTACACCAAAGAAGTCAACAATAGCAAATTGCCTTACAATAACTTATCCTCATTTTCAGTGAACCTTTACTCAATAATTTCCCTATTTGAAATCAATAAAATAATCTATTAAGCCAATTGATGAGTATCAAAGAAGGTCAGATCATTCACCTACCCAATCAATCCAGCAATCACAAGATACAACTCATCATGTTAGGTTTCTCCTTTAATTAAGGCCTTCAAAATATCATTGCTGAGATTCACACCATTTCTCTTTCCAATATCTTGAAGAGTTAGTATGAAGTAGGCAGTCATTTTTCGTTGTTCCTCATTTGGACTAGTTAGCAATTCGACCAACCTTTAGATGGGCACTTCGACTGCCAGTAGTTCAGGTCTCATATAGAGGATGCATAAGATGTTGGTGTAGATCTATTCAACTCCGATTCTTTGGATCAGAGTTTCTAATAGTACTTTCCACTCTACTTCCAATTCGCAATTGTAGAACACTTGCTAGAGAAGGTGGGCTTCATCAAATCCTTAGATGTTAGGTTTCTCTTACTTCTATACTTAAATACTCAATAAACTGCATAGTTTAGGATCTTCATCCTTCTGTTGTACAGCTTACTTTAATTTTAAGAGTTATAGGAAATCATTCTAATTCTTCATCAATCTACTCATTGAGTATGCCGAGAAGTAAATTTAGAAGATATCTAAAATGATGATCAAAATTTCGATTGAGTTCTCTAATTGAAATAACAATAATTTCAAACCACCATAATGGAGGAAGTTCTCTCTTAATGCCTTTCTCTTTTCATATTCATCTTAATCTTCAATGAAATCGCATTACAATTGTTCCTTTAGTATTTACAAGTGATATTATAACTTGTATTTGTTGTCTACCATCAACAGATTAAACCAATCCTTCTATGATTACTCAATCAACTCATAGACTTCTTTATTCCTGGGAATCATTTGCAAGATAGACCAAATCTTAGTGTTCTATTCAGGATTCCCTTCATTAAGGAGTATGAATAGTTAATCAACGTAATTATTTGAAATTAGTGAAGCAAACGAAATCTCATCGATTTGCTGTTTCATCGCAGGCTTTTATTACTTCTTAACCTATGGATTCTTTTATTAGTATTCCTAAAGCAGTTGTTCTCCACGATCCAAAATATCACAAATAGCATTTTCTACTTGCCAGTTCTTTTCCTTCAACACAGAGACTATGAAATCTCTGTCCTGTATTTACACTATATTTATAATCTCTTGCACTTTCTCATCTGAATCAGTTGGCACATATTCATTAGAGATCTAATTGGTCGTACTGTTATACGCAGTAATTTCATCTGTCAAGTGTTCTCTCTTTGATATTACAAAAGTCAATTTCTAATTCACCTTATAATCTTTAAGTGATTTATTGTCGTCAAATAGAATTCCTCGGCAAAAGATGTCGAATTCATCTGGTTTCAAGGATGGGTTCAATTTCTATCCAATTATCTACTTGGCTTATATTACAGACAATCCACTCAGCAATTGAATGTCCTATCTCTTTGGAGGCATGGCATTCATGTATTTATTATCAATGGTCACGAATACCTTCTCCCCCTATTCAGCCAATTAGTACCCTTCAAACTCCTCTAATAATTTGATAATGAATGATAGAGAATTGGGATTGTTAATTTAATTGAACAATTGCACTAAGTATTGCTATTTCAATTGATTTAAAATGGTCTGTGATTGTTTGAATCTCAATAGTCTTATGAAAAATTCCTGTAATTTAGGTCCCAAATTCTCTTGTTACTTGAAGATCTTCCATAACACTTACAACCCAATAATGTCCGCATCCACAATTGTGTATTGATCATACTGCAACTTCATTACCTTATATTGAACATTGAAGTACAGAATCACATTTGTTAAACACTACAACATGGATTAACTTAGAGATGCACACTTAATTGTTGAGATGAACAAAAACTCTATGGCTTCCTAATCTAAGAACTTCTTATTGACATCCCCAACCCAATTGAAAAAGAGGTCTCTCTCATCTGCGCATCTTGCATTTTCGACCAATAATTTCCACAATATCATCAGTTAAGGTCTTGTGATTTTTGAATCTTAATGAAGAAATTGATAGAATTTAACAAACTGCTCAATTATTTATAAGTAATCCTTGATTTCCCTTTTTAACATCCTTAACTTTTCTCTTCCCATTACTCTCAAGAAGTTCAATTTAATATCATATTTGTCTTAGATCCATTTCAAAACATCTTTAGAATTGGTAAACTCATCCAAAGGATAAGATGATGAAATGATCTTTTATAATACAGTGATGTAATTACAAACTGGCAATGGTTACTCTTAAGCAATCAAATTTGAAAATCCATGCAATAAATACTACTATCTGAGTGCTTTGAATTGATGACAAATCAAGTTGATTGCTATTGTGAAGGCTGACTGACCAATTTCACTTTTTGGTTATTCATGAACGATGTTTAATAAGAATTCTACAATTTGGGATTTCAATGTGATCGCCTTCTCATTATCAAATTACTCTATATTTTCAATTTAAAATTATTCTATATCCTTGGTATCAGTTTCATTTTAAAATTATCCCATTTTTGGACCCTGTGTTTAACATTTAAATGATTCTATTTCTTTACTGTCTGTTTCATATTATTAATACTTCCTTTTTCCACCCACTCTCTCATTCTGTTTTCCAAATTTATCATTATTGTTTCCCATGCCTTTATTCTAGTTCTCCAGATCCTATCTCAGATATTTGTTTCTCCCCAAACTCTTAATGAAATTGAGTCCATTCTAATCTATCTGACTCTACTAGATATTTTGAATCATGGTTTCAACATCTTCTAATGATAAGATTTCTGCTAGATCTGTGAGTAGTTTGGAGATCATATTGTCCCAAGTTTCATGTTTACCCTTGCCTAATCTGAGAATGCTCAAGATGTCATCCTTACTTAGTTTGTTATGCAAATACAGAAATTGAATGATTGGAAAACTTCTCTTAATCAATTCAAAGTGAGCCTTCTCTCCAAATAACTCTTAGAATACTTGATTATCCACCATATATTTGAGTACTCTGTCATTCTTATACCATTCATCATTAATGCCGTATTGCTGATCCATATATTCATTGGACTGAGCAGTGTTGATTTTATCACAAAACTGTTACAATCCTTAAATTAGTTTAATAATTAGTTACCATAGATTCTCTTCTCCAAGGCTGTGCAACGGAAACATTGCAAATACACACTCATTTCAGCCAAGGCAATGAACTCTTTCCTCTAGGATTAGTTGCAAAATTGATCAAACATGTTCTCGATCCCATCAGTCAACTTTTTGATTGTGTCTCTATTAGTGTTCTTGATTTCCTCCTCTGTCAATTTGGATGGCAAATTCTGAAACTCAAAATGATGGAAGTAATTCTACTATTTCTACTTATCTAGTATGGGATTGAGATAGTGGAAGATGGTCAAGATGTCCAGATTATTTAAATTGAAATTCCTAATGGCATCATCCAAGAGAGCAAACCCCCCATTTTTGTAGAAGTAATGAACTTGCAATCTTTGGAATGGAGAGAAAGCGAACACATCCTGACTCATTTTGTTTGAATCCAAGATCTCGCCCTTAAGTGGATAGAAGGTCTTGGAATTGTAGGGCTCTGTTGAATAGTTATTGTCGTAGCCCTCAGCCTCGGAACTTACTTCATATTGTAATCGCTCGCCGTAGAAGTCATTCAATGCGTCTATATACACACTTACCTCTCTAATTCTACTATCATAGAGAGAATTGCATGGGAGGTTGTGCACGCGTTTTAAGAGGGCCAAGGAAATCTGAGGCTGTTCTTTCCAGAGCTTGAGAGACACTCTTTGAACGAGGAAAAGGATCTCGTTCATGTAACACTAGATCTTTAGTCTGCTGATCTCAATCAAACTAGTTAGAAAGAAGGTCAATACACTTTATCGAAAAAGATATCTATCATCGGCAGGAGACGCTTGTTAACATATTGGTTTAGGTCTGGGACGATGAGTGCTCGATCGTAGAGAATGGCTTTTAACTCGATCTCGAGTTCGGATAGGTATTCCATCCATTTAGTAGATTAAACTTAATTTAGATGTGATGGCTACATGTGTGCAATTAGGAAGTCTTGCCTAGATGCAATGCATCATTTAATTCTATTATTTCATATCCCTCCTCGAACCTCTTGATTTTGTCCAAATCGTAATAAAGCTCACTGTAGGTAGGGGTTTTGATGTATCTCCTTGGCTGTTGTGAAATATATCCGTATTTTTCAGCATCAGCTGTCTGATTTAATTGATTCATAATATAAATTAATATACTATCAGATATTCACATTATGAAGTTTTAAACTACACTTTTATACACCAATCCCCTTGATGAANGATTGGAAAACTTCTCTTAATCAATTCAAAGTGAGCCTTCTCTCCAAATAACTCTTAGAATACTTGATTATCCACCATATATTTGAGTACTCTGTCATTCTTATACCATTCATCATTAATGCCGTATTGCTGATCCATATATTCATTGGACTGAGCAGTGTTGATTTTATCACAAAACTGTTACAATCCTTAAATTAGTTTAATAATTAGTTACCATAGATTCTCTTCTCCAAGGCTGTGCAACGGAAACATTGCAAATACACACTCATTTCAGCCAAGGCAATGAACTCTTTCCTCTAGGATTAGTTGCAAAATTGATCAAACATGTTCTCGATCCCATCAGTCAACTTTTTGATTGTGTCTCTATTAGTGTTCTTGATTTCCTCCTCTGTCAATTTGGATGGCAAATTCTGAAACTCAAAATGATGGAAGTAATTCTACTATTTCTACTTATCTAGTATGGGATTGAGATAGTGGAAGATGGTCAAGATGTCCAGATTATTTAAATTGAAATTCCTAATGGCATCATCCAAGAGAGCAAACCCCCCATTTTTGTAGAAGTAATGAACTTGCAATCTTTGGAATGGAGAGAAAGCGAACACATCCTGACTCATTTTGTTTGAATCCAAGATCTCGCCCTTAAGTGGATAGAAGGTCTTGGAATTGTAGGGCTCTGTTGAATAGTTATTGTCGTAGCCCTCAGCCTCGGAACTTACTTCATATTGTAATCGCTCGCCGTAGAAGTCATTCAATGCGTCTATATACACACTTACCTCTCTAATTCTACTATCATAGAGAGAATTGCATGGGAGGTTGTGCACGCGTTTTAAGAGGGCCAAGGAAATCTGAGGCTGTTCTTTCCAGAGCTTGAGAGACACTCTTTGAACGAGGAAAAGGATCTCGTTCATGTAACACTAGATCTTTAGTCTGCTGATCTCAATCAAACTAGTTAGAAAGAAGGTCAATACACTTTATCGAAAAAGATATCTATCATCGGCAGGAGACGCTTGTTAACATATTGGTTTAGGTCTGGGACGATGAGTGCTCGATCGTAGAGAATGGCTTTTAACTCGATCTCGAGTTCGGATAGGTATTCCATCCATTTAGTAGATTAAACTTAATTTAGATGTGATGGCTACATGTGTGCAATTAGGAAGTCTTGCCTAGATGCAATGCATCATTTAATTCTATTATTTCATATCCCTCCTCGAACCTCTTGATTTTGTCCAAATCGTAATAAAGCTCACTGTAGGTAGGGGTTTTGATGTATCTCCTTGGCTGTTGTGAAATATATCCGTATTTTTCAGCATCAGCTGTCTGATTTAATTGATTCATAATATAAATTAATATACTATCAGATATTCACATTATGAAGTTTTAAACTACACTTTTATACACCAATCCCCTTGATGAATTATAATTAAATTATACTTATAAGCAATTTAAACCGTCCTCGAGGTACGAATTTCACGAAAAAAGCAGTCATCACTGTTGGCAGTTCTAATCAGCCAATAATCTCATTGTAAATTCATTCCTATTGATTCCATTTTATACATTAATTTAATTTTTACTCAACCTCACTCTTATGGGAATTTGCACTTCGCATAGATCCAACTCAGATCACAAAGATAACACCCTCACTTCAGAACCACAATTAAGTTATAAATCTTAGATTCAACAAATGAAGTCCATATATCTTGATGCCGACTAATTGCTGTTAGATGAAATATCAAGCGATGCCGATCAGATGGCTTAAGAAAAGGAGAAACGTACTTTCGTACAGAGAGAAGTCCCAATATAATTGCTCTCTGAAAAACCAACAAAAACCTATAAATTAGTTTTCGATTCCTTGTCTAATTTGCATCGAAAAGTTCCTGTTCTTTCGTCGAATGAGAACTCAATTATTCAAAAAAGGAAAAGCCTATAGCAATTATGAGTTAATAAATTTTCAAATGAATTCAGTCATACAGAGAGATTATTATTTAATTTGATCAATATTAATAATAATAATATCATATTAAATTATAAATGTCTGAAAAAAGAGATAAATTATGTTCTCTTACCTACACCTGCATGATCACCGTCTGCTATTTGGGAGCCATAGGATTATGCCGAACCGTGCTCTTCTCAAACATTCTCAAAATAGACGACAAAGTAATAAACTCAGTTTCATTGGGCATATTCAGCCTCGTTTTTTTGCTTGGCCCCTTGTCGTTGCCATTCTTTCAAAAGATGATCCTGAAACTCACCTACAAGTATCTAATAATATTTGATTCAGAGCAGTATTTTTTATCACCAGTCTAGCCAATATCTTTAGCATGACCTTGTACATCGTTGTCATTGAACAACAACCCAAGGGCGTTTACTTAATTGTAACAATCCTGATCTTTGAGGCCATCTCAGCTCCCTTTATGGCAATCTTCTATTGTGCATTCAATTACTATGTTCGAAGCATGTCAAATAAGATCAATGTAGGCATCTACTTCGGCGTGGCTTACTCATTATTCAGCATGCAAAACCTCATCGGCGACATTTACGTGATCTTTGAAGGGAAGATGTTCGAGTACAATCAATACTTCTATTACCCCATGCTTGGAGTATCCTTGCTCATAACATTCCTATACTGGTTCATCAAAGAACCAGAGTCATTGTCAAAATCAGCAACCAAACAAAGCATTGATTTAGAATAGAAATTAAACGAACATTTATATGGTTCATTGATGGACGATGACAATTAAAAGAATTATGCTAATAATAACGAATACGTCAATCAATTTAAGCTAATCTGGAAAATACCAAAGTAGTACCCTCAATTTATGTATTTAATCCCTACCATCATTTCCATTGGGATGTTCGGTGCCTTCAGTGTGGTGTACTCCTAGGATATGATAGAACCAAACTATACGAATGTCTAATATTTGAAACCTGCCATAGTTACCAATCTCAGCATTCATGGGATTGGATAATTCTTGGGAGGAATCCTGATTGGATTGCTTTCCTACTCCTACAGCTACTTAAATTTGTTGATGGCATTGCAGATTTTTGGAGCTACAACCTACATATTGTCAGTAAATTTGATTGTATTAATTAAGGATTGTTGGTGAAGCAGATGAGATCAACAATAATAAGAATAGCTTGGTGTATGCTTTCAATTTTATGTCAGGATTACTAATCTCAGCTGTCCAAGTCCTGACCTTCTCTTATTGCGGCTTTGAGTATGTTGAGAATAGGAACGTACTCCAATTGTGCAACTGGATTTACTGTTGGAGTTTCTACTTCTTCACTGTTGTGATGAGTATTCCCAATATTCCAGGCACTCCCAATCAATATTTAATTATTAGTGTAAATGTATTTGGATCTTTCTTACTTGCCTATTGTGTATTGAATTTCATATGTTTATGGTTTCACAAAAGGAAATTCTTGTAATTGCGAGAAAATGAATGAGTGATTAAATATAGCATTAAACATAGTACCAATAAATAATTATAATTAATGTACAATTACAAGTACAATTTCGAACAAAACTCTTAACATCGAATAGAAATCTTAGAAATGAGTGATGAGAAATGCAAATTCAGTTTTGAAGGTGATTTGTCTATTGCCAATGCAATTCGAAGAGTAATGATTGCTGAAGTGCCTGTAAAGTGTTGGACTAAATTATTAGGTCATGGCAATTCATTTCGTTGATATTATTGAGAATACCAGTCCCCTATCAGATGAATTCCTCGCTTAGAGACTTGGTTTGATTCCGTTGGTTTCATATGCTGCTGATAGCAAAATGTACGATTGGGAAGCGGATGCTGATTCCATTGATGATCAGAAAACTAAAGTTGTGTTTACTTTGAGATAAAAAAATCTGAATGATGCTCCCTTAGAAATTACGAGTCAACATCTTGAACCTGAATTTGGATAAGTGGGTGAAATGGCTATTAGACCTGTCAGAATGTTTTCGCCAATCAACGGCAAAGAAGTGGGCATTCCCATTACAAGATTAGGAAAGAATCAATCTGTTCATGTTCGTTGTCATGCTCTCAAAGGCTTTGGTAAAATGCATGCTAAATGGACTCCCATCAACATTGCAACATTCAGACATGAAGCGGGTATATTTAAAAAATAAATCATACGCAGAACTCCTTATCGATCATGTCTAAGCATAATAATTGTCACTCTTTGAAAAACAGTCAATCAGAGATTCTTGTCCCATGAATGTTTTCGCCATGGATGCCAATTAAGAACTTATTGTCAATGCCATCGAAAAGTGTGTGTTCTGTGAAGAATGTATTCGTTGCGTAACTCCATACATTTAATACTTAGGCTGAATCAATCAAGAAACCAAGATTGATCAAAATGCAACATAAAAAAAATAAATATATCTTCACTGTTGAAAGTGCTGGACAATTGAAAGCTGTAGATATCGTAAAATAAGTAAATGCATGTTTCCATATGTAGGCCTTGATTGTTTTGCGAAAGAAAGTAGATGAAATATCTTAAGATCTTAGTTTTGCATAATAATACTAACAGATTTGAAATTAATTTTATTATTGTCTAGTATATATGTCGATTTATATACAATTTAAATAAGTCTATAATCAGTTCTCAAAAATAAATTTTTTACATCAAATAATTATGCTGTCGTGTGTGTCCTTAAATTCTAAAGATAGTTTGGAGGAGTTTCTGTAATTGTATCAGTGCAAAGATTCAAAGAAAAAAACCATATTGAAAAAAGAACGAGAAATCGTCCAATACTTAAAAGGGCTAGGTCTTCAGATGAAAACTGACCCTCTGTTAAAGTTATAACGAATCGCCAAGTAAATCGCACACACTAAAATAGTTTTACCATTTAAAAAGATGTATCACCTAATCCAAATGAGGAAATTGTTCTAGAGAGGAAACAATAAAACGATGCAGAAGATGAATTCAACATTTCAAACAACCCTTTAATCAAAAGAGGAAGTCGAAGAATCATTCGCACCTACTCTTTCGAAAATAAGGACCAATTACTAAATGACAATGTTGAACCACATCATTTTGACTGAATAACCATATTTGTTACAAATTTTGTATTTTCTATAAAATTCAATAAGATTCTTGAAGAATTTAAAAATCAAGCATTTATTAAAAATTCTGGTTGTATAATTTGATTATATTATAATAGTCAGATTTATTTATAAGGAATGATAAGACTTAATATTAAATTCAAACAGTGATTTTTTACTTGGTTTTACATCTTGTCCCTCTTCCTTATTATTAATTAGCAAAAGCATTTAAAACAGAAATCAAATCGGAAGCCATATTAATTAAGTATTCTTTAAAGGATGTAGGTATCATCATTATAACATCAAAAATGAATTGAAATCCATACATTTCATTCTAAAAATGAATAAAATTAATTTTATATACATTATGATTTGCAAAATTGAATGCTAAATCCATAAAGGTGAAAAACTATCTGCTATTTGTGTTGATTCCTATTGCGTTGCCAACACTCAATGCTGTCCTCTCTGCATCAAGGAATCACATAATGTACATGAACACAAAGTCGTGTCTCTAATTTCCTTACAGTCATTTATTTCTGATCAAGAAAACATTAAAAGACAGAATCTTGAATTCAATTCTGTTAAATAGCAATTGATAGCCAACAGACTCTAATTGGCTGAACTCACAGAAATGATTGATGCCAAAATTGAAAAGCTAAACAAAAATTAACTTGGTTTCAATTTATCAATCGATTAATTGATGACTCTAGATTCAGAAGAATTACCCGTCCTCAAAATTCTACTCAATCAATATGAAATTCAGAACAATATGATCGTTGGAATTGACCAACAAATCAAGTCGAAGATGGAGATGCAAATCTCTTAATTACTTTCTTAGATCAATATTTTAACTACTGAGTATACAAAAAAAATTAGCTAAACTCTATCCAAGCTTTCAGTAGAGTAATTTAAGGAAGAACTGAAATTTTCCGAGGTCAATAAACATAAGCATATTCAGTTGAATGAAGGCAGGACAGCAACACTCACATAGTAAATCGGATATGCTGTCATATATAGTGAGTAAAGCTTTGATCCTACAAAAGAAAGCTTCAAATGCTCTTTCTTAATTAATGTAATCTATAATAGATATTCTTTAGAATCTATCCTACGGTTTAGTTGGATTTGGGTCCTTAGAAGCAAGCAAGACTATGCAGTATCAAATCTATGACTTCTCCAAAGGGCATGGGTTCTATGCGCTTCATAACACTGGTGTCATTTACCACAGCGATGATCCAGCCATTAATAACACCAAAATCAAACCTCTTTCATTTGACAAAGCAGATTCAGTTGTTTGTTACTATGATGCTCAATCATAATCATTTACATTCTTTAAGGAATCCAATAAGAATGAGAAATACACAATGAAACATATTGACCCATCTAAGAAATTATATCCAGTTGCCATTCTCTTTGGTCCAGGTGATTCAATATCATTTATTTGAATGATATAAAAATGTTTTATTTATAATTTGTAATTAAGCAAAGCTAAAAAACTACCAACCAGGATCAAAATCTAATGAGATTCCTCTAGATTAGATATATAGATATAGATGTAAATCACTCCCAAAATTTATAATTAAAACTGACAACTTTTAAATCTGACTCTATAATATTATAATTTTATTTTCAAAACTACTATTTAAACTTAAGATTGTTATTCATTCTTTTATATTAACTATTTTAGTACTAAATCTCTTTTATTATATTATTTTCATAATTTAATTCATTTTATAATTTTAAAAAATAACCATTTTAGACACCTAAATCCTTCTAATAATATTAGATTTGTTTCTTCTATTCTCAATCAGGTTTTCCCATAGAAATTGTGTTTATTGGTGTATAGTTTACAATGGTCCAACAAAAGGAAGTGATTTGGGTATAATTATAATAATTGATATATTAATAATTAATACAAAAATGGGATAGTTTTTAGGGCATTTACAAAATGCATAACCTCCCCAATCAAATCCATTACTTAATAATTCAATATCAAAATTACGTGAGTATCATGGGTCTTTTCAATCTGTTTGCGATACCTTTAGTATAGATTTGACAGAGTTCGAATAGATATTCGGAAGCAATGAAACAATGTTTTAGATATGGGATACAGACAACAACGGGTATTATAGTTAAGAATATGTGTAGATTGATCAACGCTTTGGAATTATTTTCAGGTTTAATAATTTTTGCAGAGAGTAATTTCGAGGAAAAGGCGCGATTTTTATTTGATCTATTTGATTTCAATGAATTGAATTCCTTGAGTTTAGTAAGAATATATGTGATAACTTAAGATTGATTTGGATTTTATGTTGTTGTCATGTGCAAATGCCACATTCAAAATAATGCAGATAAATAATGAAGTAAATGAGGAAGAAATCTCGGATTTCTTAAGCAATTTTTTTTCGGACAATCAAAGAGTAAACATAAGCCAGTTTTTGAAATGGTGTGTGAAGACTGAGGAGATAAGACAATTCCTATAATTGATAAAAAAGGAGGCTCCTGAATTGAAGGTTACAGCATAAGCGGAATAACTGAGTCAGAAAATCGATGTCCTCAGATAGGTATCGAACAAGGAGTTTAGAAAGAAACTCTTATTGCCAGACTCCAAGCGTCCCTACTTTGATCAGAGGAATCTTGGGTAAGAATAAGGAAGTATTCTAGATCCATATTATCGTCAAAGGCATATCATTCAAAAATCTAATGGATAAGTAGTTTGGCAAAGAAGGTTTATGCTCCCTAGCCGCAAGTGTTTTAGAAAGATGTTTATGCAAAAATGAATTGGGTCTATGGATTTCGGGGGAAGGATGTGAAACGACCCTTGCTTTATATAAAGGTGCAATCGAATACAGATAAAGCTTTGAATGAGAAGATGGTATTTTTTACAGCTTGTATAATAATTGTGTATTATCCGAAAATAAACGAGCAACGTCATTATTTAGAGCACGAAAGTGAAGTGATAAGTGTAGCAGTAGCCAACAATTTGAGTTTGATGGCAAGTGGAGAGTATGCAGAGTAACCAGCCATTCACATTTGGGATAATAATACATTGCACAACATAGGAGTGATAAAGGGTGTTCATTAGAAGGGTGTGCATTTATTGACTTTTTTTGGCAATGATGAATTGTTAGCATCATGTGGAATAAGAGCTGCATCTCCTATTTTGATTTATAACATCAAGGATTTCTCTTTGGTTCTATCGACTTAAGTGAATGACTTTGCAGTAGATTTATTGACCATCAAAAATTTTGTAGGGTCATTTGGGGGTAGTATCCAACAAAGATAATAATAAACTAGCTAGTAAAGTTAGCCAAATCCATTCAAGAAATACGAAAACTCATTTGTGGTTTGTACAATTCAGCAGATAATCCAATTTTAATATTATGATGGTCATTTTTTGACTAAGGAGATCTATTTGGAATAGTATAACTTATCATCGCCTTTAACTTGTGCAACAGCATTAAGCATTATAGCCAAGGAACCTAATCTAAAATCTTATTAAGATGATTCAGAAGAGGCGATAGTGATAATATCAGGACATCAGGATGGATCAGTGATTTTGTGGGAGAGCTTTGAAACCATGGAATAGATGACATCTTATAAGGATTAGATAGTCTGTATAACTAGTTATCAGTATGGAATAATCATTGGAACTGATGCTAGTACCATTCATTTGTGGGATTTTAAGTTCAAGAACAATGTAAAGAATATAGATCTAACAGCCTTAAATTTCAAGCTGTTTAGTTATGTTATAAGTGATATAGTGGTAGCAGGAGATAAATTATTGGTGTCTTCGACGGAAGGCGATGTAGTGGAGATCTTTCTATAATAGAAACAAGAACACACTAGCAATCAATTTGGCAATAAATTAAAAGCGAATAGAATAAATTATATAGTTCAATTGAGTGGAACATTGTAGGCTTTGTGTATATTGGAGAGACCGGATAGTGATGACAAGTTGGTGTTTTGTGCAGGATCACAATAAACAGTGTATGGATTTTCATTGGAGACACATGAGATTGTGGATGTGTGGACTATTGGGGATCAGGTATCATCAATGGATTGCATCAATTTTGAGGATGGAGGAGCAGTGTTTGCATTAGGAACAGTGTCAGGTAAAGTGTATTTGAGATTGGATTGGGAAGAGACACCAAGATGGTATGATTTTAAACATTAAGTGAATGATTTGAAATTCTCATCAGATACTTCTTGTTTGGTCTGTGCAGTTTAGGATGCATTTGTCTATGTGTTCTTTTTGAATAACACATCATACTTTTAGACTGCACCAAAGAAGATTCATTTCGAAGGGGAATTGCCCATTTGTTTGGATTTCGTTGATGATTGCAAAGTCTTTATTGTGGGAACTACAAACAAGAATCAATACAAAATTGAATTGCCTGATATGAAATCAAAATTGTTGTCTTCGGAAAATGAGAAGTTGAATTCAACTACTTGGGTATTGCAATATCCTCTGACTTCGAGTGGCAATCAAAATTCTAAGAAGGAACAATTTTTGCCTCTCTTGATTGGAGGTGATGTGAAGATATTCTTGGCTGCAGGAGAGGGAGGATATGTATACTTTTGGAGAGATCGAGAATAGTTGGAAACTAATTGTGGTGGATTCTTGAGAGGACATGCTAGCAATGTGAGTAGATTACAAATGACTAAAACCTAAGATGTCTTCTACACTGTAGGTACTAATGATAACACATTGATCGAATGGAAGATCGATTTCATCAATGATTTAGCTGATTTCTCTAAGCCATTCCAACAAGACGACAAATAATAAATCAACAAACCTGGACTCAATAATTTCTCCATGGCTTCCAATAAATAGGACTTCAATTAAACCATAGACGAAATCTTCAAAAGAGAAAAGGATTATTGCTTTTTCCTCAACAATATCTCTGACAAATTTAGAGACAATTTCGTTCAATTCCGAGCAACCAATCAAAAGATGCTAAATGGATTACTCCAAGAACTGATTCCACCCTTCGATAAAAAACAACATGTCATGAAACGTGCTCCTCCCTTGTCTTTGACTCTTGATTACATCTATGGATTCTTGGCTTACGACAAAAGGAGAACTCTATTTTATGTGCACTTCTATAATAAACAAGAGAAGAAGAAGAGAGGAGGATAACAATAATAAGATCTGAAGTCAGAATAACGAAAGAGAATGGAGTAAATGAATCAATAGAGCATCATTTTACCTGTCCAATTCCAAAAGGAAATGCTCTTTGCTAAATAAGCCTTGTTGCCTTATGATGATTCTCATAATGATTGCTAAAGACACTTCGTCTACATCACTTCCAGAATAGCAGTTGTCTATAACCCATTGAACAATCAACAGAAATTCTATGAGGGACACAGATTCAAAATCACCTGTCTAGCCATTCATCCATTAAAGTGTTTTGTGGCCACAGGTGAATGTGCACCTAGACCTTGCATTCACGTTTGGAATGTATTCAACACTGAACCTGTCAAGATCATCAGAACAAACCATAAGAATGGTATCTATGACTTAGTGTTCTCCAGAGATTCATTATTTATTGTGAGTATCGGCATAGACGAAACCTATTCAATCTAAGTGACATCTTGGAAGAATGAAACCATTATAGCCTTTCGAAATTCAGGGACATTCCCCATCTGCTGTGTCATGTTCAACCCGTACAATCGATATGAGTTTGCTACTTGTGGATACCAGAATATCACCATATGGTCATTACAGGGGAGAAACCTGATTAGGAGTTAAGTGATATTGTCAGATGAAGTCAAGTATACTAATGGTTGTTTTATCACTTGTCTAAGTTACATCTCCTATCTCTTAGGTGATAAAATAGAAAGCGACATCATTGTGGGTAACAACTTCGGAGATTTGGCCTTGGTTGCTTGTGGCAAATACATAGTTGTGAAAGAGAGGTATCTAATATAGCCATATTTATTTAGAGCACATCAAAAGATGATCAATTGTTTGAAGATATCTGAAATACTGGGAGATAAGGTCGTCATCATCACTTGTGGAGAGGATGAGTACATCAAAATATGGGATACCAAATTTAATTTGATCAATGAGTTCAACATCCGTAAGACTGGATTCTTTTAGGATGGTACTCCTGCAATTAGGGTATGACATCTATATCTCCTATGTAGAATTTATCTGCTCAATCAATTGACATATTCTCTTGTAGGGTTCCAAAGAGACATCTGAATGAGGAGGAAGTGGAAGAGTCGCATAATTTATCTGTGATGTTGGTTGGAACCAGGAATGGTGATATTTTGGAAGCTGCATTTCAAGTAGAGTTTTAAGGCTTGAAGTTATAACAAATCAAAAAACAAGAAAGCCACTCTGATGATGAACATAGCAATTCCCATGATTCCAGTGGGTCAGAACAATAGTAGAGACAACCCTACACTACGACAGAAACTTTGAAATTCAACTATTCCATATACATGAGATCGCATCAATCATAAATATTTGATAGCAAACAACAAATAGATTTCTTCAATAAGAAGATGTTCATCACTCTGCATCCCACCTAACCAATTATGGTATCCATGGGAGAGGATCAGAAACTAATACTCTGGGATACTGAGAACAATTCATTGTTGTTAGTCAAGAATATGGGTATGACTCCTACGGCGATACGATTGTCCCCCGATGGAGATTTGCTAGTGATTGGTTTCCAGAATTCCATGGTTGTGATTATGGACTCCAAGATCCAAAAGAATGCCATTGGCAAAGTGAGTGAGCGTTACTTGTTGCCCACCTTGGACATCATCATGAACATCAAAGATAAGGACAACAAGACGGCTGTTTTGAATATAGAGTTTTCACAGAAGGGGGACATGCTTGCCATCTCGTATGATAATGCTCGTAGTTAGAAGGACGTCTTTGATTCTAAGTTGGAAAAGGAGGGCTCTTTCATATCAGTGTGGGTTAATAGGGGTTCTCATCGTACATCCAAGTATAGAGCAACTGACAAGAATCTATATTTGAAATATACTGACATTCGTTGTCCTCAACTAAATGAATCGTATTAGAGTGACAATGACACTTATGGAGTGGCTGCATACTTCATGACATTCAGTTAGGATGGCAATTACCTGATAATCTATTATCAATTGATAAACAACCAGTAAACTAGAATCAACAACGATCCACAAGGTGTGTATGTAATATGGGATCTGAATTCAAACACATCAGTCAAAAATTGGGAGACCATCAAGAACATTCAATGGAAGAAATTGAACTTCCCAAATAGTCTGCATTCTTAGTATCAATTTTATGACTCCTTGATTGGCGATCCGAAGTAAGGGTAAGAACAGGAGACCAATTTGACCAATGAGACCCTCATTAATCCAATGATGTCAGTAATGGTTGATCTAACTCCATTTTTAATATGTGGAAGTACCAACGGAGATTTGCATTTGGTCAAATCCTCGTGTCTCTACTATGATAAGGATTTTATCACAGAAATCAGTAAAAAATAGAAGTGTTTGGCTAAGTCATATTCTGCTCATGTTTCATTTGTGAATCAGATAGAGACTCATCAGAATGCTCAATATCTGTATACTACAGGCATATTGGATGAATGCATTATGAAATGGAAATTAACAGAAGAACAATAAAATTGGGATTTGGATTATTTGATTTACGATAAGAAACAAGCTGATCTGTTTTAGGAAGTGCAAGAGAAGGAGAAATTCAAAAGTTTGTTCTCAGAATTGCTACCCTTGCGTAAGGGGATATCGGATAAGGTCAAGAATGTGGATGACACTAAGTTACCTGAAGTGGAACTCAAATTGCAGAGTATCATAGGGAGAAGAGCATTTACAAGAAGGAACAATCTATTTTACGATTATGATGAAAGACTGATTTATGTGGCAGGATGCAATTTGGTGATTGCTAGTTTGGATGATGAGGATGAATAGGATGACAAGATTGCATCTCAATTCAAAAAATACAATATAGCATAATTACAATCAGAAAACCACTCAGTGTTTCAATAATTCATTAAGTTAGATCAATCAGATACGTCGTCGTCACCTGAGATCTCATGCATTACTTTGAGTCAAGACAAGAAATTACTGTGTGCTGGTACCATTGAATTGAAGGCCAAACTGCTGATTTGGGATATATGTTCAAGAACTTGTGTTAAGAATATTGTCATCAACAATGTGGGGATGATTATGAATATCAAATTTGCCTATGACAACAGACATCTTATTTGTAATGCAATCACTCAGGAATATAGACAAGAAATACTGTTGATTGACTCTGAGAATCACTAAGTGTTGGGAGTAGTCACTTACTCATATTCAATACCTTACAAGATTAAGGATTTGGAGTTCTACCCTAATAGTGTCTTTAGATTTGTGACTTGTGGAGTGTAGCACATGTCTTGTTGGTAATTTGCAGGAGGTTAATTAACATTTTAGGCTATGGAGATTGAGAATCCAAAAGATTTAGTAGAATTGGTGGAGAATCAGAATGATGAATAAGAAGGAGCCTAAGATAATGATTAAGAAGATGGTTTAAGAATTACATTCTTAACTGTGATATTTGTATAGGATGCAATAATTACAGCAGGAGAGGATGGATTCATTTATGTTTGGGATGACAAAAAGATCAATAAGAAATAAAAGGCTCATCCAGATCAACCCATCTTCTGTTTATACACAAGCAAGGATTCTTCGATGTTTGTATCTGGAGGAATGGATGGACGTGTCATTCTATGGTCTTTGAGTAAGTCTGAGTATTCTTATGTGGTCGAAAAGATCTATGAGTATAGTATTGCTAATGAATAATTACAGAAGACTGGGTTGAATCCAAATCTTCATATTCAATCAGTATGTATTGGATAGAACTATATATTGGCAGGAACAAGAAGTGGGGACATTTATGAGTTGGTAAGACCCAATGAGGCAGATTTGAAATGTAAACATCTTGATTTAATTTAGCCTTGACAAAAATACAGAAGGACATGGTTAAATTAAGAATCAATTGTACTGATCATGATCAACCAAAAGTTGTAGCTTTTTCTGGTAATGCTCAGAAATTGTATTCAATTACTTAAAAGGGATTGTTTGCAGTCTGGAATTTGAGGAAACTGAAACGCACATATTCTTATGCATTTGAAAAGGCCACTTTGAATTTGATAGTGTGCAAATTATCACCTAAAATCTTTATAGCTTTTGAACAAGAAGTTATAGTGTTGAATGATCATGATTATAGTGTGAATACTAATTATTCTTTAAAACAGAAATCAGCCATCTCAGATATGAAATTGAGTGTAGATGAGAAAATGCTTGCTTTGGCTCTTGCAAGAAATCAAGAACAGAATGCTAAAATCGAAATATATGATGTTGAAAACGAAGAAAACAATTTTAGATTACTTTGCAGCATTGACAATCTTAATACAAGTGTAGAATACTTGGATTTCTCCACTGATAATTTCTATCTCTTCTATAAAGACGTCTTGGATGAGACTGCCCTTATAGACCTAGATCAATAGAAACGTATAAACAGCATGCATATGGAATTTGATTTGGAATGGTGTAGTGATGGAATCAAATTAGCTGAAAAGGCCAAGGGAGTGCATTCTTGTTATACTGATGACAATAAAATTCGTAAGATTACTCTGATTGGAGAAAAGTCCATGGCTGTAATTATTACATCTTATTCAAGGTTACTGACAATATGGGAACCATACGAATTTTCAATTATCCCTGTACTTCTGGATAAGGATACATGCGTATATATACTGATCATATGATGTACATCAATCAATGTGTGGCCAGTCCAGACAAGGAAACTTTGGTTACAACCTCAGAACAAGACAAGTGCATCATGGTGTGGAAGATACAGAAGGTTGATGTCAATAATACATAATGATATTTAATCATTTGAACTGCACTTTAGGCAGTCCAGCCAAATTAAAGATGTGTTTATTTTTCTTTAAGAAATTGTCTGTTGTGGTTCTCAACATTTCCAATTCTGTCTCTATGTTTTATTGCTTACTAAATTTAAAATCATTCCTTACGCCAACATACTATTCTTCTCCTAATTTGCACATTGAGCATCCTAATATGCCAATCTACGTTCATGTTCCAGAAAGTCACTCTTCAATTTCAATTAATAAATCTAAAAGTTATATCTACCTCATTACCATCTTGGCATCTTTATTCTACTACTCTATATTATCACTCAGAATCCTGTTTTGCTTTGTCTTTATATCATCTAGTTCATGCAACAATGACTCGCATTCTGCCACTTAATCATCCAATTCTTATTGTTTCCTCTCCAATTCCCCTTATTTCACAGCCAAATCAAATTGAGATTTTTGCAATTGGTTTGTTAGATCATCCACTTGATTCTAGAGTCCTTTCAATTCATCCATTAGTTCTGCAACGCTAGTCTTGCCAACACTTCTCAGATTCTCTATAATCTCCTCTGCATCCACTACTCGTTACTTATAATAATTCAAATCATGTTCCATCACTTTGCAATGATCAATCAATTTGATGTGGCTCTTTTCAAGACCGCCAAAATTAGTTGTCATCTTTCTTATAAAATCCTTCAATTGCTTATCGATATTCTTCTATTCAAAAAATTATTGAGTGACAACTATTTTCTCAATCTTTTGGTATTTGTCTGATGCCATTTGATTCATCTAATTCACGTAATCTGCATTCAGTTATCTTAACTTCTCATTCTCTTATCGTAATTACCTCATCTAAGCCTCCTAAGCTATAAAATCTAATTGAACAAGCTACTCTTTAAAGTTTAGGTGCATAATTTCAATTTCGTCTTCAAATACTCCACTTGAGACTCCATCTAATCAGGCAAAGCAGAGGAAGTTTCGCTTTCATCATTCTGATTAGCCCTGCTAAAAACAACGACATTATTATTCATTTTTATTATATTATGTTATATTATATTTTATATATATATTTAAAATATCTTGTAATTACAATAATTATATCATCTATTTTCTCCTTTACAAATCAATATAATACAACTTAAATGTGAGATTTATGCATCCTCAATCATTTTTCTTTATTATTACGAGTTATGATAAGGAATTATATTACTTGGTATTTTATAATAATTTAGTTTTTGTTTAATTCGAATCTGTTTTTTATTGCTGATGACTAAAGTAAGATTCAGAATTTAACAAGTAATTTTTAAGTCGTGTTAATTTTAAGAATATGGAAATTGTAGTTATCAGTTGATTCAAAGCATTTAGATTCAGTTAAGAATTAAGCTGAATGTTAGAAAATTAAAAAAAACTATATCTCGATTATAATACATAATTAATTTAATTTAATGTTCTTTTGTACAACTTTGAATGAAATATTGTTGTTGTCAACGATGTAAGAAAACTTTTTAAAAACACTAGTTTTCAAATTATCAAGTCAAGCTGCGATGTTTTTAAGTTTATTACTACTCCAGATACAGGAGCAGCCTCAGTAAATTTAGATTTATCTACCACGTTATTTACAGACTTTGGAATAGGAGTTTGGACTAGATTCTAAAGTCAATTCGAAGAAAACGACAGTTTGAATAAAAAAGTTATAAACCACTTTGTTTTTGCCTAGTTATTAGATGGTTCATACCCATTGATTTACTATATCAAATAGGATAGAGAAGCCAAGGTTTTATATTTCGAATTGATCTTACAAAACGACTAGTACTTCGAAATGAGAGAACTAGAACTTAAGGAAGACTTGGTTGGGTCCAAGTGGGTATTCTTTTACTTTTGTTATTCTAAATCACAGAAAGCATATAATACATTTGTATACGTAGACTAAGATACTATTAACGTGCAGATGGCAGGAGGAGGAGAATACTAGAACTAACATAATTTAGTTATACCATTTACAGTTGGAGGTGATCTATAAGTAATAATCACAAGTATTATTTTAGTATTCGAATGAAAAGTTTAATGTAAACCTTGATTTGACCCCCTTCGTAGGAGAGATAAGCGACCTTGACCTTAGAACCGACGTATAAAGCTTTTATTCTGACATCCCAACATTTTTGAGTAACCTAGAAGATACGAACTGTGAAATATATACATGTCCAGCCACAGCTCAAACTACAGTGCTTTCTAATTTCTACAACGGCGGCTATATTCTAAACAAATAAGTTACTTTCTTTAATAAACGATTCATATTATTCGGTTGGGTTAAATTAAATGAATTAGCAGATGTATGATAAATTTCTATAATCTATAAAGATCCGTTCCCTTGAGACCGTATTTATTAGAGCAACGTTCAGAAAGATCTATTATGGAGACAAATATTAAGGAGAAAAGGCGCTATATTGGAAATACTATTAAAGTACCATGCGAGATGAAGATAATGGGTTTGAGGTGTCCACTTATCACAACATTGATGGAACTAACAACACACAATACCAAACTTTGGAGAGTGACACAATTTTACAAAAAAGTGCACATCTTCAAAGTGCCATAACTTCATGGCATTGGTTTGTGTATCAAGAAGGATTGCCGAATTCATAAATTTAACTTAGCATCTACTTAGGAAAATATAGAGAAATATTAAACTATTACTTGACACAAGTTCATTATGAAAAAGTTACTTATTATTTCAACATCGGGGGAGATAAGTTCATCAAGTCTTTTTCCGGCGAAGTTCGTAATCTAACCTTCTCCTATTGCCAATTAAATGATAATAAGCCTGATAGATGTATTCATTATTAGTTATCAATAAGATTGCCACTACAGTTGTAATACTTGTTTTGGACCGAACGAAAGTGATTGCATAGACTGCGTACCATAACTAGTCTCAAAAAGACTCTAAAATGGCACTTATTGTCCATGTATCAATAGTTACTTGGATGTTGGTTTACCAACTTGCTAAAATAAGTATACAGTCTTGGGCGGGATAACGATACAAGAAGGATTAATTGGAGACTCATCAGGTTGTTAAAGAAACTAGTTCTTGGTGAAGATGAAGGGGAATTCTTATTGTTTGAATTGTCCTGGAGCAATCACTCCTTATGGTTTATATTGCATAGATTGTATTTACAATCCTAACACTTGGTATTTAAATCCAATCTGTAAAATTGATTACTTGATGCCTTTCACCGACTAAACAACTTACGTATTCATAAGAAGAGATAGGAAACAAAAGGATTATGAATATTTTCTGATCATCTACAATAGCAATTAGGATTAACCAGTCTTAGAAACTTGTTTTGGCTGCTTAGGGTAGACTAACAGCACCATCAATTTCATTGAAAAATATACAATGAATTAGCTTTCTAAAATCCTCTGCAAGAATTGTTATACATCATTAAATGGGGAGTGTGTTAATTTATCACCCAATTGTGATTTATGTGATGATAATCAACAGTGCACAACTTGTTAATAGAACTACACTTTATTCGAATCTAAATGTTATCAATGTCCTAATTATTGTCCTGATTGCAAGTATAATTCTACTGGATATTATTGTAAAAGTTGTATTAATCGATACTATTATAATTCTACCTTAGAACAATGTCAATAGTGTGGAGCCTTTTGTGAAATATGCTTTTACTAAAACATACTCAATATCCTTCAATGCGTGAAATGTGTTGATAACTAGAATTACTTTATTGCTGCTGAATACACTCAATGTCTACCTAAAAACCAACCTAATTGCAAATATCAAGTCTAAGAAATTTTTTCGACCTTAACCAATGAGACTAATGTTTATTAAACTTATAAATTAAGCATGGATTTACAGTCCAATTTCATCTCATATCCATCTTTAGACCTGTGTTTAAAGTGTAACCCACATTATATTAATTTCATGAAGTGTGGTCAAGAATATGGATGCTATACAGTCGATTAGATAGAAAGTAAGTCTAATAAGCCATTACCTTTGAGTTTGAAATAGAAAGTAATCAATGACCCCACATTCGAATTAGGGTTTCATGAAAAATTGACTAAGGATGGTACTGAAGATTATTACATAATGTTTGGAGATTCTGTTATTGACAACAAAATAACATACAATCCTATTGTATTAGAATAAAAAGAGATAGGTCAAAAAGTGTGCCGAGATATATACTGCTAATACTGCATTCAAAACTATGTTTATACTCAAGAATATTGCATTAAATGCTTTAAACCTTATTATGCACACAAACTGCAAGGAAACTGCATCATATGTCCTCCTGACTGTGTAGAATGCGAATTCGGGAATAAAATATTCAAGGATGGATGGAAATCAGATTTGTTGCCTGGTTATCAAATGAGGTCCAAACAAGAATGGCATCACTTTAACCTCTTTGCGCTTTCTACTACTATTGACGACTATGAAGTTACTTGTTTAAAGTGTGCTGATGGTCTTATGTAACAGAATGGAAAATGCTATCCCAAATGTCCCTGTGAAAGTTGTATCATCGAAAATGAATAAGTTAAATGTGTCACATGTCAAAATTCAATCAAAACAGTCATTAATGATAAATGCACTCAATGCCCTCAATTTTGCGAACTGTGTAGAGAATTTACTTCAGAGGAAATCACTCAAATCAATCCTTATTTCGACTAATAAAATCCTAGTTACAAGGGATATGCAAAATAATGTTTAAAGAGAGATATTCAAGATCCTCCATAAGGAATCTTATACAATGATCCTAGTTTAGGCCAAGAACTTAATTGCAAAAATGTTGACAAAAAGGATTGCTACTTTTTTGTTGAACTCCAATAAACAATCTATTGTGGAACTGCATAATTTCAACAGAGGCTTAATTAAGAGACTGATGAAGATGCGAGAGACTATTTTATGAAATATAATTTACCCTTGCAAAGTTTGTTTTCTTCTACCAACTCCAGTCACTTCTATATAGAAACAAATTACTTGTTCACTGAATTAAATGTTAAAAGTGTCAAATTAATTAGATATATTGTAAACGTATTACCAAATAGTGGAGATTGCATAATCAAAAAGAACACTTTTATTTAGTCTCAAATTAGATAGAATGTATTTACAGCGAAATACGTTGAATTAATAATTTAATCTTAAAATGACATCCCAATTCAAGTGGAAGGCGAAGTATCATTTTTAGAATTTTCAACTGTTACTCTGAAGAACGTCTAAATCATCCCCACAAGCTAATCTTTGATCTTAAATGTAAATAGTATATTCGGAGTTGCATTTCTTATTGATCACTTTTCTATCAAGAATGCTGTTGATCTTCAGTTTCAAATTAAAATATAGAACCCGAATTCAATTTCAATTAAGAATTTTGAAATTTCAGATTCCAAATTAAATAATATTAATGGTATTATTAGATACTATTTCACTCTGCCATTAAAAAATACATTAATCTATAACCTAGATACAATCCTAATTAAGAATTGTTAAATAGTTAACTCCAACTTATTCGTACAAATCTTAGGCACAGATTATGGAAATCAAAAATTAATTGCTAATAATTTTTAATCCTATAAAAATACATATACTAACTCTATTATTTTATACACTGAATTCCCCAATCAACTAAGAGAATCTGAGTTCACAATCCAATAATTTTTATCTGATCATGAACAACTCACTTAATCATCCTTATTTATATTACATGGAGCACTTAATGTCATTTTAACTGATATTACTGTCTAAAACGGAGATTTCTTTGCTTAAGTCAAATTGTTTAAGCTACCTTTGTTCACAATTAATAATATGCTTATTGTAGGTAACAACTTTGAAAGTGCTGATAATAGAGTAATTACAAATGTCGTTGATGCCTTATATCAAGATAAAATATCTATCAGTTCTCTCACATTTAACTCAATAATATTTAGAAACAACTTTTACAAAGGCAGCAAAGTCTTCATTGAATTGATTTAGAGTTAGAATTTTAAAGATTTAAGAATATAGATTGATGACTTGTCGTTAGAATCAAATTAATTCACTCAATAATAATACTCAAATCAAATGACATCATCGAATTCATCCGTATACTTTGATTTGACTTAAATAACAATCTAGAATTTGAATATTGTTCGAGCCTTCACTCTACCAGAAATATCAATTAACAATGTAGATAAATTGGTTTTGAAGAATGTAAAAGCCACATTAAATAGTGGGTTTAAGATCAAGTTAATTCATCAGCAACTCTCCTGCATTTAGTAGACCCTTCAAATTGGATATGGCAGTATGCTCTAAATATTCAATACTAAAACTATTGAAATTAATAATCTCCAAGTCATAGGTCTGATTGTTCTTAATATGCCTATCATCACAATTAAATCATTAGATGGATCCAATTATCGGCAATCTGAAACCATAACGATTTAATAAGTATAATTCTCAAATAATACAATGATACTTACCAAACTAGCAGAATAGCCTACTATTCTAAGCATTATATCAGAATAAAAGTAAGAAATAACACTGTCCAAAGTGATCTCCTATAATAACCATCATCACAATTACTAGGAAGATTTGCTTTTCAAATAGTCATCAACCATTCTCATACAAAATCCAAATTCAAACATCGCTCTAACTGAATCGAACTTCTCTAATAATATCTTGACTAATAATTAAGGATCTAATCTAGTCTTGATTAGTAACACTCTTTTGGTGAATAATTGTAATTTTTAGAATTAGAATGATTTGCAATTTTAATATTTAAGAGATCGATTAATTTGGGGGTACAATAAGGGTGAAGTAGCCTATTTTGAGAACTTATATTAACTGTTTTCTATTAAGTCAAAAGGAGGGAATGGATACTTATCAGCAAATCAGATCAATTTGTACAATATCACAAGCAATAATTCATTGGGCTTATAAGGAGGGGCATTTTACTTTGGAACTCAATCAAGTGGGTCAATTACGATAGAGAATTGCGTTTTTAATTTCAGTTAAGCGAATCTATAAATGAAAGAAAAGTCATAAGGAGGAACTCTATATATTGATGCTTCTCAGTCAGATTTACATCTATAGATAATGAATAATAGCTTTACAAATAGTTATAGTAGAAATGAAGGTGGAACAATCTTTATTGAGCCTTCAAGAAACAATAATTCAATAATAATTAACGAAAATACAGTAGAGAATGTATTTTCTTTCCAGAATGCCTTCCTCAAGCTCCCTGTTACTTTCAGTAGCAAATCTTTGATTTTGCTTTTTACAGTGTTTGATTTGTCCATTAAAAATACATACTTTGGATACCTAGAATATTTGGGGAAAGTCTAGAATTTAAGTAGTTCAGAAATATCGCTATCGACTAAAAACTACTTGATCTCAATAGAGCGTGGAAATATTACATTAAGGAGTTGTTATATTTTTGACATTTTTGATTATGGATCATTAGAAATCTTGGAGGCTAGTTACATTAAATTAGATACCTTCTATATCTAAAATATTACAATAATTAGTGGGAGTATTCTTAGCATCTAATTAAATAAAAGTATATATATAATTTGACAATTAATAGAATATTTGACATAGGTTTAGCTGGTCAACGTAAAATTGAAGGATATCGCTGAAGTAATAGGAGATGTGTCTTTGCCAAATACACCAATTTCTACGATTCCAGAATTATTCTATAAATGCGATCTGACGACGAATGAACCAACTTCATTAAAAACTCTCTATGATTAGGACTAGCTGTATGTCATTAGTTTAAACAATTTCTATGTGATGATAAAGAATAAGACAAATCCCAATTTCATTTTTGAAATCGATTCTGTTTCAGCAAATCATTACATTTTATTAGATAATGTGAATATTTAAAAAATTAACTGTACTAATTGTTAAAAGGGCGTTTTGAAGTTTACAAATATTGATGAAGCATAAAATCAAAATCTGATTTATATAAGTGGTTTGTATTTGAAGGATAGTTAGTGTGGAATTTTTAGTTGTTTTGTAATTGCAGCTAGATCAACAAATGAAATCCAATTATTCTCAAGATTCAAATCGAATAGAATTCTAGATTAAGAAAAAGCAGAATTTGATAAACAAATATCAACTGTCAAAATAGAGAAAAGTTTATTTGATAATAACCAGGCTACATTTGGTGGAGGTATTTTGATCTCAGCTTTGAGTTCTGTTATTTCAAATTGTTAATTTACAAATAATATAGCATCTTCTGTAGCGGGAGCATTGTATTTCGATTATGAATTAGAAACGTAACTGCTTGTATATGATTCAGTTTTTGCAAATAATGAAGCAAAAGTAGGTGGTGCATTATATTTGAGTGATTTCTAAGTGTAATCGCCATCAAAAATGAATAATGTATTCCAGGGAAATTAAGCAACATATTTTGGTGATAATTTAGCAAACTAACCAACTTAATTGACTTTGTAGATAGGATCAAAGATCATGCAGAAAAAGTTATTAGAGAAAAATTCAACCAATCTGACAGAAATTATAGATGTTAAGCAATATAAAATTGGTAGCTCACAATATAATAACATAATGCTGCCCAGTGGATAGGCTATTGGAGGATACTAAATTTTTGATGAAATAACCTAATCTTACATTCCATATAATTTTACTTTTAGAATAATACCTATGAATGATGAGAATAATCAGATTAAGGCTTTGGAAGGTAGCAAATGCTTTATAAGGGGGAGATAAATCATTGAAAAGTAAGAAGGAGAATTCTTAACTAATTTTACCAGTATCACAGAAGTATTATTCAATGCAACCAGTCAGGATTATAATCTTGATTAAATGGAAATTACATTTGATCCTGACTATTCTTCAACAGGATATTTATAACTTGAAATAACTTGCAATTCAATTCAAATTCCAATTTTCTAAGAAAAACCTCCTTATTTATTGTAGGATTATTTCACTAACTATAGATTGAGAGTCAATCTTTAAACCTTTCCTTGTCAAAGAGGAGAGTATAAAACTAAACTAGGAACATGCAAATTATGTGATTCTAATGCTGATCAGTATAATGTTAAAGCTGGTGATTAATGTAAAATAAAAGACCCAATCAAGATGGAGTAAGTCTCTTCAGCCAGAGTCATGTTAAGACCAGAATATTGGAGACCCTTTGAATACAGCGATAAAATAGAATACTGTTTGAATTTACCTGAAAACTGTGTGGGAGGATGGAACCCTGGAAATGATTTATGTTCATATGCGCATGTAGGAGCATTATGTGAATAATGTGATATTTACAATATTAGAGGTTAAGGAGCACATTCTGTTAGTACTTCCTATAAATGCGGAAGTTGCTCTAACATCGGTGATAATACTATTAAAGTTACTTTAGTGAGCATTTGGACAATGATCTCTATTATGCTATCAGTTAAGGGAACTGTAGAAACAGTTGATAAAATGATTACATAATCTAAGATGCATAAACTCAAAATCTTTCGTAAAGATCCAAAAGCAGGATATGGCAGTGTGTTGATAAAGGTGTTAACAAACTATTTGCAAATTATTGGAGCTGTTTCAACATTTTAACTTAAACTCCCAAGTGCCGTTTAATCATCAGTGAGATCAGTTGGTAATCCAACAGAGGCCATGAGTTTTTCCCTTGATTGCTTTCTAGTTAACCTTGTTGATATCGACATCATATATTTCAGAATGATATGGGCTCTAATTATGCCCATATTGTACATTTTTACATTCCTCATCATTTATGCCGTGGTGATCATAATTCGTTTAGCTAAACCAAACAAATCTGCAATAACAACAACAGCAATATACTTGTTCACCTATTTATAACCTACTCTAATTGGTGGATTTATTTCCTTACTTTCCTTTAGACAAATTTCTAATCTATACTGGATTCAAGGTAATGTAGCTTATAGGTACGACACTGAAACCCATTTCAAATGGGTTTTATCTTTTATATTGCCCTCCACCATAACTCTTGCCTTTTTCATTCCAGCATTTATGTTTATCAGTTTATACAAGCAAAGACATCATTTAGATTAAGAAAACACCAGAAAAAATTGGGGATATTTGTACAACGAATACTAAACAGAAGCTTATTTTTGGGAAATTGTAAAAATTCTTGAAAAAGGATTTATAATTATATTTTTAACATTCTACGAAGACTTGATCATTATAAAAGGTGCTCTAGTCTTCATGATCGTTTTTGTTTATTAAGTATTAACTAGATCCTACAGGCCTTATAAGTTACCTTTCTTAAATTTGGTGGATGAATTTAGTACTCTAATTTGTGGAACATCCATTGTCATAGGAATGACTATTTATTAATCCTCTTTGTCCAACAATTAGGAAATTATTTGGCCATTCTATATGCTTTTAATAATATTCAACCTGGTCTTTATTATAATTATTCTTTGGGAAATTATATTAGCCTAGCTTGAAGATTAATAAGAGAATATTGATAAGGTTAGAGATTTGGTCAATAAAAAATACCCTCGTCTTATAAATTCGAATTGGATCTTCAAAAGGCTATTGACCAACCGCGGACAACAGCAGAAAAGAGTCAAAAGAAGATTTTAAATGATAAGAAATTATCTTATGAAATTAGTTCGTAATAATCCAGGAATTTATAAATTACCTACTCCTCCGCCCTCTATTCAAGAAATTCCTATATCAAACCAAGAAAAATAAAATCTCTTACCAGCTCATCAATAAAGCAATTAAGAAAATTAAATAGCACCATAAAAAAATGGAGCAAAAGTATTTCCAGTGGATAATGATTAAAGAACCTTTGAAAGTGTTAGATATGATGATAGACGTTAATCCCCTTGAGAAATATTTTAAATTTAATATATCAAAACATTGTTGAATTTTATTATTTAGACTAATCTGTTTGAGAGGACATCATTTTCTACTGAATTTCTATTCCCGTTCCATTCTTAACTAAGAAAACTAAATTAAGAGTCAGATATCATTTAATCTTCATAATTAGTTTTGAATTACTTTATTTGTTTAATGAAATGCTCATTTACTAAAAAATTTTTTTCGAACGCTATTAGAAATAATCAATTTCTTATGAACTTCAATCAAATTTTTTTTGAAATCCAATATTACTTTCCAGTGCAATTTGTGAAAGGATAGTCAAACATTTAAGTAAAAATATTTATTCTCATAAATTATATAATTACAAATCTAGTTCTTATTTTGATCAAAGGAACAATTGAAATGCAATATTATTATTAGATTAATTAGATTAAAAAAAAATTTTATTTTAAATTAAGCACTATTAATTACCACTTCTAATATTAATTATCAAGGACATCCTATTTCAATGAAAATTATGATTGAGTTGTAAAAGTAATACATTCTTTAATTTCAAAATATTACTTCTATATATAAGTTTTTTTATGATTCGAAACTAATGAGCCTTATTTATTAATTAAAATATAAAAATCAGTTTAAACTTCCTGGTTCTCCCATAATATAAAATCACATCTTTCTAAAATAATATCTAAAATATCAATTATGAAAAATCCCCAAAATCTCACATTTTAATTAGTTTTGATAATAATCTTTTTACTTGAGCTCGTTCATAAGAAAAAAACACAATGAAGATCGGCCAATTGAAAGAAATAATCAATCTTGATTGATTATTCTATAGTGTAATATAACATTCTTAATTACTTCAAAAAAGTAGTAATAAATGGGAGAGAGTGAATGTATTTATTAAAATTTATCTAGTCAACTTTAGATAAAAAAAAGGAATATGCAAGGTATGAAATTTACAATAAATATATATTTAATATTATTTATAATAAATAAATTTGAAATTAAATATATGTAAATATAATTAAGGGTAATTATATCTCTAATAACTCAAATGCTTTATAAAACGTAAATATTGCTTTACCCAACCAAAAAATCAATGTAGAATTTGTCATTAAACCTCTTCCAGGATTTTTCGAAAATAAATATTTGGTTTAAGATAAATCAAAAATTTTGATAAGTAAGATTAAAATTATTAAATTTAATACTTTAAACATTGTAAAAAATTATAAATATTGAGAGGAAACATGAATTACGATTTTTTAAATGGTGAGTTAAAATAATATAAAAATTGGCAAGATAAGACAAATTATAGTTTGCCAATTGTATAATGCTGAAATTGTAAAGTTTAATAAATGTCAAAAATGGAACAGAGTATAGAAATAAAATTAGAAAAATATTAAAAGCTCAAAAATCCATTATAAAAATTTAAAAATTGGATTTTAGCGTTAAATTTTAAATCAATTAAATTTATTAATATATTTTTAATGTAAAAAATATCAATATTGTTCGTTTTTTTTATGATGACAATAATTTTGTCTCAAGCTATAGAGATAGCAGTTGGGGGAGATAATGAAAAAAAAATTGCGGAAAGAAATGAAAGAAGAGTGTTACAAGAAGGAGAAGCAAAAGAAGATACATCTGAAAGAACAGTTATCAAAAGAGATGTATCATAAGAAAGATTATTTATCAAAAGAGAAGAGGAGGAAACGCCTTAGAGAAACGCTGTAAAAAGTGAGGATGGATCATCTGAAAGTTCTGTAAAAAGAGAAGAAGGATCATCTGAAAGAAAAATGAGTAGAGAAGAAGAAGGCACATCTGAAAGATCTCTAAAGAGAGAGGAAGGTTCATCTGAAAGAAAAATGAGTAGAGAAGAAGAAGGCACATCTGAAAGATCTCTAAAGAGAGAGGAAGGTTCATCTGAAAGATCTTCTGCGAAGAGAGAGGAAGGATTATCAGAAGATAAAGCCGACTCTAATGATTCGTAATTGGAATAGCAATTAACAGAAACTGCAAATCAATCAAATCGAAAAAATTTAGAATTAGAAATAGTTAGTGAACAAGTACACAGTCCAAATTAGAATAATTATTGCATGTAATTATTTTCAGTTTCGATCATCTTGGTATTTGTCTATTGAATGATTTAATCAATCGCCCAATATATTCATTAAATTTATTATTTTTTATTCAATATATTATTTTTTAAATTAGATATTTATGATTCTTTATGTAATATTCTTTAAGCATGTCTTAATCTAAAATATCAACATTATTAGAAATATTTTATCTCTGTGATTTTGATGAAATTTTCTTATTTTTATTACATTTGGTTGATTTATTCCTACAATCTAAAGTCTATAATTATACATTCTATTTTCAACAGATTTATGATCTTATCAGATTCAAGCGTTTTTGCCAAAATTTGAAAGTAATAAATTAACAATGCAAATATTAAAAAATAATTGAACCCAAAGAATGAGTCTGAAATAATTAATAATTTTTATCTTTTTGAACGTTATCAGCAATATAAACTTCCCTACTGAGGGTTTGGTCTATCATTTTTATATATTTCAATCAATTATCTCTAACCTCTGTCAAAATTTTAAAAACATTGCAATAATAGTTTTTAATTAGTAGATTCTCAAGTATGTTTTGAATGGTAATAATAATTCTCATAAATTCTTTTGACCTAATTTTAAAATTCTATAAATAACAACTTTATATGAAATTTCTCTATTTTCATTTTTGTAATTAAAGGTAATTACCCTATTGTATTAGATTAAATTTCTGTAAATTTGCCATTTTCTATTTTTCTTCCAAATAAAATCATATTATTTTCAGATACCCATTTAGTAAATCAATTATTTGTTTTTGTGATTTCTTACAGTTGAGATTATAATTTTTAGAAAATTTGTTATAAGGAAAATTTAGATCTAAATTTATTTTTAGGCAAAAAATATTTTTCTAATTTTCTTCTTCTTAAAGCCAAAATATTACAACCACCTAACTTTTTGATCAATTCTAGTAATGGATCAAATTTTTAGAAAAATTATGTTCTCTTCTATCACATTTAGATAATAAAAATTTCTTTCAAGTGAGTCTTAGGGAAAAGAAGATTCTCTTTAATTATTCTTAAAAAATAAATAAATACTAGTCGCTTCAAAGAAATATTAAAATGTTTAAATACTAAGTTGAATTGACTGTCAATAATGAAATAATCGACAAATAAAAATAGTAAGAAGAATATACTCAGATTCCTATAGAAGAGGAGGAGGATTATTTCTATTGTAAAAAATGCAAAAAAAAAANGAGAGAGGAAGGTTCATCTGAAAGAAAAATGAGTAGAGAAGAAGAAGGCACATCTGAAAGATCTCTAAAGAGAGAGGAAGGTTCATCTGAAAGATCTTCTGCGAAGAGAGAGGAAGGATTATCAGAAGATAAAGCCGACTCTAATGATTCGTAATTGGAATAGCAATTAACAGAAACTGCAAATCAATCAAATCGAAAAAATTTAGAATTAGAAATAGTTAGTGAACAAGTACACAGTCCAAATTAGAATAATTATTGCATGTAATTATTTTCAGTTTCGATCATCTTGGTATTTGTCTATTGAATGATTTAATCAATCGCCCAATATATTCATTAAATTTATTATTTTTTATTCAATATATTATTTTTTAAATTAGATATTTATGATTCTTTATGTAATATTCTTTAAGCATGTCTTAATCTAAAATATCAACATTATTAGAAATATTTTATCTCTGTGATTTTGATGAAATTTTCTTATTTTTATTACATTTGGTTGATTTATTCCTACAATCTAAAGTCTATAATTATACATTCTATTTTCAACAGATTTATGATCTTATCAGATTCAAGCGTTTTTGCCAAAATTTGAAAGTAATAAATTAACAATGCAAATATTAAAAAATAATTGAACCCAAAGAATGAGTCTGAAATAATTAATAATTTTTATCTTTTTGAACGTTATCAGCAATATAAACTTCCCTACTGAGGGTTTGGTCTATCATTTTTATATATTTCAATCAATTATCTCTAACCTCTGTCAAAATTTTAAAAACATTGCAATAATAGTTTTTAATTAGTAGATTCTCAAGTATGTTTTGAATGGTAATAATAATTCTCATAAATTCTTTTGACCTAATTTTAAAATTCTATAAATAACAACTTTATATGAAATTTCTCTATTTTCATTTTTGTAATTAAAGGTAATTACCCTATTGTATTAGATTAAATTTCTGTAAATTTGCCATTTTCTATTTTTCTTCCAAATAAAATCATATTATTTTCAGATACCCATTTAGTAAATCAATTATTTGTTTTTGTGATTTCTTACAGTTGAGATTATAATTTTTAGAAAATTTGTTATAAGGAAAATTTAGATCTAAATTTATTTTTAGGCAAAAAATATTTTTCTAATTTTCTTCTTCTTAAAGCCAAAATATTACAACCACCTAACTTTTTGATCAATTCTAGTAATGGATCAAATTTTTAGAAAAATTATGTTCTCTTCTATCACATTTAGATAATAAAAATTTCTTTCAAGTGAGTCTTAGGGAAAAGAAGATTCTCTTTAATTATTCTTAAAAAATAAATAAATACTAGTCGCTTCAAAGAAATATTAAAATGTTTAAATACTAAGTTGAATTGACTGTCAATAATGAAATAATCGACAAATAAAAATAGTAAGAAGAATATACTCAGATTCCTATAGAAGAGGAGGAGGATTATTTCTATTGTAAAAAATGCAAAAAAAAAATATCTGTTGATGAAAATAAATGATAAAAAGAGAAGAAAGGAAGAATTTAATAAGTAAGGAAATGAAACTATTGATATCAAAAATTAATTTTAACCCTCCACAAATAACACACATAGAAAATGAAATTAATATTATAACGTGGAATATAAGTTCTTTAAAAACTAAAACTAGCCAATCATAACATAATACAACTCTTATATTATATGCTTATAAGAAGTAAGAAATACTTAATTTAACGATTCAATTTATTATAAATATTATTATAAGAGAACTGGTTCTACACATTCTGGTGGCATAATTACGGGCAGACATAGAGATTTTAACTTTTTAGATATTTCAAATTTATTTATTAATAACGAGACTTTGTATATTTTTGGTAATAAGAGCAGCTAACTAAATTTCAGATTTAGTCATCATAAATGCTTATTTTGATAACACCTAAAGTTTACCCAAAATAAAAAATGGTTTAATGAAATTGTATTATAAGTATTGAGTTAAATGAATACAAATCAATTACTCATGCTTTGCTGGGATTTTAACTAAAAATATATAGCCCTTCACCTATGTTAAAGAATTTCACATAGAGCAAGGAAACTTGTAAAAGAACAATTCTTGGTCAATAATTTACTTCGAAAACAGATCATTTATTAATCAATACTGATGTAGAGTATTAAATTAATTTATTATGGACAAAAATTTCTGATAATGCCTTAATTAAAATTAAATTGTAAATACATATAAACGAAGATTGTATTAAGAACATTAATATTTAAGAATAAATAATTAGCAATAACTGAATGCAATAAACTGTTACAATCATATGATTTTAGGAATTTTTACTAGAGATACAAGATCTAGATTTAAAAACAATAATATTAACTAATTATATAAAATGGAGAAAACTAACTTTAAAAATTTAATTTTTAGTTATCAGAAAAGCTTGATTCAATATTCTAAGCTGATAAAGGAATTTTTCAAGTTATTANGAGAGAGGAAGGTTCATCTGAAAGAAAAATGAGTAGAGAAGAAGAAGGCACATCTGAAAGATCTCTAAAGAGAGAGGAAGGTTCATCTGAAAGATCTTCTGCGAAGAGAGAGGAAGGATTATCAGAAGATAAAGCCGACTCTAATGATTCGTAATTGGAATAGCAATTAACAGAAACTGCAAATCAATCAAATCGAAAAAATTTAGAATTAGAAATAGTTAGTGAACAAGTACACAGTCCAAATTAGAATAATTATTGCATGTAATTATTTTCAGTTTCGATCATCTTGGTATTTGTCTATTGAATGATTTAATCAATCGCCCAATATATTCATTAAATTTATTATTTTTTATTCAATATATTATTTTTTAAATTAGATATTTATGATTCTTTATGTAATATTCTTTAAGCATGTCTTAATCTAAAATATCAACATTATTAGAAATATTTTATCTCTGTGATTTTGATGAAATTTTCTTATTTTTATTACATTTGGTTGATTTATTCCTACAATCTAAAGTCTATAATTATACATTCTATTTTCAACAGATTTATGATCTTATCAGATTCAAGCGTTTTTGCCAAAATTTGAAAGTAATAAATTAACAATGCAAATATTAAAAAATAATTGAACCCAAAGAATGAGTCTGAAATAATTAATAATTTTTATCTTTTTGAACGTTATCAGCAATATAAACTTCCCTACTGAGGGTTTGGTCTATCATTTTTATATATTTCAATCAATTATCTCTAACCTCTGTCAAAATTTTAAAAACATTGCAATAATAGTTTTTAATTAGTAGATTCTCAAGTATGTTTTGAATGGTAATAATAATTCTCATAAATTCTTTTGACCTAATTTTAAAATTCTATAAATAACAACTTTATATGAAATTTCTCTATTTTCATTTTTGTAATTAAAGGTAATTACCCTATTGTATTAGATTAAATTTCTGTAAATTTGCCATTTTCTATTTTTCTTCCAAATAAAATCATATTATTTTCAGATACCCATTTAGTAAATCAATTATTTGTTTTTGTGATTTCTTACAGTTGAGATTATAATTTTTAGAAAATTTGTTATAAGGAAAATTTAGATCTAAATTTATTTTTAGGCAAAAAATATTTTTCTAATTTTCTTCTTCTTAAAGCCAAAATATTACAACCACCTAACTTTTTGATCAATTCTAGTAATGGATCAAATTTTTAGAAAAATTATGTTCTCTTCTATCACATTTAGATAATAAAAATTTCTTTCAAGTGAGTCTTAGGGAAAAGAAGATTCTCTTTAATTATTCTTAAAAAATAAATAAATACTAGTCGCTTCAAAGAAATATTAAAATGTTTAAATACTAAGTTGAATTGACTGTCAATAATGAAATAATCGACAAATAAAAATAGTAAGAAGAATATACTCAGATTCCTATAGAAGAGGAGGAGGATTATTTCTATTGTAAAAAATGCAAAAAAAAAATATCTGTTGATGAAAATAAATGATAAAAAGAGAAGAAAGGAAGAATTTAATAAGTAAGGAAATGAAACTATTGATATCAAAAATTAATTTTAACCCTCCACAAATAACACACATAGAAAATGAAATTAATATTATAACGTGGAATATAAGTTCTTTAAAAACTAAAACTAGCCAATCATAACATAATACAACTCTTATATTATATGCTTATAAGAAGTAAGAAATACTTAATTTAACGATTCAATTTATTATAAATATTATTATAAGAGAACTGGTTCTACACATTCTGGTGGCATAATTACGGGCAGACATAGAGATTTTAACTTTTTAGATATTTCAAATTTATTTATTAATAACGAGACTTTGTATATTTTTGGTAATAAGAGCAGCTAACTAAATTTCAGATTTAGTCATCATAAATGCTTATTTTGATAACACCTAAAGTTTACCCAAAATAAAAAATGGTTTAATGAAATTGTATTATAAGTATTGAGTTAAATGAATACAAATCAATTACTCATGCTTTGCTGGGATTTTAACTAAAAATATATAGCCCTTCACCTATGTTAAAGAATTTCACATAGAGCAAGGAAACTTGTAAAAGAACAATTCTTGGTCAATAATTTACTTCGAAAACAGATCATTTATTAATCAATACTGATGTAGAGTATTAAATTAATTTATTATGGACAAAAATTTCTGATAATGCCTTAATTAAAATTAAATTGTAAATACATATAAACGAAGATTGTATTAAGAACATTAATATTTAAGAATAAATAATTAGCAATAACTGAATGCAATAAACTGTTACAATCATATGATTTTAGGAATTTTTACTAGAGATACAAGATCTAGATTTAAAAACAATAATATTAACTAATTATATAAAATGGAGAAAACTAACTTTAAAAATTTAATTTTTAGTTATCAGAAAAGCTTGATTCAATATTCTAAGCTGATAAAGGAATTTTTCAAGTTATTAAAAACTGTCATTCTGAATAAAGTAAAAGAGAAGGAGGCATATTTAATTGTTTTAAGATGATAAATAAAAATTTGTGCCAGATAGAATTTATAAAAATTGTTTTAATTAAATAGATTGCTTATCTAATTCAGTCTTATATTAGCCATTGCCTATACATTCTCTAAATAAATTGAGTAAACAAGAAATAGATAATCTATAAAAAATGATTCCTTTCGATAAAGATATTTCGTATAATTGTATAATATATTAATTTATGAAAAATTTCATATGGAAGGAATTAAGTGATGTATGGAATGAAAAAATTTATATGTAATAAGAAAATTGGATGGGCAAGATTAATTCCTCTCAATAAAGTAGATCCAGAAATTCCTAATAAAAAATAATTTCGGCCTCTTGTAATACTGAGTCCACTTCTTAAATTTATTTAATTTCGCTTTTATGAACAATAATCAAATTTCCTCTAGAATGGAATTAGGAAATTGGTTTTGTATAGGTATGGAGCTTAAGTAAATATTCTAATCCTTTTCGACAAAGTTAAAAATACAAAGGCTTAAGAAAGACAAGTAGTAATTTTTATTCATTTTCTGATGCTTATTNAAGAATTTAATAAGTAAGGAAATGAAACTATTGATATCAAAAATTAATTTTAACCCTCCACAAATAACACACATAGAAAATGAAATTAATATTATAACGTGGAATATAAGTTCTTTAAAAACTAAAACTAGCCAATCATAACATAATACAACTCTTATATTATATGCTTATAAGAAGTAAGAAATACTTAATTTAACGATTCAATTTATTATAAATATTATTATAAGAGAACTGGTTCTACACATTCTGGTGGCATAATTACGGGCAGACATAGAGATTTTAACTTTTTAGATATTTCAAATTTATTTATTAATAACGAGACTTTGTATATTTTTGGTAATAAGAGCAGCTAACTAAATTTCAGATTTAGTCATCATAAATGCTTATTTTGATAACACCTAAAGTTTACCCAAAATAAAAAATGGTTTAATGAAATTGTATTATAAGTATTGAGTTAAATGAATACAAATCAATTACTCATGCTTTGCTGGGATTTTAACTAAAAATATATAGCCCTTCACCTATGTTAAAGAATTTCACATAGAGCAAGGAAACTTGTAAAAGAACAATTCTTGGTCAATAATTTACTTCGAAAACAGATCATTTATTAATCAATACTGATGTAGAGTATTAAATTAATTTATTATGGACAAAAATTTCTGATAATGCCTTAATTAAAATTAAATTGTAAATACATATAAACGAAGATTGTATTAAGAACATTAATATTTAAGAATAAATAATTAGCAATAACTGAATGCAATAAACTGTTACAATCATATGATTTTAGGAATTTTTACTAGAGATACAAGATCTAGATTTAAAAACAATAATATTAACTAATTATATAAAATGGAGAAAACTAACTTTAAAAATTTAATTTTTAGTTATCAGAAAAGCTTGATTCAATATTCTAAGCTGATAAAGGAATTTTTCAAGTTATTAAAAACTGTCATTCTGAATAAAGTAAAAGAGAAGGAGGCATATTTAATTGTTTTAAGATGATAAATAAAAATTTGTGCCAGATAGAATTTATAAAAATTGTTTTAATTAAATAGATTGCTTATCTAATTCAGTCTTATATTAGCCATTGCCTATACATTCTCTAAATAAATTGAGTAAACAAGAAATAGATAATCTATAAAAAATGATTCCTTTCGATAAAGATATTTCGTATAATTGTATAATATATTAATTTATGAAAAATTTCATATGGAAGGAATTAAGTGATGTATGGAATGAAAAAATTTATATGTAATAAGAAAATTGGATGGGCAAGATTAATTCCTCTCAATAAAGTAGATCCAGAAATTCCTAATAAAAAATAATTTCGGCCTCTTGTAATACTGAGTCCACTTCTTAAATTTATTTAATTTCGCTTTTATGAACAATAATCAAATTTCCTCTAGAATGGAATTAGGAAATTGGTTTTGTATAGGTATGGAGCTTAAGTAAATATTCTAATCCTTTTCGACAAAGTTAAAAATACAAAGGCTTAAGAAAGACAAGTAGTAATTTTTATTCATTTTCTGATGCTTATTATAGTAGAATTCTTTATATAAATCCTTATAACCCAGAAGAAAGAATTAATTATAAAAATGGACTTCCTCAAGGATCACCAATATCTCTATATCTATTTAATATTTATATGGATATTTATATAAATTACTCGAAAACAGTTAATATCATATGAAATTAAAATATTTAGCTTACTTTGCAAAACAAAAATATTTGCAAGGATTTTTTATTAAAACTAGTTAATTTATCTAAAGAGTGGAAGCTTAAATTAAAAGTTAACAAATCTGGAATAGTGGCAATTAAGTATTAAATTCATAAGCCGAGCATACTTATTGAGAAAAAATACCGATATCTAGGAATAGAAATTGATCAACTACGTAAGATTTAATAGTAAATTCATGATATTAAATAGAGTGCCAACTTTACAGTGTACAAATTGTTAAAAATTTCTTAAAAAGTGGACTGCAGATACTTCAATTATAAATTGATTTGTGCATAGTTTCAAAATAGGAAAAATAAATTAGCCTTTGAGAAATTTAGAACACAATTTTTTAAATAACTATTACCTAAGAATTCTTCTGAAATGTATTATAAGTGTAACTTAAAACCATATGATAAGAACCAAACAGAATAAATAAACTAGACTTTTAATAAAATTGAAAAGAGGATTGTTTGTTACAGGTTTTATTAAAGATTAATTCATAAAAGCATCATCTATTTAAAGAGATTGTTTAAATTTTAGAAAAATAACATTACTACTTTAAAATTTGAATTATAAATATAAATTATCTTGGACTTATTGTTTACAGCCTAAACATAATGACTAAGCCATTAATTTATAATATAAGAAAATGTAAATTTTAATTAGGTGGAGGTATTTTATAATTGGCTTAAAATTAATCGGAAAATCAAAAAATATAAGAGATCATCAACTAATTAGCAGTCTAAGCATAGAACAATAAATTAGTTTGAGCTAAATGAATATGAGGTATATGTGTATTATTCCCTGAGATGGGTTAAATAATACTAATGATAAATATTAAGGCAATAACGATCTAACCTAAATTTTTTTTTTTAATTTAAGTAATTTAATTTAAAATTAGTAACACAAATTTCACGAGCATAAAACCATTAAAAACACCAATATAGGTGCGCCAATTTGGATATTTCAGATAAGTCTTAGAAAAACATACAAGAGAGATTACAAATTCTATTAAAAAAAAATAAAGTTCATGTAAGTTGTCTCCAATGTTTAGTTCAAGAATGATTCAAGGAAGAATAGGTTTATCAATTCTAGCAAATCTTAGTTATAATGAAAAAAATTTTAAGGAGAGGAAAAAGCTCCAAAATTAAAGTTAATTCCTATTATTCTATTTAACATAAATCACTAAATCAATCTGTCATAAATTATGCGATTATTTTTCTTGGGTATTTTGTTTACCAATTAGCATTGCAACTATTTCTTAAATTTACTAGGAACAAAAAAAAATGGAAGCTAGAATGATATTTGATTATATGTAGATCTGAATGATTCATATGTTGGTCTTACTGAATGTTGGGTACAAGTAAAATAAAAATTAAAACTTATGGGAAGAATTTTGTAAATTGATTTATAATTCATTTCTTAAATATCATAAAAATAATTATTGATAAAATGTTTTACCCAACCAACCATTATTCATCTTCTTGATGATTTTATTTGTAACTAGGCTAAAACGAGGTGTGTGGGTAATAATAGGTCTAAAAATTTTTTGGTAAAACTTGTTTAATCATATATTTTATAGTTTTTATAAGCGCTGAAATATATTTTTTGTATTAGTGAGTTGAAATTGAAGGAGAAATCTAGAGTATTTCTGGAAACTTGAAGGGTTAAAATAATTAATATTTCTGTTTCCAGTTAATTTTAAGAGTTCAAATATATAATTAATATCTCATTCAAGTTTAAGAAAATTATATAATTATAATACTTCTACGCTAGAAAAGTATTATAACATAATGGCTTAATTGATCTTCTGATCATGCCGATCAACAATTTATTGTTGATCAAGAGCATTAATTTGACAATTATCTAACTTTTTTATTTGCAATTAAATTTATAAGCCATTTATTATTGTTATTAAATGATTATTTTTATACAATAATTTTTGAGGCCAACAAAAAATATAATAATTGTTTTATCATTATTTAATAAAAAAAATAAGAAGGAACGGCTTAAAAATTGAAGAATTGAATTAAATCATCAAATTTTATTTTTGATTGATATATCTAATTTGAAATGGAAAATTTTGTTTCAAACTAATTATTTTTAATTTTCCTGGTAAAAGCAACTATAATGTTTTAATTCGTATTTATCTGATTTCTTTTGAGGGTTGTTGTAGGAAAGTTTATTTTATAAAAAATTATATATTGTTTCTATAATTTTATGTATAATAATTTTAGTTTTAATATAGGGTTGGTATCTTTTATAGTATGTGTATTAGTATCGAAATAATTCAAAGATTAATGAGAATCTCGTTATATATTTTATTATAATATGTACAGATATTAGATCAGGCTTTATTGAAAATTTGAAGTGAAAATAAGTGTAAAGAAAATATTGGTTAATTGTCGAAATCAGTTCAACAAACATAAATTTTGTTTTAGTTAACAACAATTCAATATTTTTTGAATATCTCATAATATCAAAACCATAATACATTGTTTAATGTAAAATTCAAAAAAAATACAAATTTGAAAAGAAATATGAAAATAATACTAATACCTTAGTCTAAAAAAGTTAGGGAAATTCAAAAATGATCTAAAAGTAAGTACATAGTGAGTACCCCTATATTTCAAATTATGAGTGGTTTATTGAATTATATATATATTATAAGTCTTAATCTATGATGAGAGTGGGGATGTAAAAGTATGACATCAATATATTGATAAGAATTGATTAGAAAAATGATTTATAGAAAAAATAATTATAATTTTTAGGATTGAAATGTTGAAATTATTTAAAAATAATAAATAATATTGTTAATGAATAAATTTAAAATAATGTTCGTTTTTTGCATGATTGCTTTAATTGCTTCTGAAGAAACTTTAGTGGATGAAGACAAGCAGAATTATGAAAAAGTAGTATAAGAAAATAATAATAAGTAGGTTTCAACAAAACAGGAATAAGAAGGTAGATCTGGAAGCACATTAGTTAAAAGTCAAGAAAACTAAACTAGTAGAGGAGGCGTTTAAACGGTAGACAGTTAATCAGAAAGAAAAGTAAAGAGAGAGGATGGAGCTTCTGAAAGAAAATCTGTTGTTAAGAGAGAAGAAGGAACTGATGAAGATACATCTGAAAGAAAGTCAGCCGTTAAGAGAGAGGATGGAGCTTCTGAAAGAAAATCTGTTGTTAAGAGAGAAGAAGGAGCTGATGAAGGTACATCTGAAAGAAAGTCAGCTGTTAAGAGAGAAGAAGGAACTGATGAAGATACATCTGAAAGAAAATCAGCTGTTAAGAGAGAGGATGGAGCTTCTGAAAGAAAATCTGTTGTTAAGAGAGAAGAAGGAACTGATGAAGAAACATCTGAAAGAAAATCAGCTGTTAAGAGAGAGGATGGAGCTTCTGAAAGAAAATCTGTTGTTAAGAGAGAAGAAGGAACTGATGAAGAAACATCTGAAAGAAAATCAGCTGTTAAGAGAGAGGATGGAGCTTCTGAAAGAAAATCTGTTGTTAAGAGAGAAGAAGGAACTGATGAAGAAACATCTGAAAGAAAATCAGCTGTTAAGAGAGAGGATGGAGCTTCTGAAAGAAAATCTGTTGTTAAGAGAGAAGAAGGAACTGATGAAGAAACATCTGAAAGAAAATCAGCTGTTAAGAGAGAGGATGGAGCTTCTGAAAGAAAATCTGTTGTTAAGAGAGAAGAAGGAACTGATGAAGAAACATCTGAAAGAAAATCAGCTGTTAAGAGAGAGGATGGAGCTTCTGAAAGAAAATCTGTTGTTAAGAGAGAAGAAGGAACTGATGAAGAAACATCTGAAAGAAAATCAGCTGTTAAGAGAGAAGAAGGAACTGATGAAGAAACATCTGAAAGAAAGTCAGCTGTTAAGAGAGAGGATGGAGCTTCTGAAAGAAAATCTGTTGTTAAGAGAGAAGAAGGAACTGATGAAGAAACATCTGAAAGAAAATCAGCTGTTAAGAGAGAGGATGGAGCTTCTGAAAGAAAATCTGTTGTTAAGAGAGAAGAAGGAACTGATGAAGAAACATCTGAAAGAAAGTCAGCTGTTAAGAGAGAGGATGGAGCTTCTGAAAGAAAATCTGTTGTTAAGAGAGAAGAAGGAACTGATGAAGAAACATCTGAAAGAAAATCAGCTGTTAAGAGAGAGGATGGAGCTTCTGAAAGAAAATCTGTTGTTAAGAGAGAAGAAGGAACTGATGAAGAAACATCTGAAAGAAAGTCAGCTGTTAAGAGAGAGGATGGAGCTTCTGAAAGAAAATCTGTTGTTAAGAGAGAAGAAGGAACTGATGAAGAAACATCTGAAAGAAAATCAGCTGTTAAGAGAGAAGAAGGAACTGATGAAGAAACATCTGAAAGAAAGTCAGCTGTTAAGAGAGAGGATGGAGCTTCTGAAAGAAAATCTGTTGTTAAGAGAGAAGAAGGAACTGATGAAGAAACATCTGAAAGAAAATCAGCTGTTAAGAGAGAGGATGGAGCTTCTGAAAGAAAATCTGTTGTTAAGAGAGAAGAAGGAACTGATGAAGAAACATCTGAAAGAAAATCAGCTGTTAAGAGAGAAGAAGGAACTGATGAAGAAACATCTGAAAGAAAGTCAGCTGTTAAGAGAGAGGATGGAGCTTCTGAAAGAAAATCTGTTGTTAAGAGAGAAGAAGGAGCTGATGAAGAAACATCTGAAAGAAAATCAGCTGTTAAGAGAGAAGATGGAGCTTCTGAAAGAAAATCTGTTGTTAAGAGAGAAGAAGGAACTGATGAAGAAACATCTGAAAGAAAATCAGCTGTTAAGAGAGAGGATGGAGCTTCTGAAAGAAAATCTGTTGTTAAGAGAGAAGAAGGAGCTGATGAAGAAACATCTGAAAGAAAGTCAGCTGTTAAGAGAGAAGAAGGAACTGATGAAGAAACATCTGAAAGAAAGTCAGCTGTTAAGAGAGAAGAAGGAACTGATGAAGGTACATCTGAAAGAAAGTCAGCTGTTAAGAGAGAAGAAGGAACTGATGAAGGTACATCTGAAAGAAAGTCAGCTGTTAAGAGAGAGGATGGAGTTTCTGAAAGAAAATCTGTTGTTAAGAGAGAAGAAGGAACTGATGAAGAAACATCTGAAAGAAAGTCAGCTGTTAAGAGAGAAGAAGGAACTGATGAAGGTGCATCTGATAGAAAATCAACTGTTAAGAGAGAAGAAGGAACTGATGAAGGTAAAGCTGAAGCTAGTATCTAATAAGCCAATTTACAAACAACAGAAGAATCAAATTAATCTAATAGACAAAATTTAGAATTGGAAGTCATTAGTGAACAAGAAATCATGAAAAATTAGGACAATTATGGAATGTAATTGATATCTTTATCAATGATAGTCATATTTGTTTAATGATTTGTTATGTTTAACGAATGCCTATAAAATTTTTTTTTATTTGATTTTTTAATTTCAAATTTCTACTCAATGGTAATACTCATTTTCTATTTTTGTTCTCTTTATTTTCTGATATATTTATTTTAATATTCGCTTTAAAGTTTGTTTTTTAAATTCTCTTTTATAACAGTCAACAAATATCAAATTATCATACATTCATTTTATATGTTAGAATTTGATTTATTATTCTCTTTATTTATTTATTTGCCCCAAGTTGTCTTATAACATATCAATATTTTAATGATTTCAAGTAATAAATTCTAACCTGGCTGAAGCTTTTTTCTCGCTGGTTGAATTATACTTAAGTTTTTTTACCTATACTTTTCATAGTACTAATTTATTCATATGTTTTATTGATTCATCAGGCTTTGAATTTTCATAATATCGATCAAAATTTCTATTTAGTATAATTGAATGCAATTAATATTCTGGTTTATTACTTCAAATGATTATAGATATTAATTTATTTATTTTGTTTGATTAAAGTATGAAATAAAAATCCAATTCTATTTTAAAACTTAATAATATCTAATATAAGTTGAAAATATAATGAAAAATGAATTATCAAATATAATATCATAAATATTCTAATATATATCATTTGGTTCAATTTTTGGTATTTAAAATTCCTAATATATAACTAGGTTGTGAAGTATGATTCTTCTTAAATTCTACTTTATTTTCATTGTTAAAATCAGAATATTATTCAGTCTAAAAAAGAATAAAATTTTATAATACTTTTAATGTTGAAGTCCTTTTATTTTTTAAAGAATCCAATTCTGCTTATGCTAAAATAAGTAATTCTTAATTTTTATGAAATTCTCTATTTTAAGTGATAAATTATGTCTTCCAAGAATCTAATTCTTAAATTAAGACTTAAATTTTTTCATTATTTATATGCGATTCATCAAGCCTCTATTTTCTTCTAGATTAATCCAATTCATCCTATAGGGTTCTTATTAAGGTAGTTAATTTTTCGTTATCATTATACATTTAAGTAAATTTTGTAGATTAATCTCTTAATTTTACTAGCTCTTACTTATATTGTTCTGATTCATTAATTTTGACTCTAACTAAATTGCTCAATCTATCAATTTCATTTGAATAGACAACATTTTTCTACTCTAATTCTTTAAGTCTTGAGGATTCATTGTATTAGAACTAGTTAAAATTGCTTCTATTCTTTTCTAATTCTTCACTTTTGATTTTTAGCTGGGCATTAAGCCTATCGATTTCACTATTGAGGACAGTTATTTATTAATCATTTTGTGAAGATTAAAATTAATATAGTTCTTATCTTAATTTGTCATTTTCATCCTATCTACTTTTTAAGCTTTAATGTAATCTTTCTATTTCCTAACTCAACAAAGCAATTTTATTTTCATAATCATTTGATTTATATTTATCACTTATTGTTAATTACAATTTAGAAATACAAGATCTTAGGTTATCATTTTCTTCTACTTTCATTCTCAAAGTATTGTGAATTCTTTCGTATTCTTATTAAATACTTCTATATCTAGATTCAAAATCAACATATTTAGAATATTCCTGTAATTAGAGATTGTATTAATGCAATTGTAATTTACATTTATCTATCTCGTCCTATTTTATTCTAATCTTTTGGTTGAGTAATTAAATTTCTTCACTTTATAATTTAGATCTATGTTCATATTCTTGAAATTTCGAAGTATCTTAGAATGTCAATTATAATGTTTGAGTCACTGTAGTCAGTCTGGCAATTTCTTCATTTTTAGATCTGATATCGCCATTGTATCGATCACTAAGTTCTTGGAATTCTTTATTCAATCTTTCTATCTATTATTAGATTGAATATTCCCTTTGTTTTAATTCTTTATTTTCTCTATCAAAATCTTTCAGCCTCAACGATTAGATTTCCAAGTTTTTAATTAACTATAATTTAGTGGTTTCAAATTCCTCTTGTTTAACCTTCAAAATTTAGGTACATCTTTCCAATTCATTAGTTAAAGTGGTTTAGGTCTATTGAAGTTAGATATACAATTATTCATATTTTTTTGTATCTATCAAAGTGGTTTATAAGGATTATAATTAGGTTTAGCTCTGTTAGACTAAGATATTTAATCTTTGGATTTCATTTTAATAATATTGTTCACTGTCAATTTAAGTTTTCTTTAATTTATCAAAATCATTGTTTTATTATTGATAATAAACCAATTATGAAGTTAGTTATGTATTCTTGATCTTAAGAGTTTCAATTTCAATGTTTGATTCTTTCAAAGAGGCAGCTATTTTATTAATTTCAGTTTGACAGATTAGTAATTATCTTTCCAACTCAGCTACTTTATGGGAATCTTCAACATAAGTGATTTTCTCTTAGATTGTAGGATGAGACCTCAATCTAGTAACTTCAATGTTGAGTTCACTGATTTGTTTTTCATATATTAGGCATTTACTCTTATAAAATTCCACCTCGTCCCTATTATCAACTACCTGTACTTTTTGTACTTATTAGATAATTGGTTTAACAAAGGTTTCTGTTCTGATTGGTGCTTGTGTTGTTGTTATGATTTGTTATGGCTATCTCTTAACATAGACTATATTTTGTTTAGGAGATAAGACTTGAATTGTGTCCTTAGTTTAGGATTTGCCTCTGCTTGTTAATCTCTCAGAAACTACACATTCTATGGTTTGAAAATGCTACTAATGTTATTGATCCATATTGAAAATCGTTAATTTTATATTTTAAACATTTTAGAAATAAATATGAGTTAAATACAATTCATAATTTTTCTCAAATCCAAGAATTATTCTTGGGGTTAATCTGTTTGACTATTTAAATTATCAAATCCATTAAGTCTTTTTATCAAATCCTATGAAAAAAGCCAAATCAAATATAACCTCAAAATGCTGATTAAATTTAACAATATCAGTCATTTTAAGCAATCTCCTTAAATAGTTTTAATCAACAAAGAATTGATTTTCTAACTAATCCCTAATTATGCAATCTTCGATAATGAAAGCATCTTATAGGGATATATGGAAATCCCATAATAATATTCATATCAAACATAAATAATAATATTTAGAATAATTCTAATAAATCTTAGAGCAAGCATCGTATGTGTACTTAGATGATATTGATATCAGTCTAGGATAGGAATGCGATGAAAATTAAGATCATACTCCAGCCTCGGGGAGCATTAATTAGCTCTTTGAACTCCATCGTATGGTAACATTATAAATTTTTAATATAAAAACAATTTAGTGATCTGTTCTATAATTCAACTTATTTCTTTCATAAAATACAATTTCGATTTTCTTCAATGATTCAGGGTTTTATTAAGTATCTCTAATATTTATGCTTACACTTTTTCTATAGAATTGTCTCCATCAATTTCAATCAATTAATTTAGATTTCGATAATGGTCTATTATTTTTTAGGTATCATTTTCAAAAGTAATAAATCTCTTTTCTAAAGTTTATAAATTGTCATCTGATCTTCCACTTGTTTTTGATCTCTCTTATATTCTTGAGATCATAGATTACTGCAAATAAAAACACATTTTTTACTCTTGAACAAAGAATATGAATAACACTTTTAAAGTTGATTTTGTGATCCATCAATTCTATCCAACTTTGCATATTCTCGTAATTCCTAGGGAATCCATCTATTAGAAAAGACTCAAAACTTAAGCTTTCAAAAATGGCTTTATCCAATAAATTAATAGTTACATGACTCTAAAACACATCAAATAATTATAATTACAGGAACAATAACTCCATTATTGATGCAATCTTCAATAGTACTTTTGTGCTCCGAATTACTTGTAATCTAATAATAAAATTTCAATAATTACAGCATCTCTTAGTAATTATCCTGCTGATAAATGTGTAAATTTTAGGTTTTTACTTAGCAGTTCACCTTATGTACCCTTTCCTGAACCAGGTCCTACTATCTAATTTGGNGTTATGGCTATCTCTTAACATAGACTATATTTTGTTTAGGAGATAAGACTTGAATTGTGTCCTTAGTTTAGGATTTGCCTCTGCTTGTTAATCTCTCAGAAACTACACATTCTATGGTTTGAAAATGCTACTAATGTTATTGATCCATATTGAAAATCGTTAATTTTATATTTTAAACATTTTAGAAATAAATATGAGTTAAATACAATTCATAATTTTTCTCAAATCCAAGAATTATTCTTGGGGTTAATCTGTTTGACTATTTAAATTATCAAATCCATTAAGTCTTTTTATCAAATCCTATGAAAAAAGCCAAATCAAATATAACCTCAAAATGCTGATTAAATTTAACAATATCAGTCATTTTAAGCAATCTCCTTAAATAGTTTTAATCAACAAAGAATTGATTTTCTAACTAATCCCTAATTATGCAATCTTCGATAATGAAAGCATCTTATAGGGATATATGGAAATCCCATAATAATATTCATATCAAACATAAATAATAATATTTAGAATAATTCTAATAAATCTTAGAGCAAGCATCGTATGTGTACTTAGATGATATTGATATCAGTCTAGGATAGGAATGCGATGAAAATTAAGATCATACTCCAGCCTCGGGGAGCATTAATTAGCTCTTTGAACTCCATCGTATGGTAACATTATAAATTTTTAATATAAAAACAATTTAGTGATCTGTTCTATAATTCAACTTATTTCTTTCATAAAATACAATTTCGATTTTCTTCAATGATTCAGGGTTTTATTAAGTATCTCTAATATTTATGCTTACACTTTTTCTATAGAATTGTCTCCATCAATTTCAATCAATTAATTTAGATTTCGATAATGGTCTATTATTTTTTAGGTATCATTTTCAAAAGTAATAAATCTCTTTTCTAAAGTTTATAAATTGTCATCTGATCTTCCACTTGTTTTTGATCTCTCTTATATTCTTGAGATCATAGATTACTGCAAATAAAAACACATTTTTTACTCTTGAACAAAGAATATGAATAACACTTTTAAAGTTGATTTTGTGATCCATCAATTCTATCCAACTTTGCATATTCTCGTAATTCCTAGGGAATCCATCTATTAGAAAAGACTCAAAACTTAAGCTTTCAAAAATGGCTTTATCCAATAAATTAATAGTTACATGACTCTAAAACACATCAAATAATTATAATTACAGGAACAATAACTCCATTATTGATGCAATCTTCAATAGTACTTTTGTGCTCCGAATTACTTGTAATCTAATAATAAAATTTCAATAATTACAGCATCTCTTAGTAATTATCCTGCTGATAAATGTGTAAATTTTAGGTTTTTACTTAGCAGTTCACCTTATGTACCCTTTCCTGAACCAGGTCCTACTATCTAATTTGGTTAATACCTCCTAATATAAAATATACAGATGGTTTTCTTAGATTGGAAAATTTATTCATAAAAGGATTACCAATAATAAAAATTAATTAACAGATCCTATATAGAGAGTGTACGAATTATTCATTAAAAATGTAGTATATCATATTGATTTATAAACACGTAGATAATTAGAGATCATTCTAACAGTTTTAAAGCTTTGCAAAATTTGAAAAATCCATCCAAGTACCTTGAACATCAATAAGGCCACAAAACCAATGATTGATAGAAAGTAAATAAATGGGAATATTAATACAAAGGTAATCATGGCGAAAATGTTTTAGGAAGTAGTATAGTGAAATTTTTCAACTGTCTTCATCATTTTTTTAAAAAAGAAACTACATGCAAAGCATGGAATAAGTAAAGATATGAAAAAAGAAATTAGAAAGGTTGGTGTTCCTAATTATTCATTGTTATTATATTCACAGGTTTGACAAAGTTTATTTTGAGAGAATAATTCCAAAGGATTTTCACAATTTATGCAATATTATACATTGCACAACATACAAATCTTACATTCATTATCATTATTATGATTATAGATTTAGCACTTATTGCAGTAGAATCCTTGATGCATGAACAACCAGCAATGTTCACAAATGTCATTTTCTATATCATAACATATGTGATCATTTGAAAATGGAATTTATTAGATGTTGTGTTCCTCAAACTTTTTCATCAATCTTTAGTAGTATTTGTGGATAGTTTTGTCATCAAAGTGCTTAGGATAAGACAAAAGACCTTTAATACTGAAATTATGATCAGTATTGCATATTTGACAATGTCTAATTTGAGACATTCGTCCAAGTAATAATATTATTTAAATTAAATATCTTAATACTGTGTATAAATATATATTAGTCGTGAGATTTTTATAAATTTTGAATATTCCGTACAGAATCCATTCCTATGAGAATCATAAGGGCCTTGAAAGTGAATTAATTAATAAATTATCTACAGAGAATTTAATCAGCATAAAATCTCAGTTTTAAAATAATATGATCTATGTATTAGAACCTTTTATCAATATAATTGAACATTTTTTGTTTGATTCATGAATATTAAATTCATAATATTCTTGAATTATCAATTTATAGTAGGCTTGACTTACATTATTATGTTTAATCTATTCAATGCAATCCTGATTATTTTTACATAACAAAACAAAGGGAATTCAATAAAAACTTCTACAAATGCTTCATTTTTCCATATAATAAGGAGCAGGAAACATATGTGATAAAGGATGGTGGTCAATTTGTGTTTGGACCGATTTTATTCATAAATAATACTGTAGGTTTTGGTGGCGAAGTTCAAGATTTTCATTCTAAATTTGGGATTAAATAGTCATTGCAATTTATTATTCATGAATCGGCTGCTCCAGTTCTAATAAATCTTATGAATCTTCATTCTTAAGTACTTAATCTGGATGTATCTACGACCGAGGGATTCTTTGTAAACAAATATCTTATCTTTATTATAGAAGAAATAGTACACATATTATTGTAGGTTTCTGATATTTGCAGCATTTTTGGAACACAATAGTCATCAAAAAGCTAAGAACTATTTTTTAAGATTTGCTTTAATTAATTTGTGCATTAAAAAGAACAGGTTTCCTAATCTAATTATTCTGTCTAAGTTAAAAAAGAGAAAGGATGTATTTCAATTTTTTTATGACAATTAATCATCATAGTATTAAGTTTATTTTATTTGATAATAAATTTCTTATACTTTACTTTGAAATGTTCCAGAATCGAAAAATAGATATATAATCATTTATAATGTGAAATATTCTTTGATTTTTTAATTATTAAATGGTATATAATAAAAATATAAGTGATTTGCCATATTTTTGTCTACTTAAGAAGTAGCAAAGAGGCTGAGATTGATTTAATATATATATTCAAAATAAAATCTCAATATCGATTAAATCCTATTTGGATTAGACTTGATTCAATTTGACCTCTTTTAGCCATCTTGGAGAATTCTACATATTATTAAAATTCTTGAATCTATTCTCATTCAAACTTTATGGAGACCTCTTGTGTAGATTATCTTTTTTTTAGCCATTGAGAGTGAAGGAGTCTATTTCATCATATCTGTCTCCATCCTCTTCATTATCATTTGATGATCCTAATTTAAAAGTTTTTGGTTTCAAAACATTAGTAGCCACTCTTTTTTTTTTATTATACCTCAGCTACCTAGTTAATCTTTCAATTTCTACAAGAGAATTGAAACTATATTGTATTGTTGGTTCGACTAGTTTTAATAAGCGTTGATTCATTATTTTTTCAGTTCCATCTTGATCCTCTGAAAGTGCTAAATTTTCATAAGCTTCGTAGAGCTTTTTAAATTTTTTTTCAGTATTATATTTTTATCTCACTCCAAGTTAAGACTTAGAAGACATTGTCAATCTTAAGGCATCATCTCTTTTATGTAAGAGATCATTTTGAATTAAGTTATGATCATACTTGACTTGGTTGATTTTATCCTTAACACAAACAACGGGTTTTTATAGATAGTTAAATACTTTTCTTTAAGTTTTATTAAAAATGACATGTTTAATTTTTTCAATTTCTTACACTTTACTCATAATGACTAAAATATCCATATCTCTCAATATCATATTTCTAGACTTTTCGAATAATTATGATTAATAATTGACTTTAGAATTTTTTTTCAAAGTACTTGAAACTTATTTTGCAATAAAATGAACCCCAAAGGAGAGTTTTTTTCTACTCTCTAAGATTAATTAGATGATAAGAGTTAAAAATTTCTTCTTGTCTTATTCCAAATAAAAAGTTTAATTACTTTCATGAGAATATTGTAGTTTTTCTGAATGTAAATTGTCATTTTAAGTTTCCAATCTAAGTGTTATCTGATTTGCAATTTCTTCATCGACTTTATCAGTTTATTAAACCTGCTAATTAGGAAATTTAAGTGCTCCAGCCAATCTTGTCAATGTTATAAGTCTATGAGCACTACTTTTGAATTTTGATACCACGTCTTCAATGGATTTGAGAGATTCAAAAATTTTATTAACTAGTGATTCAAAGGAGAATACAGTCTCACCTTTTTTCTTCTCTGGCATATCAAACTAATATAATGCATTGGCTAATTTGATCTACAAACCTGCTTAATTATATTTTAATATGAAATATCCTAAAATAGTAGCTAGGAATTAAGTGATTCCTCCAACATAGGAAAACAATTCATCAAATCGATAATACTGCTTATAATAATGCATTTCAGATTATGATAGTCTAATAAAAAAGGAAGCAACTTTTGTGATGTTCGAAGTAAAGACAGAGGAAGGTTACAATTTGTTATCCATTAATGAAAATACTGAATCTACTTCTAGATCTTTGATTCCTGGAATGACTGACTTTTCTATTGATAATTGTTGTTATTCTAAAAATACATCAGTCTTTGTTTCTAATCCAATTTTAGCTTAGACGTAGTAATCAGAGTAAATATAGGAGATGTAATTACTCTGCATATTCAAATTGGGAACCCTGTTTAGTATAAGAGTGTTAATTTTAAAACTGTTATTGAAATAACCTAGTTGTTCGAATTGTTGAAGTTCTGAGGATTAATAACAATCATCTGACGAACAGATTATTACCGATATTTTACCATATTAAAATATATTTGATTTGTAGGTACCTTATATTTAAAGGCTGTAATTAAGTGGTAGACAATAATAATCAGACAGTTGATCTCTTAGAAGTTTCTAATGGTGAGTATAAATTGTTACATTGTAGGTGTTTGATTCATCAAACTCAACAAAATGCGATATAGAGCATTATTCTAAGTTTTGGGAATATGTTTCTGTTTTGGTTATATTTCCGTTTTCATCAATCATCTACACATAAGAAGTAAGGATGAAATTAAAGAATCGTTTGGTTCCATTTCTAATTGGGTTATCTGCTTAGAAAGCCATCATGAAATCACTGAATTGGAGTTAAGTGGTTGGGGGATCAACATTTAGTACTTTGTTTGAAGAGATCTTGTTAGATTATCAATATATCATACAACGAATGTTTCCTTTTTTATCAGAGCAATTGCTCCTCTAGTAAATATCACAGTTAAAACCAAAACTAATATAATTGTACAGAATCCTCCAAAGGGGGATTGATGTGTCTCTTTTTTTCTGAAATTGAGTTTCACTTCAGCTCCAAATCTATCAAAATATGAAAGACGAGTTAAAAATTTATATAGCATAATAATTAATTTAATGCAGACAACCTTTTAATTAAAATAAACATTAAAGTGGGAAAAGAAAATTTATAATTATTAATAAAGAAAAATAAATATACTGTTTAAATAATGTCTTTAATTAAGAAATGATCATACCTGATATTAGAAGAGAATAGATTGACACATTATAATTATAGCTGTTTATTAATTAAAGTTATTTAGCTTGCGTCATCCAATGACAGAAACAAAGTTAAAAATAGCAATTAGAAGATGTTCATCACCATATAAAAATAACAACTAGGACAAGTGTGATGTTTCCTTCAATGGTCTCTTTCAAAATATTAAAAAGTTAAATTGTAGGAGAATGTCTGAGAACAAACCACCTACAAAATACAGTTCCAATACAAGACAACATTCGAGAGACAATTCTGTAGAGGTGGACATCACTCTCAATAAACATCATTTTCTAATTATTCACGTTATTGGGGTAGGTGGATTCGGAAGAGTCTGGAAGGTCAGTTATAAAAAAATAAGTCTTTGCTATGAAAGAAATCAGTAAGGCTTTGGTGCTTTTTAAATAAAGTGTGCATTGCATTATGAGAGAATTGTAATTTTTAACTGAATTGAGACACAATTTCATAATCAATGTATTTGCAGCATTTCAAGATAATTAGAATCTCTATTTGGTTCTAGATTATTTGGGAGGTGGTGATTTACGATTCCACTTAGGAAGGTAGAGGAAATTTACAGAAGAATAGACAAGTATTGCAATTTACAATTATTAAAATAGAGTTTTTCGCCGCTTGTATTATAATTGGATTGGAGTATTTGCATGAGAATAATATCATACATAGAGATATCAAACCTGAGAATTTAATTTTGGATGATTAAGGTTATGTTCGGATTACTGATCTTGGTGTAGCTGTTAAAAAGACTGGCTAAAATTTTGAAACAAGTGGCACTCCTGGTTATATGGCACCTGAAGTCATATTCAGATAAGATCATAGAGAGTCTGTCGATTTTTTTGCTTTGGGAGTAATTTGCTATGAATTCATGACAGGAAGAAGGCCCTATTATGGAAATAGAAGGGAAATTAGAGAATAGATCCTGGCTAAATAAGTTTAAATCCAAAGATCAAATGAAGGATGGTCTAACAAGTCAATTGATTTCATAAATATGCTGCTGTAAAGAAAGCCACAGAACAGATTAATAAATCCAAGATTGCATAGATGGTTTAATAATTTTTCATTTGAATTGCTTATTCAAAAGTAAATAAAGGCCCCATTCATTCCTAATAACTAAGATAATTTTGATAAATCACAGATGATTTATGAGGATGAAGAAAACAATTAAATCATAAAATTGCATCAACATTTGATACGAGAAAATTAGGAATAGTTTTAAGGATATTAACATTAAGAAAGGACGCAATAATTTCTAATAAAGTCTAAGAAGAGTACTACAAAAAACAAAAATTATTTTAATATAATTGATTGGCTTTATTTATTGTTATTTTTTTAAATCTTATAATTATCGTTATCTTCTACTTTTATCGTAAGTTAGAATCAAGAATGTAAAAACTTGTTTATTAAAGAATTTTGGAATTGGTTTTCTATTTTTTGAGTTTTTTTATGCTTCTATGATGCCATTCCCAGCAGCAAATCGGTTATCGTTTTGATTTTTATTAAGAATTTATAAGGGGAAATAAGATGATATTTAATTATTTTTGGTGATGTATTTACTAGTTTTTTTGTGTTTCACTTATGAGGCCCTTGGTAATGAAGTTTTGTTTGACTCCTCGTTTACCTCAAATAGCTTTACGACTAGTGAAGGTTAATAATTATTATGATAAATAGGATGGAATGAATTTTAAAGATAAGGCGTAAGCTTCAACATTGGGGCTTATTAGAGTTAAAACTATTTTGGATTGAATACATTCGTAGGATCATTTTTACACAACGATGGAATATCTAAAATGTTCTATTCATTGCCACCCCATTATGCAATCAGAGTTAAAGGGACTACATTAATGTAATTACCACTTGTTATGAAAGTAAAATAACTGGAATTTATGCATAAAACATGGGAGGAGTCCTGATTGATGGCAAAATTTCCATAACCAAATTTATGAGATCGTACTATCAGGATCCTAATAACCCGTAAATGTATTTAAAAGGTGAATTTGATGTAACTGAGCTTCACTATGCCACTTCAGCCTTAATTTAATTGGAATTTGGGAATAGTAACGAAGGTTACAATGTAACATTTGGCTTAAGAGACTTTTACTTTTATATTTAAAAATGTCCAAGTGGATGCGAATCATGTGATAATGCTATTGCTTGTAACAGTTGGAAACTGCAATATAGATCATTAACCAATCAACAATTTTCGACATTTGACACAGAAGGATGGTAAATAAGTACTAAGTTTAATAATTTGGACACAAACACTTATATGTCTCTAGAAAACTGTATAGGTAAATAAAATTAAGTTTTTAGGTAAGAGCTTTGATACAGTCTACTTTGGCTTTGGTTTATTAAATTAATAAATTACTAAAACCATAGAATTGCCTCTCCATTATAAAGTCAAGATTTCCTATCACTAGTTATTATACACTATTAACCCTAAGTTTTCATACAATTGGGTGATGGAAATTGATGGATAAATAATTACAACTAAAACTTTTGGTTACATATTTGGTACGCCACCTCATCTTTGTATATATGTTTACCCTCCTGTTTCTATTAATGAGGGTCAAACTGGAGAAATTTATGATTAAATTAATTTTGAATCAAGTCATACCAAACAATTTTTAAACTATGCCACTTATCCCACTAATTACATATTTAGTGATTCATTAATAAAGTGGGCAATACGAGATTTTGAAGTTTATATCAAAAAATGCCATGCTTCATGTTTATATTCCTGCAAAGGGCCAGGTCCTTAAGATTGTGTAGATGATGTTCTTTATAAGTTGTTTCAATTTTATTCTGTTTTTACAGAGACAACGTTTACTAATAATGATGGTTGGCAAATGATAAAGGCAACTCCTTTATCAATTTTAAGATGTATGGATAGTCTTGTCGCTGTTGGTACTAAATTCTTTTAAGGGAGTAATTACTTTCAAAAAATCTATTATTTAACACAAACTCATACTTCCGTTTCCATATCATTTACTTTATACTAGATTGATAAGTTTACAGGGGAAAAACTCTTTGTATTGGTAGATGATGTTGAAGTTAAATAAGTATCCTTACTTCCAGTGACAATTGATGATGGACTTCCTTTTTGCGGAGTCGATACTGATTACGACAAAAGAATAGTTGTTAATGTTACTGGAATTGCTCATTCATAAAAAGTACTAATTGTACAATTATACACTAATCAAATTGCATCAGCAACTGGTTCTTGGGGAATAAGGAACTTTGTATTAACAATAGATAGGAAATAGATGCCAACTGAATTTACAAATTTGAATTTAGATAGCAATGACTACAAGGACTGGGTATTCACACCAACCACATTTTAATTATCCCTTTGTTCTTCCAAAACCTTATTCGGAGGCACTTCATCATTAGATGAGAATTCAAGTCTCAGAAAAATCATTAAAAATATCCCTGAACATGAAAAAATTAAAATTGAATTCAAAATAGTACTAAAAGTAGTAAGTGATAAAAATATCCAACTAGCCTTTGATATTGATGGAACACGAGTATTTGAAAAATATCTTCAAACTAAAACATTGTTATATTGTGATGCATCTACTAACAGCAACTTTTACTCAATAGAAGAAATATACGACCACAAAAATTCTGAAGTATTTTTGTTAATTTCCACCAGTAATTCTGTAGGTCTCATGTGGGGTATAAGAGATTTTAAATTAAGTTATTATCAAAGACAAATCTACACAGGATGAAAAAATATAATTTAACTAAATATTAAAATATCATTTTTTATTATTTTAGTGCAATCAATGAGTTGATCTTCATTTTAAACCGTTTTTGATATAATTGATATATTGATTGACTATTTATTTTTGAGTAATACATTTTCATTAATTACGAGGTTTTGTAATTAATGAAATATATCTTCTTTGGTAATCCTCTTGAATTACATAGGTTTTGAGGATGAATATGAATCAAACTTAAAGAAATTTATACAGACTTCTTGGAGATCTTGTGACTTTTCTATTCAGAAATATAATTTTAGATGAGCTAATTTATTATTATATTGTGTTTTCATTTCAGTTTTAAGAAATAAACAAAATTATCAATGTCAGAATAATTAAATAAATTAATGTTATAAACCATTTAAGCTATTTTCGGACTCTTTGTATTGCTTAAGATTTTCTACTATTTTATCATGCTCTTCTTGAAGTGCTTTGGCATTGTGAAATGGGATGATGAATAAGCCCCGCAATAAAATTAGTTATAACAATAGGAAGGACAGAATCAATCAAATGTCTAAATCCAATATTAATAGATCTCAGGGAAGAAGGAGAATGAGAAAACCAAGAAGAATAAGTCAAGTAAACAAAGAAAATAGGAGAAGGCATTGAAGAATGCGTAGGAGAAGAAGGAAGAAGAAGTAAAGGTTAAGCAAGTTGAATAAAAGCATAGTGTTACTTAATAACAAATTGAGTATCACAGAATGGAAATGCAACGCTTGTAGGACTTAAAAAGAATAGAGGAAACCCTTCGTTAGGAATAAAAAAAGGAGATTGAAAGATAGGTTCAATTGAAACTCGAGGAATTGACAAATAAACTGTAAAATAAACAGCCTATGAAAAAGTAGCAATAAAAAAAGAGTAAAAGATGACCTTATGTGTGTGATATCAAATATGTATTGTTTTTAATAATTAAATATTTTAATGTAGATAAAAATTTGGACTGTTCTCAAATTACAATATCACAGCAAATTGTAAATCAGGGCTTTGATTTCATTTCTTGATAAAAATTCATCGAAAATCATTTTCTTATGAATGTCATTGAATTCAATGTCTGAAAATATGAAGTCTTGTTAGTTTAATGCTTCTGTTTGCTTGTGAAATTGTTTTAATGATTGAATAGGTTTAAGTAATTGTCTGGGATTTTTACTCAGCTGTTACACTTTTTGAATTTCAGTATTAAGTTTGTGCTGCTTGACTTTTTAAACACATTCCTATGGAGTTAAGGTGAATAGATTACAAGGAATATTTTTTCAATTTAATTTTCTTCAAATGCTGAATCCTGTTTGACTTATTCAATGTTCTCATAAATCTTTTTGGTTTTGATTAACTCCTACTCTGCCTTTTGGTATTGCTCGTTGACTCCTTCTATGTCCATTCCTGGTATTTCTGGTTATCTGAAAGTTGATTCATGACTGAAATAATCTTGATTGACAGTATTGGTTTAGATGTTATCTAATTGTTTCTTTAATTGTTGGTTAGTAATTTTTGCACTCATCAACTAAGTGTCTAGAAATTGGATTTCTGAGATTAGATCTTTGGTAGTGGTCATAACTTTGCTGAGACTGTTTTTGTATTCAATACATTTATTTGAGAATTCCATGGATGATTGTAATATTTTTTATCTTTCTTCTTCGATTTCTTATCTTTTCTCTTTCAATTTACGTTGCACTTGATCCTCTGTAGTTTCATTAGTCAGTTATATTACTTATGCTTAGGCTTCGTCGATTTGTTATTTAATATTGCCTCGTAATTCATCCTCTTTGGTTTTAAATATTCTGCCGATGGTTTCATTCATTTTATCGAGTAATTTGTTTATGCTTTAATGATGCTCAATGATCTATTGTTTTGTTTGTGTTTAAGGAATTTTCACTCTTTCAGTGATTTTTGAATCAGGAGTAAGAGCAATTTATTATTAACTTGTAGTGTCATTAAAAAACATAATAATAATGGATGATTAAATTAATGTATTCGTATTAATTCATATTGATATATATTCATTTATATATATATAATATAAATTTCTATTGCCAGGGACAATAAAATTAAAAACCTCGAAATATACAGTATCTTATTAAGGAATCCAAAGACCCAAGGTATATAAGCAATATTGTTACGACCCAAACTTGAGAAATATTTATATTGTACAAAGATGAAACCATAGATGTAGTACTTTAGTGAGTCAGATTGCGAGGCCAATGACTAATCAATTTGTCAATCATTCAGAGGCTTCTTTGATGAAAACAGCCAAATTCACAGGTAATCGATTCTATTCATTATTTAGAGCCGACTTGATTGATGATTAATTTGAATAGATTAGTGCCCCCAATTCAGTCTAATTTTCTACAGAATGTTCATCTATGGGTGAGAAGGGCCCTAAATAAGAAATGGATGAGGATTTGGATGAATTGAGATGTTCTGAAGTAGATCCTATTGAAGTGAAGAATTTACAACCTCAGATTAAATGTCAATGTAATAAGTCGTAGTGTCAACAAAGTTATTGTGAATGTTTTGCAAGAGGTAAGACTTGTGGTAAACACTGTGGCTGTCAAAACTGCTAGAACAAGTAAATGAATAAGAAATTGGAGAAAATTTAGAAGAAACTGATTAAACAAAAAAGAATCAAATAACGAACATCAAGATATTTAAAAGGATGCACTTGTGGAAAATCCAAGTGCCAAAACAAATTTTGTAGTTGTCATCAAGATGGAAAATATTGTAATTCTGGTTGTAGATGCGTGGATTGTAAAAATAAATACAAATTTTCATTGAAGATATACAAATCAATCGAAGATGTGGAATCGCCTTAGATGGAATCCAAGAATGTCCAATAATTCATAATTGGTTGTGAAAATAGTCGTAAATTTGAGATCTTTAATAAAGTATTAGAATAAAGGGATATTTGAATTATACACATATGAATTACATATATATTTATATATTTTATAATAAATTCATCCACAATAAATAATTTAAGGATGTCTGACGAATAAATAGCTAACGAATTAGATGATCTAGAAAAGAACCAAGTCAAAGTGAAGTTCCCCAAATAATCCCTGATTTCTTTGATACACGATAAGATTGTGTCAGTAAATCATGTAACAACTCTATTTGACTGAAATCTTAGATAAGCCAATCTGAATTTGAAGATAAACACGAAACCCACTTAGGTATAACTCCAGGGAGAAGTGAAAGAGAGTCTTTCTGTAAATCCAAAAATGGCTCCGCACTATTTTTCAGGGAGGATTTAGGAAGATCTAGGATTAGTGATTTTGATCCAACTTCAATCAAATATAGAGTACATATTAATTGATACTTATTCAGACCTAACCTCATGAAGTCCACTTCAGAATCAAAACATTCATTAAGTATTTCACACTCAGAATTTTATTCTCTATTTTTGGACCATTAACGCTGATTTATGGACTATTTGACAAAAAATGGATAAGCTTTATGAGCAATTTCAGAATTTATGGATGTTCATAGGCAACAGCTTTCAACTATTTTTGTTGGATATCTAATTATGCATTTTTGTTCTCCTTTGTTTATTACGTTGGGAACTATGGATTTAGAATGATGCATTACGAACTTGTATTCTTTGGTATCCTCTTCATAACAGAGAATGTTGCCTATGCTATGAATTTTTCCTTCTTCCACCCTTCCAAATTGAACCTCATGGAAAGATTTGACATCAGTGTTGTTGGAGAATTATGTTAGGAGAGTCTAAACCCATATAATTGGACATAGCAAACAACACCAATTATAAATAAGGAGTTTGAATAATCAATAAAGAGACACCAGATTGAACCAACTTCTTTTCTGCTATATTTTATGATTGCACCCAAACCAGAAAGATTGAAGCGAATTTAAGTTGAAAATCTAAATAAAGCTCATAAACAGTACGAGGAAATAGCAGCAAATTGTACATCAATGGCAAGAGAAATTGTCCAAGAATTCAATTAGAAATGCAATCTTCGTTTCATTAATTAATTCTCAATCTTTGTTGCATTAGTAAGAGTAGCAGCCTATGTCTTTATTATGACCTTTTGTCATGAATCTGTGAAGGGTTACGGTATAGCTGTGTAAATGTGCATTTTCTAATTTATGTACATCTACTTGTTGACTGGCTTGATGATGATCACTTATCGAGACTTAAGAAGAAAGGTCTTTGCCATGACTCAACTATCCCACCTAATTTCAGCAGAGAAAGTGGAAGTGTATTAGGAATCTAAAATGTTCCCGACTCTCAATCTATTGTGTTGTGTCTCTTTATATTCTTGGGTCAATCTGAGAAAAATGATTCTCGATTATGGATTGCAATACACAATGAGACAATCCTTCATGTTGTCCTTTATAATGATTCTCAATGCGATCATGATGGCCATTATGACTTTCCTCTTTTATTTGGAAGCCGTTACTATCAATAGTGTACTCTAATAGACTGTTGACTTTGTGATCATTGCATCGATATCAATCGCTCTGGTATTGCAAGGAGCCAGAATCAATGCTCATTGGAGCATTCATAGAGGATTATTGCGTAAAAACCTATTCCTTATCCAATAATTGGCATATCAAATCTTTAAGTCTTTGGATTACACCTTCAAACCTGAAGATCCAGTTTTTACTGTAACTAGTATCAATATTTTAGGCATTTCAAAAACTGCTTGAAACTGCTACTGTGGAAAGTGCACTTCAAGATGACCAATTTCTGAATTACTCCATGTTCTGTATTCATTCAATCCAAAATGTGGTAAATAAATATTCACTACTTTTTTAGTATGAAGATTTGGGTCACCAAGAGAAATCTCAACCGTATACAGTTATGGGAATAGCCATGACATATAAATTACTTTTATAAGTATGTATTAGTGCGTTGGGATTGATCGGAACCTCGGGGTTAAACTTCATTTTATAAGTGTCTAGTTGATATTATTTAAATTATATTTATGCTAATGGAAGAAGAAATCCCTTTAGAACTCATCGATGAACAGATCAGCATAGCTCCTTCCCTCTATTCTCATAGTTCTATCATAGCTAACTTTCAAAACCAAATGATTAGATCTAGTAGTAAAATTCAGAACGATCCCGTCATTTTGAAAACATCCCTAACCAATGACATTTTCAAGGAGGACAACCTAGATATCTCCTAATTCGATCCCAATAATCCCAAATACAAAAGTAAACCCCACGAAGTTCATTTCTAAGTAATTTCATTTATAAAATACACTTTGTTTGGTTTGTTGATTTAAATCCTCGGGCCCCTTAATATCTTACTATTTGGGTGGAAACACAAACAAATACTCTACAATTGGTAATTATTAGGGTGTACCTGGAAGGTGTTCTTCAGTTATTTAAGATACTGTATCGACCTCCTGTTGACTCTCAGTTTTATACTCGAACCAATGGACTCTTTGACATTCTAATGTAATATATTTATATTATACTTTGTTTAGTATTATTGTACTTCATCATCCAAGAAATCGCTGAGATTATTTTGTAGAATCTTATTTTGGCTTTCTACCACCCTTAAAAACTGGAATTGTTAGAGAAATTTCCACTTGCTGAAATCTTAAATAAATTTGAAGCTCAAATCAACCCAATTCTGTGGGCCAAGTAGACTCCAGAGTTAATAAAGTTTGAATTGGAATAGTCTATAAAGAGAATGCACATTGAACCAGGATTGTTTGTTTTCTATTTTATTGTTCTACCCAATGAGAAGAGAAAGGAGAAAATATAACATAAATTTGAAGGATCGAAGAAGGAAGGCAAATACGCTGGAGATGGATTGAAAATGGCTATCGAAATTATAGATTATTATAACAATCAATCTCCATTGTATTTGTACATTGCGATAGCAGTTGGTGCCAGCTGCTTTAGGATTATATTGACTATCTTCTACTCCTAATTTTGGAATGGATCTTAGTGTCAGATTTTGATGTTCATAACCATCACAACATTGAATACTTTAGGATACTTTTTTGTAGTCTTCATAATGTTGATAACTTTCAGAGATTTGCAGAGGAAAGTGTTTTGCCTAAATTAACTGTCTCATTTAATTTCAGCATAACAAGTAGAAGAGTTTGATGAAACCAAGATATTTCCAACCTTAAACTTCCTGTGTGCCCAATCTCTATTTTCTTGGCAAAATTTAAGGAAGATCTTGGTCGATTATGGTTTGCAATATTATCAAAGAGAAAATGCCATCATATCCTTTTGCTTAGAAATTATTCTAGTTTTGATTATATTTGCCATTCTAAATATGTTTAATGTAGTAAGTTATTTCAATTTGGATGATTCAAGTAAGATCTCATTATTTACTTAAATTGGATATGATGTTTTGACTATAATGTTCTTAACCATTTTGATTGTGTTCTAGGGTGCTCGTATCAATAAACATTCCGAGGTACATCAAACAATGTTGAAGAGAAACATGTTTACATATTAACAATTATCGACTTAATCATTTATTAAGAAGGAATACCATGTGGAACCTCAAGATTTCATGTTTAGAACACTCAAAACTACAATTGACAGAATTGAATAGTAGAATGAAAGTAAGAACTGGTTCTTTTTATACTCTTAATATGTTCTAAATGCTATTGAGTAGGCATATCAGGATTTGTGCTATGATGAAGAGAATAAACCATTTACAGTGCTTGGAATTGCAATGACTCAAAGCTTAGCCATCTAATTGATAGCAAGTTTTGTAGGTATTTTTGGTACGATAATAACAAGCATCTACTTTGATAACAATGTTTGATTTATAAATTTATACTTAAAATTATTTATTGATTTGTTATGTTAATTAAAATTGATAAATGAATAAGTAAATAATGCATATCATATAATCTTTAGTGATGTATTTGTAGCTTTAAGCACATAATTTTTGTCTGTGTTTTTTTAATTGTTTCTTTCAATGATTTTGGACACCAACAGTTTGTTATTATTTTATTATAAAACAGTATTTGGATTTGCATTACTGATTTAGGCTGGTCCAAATGATCCCAAAATATCTTAATCAACTTTCTTTGGCTCTTGATCTGAATGAGCATCCAACAACATCATTTAGTATGAATTCTCAATATCGTCTCTTTCAATCATTTATGAATGTCCTTCCTCGTAGAAATCTTCGGTGGTCAATTCGAATGAGGCCACATTCTTTATGCTGTAATCTTACTTTGGTGTTTTCACTGAGGATAACGCCATTCTACCCACCTTAGGAGAAGTAAAGTATTCCTTTTTCTCTAAACTCTCATAGACACTATCATTCGGTTCTTATTTATTATTTGAATCCTGAAGGTTTTTCTTGATTAAACATGTTTTCAATTACTATATTGACATTAGATGACTTAAATTGATCTGCTCATTTAGCGTCACTTTCAAGACTTCAATTGGAGTTTTGGCTATTAGATCTGTTTTGCCAACGAATATCTGAAGATTTTTGTTATAACTAGTCATAATTTCATTAAAAGGTTCATTTTAAATCTATTTGATAATTTAATTTAGATTATATTCTATGTCCTTTTTCATACAGATAGTTTCTGATTTAGATTACTGTAAACTTTAGATGCTTTCATCATACTATTTTTATACACTCTTGAAATTTGTGTATAGTTGTTATAACTTTTTATTTTTTTCATTTTCCAAATCCTGGTAAATTTGAGCGTGAAACTTTTCGATCTTTTCTTTTTGCTACTCGTAGTATTTTTGGATGTCATCCCGCTTTGTCATAAGAGCATTCATCATTTTATCAATATGGGGAATGTTGTTGTTCACCTAAGTGATGAATTGGTTTATTTGTTTCCTTCTATATTCCTCTTCAAGGCCAGGCAATTCTTCAACCTTGTGTCCTTTTCCCATCATTTACACTGTGCATTTCGAACATAGATTCACAGTGTTATCCTTGGTTAGGTAATACTTGGCAGTCTTATTTGCATGATTGACACAACAAATTCTTGTGGCATTGGAATCATCCTTAATCTTGAGTTTAGTGGGAGTCAACCTTTACTATATTGATTTCATATTTTACTAAAGAGAAATTTGAATTTAAATTATTTCTTAGCAATTATTAAACTGTCATATAGTTGTTATTCATTCAAAAAAAATACATCATCTGTTACCTATTCACTTTAATTTGAGATATCTAGACTGAGGAATGATAATAGAATGAAACTAGGGGCAATTTTGAATTTTATTTATTTTAAAGTATATACTCTGTAAAATAAATTATTTATTAATGGAAATAGAGGGTTCTAAGTTTTAGGAAATCACACTTTTGGTGAAATCGAAATTGGTGCAATTGGAGTTTGACGCCAGTGAAAGAAAACTGTAAAACAATTCATACTAATTCCATTAGTCAAGAAATTGAATCGAGCAGAGTAGAGCACGATTAGAGAATTAGAAGGTTAACAGAGGTAAGGAATTCAGTACTAAAATGTTTAGGACCTTGATTACGAAGATAGATCAGAATGGGTTGATTATCACAGGACCTAAGGAACTAAATATTACTAAAAATAATAATATGAGAAGGCCTTATATGAGTATTACCTGTCGATATTGGCATTAAATGATAGTAAAATGTGGAGAGAATTCGGGGTTCCTCTAATTCATAACATTCAACTCAACCTGGAATTATTGAAGAAACCTGCTACTATGGAGTTGCTGTAATTTGTTCTATATATTGACACCTCCAACATCAAGGCTTACTTTAAATTGGGCAAGTGCCATCGAAGCAACGGTCAAATTCAAGCTGCATTGTAATATTATTGAATTAATTCAGACAATATTTTCAATAAGGCGAGAAGCTATGTTACCAAACTCAAGATAAGGAGTCAGCATCAGATTTTCAAAAACAAATCTAAGAGTGCAGAAGACTATCAAACCAAAGCAGAAATTGAGAGGATTTCTTATACATTTTTATTTATTATCTAAATCCTTCATATTCAGTTCACAGTAAATCTACGTCCTATTCAACAAAAAATTCTTTTTTCTAGAAGTCTGAATTCGGATCCTGAATGTTAACCACATTCTAGACTTCCTACTCATTTTGCCCTTTAACCTTCTTCACTATTTTGTCTGTAAAGTTGTTTTTTCTCTCTGGCATAGTGTCTAAGACGGGCTATCCCCCTTTTCTGATGGAGTACTCTCTATATTCGTGGTATTTGGGCAGTATGTTGATGTACATAATTGCACCATTTACTTCGACAAAGAAGACGAAATCAGGCTCTTGCCAATCTTGATAATGCAGAGGCTCAATCAACTCTTACAAGATGGATAAGACCTATTGTTTATTGATTTTATCAGTGTATCGAGTTTTGAATATCAGAAACCAGGGATGTGGACGATCTAATTAGAAATGCTTATTCACGAGCAATAGAGCATGCTTTTTAAATTCCTCTAGAGTTGCTCTGAATACATATTAGATGGGAATCATTCTATAGATATATCTGGCCACTTGTTGTGACTTTTCATATACATCACTGAGGATAATTCGACTCAATTCATCGACATCGATGGATGGAAATTCTTGGCTATTAATTCTGATGAAAATCACGCACTTCACCTTGGTTTCGAAATTGTACAACATTTTGACGACTGCCTTGTTACTTGTATTTTATTCGAGCAGTTTTTCATATTTTGATGATTCCTGCGGATAAATTTATTCAACATATTGTTCAATTATTTAATAGGCCTCCTTTACAGCTTCTCTCTCCCTGTTCTTATCACAAGTCAACAAGAATCCACTATATAGAATGTCTGATTGTGCATGTTGTTGACCTGACCTTTGATGCTTCTAAAATTTCTTTTTTTTATTTTTTTGTTATTACATTTATTATTAAATATAAATGGGTGCAACTTAAGGTATCACTTAGAAAAGAATCTCGCTCCGTTACTAAAAATCCCTCGACGTAAAATCGACTAATGAAAATCTCACTAATTGTAGATCGGTCTCTTCGTAAGATTCGATCAAATTAGGTTCCTTCTACAAGATAGCTGTATTGGGTATGAATACAGCTGTTGGAAAAACAGCCTTCATCTGTAGTCTCATAAATTAAACTCCAATGGTGAGTAATTTACCTCAAACGATTGGATTAGATGTTAAATGCATGTTATATTAACAATAAAAAATTCAATTTTGGGTAATTTGTTGGATTAATTGTGTAAGGAATTCGATTCAAGTGAAGGAGGATTGTTGGACTTAGAAAATAGAATCAATGATTCCTTTAACTGCATCATGATAATTTTTGAATAATTTGATGTTTCGTTGTTCAAGAGGAGAATTGTTCAAGTTTAAAAGTTATGCAATGAAAACAAAATGACAGGCAAGGTTCCCATTCATCTGATAGGCAATGATAGATTGGATATGAAAATATCTGGAAAGGAAAATGAAATCCAGAGAATGATATCAACTATCTATGATGGAAACAGAATATTTGTACACATCGTTGACTTTACTCAAATCAAAGAGCTTAACAATTTGTTATAATTCGTATTCAAAGAAAAATGATTGTGATCATGTGCATATAACATATATCTCAAAACACTTTATAATCATTATTATGGATGCTGAATTATAAAAAGAACGTCTCAAACCCATTCGTCGCCATGGGTGCACTGATCTTCAACTCTATCAAGCAGTAAGTTGGATCTACACAGTTTACGATATGATCACATCGTTTTTGATCTCATTCCTCATCGATGAAGGCCTCAAGGTTGATAATGCCCAATTAAGAATTAGGAGTATATGTTAATAGCACTTACCATTCTCATAACTGCCATCATTCTTACATGCTTAAGAGCTACACTCATTGATCCTACTGACAGTATAGTTTTGAAGGAGCGCAACGCCAAATCGAAAGGGTGTATCATTATTTGTATTTTAGATTGGAATTCTAAACAGATATTAAGACCTATTGTTTGATTTGCCAAGCACATGTGATCTAAACATCCAAGCATTGTTTTAGTTGCAACAAGTAAACATAATTGATTAATAAGGTGTGTTGAAGGTTTTGACCATCACTGCATATGGTTAAATAATTGCATTGGCATTAAGAACTACAAGTACTTTTTCATCTTGGTTGTACTTCTTGTAATTTTCAAATGTTTGAGAATCACGCAAGATGTTCTCCTCTTACAAAAAAATGCATTCTAAGTTCTTGCTTTCATCAGCATCATTCTTGACCCTCCAATCCTCATTGTTCTCTCTTATTTACTAGGAATGCACCTTTACTTTAAGTAACCAATTATTGTATGTATAGATACAAAGGTATTTCGACCTATGATTGGATTAAGAGACAAAGAGACAAATAGAATTTGAAATCATAGTAACAGCAATCCCTACCAAAAACGAATGAAAGTGTGGGCTATGGATAACTGTTGTCCACTTCTAAGCGCTTTGATTTTAAATGCTCCCTCTCAAATAAGACTGATAACAAAGTTCCTTAATAAAATTTCTTCCCAAAAGCCTCTTAGGCTCCTTAGAATAACTCCGCCTCAACCATTTAAGTCACTCAATTATAGAGTATCTTTACGATTAAACCTACATCTCCCAACAACAATAAATAGTTAAGAAAGGAGGAGGATGAAAGGGATGGAAGATAAATATTTAATAAGATCATCACCGAGGATAGTGATGCACCTGAAAATGTCGATCCAAGGGATGATGAAATTTAATCTGAGAATGATAGTTAACATTAGCAATCTGAAAAAGAGTAAAATTGAAGAATAATATCTTTTTATTTATTGTTGTAGACATGTATTTCATTTTACCTATTTGTGTTATTCAATAATTATTCAGTTAATGCACTTATATTAATTATAGAGAGAATTCAATTAATATAGTAATTAAATAATGGACGAGGTTCTGTTAGAGAGTTTGACACTGAAATTTAGTGAATTATTTAAGAACATTTCAAGTCTTTAGGAAAAGAGAGAGACAGTCTAAGATGAGAATGAGCATTTGAGGCAATTAATTTAGGAGGAATAAGATTAATTGGAAATGAATTCCGGAGAGTCTTCTGATGATGAAACTGCATTCCAAGATATTGAGTAAAAGTGGAAATAGAAATTAGAGGAGAAAAAAGAATCTGATATGCAAATGAAGGAAGAAAATAATTTGAAAAGTCAATTAGTAAAATTACGGAATTTAAATTTAGTACATGCATCTTGAAGGTATCCAAAATGAAATCATAGAAATGAAAAGTAGTATCTAATAGTCAAAAGAATCGGAGGCTGATTTATAATAAAGAATTGAAGAAACTACTCAAAAAATAGATGATTATCAAAATAAAATACAAAGGGCTGAGTAAATTAAACTTCAAGTTGAGAAACAATTATAAGAAGTATAATGCCTTTTGTAATATTAAGCAAAATGAAAAGTATTTATAAGATAGCGAAAAAGTTAAGGCAGTTCAAGCCGAAGTTAGAAATCAACTCTAAGCTAATGCCATGGGAGACAAGAGACAAACTGAATTGGAAAAGATAATATAGAAATAGTGGGAAGAACTATAAAAAAGAGTAAACTATCCATCATATGCAAGGCATAAAGAATACAAGTGTTATAAAATAATATGAATATCATTTCGGGTAAAATACAAAAATCGCAGAAGAGTGAACACATTTACTAAAAATTGAAGGATGAAAACACCATACTCGCCTAAGAAAATATTTAAATCAGAGAAAAATTGAATTAGTTAATTAGTGCATTGCCATAACATATGAAGAAGGGAAATGTGAAGGGCAAATAAAAAAGCAAAAAAGAATTCTTGGAACTCTATGATGAATCAATATGCTCCAATTAAATTAAATTAAGACATTTAGAATAAATAAGAGAAGAGCATCAATAAAACATTAATAGTTTACATGTAAGATTTATAGTTTAAATCTAATTCTTAGAACGAAATAATTCAATTGGAAGAAAAATACAATTAAATGACTCAAAATGTGAAAAATCTACAAGAGCAATATCTAGAAATTGAATCATCTTGTAGAGAGTTCAACGAAGAAGAATATGTAAAGAGAAATTGTCCAAATTATTATAAAGTTAAAAAGGGAAAATGATAGTTATAATTTTAAGATTTGAGATGTCTATTTAATTAATTAATTAATTTTATATTAAAATTACTTAAAATTATTTGAATCTTTCAAAGGGATTCTTAAATTTCAGATCTCCGAGATTAGTTTAATTCTAAACTCTTATTGATCAAACTATAACGGAATGGTTTTGAATAAAGCTTATATGATTATTGAGACTTCAATAAAACAAATGTGTCCTATGAGTTAGGATATTTCACTTATACTTCTGATAAACTGTTAATGCAAGTGACATAATAATAATTTTAATTAGAACGATTCATCTATTAAAATCTTCTTTAAGTCATTGTAGTCTTTATGGGCATGATTTGACTTTGGCTAAACAAAATGATTATATTATGTTAAAATATAAATTTTTTACAAGCGAGTTAAATTCTAAGTTTAATTAAAAATATTTAAGGTTTAATTAAAAAATTTCAATATTAAAAGCACATAATATTTATTTTGGTTAATTGTTCTAAATACTATTTGTTAAATCTCTAGTATGGGTTTAAGTATTTTGGATATAACATATAGAATTAATTTAATTAAAATATTAAAAAATCTTCATTTTGGCCTTTAAATTTTCGGTTCAATGATAGACTCATCTATTCTTGACCTAAACAATGGATCCAATGGACTTAAGTTTCCTTGCCGCTATTAGGACAATTGAATTTATTCAAAAAATTAGACTATATTTCTATCAATCATAGATAGTAATTTGTCATCAACACTGCTTCGCCTTTTGTCTTACTGTAATGAAGAGAAAGAGCAATAATAATCCTTAAGATTTTTGGATTACAATTTTTTGTTATGATTAATGGCTCTAAAGGTTTTCTGATATCCCGCTTCAGAGCAAAATTCATTACTCATATCTTCCATTTAAAGCTTTTCATCTTAAAAAATAGGTTTAGGGAGTAGGTCAAACATTTTATACTATTCATCATTCAATAAAATGAATTTCAGAAGATCAACTTCTTGCAGTTTTTGAATGATCTTCACTACGTCCATTTATGAGAGTATATCTTATTTAACATCTGTGAACATTTTTTTTTTCTTTTTATGAATACCTAAGAGGATTAGAAGAGATTCATAAATTCCAGAAGATAGTCTTTCTTCATTATTATTTTCTCTGTTTTTTTTAATTTATTCTTAAACATCAATAACTTAATCGCTTTATTATAAATTAATAATCTCTATGTTTTAATGTCTTTGCTTTTCAGTTATGGGGAATCGATATAATTCATTTGCTATTGAAATCGTCATCAGATTGTTAATTAATTGATTTAAAATTAAAGAGGCAATTATCATGAACAATTGCCAAATTCCTCCAATTTTACTTAATATTGTCTGAATCTTAATGTAGGATCTTTGTTAGATTGTTTACTTGTAATCTAATTAAATATAATGGTAAACAAGATAATCATCATTATATAATTCAGTGTACTCTCTTCTGTCTTATTTTATTAAATTTAAATCTACATTATCTGTGGTAAATAATAACCCATTATCAGTGTGGGTTTCAGATATTCTATAAGTCCATTATAACATTTTAGATGTTGAAATGGAGAAACTATTTATGTCCAAATTAATAAATTGTGAGTATGGAGTATCAGGATGATTTAATTGCATCAAATAATCACTTGCATACACAGAATAATGCCCTGCAGATAACACTTTTTTGATTTCTTCTATTGGGGCACAACCTTAATAGTCTGTATTATTTTTGCAGATGCTCAATTCGATCACTAAGTATTAATACTTAAAACCTGAAATTTGACCTTGCAATACCTTGGGATAATGTGAAAATTATACTGGAGGATTATTTTTAAGCCTGGTTCGATTGATACATTGAACAACGCCTAATCTAGTGCTTTTGAAAAATTCTTTCTATAAATCATTATCGAAATCTTCGGTAACGCAAGGGGCGATAGGCAATGGAGAACAGCTAAATAACTTTTAAAATTACTTTAAGGACACCTAGACCTTGCCAGTTGTTTAATTTAGCAATCTCTCTCTTACACAATGACTCATTGTCAAGTTGTAATATTTCAACTGCCCCAAAATAGGCTCGGAGTTTTTAGTAGCAATAGTAACCGCAAGAGTGAAGTTATCATTGTAAAGGGGGAATGACTTTAATTACGATTGACACTTACTGTTGAGTCAAATATCTGAAGTTCAGATGAAACAACTTTTGGTTCTGACCTATGTAACAGAGTTGTTATTTCAGTTATTAAGTAAATTAAAGTGGCTGTTCCGATTATAAAGGTCATACAGCATCCGACTACAGAGGTATACTTATTTTTCTCAAGGACTCTAAAGTTGGGTAATTATCCAAAAATATCGAATGTATCGATAGTTGAATTGGCAATTCTATTCAAAAAATTCTTAGAATGATGAAACATTCGAATAAATAAATCTTATAAATAAAAAATAGATTGAACATCTTATTTAAATAGTAAAAAAAAAAAAAATATATTTATATTAATTTAATGTAATTACATTGATGATGTAAATAGAATAACCCTTATTTTTAATATGAATTCATTATTTTATTTTTCACTTATTGGTACACATAATGAATGGTGTTGAGTGTTTATATCGAAACAAAGCCATTTTAGACGAGTAGGTGGCTTAAAGATCACCAAAACAAGTTTTAGTGGAAGCTCTCTGTGATGATTTAGATGCCTTTTTGGAATATGAGAGTCAAATCACTGGCCTATACATAAGAAATTAAAATCAAGTTATAGGCAAGAAATAATACTCGTTTCTGATTCCAGAAGGCGTGACATTGTTGCAATTTATCTAATAGAATGGGAAATTATCATCTAATCAAATCTCATAGATTTACGAATAATTATTGCAGGCCTTATATCAAATTCATTCCAAATTCAGTCTAGGAAGATGCTTTCACGTTGGTAATATTTATTATCATAAAAATTCAATTAAAATGGCTGCCTTTGGATTTTATCCTAATTTATAGCTAATCCCCCCCGAATCCTTAGAAAAGAGAGAATAAAGTCAGAATAGAGTTTATAGTTAGAGTATAGATGTTTGGTTGATTGGTTGTATTATTTATTAGTTGTTTACTGGCAAAATTTTGAATAACTTTGAGACAATTAAAGAATATCAGTCATTTTATAATTAGATATAATCATTACAAATTGAAAATGTTTGGAAAAATCGTTTAATTGAAATGCTTCATCCAAAAGAAGCTTTGAGGTGTACATTCTTCTCAATGCATCATGAAAGGTCAGATAACAATTAAGAGGGAATCCAAGAATTTTACAAAAGTATTTTTTTATCCTAGAATTACTCGTCATTTATAAAAATGAGAGAATACATTGATGATAATTTTATAGAATGGGCTGTGGTACATATAATCTTTTTCAATATTCTAGCCTAAAGAATTCACTAAATAAATGCAATTGCCAAAAGTATTGAATCCTTTTAGTCATAAAATTCGACGTCCCAACCTTAATCCTCGAAAGGAAGAAAACCTCAATCCTTATCCAAGAATAGGCATTGCAGTTTATTACTCTTAACCTATACATCCTTCTCCACCAGAAATAGATTCATCCCTTAACTCCCCTATTCTATCAAATATTAACAGTCCTAGTCAAATAAATGAATATCCTGATCTAGCTACTTTGCCTTATAAATGCAGAAATCAAACAGTAAATTATAAGATATTTTTTTCAGGAATTTATTTAATATAAAGATATATGGATTGAATTACATTTTGAATCCTATAAATGGTATTTGATGAATTCTTTAAGAGTGCAATTAGAAGAATAACGAGATAAAAGTCCTGTTGAAACTTGGTCAGTCTATTGCTTACTAAAAATGTCCATACTCATGAGAAAAGAGTTTATCGATCAATGGAGTACGAAGAGTTTGAATTGTGAGTAGGAGATATGGTAGAATTTTATAACTAGTGGATAAGCAAGAAACTTTATAAAGGATCTAAGATTATAAGTTGATGGAGACAACGCCATTATAAATCAATATTTTGGGTATTGTTAATTAGATTGTCTAAGTAGAGAGGATGAACATTTCTTTAATTAAATTAAATCGTCCATTACAGAAGTAAATTGAAAATTATTAATTAGTCCATTTTAAATGAAACATCGAATGATTATAAAGTACCATATAGAATGACTTTGAAAAACCTTTATCGTTCAAAAAAAAGGACTTCCATTAGCGATGTCGAACAAACTTTGCTAGCTTTGAAAATAATTATCTGCATGGGAATTTCATCCCTCTTTATGCCTCTTAAGAGGGAAGTATTGTTTAGATAGGTCAAAAGAGCTTTAAATATCCCCAATTTTGACAGCCCTTATTACTTGGAATAAAAATTCTTTTCCTTTGATAGCAATATTTTGAATGAACAAATTAGGATTATTGAAACAGAATATTTCAAATAATGAAATTAATTAAAGTATTAAAGCTAATATTTCGTATATATAAATTTCAATTCAAAAGTCAAAGTCATCCAATAGATCCCCTTTAGCAGCCTTCTAAGCCAATTCCTTTTCCTAAAATATTATTATTACAATCTTACCTTGTCAATTTTTTATTGATTCCCTGCCCCTCTTTTATTTCCGCCTCCACCAAAACCAGGTTCATAAGTCTCATTATCATCTTTAGGAATTTCAAATTTTTTTCTTTGTTGATTTGGTCTATACTCCTCTTATTGTTTTGGAGCTCCCAAAATTTCATCCAAAGTTTTTTCCCTTTCTTCTTTATGCTGAACTTCTGGGACTTATTTAATATCTTTAATTTCTTAAATCTCTTCAATGTTCTCCTTTTAAACTGGTTAATCTTCCCAAATATTTAATTTGTTATTGCCTCTATTTCTTCTGCCTTGCAGTTTTGTTGGTTCTTGCTTTGGTTAGAACTCATAAGTAGGTTCTTGGGTTTTTGGAGCCTCTGGTTGCTTTTCGTCAGTAAATAGTTTAATTCTTCGTTATCTATTTCCATCATCAGATGGTTGATAGGGTTATTATTAAGAGGATAAGGATTATTGTTATGATGATAGGGATTGTTATTATGACTATTATTAAGGTTATTATTATGCATTATTTTGCTCTTATTACTCTTCCTAACTGCCTCTCATTCTTCTTCTGGTGGGATATTCAGCTTGTTGGGTTTAATCTTATTTCTACTCAATTTAGATGGGCTATTCTACGGTTTACTAACTTTATTATTATTCATTTGAATTATAATCTAACCCTCTCGGTCTATTGTTTACTCTTCTACTTGGAAAGGTAGGTTAATAATCTTCGACAGGTTTAGGTTATTCATATTAAGTAGGTTGTTCGATGGGTTTATTATTATTTTGTTCAGTGATTTCTTTCTAATGATCTCTAGGTTGTTCAACTGGTTTAGAAGAATGAATTATGAATTGAGGGGCTTCTTCTTATTAATTTTATTATGGTTTTTTCATCATCCTCATCATTCTAGAAGGACCCGTATATTCAGTTTAAACGTCACTAGTGTTACTTTATTAATTACTTACATTACTGAGACCTAGATCTGCAGAAGGTTATTGATCAACAGATTTTTTAATATTGCTAAATGGTTTTGAATTTAATTTATTTGGTTGATTAGGAGATTAAAATTATTATTATTATTATTATTATTATTATTATTATTATATTAAATTAACATCTTATTTTATTGGAGTTGATTATGATGTTTGAATTTATTTTTTTTCTTCCTATTTAATTGGTTATTATTTTATTTCAGTTTCATCTTCACATATTATCTCCTCTTCCACTTCATTCTTTGATGTCATTTATTATGGTTTTTCATCTTGCTTAACTGGTATTCGTAATTCTTTATGACTACTTTAATCTTGTTATTATTTAGAAATAGGAGGCTTTGCACTTTATAATTTTCGTTGATTTTCCTTTGCTTTCTTTTCATTTAATAAGGTTTCAGAAATATTTTATTGTGTCATTGTTGCAGGAATTTATTTAAGTTTTTCAGGTGTTACTTTAATCTTTAATTCTTCTTTCAATCTTCTCTAATCAATCAAAATCATTTCATTTGAATTAATTTCTTAATCGATGAAGTCTTTTTCCTTTTTCAATTCTTTGATTTCCTTCTCTATCATTTCCAATTACTTATCCTTCTTTTCCAGAATAAGATTATGTTTCAACAAATTCTCCTTTTGAGTCAAAAGCTGATAATATACTTCCTTCTATTTACTGAAAGGTTTCTCAGCACCTACATCGATTTTATACTTTTCAGCTTCTTCCTCCAAAAGCTTCAACTCCTTATTAATTTTTGGTAGCTCCTCTTCTTAAGTATTCCTGATGTTCTCCTTCTACTTCAACAACTAATCCTATTATTCCTTAATCTTCTTCCTCAAATTAGCTATCTCATGATTAAGACTGTTTCTCTCCTTATTCAATTTATCAAAGCCGTCTTAATTCTCGTACTTATCAAGATCTCTACCTCGTTGCTTCTGTTACAAATACTCTTACTTTTTTCTTTGCTCCAACTTCTTCATATCTTCCTCATACTTCTTAATTTCATCCTCTAACTTAGTTATATAATTGAATTGTTATATCTATTATAATCTATTGTTCAATTTATTAATCTCCTCCTCTTGCTAATCTAACTTTTTTTGATTTATTTCAATCTCCTTATCAATAACAGTTCCGCCTGAGATTTGAGATTAGGCTGTCTTTTACCTCTTCAATTATGGCTGTGGCTGTGGTTGTGGAGCCAGACGCTGAGCATTCTGTTCCACTAATTTGCTTACTTCATCAGAGATTTCTTTAAGTTTTTATCTGAGTTGTTTATTTTCATCGTGCAACTGTTTTGGTTTCCAATTTGAGTAGTCTTATGGAGCCATAAACTCAGCATATTTCTCCTAATAGGTGGGTTTCTACTTCATAGGCTAAGTGGGCAAAGGAGGTCTCTTCTTTTAGATTGGAGGTTCTATTATAGGAGCTGGTTAATTGGATTGATTATTCTTATTAACTTTAACTTCTTTGTTTTATTGGTTATTTTTAGGTAAATCAGCCTCCTCGTCTTTATCAAACTCCTCATTATTTTGTTCATACTCATTCTGGTCGTAATCTTCATTCTATTGCTCTTCTTCATTTTCCTCCTCGTTATATTAATCATCATTATCCTCTGGGACTTACTCATCTACTTCTTATTCTACATCTTCTTCATTGTTATTATCATCCCCTATTTCCTCACTCTAGTCTTCATACTCATAGACTTCACCTTCCTCCTCCTCCTCAGGTGGGTTAGGTGTGTGAGCTCTCTAATTTGAAATTGGATTTTTGTCCTACTCTTTTTTTAGTTGTTGATTGTTGGGCATTTGTTGATCATCTTCTCCCATTAAATCTTCCTCATAATTGATTTCTTCATTAGTTGGGATTTCAACTTCGATTTCTCCATATTCAGATTAATCCATTAAAATAATTAAAATGAATATCTGCAACTACTCATAGCTTTGTTCTAAATAACCATTTTCAGTAGGCATTCTGAATAATGCAACACTTCATCCTTACCCATATCAAGAATAATAAATGCATTGCTCTTATTGAGAAAAAAACTATAGAATATTCATCCTCTAATTTATTCATTTGAAAGGCCAAGTTGCTTGTTATGGCATTTATCTTCCTAAAATGAGGTAAATTGATAAAAATGATTGTATAACCTTTTTACATTAAATATTTGATTCCTGATAAGAATAAGCATTGTTTTCATCAAAATTGATCGACAAGGGAATATTATAGAAAAGCCGAAGCTTGGAGAGGCTATTTAATAAGGATATAGATGCTGCTATAAGAGGTTTTGTCATCTTTGCATATTCAGATTATTTAAAGGGAATTAAGAACATGAAACTTATTTGAACATATTCTCTTACATGACTTTTAGAAAGAAGAGAAATTAATTTTAAATTTAAGAAATATAATTACAGAAGTATAAGTAGAATCTTAGCATTAGTTATCAGTCAAATTATTAGCAATCAATACACATATATATTAATGATTTCCAGTTGTATTCAAAATAGATGAATCGACAAAATTAATTGCAAGGACTTAATAAAAATCAATAATATTTTGGAAAATATAAATTAGACATTCACTTATAATTAACAAATAAATCAAGTAATAAAATTGAAATTCATATATTTATATGTGTATAAAATCATTTCTTGGATATAAAATTCATTTGCATTATTTTATTATTATTCTGGCTTACCTTATATTAATAGTATCCTAATCTAGATCAGATTACAGATCGATAGTCATTAATGTTAGATTATTGTCCATCACTGGAATTTGTAAATTTTTGGGTTGCTCACCTTCCAAAGTTGAAATGAGGATGAATGGAATAAAGGTCGAGAGTGAATTGCCACATTCTATTAATTTATTTTTTTCTAAACTCCATTGACAATTCTGGCATTCTAATCCCCCTAGTAGGTAAGACCCATCATTCAATAGTAACTGTTATATTTGACTCATTTCTGTACATTTTGAGATATCAGTATAAATATTAAGATTCCAAGGATTTAGACCATTCTTGCGACTAAATTGCAATTTGAAGTATTCCATTAATGCTTATGGAATAAAAAGGTAACTCAAATCAAAATATCTTCGATTTTATTAATCTCTTAATATTTGTAATTGATTCATATTGTAATTCACCATTTTTACTAAATCGTGAATGATCAATTTAGCTTTTGGTTTGAACCACAAATATTAATAAAGTTCTTCCGGACAGAACAATGATAAATTATCTTAATTTCTGTTGAGATATTTAGTCAATACTTGTATCAGTATATTATACTTTGAGATCTGAATATTAATGTATTGATCGAGCGCATCAGTATACTAGATGTTTTGCTTATTTTTGTTTGTGATATTGAGGACTGTTTTTCTATAATATTGAGAGAAAGGTTTGGAGTCGTTCTTTTGAAATGAATACTTTCTAGTTATTTTCTACTCCAATTTAATCAAACTGAGAGGTTCAGCTAATTTAATCTCTTAGATCATTTGGTTATTTGTAGCACTCTCAGCACTATTGGTTAATAATGAAAACTACTAAATTATCTATTAATTTTAGTAATTGCTAATTGCAAAATTGTTATATCCATATCCAATACTATATGGATCATTAGTATCTGGAATACGCTTAACCATCTCATCCAACCATGCATCATTGCCGATTGTAAGAGTGTGAAAATGTAGGTATTAATAATTTTCATCATTTACTTACTAGTTACAATGTTTAGTAATTATACTCTCAATAATCAATAGATCCTCAGGAGGAACATTGTATATCCCATCAGTTATAACTCTAAACATGCTGTTAATGTTTGTATTAAAGTAGTATGGCAAATTATACTTCAAGATCAAATTTAAATCTTACAATGTATAAGTATCTGTTCTTAAATTCAATAGAAGATTCCTCTAAATTATGAAAAAGTGCATGAAACAGAGACTGTAAGTGAACTTTTTCATGTCGCTTGTTTTTCCATCAGCTTTGGGAATGTATTATTTGATATTCTATCGTATTTATTCATTATATTAAAGAAATGACTTCTAGCAATTCACCAAAGTCTTATCAAGTAAAATGTCTTCATCGAAATTTTCAATAATACAGTGTGAGTATTTACTCTGTATTATTTGTTCTTGCAATTCCAAAGGATATTCATAGAGATTAGTAAATAAATACTGCTGATTTAGTTCTTGCTATCCTTTGTAAATGGGTATGCTAATGTCTTCAACCAATTTGTTTAATTATTTTTATACATATATGATTTGTTTTTCACTCGTCTAATAATTATAGTTCGCTGGAATTTATGAGGAGTGTCTTGCCTCTCTATCCTTAATGTATTCATTTAGGAATCTTCTAAAGAGTTTTGGTTTCAAAGCTTTGATTAAGATAAGCTTTTCGAATATTTGCAACTACTCTTCGTATTCACTCGGCATAGGCATTGTGTCATCCATCCATTTTTACCAGTCTTTAGGACACCTTTAGATATAATTTTGCAAATCGCTAAATGATGGTGACAAACTCATAATGTATCTGATTTCCTCTAACTGCACTTGTCTGACGAATGAAACATTTAAGATTTTTGGGTATTTACTCAAATCCTTCTGTAATTTCTAACCTATAACATACTAGTATTATTCTTCAGAGATAACATTATCTTTTATATCTATTTAAGTAAATAAGATGAACTTAGCTATCAAATGATGTTCTATTCTGAATTGGGTATCTATCAATTTTATTGTTTGCAATGTGAATTGATTACTTACTAGCCCATATCGTTCAGTATTGTCCACTTTTATTTAATCCATCACTTAAATTAACTTGTTCATCAGTTGCTGCGTTGTGATGTAATAACGGCGATCAAAAACATAAGTCTGTTGTAGACATTTATAAATTAATAGGAATCTCATCATCAAAGGTTGATAGATTTAGAAGTTGAATTGCCTATTATGTTACTTCTATTGCTCTTATTGATCAATAAATATCTGGATCTAGGCAATAATATCCAAATTAATTAGACTATTAAACTAAGAGGATATCACTAGACTCAATTGTTGTTCATAGTGGGAGTCCATTATTGGACGATCATCGTTTAAGAGAGACCCCAAATTTATCAAGGATAGATTCTCTTCATCATATTACGATATTAATTTATCAAAGGTATCAGGGTTATCCTTTTGAAGTATATTCAGTAGAACATACGACTCAATCTCCCTGCCTTATTTCTTAAATTAAATAGTTCTGAGTAAAGATTAAGCTCGGGTCTCTTTTTTTATTTAATAAGTAATCAAATATATTTTAGTTTCTTATTGTTATTGACACTACAAAATGTATGATCTCCATTATTAACATTTTAATAACTCATCTATTATTACATCCTTTATGATAAAGCATTATTTAGTTTTTTAATTACATTTGATTTCATTAATATTATTTCTACTGAAAGTACTCACCCATGCTGTTGGATAATATTATTGAAGGTATTCTTGAGAGAGATTTTCAGGATCGATGATCAATAAAATATTCTTTTGATTCTAAAATTTCAAATTCAATAGCAATTGCATATCCTCATAATCTAATTTATATTGTAAGTTTAAATTATCAATGATCTACTAATTTATTTGCTAATTGTAACTTTAACTTACACTTTGTACAAAATTGATATCCATCAATTGGAGTTACTGTGATTATAACTTAAAAATATTCTATTGCCATTAAACCTAATAAGAATTCAAATATTGCAGACATTTTCTTGCCGCCTCAAAAATCTTGGAAATTTTCTCCAATTCTTCTGTTAAAATCTGTAATTTCGATTAATAGGCATTGATTTATTGTTCCGATTATTATATCATCCCAATTCGCAATTCTTGTTTGTTTCTCATTTCCTCAACTGCTACCTTATCATTGTGTAGGTTGTTTCTTAACTGAATCAAGGTTTGCTGATACTTACATATGTTGATTGCAATCTAATAAATAGTTTAGACTTATTAAGAAGATTGTGGATATTCCAATATAATTTGTTCAATCTAATGTTGTTCCAATTAAGGCACATCAACCAAGTGTATCAATTCCATTTATAATGGTTACAAGAAAGGGAATTCTTAAATTATGTGGAAGTATTACAGTCTCTATTTGTTATAGTACTGGATTTGTTAATTTAATTGTTATTATTGTTTATGAATTCTCTGCTCTCCTTTATTAATATTCTCATTCAAATTATGGATTTATTGATTGATTTCTCCCAATTCCATTTTATATTAAGATACCTCATCGCTTATGATTTTTATTTAATTAGTGATCAATTAATGTTCTTAATTTAATGCATTGTTCTATGCTTCTATTATCGAGAATTCATTGTTGGCCTCTTAAATTTTAATAAGAATTTTCTAATAGATAATTATTAATCTCTAATTCTCAGACTTAGATTGCTAATACTATTTTTGGAATAATTAGAGGTGATCGATAAATTGCTGAATGTAACCCTATGATTATTCGAAGACGTAACAAAATAGGTTAGTATCAATGGATCCATCATTCAGAATTTAAGATGCCACCTCCTATTAAAAGGTCTGAGGCCAATCAAACAAACTGATAATCTAACATTTATAGAGTACTCTCCTATACTAGTCTAATTCCATCAAATTTTCAATCAATATGCAAATATGTAACTATGATATGGAATCAATTCTCAATAAATATAAGTTGTTACAATATTAAATCGGATAACTGATGAATTGGTGCACATCTTCTTAAATATTAGTAATGTAAATGATATGGCTCTGCTAATCCCAATTCAATAGGAGAATTTCTAGACCCAAATCATTGTAATTCTGTTAATATTACATGATAAATTAAGCTAATCTGATGAAGGAGTTCCTGCCACTACCAATTCTACCTTGAATTACAACATGTTGATCGTATTGCCAACCCCTCATTATACATACTATTTTCTATAGATGACTTTCATGTAAAAATAGATTTTGAATATTCCTCCTTTTAATTTCATCATAAGTCTACTCTGTTTATGAATCTGGAATCTCTATTTTATAATCCCCAAAATTTAATTCCCTCACAAAATTATCCAAGTTTTGTAAATCTACAATATCCATCATCCCACCTACAACTCTCATGACATTCTGATAGAATTGATTCACCAACTATTGAGGATCGTTGAGAACAATCAAAGGATTTATAATCCTATTCCAAATGGTGTTGTTATCAAATAGATATTGATAACACCATTGTTTATTCCACTTTTATTTGAACCTGTTTTACAATTTCAATATTCCATCATTTATATAACCTAACTCTAAATACTACTTGATTTAATATTTGGCCCTACTCATTATTATCTCTGTGTATATACCTTAAATCAATGGATATCTATTAGTGTTAATGAAAATGAAATGCTTGAATTGGTTGTATTTTTAAATAACTTTCTCCTACGAAGTACCCAGCAAATAAATATTACTAACTTATTTCATTTAACAATTATTCTTCTTATCAAACATGTAATTGCATTCGTTCAATTACTTAATATATATGCGACATTAATTTGATAAGTTGATATCTTCCACTATAAAGTGTTTAATTTAACCAAAGGGCGGAGATGAGCACAATTATTTATCCTTTCTATACGTCATCAGCTTTTTATCAATGAACTCCTAAAACTCGATTGATTTGGTTAGATGACTAAAGTATAAGCTACTTTATGACTTCAACCTAGCAAAAATGCTCTTATTACAAGATATGTCCCCATAGAATAGTATATGACTCTGCAATTTTTGGATGGCGTATAGTTCTTGCTGATTAAAATAGAATTGCAAAATTGTGTTATTATAGGATGACATTTGATTGAAAAGTTAATCCAACTTTCTTTCTTAAATGACCATTAAAATCTGATCTATAACACGAGATCTATTTTCTTGGTCCAAAATTAAACAGAATAGTATATATATAGCATATGTGCTAATATTATCTACATCCAATTAGGTGAACTTACTGTACTACTATTCGTCATAATAAATACTCAGTATCCTTGCAGAACATCTCAATACATATTAAAATGAATACGGAAAGTTTGATAATTAATGCTAATATTACTCTATTTAATTAATCAAATTACGAGCCAATTAAGTTTGCAACTCCAAATTTTTCATGTACTTCAATTCTTAAACGAGAAATTGCTGATTGGAAATACTGTTATTATAATAAAATAGAGTAAAATTGGACAAAAATTGAGGATCCTAAGTCGATAGATCATTACTTTCAAAGATTGCAGATCTATTTGAATAAATTAAACTATTGAAGAATACAAAGTTGTCCTATTGGAAATAAACCTGCTTCTGTTTATAATTGATAATGAAATGATAAAAAGTGAACTCTTAACAATTTTACAGAATCATAAACAAGTCCTCATCGTCATAAGCATCAAGTTCAAGATAGAGAATATTGTTTTACTTAACCGATTACAGAAGAGGATTTTATGTTTAGTTTGTATTCGCTGATTAAAGTTTAAATTGAAATAACTCCTAAATCAATTTGCTCTTTCCATTGTTCGGATTACCATAAACTAAAATAAGATTGTTTTCATTTAATAAAGAATTCAATTGTTCCATTTGATATCGATTTTCCTCTCTATTTGGAAAGTATTCATTCACTATTTAATTAAATAACAGCCTATCTTCATCATTCATCTAATATTACAATACTTCGAATAGATCATTAAATTTAATGGGTTTCAATGTTTTAACTACTTAATTGAATGTATTGAACCTGGCAAAATTAAACAAATCTGCGCCGAAGACATTAGATAATGTTTACATTAATTTCAACAATATCTCGGCTATTTCTTTATTGTAAATCATCTGAATAAGTGCTTGCCATAAGATCATGGTATCTGGTTAATAGACATGAATATTCTTAAACGATAAGATGGGAAAATGAAAATCAGATATTAGAGCTAGAAAATGCTTATTCTATAATTTCAATTGTCTCCCATCTAAATCCTATATCGATAGTTATTACAGTAAAGCACTGGAGATTTGATTTAATATTGTTTACAAGTTCAATCTATCTTATTATTGTATATATTGGTATCCTGAGATAAAGAACAATGAATTCGATTGTATAGATCCGAATATGCATTGCAATACGTATTAGAAATCATAATCTGGACTTGTAATTTACATTTGTTTGTAATAGCGACCCAACATTTGAGAAAATTGAGTAATAATATAATACTTACTGTTGTCCCCGATTAAATGAGGTAATTTATTAATTTAGAATGCCTGATTTATAAGCAAAATTGATTATTCAGATTATTTCCATGAATGATAATTAAATTGATCACCAAAAAACTCAAATTAATATTGGATTTTATTATTCAAAAAACTAACATTGATATTTTCATCATCGTAATAATATTTAAGTTACTTAACATAGAAGTAATCTTTATCACTATTAGGTTTAAATAAATTAATCTCCTATATTAGATGTAGTTGATTATTCAATATCGTGATGATTGCAATCTATCTTACTTGTTGTTTAACAGACTATTTCACTGTATGTAGTTGTTTGATTTATTCTTGAATTTCATAATGTTTAAATTCCAAAAACCCATCCCAATCCTTTTCATCATTTTATAGTATATCATCCAACATCATCGTATAGGTAATCGTCATACATATATAAATAATCTAAATGGGATATTCTACAATATGCTTATAGTTTTCACCCTGCCTTAGAGCATTCTTTACAAGCTGTCTCAATCCCTAGGTCATACCTTCCTCAACAGTTTTGAGCCATTCCTCAATCTCTCCTTTGATTGGACAATACTTAACGGTGATTTAATCATTTTCCTTAGAATATAAGGATTTGATGCAGTCCTTATTATGATCATAATCAAATTGATGGATATTATGAAAAAATAAACTAAGATATTGCTACATAGCTGCTGGATGTTTGACTTCAGAGACAATTTTGGTAAATTGAGAATTCGTGAGAAAATTGAATCTTGGGAATACATGCTTCTTCCTATCAAATTACTCATTCAATGATTGAATGATAGTCTTGCAATTGTAATTATCTTGTTGAATCTCTTTCAAGAACTTCTTCTCGTTCTCATCTTTAATCCATATCTCTAAATTTTTTTGTTATTAAATAAATCGTATCAATTATTTCCACTGCTTATCTTAGAGTGCATACATCTTTATTTCCTTACTCTAATTCTTCTGATAGATTTGGGTTGATAACACATTCATTAAATACTATTGTGTATCTTGTAAGTGAATCAACTGATTTATGTATTCCTACAAGTAAAATATGTTCTTAAGTTGTAAATCGATTCTAATTCTCAGATCATCAATATTAGGTTGACCCAAAATAGTGTTGATATTCAGAATGTTCTCATTCAATAGATCATTCAATTCACTTAAATTAGTGATGGTAAACTGATCTTTAGTTCCTTTGACTTTTTGAACTATCAGTTTCTGACTCTTCCAAAACTCTTCTAATTTAATCAGTGAGTTTATCGTTTGATTTTCATATTAAATAACAATTAACAGTTACTGCAAATTATCCTATTGATCAGTAATGTCCAACTGCTACAAATATAGAGTAGTGAATATAGGGTGCGAGGGATTGTTACAAATTTACATAATTAATTACAATAAGGTTTTATCCTACTACTTGTCCTTCTTGCACACTTAAGCTACGATATTCTAATCATAATCTTTGATCTACAAAATGATTTCTATCACATTGAATAGTTTTAATTCATCTATCAATTATGTCTTTATCTGCAATAATTAGCCCTGTCCAAATATCTTACAATCTTCAATCTAATGCAACAGATTCTAATAAGTCGTCTTAATGAGAGACAAATTCAGATCCTTAAAGTGTTCTCTCATCCACTCCTACTGCAAGTTGTTGATCTTACGTATTTCTAGTTACAATTACTTAAATTAGACATATTTGCTTTTTATCTCATGTAACTACTCATTGTAATATTATTCTATTTGTAAAGAGTCTGAATACTGTCTCAAATCCTCATATTCCAATTCTAAAGAAATCAATTCGCCTTACAATTAAGAAATCGAGTTAATGTCATTGATGTCTTTGCTGTTCTCAAATTACTCACAAAACTATAACACCCTCTGATGAAAAAAAGGAGTCAGTCTTCTGAACTCCTTCTCAAACTTATGTTACTCCAATCCATAATGACTTTGTAAATCATAAAACTTATGTTAAAATTATTAATGTTAAATAACAATCTTATCCCAAACTTCCTTAATAGGGATAGTTTATTACTCATTAATATATATTTTGTTATAAGTATGTAACTCCTCTATTTATTGATCAATGGCTTCATAATTGGATTTAATCAACTAATAATTCTCTTAATGCGTGACATATTGTTTCAAAGTCATTGGCTTCAATTTCAACTTCTCCAACCAATCCTAGATTGTTTCTTAAATTATTTTGCATCTCCCACTAAGTTCCAAATCCACCTTCTCATTTATCACCTAAATCCTATTCTTGAAGTAGGCCTGCATCTGCTATTTAAACAGTTTGATGTTCAATCTCAAAAATCCAATATCCACAATGGTTTCTATAGCCTCTACTTCAGATTGCATTTCCGAGATCAATTGGAATTGGAGCTTGAGCACATCTGCATTCAACGATTGATCTTAACTCTTTGCGAATTTATCCAATAAGTTCTATATCTTAACCATATAATTCCCTATTTATTTGTAACTAAATTCTAGTTCTTACCCAAGTTCCTTTACATAATCATATAACTTTAAATTTTGTCTTCCATACTCTCTCAAATCTTATCTTAGATCGGTTGTGCTCGAACAAACTCCATAGTTCTATAGTTCCTACTGTTTACACGTTGATTAAATGCTTTATTCAATAATTTCAATAGCTTGTTCAATAGTCTCAACAAAGATATCCTACATGCCTTAGAGTGATGGTTCAAACACTATGTTACTCTCCTTCAAATGAATGTCCACGACTATCCAACTGAACTAGGTTGTTCTATAGAATAAGAGTGACAATTACCCAACTTTAAGATGCTTATTGGCCTTCTTCACAGCTTTCAAGAAATTCACTATGGAATTGTACATCAATGCGATCATACTCTCGAATTGAATGTAATCGACCATTCTTGTAAATTTGATTAGTTTCTACTGAAATTATCGTAGATTTGATTCAATCGTGAATTGCATTTATTGAGTAGAATTGTCCTATGTATAAGTAGAGCATTAATACACCAATTATCAAGGACTTTTGTTCCATTTGAGAATTGCGTATCAATTCCATATTTTACTTGTATTATTGATCCCCTCTAAAAAGATTAAAAGAGTGTTGGCATGCTTCAACCACTATGTTAAGTATTAAATTAATGATCTAAACTAATTCCTTTTGGAAGTCAGTTAAACATCTTTACAATTTTTGGATGAACTTCATTTTATTTGCCGGACTCATTTAACTAGGGATAAAAAATACTAAACTCTTGATCGTTTGAGTGTGTTTATGAATTTCCTCTATTGGGCGCTTGAGAGATGGGTCTAATAACAAGAAACATGCAGTCAGATCCTTAGAAATTGATTGAGCTTTATTCTTGATGCTTAGCTTCTTCCACCTGGCAAATGTCTTTTATTTAAGATAATTTCTAAAGAACTCAATTTTTTGTAATCTATAAAATAATTTTCGATCTTTTTCAAATTACTAGATAGACACAAACTCCTCAAAATTACTATGATGGATTATAATCCCTCCTCCACTGATCGTCATATACTATTCCGACCTTCTGTTTTCATAATTGACCACTCTCCACTCATATGGATTACCCTAATTATTTAAATAACAAAATTCCTATCTCTATTGTTGATCAGGCTGTAGCAACCGAGCAAAATCAATTGGCCCCAAGAATCCTTAAGAATGTTCTCTAATGCTTTCAGATTTCCCTCTTTGTCGTAATGGTGTAATGGTATCCAACTAATGGTTAACAATCTGCGGCAAATGATAACGTTGAGGACTAAATGCTTTAATGTAGCGTTTTCGATTGGTTTCGTTTAACGATGATTACTCGTTTTTCATGGATACTATCTTTGGAATAAGAGGAGTATCAACAGACTTTCTGATCTTAAATTTGTTCCTTAAATACTATTAATTCATGATAAGTTTAAGATGTAAATTAATTACTTAAATAATCATTTTGAGTAATATAAATCATATTCAAATAAAACAGAGTACTATTGTCAATACAAATACGTAAATTAAGCAACCATAAAGATATCCAGGATTACTGATATTTACATACTCCTCGCAACTCTTACTGTACTTTGAAGATATTATCAAGGCAATCCAACTTGCCACTTACAACACTTATTTCCCTATACTCTTGTCTAGCATATTGATCACAAACACAATCAAAATGGGTAGAGTGATCAATGCCAACCAAATCAGAATTTCTCTTAACTCACACTTCACTTCCAAAGAGTGAGCCATCAATTTTTTAAATTGCAATACTTGTCTCCACAAAATAGCAAAAAATAAGATCAATTATTGCAAATTCCAGTTTTCTATTATAACTAAATTTAGATTTAAAATAATTATAAAAATTAAGGCTTTTAATATTTTTTACCATGTAATCTACTTATTTTCCTTCTTTTCACCATATCCCATGTCACCTAATTGGATTGCTCCTCTTAAAGCGTCATCAACGTATTGGTTCTGCGCTTAACTCTCATACAAGATCTGCATTCTGGGTTAATTCGTTTATTCAACTGTTGATAATAATTTTGTAAAGGGCCTGTCCGTATGAAATATACATTCCACCTCCTTGCCCAATTAGTCGTAGGCAACTGACTTAAGGGTTTTAAGTATTCCAAATTTGGTCTCTCCAAAGTCATCCTGGAACTTAATCACATTCAGGTCGGCTATTAAAAATAAATAAGTCTATTACGTTAGATCTAAGCAACACTCTACTAACGAGTAATTAAAATTCCAAGTCCAGTGTTTCTCTACTAGTACGAAGGCCTTTTGTTTTCCCCCAAATAATTCATTCCCTACTCCTGTCGAGCATTTTGTTAATCACCTGAAATATTGCTTTGACGTCTATTATTTTCAGTTGTGGGAGGATTCTAATTTTGATTTATGCTGGAATTGCTTTCATGAATCGATGGAATCACTGGCAACTATTACGGCAATTCTATTTCCGACTCAACTCTATTGTTTTTCTCTGAAAGCTATGTATTCAAGACCTGAATCTGTGGAATTTCATCCTTCACCCTCTTCAACACTTTATAAAAATATAAACTCACAAGAAAGGCAGAAATAGCTAATAAAACATCTAACCTTTCAAAAATATATAATTACAAATAGAATCTCCTATGTGCCTTATTTCCAATAAAAATATAGTAATGTTTGCCAAAGAAAACAGTAATTTAATTATCTTTTGATTAATCTGGGACTCTTTGAAAATCAGCAAAGCAATCACAGAAGTACAAAATAATGTTGATTCCATAATCAAGAGTTCGCTATTCATGCTTTGCTTTTTAATATTATTATTATGAGATTTAAATTAATTAAATCTAAAACACTAGACACATAGAAAACCTCAATAAATCTTTGTAATTAATTAAATCATGAATAAATATGTGATAAAATTTATATAAAATTCAATGGTGTTTATATTTCAAATAATCAATTCAAATATTAAATTTATTCATAATTTAACAAAATCTTATACATTACGCAATTGCAAATACTAGTTAATATTAGTATTTGTGTTAATAGAGTAATTTCTACTGTAAATCCTCCAATGTTATTTCCCTCCATCAGACAGCAATCAATTGAAAATTAAGTAATTAATTAAACCTCCCCACAGATATAATTGATCAATTTCAAGCATAGAAACAAGATAAGAAATAATAGAAAATCATTTGATTTATTATACACAGAATTACATAGCTTTCGTTATAAAAATTGAATCCCAATTTCAATGGCCATTATTATGTAACTTTAACGCCTGATATATGCATAATGATCAAACTACTTAATTAGTCATTTTGGAGTTCCTCATAACATTGATAATTTGTTAAAGATAATCAAGTCATAAAACGAAGCCTTCAGTATTAAATCAGAAATTAAAATCAAAGAACTTAATAATTTATATGTATAATAATGTGCATGATCCTCAAATGCCCAAGATTAAAAGTGCTACAAATAATACAGATTTGATTATTGAAGCCCAATTACATCTTGAACATTCTTAGCCATCCCAATGATAGAATGAAGAGGAATTCTTCCAACAAGATTCTTTTGTTTGTTAACTTGGGTCAAAATTTACACATCCACTGATTCCTCTCATACAAAGTTGATATCTATCTCCATTGATCTTCTCCTTTGCGATTGCGCAACCAAGCCATTCTGATTGACTGCATTTTAAATGAGATACACATATTTCATCACCCATTTCGCAGGCTGGAAAAGCTGCTAAACATTATAAACTATTATAAGCAGCTTCTTCACAAACTGTCATTTCTTTGCAAACACCGTTTTTCCTAACACAAAGGCCTTCATTAGCTATCAAGCATATTGAAAATAAGTCTTAAGAACAGGTACCCAGATCGAATGGTTATGGATTTCCACAAATCCTATCATCATCATCAAAGTAGCAATTATGATTTAATTTGTCACAAGCTTCTTCTGTTGTAGCATTATGAGATCCACATGATTTAAAATCAACACATGTATTATTTACCAAAGCACAATTTTTATTATAACCACAATTTTTTACAGGCAAGAGAGAGCATTCAATAGTTTAGCATCTATCATTAGAATAGTTGCATATTGGATTAGCCTTGCATTCATTCTCATAGAGTAATTGTTCGCAAGCACATTAATCCTGAAATTTCACAAATATTTATCCTATGGCAATAGAACATAGATTGCTTATCAATAAAATGGTATAAATTTTCAAATGTGATTTTCCCATATATTTTAATTATTACGCATCTGAAAACTTTAGATAGTTTTATATCAAATTTTCTTTATAACATTCTACATATATTCAATATAGAATAAAATTAAAGTAGAAATTAGAAATAAAAATACAGACAATCAATCAGCAATAAATTAACAAGATTCAAATGAAATGATGATGAAGTTTTGACAGTCTCTCTATCGTATTTTAATTTACAAAGTGACAATAATTATGATTAGAATATATTAGCTTCTTTTAGCAATATCAAAAGCATCACTAAACTTATATAGATTACACTTATATTTAGTCATATGGTAATGAGTTATATAAAATATTGTGAACTTTATTAATTTTATCTCTAAAATATATTTTAAAACTTCAATAAAAAGGTTTATTCTTTAAAATATTTTTCTATAATTTGTTTAATTTATCATATTGAATCATTCATTATGTGATACAATTATTAAACACAGGAGTTTTATAAATATTCTAATTTCTTATGGAAGTGAGATTAAAGATACGAAAATATGTTAGATATTAGATATTACAAAATACTACTGATAATGAATGCGAATATTATATTAAAATAAAAAAATCTTAAGTTTTAATATAATCTGATTTTAGGCTTCTATTTTGATTTAATTATAAGCAAAAAATCGAAATAGATAACACTAGAGGGAAGATAGACATATTAAAAATTCCCAAAATTTTTTTTATGATTCAAATAAAAAATTATTTAATCAAATGAGTTTTAGTATCAATAATAGTTAAAATCATATTAAAGGCCTAAATCTTTATATGAAATACTTTTTGAAAGCATGTTTTCCGCATTTTAGATTTTTTTAATTTTCTATTGAAAGCAAATTGCTAAAATATAAAAATATTTTATAGAAATTCATAATCTATATGTATATTTATATCAAATTACATATATGTATAAAATTGATAACTCTATTTAGATAATTTTAGTTGATTGGATTTAAAGATCTATGCAATTAGTTAGATGAAGTTCAAACAGACAAATCAGTAATATTCAATATTGGATTATTTGTATAGAAAGTCAAGGGGAAGGAAGTTAATAATGGTATTAGTGAAATTTATTTAAATCACTTAAATATGGCATCTAATTTAGTTGGCATTTGATAATAAGTGATGTTTGGTTACAATTCTCCCCATGGAAGATATGAAAGGACTACTATATTTAGTTGTTTGTTTAATAGAAGTAATTTCTTTACCAAACTAAAATTAAACTTAATATTACTCTTCATAATTCACTTTTGGATTCGAACAATTTATGAAAACTTTATTATAAGCAAGGCATCCTTTCTAAATACAAGGATTCTCTTTTAGTTTTATATTAATCACTTTTAAAGCTTCGAATTCATTGACAATTTAGAAATTAAAGTCTTTCAATGTTGAAGAAAAGTAGTGATCACTATTTATGATTAATGGAGTTGCGCAGATGCATTTCTCCAAAGGAATTTATAGTTATTCAACTTGAGTAGTTAGTTACTTTAATCTTCCTGATTCCTATAGTTTCATCATGCCTTTTAATTGGGGTCTTTTGACTAATCTGTCATCTAAAAGTTACACAACTTTTTTCTCTTCATTCTTCATCACAATATATTTAATAGGTCTAAAATTACAGCTATTTTATATACTTCTTTAATCTATTTAAATATTGAGTTTAATCTTCAATTAAGTATCTTTCTAGAATTTCATCTTGATTCTATTCATCCTCTTCCAAATTTTCATCAATAAGAAAGAACGCATTGTTCTGATCATATAACATGTTTCGAAGTGTAAATGAAATTTTAGTCCCATACTCCTATGTGGTCACAATCCTCAAACCTTTATTTGCGATTTGTCCATTAATTTTTTTGTTGAAAAATGAAACTCCCAATATTTTAGTTAAATAGTTGGCAATGAAAAGCCCAGAAAGTTTGGAACCCATTTCATCCTTCATTAGCTCTAGATTGATCCCAGTCCCTGTATCTTGAATAGATACTTGAATACAATTGGGTCTTGCATCATTTTCAAAAGTTATCCCAATAAATCCATCCCTTGTTTACTCAATACTATTCTCCATAATTATATCTATAATCTATCGAAGTCTTTCTTCATCTGTAAAAAAGCTTGTATTCAATTTAACTAGATTTTTGAATTAATATTTAATTGAGGGAATTCTTTGTTTATAATACTCTTGCAAATTTATGACCATTTGATCAAAATTAATTTTATCATAATTAATTCTCAATTAATTCTACTCTAAATAACAAGATTTTATCTCAATATTCGATATCTTAGTAGGGATAGGATAGCTTTTCAGTGTAGAAATCTGTCGAATCTAGGACAATAAGATATTAATATCTTTAATGTCTTTGGTCTCCTGATTTTCGTCCTTATTTTTCATCTGCAATTTCATAATCTCAGAAACATCATCTAAAAATAGATAAATTTTGTTGTTTCTAATCAAATGAAATTAGAAGTAGAACTACTTTTCCTTACTTAATTTCAATATTAATAGTCCCTTTAAATAGTCCTGATCTCCCTTGGTTAATTCACTGAGTAACTATTCTAATTACCCCTAAGTTTGCAATCTTGGCTAGTCAGTTTATTACTATGCTCTTAATTGCTGTAAGGCTGGCCCATTAATCAATGAATGCAATAAATCTCCTTTTTCGTTTACTCCGCAAGTAGATCCAAATTTAGCTTATCTAGTCAATTTAACAGTAAATTCTTTGGCTGACACTTATTCTTTTCGATTAAAAACTTCTATGATCTCCAATTTTCTTAATTGTTTTTCTGCCTAAAACATATCATTTTGGCCTAACAATTTTAATGTTTCAGATGAAATGTTAAGTAATTCTTTTGTTTAATCAAAAATAACTACAGGAAATACTTTTAGATAGGATTCAAGGAGGAATTATTGTTAAAACATCCTCATTGGAGGAACTACTTCATCTAGTACTTATTTGGTATGCATCTAAATAGATTTCGACTTTTTACATTATTCTCCAATTAATAGTCTGCATAATTCTTCAATTCTCTGTCTATCACCATTACCAACTCTAAGGTAATGTATACTGATGCTTTTAAGAGGTTGTAGGCCCATCTAAATTCCTAACCTGAAACTCTAAAGGCATAATAGGTGTATAAAAATAAAAAAGCTGCAAATCTAACTTTATAATCATATATAAATAAGACCAAAATCTTTTACCAGATTACCAAAGCGAAAACCACCCAGAATTGAGAAGTATGATATGTTCTGGCTTGTCCTTCAACTATCCTCTCAACAACTAAAATTCCCATGGCGATGAGTAAACACATAAAAACGTAAGTTGTTACTCTCCCAAAAAGAAGTGGGTTTTGAATTTTCTTCGGTATCACCTCACATGCTTTCAGTAATAAATATAGAACTATGCAGAGTCCACAGACTTAGAGAATCACATAAACCAAATTAGACAAGATATAATCACCTAAATTTGACATCATTATCAACCTTCAATTATATTGGTTGTGGCTTTTGACAATATATTTACTACTCCCAAGAACAACCCCACTGGTAATAACAAGGCTAATGGAACTGTTTGTCCAGATGCTCCTTTAACGAAGCAATAATCCAAGTATTCTCTAGACTTAAAAAAAAATTAGTACTGATTTTATAGACCAGCGTACATAATTTTATATTCATTCAAGAGCGCCTAAATAACGTTTTTGGTATGCTAAGGCTCAGATGATTTTATCAAAGCTTCAGTTTCTTCCATAATAATTAATTTTTTTTATTAATATTGCATGATTAATGAAGTAAACTTCTTTTGGCACCAAGACCACTCACTCAACTTTGGCTCCGATAGCTCCTATTTAGATGATAGACTCCTTATTACAGATAATTACTTGCCTATACTTCCCAGCGCAATAAAAGAAGGAAATGCTCTTTGTTTATTTTTATGCTTCTATTATCTAATCAAACTATTTATTACTTTGTCCCAATATCAACAAATAGTAGAACCCCTCTTTAGCATACTAATTTTAGTTATGGGCTTGCACGATGTTATCAACATCCTTCACTATCTCATAATTGGGTAAATATCTTAATATTATTTAGAATTTTAACCTAATACATAGGTAGTATTGATATATAGAACTATAATAGATAACTTAATTTGCTCTCTTTGAATTCATCCATAACTTAAATAATCATTTAGGAATTCGTTAGCTATTATCGCCCTGTCAATGGATTACTTGTCATTGACATTATTGAGCAAAAGTCCTTTTACTTTAATTGTATTACTATTAAGTTGTTGTACTACTTCATTTCAGTCTACACACTAACTACTATGCTATTTATTACAAGCGAAACCCCATTGCTCATTCAATTTTATCTTGTACTTTTAATTCTTTATTGGATCATCCCTGTGCTTATGTGCTTTATCTGGCCATTTGTAATGCTATGGTTCATTGTAATAAGACAAGAATTGCATTATCAACAGAACAGAAACCTAATCATTAGATTCTATGATTCCTTGCAGAACATCAAATTTAGAAAATTAAAGGAACAACGCCCTTCAATGCAATAAAATGATTGGTATTTTACATTTACTATCATAGCCCTATTTGCTATTAGGAAATTAATGAATCGCATAGTGTAATTCAGTTGCCCTGTCATCAGGAACACTATTTTCATGCCGAATGCTGTAAATAATGGTTGGGAAGAGATCCTCGTTGTCCACTATGTCGGTATGGATTAGAATAACCCAAAGATGTGGCATTACTTGAATTCATTTGATTATATTTACTAATTCATAATTTATAAAACAATGCTGGATGCTAAAGAAAAATATTAATTATGTCCAAATTTCTTGATACCCTCATCTTTCGAACTCATTTCTTCTAAACTTTATAAGTTCAAGAAAGAATCTAATAACTTGATGGAGGGAAACTGTACATTTTTCCTAAAATTTTATAATCATATAATAGAAGTACTTAATTTCTAAGATTCTTCTGAATTTCCATATTGGATCTATACAAATAGATAAATGAATAAAATTGTTCTGTAAATTTATACAATCATTTTGAATTTGGCAGATGCAATAGCCGATTGGCTTAAGGAAAACAGCTGATTGCATACGCATTTATTGGACTTAATGAAGGAAATCAAATAGATTATAACAAGAAGTGCTCATAATATTCATATTTATAATTTTTAATTTATATTAGAGAAACCATTTAAGCAAACCAAATTTTAGAAGAAATTTGAGAAGCTAAGCAGAGGTTTATAATATTAAATTGATGTGGTTAAAAAAAATAATTATTCGAATGTTGGTCAAATAATATTTTCATAATACAAAATTAAAATTTGTCATTTTCAGATGATCTCCTTTCATTAATTGATGCTTTATTTAATATAATACATATTTATGGCAATAACAATAAATGTTGTATATTCTTATTAATTCTGCTTTATTATTATTCTTAATTCTATATACTTTACAAAATCCAAAACGCTCATTTAGAAGTAGAAATCCTCATAATATCTATTAACGAAGAAGGAAAAATATAAATAAATCATATTTTGGTTGATTGGAGTTTTTGACTAGTTTATAGGAAATTAAATGCTGTTCCTATTGATGCTGCAATTAAAAGAAACATTTTTTACCTCATATATTATTTACACCTATTCTTTTATATTATTAGACAATAAGAATCTTAAGAAAAAAAGAGGTAAATTGTATGATTAAAATTATAATTATATTTATAAATATATATTTTATACTAATCTGCTTTAGGGACAAATTAAGTAATAATCATTTTCAACGATGATGCCAAATAATATAGATCATTAATTGTGTAAGGTAAAATCCTCAAATTCTTGTTAGGATTTGGAACAGTACTTCACCAATCACAAGTAAATAATATCCTAAACTAATTTGTTTTTGATTAGCAATAAGAAAAGCAACATACTAATAATGTAATTGTAAAATATATTAATTTTAAATTGATTCTGTTTGTAAGTTGTAATATTACGATATTATTAATTACTTGAGAGGAAGTTTCAGTTTAAATACTCTTTAATTCGACTTTCAAATACTTAATTACATAAAATTTTGTGTGATTATGCAATAGGATTAATTAAATATGATTTAATTGAAATTTATGAGAGTATTGTAATACCGCTTTTAGGATATTGAATTTTTGCAATAATAATGTTTATGAATAGCTAAATCTTCTATGTCGCTCTTTTCATCTGTATGCAAGAGTTTGGAGATGGGGTTAGAGTAACAATCTCTTAATCATTTACAACAACAAATATTATAAATGAAGATGGTATAATTAAATTGAACAATAGGTTGGACGGTAACGGGAGGCTAACCTCTGGCTACTACGTGTAACGGCATCAATCTATTTGGAGGATACAATGTTTTTGGTGCAAACACTAGTGTGAGTAAAATATTTAGCCTTCCACCTCATTACTATATATATTTGAAGATATAATTTTGGAAGTAACTTATTTGTAAAGTTTAGGATCGACACCTGGTTATATAAGAATGTTTTCCTTTTTGGAGATGGTTAAATTGCATGGAATAAATTGTTTTACACTTAAGATGGAACAGACTTGTGTGGATAAAATGGATTAGATTCTCATGATTATTATACTAATTTTAGTTGGAGATTGACTCACTCTAGTCCAACAGCAGTAGTGTTGATAACGTCAAACTTGGATGCAACCTATAATATAACAATGTTTAATAAAAAAGGGATATTGGGGAATGAGGGACTTCAGCATAGATGTGGAGAAATGTCCTGATGGCTGTTTGTTATGCAAACTTGGCGATACAATAAATGATTGTTCAAATTGGAAATTTGTAGCAAAAAGCTGGGATTAATTAGATATTATAACAGCAGATGGATGGAACGTAGTAAATGGTCTTTTAGAAATGACCAAATGTGGACGTAAGACAGTTTATATATTTTAGCCGTTGCTCTATTTAGAGGGTTCGGAAAGTTTGGTGCTGGATCAATAATAAGTACCACATTTGATATTTAATACCCACATTTTAAAATCAAAATCTTTATTCTATGGGCTAAAATAGATGCATGGGATAATGAAGCAGCTTAAATACTGGTAGATGGAACTTTAGTTTGGGAAAAAAAGTTTATTGCAACAAACGGCTATTATGGGAAAGTTTGCGGTAACTCGTAATTTGCCTCTAAAACTTTATTTTCCAGAACAGAATTAGAAGTAAATCATTAGGCAAATTCTGTTAAAATTCAAGTCACTACAAATCTCAATGAAGCTTTTGATGAAGAATCATTTGGAGTTAGAGATTTTTATTTGTATTATTAAGAGTGTCCTAGTTTTTGTAATTAGTGCACTGGGCCAAATGGATCAGATTGCTTAAGTATATCTTTTGATTATTATTTAGTTTGTAAAAATGGTTACTACAGAACAGGAGTTGATGAACTTATGTGTCAAGGTACCAGAACATCTTATCTATTTAGAATGCTATATCTCATGTGAGACTTGTTAAGGACCGACAAATTAAGATTGTACAGATTGCGGAAACTATGAACTGAATAAAAAAGAGTTCATCAATGGGCAATGTCTTTGTCCCAAATATATGGCTGAATAAATTAAGAATGATGGCTCTACTTGGTGTTTGCGTATTTAATTAAACTAGATAGCATGTCATCCAATGTGTGAAAAGTGTGAATTTCCACAAGACAATACAAACAATCAATATTGTACTATGTGTTTACCAGGTTAGCATCGAATTGTGTCTGATGATTTAAAATGCATTTGTAAGACAGGCTATACAGATGAGGGAGTCTTAGACATATGTATAAGTAATCAAAAATAATAATGTATTTAGAATGCCATTATACATGCGAAAATTGTTCAGGACCATTATCAACAAATTGTACAACTTATTCATTATCTTCTCATCGTCATCTAACTGCAGATTATTAATGCTAATGTGACTCTACTTACATCGATACAGGTTTAAATGATATCACATGTTCACGTATTGAATTAGCCTTATATTTAGCAATCTGTCACCATTCCTGTGCTGATTGTGCTAATTTTGGGGAAGATTAATGCAGTCTTTGTCCAATTTCCAGATAACCAGATAGAGTGGGTACGCCATTTAAATGTGTTTGCATTGATTCACATTATTTTAGTGACGATATCAATTTGGAATGTCAAATATGCCATTCTAATTGTTTAACGTGTTCAGGGAGTTTAGAAAATAGTTGTCTTTCTTGTGATCCTGCTTATAGATAATTAATTATGTCAAGGTGCATTTGTCCATAAGGATACTATGATCTTGGTTAATTGTAATGTGCCAGTAAGACTATCGATTATAATAGAATGCCATTATACTTGTAATAATTGTTATGGACCAGATGCAGATAATTGCATCACTTGCTCATCTGCTAATAATAGGGAACTGAAGGGAAATTATTGTGGGTGCAAAGAGTAAAGTATGGAGAAATTATAGAATGATCCTATGTGCTATTGTAATTATGTACTATTTATGTAGAATGTTCATATCGATGCGCTGAATGTAGTGGAACAGTAGATAATTGTTAATCCTGTCCTGAATATTCTTATAGAGAACTAGGAGTTGATAACTCTTGTTCTTGCCCAATAGGATCATACGATTAAATTAATAATCCTAAATGCTTAAGTATTTAATACTCATTATTTCAAAAGTATGTCATTATACATGTATGACTTGTAATGGTTCTTCATTAAATCAGTGTACTTCCTGTAATCCATCAAGCAGAAGAAATTTAGATAACTTAAACTAATGTCTATGTGTTAGCAAATACTATGATGATGGCAAGTAATCAGAATGCTAAGGTTGATACTTTAATCATCAAATACTAGGTTGTGATGGGTCTTGCTTAACTTGTAAAGATTCTTCCTTAAATTGCAGTTCATGTAAAACAGGTAAATATTTGGATGGAAACTCTTGCAAGTGTCTAACGAAATTATAGGGTGCCCCAATAAGTAGCTACTAAATACAGGGTAAATAGGATTGCTAGAGTAAGAATTGTTATATGAATAGATTGTCATTTCTCTTGCCTAAGCTGTAATGGATCATCTGCGACATAATGCACTTCATGTTTAGCAAGTGAAATGAGAGAATTGCAAGAAACCAGTTGTGTTTGTATTCCTCATTATTTTAATATTGGTAAACCAAGCTGCTAAAGTACTATATTAAAAAATATTCAGTTTGTAATTATAAATGTGAAACTTGTGATAAATTAGAAAATTATTGTTTAACTTGTTCTGCTTCAAGTGTAAGAGTATTAAACAATTCATAATGTTTATGTCCATCTGGATATTTTGACGATGGATTAGATTTGATATGTTAAAGTATACAATTTATCATTATTAGAATGTCATTATAGTTGCTTATAATGTAGTTCCATTTCTAAACATTGTGATTCTTGTACTTCAACATCTCATCGATATCTTGATCCAATCCTGTTTAACTGTAGGTGCTTGGAATCTTATTATGACTCAGGAATTGATTCATGTGAAAAATGTCATTACTCTTGTTTCACCTGTAATTAAAATGGACCTGAGTCATGTAATTCATGCATTTTTGCATCCTTATCTTTTAGAGTGTTAAATCAAAATATATGTTAAAGTTTGGATGGGTATTTTGATGATGGATTCTCTTCAAATTGTATGAAATGCTCTATCAAATGTTTAAGTTGCAACCATACTGCAGACTTTTGTACTTCATGTCCAATTACTAGACATTTGGAGGGAAGCAACTGCAATTGCAATACTGGTCTTTTTGAAACTAATCTTGAAATTTGTAGTCAATGTAATTCTAGTTGCAATTTTTTATTGCACATCTTGTAAACCTATGAAAATATTAACAAATAATATCTGCTAATGCGTTGATGGAACTTATGAGTCTGGAGATGATCATTCATGTTTATTTTGTCATCCTACTTGTTTGACATGTTTTAATACTCCAAATTACTGTACAACTTGTTCAGCAGATAATTTCAGAATATTCTAATCTGGAAATGTTTGCATATGTTAAAATGGATTCTATGAAGATTCTCTTAACTTAGCATGTAAATAATGTGATATTTCATGTCTAACCTGTTCAACAATAGCTACTTATTGTACATCATGTGATCCTCTGCTCAATCTCAATTTAAGTGTTCAAAACGAGTGTGTTTGCTAAGCAAACTATTTTTTCAATTATACCTCAAAAAAATGTCAAGGTATCTAACATTATAATTTTCAGCCTGCAATAGTACTTGTAAGGAATGTAAAGAGATGGCAAATTAATGTATTACATGTGATATAATAACAAGATATTTCGATCAAGATAACTTTAAATGTCCATGCAGAGATGGGTACTATGAGACTTATTCTAAATAGTGTTCATGTAATAAGTTGTATATTAGATAGTATGTGATCTGAGTTGTTAAAAATGTATGATTTCATCCATGCAATGTTCATCCTGCGAACCATTATATTTTAGAATCTTAAACATTACTTAATAGTGTATCTGCTAAGAAGGATATTATGATATTGGAATTGAAATGTGTTAAAAATGCAATAACATTTGTAAAACATGTCAATCAACGTCAACATATTGTCAATCATGTTTCGAAGCTGAATAGCATAGGATCTTAAGTTTAAATGCTTGCACATGTCAAATAGGATACTTTGATAATGGTCAATTTGTTTGCTAAAGTATTTATTCCTTTGAAATAGAATGTTCAAACTCTTGTCTAACGTGTAATGGTAGAAAAGATAACTGTACTAGTTGCGATACCAATCAATTTAGAATTGACTAGTCTATCATAAAAAAGTGTCCTTGTATGGCTGGGTTTTATTCCGATGTAGATGAAATATGTTAAAGTAATTCTCAAAATATAATAAAGAATGTAACATTAAATGCAACACCTGTTAAATTACAAAAGATAATTGCACAAGTTGCTAAATATCTTAATTTTCAAATAGATTTACCATATTCAAAAATTGTAATTGCAAAGATGGATATTATGATGATGGTATAACTCTAGAATGTAAAAAATGCAGCTATCCTTGTAAAATTTGTTAAATTAGTTCAACAAATTGCTAACTTTGTTCAAGTAAATTAAGAAACATTCCTCCAACTTGTGATTGCTAAATTGGTTATTTTGAAAATCATGATTCTTTATGTGAACGTAATTTTAGTTACTATACTAGCTTGCCAATTTTAATGTTAGACATGCAAAACAATAGCATCAAATTGTCTTACTTGTAAGGAAGGAAGAGTAACTAAATTATGTCTTTGTCAAGACGGATACTTTGAGGCACAATAAATACTTTGTATCTGTATAATCGTTGTATTATTTTAAGAATGTGAGAATAAATGTTTAACATGTTCAAACACATCTACTAATTGCTTATAGTGTAAAGGAGATCGAGTGAATAATCCAAATTGCATTTGTCCAGATGGGTTTTACGATGATTTAGAAAGTGAATATTGCCTATAGTGTCCTGGATTTTGTAGAACTTGTAATTTGCAAGGCTGCTTATCCTGTTTGGGAAATAGAATGTTGACTACCGATATGATTTGTGATGAACCTTTACACTCAAAGTGTCACTTTACTACCCCTTGGTGTTCTAGTATTTTATTTTATGATATTTTAGCTTGCGAAGTTGCTATTTTACAAGCTAGATTATCTGATGATTTACTTTCTATATAAATAAGTTTTGATTTCCCTTTAAATAGAAATTATTTTATGTCATAATTTCAAGAGAATATTTGTTCTAAAATCTTCAGTGAATAAACTTAAGTCTAATTAGGAAAAAGTCCGTAATGCTATTTACTTCAAAATGATGATACTATATTTCACATAAAATTGGGACATATGGCAACAATTATTCCTGGAGATCACTTAATATTTTAGGAGTAAAAATTTGGTTTTGATGGTTGTTTAATCAAATTAAGTATCTTTATTTTCAATTAACTTTAAAAACCCTTAAACCCTTATCCTCCTAAAATAGACTATGATATACCAACATACATATTGAATCCTTGTGATGAAAATGCCATTTATCGCCAGTCTTAAAGTAATAATGGTTTAAGAAACTTACAAAATATCTCATGGACCTATTAAGTAATTGGGTCAAATGGTAATGGAGACCTCGATAGTTTCATCTAAATTCTCAATAATTTCTAGTTATTAGAATTAATTATTCCTTTTGATACCCTACCCAAGCAATCCAGCATAACCTTTGTAGTAAACTTTAAAAATTTTGTTTTAGAAGAATCTACGTCAACTATATCTGTTTAAACACATTCAGGCAAATTCCCTACAATCCTTCTGGTATCAAAATAAAAATTCTATAGTTTTGAAAATGTTATCTTACAATTTTTAATAAGGAAAAAAGACTGCTCTGATCAAAATGCGATTATAATTGATAATTCCAATTATTTAGTCTAATTATTTGAAGTTAAAAGAAATGATTCCTATTCCAGACCATCAAAAGTTAATTTTTCAGCTCTCATAAGCCAAACAGAATTTAATGTCACCGTTTAAAGTTATCTGTTAACTCCAAAGACAACCTATACGTTTTAATAAAATATTGTAGAACCATTAAGTGATTTTTCAACTTCTAGAAATATTACTATTGAAATCATTTCAGCAGGTATTTTATGTATGTTTAATGGAACGAAAAAACAATAAAATTACAGAAAAGATACGTATATCTAAATATTATGTAAAGATCTTGATTAAAAATAAGAATGGAATTAAGATAAAGCGATTAATTTTTATGTATAGTGTATAGATTTAGTACAAAATAGAGACTGCTTTGATATAAAGGGAAAAGCGATAAAAATTAATGAAACAGATTACACTCAAATTATACCATCATCAACTATTGCTCCTTTTTCTATTTAAACGTGGTAGGTAGTGGTTTGGAAAAACTAATAAAAATACAATTTTAATCAAAATATCGTATTTCTAGAGGATGAATATTCTTTACTGGAAGTAAATTACAATTAAGGATATTTAATGAGAGCTGTTAACAACTACGAAAACTTGGAGTTTAATATCAATATTCCTTTTGAAAATAGATAATACTTATTAGAATATTATGTCGCTTTCATTTATAATTACCAAATTATTAATGTAATGAGTTCTCAGTATAACCAGTATCAGTTTCGAATTTTTGATATATTTTAGCAATTTGACAACGGAAAAATTATTAATTTGAAATTTTTGGCTTAGTTCACAGATTAAATAATGCCTAATTAAGCAGATTTAAATCTGACAGTAAATTTACAACCTAATTGTTATTTTGCATAAGAAAGTCAAAATGCTTAGGCTTTAAAACCAATACAATTTATTGTGAATTGCGATTTTAATGAGAATTATCCCTTATAATTTTAGATGAGATATTTCATATCCTATCAAGATTATAAAGATTTTGAAAATCTTAAATCTGATTACTCTTTAATTTTGAATTCATATTAAGCTTCAAACATTTTTAAAACTTTCCTTCCATCTAATTCTGAAAATATTATTATGATATAAGCAATGGATTCTTAAGGTTCATATACAAATATTTATAAATAAGTAAATGTAGCTAAAGATATTTTAGATTGTACTAATGCTTAATTTAGTACATTTATTTTTCAACATTAAATTGCTCTATTACTTGAGATTCTGCTAAATCATCAAGAATAATAAAACTGTATGAAGTTATCAATATAGTTGATTAGCAATATCAAAAATTATTTTATCTCTGAAAAATTAAATGATTAGTTATTAGCTTATCAAACTTTATCATTATACAAAAGACTAATATTTTAACAAGATAATTTAAAATCTAAAACTAGACTGTTAACTGAATAATCTTAAATTAGATGTTTCAATAATCTTACTTAAACATTTTAGTCTGAAAGAAATCATGCTTATAATTACTCTACAAATACTCAATCAAGTTTAATTTAAGAGATACAATATATAAAAAATGTATATACTAATTTGAATCTATAGAGGATTAATTTAGAAAATGAAATCTTTGATAACGAATTTATTTTGGATGAAAAGTTATTCTAAAAGAAATAAGCAGTTATTGATGCGCTATCAATTATGTTACTTTACATTGATGATGTTTTCGTCAAAATTCTAAAAATTTAAATAAAAAGTCCTTAAGAATAAAATTAATTATTTTAGATAGCTTAAGTGATATTTTAGTTAGTGGAAAAAATTACCAAAGAAACAGTTGTTAAAGCCAAAGTGAATGATCAATAATTAACCATCCAAGGACAAATTTTAAAATGGTCTGTGATAAAATTAACAAAGGACACCTTTGATAAGTTATTTGACTTAGAAAAAGAATTGCTAGATGCCTTTGTAGATTTTGTACAAAAGGAAGAACTAGATATAAATTTCAATCCTTATAACTTATCTACACAGTTTTAAAATCAGCTTTCATTATTGTTTAATTAATCAACCCTTGAAATTGATGAGTAGGTATTCAAAAAGACAAGACTTTAAAACCATCTTTATGATCATCGTTATGTTGAATATCTTGGTTCTCTCAAACAGTATGCAGTTGATATGATTAGATATCCAAAATGCCTTGAAATTGATTAGAAGTCAGATAAATATATTTACTTTCAGAGTTGTGTTTAAATTAATGGAATAGGGGAGGTTGTCTTATGTAAATTATTAGTTGAAGAATCTGATAATACAACTGTCTAAGTTTCTTGCTTATGTCAATAAATAGGAAGTATCATTTTAGTTAGATATTCAAACCATTCTACAAGCAATGGAGATAATACCTAAAGAATAGGTCATGAATATAAAAAATTCAATACTTAGTTGAATATAAATGAACAACCAATAATTTTGTTTCATGGTATTTTTATGGTTTTTGTTACTTTCTGTTTTTTGAGTTAACTAGGGTAGAAAAAGAACCAGAGCCATTTTAAAGCTATATACCAAAATCAAATTCAACTATTGAAGATAACACAATTGATTAGGAAAAAAAATTATTACTTTACCCTGGAAATTTGTATGTTTATTAAAAATGTTTTAAAGTAAATTTTGTTTCTTATCAAGGATATTCACGAATTGTTATCCGTGTTTTTTTTTAATTCTGCAGTAATTAGAAGGAGCTTTACCTTCTTACAACCTTCATTAAAGATAAGCTTCTACATTCCCATCATATGTTTTGAAATTGGTTGGCTAATAAATATTCCAATTTTTGCATTCTTAATTATGAATGCTTTAATTTTCTTAATAATTAAAATCGCTTTTAAAATACTTTAAGTTCCTTATAGATTTAAAGGAGGATGGCGTATTTTAATAGTGTTAGTATATTTATCACTTCATATATTTTCTTACTGTGTATCCCTGATTCTAATAATGAAATGGTAAAATATTTATATTATTTAGTGATTTGGTTGACTTTAAAGCTTTTAATTAATAGATCTCATTAATATTAGTACTTTCTCTATTCATAAACTTTTTAATGTTAGAACCCATTATGATATACTTTAGGATAATAATAATGAAATTTGTTATAGAGAAATCAGAAAGGGAACCAGAAATCCTTATTTCTACTTCTGTTATTTTTTTGTTTAGCACTAAATTTTAGATGAAATTTTTGGGTCATTTACAATATTATGAATAAAGCAGATAGAATAAATTGATTATTTCTATATATATATATATATAGATGTCGAATTTTATCTAATTTAATTAATATTTTATTTATTAAATGTTGTGTTATCAAAAACATATTACTTATAAATAAAAACATTAGAGCTTTTCAATATTTCAAAATTTTTGATAGTCATCAATCTTTATAATTTATCTAAATATACAATCTGGATCAGTTGGGACGACTCTATCCATATATGGGATGCTAAAACCGGATAATAAAAAAGTAATTAAAATTCAGTTGTATCAGTCTGTTTTTCTCCTGATGGTACTACATTAGCATCAGGTGGTTCAAATACCTCTATCCGCTTATGGGATGTTAAGATAGGATAACATAAAGCCAAATTAGATGGACCGAATAATTCCATCATGTCAGTTTGTCTCTCCTTTGATGGTACTACATTAGCCTCTGGTAGTTATGATAGCTCTACATGTTTATGGAATGTTAGGATAGGAGAATAAAAACCAAATTGGATAGTCAGTTTGTTTCTCTCCTGATAATATTATATTAGCATCTTGTAGTGATGATAATTCTATCCGTTTATGGGATGTTAAGTCAGAACAATATCTCGCACTTTATGAAAATCGTTATAAAGATATTATGAAATAATTTACACCCCTTCTGTTTAAAATAATGTTCCTTCGCAAAATAGTATTTATATTTCACTAATATTTAGTTACTAGTAATCTCACTATCTTACTAATTTCTTAAAGAAACAATTTTTAAACATAAGGAGCTTTAATCTTGAAAGGAAAATTCGATAATTATTAAGGCACAGATTTAAGTTAATTATTCAAATAAAAAAGCAGCTTGATTTTACAAAAATAATAAAATTGATGAATTTTACAAATAAGTAATCCATATAATCCAATATTACTCAATTAACTATTTTTATTATTTATCCTAAACCAAACAACTGATGCTAATAAGCAAATCGCATATATTGGTCTATTTAAATTTGATATCATGTATTTCAACTATTAAGTTGCTTAAAATGATGACGTAATCAATTCTAATTTTTATATGCTTGGGAAGTAACAAAAGAGAACTTATCATTCTCTATAATCTATCTATTTATGTGATGTTAAGACAGGATATAATCCAAACGTCATTTATGGTTACCTAGTTAGACTAGCATAACTTTAACCTAAAAATAATTATAAATACTATGTTTCCTCAAAATGATACTTATTTTCACTGTTCTTTAGCAATTTCAATGGATATCTATATATATAAAGATGTTAATATTAAAAATTTTCAAAAAAAAAACGATGAAGCTAATTATCATTAATAAGAATGGCTATAAAAGAAATAAAAGCAAATGATATTATTGAAGGTGTAAATAAATAAAGGAAGCTTGCATTTTCAAATTTTTTAATTGAAGATAGTAGTGAGGTAGTTTAAGAATATCACAAGATTTTTCTTGGAAATAAAAAAATCATCTATATTCATTAAATGCAACACCTTCCTCAAAACATTAGAATATCTATAAGGAGCTAGAAAAATTTGCAAAAGGTATTTTAAATATTTAGTAGATTTTCCTAAAATGCTTCCTCATAAAATCACTTACTCTTTAATACCCAATCATTAATTCCTAACTTTGAGAGCCCTCTTAATAAACAATTTATAAAATGCAATAAAGATAAATTACTTATAAACTACCAAGGAATGTGATCGAAATTTAAAACAAAAGATTTGATTAAATCAATATTGATGGTTTTCTTAATAATTTTACAGAATTATTCAAATTATATCCCGAAATTTGTAAAAAGCACAATTGTAACTTTTCCTTTCAACATATTATAAATTTTCATTAGAAAAATTTATTTCAAAGATTAAACATTTAGGAATTTGATAGCTATATTAGTAATAATAATAACATAAGGATTAATTTGAAATGGCTAGGTGACAAAATTTTTAATAATAGATATCTTAATAACATAATTAATAATAATTCAATTCAATTCTTTTTAGGAAGAAAATTAGGATGATAATGACAGATAATTATTCATTGTGCAGAAAAAATCAAACTTGTAAGAAGTTTTCGAGAAAACTATTAGAAACATATGAAAAAATACAACAAAGGTAGAATTCGAAATGATAGCTCTCATAAATTTGAAGGAGAATATATTTACTGCCATAATTCGGCTTCTAGACCTAGGAATTAGATACTCTCCAAGAGCCTAACAATATTAACAGTCAGTAATTCAATATTCACACAAGATTCTCAATAAATATCTTATCTTGGAATATTTGATCAATAAAAAAGGAACCATTAAGTTTGGTTAAAAATACGGAACTCATTTCTCCTGCTTATAAGAAAGTAGACTGGCAAAAAATCTGTTCATCTTCTAGCCATTAAATTACTACTAACATCATTTTGCACAAGACAGATCTGATGGAATAATAATGGTATGCATTGAGTTTTGCATCAAAGGACATTAGCAATTTTGGCACTAGCTAGCGAATTTTAATATGATGATTTGATCGTCAATGCTAAAATGAATATATATAGATCATTTTCTTATTTAAATTTATTACAATACATGATAGATATTTTTAAAGTCAAGAAAGGAACTCAATTTATGGTTTATATAATTTCTATTAAAAATAAACCTAATTATAAGATATTTGTCTTTGGGGATTTCAAAATAAAGAAAAATCTTTTGACCTCTTGATCTCAATACTTCCTCATAGTATTTAAAAATTTTAAAGATAAAAGCAAATATTTTAATCAAAAGTCGTACAGACCATAAAATGATATTCCTTTATTTGAATTTTATCCAACTACCGAGTTCAACAATCTATCTGACCACTTTTTAATTAGCGTAAAACTTAAACTATAACCTAAACTTCAACGATCGATTATTTATTTTATAAATTTAGTAAGGCCTGCTCTCCTATTTTAAACTCTCAAGCATCATCAAAATTCTGTGACTTTGATTATTTTAACAATTTTTAAATATATCATGATAAAAATTGAACATAAAGCTTACTTATCTTGTTCAAGGAAATATCATCGAGGTATTGATTTTAAATTCAATTTTAGTTTAAATTAGGACCTTTATCCAAATAATATTGAATACTATTTGAATGAATAAGGAAAATTTTAACATCATTCAAGAATAGTAGATATTTTCATTTCCTTTATTAATTTGTCAGGGTAGAACTTCCTTCAGTATTAAAAATCACAACTATAATCCTCAATAATAACTAGATATAAAAAGTAGTTATAAATCCTAAAGTTTTAACTTGCACTAATTATTTTGCGATAAATAACTCACCTCACCTTTCTCCCTGAATAAACCGAAATATATTTATGTGAACTCAAAGCAGCATAAGTGTGCAGGCCTGAAGTGAAATACATTATTTAAAAGTAAAAATTAATATTTTCAAATCAGATTAACAATTAAGGGCAAATTAAAAAGCAAGTAGTCTCAAAAGCATGAAAAAGTAAATTATTCAAATAAGTATAAAATATAGAAAAGTAAGAATAATCTCAAAACAAGATAACAACATATAATATCAATCTAAACTAAAAGATGATTTTAATTATTTAATGAAGTAAATCATTAATTGTAATTCACCTCGTTTACGATTTTGAATCCTTCCTTCATTTTTGTTGGTTTCCTTTCCATTTCCATCCATTTTCCTACTTTTTTACCATTTTTATATTCACCATGATAAATTACTTATTTTCCAAACCAAAATTCATCACTTATTTGTATCCACTTTCCATTCATAATACCTTCACATTTTTCATCAAATAATCCTCCCCCACTAACAATCATTTATAATTTACATATTTACATTTAAAAAAATGGGCTACTAACACTATCTCTATATTTAATATCCCATTTACCAACTTTATTACCATTTTTATATTCACCAATATATAATACCTCTTTTGAATTTGAATATCTATCATCCAATTAAATCCATTTTCCAATCTTAATGCCCCTTTTATCATATGATCCACAACCACTAATAAATAACATAGTTAAATATATTCTTTACATAATTTAAAATTTATCACTATTACTCTATCTACACCTAGTATCCCATTTTCCAACTTTTATACCATTTATGTATTCACCAATGTATGTTACTTAGTTTCTTTTATAAAAACCATCGTCTAAATCAATCCATTTACCAGTTTTTAGGTCATTATCATATGATCCTCCACCTCTAATAATTTATTTTTAGTTGATAATATATTATCCTTACATCGTTTCAAATGGATCAACATTTCTTGACCTACAATTTATATCCCATCTACCAACTTTTTTCCCATCTTTATATTCACCATTATAAATTTTTTATGATAAATGCTGAAATCCAAATCCAATCTCAATCCAACTCCCAACTTTAAGCCAATTACATTCATCATACAATCCACCACCCCTATATATTTTGATATATTTACACCAATATATTTTTTTTTCCGCATTCATTAATATTAAACCAAATATCCCATCTTCCAACTTTTCGACCATGATTATATACTCCAGTATAAGTCACTTGAGAATTGTAATAAAACTCTTCGCTTATTTCAATCCATTTCCCAATTTAAGTACTATTATCTTCTTCAAATAATCCGCCGCCACTATAAATATAATTATCATCTTGTAGACTATATTTACATTTAGCAAAATGGATCACTACTTCGATCTCTATACATAATATTCCATCTACCAAATTTATTTCCATTTTTATATTCACCAGTGTATATTACTTAGGAATTGATATAAAACCCATTGCTTAATTCAATCCAGTTCCCTATCTTAACACCATTACTCCTTACATCATATGATCCTCCACCTCTATTAATTTTATTACAATAAAATAAAGAAAAACATCAATAAAAATGAATCCTAGCTTTTCTCTTGATACTTAATATCCCATCTACCAACTTTTTTACCCTTATTATATTCTCCAATATAAATTATTTCTAAATAAGAATAAAATCCATCTATTAATTCAACCCATTTACCAATAGGGCCAAATTATTCATCATATTATCCACCACCACTAACCATTTAGATAAATTAATTAACTAAATTTATACATTCGCTTATTCTCATGCTAAATATCCCACATACCAATTTTCATCCCATTTTTATATTCCCCAATATATGATACTTTAGAATTTTACCAAAACCCTCCATTCAACTCAATCCATTTCCCATCCTTTTAACCTATCGAATTATATCTTCCACCACCACTAAATCATTCTTAATGCCATTTTATACATTTCCTTTTCATCTAGAATAAATTTCCAAAATCCTTGCCTTTCTCCATTTATGTATTCTCCCAACTCATAAATCTTAGCTTTCCTTAAAGAAAGTTAGTATAACCTTACTCCCAATAATTATTTATAATTTCTTTCCAGATACCACATTTTTTTCCTACAATTGAGTAATAACCTCCCACATCATAAATTTTATTTCCTTTCCATTAGGCTGTCCATTTGCCAATTTTCTAATAATTCTTTTGGTAACTTCCAATCCATGTGAGAAATTTAATTTACTCATAATTTGATAAAATTTCAAGTTTGCTAGAAATGTCATATATTTATTCCCTAATATTATTTATAAAAATATTGACCTTCTTATAATTGATTCATTTAAGATATATTAGATTTCTTTTTCTTAAGTTAATTTGATTTAAAATTGAGTGTAAAACAATCTTCCATCATTGTCATTTAAAATACCAATTTTATGATTTTAGATGCTTTCTTGCTATTCGTGCGCTTCTTCTTAAATGTTGAATTAATAGACTTACAATTCTATTTTTTTCCTCTTTTTTTTACATTACATAAGAACATCTTCTTAACTTTGATCAAGAAAAATTATTTATATTAAAGTTGATTCTTATATTTGAATATTTTTATCAATATTTGCTTGAAATTCTAGCCCTAATTTCTTTTAGCCAAATTTGCAATAACAAGAAAAAATAAATCAATGTTTATTTTTCTTTTAATTTACTTGCATTTGTATGAATAAAATTCAAATCTAAAGAACAATTCAACGACCTAATATTTCATATTTATAAGAATAATATCATCTATCACATAGGTTCCATATTGCTAAACTATTTATATTATTTAATTAAAAAAATATCAGCAATCTTGTAAACCAAGTTTAATGATTGTTGCGATTCTTTGTTAAAGCTATTACTTAATTTTAAGTACTTTAAACTCTTAGTTGTATAGGCTGTCAGATGCTTCTTATATTTAGGTGATCTTCAGTAATCTTCTTGCTTTAATTTTGAAGTAAAATAATCTTTTATAAAATTTCCTAATCTACATTACTACTGATTGCATTATTGTTACAAAAAACGAATGGAGATAAATGGCATTTATTATAACCTCAGGTTACGTGAATTTATTATTAATTTAGAATGACAATGATGAACCATATACCTTATTTTCTCACAATGACTGACACTTCCCTAAATTTTACTGATTTTGCTTTATATTTTACTTTATTAACTTCTTAAATTATCTTAATTGCGTGTAGTAGTGTTCCTGGTTCTGAAGGTTTAAGCTAAACTATATTTATATTAATTTATAAATGATTAAGGATTGTATCGAATAAAATTATCCAAATAATTTAACTTTATTTTAGCAGATGTGAAATTTATCTGATTCCAACACGAAACACTTAATTATTTAGCCCATAATTTCAATAATCAATAGCAAGTATACAAATTATGAAAAACACTAATTGAGTTCAAAGGCACAGTTAAATTATTTTATATAAATAAAGATCTGAATTTGGTGCGTTTTTAGAATGAGAATATGATGCTTTAGAATCACTTAGACCCTCTAACCTGTCTTTTTTGTAAATCCAAAACATCTTCATTTCAATTACTGATACTGTTGATTAAGTCTTTGAAAATAAATTAACCTAAGAAAATCTTGTTCTCTTAGGAATAAAGGAGATAGTTTTGAAGGATAAGAATCATGTCTTTCAGTCAATCTACTAAGACTTTTAGGTGTTCCTTTTTATAAAAAATTAATCACGTAGACCATTCAGCAAATGCAATTTTGAGAAAGTGACATAATAGTAGTCTTTTGGCTTGCAACTTTTCATCTGTGAACTTCTTTACTTTTTTCTCAAAGTTGATCATGAAGCGGAATCCTTGCTTAGTACTTCAATTTGAGGTCATTTTGACTCTTATTGAATTTAAGAAACCTATTTATATTTCCTTTATCAACTACAGGAACTTTAAAATTCAATGAGACCAGATAAGAATTACAATAAGTCTAAATTCTATGTGCGATTATAGGTTCATAGCATGCATTCATGAAACATGTTTTGGAAACACAAGTTATCCAAAGAGGCAGGTAGTAATTGTCAAAACGATTAAATGCAGTTGAATAAAATAAAGGGAGTATTAAGCCTTAATTATGATGATGCCTTTGCCTTTGTTACTGTCTGATAAATTAAAAATAGGTACAATTAATATTTCTTCTATTGATCTTTCCAAAAATATGCATTTTTAATGATCAGTGAATATAATAAATCTTTGGTTTTTATTATAATAATGTTGAAATAAGTTGAATTTTTCAACTAATAATGATTTATGATAAAGTAGAAATGAAAAATTTAAAACATTCGTTCAATGACCATTCCTCTGACATTGATATAGTCCTTTGAATATGGATGGAAATTACTCTATATATAAGTAAAAATATAACACGCTTAGTGTTGATTTTGAATGTATAACAAGTAAATCTATGATCTTGTGAAAATAAGGTATGGATTTTATTAATCATTGAACTTAAGACATAGATCAGCCTTACTAGGAATACAGGCATTGAATTAGCTTATTTGCATGTTCACAAACAAACGGTAGACCTGTTTTCAAAATAAAAATAATCATTTCCTAGATTCACAAATTTATTCACAATCTTAATTTTCAATAGGATATAGATCTCTTTTAGGAAAAATGAAAAAGTATTTGAATATATCAGAAGTAATACAATAAAGCATAATTTCAAACTTGAATACTTTAGTAAAGAGTTCCTCTCTATAATCTTATGAGCTAATAGGAGATCAGTTCCGAGCAATGTTTAAATCTAGTTGAAAGGGCTTTAGCTTTTCTTAGCTTGGATTATTCAATTATTACATCTAACAATAGTAAAACTTTAAATAATAATATTTTGAAATAAATTGAATCGCAAAGTAGATGAAGAAGATTGTTATAATATGAAATTGGACATTAAGATTTTAATTATGCATTTCCATCATATATAGTTCTTGTAATGGTGGATTCAACTAACGTTCAAGATTTTAAGCAGTTCTGGTGGTCTTTTCTAATTTTTTATCGATACCCAACCTTACTAATACACATTATTTACTAGATTTTGTTAGTCAATAATAATTGTATAATGAGAAGGGAAATAAGATTTGATAGGGTTATGCCTTCATTTATGGATGTGATTTGTAAATTCTTCTCGTTAGCAATTGAAAATTAATAGCAAAACAAGCAATCTAAATAAAAATGCTGGATAGTTGCATTACTCTTTGTCATGATGAGTGGTTAATTGAATTACGATTTGAAAAATTTAGCTGTGTTTGTATTATTTTTAATTTACAAAGAGGAATAATTGCTGAAGCGACTCTCTGGCCGATTATCAGTAATAAACATTTCTAAGGGAACTATCTTAGCATTCTATTAGAAGAATATAAAATGAATTAGAAAACAGTTCCTTTTGAATTATAAAAATCTAATAAATGCAACTTGAGCAGTTGAATGGAGCTAGTAAAAAGGAAAGGTTTATTTGAAATAGGAAATGCAAAATTATTTAAACAACAGAGTATAGTTTTGATTTAATATAAATTTTATTAATACAGATAGTATCCTATTTTATTAAAATTCTTTAAGAAAAAATATCAAGAAACCTATCAAAATTGCTGAAGTCAACAACCATTGAATGTTTCAATATAAAATATACAAATTGCCCTTATGAAAAATATTTTATGTAATAATTGGTTTTAGACAATTTAAAACCAAAAATTTATTGCTTTATTTGAGTTTGAATCAGGTCATTTAAAGAAGGAAAGAAAGAAAAGGTGGGCCAAACGAAAGGAAAAGAGTTTATTGATTCATTTTATAAGCTTGATTAGTTATTTAATATAATGGAAAAATTAAGAAGATGAACAACACTCAACCTTAGAATTAATTTGCTGCTTATCGATGTTGCTGAGTAATCTCTTCATTTTAGCTGAATTTCATTTGTCGATGAATATGAAATGCCTGTTATTTCAGATATGGCATTACTCTTTTTTGTACTTAAATATATCCAATTCCACTATTAATAAATTATTTAATATCCAATTCTACTCTCCCATCAAATTCGCCACACTTACTTAAAAGATTAGTCATTACGTTAAACACTTAGTCCTACTAAAACGGTCCCTTCTAGTTCTGACAGTATAATTCTCTTCTACAATAAAGTACCTTACCATACATATTTTATTAGAGCTTGTTCCAGCAGGTTAGAAATATCATTTAAGAATAAATTTATATATAGCTTGATTGTACTCTTTTTAATCTAGTTTCATATATGTTATATTGTCAAAAGATTATTCAATATGTTCATTCAGTATACATTGCGAGACTCGGCAGAGAAGGAGTAAAGTCCGATTCTCTAGGAGCCTTTTTAGACCGTTAACTTGAAATTTAAACCTTTTTCTAAATCAATCTCTCCAAGTAGTGCTTCATCTAATCGCACCAAATCTATGGCTAAAATTTTACTTAAATTATGTGAATGTTTCTATTTAGGCTGCCTTTTCTTCTAGCTTCATAGTGAATTGAAATTTTCGTATAGTATCTGATAGAATAATAAATCAACTTATATATAGACAATTNTCACAAATTTATTCACAATCTTAATTTTCAATAGGATATAGATCTCTTTTAGGAAAAATGAAAAAGTATTTGAATATATCAGAAGTAATACAATAAAGCATAATTTCAAACTTGAATACTTTAGTAAAGAGTTCCTCTCTATAATCTTATGAGCTAATAGGAGATCAGTTCCGAGCAATGTTTAAATCTAGTTGAAAGGGCTTTAGCTTTTCTTAGCTTGGATTATTCAATTATTACATCTAACAATAGTAAAACTTTAAATAATAATATTTTGAAATAAATTGAATCGCAAAGTAGATGAAGAAGATTGTTATAATATGAAATTGGACATTAAGATTTTAATTATGCATTTCCATCATATATAGTTCTTGTAATGGTGGATTCAACTAACGTTCAAGATTTTAAGCAGTTCTGGTGGTCTTTTCTAATTTTTTATCGATACCCAACCTTACTAATACACATTATTTACTAGATTTTGTTAGTCAATAATAATTGTATAATGAGAAGGGAAATAAGATTTGATAGGGTTATGCCTTCATTTATGGATGTGATTTGTAAATTCTTCTCGTTAGCAATTGAAAATTAATAGCAAAACAAGCAATCTAAATAAAAATGCTGGATAGTTGCATTACTCTTTGTCATGATGAGTGGTTAATTGAATTACGATTTGAAAAATTTAGCTGTGTTTGTATTATTTTTAATTTACAAAGAGGAATAATTGCTGAAGCGACTCTCTGGCCGATTATCAGTAATAAACATTTCTAAGGGAACTATCTTAGCATTCTATTAGAAGAATATAAAATGAATTAGAAAACAGTTCCTTTTGAATTATAAAAATCTAATAAATGCAACTTGAGCAGTTGAATGGAGCTAGTAAAAAGGAAAGGTTTATTTGAAATAGGAAATGCAAAATTATTTAAACAACAGAGTATAGTTTTGATTTAATATAAATTTTATTAATACAGATAGTATCCTATTTTATTAAAATTCTTTAAGAAAAAATATCAAGAAACCTATCAAAATTGCTGAAGTCAACAACCATTGAATGTTTCAATATAAAATATACAAATTGCCCTTATGAAAAATATTTTATGTAATAATTGGTTTTAGACAATTTAAAACCAAAAATTTATTGCTTTATTTGAGTTTGAATCAGGTCATTTAAAGAAGGAAAGAAAGAAAAGGTGGGCCAAACGAAAGGAAAAGAGTTTATTGATTCATTTTATAAGCTTGATTAGTTATTTAATATAATGGAAAAATTAAGAAGATGAACAACACTCAACCTTAGAATTAATTTGCTGCTTATCGATGTTGCTGAGTAATCTCTTCATTTTAGCTGAATTTCATTTGTCGATGAATATGAAATGCCTGTTATTTCAGATATGGCATTACTCTTTTTTGTACTTAAATATATCCAATTCCACTATTAATAAATTATTTAATATCCAATTCTACTCTCCCATCAAATTCGCCACACTTACTTAAAAGATTAGTCATTACGTTAAACACTTAGTCCTACTAAAACGGTCCCTTCTAGTTCTGACAGTATAATTCTCTTCTACAATAAAGTACCTTACCATACATATTTTATTAGAGCTTGTTCCAGCAGGTTAGAAATATCATTTAAGAATAAATTTATATATAGCTTGATTGTACTCTTTTTAATCTAGTTTCATATATGTTATATTGTCAAAAGATTATTCAATATGTTCATTCAGTATACATTGCGAGACTCGGCAGAGAAGGAGTAAAGTCCGATTCTCTAGGAGCCTTTTTAGACCGTTAACTTGAAATTTAAACCTTTTTCTAAATCAATCTCTCCAAGTAGTGCTTCATCTAATCGCACCAAATCTATGGCTAAAATTTTACTTAAATTATGTGAATGTTTCTATTTAGGCTGCCTTTTCTTCTAGCTTCATAGTGAATTGAAATTTTCGTATAGTATCTGATAGAATAATAAATCAACTTATATATAGACAATTTCAAAAATATACAAAATATTATAGTAAGAATAATAAGGCAGCTGAAATCCAAAACCAATATTAAAAAGCATCTTAGCTTAGAGTTGAAGACTTTCATCTAAATAGGAAAAAAGTATACTAGAGGGATATTTAACTGTCCTTGTTGGGGACTAAGTTTTTAAGGAGGTAATTCATTGAAGATGAGAAAGAATATGAATTATGATGGTTTGTGGGAAGATAAGGAATTATTAAGGTTGATGGAAATTAATGTGTGTATGTGATGGGAGAATTCTCTGCAGTGAGAATGAGTGTATTCAATAAATTTACAAGGTCAAAAAATGAAAGAATAGAGCTTATAAATTTTAGCAAAGAGAAGAAGTAAATGCAAAAGATTTATTGATATTAATATTTATGCTAAGGAATTTAGAGTTAAGAGAAGATATCAAATTATATTGGGAGGGTTATTCTGTGTTCTATCTAAATCTTTTCTTCAAATATTTGGAAGATTATTAAGCTCATGCCTATCCGCAGTTTAAGAATAAACGTCTAGAGGATTTGGCCTTCATCAAATAGAGCCAAAACAATGATACTATAATAATCACTCGTTATGTATCATTCAGCTGCAAATTTTGACTGAATCAATCCGATTCTCATTAGTGTTCCACCCTCAAAATTTTAGATTGACTTGCCCTCTAAATATATGCTGAATTAGAAGTTTTTTATATAGACTCCAACGGCTAAGTATGCAGTTTAAGCAAATGAATTTTTATGGACATAATGAGCTCCGAAAATTTGACGGCCATGTAGTGAAGGTAATTTCTTCCTCAAGTATTTTTTCCCCAACATATAATCAGAGTGAGACTAAATTCTCCAAAACTCTGAAATTGGTCCTTATTTCAGAATTATTTTTTCTTTAACCTAAAATCTATTATTAGTCACTTACAAACCAACTTTGTTAAATAAAAATAATTAATCAAATTCTACAAAAATAAATGAATTTAAGATAATTTTTATTGATATAATGATATAAGAATTGCAGCAAAAGATAAATGATAGTATAATGATCATTTGCAAATGTTAAAGTTATTACTAGTGCATAGTCATGAATAGCAGGATTTATATAATTATTATAATATAGAGATTTATGGATAAAGAAGTAAATAGAAGTTTAAGTTAGGAATTTTTCCTGAAATAAATAATTTCCGATTATTTAATTCCTCCACTATTTTCAAAACAAGAAGAAATATTTGATCTAATTTAAGTAAGTATTTCCTAATTATTAAAATTAATCATAAATATCCTTATTTTGAAACTAACAAAGCAAAATTGCTTACAATTTATTTAATTATTACTAATTATAGCCATTCTTTATTGTATAAAATGATTGGTATTTGTTGAATAACAAAATATTTTATAATTGACAAATTGCAATGATTTTAGATGTATCTTTATTGTTAAATCTTTGAGGATCTAAGCATCTGATATTGAGGGTTTTAATCTTAAGTTTTGCTATGATTTAGTCATAATCTTTTTTCTTACACAATACCCTAAAATTATTAGTAAAGTTTGGATCTTGAACATACTCTTAATCTGTGTTATTATTCATTATCAGTAGATGTTAGATTTGAAAAATGAATTAGATTAATGAGAATAATTTTATTTATTGTATTATTCGCATTAAATTATTCTAAAGGTGATATACACATTTTTTCATGTTTAATAATTTGCTATCCCGCAAAAGTAAATTCATATCAATTCTTATTGAAACTAGAACTCTGGCATTAGGCTAGCATTATAGAATTTTAATTTTTTGCTAAATTTTTGATCAAATTAGCAATTTTATTTTATTTGCTCCATTTCAATTTAGTTTTAAACATTAATTTTATAATTTTTGATTATTTTAATTATCTGTTCAGAATTCATTATTATTTTGATTAATTATAAATCTTTTTTTGAAAGAGTCATAATCATTTTCATCAGTTTGATTTTTATAATAATATAAATAATTAATATGAATCCAAAATATTATATTAGATATAAAAATTAGATTTGAATTTTAATTACTCATAGCATGTATATCTAGGATATTAATTGAAATATTGCTTTAAAAGAATAAATAAAAGATATAAAAAAAATGAACTAAACTATTATGTTGAATTACACTAAACAACATACATAGAAAAATTTTGAAAAAATTCTTTTTTTTAATTTTTTTGACTGTTCTATTTTTAATAAACAAAGGTATATCTATTATATTTTTAATAATATCAAATTATCATTAGAATGTGTCAATCTCGAATCCTTCAAATTCTTCTAGCCCAAATTATTCTTTCTAATTTTTGGTATTGTACCATAAAAATGTTAATGCTGCTAAAAAAACTACAATCATAAATGCTAACAAAGCATATTCAAATCCAAAATCTATTTAGGAGTAAAAATATAAAGTATAATTAGCAATCTTTTAATTCACTAAATTAGATGCAGTTAAGGTGCAATAATCTGTTGCTTTCGTAAGTTAGATTTAAATTTTAAAGCTACTAATTACAAAGTTTACATAACTAAATATAAACCCATAAGAACTATTAAATGTTAAGATCTATAAATGATATAAACTTTATGATAAATTACTCGAAGGTAAAATTGGGTAATCCAAATTTCCGACATTTAAATCTAAACTAGAAATGTTGTAAATAACAACACCAAATTCATAACTTACAAAGACTAAACCGCTTGAGATAGCAGCACCAATTAATTCTTACGAATTTTGAATAATTACTTGAGGAGAATAATACAATAATCGTTTGAATTTTAGAGTAGATTGCGAAAAATCCATTTCATTAACCATATATATAAGTTTGATAATAATGCTAAATTGATTGATAAAGCACATCATTGAAATCTGGTTCACTTATGATGAAACTATAAGGATTCCTACAACTTAAGAATCAAAATAGAACTTATCCTTAATATATATATATTTAGGTAAATTAAACTATATTTATTTTTGTGAAATACGTTTTCCTAATTGATAATATATATTTTCATTATCTTTACATACATAAATATTGGCATAGTATGAAGAATTTTAATGTTAAAAAGCAAAAGACTGAAAACTAAGCATGCAACATAAAGTCTGGATACGTTAAAACATATTTGTAGAGACATAAAAGATTGTAATAAGGTATTCCTAAAAAATGTACAAAATATCTTCCTGTAGTATAGGATTTTAGGATGATAAAATATCGAAACTAGCTAAATAATTAATGTCACTTAAATATTAGTTTTTTATATCTATCTTAAATAAATCGAAATGTTAATATCCTTGTAAATCAGATTATTAACAAAACAAAAATATGTATTAAGCATTCATTAATGCAGTAATATGAATACAATTTTGATTATAATTTTACCTCTTTGATGCTTAAATTAAAACCCCCTCTGAAGTTACGTTATAAATTTATAAAAAGAAATTTGACTAATTGTTGTGATAACATAAGATTTATTAATTAAACACAGCAATTACAGAGTCCTTCAAACTAATCAAATCTGTTTAATTCAAAAAATTGATGGCTTGAGAGTTTGAACTTGAACAATTAATTTAAAACCATAATATTTGTCCACTGAAAGTTATATTGTCCAATGTTATTGTTTCATGAATATTAGAAACCATATATGTTTAATTATTCAATTAAATATTCAAAAAATCATTCAAAGTGATAATTTGTTAATTTGAAGAAGTTTAGATAACTTATTGAGTTCCAATTTAAGATGAAACTGAAACATTGTAATTATTATACAAAGTACTAATTTCATTCTTGATCGTATTAGAAATAATATTTTGATAAGTGTATACTAAAAGTGGAGATAACAAATAAAATGAGGAATTGAATGAAATTAGAGCCAAATCAGTAGAAGCACTCGTAAAATAAGATCCAGAATAGTTAAATGTATAAAATAATGTAGAATGTTCAATCAGAGCAGGGTTATAAACATAGATTTAATTATTAGTCTGAACATAATAAAAAAGATTATCAGCAAAATATTGGGCATTATTTGAGTTCTAAATACTTCTTAAATTCTTCTCAAGAAATGGAAAGTTTAAATTTTGAACATTCCAGACTTAAAAACAAATAAATTAACTACTTTAGCAATTATAGTTTAAAATTAAACGATTATTTACAATTTTCATATCTTAAACCGAAATTTCAACATTTATTATACTATAAGTAATGTAAGTATTCTCTTGTGTTATTTATCCAACAATAATACTACTGTAATTGTTATTAATAAGTAAAGTTGATGAAATTGAAAATTAATTCAATACTATACCCACAGGAGTAACACTGTAATTACTAGAATGATTGATTTGTAAATTTGAGCAATTCCCTGTCATACTGCATATTTAAATAATATTTGATTCAAGTAGAAGTACAACTTATTAGAATAGCAAGTAGAATTATTAGAAGGGTTAAAATGTTAAAATAAAGGTTTAATTTATATTGCTTCTAAGATACTGACATATATATAATTATTAACTGTTAATTTAAACTCCAAAAAGTATATCATCAAAAGCATAGCCTTAAATTTGGTTATTTTTCAGATTAATCCAAGGATTAATTGTACTATTCCAAATGATTTCGAAATAAAATTGATCGAACGAATCATCCCCTAAATTTAATAAATAAATATTTTGGTTTTTTATTCCAACAGCATAATGGATATTCAGAAATTGTAAATTTTAAAACGGTAAATTTATGACCCCTACATTTTAAAATGTTATATCATTAAAGTTTCCCATACTTGAATTTTCTACTGAGAAATTAGCAGTAAATAGAGAACCTGAGTATTGTGATATTACATAGTCGTAATTTTGATTTTAAAATATATAGGCATTTTTATCAATATTTTTCTCATAAATTAAATACGCTTTATTATCATCATTTTAGAGAACACTGACATTTAATTATACTGTAAAATTTAGAACTTCATAAGTTTCACTTATTTAATTCTGACTTCCTATTAGAATTAATTGATAATTTTGCTAATTCTAGTTAGATATGAACTTTATTTGAGGAGTTTCTACCAAATAAGTTAAAATATTCGTATTATCAAATAAAAATAACTCATTGCTATTATAATCGAAGGAGACTTAAGTAGATGAGGAGTTTAAAGTAATCGCTCCGATTAATTTAAAGTTGAGGTTGACATTTTCATAAATCTGAATTAGATCAAATAATTATAAAATTAAGAACTAATTACTTAAGAAAGTTTGGAATTAAGTAATATTATGATTCAGATGGCTGCTTAATTATTATAATTCTTAAATTGCTTAATTGCATATTATTGAATAATAGTTCGTAAATATGCTCATTACTAATAAGGTATCACATTCATAAAACACTATTTATGGGTTGAATATTTAAACTTCTATAATTTAATAGGGAAAAGTATAATTTTTGGTTAAGTTTAACCCTTCTTAAGTTAAATTTAATAGATATAAAGTGAAATAATCCCATAAGTAAATCGTATTTTGAGATTGCAATTTATTAGAAACTATGAAGTTTATAAATGGGAATTTCCAGTTGGATATATTGAATAATAAATTGTGATCAAATTGAAACTGGGTTAAAATTTAATTGTTATCATAGTATTAAGCATAAAGAATAGAGTTAATTTAATTACTAGTAAATGATTTAAGGTCTGTATTTTTTGGCATTTATTGAACTATTTTGGAGTAGGCGATAGTCCAAACATTCTCTTGATATAAATACATATTTAAGTTGGTCAGATTGTAGCAGTCAATTAATATAGAATTCTCTACAAATAATAAAGCATTCAAACATATTTCCTATGGCAAATCCACTTAATTTATGAGATTGACATATGAAGAATTCCATTAATATACATTTAATTTATTCACTTAAGTAATTAGTAAATAGAATGGTGGTGTGGCGGATATTGAAGTAAATGTTTAATCTAAATAAGAAATATCATAATACTGTTATTCTATTCAGAAAATATGTTTAAGGCTTTAAGTAATTGAACATTGTCAGGGTTATCTTGAATGGTGAAATTTAGTATTTATTATTAAAATAATTCTTTCAGATACAGCGAATAAGTCTCTCCTTAGGTCAGGTACACATTGTAAGATGGATACACTGCTTAGCCATATAATGCTATGAATAGAGATAATAAAAAGATCATTAATAATATTTAAATAATATGAATATAAAGATGCTAATTTTATTTGATTCTAGAAATTGTTGTTTCCATTAAGATTTTGAGAGTTTCCTGGGTCTTTAAATGATTGAAACAATAAGTTATGATCGCCATATGAGCATGCCTATGGTCTTAAAGCGGATAATCCATGTAAATTTAGTGATTCTCTATCAATTGAAGAAATAGAAAATTATTCATTTCTTGCTATTCCTTAAGTATTTTGTCTAAGAAAAAGATTAAATATAAAAGAAAATAATATTATGATAAATGAAACATGTGTTTATTAATAGAAATAGGATAATCATTAATATTATAACAAGAAATAATATGTATACCAATCCAGTCATAAAACCTTAAAATTGTATTATTTAGTTTGTTAATTAGATTAGTATTTGCTATCTAAATGGCTAAAGTAAGTGTAAAATCACTATTACTTAAAAGTTGATAAATGGTTGATATAATAAAGGCATTATTTTTTTTGGATATTGGTAAGCAAATAAATTAGAATTTATTGTTTGTTTATATCATAGTTGAATTTAACTTCTCTATTCATTCCAAAAGCATCTCTAAGCAAAAATGGATTGGTTAGTGATTTATAAATAAAAAATAAATTTGAATTGGAGTAGATTGAAGAATAAAAAAAAAGGAAAACTTTCTTTATTAATACAAATCCAAACCGATTTATTTTAGGTGATTAATTTATTTATTATGAAAAAGAAAATTCTAAGTATTGAAACATATGAATAAGCTAGTCAATATCCTAAATTAGATATTATTTAAATATTTAGTTGCAAAGTTGGTTCAAAAACCTTCAAATTTTTATATACGAAAGTGTACATTATTAATAAATAGTCAAGGTTAGATGATAGGTAGAAAGAAGGAATTAAAACAAATCTATGAGTTAAAACTTACAAAAATAGTGAGTGCAATACTTTGGAAACTTCAAACTATTTTTAATAATTTTTCATCATGTAGCACTTATATGTCTGATGATTTAACCCTAAATGTGATATTGATAAATAATATCGAATTTAGTAATTTGATTAATTCCTTAAAATGATACTTTTCTCATTAAATTGATTCTCTAAAAAAGAGGAAAAAATGAATAAAAAGATAAATTTGATTGATTTAGACTATCTTAATAAATTAATTATTAAGAATAAATGATCAATTCCATATAACAAGAATTTATTGGGTATTTCTTTTAATTTATAACAGATTCTATGTGAAATAAATAGAGAATCAGTTTCGATTTTCTGGTTTTAAATCAAAGAAATTTAATATTATTCTATTTTAGCGATATTTAGAATCTAGTTCATATCATAGAAAGGTTATTAGATACTTACAATATATAAATATACATCATAAAATTTATTCAAAATGATTGTAAGCTACTTGTATGTTTGTTTTATAGAGAATTCGGTCAATAAAAAGTCTAACTTTATTTAATAGTATTTCATTGATTGAGTTTAGGATTTTCTTTTTATTATTTATGATTTAATTTTAGATTAACGAGATATAATTAAATTTTGACATAATTAAAGTATATACAAAAATAATTCATGATATAAATTAACATATTTCAATTATGTTAATCTTCAAAATTGATTAATCTAAAACTAACATATCAAAATGAGTACATTTTCATAGCTTACATTTTTTCCTGATAGTTTTTAAAATAGATTATCACTCAAAGTTTTTCATATTAGACTTAATTACTCAATAAATTCAATATAATCCTCAAACCATCCAAAATCCAATAGGCTTTGAGCAATCGAACAAGATTAATTAAATTAAATTTATAAATAATAATACTCAATCCGGGACTATCCATATCAGGAATCTTGTCATGATTATTTTGGGAACTAGAATCTTTGTCTAATATCAATTACTTAACCTTCGTTTAAGATAATATTCGACAATCCTCATATTAGGGGGACTGATAAATTTGGAGACAATTCCCCATAGGATTTGATTTCTACCCTTCATCAAAATCACTTGTGAACTCAGGTAGTGTAATGGAGGGTAAACTAACTCAAAGGGCTTTCTTAGAAATAAATGGAATTGATAATCATCTCTTCTCAATTTGTATTTTTCTAGTATTGATCCACTTAAGGATTATTTATTAAAATTTTTTAATCTTGAAAGAAAATTGTTTTCTAAATTTAATTTTTGATGATATGTCCAACTTGTGCACCTAGAGCCAAAAGATGTCAACCAAGCCTTTGATGTCAATATCGTAATACAAACTGTGGTATAGCCGATTGGACCTTGCTCTTCCCAATCAAGTGAGGCCTAGTAAAAAACTCTCCTAATATGATGGATCGTAACTTTACAAGTTGGCCGTTTTAAGATCGACACAGAATATCTTATTTTGAAAGCTAATTAAATTAATATCGCAGAATAGAAAGATAAATTTAGCTTTTATAAATATTCTTGATCTCAGATGGAGAACATAACTTGTAGAAATATTATCAGTAAAAAGTCAGAAAATACCTTGAATTGCACTATTTAATATCTCAAAATGAAGTTATTTTAAACACGTGGACGTTTAATGAATAAAAAATAATCATATGTTAAACCGTATGCTCCTTCCATACTTTATAACTTAACAATTTCACTTTTAATATTATTTAATTTACAATAGGCAACTTTTTTTGAACATATTTTTACAATTAAAGATAGAAATATAAAGTATCATTATATGTAAATGTCTAAATAATGAAAATGAAGAAATTATTGGACTTTGTTTGAATCAGAACTGTAAGAATCCAACAAATATTACATATCGAAAGTAAGATAATATAATAAAGTCCTTTGATAAACTTTAAATAAAAATAAAAAAGGAAGAGAACAAATGGAGGAAGAACGTTTTATTGGAAAAAGGAAGTAATAAACAAAATTAATGATGGGGTAGCTCAAAATTGAAAATTGAAACGATTTGGAAGGAATTTAAAAATGATTCAATAATATGTTGAATAATTAAAGAGTGTTCTAAAAATTTTGAATTTTATAAGAAAATTTAAAGAGGGATTAATATATATATCAAATACTAGTTTCTATAAGTATTTTTAAGAAATCAATCTATTAGATTAATATGGAATTATAAATTTTCCAAATAATATATTACCTTTTTTATTTTATATTGAAATAATTATATTCAAATAAAGTAATGAAACCAAAAGAGATATTTCATAAACCAGATAAGAAGGAAGACAAGCTAAGGTTTTCAGAACAATTAAATGATAAATCAACAGAAGTGAGTATTATAAATTCATTTTGCAGCTGGAACAGATAGGAGTACTTCAGCTAAGAAAATTGAAGAATTTATTTACAGTTCCTCTTAATATTTAATTGCATTCGAAATTAATTAAATGAAATTAATATTAATCTTAAGGTAATGAATATGTACTTGTACCAATATATATTTCTTTACCTTCTGTAAAAATACTACATTTTAAATCATAGAGGAGGCACTTCATCAGGAAGAGTAGCGTTTTGATGATTTATAGTTAAACGAATGTAAAGAGTTGTTAGAAATAAGAACGTCTCGATTGCTAATCTTGAGGGGTCATTATGATGAAATGAATTTGAGAATATTATAAAATTTATATATTGTTAATAAGGTTTATTGAAAATTGGTCAGACCTTATAGTTATATTTACAACAGGAAGTGAGATTCTCACAAGCATCAATTATTCTGATTGGTTTGCACCTGAAGATAAACAAAACTGAAAGAAATCTAATCTTAAAATTCGTGGATATTTAAAAAGGAATACATAATGTAGTTTACATATTTAAGAAGCTCTAACTTTTAAATTTATGAATAGTAAATAAAAATTCTAAATTAAATTCAATAGAGTTTACTCAAATGAATTTTTAATGTAATCTCCATCCAAGACTCAAGCTGAAATTTTAGTATTTTGAAAACGATTAACTTATTTCCTTAAAAGCGATGAAGCACTAAGAAGGCTTGATATTAATTTGTATATGCTTTGGAGTGTTGGAATACGATGTTATAATCAAGATGATTAATCTAGGGATATGATGAAAATCATTATTTAAGTACTTAATGAGTCTAGATTTGTTAAAATTATCGTAACTCATTAAAATCTTTAAATCCGTTAAAAATGCTATAAGATGAATAAACTCCAGATGATCTATAGATAATAATTGAAATAATCGACAAGGTTAATATATCAGTAAAAATTAATTGAAATTTTTAAAGACTAAAATATGCTTTGAGGTTGAACCATATAATTTAATTTTTGAATTGGGATAAATAATAATCTTATCCTGAATAATAAGTCATTTTTTTTTGCTAGAATGAATATGATATTGAAATCTCAAAAGAATTGATTACATTTATTTGTCTTTTGAAATTTGAGAAGTAAATGAGTTAAATTAAAAGTGAAAAATTTAATTTAAGCAAACATATTTTAATAACTACTATATTTAAGTAAGATTGATTTCAGGCGAAACATACCACAAACTAATAGAATAATATTCTCTAATGTAGTACAGTATTCATATTTATTTAGAGTTTATCTAATATTAAAATGTAGCTTCTTAGATGTCTATTTTGGGAATCAGAAAACTGCAAGTTTTTCTAACTGACTTCTTTGCTTAATATTCATCAGCACATATAATCTGAGTTTTGGTAAAATAATTGACTTAATTAAATGTGTAATTTGATTGAATCATCTAAAATAATTAAGAAAAAATGATATTGTGTATTTGTTGTGCTTTAGATAATAATCAATTTTATTTGTATTCTATTTTGTTTTCTAAAATCAAACTGCCTTTAGATTTGAAAAATGAAAGTAAATCTATGCCTTAATAATTTACAAATTCTCCTCTTAAGATTATTGCTCCTTAGGCTTATAACTTGGGAATTTGAGAAATTCGAAGAATAGTAAGAATCGTATTAGCTATGTCATAATATACCATAAATACAATCATCTGAAAAAAGGGGTTGGTGAAATTAAGCAATTATGCTTTTGTAACTAAGATCAGAGGCTTGAATTTAGTATCCAGTTTCAACATTCCATAAATAAATGGAGTTATCGCTGCTTTCAGAGGCTAAGACAAAACCACTTGGAGAAAAACACAATTTTCTTACAAAACTGCTATGAATATCTAATTTAACTTTTTCATATCCTGTTTTAACATCCCACAAACGGATAGATTTATCAATACTACCAGACGCTAAGGTAGTACCATCTGGTGAGAAACAGACAGATTGAACACAACTTGCATGACCATATAATTTAGCTTTTTATTACCCTGTCTTTACATCCCATAAACAAATAGAGTAGTCTTGACTATCAGATGCTAAAGTAGTCCCATCAGGAGAAAAATAAACTGAATAAACTGTGCTACCGTGACCAACTAATTTCGCTTATTATTTTCCTGTCTTAACATCCCATAAACGGATAGATTTATCTACACTACCAGACGCTAAGGTTGTACCATCAGAAGAGAAACAGATTGACATAACAATAAAAGTATGACCATATAATTTGATTTTCAATTAACTTGACTTAACATCCCATATACAAATAGACTTATCATGACAACTAAATGCTAATATAGTACCATCAGGAGAAAAGCAGAATGAATAAACTACATTACTATCTCTATCAAATTTGCCTTTTTATTATCTAGTCATAACATCCCATAAACAGATAGACTTGTCACTACTACCAGATGATAATAAATTACCGTCAGGAGAGAAGCAGACAGACGTGACATAATTTGAATGACCATATAATTTGTCTATTTATTATCCTTGCTTAACATCCCATAAACGGATGGTGGCATCACAACTACCAGATGCTAATGTATTACCATCAGGAGAGAAACAGACTGTTTGAACATAACCAGTATGACCATATAATTGGACTATTTATTATTCTGTCTAAACTTTCCATATTCTAATAGAATAGTCGTAACTGCCAGATGCTAAAAAAGTACCATCAGGAGAGAAACAGACTGACGTGACTTAACACTTATGACTATCTAATTCGGCTTTTTATTTTCCTGTCTTAACATCCCATAAATAGATAGAATTATCTGCACAGCCAGATGCTAATATAGTACCATCAGGAGAGAAACAGATTGATGTAATTCTATTTGAAAGACCTCCGAATTTGGCTTGTTTTTATCTTGTCTTAACATCCCATAAATGGATAGAATTATCTTCACTACTAGTTGCCAAAGTAGTATCATCAGGAGAGAAGATGACAGTATTTACAACCTAAATATGACCAATTAATTTGAATATTTATTTCCCTGTTTTGATGTTCCATAAATTTACAATTTGATCGTTGCAAGAAACTAAGGTTGCACCCTTAGGTGAAAAATAGATAGATTTTACCTTCTTCTCTCCCTATAGTAAAAATTTAATTTTTCCTGTTTTCACATCTCGCAAACGAATAGAATTATCATCACTACTTGAAGCTAATAAATTACCATTTGGAGAAAAACAAACTGAATTGACTCTATCACGATGATCATTTAACTTAATTTCTTCATTTATATCTAAGTTTCTCCATCTACAATTTAATAATTTGGCTTAATTTAAATTCATTCCACTTATAATGACATTCTCAAATTCAGATCCACTTAAATTGCACCCCATAAAATTTCCTCCCAACAGATTAGTATTTTTAATTCTAATATTTTTAAAAGATTGTTATTTCAAATCAACCATCATTTAAACTAATAAATGAAGGGAATTTGATCCGCACTATATGTATCTCTCATCCAAAGTAGTAAGATGAATTAAAAACTTTAGAAATTCTATAATTTTCTTATCCCATGATATTTTTATGATCAGATCAATTTTAATTTATTCGTATTCTTTGACAGAGTAATTCTATCTATTAAAATCATGATTTTTAATTTATCTGAGAACACTTATTATAATTTTAATACTGTTTTTTCCAAATATTTTCATCCATTCCCTCATCTTAGAATCGTTTTCTTCCTGTAATATCTATGATTATTTTTCTTTCCTTTGATTAATCTCTTTTGAAAGAAATTCTAAACAATCTTTAATTTTATTTTTTTTTAACAATTCAAAAATGTCACTTAAAATTTATTCATTTAAATCTATTAATGAAGCCAAGACATCGTACAAATCCTTTTTTTGTTTTTCAATCCCACAGTTTCCCATTTTAAAAAATTAAATTAATATAAATTGTATCGCTTTATCTTATAATATAAACAAAGCAATATTTTTCATTTTTTGTTAGGAAGAAAACAACTTGGTGAACTGTGGGGCTGATTATTAAAATTATTTCAAAATATACCAAAGTTTCTTGCATCAATAATTCAGCTTTCGATTAGCTCAATGATTTATATTTAAATTTTTAGATGTTATATTTTTTGATCAAAGTGTAGTTTTACGATGACAATCAGCAACATCTATTTTTTAGAATGAAAGACACAATTAAACTCTACAAAGTTTAGGTTTTATGGAATTATATGGAAATCTCTTGAATCTGTGGCCTCGCAGTATTTTTATCACTATGAGAAGATTGTTCTAATAAGATTTTTCAAGTGAGAAACCCCTACTACAAAAATCTTTTCGAAATTCCTAGATTGTTTGATTATTTTTGAGGGAATATCAAATCAGGGTTACGTTTAAACTTTGTAAATTTTCAGAAAATGAAAGGGCAGATCAAGAAAAAGCACTCTAATAATTAATGAAAAATATTGTTATTATTTTTATTTTAATGTTAGAGTCATAATTTGAAAAAATTGATTCATATTAGGTAATCTTATATTAGGTAGAGTAAACTATGAAATTAATTTCAAAGGTGGAAATGCTGATGCCGCTGAACACTGTTAAAAATGATCACCTTTTTCAAAAGTATGAGGATAGCAACTATCTTACTGGAAATAGTTGTACAGAAGATTTAATATTATTTGCATGTGCAGTAAATACACAGCTTACAAGCTTAAATGTATTAGCTTTGACTTTCATTCTTTCTAATACTGCAAATTAAAATTTTTGTTTTCTTATAGTGATGCCTACAACTTGAGTCATAGATTACATATTCTGGTTCTAAATTGTATTTAAACTTGCAATAACTATGTATACGCCTTTGCTTGTTACATTAATTAAGCAGCTATAATTATTCTATTCATTCATTTAGTAAATACAATGATTATTGCAAAGCTTAGACTCCACTATACTATTTACATATCTTTGATTTCTTGTGATAAATATTATACCACACCTGTTTATGCTTTATTTTTATATCTTTGTTTTAAGCTCCTACGAAAGTTAATCTCCCGCACTGCCTCAATTACTTATTAGCAACTTACCAAAAAATGGATTTTAGGCTTAATCTACTTTTTGCAAATTAATTGCTACTTAAATATAAAACCTTTCATCAAATAAGCATCACACTATAGTAAATGCTTCAATTTGCACTAGATCAATTGTATCTAGGTGGTTTTAAAGACACTCAATAATTGCAGTTGCCACAACTTTTAATTCTTGTGTTTGAAATAGTGTTTATTGTGCATCTTGTATGTCAAAATATTATCCTACATTCAACTGCGATTAAAATGTCTACCAATGTGTTATCTGTTAATCATAAATCAAATTGCATTAATAGCTCAATTAAATAACTACCTGTTGAATTTATCAATGCGGAGATTTCATTAAGAATGGACTTTAGGGATTCATTTGAATAGCTGATACA